TCATACCTTTATATATAATGAAGATAGATACATTGTAAGTCTATCCTCTTAACAATTAACATTACTAAAACCAATTCAATGAAGATTTACGCTTCAGGTTCTAAGGCTGTTATTTATGCTGATCCTGACAATCTTATTCAAATCATTTCAGCTTCCTCAATATTTAAACATCAAGAGCAATTTGAGCCTATTACATCAGTTGCAGGAAATTGTAAAACAGGACAGGTAATTATTATAATGATATACCCTTCTTCTCTCCTTAACTCAAACACAAATAGATTGCTATATCCTATCAATGTCAAATAGCTATTTTAAAGCCACATAAGCATTGCTGGGGACTCGATTCAATTTTAACTACTTCCGACTTGATAAACTGTCTGGATTGGAGTGTGAATAGTAAAGTGTAAATATACTCTGCTTATTGATAATTAATCTTTTATTTTATTAGATACTCTATTAAGTGCAGGAAAGGAGGTTACAATATGGAATTTAGACACAGAAGAAAATATATGGAAAGCTGTATTTACCAAAAAATTAGCAATAGATATAATTTTGGCTAAATTTGATCCACAATCTAGTGTATTTGCAACAGTTGGAAAGGTACATAAAATTCATAAAAAAAAAAAAAAAAAAAACTAAAAACTGACCCTAATTTAAGTTTGATCGCTTAGTGACAATATGGTATCAGAAGAATCTTACAGAAACATTAGATTATGATTTTACATTTATCTCACATCCTAAATATGTCACTTATTTTACCTGGAGACGATTACCACCAAAAAGTCACTCCGAAGATCGTACATTATTCACGATGGCTCGTGATGGTATTGGTCGCTTCTGGAGTCCAACTGATTTAAATCAATCTCATTTACTTTACATGTGTGCTGTAATTGACTCAAAACAATCTCTAGTCACAAATGATACTAATTTAAATCAAGCAAATGACCATTTTCTACCTATTCATTATATTGGCTGTGATGAGCTTTCAAATGCTGTACATGCACAATTTAGGTCTCATTCAAAGCATGAACGATTTGACCAACGTGTAGAGCGTATTCGTGACCGTATACGAGAGACTCCCGATTTATTGTTTCGAATCAAAGCAGATGGTTCACTTATTCTTTGGGGAGTCCAGCATTTAAATTCAATTCCAAGAAGAATTCCAAGAGTATTTGTTGTACTGCGTGTAGACAAAGCAATCGATCCTTTAGATGTGATTTACTTTTTAAGCCCTACACATATTATGCATGACTATTTACATATCCAGTCTTCATGTAAGTTACACAATTTGATTTCATTTATAAAATGCTGATTCTTTCAGATAGCTACAATAAAACCAATAGAACTATCATTGATAGCACGAAATTTACATGGACAGCTAAGATGTTATAGTTTAAATTTAATTAATTTTTTGGATTCGACTTCCTTTTCTCCAAAGCTACATTTGAAATATACATGGCTAGGTCACCAGCACCCTATATCGAAGTTATATCAAACACAAAAAAACAGATTTAGTACAATTGGTATAGACGGACAAATTAATGTTTGGAAATACGAATTAAGAGAGGTAAAATAGATGTTCATCAATATTAAGATCATGTAAGCTAAGCACAATCGAATATGATAGACTTGTGGTAAAATGATGATTCAACTTCAACTTGACTGTTCATTATTTGTAAAATGTAAAAATGTATTAGCTGTGCCTGTAGATAAAGGTAAATATCTGATTATTCATTTTGAGTGCATATTAATAATGATCTATTTAAAGATAAATATTTGGCTGTTTATGATGGTAATCATGTAAAACTTTATGAATTTGATAAGCAAGATTGTCATTTGTATGATAGTCAAATATGCAAAAGCAATGATGATGCTATAAAAGAACTATCATCTTTACATGTTTATAATATGGAAGGACCCAAAAAATCCTTTTTACTATTTGGTATTTCCGCTACCAAAAAGAAAATCATAACATGGCATTTGATACCTTGTCATAATCACATAAATGTCACTTATAGGGGAACAAAAGTAATGCCATGGACCACAGAGCCAAGTTTGATTGAATCATCAAGTCAATGGGCTACCAACACAGCATCAAAGCTGCTTCATAGTTTAGCGTCAAATAAAAGATATGCATTGGCTATATTATTAGGTACAGATATTGTGCTCTATACTGTAAATACAGGAAGTACTATGATTGAGTGGCAGGTGTTATTTACGCTGGACACCTCATACATTGGTGAATTTATTTGTCAAGCCAAATATACATCCCAAATGGTAGCTTTAGTATCTGGGGAAGATAAAAAAACCTTGTCTATCTGGATGGGAATTAGAACTGATATTGCTCCCACTTGTGTTAAAGTATTCAAATTTGAGTAAGTGCTGCATTAAAATTTTGTAAAATAATATCCAGGACAAAAAAAAATTAATTAAATAGTGAGTCTATACGTGATATTGCATGGAATGTTACGTCAGACGCTCAATTTATTCTTGCTGTTGCTTTTTCCAAATCAATTAGTGTTTTTGGACAAAGAAGAATTAGTAATACTAACTTTGATGAAGATGTATGGGTTCGTTATACTACTTTTAACACTGATATGTAAGTTATTTTGCTTTTAAAGTTTTAATTTTTTCTAACCTATACATAATAGACAAGAGGATATTACCGCAATAACATGGGTTGATTGTGGTGTATTAACAGTAGCTGCTGGTAATCAATTACGATGTTATCTGAAATGGCTAACAAGCGAAGATGTAGTTACAAAATGTAAGTGTTATATATTTATATATATTAGTTTGGCTTTTATTTATGTGTATCTTTCTAGTTATTCAAAGGCCAAATAAAATAGAACCTATGTCAGGCATTTTCGATCTTTCCTATGAAATGAATGGCCCTTTACCGTTTTATCATCCTGATCATCTCATTCATTATATAATGTGGGGTAATATGGATATGGTCCATAGTGTGCTTATTACACTTTCAGACTTTTTTAAGCAATTTGTAGATGATGAAGATGACATCATTGATAGTATGCCTCTTGTCTCTTTTTCAAAAATGCTTAAGTTACAAAATGTAAGAAATATTTAGTCATTTTTTAAATGCTATCTCAACATATTTTATATAGAATCCGCTGAAAAAAACCTCACGAGAATATCAAGCATTATTTGAGGATAACACTTCTGAGCATAATCTTTCAATTGATGATCATAACTCGTAAGTTCAAAAAAAAAAAAAGTAAATATTCTTTAAACAATTATATTAGATATGATGACGATGATAGCTATAGTAGACCTTTGTCTATTAATGAAGCTAAAAATCTTACGCATGCACTAAAAAGGAAAGACTTAATTGGCCTAAATAAAACTGAAAAAGTTCGTTTGATAGCCATGATAGATACAATTATTGAGGTATAATGTATTCTTACATTGTTAATATGTCTCTAATATAATTTACTTTAGATAACTAATCAAGGTGAGTCATTAGATGAAAATGGCGCACGATTTACTGCCTTATTGGAAAACTATTTTAATTTATGCCGCTCGTTACCTGAGAACCAAAGACAGCCTAATCTCCAATCAAGAGATTTTGCATGGGCTTTACATAGTCAATCTCAAGACTTATTATTGGAAAAATGCATCAGACTTTGCGGCAATAAATTTGTTTGGGAAGATGCTCGATCTCTAGGTATCTTCTTATGGCTTCAAAAAATTGATGTTGTGGTAAGTTAGGCAGAACTATAGGAAACAAAATGGGTTATTTTTTTTTAATCTTTTATTTTTATTTTATTTTTATTTTATTTTTATTTTTTTACATCATTTAGAGAGAGCAAATGACAAATATTGCCCGAAATATTTATTTATCGAAAACAGAATTTAGAGACCCTGTGGATTGCACTTTATTTTATCTTGCATTACGTAAAAAAAAATTACTATTGGGATTATGGAACACAGCAACATATCATAAAGAGCAAGTAGTTATGAAAAAGTTTTTAGCTAATGACTTTGATGATCCTCGTTGGCAAAGAGCAGCAGCTAAAAATGCATTTGCATTGCTAGGAAAACAAAGATTTGGTATAATGAGTACAGTGTTTGATAATTATAATTAAGTTAATACTTTTATCATAGAATATGCTGCTGCGTTTTTTTATTAGCTGATAAGCTGAAGGATGCAGTTAATGTGATATTGAAGAATATAAAAGACTATCAACTTGCAATTGCAATATGTCGAGTTTATGAAGGTAATATACATTATATCATCTGTATACCTACATATAACATTTATTTTGTATAGGCGATCATAGTCCTCTTTTAAAAGAAATATTAGAAAACACTGTAATACCTATGGCTATCGAGTCTAACGATCGCTGGTTAGTTAGTATAGCATTTTGGCTACTTAATAAACAAAAAGATGCTGTCCGTGCCATGGTCGTTCCCTTATCACAGTTCATAGATTCGAATGTGGATACAATAACAGCAGATTCAGCAGCTATGGTTCACGATCCCAATGTATTTATACTATATCATTATCTTAAAAAAAGTCTGCATCAAGATCAAGGTTTAATTGTACCTTATAATATTGAGTACGATTTCTCTTTGAGAGTATCCCAATCCTATGAACAACTAGGATGTCCTTTATTAGCCCTACATATCTTGACAAATTTTTATATGAAACCACCAAAAGTTGATCTTCAAAAAGTCGCTTCCAAACCAGATAAAGCAGAGAATTTATTTGCATTATCACCAAATCATTCATACACAGCAGGACCCTCTAATAATAATAAATCAGCATATACATTTGATTTGTTCGATACTGATGATATCTTTGCAGATAACAAAAGGATATCCAATAAGATATTTGATAATAATTTATTTGTATCAAAAGAAAAAGCTGACGATATATTCAAAGAAAATAATGAAGATAGTTTGTTCCTGGCCAATAATAATAGTGTTAGAGATATGGTCATAGATTTCACTAATAAGGAGTACGATGGCTTAGACGGATATAGAGCAATGCTTGTAATTCGTATGCTACAGGTATAATATTAAAACTGTTTTAATATTGTGCCATTAACAATTTATATAGACATTTTTTCATGCTGCGTCTACATTTTATAATGAATCTGGAGAATCAATAAATACTCTTGAAGCCAGTCATCGTTCTCGTTTTTTAAAAAACCGACAAGCATTACTTGATTTAGGAGAATCAGTTAAAATTCCCTCTAAAATACTTTCAAAGCTGTTGATGGAAAAGAGTATAGAGACGGATGTTTTTCCGCTTTATTTATATATTTTATATGAAACTATTCCAAAAGATTTTGACGTACATCAATTCTTAAAATATTTTAAAGCTGGTTGCTTCGAAGTCAATGAAGTTGCACTTTTATCTCAAGAACTTGATTATTCAACTTGTATATTTATTGAAAACTGGACAAGGTAAGCCATAAAGCATAAATTTTAATAAAATCAGCTTATATTTTATCATATAGGAATGTTATTAAAACATTTCCTATTTGGAATGATTTACGTGCTCGCTATTGTAATCCTGAAACAGCTTCTTTTACTACTCGACAAATGGTATTGGCAACCTACATTAGTATTATTTTGATTACTCTTAAACAAAGACATTATGAAAGTTTATGGCCCTTACTTTGTCATTTTAAATTCTTTCTTGAAGCTATTGGTTCTAATGGCGGTGATGCTGCTCTCAGTAATTGCTTTGCTCAGTTATACAAAAATGATACAAAAATGGTATAATATTCTGATGAATATATTTAATCTTTGCTTTCTAAATTAAAAATATTTATACAGGTTGAAATGTCGATAGATGATTTTGAAAGCTTTTCAGATGGCAGCGTATTTGGATACGATATGAATGAAGAAATCTATAGACCTTTAATAGACTTTCAAGATAAATCATTAGGCGCTAATATATTGGAACTTGCCTCACTTAATTATGTTTTGTCCGCTATTGAGCATGCTATGCAATGTCAGGGAAGACATAATGGTTTAAGTGGTAAATTATTATAACCATAATATAGTTTATATATACTCACTTAGTTTTTATAGAAAAACTTTCTGAATTTATTTGGACTACATTACTTGATCCTATTGCTTACAGAACGCATAACTTGAAAGAAACTGTTATAGAGCAATTAGAATGCGATTTATCACGTAGTATGTATAAAAACTACTTTTAATAATCAGTAAATTAAACTATATATTACACAGGTCATGTTTTGAAGCAGTTGAAGACATTAAGACAAAAAAAATATTGGCGATCTATTAAAAGTTTGAGCTCATTTGATAGATTATTACCATTTGTAAATTCTAAAGTAAGTTTATAGTTGTCCATAGTATACAAAATTTTAAAATCAACCCTTTATAGCCTTTGAGTATGACAATAGATGATAATCAAGCAGATCATTTCCTTAATGTGTATCATTCAGCAAGCACAGTATATGCATTTTGTTTAAATTCAGTATGTGAAAGCATATGTGTAAAGAATAAGATTCTAATTTATTTACTTATTTATAGACTGTACAAGATAAAATGGCAATTTGTCTAAAAACGGAAATTCAAGAGATTGATTTATTAAAAGCAAATAATATCTCTAGTACAGTAGGTGTTTTTGTCATATTGTAAAAAAAAAATTAATTAATTTATATTTTATATAGTCATTAGCTAGAACAAGATCTATATCTTCGTTTGGCTTTGGTCAAGATCATCATATAGACAGTTATCCTGATACAGAAGATGATGTTTATTCATCAGATAAAGATCAAGAGTCAATAAATACAGCAAAGCATGTGCCACGAAAGCAATGTCTTGTACCCTCCTCTAAAGTTTCTAGCTCTTCAACTCCAATTATTTCCCCTAGTCGTATTATAACTGAAGACCAAAATGGTTTAAATATAGAACATCTTCATGATTCACTTAGAAAATCATTAGCAAAAGGATCAGATTATTCAAGAACAAGTCCAATGCCTATTGATAACTCTGAGCGTGAAAAAATGGTATATTATTGTAATAATAATAATAATAATAATTGGCTAACTTCTATTTGTAGATTTTGCTCAAACGAAATATTGCTGCTAGTTGTGCAGAGACCCATCCTAAATATCCATTTTGTAAGATGATCTACTGCTAATTATATATTGTGTATTAATGGTTAAATTATTAGATATTACAGGATGTGAGGTTAATAATAATGGGCCTAGCGCTATTTTATGGCAGTTTGGGCAAGAAAAAGAGATATCTAATTACTATGGTTGTCATGGAAAAGTTACAAAGTAAGTTGACCATTTATGATATAATTATAGATTTTATTAAATATCTATTTTAGAATACATTTTGATCAGTTTGGTCAAAAATTTGGTGCTGGTGACACCACAGGAAAGCTGTGTCTGTGGAGGTTTGATGCACATACGCATGCTAATAAACCATATTATGTAAGTTACGATATAATAGGCTTATTATAAAAAAATTAATTTCATTCTATAGGTCTTGGATTGTTATACGAAAGCAACTCGAGACTTTGCATTTATCAACTCTAGTAGTATAATAGCAACTGCTGGAACGTCTTCTGCAATGAGTAGAAAGTAAGTTATATATATACATATTTATATACAAACGATAATTTAACATGATTAAAAGACATGATCATGTTGTTTTATGGGATACTTTATTACCACCTTCTAAAGCTATGGTTTGTGGTAAGTTTTTAAATTTCTTAATTATTATTATTATTATTATTATTTGTAACCTTGTTGATTAGCTCTGCCTGGCCATGAGAATGGAGCATATGCAATTGCATACGAACCAAATAATCAATTATTATTTTCAGGCGGGAAACATGGAGAAATTGGTAAAATCCTATTTGATGTATATCTGCTCAGTTACTAACCATGTTTATAGTTATATCTGATATAAGACAACGCACAACTGCACATACTTTCTCAGCACATCATTCTAGAATTCGTTCTATTACAATTGATACAGAAAATAAATTGCTTGTAACAGGATCAGTAGATGGAGAGCTAAAGGTATATACGAAAAGCATTATTTTATTTTATTATAATATTTATTTTTATAGATATGGGATGCCAGTACATATAAACTTCAAAAATCATTCGATATTCAACCGAGAAATCGACTCCTTGCACCATCTTTTAATAGAATCCCTGTATGTAGACATGAAATAATGAAAAATTTAACTGCTAGCAAAACATATACATATACTTATACATATATATAGTTGAAAGCTTTTGGAGTAACTCAAATACAAATAATCAATGATGGTATTTATACATCTGGTCCAAGTGGTATTATCCAGTGTAAAAGATCTGTATTATAAAGTATGAAGTCTTTTAATTATAATTGTAAAATACAAGTATAATATTATGAGTAAGTATAGCTGAATATTTTCAATGCTTAATCATACCTTATATATGTATTTATACTTATTTATTAAATGTACTCTGTATATAGTGAAAAGGTTGATAGTGGTTACTAAAGTTTGATAATTACCATTATTTGAATTAATATGAGTAAAATAAAAATTGTTATATGGGTTATATTATTCAGAAAAAATAATCATGATAAAAGATTTCCATCATTATTTGTATAATGTGCTACGATATATATATCTAATTGACACCTATAAAAAGGTTCATAGTTTGATATTTTTATAATAGTTTGCTTTATAATAACAACAACAACAAAATTTTTGTATAATTATTCTTCAGCTATTCATGGGTAGTAAAGAAATATATACACTGTTATATACCCCTTCAGAGGCTATTGTTATGTATATATTTCTAAGCTTTATAATAACTGGATAAAATCAAATGAGTAAAAATTACCATTATCTACTTTTGTTCATATTAAAATAGTTGAATAATGAAAAGATGAAATGCTATGTAATTTTTATTCAATGAATTTAGAATATTAAATATCAAGAAATTTAGGACGAATGTAATTTTAGAAATAAAAAAGTTATATTAAATTAGTTATATAGCAGGAACAATATACACATATATGAATAAATCTGTATATTTATTTTTATTACGATTTAATAGAGCATATGCTAATGAGTTTTCATTTAGTGTTAAGAATAAGCCTTAATCTAAGTCAATAAGTTGGTAAGTATACAAAAATAAAAAGAAAATAAAGTATGTGTTTACCTGTTCATTCCATAAATCTAAAACTTAATTATAAATAACAATGTTTGTAATATATTATGAAAGTCTAGCTCTTTTAGATGATTCACCAGCTTCTTCATTATTAGGTCTCTTTTTTACATCTTCTTCATCTGAGCTTTCCTGTTGTATTCTATCTAACTGAATTCTAAAATCACGTGAAGTACTACGCTTCATATATTGCATAAAATCAACTCTTGACTTTCTACTCAGTTGAATTAAGTGCCGTTCAAATTGCTCAACAGCAAAGATCAAGTTAGGAATCATCTTTGATTCACGTTGTATTTTAGCTTTTCTTTTTATGTCTACTTCTTTTCTTTTATCTTTTTTTGATCGACGTTCAGTTAAATCTTGACTCTGTGATTGTCCATAGATTGTTAAAAATTTATACATTTTTTCGGTAATTTCTGTACCACATTTACTGATCACATTGATAAAATCAGGTGAAACATCTTGTACGAAATTAAGTTTCTACATGTATCTAATAAGTTATAAATGTCTTTAATGAAGATCATTCGACTTACATATTTCACAAGTGTATGTAGTGTTTTATATGCTTTAGCCAAAGTTTTAAAGAGGCTTTCAGCGTGAAAATCAGTTAATATAGATTTTACTAATTCACTCAGTATGTTCATGATAGAAATCAAACGCTGGCATAAGTCTTTTTCAAACTCTTTTGCTGTGTCATCAAAGGACCTTATAGAAGCTGCATAAAATTAGTGTAAATTATTACAAAATTAATTAGATCTTACCACAAATTTTTAATCTTCCTATACACCATGTAAGATCATCGAAAGAAGCATCTAAAAATTCAAAAACTTTGGAAGTTATTGCGGTGAAGGTTTTATGATTCACAATTTGATATTTGATTGGTGGCTGTTCCAGCTGCGACTCTTCCTGAAGTACTTCCAGATCGCCTGTAAATTGATGGATATCTTCACAAATGTCTTGAATTGTGTCAAATTTACCTGTCATACCACTAAGCTGGATCAACAATGCCATAATGTCCTTTGCTAAACCTACTTCTTCCATCGGTCGCTCTTTTGCCAAGCAATTCAACCAATCCATAATTGAACAGGCGTGTTTGAGGAAATCATTATCTTTCTTTTCTAATTTCGTGCATAGAAAAGCAATTATACGTATGACATTAGAAGCCTCTTTATAGATTGGTGTACGCCCTGATAGATATTTGAGCACAACCTCTTTAAGTTGCATATTGACATTTGTAATAACAGAGTTTTTAGTGATGACACTGGTACTCATATCTGGCGAGAGTTGTCTAAGGAATTCAATTAATCGGTCAGGCCATATATGACTGACAATATCCATGATTGATAGAACCGACGTAGCAATAGAGCCTAAGACTGAGGATGTTTTTTTGGTAGTACTAGCTTGTTGATTTGCATATATACTATCGGAGTCTTCATGTACAAGTATGGATATATAAGTTCTACAGATATCTACGCTACTATTAAAACATTCATTATCTTGATGACAATAAGGATCATTAATAGCCTATAATTAAAAAAAAAAAAAAAAAAAAAAAAAAAAAAAAAAAAAAGAGTTAAAATTATATTATCTCTACTTGACTTGAACATACAAGTTTTAAACTATTGCAGGTATTTGTTACAATAAAATGTGCAAAATCAATATCAGAACGAAGACTATGCATAATTTCGTCATTTGATGAAAAGACTGCTTGAAAAATTTTAGAAGCAAACCCTAAACTTATAGAGGATTTGACTGTAAAATTTGTATTTTTTTTTCCCTTTTCGTTTGTTGAGATGTCTTTTAAAATCCCAATCAATATCTTTCGTTTTTTAAATAATGCTAGTAACTTCTCAGATGAATCGTGGGTGATACCATAATTTAAAAAGACATATTCCATTGAAGTCTATGCAACCAACTTTCAGTAAAATTTATATAATTATATTATAGTCATATTTACCTCATAAATGCCTAACAAAAGATTAGCATATAAATTATTTTTTAAACCTAGATTTGTAGCCATATCAAAATTAGCTGCTTTATCAAGTTCAAAATCTTCTAAATTGGCCTTCAAGAGTCGATCAATAAATGATTGCATATGATTTTTAAACTGGATTATTCTGTCATCAGTAATAGTATTAGCTTCAGTACTTGATATCACTTCAAGAGTCTTTATAATATTTCCCAATAAAACATATATAGGCTCTATTAATTTGGGGTAACCACCAGTACTAGCGTTTTCCACAGCAGTTTCTAACTTGATTGGATTAATGATATTTGTATCTTTTTCATAACTTTTCATAAACTTTTAAAATAGATTAGTAAATTTGATATCATATATAATGCTACATTACTTGTGTATAAAGTGAATTAAATATATCAGGAGCAAAGTGGGAATGTCCTTCGCTTAATGAGCCCAAACCAGTATAAACATACGACCTAATTTCATATTGTTGACTAAAACATCTTCTCAATAATCCTATAATAATACGAGTTACATATACATATACACATATTAATTAACTATTTAATATTACCGAGAATTTCAAAAGCAATGCCCTGTGCAACTAAAGACTCCTGTTGGTCAATCTCTGTTAACTGTTCATTAAGTATATTTAAAAAGCCTCTAACCGCCATTTGACGACCATCCAAATCCCTATTATTAATGATTAATTTATGTGCTCTTTTTTTTTCTTCTTCTAAAGTTTGTTTACTTTGCAAATAGACTCTTTCGTAAAACCAGAATTAATCCCTCTTGAAATTGCTTGTTTGTTGTTAAAAGTGGTTGTATTGCATTTAATAAATGTTCTGCAATTGATAAAGGTAAAAATGAAAGAATATCAAGAATATCTTTAATCTAAAAAAAAAAAAAAAAAAAAAAAAAAAAAAATGAGAGATAAAGGAATAAAGTAACTTTTTTTTTTTTTTAAAAAAAAAAAAAAAAAGACATTTACATTATTAACATATTTTTCAACAGTTTCTGGATATTTTCTTATAATTTTAGCAAGTAATTTCAAGAAATTAGTAGCACTATTAGCTCTTGATACAATTCGAGATGTCATTTGCTCTAATATTTCACTTCTAATAATGTCATGATATTTGAAAAGTCTTAGTAGAATATTGATACCTAGCTGTGCAACTTGTTCTATAGGATCATTCTCTTCTATTTGACTACTTCTTAACTTAGCATAATCTATATATGTATATATATATTTGTAGATTATAAGTATAAGAGGTAAAATGATACTTGTATAAAAACTCACTCTCATTACTCATAAAAAGATTTCCTGTATTAGAAGCTGTATCAATCAAAATGGTTGCCAATTGACAAAGCGTCTGAATGACTTGGTCCCAACCAGCTGTAGCTGATTTTTCAGCAACATCCAATAAAGCCTGTCCATATCTATTTGCTTCCAAAGGAAAGTATTCTGAAATCCAGAGACATCTTTTCTGAAGTTTTTCATTATCTTTATAAACTGATATAATTGACGATTTCAGGAAATCAAAGATTGTATCTTGAAGACGATGAATTCTTGCAGCTGTTAATAAGCAAGCAACTTCAAATAATTTAAGTGGGCCAGATTTTTTGTTTTTTAATAGTTTAAATAATTCATTTCCCAAGTCTTGATCTTGTTTTAAAGCAAAAGATAAATGCAACATGACGGTTCCTTCTACACGGCTTGTATCATTTCCAGAAACGTGATTGAAATAATTAAAAATGCCTTCAAGCGCTAATCGCTTATAACCCTTTTGTACGGCACAGATTAGATTTAGTGAAAAAAAAAAGAAAAAAAAAACTACTAAAAAATTATGATTCATTACCTTCTTAGATATGAGAAGTAATTGCCATATAAAAGGAGGCACTTCTTCTATATCTATATCTGATATTCTCCTACAGATTATTATTATTATTATTATTATTATTATTAATCGCTATTCTATATAAAAAAAATACTGTACTTTAACATTTGCTTTAAAGCTATTTCTAATTGGTGATTCGACAGCTCCATATCATTAAGGGCAGATGACATACTAACAATGATCTGAGAATGCCATTTACCCTCAAATAAATTATCAAATAAATCGCTTATTGCATTATACTCATTAGCTGCAGTTAGAACATTCCAAATTTTTGTTAAAATATCCAATAAACGAAGTTGAATTGGTTTATTTTGGTTAATTGTATCTATGATCATTTTACAGGCTGCTTTTAACATAGACACTGATAATAATTCGATCTAAGATTAATAAAAAATATGAATATTTGACAGGACATAGTTTATCAGATATTTACTTCGGGTGAAATTAAATTAACAACAGATGAAGCTTGCTTTGCTTTTTCAAGTTTATCTTTATCTTCTGTGCCCAACCTATTTACAGTTTAATAAAAGTGCTGTATATCTTTGTAAAAATGGCTTATTACCATTCAATAACACATGATATAATTAAAAATCGACGTCGGAGACACTGTTGTCCTCCTTCTATGGGTGAGCCTTTAACACTAATTTAGTAAATTAATCAAAACAATAATGCTTAGGTTACAAATACCTAAAATGATAGCACGAAGTAATAAAGTTGTGTCAACATCATTCAAGGCATAGTAATCGTCTAATTTATATTTAACAAGACAAGTAATCTAAATATTGAATGAGATTCAAAGAAGCTTATACATAAAATTAACATTTTACTTCATCCTCTGTTTGATCATTTAAGTATTCAATAAGGCGCTCCTTATTTGCTAGTTTGCTTAACTTGAATATTTCCTTATCCATTATAAATCAAAAAAGGAAAAAAGAAATAAGTACTGCGCGTAAAAAAAAAAAAAAAAAAAAAAAAAAAAAAAAAAAAGGATACGCGTGCTATTCAACTTTGCTGTAACTTAAAATTTGGACTTTCTTTTTTTCAGATGGGATAGGAAGAGAAAATACATATAAAGTCATCTTGAACACAGTGCTTGAAATACATACAATTTAGTAGGATCTACGACCTTTAGCTTAAAGGTAATGTTACGCCATAAACAAGAGTGTAAATTTTCTTTCGTTCTTAATATGGCTGTCTATGGTATTTAATGTGTTAAAAACGTTAGCTTTTATAAAAAAAAATCAAGCTAGACTCTTCCTTCGGATAGCTTCCAAATCGCTGAATTAAGAAGTTCATATATTCCTACAATATCGGCAGAAAGAGCTAGTATAATTATATTATTTAAGCTTTTATTTTGCCTGTATACGATTAAATTCTGAGTCTGAGTTTTATTATTAAATTTTTTGGCAATGAGCATGTAGCGACGAAATAAATGCGCAATATTGCCCGAGCCAGTTACAGAGGGGAAATAAGGATAAAAACTTTCCTAAAGGACAAGAATGGAAAAAAAAGAAAACGAGAAGGAAAAAGAAAAGAGCAGTTTTTTTTTTGGAATTAAGAGAAAACATGAGGAGGATAAAGCGAAAAAGGTGAGAAGAAATAATTTAAATACAAATCAGACCAAAGTGACTGGGAAGACACACACTATTACTTGGACAGCCAATTCAACAGCTTGAGACCAGGATCGACAGGATTTAGGAGGAAATTCATAATGAAAGTAGTAATTTTGTTTATGTAGAATTGTACAAAGAATAGGCCATAAAGTATACCAGCTCGTACAATCAGAAGGACGATGAGGTTTATGTAGTGGAAGCAAGTTGAGGAGGAACGAGATGGGATCTTCGACTGAAGTAGGTATGTAGAGACGATTATGTACATGTAAGCACTCAATAGCATGTCGCCGGCTCCAATTATGAGACGGATGAAAGATACATTCTTTAGGTTTACCACCTGGTAGCCAGCCAAGTCGCCATCGAAGCACTCGGCTACGTTCTGAGGTAGTCATTGGTAAGTAAAGGATGGGATCCAATTCAAGAGTGGGGTGTGAGGAAGACAATAGGAGGGAGTTAGTATCTTGACGAAGGTTTTGAAATTGATTATCTAGAAACTTAGCACGAAGAGTGTAGAATTGTTTTCGGTCGAGCGTTGAGATGATTGGTGAGCATAGGTGTTTCCACGATGTAGTTTGAGCCAATTTATACCAGTGGGAATGACTATTTGGGAACTGAACATGAGTCAAAAGATGGGGATAAGAAGAGTATCTGCTAGTAATTGAGAGGTTCGAAAGAGGTATTGCGCTTGGAGGACTGTAATACGGGTCTTCATGGATGGTAGGTTGACAAAATGAAGCATGACTTTCGCCGAGGACTGCGAGTGACCACCAAAGATACGTCGAATGCATGAATTTTGAAAGGTATCTAGTTCTTTGGTAAGTTTAACAGAGAGAAGACTTTCGCCTGTATACAGTATTTCTACTTTAAAGAAAAAAGTTTCTCAATAGACATAGTTATTTATTTTTAATTACCAAGAAAAAAAAAATCTTCATTGGTGAAGGATGGCTTAATATGAATATTAACCAGTTTGTAGGACATTAATAAAAAACTACTATATCAACTTCTTAAAGAGACATTTATGTAGTATTAATACGAGTAATATAAGAGAAAGGAATAGTTAATCATCCTTTAAGAAAACACATACTTATTATTTCTAAAAATATATATATAAATATATATATGCTTCTTTGATAATGATGTCAATGGTCGAATAAGCACTTGCAGAGCGTATTATTTAGAATTTTTAAATAACATAATAGTAGCTATTCGTTACTAGTAAAAGACTACAAAGATTCTCTCTCATTACAGATAATCAAATTATCTATAGTTCTCATGAAATTTATGAGCTAATTTCTTCTTGTAGTTACAAGTGTATATATTCATCATTTTTGAATTCTTACAGTCCAAGTTTAAACTCTGTATAAGAAGAAACAAAATAACAGATAAAGATAAATCTATACCAAAAATTATGGGAACTGTAAAAGATATATACTGGCTGCTGACTGTAAAGAATGAATAGAACATGTGGTGGTATCCTTTATTAAAAGAGATTTAAAATATGGAAAAAGCTATTTTGAATAGTAGCTACTGTTTTTCCTTTCCATAAATTTTTTTTTGTAGTCACTTGATATATTGCTTTCAGAAAATTAGTCAAAAAAGAATTAGACAAATTATATTCCAGTTACCATTAACTGAGTAAATATAAAAAACTATTTAAGCCCTTGTTAATCCTTGTCAATGGCTGTAAATTCATTAGTCAAACTAACTGAACTTAATTTTAATGACCGACAAAAAAAGAGGAGTTAACAAATAAAATAAAATAAAAAAAAAATAAACCAGTAAACTGCGCCAGGTTTTCTTTTTATATCTTTTAACTTCAAACGTATATAAAAAACTAAAAAAAAAGGAGATCGTTTTTAGTATATACATGAATTCTACCCAATCCCAGGCCTCTACCAATCCTAAACCCGTCTTGCATGGTGTAAAAATTAAACAAAGAAAAGTAAGTTCTTCAGGATGAATAGTATTATAATAAAGTCATAAACTAAAATTTTCTCCACAGGGTGTCCAAAAAGCCAACGCTAAACACGAGCCTGAGAGTAAGTTTTAAGATTAAGATTAATAACAAGTTAGAAGCTAATGGTATGTTTAGTTTTTAGGGATCAATTACTTGCTCATTTGAAAACAATTGAAGAGGGTGATTTTGAAGCTATTTCTACTAAACTTGACATTCTTGGAAATACACTTGAATATCGTAAATACGGTGATTCTTTATTTGAAATTCTTATTACTGGTGGTATTTTAGGTATGTAATCTAGAAAAAAAAAAAGAAAAAGAAAAAGATTAATGTAAATTAATTTCTTTTTAGAAACTGGAGGAAATATTGATGATGACGCTGAACGAAGCCCTTTTTGCATTTTTGCAGCACAAGATGAAACCTCCATGATTAAGAAATACGTTGAAGTTTTTAATAAATTAATTCGTCGTTATAAATATTTGCAGAGAATCTTACGAGAAACACTTGAGAATCTTTTGCAATTCGTCAACAAATGGCAAGCTGAAGAGAATTCCAAATTGGCCAAAGCTACTGGTCTTTTTATCTGTAATCAACTTACACCTGCTTCTGTTCTGAAAGTCTTGTTTCAGGACTATTTAATGAAGGATGGCTATTCTTTGGCTTTTACCACTACTGTTTTCCGTACCGTGATGCGTGAGCAAAGCATCGAACAATTAGGTCGTGCTTTGACCAGTGAAGGTTTAAACTCTCGTATTCTTGATTTCTTCCCACCTAATAAGCGAGATGAAGATTGTCTTATTCGACATTTTGAAGCAGAGGATATGAAAGAATTTGTTGAATACTATCGCAAGAATAAGAAAAACTCTATCAAGAACACCCTTTTAAATGAGCTATCCGAGCTTGTTCAAGGTGAAGCTTCTAATGCTGAAGTGATTAGTTTTATTAAAACAAATATGAATGAAGGAGGACTTACTGAATCTGACGTAATTCCTATCATTTGGCAATCTATGATGAATACTGTTGATATGATGAGTCGTTCTGATCAAATTGAATCTCAAGTCTTACGTGCTATTGGACAATGGACTAAAATTCTAGAAGAATTCTGTAGCTCTCCCAAGACTGAAATTGTTTTGCTTCAAAAAGTTCAAGCTAGTTGTTATGAAGATGTCAAACTTACAAAGTATTTCCGTCGTATCATTCAAACACTTTATAAAAATGATGTTTTATCAGATAACGCAATTCTTTATTGGAATGACAGAGCACATCTCACTCAAGGAAAGACTCTCTTCTTGAAACAATTGGAGCCCTTTGTAAATTGGTTGAGAGATAATGATGATAGTAGTGATGAAGATTCAGATTAATTTTTATATTGATAAATAAAATAGTGTTTATATATTTATATAAATTGGATATGGTTATTATGTAAACGTCTTTTTCTTAATTCTAACGAAAATAAATAAATAAAGTTAACTTGTATCAATGCATGCCATTGACTGTGCAGTCGACTTTAACCAAACCAACGCCACAAGTATCATTCTCTTGTAGTTTTATGAAAGATGGTAAAATAGATTTAATGACTCTGGAAGAGGATTCTTTTTTTTTTTTTTTTTTTTTTTTTTTGGAATGTTTGCTCCAACAGTCGACTCTCAAGGTAGTCAATTTCTGAAGATTCTGAAAGTTGCTAAAAGAGTAGTAGTAATTCTATTTTTCTCTTTACTGCTATATAATAATATGATTTTAAATGTTACCAGAAATCGAAATTTGCTCCAAGAACATATAAATATGTATATATGCATATATTTATATTCATATTTATTATTATTTATCATTTTTATAGTAGAGTATACATATTTTTTTTTTACTGGCCAGTGTATTTATGATTTTCTTTCCAAGTCATATAGAAACTCTTAAATAAGGCCTTTCCTGACCCATCCAAACAAGATAGAACAAACATACGATCTGCTTCTGAACATAAATCTAAAATATCATATAAAGCATGTGCTAGAATGGATTTTATAGCTGGATCAGCAATACTCATAGTAGGATTTGACTGAATTGAAAAATATTCAATCAAAAGTGAAGGCGTATATTTAGCTGTCATCTTTTGTAATGTATGTACACTCTTTTTCTGTAACTGAACATTAGCCTTTTGCGGTATAGTGGTCAAGAGACGAGCAAGTCGATGTGCTGAGTTACTATCTAAAGGAAGAAACTCGGCAAATAAGGGAATGGTGCGTTCTGATGTAATGTATTTTCGCTTTCTATTGTTAACTAAAGAAATATTTGTTGATTTGAAACAATGAAATAATGATTGAATTAAAGCTATATAAGGTGGCATCATATATATAAGTTGATCTTTATGCTGGCTAGTAAGATTTGATAAAACTGAGCAAATATCAGCAAAAATCGTTTGAACCGTATCGCGAGTTAATTGTCCATTAAATCTTTCAGGTGCAGTAGAATGCACTGTTTGAGAAAGACATGACAATATCAAGGAAATATCATATTCACTAAAATGATATGACTATACATATATGTATATAAATATATATAAAGGAGGAGAAATTAATTCAAGTACTTTTTTTTTATAATGTAACTATACATTACTTGATTACTCGTTAACTGAATTAATAATTTCAACATTTGCTGTAAATACTTTAGCGATGTGGTTTTACCAGCAATAAGTGATAGTTTAACGATAATTGATGGAATCTGTTTCTTTAAACGACCCTTTTCGCCTACAATCAAAAAAAAAAAAGTTAAGAAAAAGGTCTTCTAAGAAATTATTTTACTTACTATCTTCGCAATGTTCTAATAGTTGCGCAAACAATATTAAGAACACTAAATGGTGTTGCTCTTTACTAGGGTTAGAACGGTTAGCCGCTTCTTCTTCTGCCTGTTCTAAAAAGCCATCAATAAGAACATCGTATTGTTCTTTAGATAGTGATTGGATCCATGCTGCAAAAGCATTTAATAAAACTTTGACTGATTCTTGAGCGCCTGTATTATAAACCAACGAAAATAGAAACCAAATTGAAGCTAGTACATGTTTGGTCATATCTATTTGCTGGTATCTTGATAAAATTGAACAAAAGGCTGCAATAAATTCAGTCGTCATATCTAATACGACCTTATTTTCAGACAAAAGTGTACATTGTAAAAATTGAATAAATGGTGAAGCTAATGCAGTTAATGTCTTTGAAAGCTCTTTTGCAGATATTACTAAAAAAATAAAATAAAAAACTTTTTTTTTTAAAAAAAAAAAAAAAAAAAAAAAAAAAAAAAAAAAAAAAAAAACATCCGTTTTGTTATACAGTTGAACTCATTCGTTTACCTTCATCAACATTAGGACCGACAATACGAGCATATTCTTGTAATAAACGAGTCAAATGAAAAACTCTTTTCATACATTCAAAAGTATGTTTATATTCTTGAAGAACTTGATTAGTGATATTATCTTTTTCCAAAATTATAGAGATGGTATTCTTGGTATCATTTAGATATGAAATAACAAATTGACTGACTTTACTTATAGTATCGGTAACGTGAATTATATTATTAAGGTTGATTTCAATAGTAGATTTCCTAGTAAAAAATATTATATAAGAGAAAATAGAAAATAATATAAACTTTACCTATTAGCCAAAACTAAATTAATCGCATTTACTAAATTGATTAATTTGTTCAAGTGTGTAAGCGAGATATCTTTGTTAAGAACTTTCGTTCGTTGGTTTAGGACATCTTTAAAATACTTTAATGAATGCTCTTCAGGTGTTTTGATACTTGCATTTAAAATAATTTTTCTCAAGACATTTAAATCGAGCTCATTCGTAGTCTGTTCAAGAGAATTAGATGATTGCTTATTAAACGAGATTAGCCAATTTAAAATCCTAGAATCCAGTCCCTATTTGATATATATATATATATTATGTAAGTATAGCTTCTAATCATGCCTTTCATTACGTACCAGAATACTATTAATACTGAAATAGTCCATAAATCTCAAATAAAGACTTCTACACATTAATGATACCTCGTTTTGAATAGCAAGATCTGTATTACTATTTGCAACTGACCAAATATCAACCAACGTAATCAAATACAATGTTTGCAAACGTTCATTCTTTTTGTAGTATTCATTAGGGAACAACAAAAGAAGTTTCATTAAGTTAGCTATCTTTTTAACATCTGCTGTATTTACAACAGTTGTATCTTCCTCCATAGCTTCATTCTCCTCTTCCATCGTGTTTGCAAGCTTAACAATATGATTTTGATTGAAGTTGAAAGGCTTTGAAACATCTATAGTAGAAATCATCTCTGCTGTAAGCTTTGCTACTTTTCCAGAGCTTGTATCTAATAATTTAGTTTGAAAATTTTGAATAATCAAGTTCAAAATTGTTTCAATGTTGCAATCTATTAAAATAAAAACAATTTAGAAATCATATATTCATAATATTTGATAACTTTTATACTCTACTTCTAAAACACTCTGCTTCATAAAAGTTGGCAGATCGTAGTAAAGTTTTATTTAAGAGCTGTGCTGTTGTTGCAGATTCTGAACTATTAAAATCATCTAATATTGAGGAATAAACGATTTTTACAAGTTTTTCGGCTCTACTATCGTCAATATATCGTCTGAAAAAAAAAAAAGAAAAATTAGAAAAAAAAAGTAAAAGAAAATAACTTAATAGTTATCCATATAAGCTTACATTATTAATTCAAACCATTCATCAGATATTAATTTCCAACAAGCAAGTTTAAGGATATTTTCATCATTGATATCAAGCAGAGATCCGTTCCATTCTGTATTCATACACCAACTATCATCCTTTAAAATAAAATCAATAACATTACTGATTAACTGAGGAGCTTCATTAACTGACAAGGATGATTGTAAAATAGAATTATAGTAAATGTGTTGAAATATAGCATTAACCTACAAAAACAGTCGTTAAGTTTTTTTTTTAAAAAAAAAAATGAAATAAGAATTTATACTTTTTCTTACAGTTGTAACAGCAATAATTCGAAGCATCAATGAATCATCTTTTATAGACTCTTGAAAGATTTGAATATATGATGAAGCTAACCATTCTTGATCTTCTAGACTGATTTTCGAAACATAAATATCGAAAAAAACGTCAGCCAAGGTTGAATGAATTTGTAAAGCAGGTAATAGGACATCATTAGATTTAGATTTTATCCAATTATCAATACTAGGTTTAACAAAGCTATTAAAAACTGATAATACTGGAGCTTCGAATGTTTGGAACTGATCTAATCGTAGGGCTTTTGTGAACTCCACAAAATAGACAGTGACTAACGCTACTTTAGTGTTTTCTGTGCTCTTAAAAAGTTCTATTAATTGTTCCTGAAAGCTTATAAAAATACCAAGTGCTTGAGCAGTTGGCATAGACTTTGTGATCACAGTCGAAAACCTAAACAAGTGTTAATAAAGAATTATATAACTTATTTTTATATTTAACTTACTCTTTTAGAAAATCTCTAGAAAACATAGGGTTTTTTAACAACTCAAATAGCTTGTTTGATTTGATTTTTGTTATATGTGTAAGTAGATCGTTTATAAAAGTATCAATTTGACGAGAAGCAGAATACGTTTTTAAAATAGATTTAATAAGCTTAAGACACGATGCTTGAGCATTTTTATCACACTAAAAAAAAAGTAATAATAACAATAGAAATTAGTATTTTTCTATTTAACTTGTATAAATACTTACATTTAGCATAACTGGCCAAAAGATTTCAATACAATTTTCAATTATTGAAAAATCAATCTGAAGAAGAGTATCAACTATATCCAAAACAAGGCCTTGACTGTATCCTATATTCATATTTAAGTATCACACACTTATCAGTTATATATCTTTCTTACTTTTTGGATCATTGATATAGCTTATAATATCCTTTGTAATCTCACTCAAAATACTTTGCTGATATTTTGTTATATCATCATTACGCATATTATATACATTCAATTCCAATACTTGTTTCAAAAGCTGGCATAGTATGTCAAGATAAATATCTATAGCTGTATCTTTTATATTTGACAAAATTCTCAATAGATAGATAAAAAAACCAAATTCAACCATTCTGTTAATATCCTGTGTTGCGCTTGTACTACGCTTTTGTCTGAATGCGCTAAGAAAAGCAGAGAATAAGACGGGCGTAATATCCAAAACTTTTTTTTTTTGTTCAAAAATTAGTCATTGTGCTTTTAATTCAATTTTTTTTTTCTTACATACCATCTAATAATTCATCAGTATCCTTTGCATTTTTCACCATAGTGTCAAGTGTATCAAATAATTTAATAACATAGCTGGCCTGTTTTGCATTATTATTAACTTCTTTTAAGACAGAAGTAAATTCCAATACAGTATCCGAATGAAATAATGCATGACAAACAATATCAGTGATAAGTTGGGAAACATTTGATGTATCTTTGCTCATTTTTCGACGGACATTCAAGAATTTAGGCAATGGTTTTTCTACAATATTTAAGAAGATCTATAACACTCGTCAAGTTTTGATTCATTTTTTTTTTTTTTTTTTTTTTGATAGTAATATGAATATGTACCTTTTTTTGATTAGCTGCTGAAACAAGTTGCAAATCATACTTTTTTAAAAGAATTTGAGCAATTAAAGCAAGTGAATGTAAAGTCTCTTCGTTGCTATCACAAGTTGTAAAGATGAATAAGATTTGCTCGACAACACTCGAAACGTGTTCAAAAGCTGGTCGATAAGCAAATGTGCCATCAAACAAAATCTCGAGACTTCCATATATTATTGATAAAAATTGACTTTTATTATATTTATCATTTCGATATAGTTCCTGTAAGGTTATTGATATAGAAGATAAAAGATTAACTTGAATCGTAGGTGTAGATTGCTTTAGATCTGATTTGACTTTATCGTGATAGTGCTTTAAAAGGTCAAATAGTAGCTTCCAATAAGGTAACTGCAATAAACAGCAATCATTCATCCTAAACCAATGGATCAGTTTTATAAATATAATACTTTATTTTGATGATCTTTTATTGTTTACTTTTTGAGATTAGGTCTAGCAAAAGTTGAACAGATCCATTCAAACAAAAATTCGCTTTTGTTAGGAAAGAAAACAGCATCATTGGTCCATGCTTTATTTGCTATTTCTATTCTTTGATTTGCAGAAAGACCAGCTCCTTTAAGAGCTTTTGCGATTTTTTCTGAAGTTAATTCATCCATCTGTCAAAATGATGATTGAGTTTACCTGTAATTTTTTTTTTTTTATTTATTTTATTTTTTTTTTTTTTTTTATTCTATTCTAATTACTGAATAATGGCCGTCACACTGTGACTACAGCATACATGTGTAAGGCCATCTCTAAACTTTTGTTTTTTTTTACCAGTTAATTATGACTTATATTATCCCTCAAAAACACATTGTCACTAAGGAAGATCTTGATGAATTCTTACATTCATCTGCTTATAAAGAATATATTGAATACATAGTGCGTTTAAATGACTCTATTATAAATCTGAAAATTGATTCGGAAGTCAGAATCTCAGAGGTGCATATCATAGACTAAAAGTACACACATGACAAAGAAACTAACTATTTTTCAGTAGAATGTTCAAAAAGTTTTATCCATATTAGAAACTTTACTACAATATGTCAAACAAATCCCTCCGGTTGAAAATTCAAAATCACGCTTTGGTAATCCAGCTTTTAGAACATTCTATGATAAAGTAAAAGATGTAAGGCATCTATTTTTTATTTATTTTTTTTTTTAAAAAAAAAATATGAATATATATAAAGTTTTAGATTGACACATTTGTTTTATAGTCAATTTCAGACCTGCTCAAACCACTAGTTCCCGAAGCAGCTATTAAGGAAGTTGGAACATATTTATGTGAAAGTTTTGGTAATCGAAAACGAATAGACTACGGTACAGGACACGAAGCCAATTTTATGGCATGGTTGTAAGTGAATTTATCGAAGTCTATATACATACATGCATACATACATATAGATATTCATTCATTTATTCAGGCTTTGTTTGGAGAAATTAAATGTACTCAGTACAGACGATGATACAGCTGTTGTTTTACGTATATTTGTCAAGTATGTTAAAATATTGATAATCAAAAAGATTTATTAATAAGCTTTTTATAAGATATATTGAATTGATGAGACAATTACAATTTCAATACTGGCTTGAACCTGCCGGTTCTCATGGTGTATGGGGTCTTGATGATTATCATTTTTTACCATTTCTTTTTGGATCTGCACAGCTATTAGGTACAGCAAAATGAAAGGATCTGATATAACTTTATTTTAATATTATTTTTCTTCTTCTTCATAGATCATAAATATATTAAACCTAAATCAATTCATGACGAAGATACTGTACAAGAATTTTCGAAATCATATATGTATCTTGCATGTATCAAATTTATTAATACTGTAAAGACAACTGCTTCCTTAAGATGGCATTCACCTATGTTAGATGATATCTCTGCTTGCAAAACATGGGTTAAAGTAAATCAAGGTATGATTAAAATGTATAAAGCAGAGGTATTATCCAAGTTGCCCATTATGCAGCATTTTATGTTTGGAAGTCTTATTCATTTCGAAGGAGGTCATCCTGTGACAGAAGATATGGAAGATGAATGTGGACATGTTCATATGAGCAAGTCTGGAAATGAAGGCGTGTATGCTTTGGGTCAAGAATATCCTGATTGCTGTGGTATCCCTGTTCCAAGTGCTATTGCTGCTGCTGCTGCTTTAAGAAACAATGAGGGAGTACCTAAGCCTCGACCTATCCCTTTTGATTAATATAAATTATCTTGAAACCCAATTTTTCTTTTATTATCTTTTTTCGTCACCAAGTCGATAATAAAGCAAAAAAAAAAAAAAAAAAAAAAAAAAAAAAAAAAAAAACGATTTATTTAACAGAAATACTACAAAGTTTGGCTATCATGCCTGATAATTGAATAATGCTTTGATGACCATCTAAAATACGCATGTGTGTAAAACCAATTTCTTTTAAATAATCTAATCTCAATTGTTCATTCATTTCAGTATAATTCCTTGTAACACGGAAAATGGTTGTAATAATATCTAGAGAAGAGTATCCAAGATCATATAACTGCTCCATACAAGTAACAGCTTCATCCACATTACCTTCAGAACATTTTTTTAAGATATGTTGAATTACAATAGGATGAGGCTGGTCGCAAATCTTATAAACGTTCTCTGCATTTACATATTTAAATCCATAATGAGTTGATTGTAAATTATTAATAGCCTGACGCATATCACCATCTGCAGTAAATATCAACGCCTCTAAACCTTCATCATTATAACTAACCTATAAATAAGTCAATAAATGGATAAGTTATGTCTTTTTTTTTTCAAAGCTAACCTTTTCTGCCTGACATATTTCTAATAATCGACGCAAGATTTGCTCATCGGTTAATTTGGTATAACGTAAAACAGCACAACGAGATTGAATGGGTTCAATAATCTTGTTAGATTGATTACAAGCTAAAGCAAATCGAGTTGTATTTGAATAAATTTCCATGGTTCTGCGAAGTGCCTGTTGTGCACCTCCTGTCATACTATCTGCTTCATCTAAAATAATAATCTTATGTTTTCCTGGTGGTAAAGTTACTTTTTTCTGAGCAAATGCTTTAATTCTATTTCTAACAACATCGATGCCTCTATAAAATAAAATAAAATAAAATAAAATAAATATACATGACGATGTTATTCATGTTCTTCTTACCTATCATCAGAAGCATTTAATTCAAGCACAGCATCTTTATATGAAGGGCCCAATAAATCATGAGCCAAACACAATATGCTTGTCGTTTTACCAATACCTGGTAAACCCTTTTAAATTTGTATAAGTATACATACTAAAATATATAAAGCAACTTACAGTTAAGATGACATTAGGGAGGTTACCATCCTTTGCAATTGTTTGTAATCTTGATACTGTATCTTCATTACCAACAATATCCTTTAACGTCACAGGTCTATATTTTTCCACCCTACAAAATTATGAATAACATTTAAAGAATAAAGATAATAAAAAATTTACCAAGGCAAAATAAATCCATCTTGATTACTGTCATTTGAACTTCCACTTACTGATGGAGCATCTATATCCATTGCTGTAGCCATTATTATGGATTATTATTTATAGTAAGTCAAAAAAAAAACACGAACACGCTTTTTTTTTTTTTTTTTTTTTTTTTACAATAAGGAATACATTTGACTGCTTTTTTTTATATATGAATATAGATAAATCATATCATACAATCTTCGATAAATGTATAAGCTTTTAATACAATATGCCCAATTCTTTCACTAAGCTAATATGAATATAATATTAAATAGATATCGTTTGTTGAATAATATTTGGTAAATGAATACAATTAAAATAGTAGTAAATTTTAACTTTTGACTTACTACAGTTACGCATTGATATTACAATGCTATAATTATCTATTACGAAACAGTAAGTCTTTATTTGTTAAAGTGTTTTATTTATTCTTCATTGTCCTGATAATAAAAAAGAAATAAACTTAATGCAGACAGTAATAAAAATAATAAGGATATACCAATTGATTTTCATTGATTTGGGGGGAGGAGTATATAGGCTATTCTATATCAGTAGCAATATAATCAAATAGAACAGATGCTACATTATTTATTAGAGCACAATAATCTTCTTTTAAGATACCAAGCCTTTAGTATTCTACGCACATCTATATCACTTGTTTAATCTATGCATATGCATGTTGATCCAACATAAAATGTGTGGACGTAATTCTTTAACTATAGTTAAGCTTATAGTATGACCAAATATGTGTACATCTCCCAATAATGCATATCTCTTTTTCTTTGGAAATAGTTGCATGTTTAGTGAACTTATTTTCATATTTAGTTAATCTTGTTTTGAAGAACATTAAATGCTTAATCTTTATTGTAATGTTCTTTAATAGTCCTGCTCTTTTTTTTTTTTCACTCGTTTATTTAATAATTTTTTCCTCCTCTACCAGTTGATTAACAGTCTCTTCAATCGAAGGATAAATAATGGATATGAACGGTTCAGTAAATAAAATAGTCTATTCAATATACTTGATATGTGGACAATTTTAAAACTATGGTCTAGTCGATTATGATATGATTCGATAACTAGTAGAAAACTGACTGAATGAATCAATAATAAAATTATAACAATAAATGATATACGTCTATAAATAAGCTTTTCAAATTCTACAAAAGCAGTAACAAGAGAATGCGGATCGCAATTGGCTGCACTTCATCTTCTTTAAAAGGAATACAATCTAACTGAAATAAAGTGGATGCATTTTTTTTTTGTCTTTTGTTTTCAAAAGTATGTTCATCTATTTAAAATAGGACGATTCTAAACGCATATTAGGGTAGGGGTGTGGATGTACTAGTAGCTATAAGGGGTTCCACTCTTGTCAATTAGAATAATACAAAAGATATTCTAAATCATGATATAAAGTTTCAACTTGTAATACACAACAGCCCTGAAAATTGAACAAAAATAAAGTTATTAATGTCAGTGATAATGTAGTTTAGCTATACATTACTCAACGAAAGAAAATATATAAATTGGAATTTCCTATGTTCAATATCATGTAGTAGTTTACGAAATTAAACACTCAGAGAGTTATAACCCGAAAATATATCCAAGAAAATATAGCCTACCATTTTTACCCGATGATGGTAACACTTTTTTTGTTCTTGATAATTTTGAAATTATTTATTCTACATTAACAAAACAAAAAGTCTACTAAGGTCTCGGCAGATTATTACATAAAGTCTTTCTTGTTTTTTTGTAAAAATAAATAAATGAACAAGATAATGTCAGGCACTATATAAATGAAATGAACATGATATATATATATATATATGTTTCTTTTCATTTACAAACATTAGGTTTTTTATAGCCCATATAATAGCATTGAGAGCATTGCAGTCGGCGCTACTTGTAAAACTCATAAATATTGAAAGTTATTTTTATTTTATTCTATTTTTGATTTGATAATAGCATATGTTACTACTATACTTGGGTTTCGAAAGCAATTACGAAAAATTTGTATAGTCATCAGAGAAGTCTTATGCAGAATTACTTAATATATACGATAGTGCTCTTTGCAATTCTATAAAAAGATTTTTTTTTTCTAAATTTATGTTATTTACGCGTTTTATGAATTTTACTAAAGAAGAAAAAAAAAATTACTGCTACACATATTGACACTCATCTCGTTACACTAAATCAAAAAAACAAATTACCTATTAAAGATGTAAATTACGCGTTATTTTAAAATAACAGTTATTCTATTCTTATAATCTTAATCCAGTTTATAATTCTTACAGTAATGATGTTAATCATAAAAGTAACATATTGTGGAATTAAGTTATTCGACTTTACTTTTTTTTTTTTTTTGTCGTTTTTATCTCTTTATTAAAGATTTGATAAATAAGATTCAATAGAAAATTAATTTTCATTTTGATTTATAGTCACTTTTAAACATTCGAATATAAATAGTAAATTTCATTGATAAGTTGGCAGATAATTAAAAAAAAAATGTATATATATAATTCTAAAGAAACAAGTATTTTCATAAACAAGTTGTAATGTGTTGTATAATAAATTTATATTAAAACAGCATGTAGTTGAAAATACAACAAAAGCTAAATAAAGTAAATGTTTTTACTGGTGTAGATACATTAAAAAAAAAACTACTTTTTGTTGTTGTTCTCTATAGAATTAACAGAAGTTCTTTCTTTTCATTTCTGTATTGCTTTTATGCAAGATAACCAATTTAAAATTATGATAAAACGCCATCATATCCATGGCAAAGTAATTTGCAAAAGAATAAAAATAAAATTGAATGCCTAAAGTATTTCTCTTGATACGTTTTTTTTTTTTTTTTTTTTTTTTTTTTTTTTTTTTTTTTTTTTTTTTTTTTTTTTCGATATGAATAGATAAGAAGTTGTCTTCTTCTTTTCTGCTTTGTATAATGCATATTATATATGTCTATGTCTTTACAATTATATGTAGTTTATTAAATACATAATAGATATATAATGATTACAATAGTTTTAACATATAATATAGAATAAGAATATGAATCTAAAATAATATATAAAGATATATAAATATATATATACTAAATGATTAAAGAAAAAATTGGGTATTTTTGTATATTAAGTATTAGAGACTATCAATTAATCTGAGTATCCTGAAAGATGCTTAATTGTGTCAGAGAGAACTGGAATTGAGGCTACAATGACACCAATTGTACCAAACATAGCAAAGGCAATAGATGCCATACCACTAGCCTTTGGGTTTTTAGTAATAAGATAAGCAGTACCTACACCGTGGGAATTACTACCCATAGTAATACCAATAGTCATATAGTCATCTTTTAATAAAATAAATGTTAATAACATAATATATCATTTAATATATATATATAACTTACCATCTTTGACACGAGCCAACTTCAGTAGATAAGGACCAATTAATGGACCTGTAATACCAGTAAATACGATGATACAAGTCACTACACTTTGATTAGAACCAAGTACTTCAGCAATAACAATACCAATAGCAGTAGTAACAGATCTTGAACTCCAGACAAGACAATAACTTGGTGGTAAGCCAATACCATGAGCAAATAAAGGAGTTACAAACATAATTAAGAAAGCCATAGGTACAATTGAACATGTAATAATGGCCCACTAGAATGTAAAATATGAGATATATGATATAACAAAATAGAATATATATCTATATATATATAAACCAACTTACTTGACGTAAAGATGTAGGTCTGCTTTTATATACATTAAAAGCTAAAGAAATAATAGAAACATCCATAGCAGCTGATAATATATCACCACCGCCTGGCCATCCAACGTCTGTCTTTTCAACAAGTGAAATAAAGCTGATACCTGTCTTGTAGACATTCACTCCATAGATGATATCGAAACCTTTCACTCTTTCAAAATAAGCAAGACCAGCTAAAACACAAGCTGAAGTGACAATGATAGGATGAATGATGATTTTCATTTTTGCAGGCATTCTGCTTGCAGCTGAATACAATAAAAGAGTCATACTAAAATAAAGAAATAGTCTGAAGAATGGCATGGCAGGACTATCATGTGATAATGGCAAAAAGACAAAAGCGCAGATACAAAATATAATAAATAAGGTAAGATCATCAAAATTAGATTGTTCCATACACCAAACAGCGAAAGCATGTAAAGGACCATGTCTTTCTCTTTGATGATGATGATGAGGTTCATATAATGCATTCGTATCGCTCATACAGCATCGAGAGTTAGGATGATCATGTTGATGTGAAATAATAGGTGGTGATGATTTTCCTGTAAGTGTGCTTGCACATGAACCGCCATCATCGTCAGATAATTGTCGAAGTGGAATAGGTATCGTTACCACAGATGAAGCACGTTGTAAATGTGCAAATCCGGGACTACCTATCTCTGCTTCTTCTGTGTCTAAAGCAGGATTTGCTGGCATTTCTATTTTTTCTGTTATCGCTACCGTTGTATCATTAGAAGATTCTTTATATCCTAAAAATGGCGAAAAAATGATTAAACGTAAAACTCGAACTAATACAGTGCAAGTAGTGAAACCGATAATATAAGCAACAACTATATATGTAGTATATACATAGATATAGATAGATAGATAAGAATATAAATATTGAACATCAAATATTGAAATCTATATTTTTAAACATACTGAAAATACAAATCATTCTACCCACTTCAGGACCTGTTGTAGATGGATTCTTTACCATCTCACAAAAGGCAGGAACAAACATGATATTCATACTTCGTAAAGCAAAAGAAAAATATGGATCAAGCACTTTTACAAGATTGTCGGTAAATTTAGGGAATATAGCATGAGAAATCAAAAGTAAGACAAGAAGCACAATCATGCCAGCCACACTAGAGGGGAACTTATGTAGATTTGGTATTCGATGAAGTACAGCATAGACTGCCCAATCGTATAAAAAGCCTATGATAAAAAATATAACATTGAAAACCCAACGTCGTAGATCATTTTTAATGCTTGGTAAATTTTTGATGTAATCGGGAACTTGTTGCCCAAGAAATTTTCGAGTTTTATTTGATATTTGATTTGTCTTTTCGTTTAATTTCCTTAGATGTGGTTTTTGCATTTATTTTTTACTTTTTTTGGAAAAAATAAATATAAGAAAACAAAATAAGAAAAGAAAAAAGAGTATAAAATCTTTTTTATAACATGAATTATGAATATATTTCGGAGTAAAAAGTGATAGGTTTAGCCAAAGATGATAAAAAAAATTGACTGAAACGATATTATTTTTCTATAATCGCGTTATAGAAAAAAGAAAAAAAAAAAAAAAAAAAAAAAAAAAAAAAAACTTTGTATATTATCTAAAAGTAAAAATCCAATTTGTATAAGTATTTATGTGATAAAATATAATTTAGTTGCTTCAGTTTAAATATATTATCTCATATTTTACAGTTGTATTTTACATAGTCAAAAAAAAAAAAAAGGTCATGTATTGACAATTTATTCAATGATAAATTATCACAATTGGAGTTATTATCAGCTACGATTGAATTGCTTTATTTTATTATTAATAGGATATATCCCGATTCTATAGTCTCATACAATGAAATATGTGTTTTGTTCTTTTATTTGTTTGTTATTACTAAAATGGATCTACGTAAAACAAATCATCTCTTGTTTTCAAAAAATGTAAATATCATAGGAATAGAATGTTATATATTAACATTGAAAGGAACTTAAAGCTGTTTCACACTTAAACATTGATATACAAATTAGGTAGCACATGCTAAAATTGTCGAACTTTAGATTTTGTTGATTAGTCTCAATACAATCTTACATAAGAAACAAAAAAAATTTTTTTTTTTTTACTATTGTTATGTACAGAAAGTGTGGAGCATTTTCATATAAAAACACTCTACTTGACTGCCATAAGAATAGTTTAAAACTTAGTATGGCATTGATGTGAAAAAAGAAAAAATTTTTTCACACCAATAAAATACCTTTTTTTTATGTTTTATACATACTCTTTAGCATAATTCTTTTCCGTTATCTGGAAGAACGTTTTTCCTTAAAATAACTATAATTGCACAAATTTACCGTAGTAAGTAAAAATTCCAATATCTGCATTAAGAAATAAGACATAACAAATAGCTCATTTTGTCATGGTAATATATTAGTATAGATTTGCTTCTTCCTTTTTGTTGTCTATTCTGTAATAAAAGCCAATAATCAATAAAATAGAAATTACGTTGGTTATGACAGATGACAGTGGATTATTGTTTATCGAAGGGAATTTTAGGACTGCTCAATCAATTTTTTAATTTTATAAAAATGTTGATTGATACATAAAAAACTGCTTACAGCTGACGAAAATAGGTTGCGCCACTAATTTTTTTTTTTGGCCTACTCAAAAAAAAAAAAAAAAAAAAAAAAAAAAAAAAAAAGTTGGGACAACAGATTTGAAAGTGGGGCAATCAAAGAATTTGAGATATTGACAGCCAAGAAGATTTGGGACATCCTTTTCACAACCTTCGCAGCTTTCCTAATTTGTTTCCTCTCGTCAAAGAGTAGCTTTTTATTCAGTGAGATTTTTAGTCAAATCGTTTTTTTAGTAAAATTTTCAGTAAAACCCCCTTTTTTTTTTGTGAGACCGTTTTTTCAGTGAAATCGTTTTTTTATTCAGTGGATTCTGCAAAGGTTATTTGTCACAGTTGTGACAAACTGTTTTCTTCAAAGCATTAATTCAATCTTCATAAGTACCATCTCCACATCAAAAAAGTAACGGTCGAGTTGAATGGTGGTGAGTAACTTTCTTTTTTCTTTTCTTTTTTTATGAATACTTATGATTCTTTTATTGATTAATTAATTAATAGAATCAAGAACCATTTTTCGAAATGATAGTGGGGCGGGTCTTTGTTTGTCTCTGTTTTGTGATGGTGCTTACTATCAAACTTCTGGTACTTTGAAGAGACACATAAACTACAGTCATATAGTAAAGAAGAAACTGAAGCTGATTCCGACGACGATAGTGTGGTTCAGGATGATTGTTTGGATGTCACTTTAAAGGTCAACAGATCGATCCCGGCACTAGTGGTGTCCACTGTCCCTAATGAAGTAGACAGTCTTAGACACGACCACCATACAGCTGTATTGTCTACGCTTAATGCTATGGGTGAATCAAAAAAAAAAAAAAAAAAAAGAACAAGGAAAGAAACTACTAGTCACGGAATTGGGAGACCTTGATCCAATAGCGATTGTTGACTAAACAGGCAAAGAATACAACCTGCTAACCAACAAAAAGATCGTCAATAACATTATCGAATCAAGTTTAAATCGAACACCATTCGTCTTTTCTTTGCCATAGAAAACTTTTTGATAACGAAATCGAAAAGAACTAATCCATTGACTTTTATTGTGGATTGCATATTAGTAGTTCAAATACATAGGTGAGAATATAATAAAATAAACACTATAATCTAATCATAAAAGATATAAATACTTTTTGTTTCTTCAGATTCAATTACTTTTAGACCTTCGGCTAGTATGATTACTTACTTGTTGTATTTATTTTATTGCTACAAATTTAGGATTGGAATAAAAGATGAACATGAGCATAAGCAATCATAAATACATAAAAATGCATACCAAACCCGAATATCATAGTCTAGTTTGTATTCATAACATAGTATATATTTTTTGACATTGGGTCGTTGCCTTCTGCAATACATGACGACAAAAGGGACGTTAACTTCTTAAGTTCTGGGTTCGCTATAATTTTAATACTTGAATCTTCTTCGAATAATGACAATATGGATTTAAATATTTGCTGGATTTTGCCATTACCCTTTGCTTCACTTTGCAATGACATCACGATCTTTTTTATCTACGGCGGCTTCACTTCCTTTATTAAACACCCGTGTAGCGATATACTTGAATAGCTTTGAGGATGCTGCACTACTGCTATCAACATCAACTTGTCTTGATCAATCACAAAACGTCCAAATGCTCAATGGTCTTGTGTGAATGCTGTTAGTGTACTTTTTTATTTATTTATATTTCTATTAATAAAATCGTCCAGTAGCAAAAGACAGAAATTTAGTTTTAATGGTACTTATTCAGGTATTGTAATGAATATCAAATACTTAAAGATATATGTACTCACAAATAAAACCCGTTAATAGTTAGAATAATAAATAGCATAAATTTAAACATTAAAAATAAACTTATTATGCAAAAATATACTATGAAAAGAACAGAAGAAGAAAAAATAGATAACTTGGATTATTTCCAAATCTTTTATAAAATAATCTATTGTAAAGGTTAAATATCACCTTCTTATATTATGCTTTTTCTTTAATACATGTAAATATTATATATACGGTTGGAATTTGTATACATTAGTGAAGAACATATACTGCATGAAAGGGAGAAAATCTATTTATTTGTTAACTTTTTCCATTTAATATTAAACAATTAATTGTTTAATATTAACTAACAAATTGTTGGATAATTCATCTACTTTAACTATGTTTACAATACGTTCCGAAAATACTGTCGCAGTTCATCAAACTAATAGTAGTACATGTGTCTGTTTGATAGATAATTTTTTTTCCAAGAATTGAATGCTGTTGATAAGTGAAGGTGTTTTGTATGTATACACACTCAGATTGAAATACTACATTAACAAGCATTGTCAGTACTACTGGCAAGAGGTATTGGGACTAAAAGTAATGTATTCATGTATTTTTATATTAGTTGGATGGTGTTTATTAGTTCGATAATAAATATAATTAGCGTGTTTAAGAACAATATCTTCATAAAGTTTTCTAGAATTCAAGAATAACTTCCTTCATAGAATAAACATTAATTACCTGCTTAACTAGTTAAATCTTAGTCATTTTAATATAGTTTATTTATACGATAAAAAGAAGAGAGTGAAAAACAAAAAAAAATCTTTTTATTTTTTCATGAAAATGAGTGTATACATGTATATACATTATTACCGGCTTTAGTGTGTAGCTGCAGAAGGCATCTGGGAGATTTAGATTTTTCAAAGGCAAAGACAAAAGTTGATATGTTATTGGTGCTTGATAAATGAATGTAACTTTTAATGTTTGAAAATGGTGTCAAGACTGACTAATAAACATTGACATCAAAAGTATGCGCTATTATATCCACCATTTCTTCCTCAAAAAAAAAAAAAAAAAAAAATATGTTTAAATACAACAAATTCAAGATATTCTTAAAAGAGTTTCGTGTATAAACAAATAGAAATACAAGAACAAAGTAAGATACAATTCTATTAAGGTTTAAGAACAATAGCTTGACACTTACCATTAATACATAGTAGCTGAATTCAAATGTAAAGACTGCAATAACGTTAGACATCATATAAAGAGAAGTAGTAAATATGAATAATACCAACCTAAAGCAGTACAAGGTAAAGTATATGCATTCATACATAGAATTTTCTTTAAAGCGAAACACCTTCCAAGCGATTGCTTAGTTTAAAAAAACCGGAGCAACTTTTCAACACGATATCATATAACCTATGAGATGCTTCCAGAAGCAAAAGGGTATAGTCGTTGCATAGCTACTGCTTGTGTACAAATGGCCATGATCTACGCAAAATAATATCGCCAAGTGTTTCGAGACCAGACTGAAATCATATATCTTGCACAATGTTGCGGAAAAAAAAGTTTGAAAAAGGTACATAGTTTGTTTATTAAATATTATGCTGAATGTTTTTTTTTTAAAAAAATCTATATGATAATAGCCAGATAAAGGTATACTCAAAAAAAGATGACTCATATGTACTGTTACCAGAGTATTTGTGGAAGTACATTACCTACATGGCCAGATATGTCTTCCTAATATGTACAATAATAAGAAATCGGTAATTGATAACAATTGTAAAGAATTAGTAGACATAAACATGCCTAAACCAGTTACACTTCAAAGCTTTTCGAAGTCTCTAGGAGCCTACATACCTATGTTAACCTACATTCTGCGAAAATATGAACAGCAACATCAACAGATATCATTAAAAGACCAAGACAAAGGCGTAAACCAAAATTTTCCTCAAATACTCTTGCTGCTTTTGCTGGTAGAACATTACCAAGTGCCTATGAAAAAAAAATTAGAAATGTTCACTCAAATCTTTGATTTCAAAAGGCTCAAAATAAATAGGTGTGTAGTTATTATCATATAGCTTCCTTGTATATATATATTACTCATTTTTTAACCAACACTTGTTATTGTATACTTACTATAGTATTGAAACTTTACGGGATCCAGCTAAGAAGAAAAAGGTTGTAGTTGTTTTTTTAAAAATAAATATTATCCCAACCGATGGTTTTACCGCTGATGTTGTTCTTATTAAAAGACAAAGACAAATAATGATGTTTCTTTTGATTGCTACGAGCAAGATTTTGATATTTTATTGTTCAGGCGATGTTATAACACAAGTAAAGAGTTCAGCGATATTTATTTCTTTTTGCTATAGACCCAAATCAAGGGCAGGTGTTTGCTGTTCCCCATGGTCATGATGAAAGTTACCATCAGATTAAAAGATGCTCTACCAAAGAATACTATACTTATACAGGCAGTAGAAGACATGAGAAAAGAGAAAGAAAAAGAACGTCTGATGAAAATATGCATAAAGTACTTTTAAACACCCCCCGCCCACAAAAAACCCGCCTATATATCAACATATCTACAGTATGTAACATATATCTTGCTACATCTCCAAAGAATGTTATTATACAACGGCCAGTCAACAGCTGAATCTCACTTTCATTTGTACCAGAGTGTGAAAAGAGCAAGACAAGAAATGTTCAACCTTTTGGTGAACGGTGGTAAGAAATACAATCAATCAAAAAAAAAAAAAAAAAAAAAAAAAAAAAAAAAAAGCAAAGAACAGAAAGAAAAATGAAATGAAGAAGAAAAAAAAAACAAGATGCACAACAGGATACTATAAATGAAGAGGTACAGCAAACCACAAGGTTAGTGCTAATAAAACAATAGAATAATTACCATATTAATGCATTGTTTATATAGAAGAAAAGACAAGTCCTGGAGATCAGAGAAATTTTCATTATCAAAAAGAGAGTTTACCCATAATTTCTTTTGGTAATGAAATGTTCGGTAAGGACACAGATAAATTTCGTGAACTCTGAGTTGGTCTGACTGGAGTACTTTGGAATCAACTTAAATGCAGGCAAATATCTGGTAATTTTACTACTTGCTTATGTAGATGAGTACCGTACTTTGAAGGTAAAAAAAAATTATTAGGATACTTTAATTTTTAATTTTTACAACTAAGTATCAAAATATTGCTAATATTAAATGTGTTACTCATGTAAGCAAATGTCTTTTACTGCAGCTATCATCGAGTTGCACAGTGTCCTCGATTGCACAAGTTGTGGAATGATATGTCAACGTGATGTCAATGCGACAAAAAACATCTTTGAGATTTCTCAAGACATCCTTGGTGGTCGTGGTCGTCCTTGAGAATTTACAAGATGCAAATAAATTTTTAATTATATCGCCGTCTCGAACATGGTGTTCTTTCTTTTTTTTTTTTTTTTTTTTTTTTTTTAGATTTTTACTGGTAAGAATCCCAAACAAAAATCCTAACTCATCTGAAAACTAATTTTCTTTTTTTCTGAATTTCCTTTTACGCTTCATCCAAAAAAGGTAATCAAATCACCTGAATTTTAATTTTGATTCGTCCAAAAAAAAAGTTAACAATTTCCGAAGTTAAAGTAGAAATATTATAATGAATCATATCTTCAGCCACCATCTTTAATATTTTTTTCTTGTTTCTTTTTTCTTATTGTTCTGAAAAAAAAAAAAAAAGAAAAAAAATGGCACCTACTGCACTCCCTGATACACCTACTTATTCCCATATCAAAATGGTCGCTTCTGACCTTGATGGTACTCTTGTTGTTGGTCATTTTGGCGGGTAAGTTACCTCTAACACACACACACACACAAGCAAACAGCAATTGAATTAATAACACTATAGTGGAAAAATGACACAACGTACAGTTGATGCCCTTCAAGCTTTAGAAAACAAAGGCATTCGAATCATCATGGCCTCTGGTCGCCCTCCTCGTTCAATGATCCCTATTGTCAGCCAAGCTAACCTTAAACATCCACTTATTGTTGGTTGTAATGGAGGTGTTGTTCTCGATAGTGTCACAAAAGAAATCATCAAAAAATACTCTCTATCTACTGAAGCAGTTCGTGAACTTATTAAAGAAGTCAAGGCTCATTTTGGACCTGATGATATCTTGATTGGTGGTGAGAGCGGTACAAACTTCCGTTGTGAGGAAGCTTATGCACAAAAGCGTTGGAAATGGGTTGGTCAAGTCTATACTCGTGTAGATGATTTGAATGAGTTAGCCAATGAAACTCATACAATTGAAAAACTTATGCTCTTGCATCGTGAATGGGATGGTGAAACACTCTTTAATTATCTTGAAAAGAATGTCTTGACAGATCCTAAATGGAAAGGTATGATTAACTATTCATTTTCAAGCCCTTATTTTGTCGAAGTTTCTGCTGTAGGTGTCTCAAAGGCTACTGCCATTAAAGATATTGCTACAAAGTTCAATATTACTAGTGATGAAATTATTGCTTTTGGTGATATGCCTAATGATTGCGAAATGCTTCAGTTTGCTGGTATTGGTGTAGCTATGGGAAATGCTCACCAAAGAGTGAAAGATGTTGCTGGTAAGATGATTGCACAGTTTAATATATATATATATATATATATTTTACATTAACATAAATTCTTTAGATATGATTACTTGTAATAATTTTGATGATGGTGTTGCTGTTGTTTTAGAAGAAGTTGCAAAACAAATTTAGACATTATATTATAGAAACATATGATTAGACTTTTAAGTTACAATTTTTATCTTTACGTAAATTATCATTACCTTATTTTAGCACCCTTAAAGATTACATAATAAATTTTTAGATAACTTATTCAATTTTCTTGTGTCATATAATTTTTTTTTTTTTGAAACATTTAAACTAATTTATTAAATATCTATACAAGTGCTGTCATACTTAATTCGCTAAATAATTAAAATAAATGAGATAAAGAAAAATATTATTATTTTTTTTTATCTTTAGTAATGGGACACCCTCCTTAAGCAAGATAATAGGGGCGATGTCAAGTAAAAAGAAAAACAAAAAAAAAGTTATTTTGTTTTTAGAGATAATACGTAATCATTGGCTTTCATTGTTAAGATATTGCTATAGTTATTAAAGGTGATCTGTCCTAGTAAGAAATTTGAGCATAACTATAAATATGTTGAAAGCCGTATAACATTTTATAACAAATATAGTAAAGTCAGGCTCAACCTCTGATTTGCAATTTAACTTTTAGTGACAATACACTTGAAGAAATTTTAATATAAACATAAACAAACAACTAATGATATAAATGATCACTACTTTCACGCCTTTTTTTTTTTAATGTTAGGAAGAAACTATTTTGTCTCTCCAACTTCAATAGACGCCTTCTTTTCTTTCATAGTTAATGCAATATATTGGGAAACTGGAAGCTATAAGTTTAAGGTAACAATTTGAAAGTATCTCTTGAAATTTTGCGTAGTTACTTAAGCATGTAGTTTGACTAGATGAATAAGCAAAATATTATATAAACAGACAGATGCATAGTTTAAGGAGTATATATCAAAAATAAATTTGGCAGGTCGGATCTGCGCCTGACTTCACTAAAAAAAAAAGAACAATGATAAATAGGGCAAAAAAATAATAATATAAACCCTCTATCAAGTGAGCATTTTAAAAGTTTTTTTCTTTATTTGTTTAAAGATTTACATTCAGTTATTATCTTTGATGAAAGTAAAGGAAAAAGTACATCAATAAAAGGGAAATAAGATTGTCTTTTAGACTTATTTAAAGTGATAGTTGAGGTAAAATTCTTTAAATAATGACCAATACTATTCCTCATCATTTGTACACAGGTGTATACAAGAGCGAGCACTGGTGGGGGGGGGAAAGAGCGAGGACTTGCTCAATTGATTCTGGCATCTTTAGCCTTTCAGAGGGTGATATCATGAAACTGATCCATGGTCAAATATTATTTTGAGGCCTGTGATGTAAATTCTTTAATAATACATATATATAAAAGAAATTGCATTTTGTTAACTAAATCATAACAGTTCAACAGAGACATACTTTCTTTATATTTTACACTTAAATATGCCGTGGTTGTATACGTATTTCAGGGAACATAAGATTGCTATTTATCTTTGACGCGAGCAATATTTTTATTTATTTATTTTATCTAGCTTTTACACTTGGAATACACAAATGAAATATTATTGTTATGTTCTCTTCCTATTAACTGAATTACTCGTATATTTGACTTTATTATACATACAACAAATAAACTGCATAAAATGAAGAGGAGAAAGTTTCGGAACACTCTCAATTCGTCGAAGCTAATGCCATCATCAACAATAATAAGCCCTTATTATCATTCATACTCACTACTTTTATAGAAAAAATTAAAATAAAAAAAAAAAAAAATAAACAAAGATAAAAAGCACAATCTATTGTAACAGCCGGCTCAAGAAAAATAACAAATAAGCATCTTTTATTATTAACGTATGCAAAAAAAGACTCATCTCAAAAAAATAAAAATAAAAAAAATCGTTTGAATTGAGTGAAGGATCTAGAAACCTATTAGGACAGATGTATTTATTTAACATGAAGTGGACTTAAAAAAGTGCCATTTTGAAGTGTTCGTATAAAATAAAGCTTAAGACCATAATATTCGTCCAAAGCAGAAATATAAAATTCTCTACAACTTTGATACTGATTTATCTAAATTGATTCAAAGTTCATCTAAACTATACACCTATCTATATATACACACACACAACATATCTTATATGCACTATCTTTTTTCTCTTTTTTAAAAAAACCAGACATAACATAAATAAACAAAAATGAATGTTCACCCACTTTTAATTATTATTAATTATTTAATATAAAAAAACCTTCAAACGCAGTTCTTAAGCAGAGTGGAGGACTTCCAAGAACTTCTTAGAAGCAGCAGTGGAAGCACCAGACTTCTTCTTTTGGGTCTTGGTAACCTTACCAGCAGCAATCTTCTCAGCCTTGATGAGCTCAGCACGACGGAGGACTTGAGCGTAAGGGTTAAGACGGTTCATGACACCTTGGTTCTTGAGAGGGTTCTTCTTTTGAGTGAAGGGACGCTTGTGGTGCTTGTTACCAGCGGGACGAACGACAGATTGAATTTCATCAGAGTTGATGAGACGAGCAACATCGGGGTTGGTCATGATGTTATCGGGCAAGACATAGTTCTTCTTCAAGGTAGCAGGGGTTTCGTAGGTACCATAGAGTTCATCAAGAAGAGCAAAAGCGGATTGAGTCCAGATGATGAAACGACCGAGATGACCACCAGGAGCCAATTGCAAGAGGTTAAGACGACGAACGTTAACCAATTCAAGACCAGGCAAGTTGCGGAAAGCCTTAACGATACCGTTATCTTCGTTGTAGATCACAAGAGGACCACGGCGTTGTCTGTGGCGACGGTTACGGAGCTTACCTTGACCAGCACGGAGCTTACGAGAGTTGGAGACCTTAACGACATCAGTATAAGCATTGATAGCCTTCAAGAGGGCAACGGCTTCCTTAGTCTTGGTCAACTTTTCGATGTTATCGGAAACAACAAGAGGAACTTCTTCAATCTTTTCAATACGGTGACCACGAGCCATGACCAAAGAAGGAAGAGCAGAAGCGGCCAAAGCAGAGGCAGTGGCGAAACGCTTTTGGTTCAAGTTAAGCTTGACGTTCCACTTTCTCCAAGTCTTGGTAGGAGCGAACATACGACCACCACGACACATGTTACCGAAAGCGGCTTGACCGGCACGGTGGGTACCAGAACCGTTAACACGAGGAATACGGGCAACAGCACGACCAGTACCCCAAGATTCAGCAGAGGTTTGTTCACCAGCCTTAGAAGAGACAGCATAAGGTTGACGCTTGTTCTTGGCCATGTTGGTGTGAACAAAGTTGACGATATCAGGACGAATAGGGGCCTTGAAGACGGCAGGAAGAGGGACGGTGGAGGCAACGGTGTTACCGGCTTCGGTATAGACGTTGATAACAGGTCTGGCAGCGGACTAAAACATTGAAAAGTAAAAAAAAAAAAAATTAATGATCTACATTATAAATTGACAATTGATGGAGAAACATAAAAAAAAATAGAAAAGATATAGATTATGCATCATCATGTATCGAAGCTTTAATCGGCTGGCTTAATTCATTCATCCATCCATCTGTTTCTAACTATGATCATTGCTATATCTTTAACGTTTATCTATCTTTTTCTTTCTTTTTTAAGTTTCTCCATCTTATTATGATCTATACCATTTGGAAGTTCGAGCTAAAAAAGAGGAGGATAGACTATTTGCTTGCTTGAAAATTCAATATATTAAAGAGGCTCCAATAATTGAAATGCCGACAGTCTCTTTTTTTTTTTTTTGTTTTTTTTTTTTGCGGCCCGGATAAATAGTAAAATAAACATTGTAACAATTCTTAAAAGTTAATAAAACGATTGTGCATAATTGGCATAGCTCATTTCTATCGTACATTAAAGAAGAACCTGTTAATAAACGCAATAAGATCATTCATAGTAATACAGTGCGTCCGCTGTCAATTGGACAAGTTTATGAAAAAGCTGGTCAGATTTTTGAAAATCATTTAGTCATTTTATTGAAATTCAATTAAAGGAAAGTTATAGAGAGACCTTATTCAAGCAATCGCTAGACAGGGTCAAACATAGCAGGAACATGAATATGGAGCATTATCCATAACAATAAAAAAAAATCCTTTCACTTCTGGGAACTCATCCATAATATCCAATAGTATCGTTAAGAAACAAAAGATAATCATCACCAGTAGTGCCACTAGGAACAGTTAATTTATCTTCAAGAACCTTTCTCATTTTGGCCCCTACAACTTTCCTTCTCTTAACATTTCCAGATTCTCGCCTCGCATACTCACATTGACGACACCATTACCTGATATTGCACCAAGAACAGTATGTAAGGTAGCCTTGCCTTGGTGGAAGGGGTTGTGGTAGTTGCTTTTGTACTGCGTTGTGACCAACCACGACTGTGTCGCATATCAATATCAAACCCGGACTCATCAACACATATACAGTTGTCGAGATAATTGATGCCATTGTTGATCCATTTCTCAACCCATTCAGCACGAGCGTCAAGATTTTTATCTTCGTTTCTGGCAAGAGGGTGTCGGTTAATAAGTTTGATGCTGAGATTACATTTTTCCTTCATGAACTTGGCTACTCTTGTTTTTATTATTATTATTATTATTATTATTATTATTATTATTATTATTATTATTTATTTGTAAGCCAGCAAAGTTGGCTGTCAAGCTTTCAACTGCGCCCTGGATTGTTGCAGTTGGATCATCATCAAAAAAAAAAAAGTGACCAAGTGAGCTTCCAATTGACGGCGAACGCACTGTACTTACAGTGTGTATCACCTGGCGACTTTTTCTGATGCTGAAGGTCTAAAGATATGAATTGCAGAAGCGTGCAATAACGTTCCTGCTTATTACTTGAAAGCTTTTTGTACAGCACTCTTGCAATCAATTCAAATAAATGCAGAAATAAAGAGCCCATTTAATTGTAACTTTCTGTGTTTAAGTACAGTAGACCAAGTTTATTCAAGATAATGAAGAGTATAAAATAAAAATGCTATACCAATTAAAAGATTCAAATAAAAGGAAAACTCATGGTAATGGGTATATAAATATATATATTTATAACTTTAGTTAAAGGCACGGGAATTGTTTTTTATACAAATCAATGTAGAAGTTAATTTAGGAGGATATAAGAGTAGAATTATATTGCCTTTTCCTTTGTTACCATATATACAGTTGGCTTCAAGGAAGAAGAATAGTCAGGTAAAATAAGTTCATCGCACATCTCTTCTGGACTGAGCAACGAATTTTCCATAAATCCTACAAATTGGATCATTGTCGTCAATGTCTCTTCCATAAATACATAAGTTTCTTTAGCTGTGGGCAAGAAGCTATTATATATTAGATAATAACTATACTCGCCTGTATCTGACAATTGGAGAGCTGATAGTTGGATCTGATTACCATTAATCGTGATGCCATATGTATAAAGCTCCTTTTTTGATCGAGTATCCAATAGTCTTTGGTGTAATTACTTTTTACATGACGCCGCAATACGGCATTGATCAATCTCTAAAGTGCCTCTTGTTATAGAACAAGCTCTGAATATAAGCGTAAGTAATATTATAATAGATGAATTACATAATAAAGGATAAACTATAAGCCTGAATATAAAATAAAACTTTGTAGATAACATCTTGTAAATAATATAAAACTTATTGACATCCAATCGTCTAAATGTGTCAACTAAATAAGACATCGTATCATTTCTACATATTTATTTTTATAGCCCTGACAAAGGATTTAGGTCGTCTTTGATCCACTAAAATAGACATCAGGAACCTATATACTCAGATCAAACAATAAACTTTTTATTTAAAAACTTAATCAGACCATTATAACATCCAGTATATAATCTATAGATCAGTCTCTTGAATCAACACAATGTATATCTGAATACTAACACTGTTTCATGACTCATGTTCTTTGACAGCTATTTTTATTTCTTTGATTTCAGGATTCATTGATATAAATACAAGTAGCTATGTAGACACAAAATAGTCTTTATATCATTCTTTTTACGTTGAATAAATAGTCTCAAACTATATTTCCCTTTGTTCTCTTTCTATTTTTATTTTTCTTTATTATATTACGTTCCATCACACCTCTGTCGCTTGGTAAGGTTTTATTTCTCCGGTCCCTACCTCAGTTCCATCTTGTGTATATATTATAAAGTCATGCCGGGTAAAACGCACATCAAGCTCACAATCAACATAACAGTTTGGTGTGACATCCTAATTCAAATTAAGCTTTGAGTTACAGATTATCGCTTCGAACAACAGAGTAACTTGTTTGACAAGAAAGTTTAATTCGTTGTTTTTTCCATGGTTAAACTTTTTCGAGATTACAAATGGTAATATTTTCGCCTTTTTTTTAATTCCGTTCAAGGTAAACAACATCATGCAAGCCAAGTTTTGCTCGTGTGCTGAAAGTGTGGGCAGTGTTGTTAGATTCATTGCTACATTAAACGCAGCTGATTTGTTAAACTCTCTAATAAGTATTTGAAAATTCCAACTAAATTCTGTTAATGGTGGCATTGTGTTTGGTATTTCATATTTGCAAATTATAAATAACAGCGAGATTATTTCCTCAAACGTTGTATCATTATCCATTTCGTGTTTTTGCATAATAGTATGGTATGCGATTTCTTGCATCGATAGATAATACTGCTTTTTTGCGGCATTTTATCTACTGCAGTTTGAGCATTTTCTAAAAGGATATACGAATCATCTGTTGACGCTGTACTAAAAGAGGCTTCAGCTTCATCCAATTCCTCTGATTTAACCTCTTCCTCGAATTGGTGATCCACATTCTCCTCTTCTTCCTCCTCTTCGTTTTTATTTGTACTCGTATCGATTTCTATTATTTTCTTTATGACTGGAGGCACGTCTTCTTTCATAATCTAAGAGACGAGCATGGAGTTACAAGTTTTAGATAATTATCGTGTACCTTAATTCTTTTTCCATGCAGTCCCTTCTTTCCAAATGCAAAGAACACAGCCTTTCTTTAGGTTACAGATGGAACCCTAAAAAGTGCGTCATTGTGAATTTCAATCCTACACCTCAAAAATACTACCTCTACAATAATGAATTACCCAATGAAGATTTTTTCCCGTACCTCGGTGTTCCTATTAAATCTGGTGGTGTCGTACATAAATCAGCACTTTTACAACAAAACATCAATAAAGCACTTGGAACGATGAGACGGCTTACTACCCTTGGTGTAAATAAAAATGGCTTTAACCACATTCTTTCAGCTCGTTTTTACGCCCAAATAGTTCGACCACAATTAGAATATGAAGTAGCAATCACAACCTTCAACCTACGAGAAATCCGCTCTCTAGAAAACTGCCAAAATCAATGTATGCGTCAAATCTTCGGTGGACGACCCTTCACCTCAACCAAAGTAATGTTACACCTAACAAATTTACCTAACATGAAAGATCGTATTTCAATACTCCAAGCACAATTTCTTTTTAGATCCTCCTTTCTGCCAGACAGTGCATTATTGACGAAATTGCTACCATACATACAGTCTCAAACTAAATCAAAATGGTCCCAACTATCCAAATCTCCTCTATGGATATCAGTTTGCAATGAAAATCTTAACACTACGTCTCATAAGGATTTTAGTAGGAAACGAAGACAATTCCTACTTGACAGCTACCATTCAAAACTACAAGAAAAACATTCGAAACTTCTATCCTATTGTCGTAATAATCTGATTGTCGACTCTATTCTCACGATACCAATGACAAGAAGTGAACGGTTTCGTTGTGTGCGATGGCGATCTGGTTGGTTACTTCTTGGTAAACCCCAAGCTTGCCCCTTCCATCCGAATGAACTCTTCACACGCTCACATTATTATTCTTGTTTGCATATGCAAAACCGCCTTCAGATACCTAAATCTATTGAAGATCCACTCTCTTATCTCTTGAATCTATTACCATCAACATTCCATACTAAGAAAGTGAGAAAATCAATTGATGCCTGTCTCATACGCTGGCCTTCCATTTGTGCAATTCTGCTTGGAGATGGACTATCTAGCTTCACTCCCAAATCCTCGAACCCACTGACCATCATCTTCTTTCAATACAACAACGATTTTCTAATAGTTAATTATTATCACTTATACATACACCTTAACATTTTCCCTTTTATATCCCAAAAGGGTTTTTCTTTCCTTTCCTTTTTTCCATAGCGATCTGACCAGGGCAAAACAGTATATATAAATGCTATGTGCTCATTGGTCATTTTTTAATTTTTTAAATAAAATTCTTTCTTAATCGTATTGGTTAATCATATTTATCTTAAATTTATAAAGTAGAGAATGTGATGAATTTAGCCAAGCAGACTATAAGCAGTAGACTACTGTTTATTTGTGTTTAAGAATAGCACTATTTATTATAAACTAGTAATAATTGTATTTGAAACAAATTTAGCAAGTATTTTTTCTGTTAATTTGCCTTTCTTTGATAATTCGAGTAATTCAATTTGAACAATAAAAACCAAGTTCATTATGAACTTTAAAATTATAGTTATTGAAGTACCTTACGTGACTTTATTTTGAATCTAAAATTTGGGAAAATTGCTGCATCTTTTTTTTTTTTTTTTTTTTTTTTTTTTTTTTTTTTTTGAAGTTCGCGTATTTTTATTTAATCTATACATTAGATAAAAGACAAGATGGTAATTGGCAATCGAAATATACTTACTTGTATATACAATTCTAATAAAAAAAACTTCTAGAGTACTTTAGATAGACTAGTTGGAGGAGCTGCTTTTGCTGCTGCTATGTTTATATTTATTTATTTTACCACTTGGACTTTTGTTACTGTAATTTATTCATTAAATTGACATTTATATAGTTATATTCATATTTCTCTCTCTTTTTTCTTCCTCTAATTATATATGTATATGTATATAGCCTTTCTTAGATGAAAACAGTTCACTTCAGAAATATTTCCTTCCTCACGAATTTGCTATTTATTTACCGGCTACACTTTTAATTGCAGGCATTTCTGTTATTATTGCATTTTTTATCAAAGCAACTTCTCAAAGCAAGAACAAGCAAAAAGCAAAATAATCTAAATTTTCTAGAGGAAAAAAAAAATAAAATAAACTCATATCTTGATTTTATTCTATTCTATTCAGTTTTATTGGAATCAAAAGAAAAAAAAAAAGTATTTTTAAAAAATGCATTTATACAAGTTGAAGATAGCTTGTCAATTACATCACAATTCAAAAAAGTTGATATTTCAAAGGCATTACTGTATGTTTCATATCTAGGGGAATGATGGTAGGAATGACAATATGACAAAGTTTATGTTGTTTTATATTACAAGAGTTGTTTTTTATTTTATTTTTTTTCTTGCAATGCAAAATAAGTGGCTCTGAGCTGAATCGTATAAATTATGTATTTCGTGACTCCTTTTTTTCGTTGTCCCAAATCTTTTTTTTTTTATGATGATTAAAAAAAAGTCTTTTTTTTTTTATTTTAAGAATTGTGTGTGTTGTATTATAAAGCATAAAATAAAATGAAGGATTCTACACTTCCTGAAAATGTTGAACTTTTACGTACTCGCGTTGTAATTGAAAAAGATAGAGTTTTTAGTGTTAGTATAGAATTTAAAAATATGAAATGAAAGAAACAAAAAAAAAAAAACTTAAATAGTCATTTTTTTTTTTAGGTTAGTGGAAGTGATTATCCTCATCAATATCCTGGCATAAGTAATCAATTTGATCTTGAGGAATTTAAAAAAGTAAGGTCGAAAGTATTAATTATACTTTTTTTTTTAACTTATCGTTATTATATAGAATTTTAAAGTCAAGATTCAACGTTTATCTAAACATAGCATAGAATTTGATTTGATTGGTGTTGATGCTTCAATTGCTAATGCTTTCCGTCGAATTATGATTGCTGAAGTAAGCTTTAGAAAAAGGAAAAAAAAAGTTTATATTGACTTTCTTATATGTATACATGACTTTTTATCGGATAGGTTCCTACTATGGCTATCGAAAAAGTGTATGTTATGAATAATACTTCAATTATTCAAGATGAAGTTGTTGCACATCGTTTAGGTTTAATTCCTATTAAAGCTGACCCTAACGAATTTGAATACATGACAGAGAGTGGACCTACCGACCTTAATACACTTGTATTTAAATTAAAAAAGAAATGTGAATTTAATCCCAAAGCTTCAGCTGATGAAACTGATCCTCATAAAAAATATATCAATAGTTATGGTAATATGATTGGAAGGAAATGTGTTGTGATTGTATATACATATAACATTATTCTTTCTATTTACAGTCTATTCAAGTGATTTAATTTGGGAACCTAAGGGTAATCAGGAAGAAAAGTTTAAAAATAATCCTCCAAGACCAGTCCATGATGATATTGTGATTGCAAAGTTAAGACCTGGTCAAGAAATGGAAATGGAATTACATTGTCAAAAGGGTATTGGTAAAGAACATGCTAAATGGTCACCTGTAGCTACAGCATCCTATCGTCTTTTACCCGAAATTACCATTTTAGAGCCTATTACAGGTGAAGATGCAGAAGAATTTAAGAATTGTTTTGTAGACGGTGTTGTAGAAGTAGTAATGGAAAATGGAGTAAAGACTGCTAAAGTAGTTAATCCTCGTAAAGATACAGTCAGTAGAGAAGTTTTACGACATGAGAAATTCAATAACAAAGTTCGTTTAACTCGTGTTCGCGATCATTTTATTTGTAAGTAGTAAATACATGCATGCATGCATAAATATGCAACTAATCATACTTTTCTTCTTATAAAAAAAAAAAAAGTCAATGTTGAAACTACTGGAATTATTCCTGCTGAACAAATCTTCCTTTCAGCACTTGATGTCTTTATGGAAAAGATTAAAAATATTCAACCACTCATAGATCGCTTCACTAACTTTACCTCAGAATAAAGTCATTTTCTTTCTTTTTTTTTTTTTCTTAAATAACAATAACAATAATAATAATAAAAAAAAAATAGAATTATACATTTATGTATATTTAATAATGATAAAAAAAATAAATGCATCTTTGTATATAGATCAAGCTTATTTACTATTTTTATAGTTTCTTCTTGCTTTTACAGCTTCAGCCAAGTTTTGTAATACAAGCTCTGTATCTTTCCAATTAATACAACTGTCAGTAATGGATACACCGTATTCTAGAGCACATGGGCCGTTAGTAGGCACAGATTGATTTCCTTCTCTCAAGTGGGATTCAAGCATAAGACCTACGAGGGCATTTTCACCTTTTGCAATTTGATCTGCAATAGATTGAGCTACTTTAGGTTGATTTCTATAATCTTTCTTTGAATTGCCATGTGAACAATCGACAACAATTGAAATAGGTAAACCTTCCTTTTCTAATTTTGATTTAGTCTCTTGTATATAGCTCTCTTCAAAGTTAGGACCCTTAGTACCACCTCGTAAGATAACATGACAATCAGGGTTACCAGTTGTATGCGTAATACTGACAGTGCCCGTACTATTGATACCTAAAAAATGATGAGAGACAGCAGCTGCACGAACCCCGTCAATTGCAACACCTAGATTACCATCGGTACCATTTTTAAAACCAACTGGAAAGGAGACACCACTTGCTAACTCTCGATGAAGTTGAGACTCAGTTGTACGAGCACCGATAGCTCCCCAAGAAATTAAATCAGCCAAATACTGAGGAGAGATAGTATCAAGTAATTCTACAGAAACAGGCATACCCATATTAGTTAATTCATTTAACAATCCACGACCTATGCGAAGGCCTTTATTTATATTGAAACTAGATAAATGGATATATAATTATTTATCATTAAAGCTTACAAGTCTATATTACTAAAGAATTACCTTTCATCGATATCAGGATCATTAATTAAACCCTTCCAACCAACAACTGTTCTAGGCTTTTCAAAATAAGAACGCATAATAATCACAATTTCATTTTGATATCTTTCTTTAGCCTCAAGTAAGAGTTGAGCTACATATTAAATTAAATTAATAATTTCACTTTGAAATAATACATACACACATATTTATATATATATTTTTACCATATTCTTTAGCAGCAATTGTATCATGAATAGAACAAGGACCAACTATAACAAAAATTCTATCATCCTTTTGAAGAATAATATCTGAAACTTCTTTTCTTGCCTTCATTGTTGTTTCAATAGAGACTTCAGACTAGAATAGCAATGAATTAAATATATATACATACATATATCTATTGACCACATTTATATCAAACTTACAATAGGGAATTCCTCTTTAATATAATTGGGACTAAGTAAGGCATTATACCCAGTTATTCTCAAGTCTTCTAAACTACTTTTTGTCATATTGTTAGAAAGAAGAAGAAGAACAAGGGAAAAAAAAAAAAGATATGCAGTAGATCAAGATTAAATCCATTTTTATACTGTTTGAATACTAAATATTTAAAATCCGCCGTGTTCTATTTTTTTTTTTTTTTAATGTTGTCATTTTTTTTTTATTTTTTTTTATTTTATTGTCATTATTTTTTTTGCATACATGATACCTACACCAGACTTGTCGCATATAAAGAAAAATGACTTTGATAAAGTATATGAGCCGGCAGGTATATTTAAGGGTGTTTAAATTAAGAATAATATAATATTGAGTAGATCCAAAGAGGACACATTCTTGTTACTAGATGCATTAGAAGAAGATGACAGATTGATCAAATCACTTAAGCCTTGTATTTGTCTTGAAATCGGGTAATACTTGTTAAGGATAAAAAAAAAGAGGGGGAAAACACAAATCTTATCTAAAATAAGTAGATCTGGATCTGGATGCGTCATAACCTTGTTATCCAAGATTGTAGGAGAGCATAATGCCTGTAAGTTGAAATCATAATATGTATGATATAGTTCTATTTATATCCCTTCCTTTTTTCTTAAAAAAGTATTTTTAACTACGGACATCAACGATTTTGCTTGTAAAATAACTAAAGAAACTGGATTAAAAAATAATGTAAATATTGAATCTATTCGAACTTCACTTGTTAATGGACTTTTGCCTCGTTTAAAGAATTCGATTGACATACTTTGTTTCAATCCTCCTTATGTCGTCACGACACATGAAGAAGTTGGAAGTACAGGGATTGAAGCATCTTGGGCTGGTGGTATCGATGGTAGAGAAGTCATTGATCAATTACTACCTTATATTAAAGTATGAAAAAAAAGTCACATTTGCATAACAAATCATTGATCCTTTCCCTCGTTTATAGGATCTTTTATCTCCAAAAGGCATATTTTACTTGTTATTAATTAATGAAAATAAGCCTGAACAAGTTATAAATATCATGAAAAATACATATAACATGAAAGCAGAAATTAGGATGCAACGTCGCGCTGGAAGAGAGAGACAATTTATTATAAAAATACAGCATTAATACGCTAATTGTTTTTTTTGTGTTAAAGTATTATAGATTAACCTATAGAATGTACAACTTAATTAATAAATACTATTATGATCTTTAAACTTACTTTGACCATTGTGTCATCATATTTTGAATACCATGAAAGAATCCAATTTTCTTTTTAGTATTCATCACATTCTTTGTTCTATACCATTTCCAAGCAGCTGAACATACATTCCAAGCAAATCCACTAATGAACGGCATAATGATTTGGTCTTTAATGACTGCAGAATAGAAAATAGAAATATTAGATGCACCATTTTCTTTTAAACGAGCTAATGAAGCTTCAAATTGTTTTTCAAATCTTAAATCGGGTACAGTAGGGCCTTTTCTTTTCTTTAAAACTGAAAAGTCATCCATGTCTTCATCGAGTTTTAAAAGCTCTTCTTCGCTTTTGTCAATATCCGGTCGTAATAACTCATTCTGTCGTCTTTGAAGTTCAAAAAGACGAGCTGTTTCTTTTTCTGTAAAGTCATAACTAGAAGATGTTGTATCCATTTTTATTTACAAACAAGAAATTAAAAAAAAAAATGAATAAAGGGAAAAATACGTTTGTAAATATTGATGATGTGTGTGTTTTTTTTTTTTTTTTTTTTTTTTTTTTTTTTTTTTTTCATTTATTTATTTATTTATTTATTTAGAGAAAATAAATGAATTTTGATTGGCTATTCTTAATAAAGGACTATGATGTATACATTATCATATATTGTTCTTTATGAATAATATTCTATCTAGGAAAGAAAAAAATAAAGAAATAATAATAATAAAAATAGTATATAATTATAAAAAAAAAAAAGTCTTTTGCATAACAATCTAAGGCTATATTCACTGAAACAATAACATGTATATTATTCGTTCGATTGTTGTCAATTTAAAGTTTGTTGCAGGAAGCATTTTTATTTTTCCTGTTTTGTAATAAATCAGCGGTCATTTATCGTTTATCATTGTTTCTATTGTTTTTATTGTTTTTATATTCACTTTTTTTTTCTTTTTCTTTTAATAATGATGAACGATTTAACAGAAAATGAACAAATAGACGACATTAAGTTTTTGCATCGTAAGAATTGTGCAAAACGTATTTTCATAGGGCCTTGGGATATTAGAGCACCTATTTCTCCATCATTACTTGAATCAGAAGAACAATCACAAATTAATGAAAGCACTTTTATTCCTACCGACAATAACTCAAGCTTAAAATTATCAAACAAGTAAAGCTATTATAGTATATATTTTATTTTATTTCAAGTCTAGTAATTGACATAATATAGTCAACATACTTCTATCAATTGTAGTCAAAGTTCTATTATTGCCATGCATAATTCATCACTTGAAGAGATGGATAGCCAATTATCTAATAACAAAGAATTACAACACCATTCACCAACTACTACCACTATCTTAACTACATCTGTTACCCCTAATTCAGATGGAACAAGTTTTTTTACAGCTAAATCTAGAACAAACTCTACTATCTATCATAGCGTAGATTCAACTCCTTCTTTTCTATTAAACGTAGTCGATGACGAAAATGATGAAGAGATAGATTATAGTATACTTAATGCTAATAATGATATGTTTGATATTTCAAACAAACCTATATCGCCTCCCGAGAATAAAGAAAGTGACACAGAATCTGTTAAAACTGTGAGACCATCAGATAAAGGTAAGGCACCTATGGCTTCTTTACTCTCAGCAGTTCATACAGAAACACCGCCCTTAACGCCATCTCCTCCAACTCAGTTATCATCACCAAAGAGACAAAGAAAAAAATTGTATCGCAAAAAGAAGCCATTATTTTGGCGAAGATCAGGCGTCTTGTCGCAGCAGATCCCTACAATTGTTACACCAGATCCAACTGGTAAAATCATTAAAAGGGAACCTATCCTTTGTATGCAATGTGTATCTGGATGTAATAATTCAGTGCCTACTCGATATAAAGCCGCAAAGGAAGCAAGATATAATTTATTAACCGAAAAATGGAGACAAGTTGAATTAGTTTTAACGGATACATTTATTTCTACTTATTCAGCTTCGAGTTTTTATTGGCCAAATCAGAAACTAGAACATCGTATCTTCCTTGTCGGCCCACGCAGACCTAAAAAACTCGAATTATATTTATTATCTCCTTTAGACTATTCCTTTTGTTTACGTTATCAAACGTATCGTTCATCACGTCTACCTATCATGGTCACAATGATGTTTAAAGCAAAAACTTTTTCGAAATGTCAAGAATGGTACATGCAACTCTACCATACTTTACCTAATGAATGCAAACGTTCTAGTCCTCAATGGTGTGAAGTATATATACCTCTCTTGGATCTATCTGTTAATTTACCTTTAGCAAATGTCAGTCATCCGAATAGGATCACAATGGAGGATGTGAAGGACACAGTTATATCTGTGCTTGAAGAAGAAAGAGAAGAAGAAGGAAATGAACTGTTGAATCGTTTAGTCACTAGGAGTGATATTAAACACATAGTGGAAGATCAAGCACCCTCTATTTATGATCTGGGACTCTGTTGGACACATGAAGATCGAGCGGAATGGATCTATTGGACACATTCATCCTCTGATCCAGAGAAACGTATTGATACACTCATTTGCCCTCAAAGCATTGAAAACACACATCGACTCGAGTTACGCATGATTGAACATACACCAAATAATATTATCTTGCAAGAAAATGTCAATTTAATAGAGCCCCCCTCTGTGGAGGGCTTTATGATTTATCTCTCTGATTTTCATGGATCTCTAAGTACTATTCTCGCCAATCGAAAATTGAATTATTTTGCTACCTTTGATCACTATTTATTCTATATACCATCTGCTAAAGTGGATCCCCCTAATATGGCCTGTTTCGTTGATGAGGATGTGTTACTAAGAAATATTAAAGTTAAACCCTATGTCTCTGCTGTGTCTCCTTACAGATCCACAGAGGAAATTGAAAAAGCAGAGATTCAGAGACGAATGCAATTAATGATAGAGGCAAAGGGTGTCATTAACTTGACAGAGGTATCTTATGTAAGACGCGCATTTTCAAATGAATTAGAGGCATTAGAAGAAAGTAGTACGTCAGGTGGTGGTGGTGGTGGAGCTTTACGGAAACGACCCAGTCGAATCCCTATATTATCAAATCATACCATAAATCGAAATCAAAGTTTCTTCCCTATAAAGCAAGAACGACATAAACCTTGTTTAGAGATTATTATGGAAAATGGATTACAAATTAAATTGGAGGCATACTCAAGTGATACATGTGATCTTTGGGTGAATTACTTGTCACAGATTATTGTCTATTGGAAAGCTCGTAAAGAAGCCGAAAAGGATGCCCACTCAGCTAGCCATTATACAACAAACAAAGCAGTAGAACATAAACATCGAAGAAAAGTAAATTTGGCAGATACAAGGATTTGGAGTTATTGTCTCTATGAACAATGCCGCGATATAGTGGTAAGATGATAAATTGTGTCTCTATTTGATTTGTGTATATCATCTGAATAATCCTCCCTCGGGAATTTTTTTATTTTATTTTATTTGTTAGAAATCTGGTATTCTCTATTATAAACCTCGTAAGAGAGGTACTTATTCGAAAAAGATATTTATATTAACATCCAATGGATGGATTTTATTCTATGATGTATATAATCGGGGCTCTATGAAAAAGGTATGTAATTATGAAAAAAAGGGAGCACTGGACATTGCGGGATGCTATTTCTATTCTGGAGTGGATTGCAGTAAAAAGAAAAAGGGTTCTAATGTGAACGAACATCAACCATTTAAAAAGTTATCACGTATATATGGTAATGGATTAACAACGGATGATGATCCATTATCTTGCATGTTCTCTATCTGGAAGCCCAACATACATCGTTATTTTAGTACAAAACGACAAAGACTTCGTGTCTATCAACGTGATCAACGTATCAATCCTAGTGGCACTACATATACTTTTTTAGCAAGAAGTAGAAAAGAGAAAGAAGAATGGGTTTATGCATTAAATGCAGTTACAGAGCATATGATACGATCTGATATTAGATAATGAATAAATAATGAATAATGAATAATAATAAAAAAAAAAGGGCTTGTCTAGAATTTGATACTATATTAGAAAGAAAGAAAGAAAGAATAAAACTGCCTACTAATCAGAATTCATTGCAAAGTAGTTGGTAATAAATGTAAAACGTATTTATTTTATATTTAGCAGCTAAATTTATTCAAGTAAGGAAAGGCCAAGACGAGTAAAAAGAACCCAAGACAAATATTCTTCAATAAGAAAAGAGAAATAATATAGGTTGACTTGTGATAAGAATAGTTTATTAGTACACTCAACACTAAAGAGAAAAAAAAAAAAAAAAAAAAAAAAAAAAAAAAAAAAAAGACTTGACCTCTGCTTCTATTATGACTCTCAACTCTAATGAATAAAAATATATATTATCATATAACCTTATCCAATTTAGTTTCTTTCAATTTCTACTAGTGTTAGTCTATCATATAGGTATTCATATTGAAGCCAGTAATAAGCTGTTTGTAGTCTTATTATCAACGCTGAATTAAGTGACTGATTACGAGCCTTCTACGTAAATTTTTATTGACGCGCAATTATATATGTATGAAAATAACTCGCCTTTTTTTTTTTTTTTTTTTTTTTTTTCTTTTTTTTTTCCTGAAAATGGTGTACAACGATTATGAGGAAAGTTTTGCATCTGCACCTGTCAGATATGCTTTAGATGATCATGATAGTGATGAAGAATTAGAAGCTAGTGTTCAAAACCAAAAAATAACTGTTGAGATCAACTTGGCTATGGTAACTAAAGAAGATGATGATACCAAATGGACTATCGTTATTGGTCCAGAAGGACCTGGCAGTGTTTATATTAATTCACTTGAAGGTCAAAGCACAACAGCCATTGGTTTAATAACTCGATTGGTAAGAGAAAGAAGAGAGATGTCGTTGTAAAAAAAAAAAAAAAATAAAATAAAATAAAAAAATAACGTTAATTCTAGTTTGAAGGAACCCATCCAGAAATAAAAGCAACTATTTATCAATTAGTTAAACAGCCTATTTTATTAATACCTTTTACTACCCAAATACCGCCAGAAGAGGCTAGTCTTTATACAAAATCGATTTTAAATAGTTTTTCTGGTAAAATGGATAAAGTCATTGTGTTAGATTCCTTTACAACAACTGGATATATTACCAAGGATTATAATGAGAATTTAGCTCCTCCCTTTTTACGTATCTTGCAAACAACCACTGCCCCCATTGTTAAAGGTTTAGCACCTTATGAGTGTCCTAATATTATTAAGGGTTTTACTGCTTCCTTGATCAGTTATGTAAGTATATACAGATAAAGTTGATTTTTTTTTAAAAAAAAAATGACTCTAATGTGTCTGTTTATTCTTGTAGTGTGAGATGCATTCTATTCCTTGCTATAATTTATTAACACTTCAAGAATCAGTGTATGCTGCTTTATTAATCACAACAGAGACTTTAGAAGCATACAATATAGGTTTACGACAATTAGGTTTGGATTTTTCATTTAATGAACATTTAATGAGAAAAATTTTAAAAACTCGTCATACTGGTCGCATTGATGACAATCATCATCGCTTATATCTTTAAATTCATATAGTAATAATAATAATAAAAAAAAAACGCATATGTATATGAATATCAATCTATTATATACATATATTTATTCTTACAGATTTCTTTCTTTCCTTTTCTTTTTTTTTTTTTTTTTTTTTTTTTAAAAAAAAAGGTGTACTTTATACAAGGAGAATATGTATGTATATATATATGTGTGTGTGTATGTATGAATGTATACATGTGTTGACAATTAGACAGCTAAAAGCTCACCCCAGTTACGAAGAAAAACAATGGCACCAGTGAAAACAGTAAGAGAGAGAGCAATATTGAGATTTCCTTGACGTTTTTCGGGTGAAAAGAGTTCTGATTTAACAGCTTGAATGAATGATTGTTGTTTGCCTTGTTCTAATTGACGTTTATCCATTTTAAAATTTTTCTTTTTTTTTTTATATGAATATAAAGAAGAAAAATCTTTAGTAAAGGCTGTGAAGGAGGGATATGGATGGGAGGGGGTAAAATCAAGTCACGAAAGTGTTCATAAATTTAAAATAAGCCAATAAAAAAAAACAAATGATTTGCATATTTATTTATGTATATTTTATAGTCTAATGTTTATGCGCATGCCAATTTATACAATTTCTTCAATAATCAAATCGTCATCATCTTCCTCTACAGCTGGCTTTTCAGATTCAACTTCTGTAATTTCAGCACCTTCTTCATCACGAATCAACATTTCAACAATAGTTATACATTTTTCTTTAAGTTCTTCATCAGTCTCTTGTAAATGAAGACGTTGTATAACTCGATAGACTTGTTTTTTACGTAAATATTCACGTCCATAACGAGTCTGGGTTAATAAAATAATAGAATCTAAAAGCATACCACGAAGGACAGGATCTGTTTCTCGTTTCTTTAAAGAAGAAACAAATGAGTATTTACAAAATTATCTACAAAGTTAGAATAAATTGTATACCTTATCATCACCCAATAATTGGATTTCTTCGGGGAATTGTTCAAATTCGTCCATATCATATTCTTCATTACCACATAAAGGTAATAAAATAAAAGGTAATGTATTCATACCCTCTACATCTAATAAACGTTCATGCTCACGAGCCTCAAAACAACAATTCTTGATAACTGAATTAGCACCACCACGTCGAATCACATTTGGATCTTCAGTAAAAATTTGAATTTTTGTAAGTGGAGCTAATTGATCTACAGTTGCCTCTTCAATCATAAATACACGACCCAATCTGATACTAGACACATTTGAAAAGACACTAGCCAAGAAATGGTATTCTGCTTCTGGATTGTATTCTTTTTTATATCCCTTATGGAAGATTTCAACAAGTTGATCTAAAAGACGGGTAGATTGGCTTAAACCTTCAACTGGTTCGGCTGTTGCTTGAATGACTTTAACGCAAGTGGGCTCAAATTTGGTCATATTAGATAAGAGCATACAAGCAAGGTCTGCAAGCACAGATTTAGGATTCTACAAAAAAAAAAGTGCGTTTGTATTTATTTAAAATTAGAAAATAAAACCATAAATAAACTTACTGTAATTAATAACCCAATATACTTGATAAAATCTGCATCATCCAGTTCTTGTTGAACAAGAGGATCACTAGATAAATTGATTAGAGAGCGAAGAGCATCGTGAGCAGTAACCTAAATAATGATTAGAATAAGAACTGATAAAATCAAAAAAAGCACTTACAGGATCTTCTTTACAAAGAGCTTTCATGTCTTTACAAACAGTTTGTCTTTGTTCAAGTAATAAGTGACGATATTGATTACCATTAGGAGTATAAGGAACAAGATGATGAAGAGCAATAGCCCTAATCTATTAACTAATTTGAGCACACATTCCTGTCAAGCAGAAAAAAAAAAAGATTTGAAGCTATTTTTTTTTTTTACCTCTAATGCAGGTTGATGCAAGAAAGGAATTAACTAAGAGTGAACAAAATAAATAAGTGGTCTCAAATAATTTGGATTTTTTTTTACAAAGACTTTACTTCTTTGATTTGTGCTTCCATGTTGATTCGAAATTGTTTTGTTTGAAGAATGATCATTTTTTAATTTTTTTTTTCTTCTAATAAATAAAGGAACATGTGACTGTTTATTAACCTTGATTATATAATAAATAATATAATTACTAAAAAAATATCTTTCGTACAGACTGTGCTTTATAGAAATCGTTTATTAAAAGCAAACAACTATAACTTTTATAATAATTGATTACCTTAGATATTCTCGAAGCATTATGAGTTTTTATTTTTTACGCTGTTGTTCATTAAAATTCTATATTTAACTTTCTTCTAGATCTCTGATAGAATACAGTTATTGTATCTATCTAATTATTCAGTGGTAAATAACTCTAATTTCTGTCTGATTCATTCACAAACATTCCACCAAGTACCAATGACGTTTCTTATAAAAACCTCACTTTGAACTTTTACAAACTATAAGAGAGAGAAAAAAACCCGATTATTTCTTTTCCCTATAATTTTTTATATTGTGGCAAGAAATCTAACTATTTGGCAGACGAGTTGTTTCCTCTTGAATCAACATTCATTATTAATTTCTTTCTTTTTTATGATAAGTTTGAATCGGTTTTTGAGATGGCTCTCCTTCACCTCATAAAAGGAGGAAAGGTGGAGCAGAGTTTTCCATATCACTACTGCATATCTAAATTTAACTCTGGTAGTTTTAAAAGATTACCCTCCACGATTATTTATTAATTGCACAAGTATATTTTATACCTGAATGCACATTTGACTATAAAATAAGATATTCTCTTTCCCTTCTCATTCTTTTTTTTTTTCCCTTTCAACATAAAATAAAAAAAAAAAATGCTTTTGATGAAACTTTGTTAAAGCTAATTGATTTAATTATTTACATTACTGAATAACAATAACCAAAAAATAAAGAAAAAAAGAAAAAAAAGAATTTATTCTGATCGCTGCAAATATTGAAAGGATAAGTTAGGCAGCACCGACAAGAATATTGTTGATAGGAATGTGAATGAGCTATATAAGAAATAAAAATTATAAATAAAGAAAGAACAAAAATACGCGTTACATAATCATGATGATGATGATGATGATTTATCCTTTCCCTCCCCCCGTTTTTTTTTTTTGTTTTTGTTTTCTTCATTCACGCATTTATCATCATCTCGTGTCATTCTAATTATTACCTTAACAAAATAACCCAAAGCACCAAGGGCAGCAAAACCCATAGCAACGGCTTGTGTAATCTTTAAGAATTCTACGTTTATTTTCGAAATTTAATTAGTTTTCAAACGATGAAAAAATGTCTCTCTTTATTTACCTTGTTGATCGGGCTTCTTGCAACGGTTCATAAATTGAAAGCCATCTTTGAAGAATTGCTTAGGTCCTTCAATAACTTGTTGTGCAGTGTCTTTAACTTCAGATGAACTCATAATAAATTTGGGAAATAAAAGAAGAAAATATAAAAAGAAAAAAAAAAATAAGGCAAGTAATAGATTCTATTGTAGTTGGATAAATTTAATTGGTGGTAGAGTCACACAGCCAATCAAAAGCTGTCAAGTTAAAGATTAGGTTCTACAGTTTTTTTAATGAAAATACACCGCACTTAATTTTTTTTTTAAAAAAAAGAAAAGAGAGACAATCATCGTACCTTATTTTGATTTAATTAAATGATTCTTCCTTATTTCATAAGCTAATTTTAATAATTAACTGATACAGGACAATGACAGATATTATCACGTGAATAAAATAGAAAGGATTCTCTTTGAGTGATGACTATTAATTCAATCATTCTTTCTTTCTTTCTTAAAGGATAATAACTCATAGAGGCATTTATTCTATACGACAATGATAAGATAAGCAACAGTGATCTTTTCTGGAGTTGATATAAAATGTGACAATCATCATCATTCCCTCAGGGATTATCAGTCACTTTTTTATTTTTATTTTGTTTTCTTTTACATACCTATTTCTTCTTTCCTTTGTGTGTATGTGTGTGTTTATGATGAGTGTATCAAGTCAAAAAGAGTTGAAAAAGACTTTATGTTATGGAACTATTCATAATGATGAATCCATTAGACAATACAAATATAAGCCGGTATACCAGAATGATACTAATAATAATGATACTACTACTACTACTACTACTACTGCTTGAACCACTTATAATACATCTACATGAAATAGGAACTTCAAAGAACACTATCTACATTTGCAACATTTGGTATGTTGATTTGTTCAAGTAGAAGAAGAATCCATGTATTGACTACTGCTTATTGATAGGTTTAGCTTTTACAAATATTGGTATTTTATCGAATACATCTGCTACATTTCAAACAGGTATATATTTATATGTATATAAACAGGATTTGCTCTTTTTTTTTTAAACGAATTATTTTAGTTTTACAAAGAGGGGGTCCAATGATGATGTTATTAAGTTGGAATGTTGTAGCCATCTTTATGACATGTGTAGCACTTTCATTAGCTGAAATATGTTCTTTATATCCAACAAGTGGAGGACTTTATTATTGGGTTTATGAGTTATTAAGTCAACATCCAAAAGGAAAGTCAAAAGCTCCAATTATGTAAGTAAAGCAATAGAATTTGTGTATTTTTTTATTTATTTATTTATTTATTGTTTATAGCGCATTTATAACCGGCTGGACATATTATTTTGCAAATATCATTACAATTGGTGCAACCAATGTGACAGTAGGTAAAGTATTCTTTATGTTATTTGTAGAATGAAATGAACATAACTGCTGCTAACTTGTATATATATAAATATATATATTATAAACACATACATACACATACACACACACTCTCTCTATCTCTCTATCTCTGCTGTAAGCTTTAACAATGGGTACTATTCTAGAATTAATATTAGATAGAACAATCTCAAAAGTAGGTTTGATGTATATCACGTTAGGAATCACACTATTTCATGGTTTTATAAATGTACGTGAGATGAGTATATTATCCTTCTTGAATCAGTGTAGTGTTTTTTGGTCATGCACTGGTTTATTAGTGATCATGATAACATTGTCATGTTGGGTGACTCATAGAGATGCCTTGTGGGTGTTTACATGTTATAAAAATCAAACTGGGTTTGAGAATCCTATTTATGTTTTAATATTAGGAATGGTAGGTGCTGCCTATTCATTATTTGGTAATCATAATTTGTTTTGTTTTTTTTTCTCTTTTTCTTGAACTCAATCTCTCTCTCTCTCTCTCTCTCTCTCTCTTTCTCTCTCTCTCTATTAATATAAAGGATGTGAATGTGCTGCCTCAGTAAATGAAGAAACTAAAGATGCAAACATATCATCTTCAATGTAAAAAAAAATCATTCTAAAATATATATAATTTTATAACTTTCTTATATCTTATTTTGAAATAGAGCCATGATAAGCTCTGTCATAGTCTCTTGGATTATAGGTTTTACGTTTTTAATGATTTTACTCTTTTCTATTGAAGATATTGATTCCATCTTGAACTCTAAATTAAATATGCCCGTGACACAGTTGTTTATGGTAAGCCCTCTCCTTTTTTTTTTCTTTTTTTTTAATACCTGATATTCTTTTATACACACATATATATATATATATGTTTATTAGGATGCAATTGGTGTATGGGGAGCAATAGGATTCTTAGTATTGATGTTGATTTGTCAATTCTGTACAGGTGCAACTACTGTTACTATCGCTTCAAGACAGATGTATGCACTAGCAAGAGATGAAGCTGCACCTTTAAGCTCATATCTAATGACTTTGAATACATACAAGTTACCAGGAAATGCGGTTTGGATAACGGTTTTTATGACATATCTAGTCATCTTACCATTCCCTCTATCTGAACATTTATTTGAAACTATTATAAGTGCAGCCACTATCACAATTCATTTTAGCTATGGTAATATATATATATATACAGAGAGAAAGAGAGTCAACTAGTATTACTATTATTAGTCGCTTAATACTACTTTTGTTAATAGCTATGGTGCTGGGATGTCGTTTAATTGTTCAAAGTCCAAAGAAGGGGAAATTTAACTTGGGAGAATGGAGTACGTTTATAACATTCATTGGATTTTTATGGACCGTGTTTGCTGTATTCGCATTTATTATACCTACATCTTGGCCAATGACAAGTAAAATAATATTATCTATAATTACAATAGAACAGCATATTAATATAGGATTCATTAATAATTAGATAGCAATGCTAATTATGCAGGTATTGGCTTAATTACAGTAATTACAATCACTATATTATTTTGGTTGGGATGGGGAAAATGCCATTATACAGGACCCAAATCAATGACTGATCCATAACAATTATATTACAATAGCCTTATTATCAGCATCATCATCATTCACTAGTTTATTCCATTATTAATAAGCTTATTCACAGAAGAAGAATTCGTTTTAACATCATTATTGGATGATCAATTAAGATAGAATTAAAATATATTGTCTATTCTTTATTTTCCTTCTATACAGAATAACACCATGACATATATGTATATATATATATATATAAAAGGGCTCTCTTTCTTTCCTTTTTTAGTAATAAGGAAGAGTAGAAATGAATGGTTCAATTTGAGATAATTACCATTGTTGAATTTCTCGCATGATAAAATCAAATATGATTGGTTGTATTGTTGATATATATGTATACATGTATACCTTTTTCTCATCATTCTTCACAATAAGGAACAATAGTATACATGTGACGAAATAATGATGAATATATACAAAATTTTATTTTATTAATGAAAAGATAACGTATGTACATAACTTCATAAGAAGTTTTTTTTTATTTACTACTATTACTCAAACGATCTAATTCTACGGTGATGATGTAAAGCAGTATTAAGTTTAGTCATAAATGCTTTTATAGATTTCTTTTGATGACGATATAAAGAACTGTGACTACTGTTATCACTGCTTTCACTATTTGTTGTTGCTGTTGATGTGGATGATGACGACGATGAACACCGTGAAAGAGATGACACATCTTCTGCTGCTTTAACGGATAAGGATGGTTTATCACTAGAAGATATGGAGCAACTTGAGGACGGTGATAATAATAATAATGATTCATTTTGTTGTTTTGGATTATTCAAGTCTGTAGATTGTGGAATACGATGATGACGTCTTAATTTAACTCGGGTCTTTTGCCACCATACTGGAGGACATGTTGTTCCATCACGTTCATCTTGAGCACTGGGTCGATAATGAACATGAGATGGTAAACTCATTCTACGATAAGAAGTATTGTTTGCATTCCGCTGTCGATGAATAAATTCTTTCGCTTCCGTTGTATGTTTGGTTACTGAACACGTTGGATCTGATTTTGTCCTTCTCTTATGATGATGATGATGAATGACAGAAGGAGAAGGAGTGATGAGTGTTTCTTTTTTATTATGTAATAATCCTGTTTCTTTTAATACATAGTAAAGCACTGAATAGATCCAATAGATTTTCGCTAGTATAAACGCTAAATAGACAATTAGCTGATTTGGTGTACCCCCTTTAAATTGAGAAGAATTTACTTTCATGTTAACAAAGACATTTGGAAATAAAAAGAAGTTGATTTAATATTAAGCTTATTGTTTATTTATATTAGATTAGGATGGTAAATATTATTTGAAACACCGTTAAAAACAAACTTGCCTTATTTCCAAAAAAGGTAGTAACAACTATTCCAATTTATGTAATAATCAATTCGCTGCATAAAGTTACTACTTTATATGGATAAATTATCTTTCTTTTCATTGGACTAGAATTAATAAGAAACCATGGTTTTCTCAACTATGATGATTATGTCATGTGAATCGTTTACTAAGTAATGAAGATACTTATAATATTGTTTTGAGAGAGAAAAATGACAAGTTATCAATTGCTCTAATATTATTTGTAGTATCATTTTCCTTTCCCAGCTCAATTGACAGCTTTTCTTTTTATTTTATTCTTATTTCTTTTTTTATTTTATTCATTTGGTTGCATCTTAAGTGAAGGCGGCACTCAGACCTACAGAGACTTTTCACAATAAAAGCCAAGTTCCGTACCTTACAAAGCTCTACGATAAGATCTTGGCGGTCATAGTGCTGTAAAAAAAAAAACTTCCTATCAGCCATGTTTATTCATCCAAAAAGGAAGAGATGCTCAAGATAAAAATACAAATAGAAAAATACTTTCCCAATGTACATTTCTAAAAAAAAAAGAAAAAGAATATAAGTTAATCGACACTTACCTCCAAAGGCACAGATCAACCTAATAAAGCCACGAAAATGTGGAATAATTCTACAGTTTGTAGTTGATTTCAAGTTATATTTCATTTTGATTCCATAAGATGCATAGCCAGCCGAAAGCAATTACACTATTGTATGGGAGATTTGGCCCTTATGTTAATTAATATCAGCTATATTTATTAACATTAAAAAGTTTATAAATAAATAAAAAAAAAATCAAGTCAATCAATCTTCGAATTTTCTTTTTTGTGGTGTTTTAACATCAGATCTGTTGAAACAAGGAGGAATGGTAGGTGTTGGTAATGCAAAATAAAAATCCGCTACTTTCTTTTGTCGATTCTCAATAGCTTTCATAGTTGTCTCCATCACGACTTTTGTTTTCCATATAATTTCAATGATGGGTATAATATCTACCGAGAAGGAATTGATATTTTTCGGATACTTGAAAACATCAGTGCGAACAATCCTGCTGACATATCCGACTGGAGAATCCAACATGACTACTTCTAAGTTTAACCCTTGAGTAAAACTAAGTTAGAAGACGTGGCATTTGATATCTATTCATAACTTAAAGTGCTTACCCATTATAATATACCCGATCATCCTAAAGTCTCTCAAATGGCTTAGACAGACTTTTGAAGCCATACACAACATATCCTTCATTGCCTTGGGAAGCTTCAACATTCCATCTCCCATGTACTTATCATCATCAACACCAACAGAATTCTTCCCTACTTCTGTGCATCCAAGTTCACAGTCATCATAAAAGAAGAGCATATCCATATTTTTTCTTCGTCTCATTTCCTGTCCTTCTAATCTTCTCTCACTGTTTCTTCTAATCGCAGACGCCACGCTGCTCTTCTCCCCAATCTCCACCTTCACTTTTGACCCATCAAAGACGGTATAGAGGAAATTCCAAACACGATGCTTCACTTTGCTCTCAAGAGTGTTGTAGTTGTCAAGTACTTTATACAAGTAAAGATCAGCAGCTGAAGAACATATTTGCTGTACCCATTTTTTGTCTTTTTCTTGAAAAGGATGAAATACATTGCTGTGTGCTTGATAGTAAAGATCCAAAGGCTTAACGAACTCTTTATCAAAAGAGTTGATATAATTGCTGAGGTCTTCAGGTAACGAGGGCAATGTCGTTCTGTTCGTATTCATGATCTCTTTGATTTCTTCTGTGGTGAAGTACTCCGTCCATATGCTGTCGGATACATCAAGAATTAAAGAATGAGCTAGATGCTCATAAATACAGCTTGAGGCAAATAATGCCATTTGCTTTTCAACTATCTTTCCTGTTGATAAAGTCCACATTTTTGAGACGTCCAATGATTCATACATCATTCTGCACTTCTTCTTCTCTTCAGCTGTCAATCTGTAGTTTTTGTCTGTGCTTGACTGTCTTGAGCTTGATTTTGATGTTGAAGCGCTATTTCTTGTCAAAACACTTTGAGTCTCCTCAGAAGCACCACTTGACTCATCACTGCTTATTTTTGTTTTTTTGATGTTTGAATACGCCCTACTATGACAGACCAGTTATCCTTGCTTGATTTAACGTTCATATTCAACATTTTAGCAACCATTTTAAAATCAGATTTCCATTCACCTTTGAAATCAGTAATATCCTTATCTTCTTTATATGAATCAACTATACTGTCTTGCATGTGCTTGATAAAATTCTCCCAAGTAATGGGTTGTCCATTTTCATCCAAATTCAATAAGCAGGACGCAATTTCTTTAATTCAATCGATTAGTATTAATTTCAATTGTTCTTTTCTTAAAAAGAAAAAGAAATCTTACCGTCTTTATATGTATTATTTGCAATCATGTTTTGTTTCTGTATTGATAACACTTATGCTGATTTACTTTGATTGCCGATTTAGGCACAAAATAAACTATCGTAGCCTAGAAGAGGGTTATTTTGATTGGATAATCAAAACAATTCACCGTCACGTCCTAATTGTTGCGAAGCCAATTCGTCATCACAATTTAATGTTGAAAAAATAAAGGTAAAAATATTTTATTTTCTTTTTTTCTCTCTCTAGTTTTCAAAAACACTGCGGCGTTATCACTGTGGGCTTGTGAACGTTATTCCAGTGCGATATATGGGCGTAGTCACTGTTGGTTTATGTGGGTGTCGTTTTGGTGATAAATTTAATGTTTCAATCAAGTAGCGTGTAGTTATCTCTACTGGGTAATCTGGGCGTTACCTCTGCTGATATGTTGTTATCTGTTATGGGTAATATGGAGAAATGACGTGGGATTTGTCTTTAATAGATAGTCCGGCGTCTTTTTTAAGTATTGCACTTGCAAAACAGCCGGCATTTTCCACAAATTGCGTGTATATTATTTAGCTAATAACTGAATCTTGCTCAGAAATAGCGTGGTTGATGTTTTTGAAAACACTTTTTTTTTGGGATTAGTAATACTTTCACCTTCTCATGGTTAATCCTGTTAGTATCAAAGTTTTTTTTTTCTTTTAACTTAGAGAAGCCAAGAAAAGTACTTTTATAATACATATTCTTCATTGCTAAAAATAAAAAAGAGTCCAGCAATGGTTCGTAATTAAAAATTAATAAAATCTGATGTTTTAGTTGGCATCATATCTACCTCAGTTAAATAAAGCAGAGAAGACCATCTAGACTTTCAGTTCATAGTATTACTTAAACTATTAAAAAATAAATAAATAAATAACACTCATTGATCTAATCATCAATATCATCATACTTACCATCATTGACAATAATTTTATTTAAATGCTTGTCCTTTTTTTTTTTTTTTTTTTGCACCTCAGTGCTATCAAGTATGGTCAGTCATAGATGACTGTACTATTTTCAATGTCGTCCCATCAAGTTTGTCTCTTAGTTGTTCTTGCTCAGTAGGTTGAACCTGTTGGATACTTTCACAACATCATAAGAATTTCTAAATGAAAACGATCAATCTTTTCGACTAACTCTATTTCATCCTTGTTCGTCAAAAGTTTTGTCTTGTCCTTTTTCATAAAAAAAAATAAGTATCCATCTTGGCTTTTGCAAAGAAGTTCGCAAATAGAAAAGTAAGACCCTCAAATTAAGTCTCCATGAAAACCACAAATCAGCCTGCAATTTAATATTTATTTCCTGTTCACTGAGTATCTTTTGTTGATGCTTTTTGGGCAATATATGATGATACTAAAATTTTGAATGTTACTGAGGTTTGTCTGTTTTGAAAAGAACAAGGATAGTGCACATCATGACCAATTTCATTTCATACTTGGACGTTATTTTAGATTTATCAAATACTTTGAAGTGCTCAATCAGTCTATTTCCATGAAAACTTTTTTTTTCTTTCTATTTTCAAACGCAAATCACTGTATAATTATTTCTTCGAAACCATTAGCTTGCTGTCTTCCTAAGCTTAGTGTCGACCCAATCATGCGAATTCCAATGTTCAATAAAGAAAGAAGCCCAAAGTATCAGATGGAGAGTTGGCTAGCTTTCAGGTGGACGACTCAAAACATACCGAACATTCCCTAACACATTGTTTACTAAGAAGCATACAATCCAGTGTTTCCGAATACATCATCGATTAAAAAGTACCACCACAACTACCCTGAATCAGCTCCCCAAAATCGAAACCAACTTCAACAAAACGAATATATTTATATATATATGGTCAATTGTGTGCAAAATCCTTGCAGAACTCGATGCTTATCATCATTCTGAAAGCGATTTACAACAGTATCATGATGTTTCTCATGGTCAGCTCTTTTATCAAGTGGATCACTCTTTCTCTCTCTCTCTGAAGCAGAATGATACTATTGTCTTATGTTCTCCTCCCCTCCCCCTCATATACAACCTCTCTATACAAACCCTATACAACACACTTTTCTTATTATTTCTTTCAACATATACCTCTTAACATTTTTCCCTGCTTCTGCGTGCAGGGTTTTCATATGCTTATTTCTTCCTTTACCTATCTCGAGCAAAAATGTCCAACAAGGACACTGTGTTCTAAAGAGACGTATAATAATTTCTTATAAAGAAATGTATTTTTTTTTTGATAAATAACAGTCACTACTACCTTTTTTTTTTTTAAAAAAAAAAAAAAAAAATGCTATTGTTATTTGACTGTTTATAGTTTTTTTTTTTTTTTTTTTCTTTTCTTTATTTATTTTTTTTTCTTTCATATTTTGACTGTTAAAATGGTGGCAGCTGAAGAGGAAGTAAAGGTCGAAAAGATGACTGAGGATTTAAAAGAAACTCATATTGAAGATAAGCCTGTCGAAGAGCCTGTCGAAGAAGTAACCGAGGAAGCAGCCAAAAAGAAAAAGAAAAATAGAAAGAAGAAGAAGAAGAGTGAACCCAAAACTCAAACTGAGCCTCCTACAGTCCCTGTCTCTAAAATATATACAAACAAAATTTATCCTGTTGGTGAAGTTCATGACTATATTAATGAGTATGTATTGGTTGTTATTAATTCTTTATATTGATATATAATCGAAGCTGACTAATCATCAATCATTTATAGAAACACTTTCAGAACAACAAGTGAAGAAAAGCGAGCTGCAGAACGAATGAATGAAAATGACTATAATGACCTTCGTAGAGCAGCTGAAGTGCATCGTCAAGTCCGTGCTTATGCTCAAAAGACCATCAAACCTGGCATGTCCTTGACCGAGATTGCTGAAATGATCGAAAACGGAACTCGTGCTCTTGTTGAAGAGAACGGTTTAGAAGCAGGTATCGGTTTCCCTACTGGTCTCTCTATTAATCATTGCGCAGCTCATTTTACTCCTAACGCTGGTGATAAAACCGTCTTACAATACGACGATGTTATGAAAGTAGATTTTGGCGTTCACGTCAATGGTAGAATTATTGACTCCGCTTTTACAATGAATTTTAATCCCAAGTTTGACAAGCTTGTTGAAGCTGCTCGTGAAGCCACCTATGCTGGTATTAAAGAAGCTGGTATTGATGTTAGATTATGTGATATTGGTGCAGCTGTCCATGAAGTCTATGATTCTTATGAAATCGAATTGGATGGCAAAACTTATGATATCAAGCCTATTCGTAATTTGAATGGTCATACAATTGAACCTTATCGTATTCATGCTGGTAAATCTGTACCTATCATTAGAGACTCTGGTGATGAAACTAAGCTTGAAGAAGGTGAACAAATTGCTATTGAAACATTCTGTTCTACAGGCCGTGGTTATGTTATTGAAGATGGCGAATGTTCTCATTATGCTAGAAATCAAGACGCTGGATATGTTCCTTTACGTTTAGCTAGAGCCAAGAATTTATTAACAACAATTAACAAACACTTTGGCACTTTACCTTTCTGTAGACGTTATCTTGATCGTATTGGAGAAGAGAAATATTTAATGGGGTTAAGAAATTTAGTAGATGCAGGCGTTGTTACTGCTTATCCTCCGCTTGTTGATACAAAGGGTAGCTATACCGCTCAATTAGAGCACACTATCTTATTAAGACCTACTTGTAAAGAAATTGTTTCTAAAGGTGATGATTACTAACCAATGTGTACATACATGCATTTATAAAAAAAAAAAATAAAATAAAAAAAATAAAAATACATTTGCGTATATTGAATATATGTGTATACTATACATATAAGCTTTATTATTATTATTATAAATATACACATATATTTTATTAGTCTTGACGTATTTTTTTAGTTTGTTGTCTATCATCTAATTCTTGTTTACGTTTAAGACATGCTTCCTTGATTCTAGGCATACATTCAATTAACTATAATATAATACATGTTAATATTTAAACAACTACATGTATATATAGGCTTACCTCTTCTTTTGTCACAGCATCCCGTATACTACGTATAACATTATCTACAGTACTTTGATGATTACCATCTGATTTATCATTTCTATAACGCATAAATCTCCAAGGAGATTTCAACTGTAATCTCTGTTGTATTTCAGGGTCATAATTGCACTCAATAATCTTGCCATCCATATATTTGGGCTTATCTCCAAACTGTTTTCGCCATTCTTGATCTGTAATACCTAATTCTGCAAAAAACTGATAATCATTGCCTCCTTGCCATACTAGTAGATCAATGCGAGGTTTCTCTGTAAAGTCCTTTACTCCTGGTAAATTACTACCTGGAAAAGTGAGTGAGACTTTGAAATCAACCGAGTTTTCATTCAACGGTTTCCATTTAAGCCTAATACATATTTATATGCTTTTGTAAATAACAATTTTATCATTATTAACACTTGTTTCCACTTACATTTTATCACATGTACCCATGCTGTAGGGAGCATTAACTGAGGTGAATATAAGACCATCATTACCATGTTTTAATTTAGGTATAATCTCGTTGAATACAACATCCAAGTGATGAGTAAATTGTTGTTCTTTAAATTCAACTCTATTCAATATATATAAAAAAAAAAATTAAAAATCTACAAATATACATGTTGCATATAGAGCTGTCATTTTACAAGAACGGTAATCGTTTACGTAAATGAGGATTTTTTCTAATCATCTCTTGATGTGGTTTTATCACGTCCGATTTTAAATACTAATAATTATCAGCTTTTTTGAATTAAAAGAAGCAATTTTGAAATTATACCCCTAAACGTCTCATTAATCCACGAGTTAATAACACTTTTTCTTCAATACATAAACAATCAAATAATAAAAATCGTAATTGCATCTGAAAAAAAAATAATTTCATTAGCATCTTTGTCTTGCATTTCATTTTTATGAACTCACTGTGCCATCCTCCTCTTTATCTAGAACAAATTCACCATCAATAATTGTATTTTTGAGACATTTTTTAAATGTTGGATCTCCTGGTATAGGAAATCTAAAGTTGCGTACAATGTAAAAATTATTTTTTCTATCAAACTATAGAAAACAGAAATGGTAAGATTTTGGAGTCATTAATTTAATTGATGATACAAACTAGGTATACTTCTGGCTCTTTCCTTTGATTGACACTTAACAAAGCTAGACAACGTACACCGTCTGATTTTTCTGCAACAAAGAAACTAATGATACAGTCAGATCATATAAAAGTTTCATACGAATTTGTAATTATTTACTCTTCTTCTTCAATTTCTTTCAACTGTTTAGCACCAAAACTTACAGGCTGTGCTCCAGGAAATCTATCATAAAGCGCTTGATAAACATACACATACACACACAAATATATAGACAATAATAAATTCAAGCTATAAAATAATAAAACATTTACTTGTAACTATTTAATCCTAAAAGAGATGCTACTTTTTCTTTTAATTTAGATGGATCATTGATAAATTCGCCAGGAATTTCAGGAACTGAGCTAGCCATAATACACAAAAGAAAGATGTGCTTTTTAAAAGTTGAACCAAAAAAAAAAAAAAAAAAAAAAAAAATAAAATAAAATAAAATAAAATAAAATAAAATAAAATAAAATAAAATAAAATAAAAAAGTACTTCTTGTGACGTGTGGACTGAGCTTTAATCATTATCACAATGTACAAATTTTTTTTTTGTGCAAAACGCGTTTCTTTTTTTTTTTTTTATTGTCCTTCGCTTTTTTTTCTTTAGATCTATTAATAAAATGTTCGGAAAAAGTGCATTTGGAAGTACTGGAGGCTTTGGACAACAACAACAAAATACTTCAGTATTTGGTCAACAACAACCACAACAACAAAGTGCATTTGGAGGTAAAGCATGCAAGGAAATAATAATAAAAAAAAAAAACCGAAATTAAAATTTATTTTCATTATTAAGGATTTGGAGCAACGACAACAACTCCTAGCGCCTTCGGTGCTACACCAACTACTAATGCATTTGGTCAACCTGCTCAACAATCTGCTTTTGGAGCAGCTCCAGCTGCAGGTAAGAACAGTTTCAAAAATATAAAATTAAATTAGAATACAAAGTAATTTTGTTGAATTAGGTGGCTTTGGGGCAACTGGTTCAGCATTTGGTCAAGCAAGACCTTCAGCTTTTGGAAGTACCTCAACATCTGCGTTTGGTTCTGGTAAAAATAAAAAAAAACACATTTACAAAAAAAAATAATAAAATAGAAGGAAAATAGTGTAGAAGCAATATAAAATTAACATTTTTATTTTTTAAAAATATATCTCAGCTCAACCTACTACTTCCACAGCTTTTGGAGGCTTTGGATCAAGTAAGTTTTATTCTCTCCCCCCCCTTTTTTTTAATATATTTTATACTTATGTAATAAATGTTAGCTCCATCAACTACACCAGCATTTGGAAATACAACTCAAAATACAGGTGGTTTATTTGGTCAGCGCCCTGCTACAAATGCTTTTGGTAGTACCACCACTACCGGCGCCTTTGGTCAACCTCAACAACAAACATCAGCATTCGGTATGGGAAATACTACATCAGCATTTGGACAACCTGCTGGAGGAGTCAATCAGGGAACAGCTGTAGCTGATTTTTCTCCAACTCAAGATCGTGACATTACAACGGGTGTTAATAATTTCTTCCAAACCATTACTGCCATGCCTCAATACAAGAACTTTTCTCTTGAAGAACTTCGTTTACAAGATTACCAACAAGGTAGAAAGAATGCTGGTGCTGCAGCTGGTGGTGGTTTTGGATCTACTACAACCTCAACTTTTGGTCAACCTGCTACAACTTCCGCCTTTGGTCAACCTGCTACAGGTGCTTTTGGTCAACAAACATCTGCTTTTGGTCAACCTGCTGCTACTGGTTTTGGTTCTACTAATACATCGGGTGGACTCTTTGGTCAACAACAAAATACCACTACATCTGCATTTGGTCAACCTGCTGCCACCGGCTTTGGCTCCACTACAACTTCTGCATTTGGTCAACCTGCTAACCAGACAAGTGCTTTTGGTACTAATAATACTACAGGTGGTGCTTTTGGATCTACCGCAGCAAAACCTTTCTCATTTGGTATGTTGACATGAGGAAAAAAAAAAAGCTAGGTTGAAATTTACTGATTTTTTTTATAGGTAGTACACCATCTACAGGTGCCTTTGGTCAGACTACAACTTCTGCATTTGGTCAACCAGCTACATCCACCACAAGTGCCTTTGGTCAACCTGCGACACAAACAACTGGTTTTGGTGCTTTTGGTCAAAAGCCAGCTACAACAACTACAGGATTTGGTGGTTTTGGTAATACAGGCACAACTACAACTGGTTTTGGTGCCACTACAGGCGGTTTTGGAGCTGCTGCTAGTAAGCCAGCCAGCACTTTTTCTTTTGGTGCCACTGCTCCTACAACTGGAACGACAACGGGTGGTTTTGGTGGTTTTGGTGCAACAAGCCAGCCTGCTACTACTGGATTTGGTCAGACAAGCACAGCGGGTACTGGTCTTTTTGGAGCTGCTAAACCTACTGCCCCTACTACATCCCTCTTTGGTAACACTTCAGGCACCACAACTGGTTTTGGTGGTTTTGGTACTAACACAACAGGTACTACAGGAGGATTGTTTGGACAAAAGCCTGCTACAGGTGGATTAGGAGGAGGATTATTTGGCAACAATACCTCTACTACAACTGGATTTGGAGGATTTGGTCAGCAACAACAAACTGGAAACACCTTCAATTTACCTGCTCAAGGTGGATTAACTTCATTTGGTACTAATCCTCTTCAAGCAGGTGCTCAACAACAACAACCTTTAGTTGCCACTGTCGATAAGAACCCTTATGGTAACAACCCCTTGTTTGATTTGAGTAAAGTTTCAAACACTTCAGTAAAATCAGGAGGCCCATCTGCTGTTGCTGTTGATAGTACAGGTCGTAAAACAACCCATCCTCATTACCCTATTTCACCTCGTGTTGTATCTAAAATCAAGCTTCGTGGTTTCTCATTTACTCCTGTCAAGGCTACGACCAAAAAGGTGGTTACATCTTCTTTGGAAGGTATCAGTGATGATGCAGTTCTTAGCTCTGGAGCCTTTGCTCCTCGTGCCAACAATAAAAAGTTAATCTTTGATGATAACATTGATGCAGCTAATATTGTAGCACTTGTTAATAAGAAGAAATCCGATAAAAAGAAGGTTACATTTGTTCCTGAATTAGAATCTGTTGCAGCTAAAGAAAATGCTAATACAACTACTACAATGACAACCTCTGTTACTACTACAACCACTACTACCGTCTCTGATGTTACTACGAAAGATTTACAAAATGAGTCTGTTGCAACATCCGCTGCCACCACTACCACTGCTAGCGCTACCACTACTGCTGCTAGCACAACTCCTGCATCTACAGTTGCCATGAAGAATGGTTATTACATGTCACCTAGTCTTGAAACTCTCATCAGTATGCCAAAAGAAGGATTAAAACAAGTCCATAATTTTATTGTAGGACGTAAAGGATATGGTAAAGTTGAATATATGGAACCTGTTGATTTATCAGAGGTTGTTCTTGAAGACATTATGGGAAATATTGTGGTTATTGAAGATAGGAAGGTTCTTGTCTATCCTGATCTTGACAGTAAACCTCCTACAGGTCAACAACTCAATACAACTGCTATCGTCACACTTGAAAATTGTTTTACCAAGGATCGAAATACGGGTGCACCCATTAAAGATCCTGAACATCCACGATTCAAGCTCTTTAAGGAAAAGCTTCGTAAACAACCCGATGTTGAATTTATGGATTATGACGAAGTTACAGGTGAATGGAGTTTCAAAGCATATCACTTTTAAAAAAAAATATTATCACTCTTTATATGAACAAATTTATAATAAAGGGAAAATAGGAACGAAAAAAGAAAAAAGAAAAAAAATAAATATAATAAAAAATAAAAATAAAATTAAAAAATAAAGTTTCTCTCTTTTATCCTACTTTATTTTAATGAAAAAAGTGACGTGTATGATGACAAGAAGAAAATTGACAATCAGGACATTGAAGTGACCATTGTACACTATGCTTTTCTTGACGGTCCAAATGTTCCTTTACGATATCTGCCATAGCACGAGTAAAGACAGGATCATCATTTAGGGCATCCACACGTTTCCAGCCTGTGATACCCAATGCTTTGGCCTCCTGACCATATTCATGATCCAATTCATATAATGTTTCGATATGATCGGTTGTAAAGGCAATTGGTACAGCTACGATATTCCTTTTACCAGCCTTGGCAAAACCATGAATGGCATCCGCGGTCTGTGGACCTAACCAGGCCTTGGGGCCTACTTGAGATTGCCAACAGAGACGATAAGGGTATTGATGGCCGAGTCGTGTCATGACATGATCGACAGTAGCCGCGACTTCAGCAGGATAAGGATCCCCTTGATTGACGACCGACATGGGTAACGAATGCGCAGAGAACATGATGATCGCCTCCTGACGATCCTCTGGTGTATATTCAGCCAATTTAGCCTCTATCCTTTGAGCCATGGCTTCAATGAATCCAGGATGTGTTGGCCAACGATCGATAATACTCCAATGAATATCATCCCTTTTCATCCCCGACTCTGAGATACAACGATAAAGTTCATTTAGACTACTCCCCGTAGTTGAACAAGAATATTGAGGATATTGAGTAAAGACAACTGCTCTCTTGACACCATCCTGTCGCATTTCCTCAAGGGCTGTACTCGTATAAGGCTCAACATAACGGAAGGCAATATAATGTTTATGGGGCGCTGTCTCTGGCGAGATGGAATCCAAGATCTTTTCTAATGCTTGACCTTGTTTACGAGTCCAAGCCAAGATAGGGGATCCTCCCCCAATAGCCTTATATTGCTCAATAATCTTTGGTGTTCGTGTCTTTGCAATAAATTTGGATGTATATTTTTGAAAGGGAAGTTGCATAAGGTCTCTATCTGAAAATAAATTATAAAGAAAACTATACACGTCTCCTGTTGTTTCTGGTCCACCCATATTTGTTAATAAAACTGCAGTAGGCCTTTTTTTTTTTAATAAGGGGACAAAAAAAGAAAAAAAAAAGTAAGTCAAGTTTATCCCATTTTCATATTTTGCTCATTGAAACTTACGGTTTCTTAGTATTAGGTATAGTTGTATATTGACGTAAAATAGATGAACATGCTTTATTATAATTTACTAGAATAAAATAATGTGTCTTAATATCGTATTGTTTATTCGCTTTTTTTTTTTTTTTTTTTTTTTTATTTCATTTACCAAAAGATCTTTTTAAGCAAAGACTATACATGTTTATTTTTATTCGAGTGTTGATAAAGAAAGAGAAAGGGGAAGTGGGTAACTTTTTTTTTAATTTAATTTAATTTACCAATGTAATTAACAAAAAGAAAAGAATCAAACACTTATAAATTTATACTACATTTAAAAGAACTTCTTTTTATTCTCCATTTTTTTTTTTTTTTTTATGTTTAATAATACGCGGAGTTCATCATCATAAACATCGTAGTTTAAGCTCGATCGACATTGATATGTGTGATGAGTTTATAAATCATCGGTACTTTTAACCGGCTTAATAATATAATAAGGATTAAGTACAAATAAGAATCACATTCGAGAAAAGAGTATCACTATGATAATAATAGTACTTCTTGAAAATATTACGTAATAATAACATTTGGCTTTCTTAGAATACTACAAACGCGTATTACTAATCCTCTTCTTCTGCTGCTGTTGTTGTTTCAATAACTATTTTAATGATGTCATTATTATGTTATAGAAGAAAATGAACCCTATTATACTATTATTATTATTACTACTACTACTACTACTGTTGTAGTAAATATAGAATAATATAGTCTATATCGTGTCCCCACCTTTTTTTTTTTTCCTATTTCTAATTAATAAAAGAAGAAAACTGACTGTAGTCATCCAATTAAAATTCATCCTAATTATTAATAATAACAATGATAGGAGGAAAAGAAGTTAAAAAAAAATGAATTTATTATAACTATCATCTTTGTAAATGAAGCGTTCTTTTTAATGTCCCTTTTACTTTATGTATAAAATAGATACTAACAAACATAGCTAGTGTTAAATAGAACATGGGTAGACGCATAGAGAATTGATTTGTCATATTTTCATTCCAGCCCATCACGGCTACTAATAGTACTCCACCTATATTTCCTATTGTAAATAGATATCCTGTAGGTATGATTTCACTGATAGGAAAGAATAATTCACTTGCGAATTGAAAGAAGGCGGGTGAAATAGCTATATTTATGTTAATCATAATGAAAACTTGACTTCTTCTTTATATACATGTATTTATTTATTTGTAACTATTTTACCATAAGATGTTAAACCAAAACTGATACAGGATAAAATGACGCCTTTAAAAAGTTTATACTGACAAGATATGAATAGTCCCAAGACACTGAAAGCTGTCATTATACATAATAGAGTACATGCTTGTTTATATCTTAATGTTCTATCTAAATAATAACCCACTAAAATACTAGCTGGAAATCCTACAAGTAACATAATGGCACCTAATAAGCCAATATGCTTTTCATCAATGACATGTTGAAAAGGCGGAATAAGGATTTGAGCTAATAGAGTTATAATCGTACATTGAGCTCCCATGATGATACCATACGATCCCAGCATGTAAATAAACTTTTTCTGTTTCCATAACTGAGCAGCTTGTTCAGATGAATTAAGCTCATTTATCATACTAAATTAGTAATATAATAGGTAAATCATGTCTATAGATTATGATAACTCTCTATACTCACCTTCGCCAATAAGGTGCTGGTCTTTGAAAAGCGTACCAAATTAAAATAAGAACTACTAGACATATAATAAACTATACATGAAATAAATGACTAACATTCTATTCCTATTCCTATTAAAAGTACCTGCGTAAATAGTAAATGTGGAATATCTTTATTTCGTGTAGATTGTTTAACAACAAGAGGTGTTAAAGCACACCCAGCTGCAATGCCAAGATTATTAGCAGATACAGCAATAGATGTAGCAATATTAATCTCTGTTTCTGGAAACCACGCAACAGCCAATCTTGGGGGAATAGATAACATAAATACTTGAGCTACATAATAAGATAGATTAGTCCAAAATAAAAAAGTATCATCATTAAATATATCTAACCTAGTGCTGCTATTGTTTGTCCAAAAAATAAGGTAATAAATCCATATAAAGATGGTGTAGCTCCTAGCCAACGTATTCCACCAGCTATTGCATTCAAAACTGCTCCAATAAGTATGCCACGTTGAAGTCCGTTCCCCACACAATCTTCAAAATATTTAAAGGTAAATTGAATGGCAAAAGGGTAAATTAACATATAAATAGATGACAAAGAATTAATAGCATTGGTTGTTGATGTAGTTGCATTTTCAAAGTAATACTGTACAAATATATACAAACATGGTGCAAAGGTGATCCACCTAAGGTAGAATGGGTATAGGCAGTTGATGTGTTTAATGTTAATGTTACAATAAAAATAAAATAAAATAGATTTTTACAAACATTAGTGCACTAGAAAACGAAAAAAAGGAAAAAGAAAACAAGACAAGCCAACGCCAATTGTCTTTTCGAGTTGTAACGAGTAAAGGAGCTTCTTCATCATTCTGTTTAAGCATTGTAGATCTCACGAAAGAAAAAAAAAAAAAAAAGCGGAAAATTAAAAATAAGGTACACCAAATACTGCTTCTGTAACAAAATTTATTCTTTTATTTGTTTCATCATAAAAATAAAATAAAATAAATAAATAAAAAAAAAGAGGTCAATGTTGGATGCTCATCTAATTTTATACTATGGATCGATTTTACTATTTGCTTATATGCTTTTAAAACTTCGACGCTTATTCAAGGCACGTAAAAGATTAAGTAAAAATTTACGATCACAATTACATTAGAATTGGAATAAATTCAGTAATTTATGGATTATTTCAACGCGATCTTTTTTTTTTTTTTTTTTTTTTTTTCTTTTTAATAAATAAAAATGTGTATATTTATAAAAGTAGTTCTCTTGTAGAGAAGCGTTCCTTTGATGGTGCACTTCCTTTCTTGTGAATTGATAAAAATAAAAGTTATTACACTTGTATGTAAACAATGATGCGTGGCTAAATATTTAAACATTTTAGTAATTAATTGTGGACATAATTATAAGCTTTGACAGAAAAAAAGATGTTGTGCTTAAAGGATATTCGATAGCTGCTTTAGCCCCTCTTCCTTTGATAGCCCTTATCTTTAAGAGTGTAAAGAAAAAATAATAATATTTATTTGTAAATGAAAATACACATTGTTAATTTAAGGAGTAAACAACATTCAGACATGCGTGTGTAAAAAAGATGAAATAAAGTTTAGTGCGTTCTCCTTTAAAAAAAAAGGAGAAAAAAAGTACTTTTTCTTATCTTTTTTATCTTTTCCTTTTCTTTTCCTTTTCTTTTCTTTTCTTCACAAATGTTGCCTTTTTTTTTTTCTTTTTTTTTCCTAAAGTTAGAGAAAGTCAGGGTTATGAAGTGTGCTCAAGTCACATAGCTTGGCTTACTTGGGAGTGTAGAACTGTCCGTTTATAACATGGCTAAAGGAGAGGGCCTAGACTCTCTTTTGGTTACTACATGCATATCCGCCTTCACCTTGGGTTATTGCAACCTTAGATAATTGATGGGACCTTATCGAATTTTGACTGCTCAAGTTTGATTTATTTCCAAAGGAGGAGGGAAATAAAAAGGATACTTGGGGTTGGAAATTGTAAACCTGTTCCTTTTTTAGGGAGATTAGCGTACTCTTTGTCTGCACCATTGAAAGGGCTTATCTCAAGGTTTAGTTTTTCTGTTTTTCTTTTTGGAGGTTTTTCCTTCTTTTTATTTTTATCTAGTTGCTGTTTATAAAATAAAAATAGATAAGGATGCACAGCTTACGTTTCTGACCGTGGTTTTTTCATCTATTTATTTAGTTGAAGAATCCCAACTTGTATTTACTGTTAAGTCAAAAGTAGATGCTAGGGGTCAAAGAAGGGACATTCTCAGGTAAACAATAGTCAGGTCGTGCACTTCATGTATCTGGATTTCTTCCACTTCGCCACGCTACAGGTCAGAATGTTTAGCCCGGCTTCCAATGAAACTTACATCCAACTGTATTTTTTTATTGGGTTATGGGGTGAGGAATCCTATCTTTTTCTTCTAGCAAGGCTTGGGCCAGGTTGGACTTTGCCAAGTGTCTACTAGTTGAAATTGGACGTTTATCTTTCAAGTAGAAATTTAGAGGGAGAAGAAGAAAAAAAAAGCCCAACATGGGTATTGGTTTATAGAAAACTTATTTTTGGGATTAGATATGCTTTCACCTTCTCGTGGTTAATCCTGTTAGTATCAAGTCTCTTCTAAAAGAGATTTGAGAACTAAGAAAAGCATCTTTTTTTTTTATAATATTAATAAAAATTAAAAAAATAAAGACTTTTTTATATGATAATTCTTTTTTTTTTCATATAGCTTCTACTTGATTATTTATAATTTTTAAGACTGTGCATTATATAAAAAATAGACATAATAATATTGTAAAAGAAAAGCCTTCTTCATCTATGATAAATATACAGGAGGCAAACTAATATTTTTTTACTCTTCCTGAAATTTCGTTATTTCTGTTATTTGACGCTAATACATGTCTTAAATTTGCAGGAAAAAGGAGATTATTTTACTAATGATTTTATTTTCCCACAAAATAAATTTTTGCACTATAAACACTCTATATGCCGACATGAAAGCTCTAACAGACTATACCTTTATATAGGCTACGTTTATGTAATCTATGCATAATATATAGTTGGAAATGTTTAGCAAGGGAAATAATTTGAAATGATAAATATGAATGTATATAAATGAATACATATTCTCATTTTTCTTTTCTATTTTTTTTTTTTAAAAAAAATACATCTTTACTTAAGAACTATGACTTCTGTTCTTGACCAAATAAAGCAGTTTACAACAATCGTCGCCGACACTGGTGATTTTGAAAGTAAAATTATGAATATATACTTTTTTCTGATATAATTAAATTCTTATGATTTGGTTCCTCCCATTTACATATATATATATATATATATATGTATAGCTATTGCAGAATATAGGCCTCAGGATGCTACTACTAATCCCTCATTAATTTTGGCAGCTTCTCAAAAGAGTGAATATTCCAAGCTCATTGATGAAGCTCTTGAATTTGCCACAAAGAAGGGCGGGTAAAGAAAAAAATAGTGATAATAATTACAAACCTTATTTAGATATCACTTATTATCATTATTCATCATATTCATCATCATTATTATTATTAGTGATTTGCAGGAACAAGCAGAATGGGCATTCGATAAACTTTTAATTAATTTTGGTAGAGAAATTTTAAAAATTGTTCCGGGCCGTGTCTCAACAGAGGTAGATGCTCGTCTCTCATTTGACAAGGAAGGAACGATTGCAAGGGCAAAGCGTTTAATAAAGCTTTATAAGGATGAAGGTATTGACAAAGAACGGGTATTGATTAAGATTGCCTCTACCTTTGAGGGAATTCATGCTGCTTATGAACTTGAAACACAACATAACATTCATTGTAACTTGACATTATTATTCAGTTTCACCCAGGCTGTTGCTTGTGCAGAGGCAGGTGTTACCTTAATTTCGCCATTTGTGGGTCGTATCTTAGATTGGTACAAGAATCATACGAATGAAGAATACTCTGTTCCAGAGAATGATCCTGGTGTCATCTCAGTTACAAACATTTATAATTACTATAAACAATATGGATATAAAACTATCGTTATGGGTGCTTCCTTTCGTAATACAGGAGAAATTGAAGAGTTAGCCGGCTGTGACTTCCTTACGATCTCTCCCAACTTACTGGCTGAACTTCATAAAGATAAAAATAAGAAAATAGAACGTAAATTAAGTCCCGAAAAAGTCAAGAAAATGGAAAAGGTATCTTATTTTAATAATGAAAAGGCTTTTCGATGGAGTCTTAACGAAGATGCTATGGCTACTGAAAAACTTGCTGAGGGGATTCGTAACTTTGCCAAGGATGGTATAAGACTGGAAGAAATGTTAAAATCAAGATTGCAATAAAATAATAAATATACGATTTTTCTTTGCTCAACGCACACACACACACTCACACAAAAAAAAAAAAAAGGTATAATTAATAAAAGAATATATCATTGGGTGATACATATCTGCATTTATCATATTGAATTTTTGTGATGTCAATAATAAATGACTTTAGACAAACTAAGAGAATAAATAAAGGATGATGTGCAAGCAATGTCCTTTAATTGTAATAATATTCAAGTCTTTAAGCGCAATTATTAGATACTTGATAATTAGTTTCAATAGAAAGACGTTTATAGACACAAAGCAACTACTATCTTGTAATAGAAAAGTAAAAGTATAGCAGCAAAAGTTGATTATCTTCATTTCCTTATTAACAAAGTAGTAATTTATTTTTAATATCGAACACATTCATTTTCTTTTTTAAGAACTATTTATCTGAGTCAGTATACGGATCGAGTCCAAGTTGACATATAATGTATCAAGAAAACTGCAAACCCATTTTTTTTTTTTTTTTTTTTTTTTTTTTTTAGCGAAATAATGTAAATATTATCAAACATGTATCCAATCATAGTAATATATAACGAAAACAGACCAAGTATCTTTATTAATAAAGAAATAAAATCTCTACGCATAAATAATACCTTCCGTGTAGACAGACAGTTCTCGTTTTGAAATATTGTAACGTATAGTGTAACAAATGAATAAATTTATTTTTAAATTCGTTTCTAATTATTGATCTTGATCCGCTTATTGACATTATTATAACGGTCCCGTTCTATTCAATTTAATCTTTTTAACTGAAAACTAGTGTTTAAAGACTAATGAGGCTTGTAATCTTCGGTAATGATGGATGTCTATACTTGTGTAGAGTGGCTAATTTTTTTTTATTTTATTTTCTTGTAGAATATGAATGGATTACACAAAGTATATAAAATAGATTAATTGGTTGGCCAATGTAAACTCAAGTTCAAGGGGGGGGAAATAAACAGTTTTATGTGCAAAAAAGAAAAAGAAAACCCAGCCTCATTAAGGTGATACAACTAGTAAATAACAATAATAAAAGAATTCAAACTAAACCATTACTTTTTGTGTCTTTCTTTCTCTTTTATATATTTATAAATTAAAAAGGGGAAAAAAAATGTATCAACCGCCTCTAGGTCAAAAACCAGAACATGATCAGTTCCCGCTTCAAGATACTCAATTTTCAAACCAGCCACCTATGAGTCGTTCACCTTTTGATGATGATCATTATCCTGTAGATCAAAATACTCCATATGACCATCAACCACTTTTATCATCTACTATGCATCAACCTTCACCTTATCCTCCTTCAAATCACCCATATCCACCAAGCCCTGGAGATAATTCACCCTATCCATCCTATGGTAATAGTTCCCCAACTACCCCTCAATATTTCAATCCTCCGTCACCTAACATACATTATGGTGAAGCACCCAAACGTCAACCTCGCCGTTATAAGACAAGTAAGTTATTTCTTTTTATATATATATATATCATTTACAGCTGTAGAGATTAAAGTTTATTTATTCATTTCACAGCCAGACAAGTTAAATTAACAAAAGGTAATTTGGTTTTGGATTGTCCTGTTCCTACAGCTTATTTAAAGGATGTACCAATAAAGGAAGGAAAGGAATTTACACATATGCGTTATACTGCTGCTACTTGTGATCCTAAAGATTTTGTTAATGAGGGTTATACACTTCGACAGCAAATGTTAAATCGTAAAACAGAATTATTTATTGTTTTAACTATGTACAATGTAAGTTATTATTATGATTATTATGATGATCTTAATCTTTAATGTGAAATGAATAGGAAGATGAAGTTTTATTTACTCGTACTATGCATGGTGTTATGAAGAATATTGCTCATCTTTGTTCTCGTGATCGTTCTAGTACTTGGGGGCCGGCTTCTGGTGGACCTGGCTGGCATAAAGTGACTGTATGTATTGTATCTGATGGGCGTAATAAAATTAACCCTCGTACTTTGAATGTACTGGCACTTTTAGGTGTTTATCAAGAAGGTGTTGCGAAGAACGTTGTTCACGGTAAACCTGTCACTGCCCATATTTATGAATATACAACTCAAATTTCTGTGGACCCGGATATGGAAGTAAAAAAAGCTGGTTCTAAAAATGTCGTACCCTGTCAGCTTCTGTTCTGTTTAAAGGAAAAGAATCAAAAGAAAATCAATTCACATCGTTGGTTCTTTCAAGCCTTTGGTCCCATCATTGATCCCCATGTTTGTGTCTTAATTGATGTTGGTACTAAACCTGGTGGGACATCTATTTATCATCTTTGGAAATCGTTTGATATTAATTCTAATATTGCTGGTGCTTGTGGTGAAATTCGTGCTATGTCAGGTACAGCAGGTGTTGCTCTTCTTAATCCTTTGGTCGCTGCTCAGAATTTTGAATACAAAATGTCGAATATCTTAGATAAGCCCTTAGAGTCTGTGTTTGGATATATCTCTGTCTTACCGGGTGCCTTTTCCGCCTATCGTTTTAAAGCCCTTCAGAATGATGTTGATGGACATGGTCCTTTAGAAAAGTATTTCTTGGGTGAAACTCAACATGGTGGTGATGCAGATATTTTTACTGCTAATATGTATTTAGCTGAAGATCGTATTTTATGTTATGAATTGGTTGCTAAAAAGAATGCTCATTGGGTTTTACATTACGTTTCAAGTTCATATGGTGAAACAGATGTACCAGACAAGGTAGACGAATTTATTTCTCAGCGTAGACGTTGGTTAAATGGTAAAAATAATGAATGTTGGGAAAAAAAAAAAAAAAAAAAAGAGAGAGAGAGAGAAAAGTCATTATATTAATACTCATATATAATCATCATTTTTATTAGGCTCATTCTTCGCTGGTGTTTATGCTCTTTATCATTGGCGTAAAGTATGGGCTTCAGATCATTCTTTTATTCGTAAAATAATGTTCATGTTTGAAGATGTGTATAATACATATAATTTGATTTTTTCATGGTTTGCAATGGGTAACTTTTATCTCACGTTTTATATCTTAACCCGTGCCCTCGCTCCTGCTCAAGATGGTCAACCTGGCCTCACGAATGCTCCTTTCTCTTATGATATCGCCATGTTACTGCATAATATCTTAAATTACATCTATATTATTTTGATTGTCATTCAGTTCATCATTGCTCTTGGTAATCGACCTCAAGGTTCAAAAATCGCTTATACATCGTCTATGATTTTCTTTGCATTATTGATGATATACATGATGTTTGCAGCTATTTGGATTACTGTTGTTGGCGTTACGACTATTGTTGAAGATTCAGAAGGTCAATTTATTCAAATGCTGGGTCAAAGTACGTTTAGAAATATTATCATTTCACTATGTGCAACCTATGTTATGTATTTTGTTTCCAGTTTTATGTTCCTTGATCCATGGCACATGTTTACAAGTTTTATTCAGTATATTCTCTTGTCTCCTAGCTATACTAACGTTTTAAATATCTATGCCTTCTGTAATACCCATGATGTCTCCTGGGGTACTAAAGGTGATAATAGTGTCGCTACGGATTTAGGTGTAGTTAAAGCCAAAAAGGACCAATCTGGTGATTTAGCAGTTGAAGTTGAAGTCCCCGTTGAGGAAAAGGATATTAACTCTGCTTATCATGATGCACAAGTAGAATTAACAAAGAAAGTTGAACCAGAGAAGGCACACCGTGATGCAAAGACAAAACAAGAGGATTATTATCGATCTTTTCGTACTAGACTTGTCTTATCATGGATTATTACGAATTTAGCTCTTGTTGTAGGAATCACTAATACTACTGTCATAACAGCCGGTGATCGTTCAGCGGCTTATCTTGGTTTTGTGCTTTGGTCTGTGGCTGGTTTATCTTTAATAAGATTTACTGGTTCTACGCTTTACCTTATCTTCAGAATCTTCACGGGTTAAAGACATAAGCAACTGAAATTTCATTGATGTATTATATTAAATTGTATTAAAGTTTTTTTTTTTTTTTTTTTTTTTTTTTTTTTTTTTTTTTTTTCTGGTTATTATTATGCTTTATATCGTTAAAAGTATATATTTTCATATTTGAAATAAACAGGCCTGCAGTATATTTTTTTAAAGGGCTACATTAATTTATCAACACACACATATACAGTCATCGCTTATTCTTTATTATTATTTTTTCTTTTCTTTTTTTTTTTTCCTTTTTTTTTTTTTTACATTAGAATTGTTGGTATTTTATATATTTATGTTTAAAATACACCTAAGTAGGTACTTCTGTAATTAAACTAGAATCATTAGAGACTATTGTTGTAATTGAGTCCGTATTAGAAGCTGAAGGCGTAGCATCTACTTGTTCATTAGATTCCACATTAGAAGCTGAAGGCGTAGTATCTATTTGTTCATTAGATTGCACATCATTACTTATTTCTTCTCCGTTAGAAGACTTATATACTTCTTCCTTAGGCTGTTTTTCTTTTTCTTCAAAGAAATGATTATCGACGATATATCTAAGACATTGCAAAATAACATTTTTTTCTTGCATGATCTCCTTTTCTAGTAGCTATTGGGGAGGGGGATTTTTAATCGTTAATACAAATTAAATCCTTTGACTTTTTTTTTTCCTTTACCTTGTATAATAAATTGGGTCTTTTTTTACTAAAATGTGTAGTTCTCGATTGTTTGGATTGTTGTTTTAGCTTTGGATCTGGCTTTTCATGCGAAAATGTACATTCATCGCCTCTTTTACATTTACCCATCATGAAATATTTACATCTTGGCTTAGGTCTGTTCTCAGGTAGTGAAATTTTGCCCATAACAGAGGGATCCTTTGAGGTAACAGCATCTTTTTCAGGATCTATTAAATCATCTGAATCCGAATCTGATGTATACTGTCCTACTAATGTAGATCCCTCCACTTTTTGCTTCTTTTCCTGATTACTATGATCATGACTTGATCTACGTTTATTTCCTTTTGCTACTAATTCTCCTCTGGCTCTTTTTTCTGCTTCCTCCTTTGCCTTTCTTTCGACATTTGCTTGACTAGGCCAATTTTTCTTTCTAGCTGCAATCCATGCCTCTAACTCTTCAGGCGTTTCAATTCTAGGCGCATATGGTGGCACTATACCATCTGGCCGTGAACTAAAAAACAAAAACAAAAAAAGAAATTAGATATGTATATCTGTCTATGTAAAAGAAATTTTAATAATCAACTTACGGCTTTTTTGGTGTTTTTCTTTCTTTTCCATGATAAACTTCTGCATGTTCTTCCAAGACGGATGGCAAACACATAAAATCACAATCTGGGCATTTAATATGAAGTTTTTCATGCTGCATTACAGCTTGTATACTTTTTAGCCAGCGATAGCAGCAATACTTGGGCCTATTATGTAATAATAATTATTAAATATTAATATTATTGTTGTTGATTTTCTGTTTTACCTGCTAAGAGGAGTTTGTGCTTGATTTGTATTTTTTGATTCACTTTTATTAGTATTTACAATAGTTTTAACGTTTTTTTTAGCATTAGAATTTGTTGATGCTAAAGTTAGATCATTATAATTAACAATGGATCGTTGACCATAGGCTGAATGATAGTTTGCATAGTATCCCATTGATGATAATTGCTGTGCTTGTTGTTGCTCATAAATTGAATTTGTATTAGATATAGGGTGTTGATATTGAGGCTGTTGCTGATAAGCTTGCTGATATTGTGATTGCTGATGGTATTGTTGTTGTTGTTGTTGTTGCTGCTGTTGTTGTTGCTGATATAATTGTTGCTGATAGGGTTGCTGATATTGATACATCATAGTAGATAAAGCTGCAGCTGGATCTCCCTGAGGAACCTGTAATTGAGAAGGAGGCTGTTGGTAATATTGAGAGTAATAGTAAGATGAGTACTGATCATATGGGTATTGTGACTGATTCAAGTTGACATTATTATTGTTTCTTTCCATGATCTTTATGTATGTTCTAATTCAAAAATTGTAAAAGAAAAATAAAAAAATTTTATTTTTTTTAAAAAAAAAAAACATAGTGCTGAATTTTAAAACCATCCCCGCTTTTCAATACGATTATCAATTACATAATACAATTGAGATCTGTATACACATATTCATCATATAAAAAAAAAAGAAAGAAACTGAATCACATCCTCTTATACAATTATTATAAATAATGCTCATTAATATATGCTCTGGCTCTTTTGAAGTTTTCATCTGATATATTCCCCCATATTTCTGCTATTTTTTGATATTCTTCTTCATAATCTTCCCTATAATTTTCAAGTTTTGGCAGTCTTGCGGTATCATCTGTTTGAATCTCTTCTTCGTGATAATTTAACCACACAATATATGGCTCTCGTCTTCTTCTATCAATATTGAATAGTTCATAAGGGTTTAAACCTGAATTATGTTCAGATGTAAACTTTTGCATCAATTCCTTGTTAGGCAGATAGGAATGACCTGACCAAACCCGCGCAACAGCTTGCGCTTGTGTATCAAAATGAGACCATGTAACGAAATAAGGAGATATACCTACAAAGGTTAAAGTAGGGTCTGACATTAAGAAGATTTCACGGTAGACATTCAAGGGGACTTTGGGTCCCTTAACCACATGACTATCAGGTACATCATCATCATAAATAGGTCGAGGTGTAGTAAATACATTTGCTTCTTCTAGCTGACCTTTTTCGATAACTAAATCTCCGAGAAATGGCATACGATCCATAAAACCTGTACAAAAAATGATATGATCGATATTATCCAAAGCTGTGCCATCTTCAAATACTATAGTGCCGTCTACTTTATCGTTTTCATTTGAGAATGAGGCTATATTGGGCTTAATAATAACTGATTTTGGAATTTTGGAACGTATCACATTAAGAATAGGTACAAGCGATTCAAAGGGTCCCCTAAGGGTCATTGTTATTGTTTTTGCAAATCCTTCAAGAGACCTAACAATGTCTATAGCGGAGATACTACCACCAATAACTAAAACATTCTAATACATATTTGTATATATACATGTATACATATTTATATTTATATATCACTATTTCCTTTTTTTTTTCTTTTTTTTTTTAAAAAAAAATAATAATAATAAAAAAAAAAAGAATAATTTTATGCACATACTTTATCTTTAAAATCCTCAGGCTGTCTAAATTGCTTTGAGTGAGATATTTTAGAAGGGAAAAGTTTATTCCACTCTGTAAGGTGCTTAAAATCAGGTACAAAAGGATCTTGATAGCAACCATTTGCAATAACAACTGCATCAAATGTTTCTTTCCATCGAGTCTCTCGAACCATACCACTTTCATAAACCTCATATTTGCAAAGTGTTAACTCCCAAGTTTGATCGTCTTCAGGATGTTTTCTAACAAGATCCACACTTGTATCAAACTCAATTAACGATAAAAGATCAAATTTAGCAGCATAGTCTTGAATATAGTGTAAAACGTCATGATGTGGGCAAAATCTAGGTAGACCCTCTGGAAAAGGGAAATCAGGAAAGCCGGAGAGATCAGTAGCAGTATTAGTATAAAGGTCTCTATAGCATGCAGAGGGTGGACATTTATTTAATAACCTATCTTTCACTTCAGGAGTCATTTCATAAAGTCTTTTTTGAACTTCTTTTGACGTTAGCTCCAAAGCTTCTTTCTCAGTCTCTCGTGTAATACGAGAGCTAGGAATCTTAGGCTTAGGTGGCGCTCTCTGGGAGTAAATCCTGTTATAAACAAACAAACAAACAAACAAAAAATATAGACTTGAATATACGTATATACTTTACAGCCACACCATTAAATAAAAGCTTACCAAAGACCACCTACTGTAGAATTTCTTTCAAATACTCTAACATTAAAACCTAAATCTTTTAAATGCCTTGCTGAACATAACTTTTGTGTATACATATATATAAATATATGAAAATAAGTCAAAGATGTATTGAAAGAAAGGAAAAGCAATTACCCCTGAAGGACCAGCACCAATTACAGCAACATTTGTTATTGGTTTCTGAAATATATATGGGTTTTTTAAAGCAGCTTTTGATTCTTCTAATGCTTCTCTTGTAATTTCTTCTAGACTTTTTCCATTAACAGGTAAACATCCTTCTGAAACACATTTGTTAGTCATTATCACAATAAAAAAAAAAAAAAAAAAAAAAAAAAAGAAGAGGAAAGATAAAAATAAGATGTTAATTTGAGCCCTATTATAACAAGAGACTGCATTTATCACGTGGTATCATCAGATGCCTAAACGTTTATGAAAAAAAAAGAGAGAGAGAGAGAAGAATACTATTATGAATCAGTAAGAAAAAGACAAGGTGAAGATGCTATTTGTAGGAAAAAAAAAAGAAAGAATGAAATAAGCAACTTCAAGTACAATTTTTTTTGGCCCGTATTTAGATGAAAGATTGTCTCAAGTTAATATGAAAAGACATTTAGTAAGTCTAAGACTGATGGAGATATATAATTTAAACTTCTTGGCTGATAAATGACTTCAAATTAATAGGTAAAAGACACTTGGATTTTTCTGGCAATAAATATTATTAACAAATATATAGCCTTTGTATATTTAACTGTTAAAAGCATTATTTTTTTTATAAATTATATTCGACTTCTTGTTTTAATCCCAAATTATTCTTCCTATAATAGTTATATACGTCTTTAATCCCTTTTTATAATTTGTTGTATTGCAATATGGCACTACTTTTACCTTTCTTGTGTTTAAAGATGCTATTAATTAGCTATGTTTTTACACCCTCTTTCTTACTTACGTGAAAGCAAATCTTGAGTAGAAATAGAAACATAGAAATCAAATCCTTGAAATTCTAGAGAAGAAAAGTGAATAGCTTATTTATATTTTTATCAACAACTTTGCTATTTTTAAAAAAAAGGAAATCTTTTTTTTTAAGATATCGTTCTAGCCTTTTGATTAATTTGATTGATTTTTTTTTCTCCTACAGTATATGTTCCGATTCTTACATCCAAACAATGACCTTGTATACTTTGAGTCGGTTGATATCAATAGTCTTTATTTTAACATTTTTATTATTGATTAATTTTACATTAAATGGGACATCAGCATCAACGATCTTTTTGTATGCAATTAACAAAAGATAATCCAAGTTATTTACTCTTAAAAGCCTTTGTTGTATATTTAATGATGTATTACATAATATCCTATAATAGACTGATCAGAGTCATGAAGGACCGAATGATATTATAGTTATTAGTTGTAGACTGTATGGATACAATATTATTTGGTTTCAGTTTATAAGACATTCTTGTGATGAGAAAAAATAATATTATAATAAATATCAACGTTACGAAATAATGATAAAGATATATGCATCGTAGATTGTACCTATTAGTTATATATACGCATTATTATTATAATATTGCCCTAAAATACTAACTTATAAATATAATCATATACTATCTATACACTATACAATATAATGAAATTCATTCAAGTAGTACATTGAGGAATGAATATAATACAAAGCATCTTCCCTATATCATTCACTAGTATGAACAAACGAGATCTCATTATTTGGCTTCAAGAAAAATAACCGGCTAGATCGAGCACGAATAATTTAATATTTATTAGAGTGAGTTAACTGAGATTAATTCTCAGTCAGGGCAAAGATTAGAGAGCTCAAACAAAATAACTTTGATCATTTTATGGGAAATATTCTTCTTTCATTCTGTTCCTGTCGCGAAGTAACCTGTTCTCCACAAAATATAAATAAGGATCCATTTTGCAGTCATTTTGAGAAATTTAATTAAATTTATTCTTATTCACTTTCTTCATTTTATAAAGTTTTCACAGATTTAATCTGTCTTTTTTTTTTTTTTTTTTTTTTTTTTTTTTGTAATCTAGATTTGTCCAGTTTAGTTATAACAAAGCAAATAATCAGCCAATAGAGGTAGAGTAAAACTTGCCGTTTAGAATCAATAGTAGATAACATAAGGAAATCAAGAAGACATCATTCATGCGTTATTACTATAGTCATGATTTGTCCCTGTTTTCACACGAACTTAATTGTTCAAGAAAATTTAATATAAATACTAAAAAATTATTGATTTTGAAAAAATAAAGATAGCCAATAAATATTATATAATCTTTGTTTAATACTCTTTCGTACCTCAAGAAGTAAAGAAACGACACATTTCTGCACACCTCTCCCTCTTGAATTGCATCGTACAGAGCCTCTCGGATATGCGGCAGTATGTTCAAAACCCATTGATTGGATAGTTTCAGCATCACAAAAAATAATTAAAGTTCATATTTTGATGAGCATGTTGAAGCAAATGCAATGTTGGAAGGATTTAGGTTTCGAAGCTGAACTCACCAATGAAGAAATCCAAAAAAAAAAACACTTCAGCTTATGAAAAAAAAAAAGATTAGCAGGAAACTATCAGAGGCTAAAAGGCTAAAAATTTTCCCCAAGTGTTTGAATATGGATAGTGTTTAAGTATCAAAGAATAAAATTGTTATAATTTGACACAAAAAACTTGAACTATCTAACTAAAAATTGAGTGAGGACCAAAAAGTTTGAATAAACTAAAGTTTTTTTTTGTTTGTTTGTTTGTTTGATTAGTCAACTAAAAATCTTGAATTTTAAACGCAAAATGCTGTACATTGTGTTATAGACTGGGTAGACTTATATAATATTTATATGAATGACCCAAAGTTAATAGTGACAGTATTTTGATTCATGACAGTAGAAGTTAGTGCCCAACTCTTACATACACATACACATATATACAAACGTACATACATTAAATCAAACTAAACAATGAATTGTATAGAAAACTGATATACTTATTAAGGGTAACTCTGATAAAGTAACAGTAAAATATAAAGTCTACTATCATATAAGTTTTGACCTTTGTTACAGAATAAGATAGCCATCAAGTTTTCAGAATAATGCATTATGACGTATCCTGGTATACTTTATAAATCCTTATAACATACGATAATAATTAATACTATTCATGATTTATCTCATGAATATGTTACATAAGTGATTATTTGTCAAAAATTATTGCCAACTCTCATTTGCTTGCCAACTCTCATTTGCACATCCAAAATAAAAGGATATCATTAAATCAATAATATGGGCAAAAGTTCGTTTAATTTAGTAGATTCAGCATAATAAGGAACAAAAATTTATCGTTGTTATTGGTGATATTGATATGACGATATGTTAGAGTCCTGGGAAAAAAAATAAAATAAAATAAAATACATACATTTCAAAAACACATACACGTTTATAATGCATACTATCCCAATTGGTGAATTCAATATTTAATCAGTAGATTTCTAACCTATTGGATCTTTGTTTCATAGATAAAATTTATTTGCCAATTAATAGAAAACCAACGAGTTAATAACATAGAATAAAGAATGACTAGCAGAGAAGATTATTAATAGATAAATAATGCCTTTCTTGTTCAAGTCTAAAAAAAAATGAGATATTTTTTTTTCTAGAGAACGTGACAGAATTTTTAAGTAATCATAAAGTGTCACCAAGCCCTTATTGTGCAAGTCTGCATTAAAATTTTGATTTCCTTTACTTTAACCAAAGAGAGTCTTTATTTAATTGAATTTGTAATTTTTTTTTTATTCCTTTAAAGTATACTAAGATCTATGTTAACAGAGCCTACTGTTTAAATTACCCCTAAAAATCAGAGTATAATTCAGTTTTGAAATGAATTCATATCTGCTGCTTTCTATTTTAGAGCCCTTTCTATACTTTGAATCGATTACATAGTACATCATTTCCCAGCTTTGAGATTATAAATCAGTGTTTTAATTGAAAGTATGAATTCACGTAAAATAAAATTCTTCACTATGGATTAGATAACCTTCAACTGCTTTTCTTGATCCATCATTAGTTGTTCTTGTCTGATAAATGAGTTATAGGCAATTATTACATTTCATAAAGTTATTTTCCAGCGTGATGCCTTTTATTTATTTGCTTTTCATGGTTATACTAATCATTGTCTATAACTCTCTTGAGCAGCTCATTCAGTGATCCCAGTTTTTGCTGCCAAAGAAAAAAAAAAAGGGGGGGGCTTAATTTTCATATAATATAGAAACAAAGTTTTTTTTTGTCAGCTGTATAGATAGAGTAACTATTACCTTTATTTGTTTTGAGAGTTAATAATTTGTCTGTTTTCTCAGTTACAAGACTCATTCTACTCCTCAAGTTTTCATTTTTAGGATCTAGGTCAAGTAGAATAGTCTGTACATCCTTATAATCTGTTGAATTGACCAAATTCTAAAGTTTAAATTCTTCTCCCTCTTTAGTGTTATAGCTCATACACTTGTTATCGTATTTCGTAGTTATTTTACCTTAGTTATCCTTTATTAAAAATAGAAGTGTATTGTTCATGATGAATATGTTTTTAGTAATTGAAATATGCTATTTGGATTTCAGAAATCCGCTGATTAAAATTGAGAATCCGCCATTTGGGACTGTAGTAAGCGATATGCTATATCAAAAAAAACAAACCTTAATTAGCGTATAAATAGGTATTTTTGTACTCATTTCTCCAAAGTTCTTTTTTTTTTCTTCTCCTTTTTTCTTTTTTACATTAAAAAAAAAAAAAAAAAAGAAAAGAGTATACGTAATCAAATGAGTACGACACCTACTTCGGAAAGACCTAGACGTCTTTCTATGCCCAAATTGACACGTCGTTTAACCAATGTCACTATTCATGTTGATGATGATAAAGATAAATTGGAAACAGTAACTACCTCAAGCATCCCATCTAGTAAATCATATCATGTTCAACTAGACCCCGAATACATGAATGAATGGAAAAAACTGATGATACCCAAGAAAAATGATGTTCAATCCATCAAGTTGGATATTGTAGAACATACAATAGATACCCTTTGTCGTAGTCCTTTTAATTTAGATAAACTCGCTGTGTATCAAGCCACTGCCTTTTCTGTTCGTGATCGTCTTCTTAAAGATTGGAATGAAACTCAAGAATCTGTATTTAAACAAAATCCTAAGCGTTGTTATTATCTATCCATGGAATTCTTAATTGGTCGTGCCTTGGATAATGCCTTACATTGCCTTGAGATCAAAGATGCTTATAAGGAAAGCGTAAAGGATTTGGGATTTAATTTAGAGGATCTGTTAGAGGAAGAACGAGACGCAGCATTAGGTAATGGTGGTTTAGGTCGTCTTGCTGCCTGTTATATGGATTCAGCTGCTACTTTAAATTTTCCTACATGGGGTTATGGTTTACGTTATCAATATGGTATCTTTAAACAAATTATTAATAAGGAAGGTTATCAAACTGAGATGCCGGATTATTGGTTAAATGCAGAGGGGAACCCCTGGGAATTTCCTCGTAGCGATATTCGTTATGAGGTTCAATTTTATGGTTATGTAGCAACCAAAGTAAATGAAAAGGGTGAGTCACGTTTGTCATGGGAAGGAGGGAACAAGGTACAGGCAATGGCATATGATGTTCCTATCCCAGGATTTGATACAAAGAGTTGTGGTAATATTCGACTTTGGTCGGCCAAGCCTTTAAAGACCTTTGATTTTGCTTCCTTTAATGATGGTGACTATGATCGTTCTGTAGCTGATCAGAAGGATGCAGAAAACTTGACCTCTGTACTTTATCCTAATGATAACCATATTGTTGGTAAGGAACTTCGTTTGAAGCAAGAATATCTATTCGTGAGTGCCTCCCTCCAGGATATTATTCATCATTTTAAGCGTTCTAACTGTGCTTGGAAAGATTTTCCTGAAAAAGTGGCTATTCAATTGAATGATACCCATCCTACCTTGGCTATCCCTGAGCTCCAAAGACTCTTGGTTGACGTTGAGGGACTTGATTGGGATGCAGCTTGGGATATTGTGACTCGTGTATTCGCATTCACAAATCATACTGTTTTACCTGAGGCACTCGAATGTTGGGATGTACCCATGATGGAGAACTTACTTCCTCGACATATGCAAATTATCTATGATATCAATCTCTTCTTCCTACAGAAAGTTGAAAAAGTGAACAATGATCGTGAATTATTAAAACGTGTATCTATTATCGAGGAAAGTTCACCTCAAAAGATACGTATGGCTTATTTGGCTGTTGTAGGGTCACATACTGTAAATGGTGTCGCTGCCCTTCATTCTGATTTAGTCAAGAAGGAGCTCTTTAATGATTTTCTTCATTACTATGGTCCTGATAAATTTATTAATATCACAAATGGTATCACTCCTCGTCGTTGGCTCTATCAAGCTAATCCTGATTTACGTGACTTGATAACTGACACCTTGGGTTCTAAACATTGGGTAACTCATCTCGACGAATTAAAGGGACTTAAGAAATTCGCAGACGATACAGAGTTTCAAGAGGAATGGATGAATGTCAAACTGAAGAACAAGGTTCGCTTGGCTAAATGGATTAGAGATAACCTTAGTATCACCGTGGATCCTCATGCTTTGTTTGATATCCAAGTGAAGCGTATTCATGAATATAAACGTCAATTTATGAATATTCTAGGTGTTATCTACCGGTACAAGAACATCAAACTACTCTCGCCTGAGGAACGTAGAGAGATGACTCCTCGCGTTGTCATATTTGGTGGTAAATCTGCACCTGGTTACTACATTGCCAAGTTGGTTATCAAATTGATTACTACCGTCTCTGAGATTGTGAACAACGATGAATCTATTGATGGTCTCTTAAAGGTTGTTTATATTCCTGATTATAAAGTGTCTCTTGCGGAAATCATTGTTCCTGCCTCTGATCTATCTCAACATATTTCCACAGCTGGTACAGAGGCCTCAGGTACATCTAATATGAAATTTGTCTTGAATGGTGGCGTTATTTTAGGTACAGTAGACGGAGCCAATATTGAAATTCGTGATGAAATTGGAGAAGAAAATATATTTATGTTTGGCACCTTGGCTGATCAGGTGGCTGACATTCGTCATCAACAGAAATATCGTGGAGTTGAGATTGATCCTAATCTTCAAGTTGTACTTCAAGCTATCCAAAACGGTGAATTTGGCGATCCCTCTGTCTTTGGCCCTCTCATCAATACCCTAACCTATGGTGGTGACTACTATTTAATCTCTGTTGACTTTGAGAGATACCTTGATGCTCAAGATCAAGTAGATATTGCTTACAAGGATCGTTCTCTTTGGGCTAAAAAGTCTATTATGTGTACTGCTGGTATGGGCTTCTTTTCTGCTGACCGCTCTACGCGTGAATATGCTGAAAAGATTTGGAATCTGAAGCCATACCATATCGATGATGAGTAAAGCATCTCTGCATCCACTTGAACCCTATTTAATACAATAAATATTATACATATAAAAGTAAATTGATAATTTACTATTATGTATTCTCAACAATAATAATAATAAAAAAGTAGTTTTCAAATAGTTATCTATTATACATTTATACATAAATATTAAAACTTTTTGTTAAAAGGTGATGGCATACTGATTCTCATTAAGAATCAAATATTCTAGATAACTTTCGAGTCAAATCCTTAATGAATTACTTGGCAGAGACGTTTGGACTATATCAAGATTAGAGCATATTAAAATATAGGATTTTAAGCCCTTTTCTATTTATTTATTTTTTTCTTTTATGCAAGCTCATTTTTTTTTTTTTTTGAATAATAACTTTGAATATATATTTTTAGGAGTTGTTGGATAGCCTTTTCTTTTTTCATAGGAAAAAAAAACATATCCTAAGCACGTCAAATACAGTAACATAATTATTAATAACTGCAGGCTTAAAGGACAGGAATTAAATGCTGCAAATGAAATGAAATAAGGCACAATTGTTATCCACTACCTTGTTATTCCTTTGCGTGATGTGACTGTTTCTCAAGTAGTTTTTTTTTTTTTTTTTTTTTTGTTTAAGAAAAAAAAAATTGTTGTAATATTGTTTTATAACAATTGTTAAAATAACGTTTAAAATGACTGAAGCAGGTTTGTCACAAATGAAGTTAAATAGCTACTTTTATTTAATATATAAATATAGAGAACAATTCAGAGAATGAAAAGAAACGCATTATGGAAGAGTATGCAGAATGGAAAAAGAATGCACCTCTTTTATATGACATGGTAATTACACATAATTTAACATGGCCAACATTAACTTGTCAATGGTTACCAAAAAAAGAAGTGTAAAGTAGTTATAAACACAAAGAAACACATATACACATGCACAAAAAAAAAGGAGAATATTTAACCAGATACTAACATATATGTATATATTTATATATAAAGTGAAAATGAATATATCAAACAAGAAATGCTGATAGGAACACATACAAACGACGAAGAGGATAACTTTGTTCAATATTTAAATATAGACATTCCTGAAAAGGGATTCAATACACCACCGGAAGAAAAGAAGACAAAGGTGTATATTACACAAAAAATACATCATGAGGGAGAAGTGAATAGAGCGCGCTATCAGCCTTCAGAACCTAATTTGATTGCAACAAAGACACGCGATGGAGATGTTCTCATATTTGACCGTATGAAATCCAAAGTTGATGAAGGAACATGTGATCCTTTATTAAGATTAAAAGGGCATACAATGGAAGGTTATGGCTTAGCTTGGAATCCACATCTTTCGAAAAAAAATCATTTATTAAGTGCTGGATTTGATAATTTAATCTGTCATTGGGATATTAGTTTAATACCAAATCAAGATAGAGAATTACAACCGTATCAAAGATATGAAGGTCATACAGGCTGTGTAGAGGTAAAAAAAAAAAAAAAAAAAAAAAAAAAAAAAAAAAAAAAAGATAAGCTGTAAAAAAAAGAAAGAAAGAAAGAAAATTAAATCAAGAACTTTTCTGATTAGATATTATAGGATGTTAGTTGGAATATGGCTAATAATTCGATATTTGCTTCTGTAGCTGATGATATGAAATTAATGATGTAAGAAAGAAAGAAAATGTTCCTTTCCTTCCTTCCTTCTTTTCCTAATATTTATTTTTATAATAGCTGGGATACTCGCCATCCAGTTAAGCCAGTTCAACAAGTAAAAGCACATAATAATGAAATTAACTCTGTAGCTTTTCATCCTAAAAAAGATTGGATGCTGGCTACAGGTAGTTCAGATAAGGTTTGTGAAATAATAATAATTCAAATTAACATGACTCATAATTTATTAGACTGTAGGATTGTTTGATATTCGTAAATTAAATACAAAATTATATTCTATGGAAACACATGAGGGAGAAGTAACACAAGTTGCTTGGAGCTCCCATGAAGATCCTATCATTGCATCAGCAGGTACAGATCGTAAAATTATTATTTGGGATTTGAGATGCATAGGTCAAGAACAAACTCCCGAGGATGCTGAAGATGGACCACCAGAAATCATGGTAATAAGTTTAATATATTTATAAGCATGATTCATCCTTATATTTGCATATATTTTTAGTTTATTCATAATGGACATACAAGTCGAATTTCTGATTTTAGTTGGAATCCTAGTGATAAGTGGGTTATTTCAAGTGTAGCAGAAGATAATGTAGTTCAAATTTGGCAAATGGTAAATTACTAAATAAAAAAAATAAATACCTTGTAATTAATACTTTCTTATATTAGTCAAGTCATATTTATGCAACAAACACGGATAATTCACAAATCATGCCATATCAATTAGAATAAATAATAAATTTAATCTCAGAATCAGTTAAATATTTCATTATTTGGCTTGCGTCTTCCATCCTGTATAATAATATAAACGTGTCGTCATAGGGTTTTCCATATAAGGTTATAATTTTTTTAATATTAAATGCCCGGTATAAATGGTAACAAATTATATTGATAAAGCACGAAATTTTTGAAGAAATTTCTTTGGTTGTCATAACATATAAAAATTATTTCGTTATTATTATCCAATCAAAATTATAAATCGTTCTATCTCGTTCCAAAAAGAAAAATTAAGGGGAGAAGAAATAAAAATGAAGAAAAAGGGCTGTTTTTTTCAATTTATTCCTAATTTCTATTCTTTCTTTTCTGTTTAGCAAAACAAAAACAAAAATATGAGTGATCTTAACTGGTGTACATATTGTGATAAAGCTATTAGTGTTCATTCAGTAAGTATTTTAATTATTATTGTTGTAGACTTTTTAAACATGTTTCTAATGTTGTATGTACAATTTTTTTTTAGAACTCTTTATATTGCTCCGAAGAATGCCTAAGAGCTGATGCTTTAAATCATCACCCGTTATTAGGTTATGATTATGCTGAACTCAAAGGCTTTCCTCATTCTTCAACTTCACCTACATTAACAGCCTTGTCTTCTTCTTCTACAGTATCTTTATCGCCCTTATTATCCCCTATTCCTTCATCACTAAAAGAACCGTCCACATTTCAATTAAATTTTGACAACCACGATACGAATAACAATTCTCTTTACCAACATATCTATCAACAGAAGCAACAGCAGCAAAATAATCGATGTATTCAAAAAGAACCTTTTATGATGAATACAAATAAAAATTCACTTATCTATTTACAACCGTGGAATGGTTAAAACCAGGATACTTTCCTTTTGAAAAACTGAAGATGAAAAAAAAAAAACTTATGTCTATACCCTGTTTCTCTTAATCTGTTAAATAATTACAACTTGCATTTCCTTCTTTTAACTACATATTTATTTATTTATGTTTTCTATTCGTTTTATGAAAAGAAAAAAAAACAAAGACACTCATTTCATTGATTAACAATTACATATAATAAAAATAGTTATCATAGTTTTTTTTTCTTAAAAAAATAAAAAATAAAATAAAATAAAATAAAAATGACCCTGGTTCTTATCAGATTTTCTTTGAAATCTTATCAGATTTAATAGAATCTGAAACCAAATTAAATGAAATCGTAGAATATTTTATTACTTTTATATATATATATAATTATACCTATCAGATAAAGGTAGTGGGATTATTATTTTTATGAATTGTATCTGTATCATCCTCATATGATTTATCACTCATTCTTCTCAACAGATGATCATAAGATATATTAGAATCTAATATAAGGGTTGTATTATTATCATGAGGATGTCGTGTAACATCCAATGACTGCTGTAGTACTTCTTGCTGTTCATTAGTGGCACTGTTGTTTCTTTTATCGTGCTGTTCTTGTAGTGCATTAGATGAATGACGTCTAAAATCATGAAAATGTGGCTTTTTTCTTTGATTAAAGCAGTGTTCCCATACATTCAATGTATTTAAATTAGGTAATTGAATATAAATATCTGTCCAACCTTGACCATGTATCTTGAGCACATAATCTTCTAATTTAGCAGAATAAACGGTTGCTTGATGATAAGACATGACTGTTCCCTTTTTTTCATTATCCTATTTAATATATTATATATTAAAATAATACTTGTTAAAAAAGAAAAGAAAAGACATACCGAAAAATGTGAAAAATAACCTAACCAGGGAAATAGCATAACATGATTCATCTTCCATTGAGATAAATAAGGAAAATAACGAAATACTTTTCGAATAGGCATCTCTCCTTCATGTACTTCGATAAAATGATTAGAGTCTCCATTGTAATCTAAAGTAGTAGTGCTGATAGCACTAGGCTTTCGTCTACGTAAAGTAGGATCATCATATAAAATAAGATCATCTGTTGCTAGTATTTGATCTAGACTAAGTAACTCGTTTATACCATGATTCACTTCTATATTGCTGTTATTATGATAATCACTATTAGAAGCATTCATAAATGAAAAGAGACTCCTATGTGTCGGTGCCCCTGTTGATTTCTCTTGCAATTTATCAACTTCCTCTCTTCTTTCTTTCAATTTGAATTTATAGAAAGAAAATAGTTTAGGTAAAAATAAAATCGTTAGAGAAAAGGATGCTGCCCAAAGAATAGAGATAACATCAATGTAGTATTTTGTATAAAAGTCGGCCAAAGGATTTACAACAACGGCAAAACCAACTAATGCTGAAAATAGAATATTACTATTTATATGAACAATAATAAAAAAATAATAATAAGCAAATTATGTATGTATGTAAATATATGTAAATATCTTACTATACAGATAATCCCATTTGTCTGCATTCACTATAACGACTGTATTGTTTACCAGCAAACCGAGTCTTGTATGCAAGAAATGTCGCAAATAATAATAAACAAGCAGCATAGATAGTTGAAAGAATCATGAACAATAACTTATTGTTGCCCTGAGGCTCACATGTCCAATAGTGATTAGAAAAGGACGCCTGAAACTTCGTAGGAATTGGTTTTGATACAATTAGACCTACTATTAAAATCATCTACGTATATAAAATCAATAAACAGACATGACTCTATATTACGTAATTTATATATTTATTCTTTACCATTTCAACGCCAATTAAAGCAACTACAGTTTTAATTAAATGCATATCCGTAATAACATTTCGCGTTATAAAAATATTATTAAAAATGTGATAAATCCGATAGTTTTTTGCAATCATATTTCTATACAAAAATAAAATAAAATAATAAATACGCTATTTCCCACTCCCTCCTCCTCCTTTTTTTTTTGTATTTGCATACCCTAAAATTAATATGAAACCTAAACTAAATGTAATAGGCTTCACGATACATGTAGTAGTAGTAGGGATACCGATCATCATGATAACTGAAAGATAGGTTAATATAAATCCAACTAATTCTAAACAACAAAAGAGAGGGCTATAAAGAAAAAGAAAATGTTATAAATTTAAATCAAATATTTATACATATATATATAGAGAGAGAGAGACAGAGATTTATCATGATACCTTGCCGCTTTAAATATTTCATTTTTTCGGTTAATTAATACTACAAAGAAACAAGCAAGTGAAAATAAGATACCAGCAGATGATAAAACCAAGATTGCATGAGAAATAGGAGAATTTATATCTGGGTTTAAAGCTGTACTTGGAGGTGAATCAAGAGGAGGCTATTATAGATTTAAGGAGAAGGTACTTTATAATAATAAAATTTCTGTTTATTACCTGACTTGTTCCATCAAAAAATATAGGATTTGCGGTCATGTTTAGAATACCTCCAGTACTCTTACCAACGACATTTTTGATGCCATGTTGTAAATTATAAACTAAATAATTACTGGTAAATGTCAAAAAAAAAAGGGGAGGGGGGGAGGAGAGTAAGAGTAGAAGTTAAAAAAATATATATATATATACATATATAATATAAATATATAAAAGTCGAAATTATAAATACATACCCAGTAGTTAAATCACCATTTGAATCATATAACATTGGTCCTTGTGGCCCAACATATCCAATATTAAACGCAGTTGGTAACATTTCATCACCTAATTCACCTAAAGCTAACCTTTGCAGTTCTTCTGTTTGATTTTTACTATTATTAACAATTTTCCCAAAACCTTCAGCCATGATCATCATGCATGAGTATGCTAATCTATTGTTATAAACAGTAATTATTATACTATACTTATATGCATTTATATTAAGAAAAAAAAGTTACCCTTCATAAGATGTTGTATTTCTATGACCAGCATATGGATAACTATATAATAGGGTTAAGATATACAATATAATTCATAAAATTGCTTATTACGCATTGGGATCTAATGTAAGCCATTTATTCATAAAGTTCTCAAAGGGGTCATATCCATCCAAAGATAACCAATAATCGAACATAAATAGACCTTGATAATCCAAGTCATAATTAATTGTATTATCAGTATGATTTTTATTATAATGAATGACTGCAGCTTCTAATTGTTCTGATGTATCTCCTAACATAAGCCAAACATAATCTCTATTCACAAGGCCCATATTACGAGCTTGAATCATAATTTGTACTTGTGGTTTCACTGTTGCTGCTATCATGATGATACGTGCACCACTATTCGATATATTTTTTAAAGCATTCATAATATTATCCGGGTTATTAGAGGTTTCAATGGATTGGAATTGCAATATATGAAGATCCATATCTGCAGCTTGTAACAAAGCCCTTTGATAAACTACATATATGTATATATATATATATATATATATATATATGTCAATATATAGATAATAATACATGTATCTATATATAAACATACACTGTTGACCAAGAGGATCATCTGTATACAAAATTCCCAGCTTATTCCATCCTTGTTTCAATGCAAAAGAAAGCATTACATCTGCAACCAAAACTTGAGTTGGTATGGTCCTGAAAAAATATTTATATTGAGTTTTATCAGAAAATGCAACTATATACAAATCAGTCAATAAAAGAAAAGTAAGAGAAAGGAAAAAAAAAAGGGGGGGAGAGAAATAAGAAAATTATCTTACTAGCATTAGTAGTGAATGAACATTGAGGTATCTCTAAAGTCGAAGTCATAAGGGCACTTAGACTCGTCCAAGAATTAGAGATATCACCGATGACACCGATGACGCCTTGTTGTAATAGAGTAACTGATGCATAAACTGCATTTGTGACTGACATTTGGTCAAGAGAAGAATCGGGAAATGAGTCTTTTTCGATTAAAGTAATGTAAGCATTGGGTATAATTTGTTTACTATTGATCTCATTGACTGCCATTCGAATGGCTGATGAGCCACTATTTAATATTTATTAAATGACGATTGGTCTGCAAATAAATACATGTGTATATATTTGTATATTTATTGAGTTTACCCCCAAACTATTTGAGCCGTAAGATTATCATTTATTTGTGTAAAAGGTAATAGGATACCAATCTAAATTAAGCAATAAATATAATAAATTATTTTATGCTCAATGAAAAAAAAAAAAAAAAGCATGATAATTACTTTTAATTCGGTCTTTCCTGTTGTATTATATTTCGGTATAATAAACACAGTACTTTTATCAGTTTGATTAATATTATTTAATGTATCGTCTTTTAATAATCTTCCAAATGCTAATGAGTTGAATGTTGAAGAATCCTCAAAAGGTAGTTGATGAGCCATAGTTAAAATAAGTTAAGAAGAGTCTTTGGTTTATTTAAAAATTTACAAGATATTATTATGATTAACTTTAATGAATAAAAGAAAGAAAAAAGAAGTAAGAAAGAAAGAAAGAAAGAAAAACAAGTTAAAATAGAATGCATGCAAGTTGATATTCATCATTCGGAACAAAATCAACAAAAAAAAAGGGGGAAGGAGGAATAGAAGAAGGAGGAGAAGGAGAAGAATGGAAACTGTTATGTACACAGAGCTTTTAAACTTACTTTTCATGTCAAAACTACAAATTAATAGAAAATTTAGGTTTATTAATGCAAGTCTATTAAAGTTAACTATGTTGAAGAGTTAATCATAATTAAAGAGATGCATTTTTATTGAGTCTTTTTCAAAGTAGTTTTTCTTTTTTTTTTATTGTGTAATTTATTTACTTTAATAGTCTTAATCCTATTAGCAATTTCGAGAAAAGTAAAGTACATATTAATGTTATTTTTATTATCAAACTTGACTTGCTAGCAAATCTTCAACTAAGTTTAATTGATCAATTTTATTATCAATGATACTAATGAGATCGCTTTTTTTTTTCTTTGTCTTTATATGGAATTTTATATTTATATCATTTATACTTGTGAATGATGTTTGATTAGAATTATTTACCAAAGAAGATGTTCTCGATCAATTATATGTGATATAGAATGTTTTATTATCAACAAGTAATGTCATATATATTTGTAAAAGATACAGCAATTAATCTATTTTATGATATATGCAATTGTTAAAAAAAAAATTCCCTTTTTATATTATTATAGACCACTAGATTTACGTACAAATTGTTCTAGAAACAATACGTATAGTTGAGTCAAATATTCTTAAAGATGTAATATTATGAGTACATGTTTATGTTGCACCAATTACTATATTAAAATCCCCAACTTTGATTGTTTCTATTAATACACAATAAACTAAAATGCATAACAAAGCAGATTGATGGCCTAAATAGCCTCAGAAATAGACTGTTTATTGATGAAACAATCTATTTGATATGATTAGACTACTCTACATGAATATAATCCTAAATCTTGTAAAGTATTTTAGATGGACTCTACATGTATGTAGCAAATCCTAAAGAAAAAGATTTTTTTTTTTTTTTGAGGAAAGTGAAGGTAATACTATGTTATAGCCTTACGTTTACCAATAAAAAACGCCACCTGAGAAGCTTGTTATAGGGCTTTTAAAATAAATTCCCCTTTTCTTTTTTTTTACATGTAGTACTTTGTGATTGCTACAAAATTTTCTAGTTTAATAAACTACAAACTAATATAGTCTCCAATTCAAATAAAGCGTCTTCTTATAATAAATAAAAATAACTATTCTATTCAATTTTTATTCTTAATCTAAACTTTATTTACTTGTATATGGTAAGTTAGTTTTATAATTACTTTGTACACACTACACGTAATTAAACATTTTCTATACTTAATATGGCCATATTATATAGAATATATACATGTTTATATAAAAATATAAAGATTTTTTTTTATTTCATTTGAATTAAATAAAATACGTAAAATACTGTATTTATTGTTATTGTACAAAAGGGGAAAAAAAAAAGAGAATAACATATACTATATACCTATATGTATAACATATTGTTTATATTTGATCATGACTATGTCGATCTAAGCGTTGCAGCCAGTCTTCTGGTATTGTGGGAATGACACTTCTTTCTCGTGCATTTTTCTCTCTTTCTGCCTTTATTTTTTGCTTTAATTCATAATATATAGTGTCTGATAAACTCTTATTATTCTGATCTTGCAAGGTATCCTGTGTTATATTCACCTTATCATGACAACTGCTACTATTCCAACCTGAATGAACCATGTTAGTTGTTGTTGGCAAAGAAAATGGTAACATGTATTTTGAATCTCGTTTTTCAACAGTCCATTCTCTTCCTACATCATCTTCACTATTATTACTATTATTTATAGTCAAACATACATCATCTTCAGAGTGATCGGCTCTATTACTACTAGAGTAGTCCATATTCTGTATTGGCATGTGTGATACCGTATTATTATTATTATTATTATGCTGCTGTTGTTGTGATATACTATACATCAAAAGACTACCTAAACTAGAGACACTACTGGGTCGACTGCTGTTATTGTTACTTGTAGAAATAGAATTCTTTTCCTCTTGCTTTTCAAGTTGTATGCTTTTTAGTGTATCCTCTGCTATTTGCATTGTATATTTTTCAATTTCTTCTGGTATCCTTGACTCTGAGACCTCATATCTATAATTTAAAATGAGACGTTTTACTTGCATAGGATTCAATAAATCAAATGATTTGATAGTGCTGATAAAATCAATCAACTCTGCAAGTTGAGAAACACATTGTAATAATTGAACTAACTGAATAACGGGTTTAAAATATGCATTTAATGATAATGGAAGTTGATGCTCTCGAATCCATTCCTCAATTATAGTTAAATTCATACGTATCTGTAAAGCCCTTGAACGACAAAGATATTTTCTATTAGATAGGATAATATTAAATAGTTCACAGGAGAGAAAATGAAAGAGCTGAGCAATTGCTTGAATGACAATGACAGGCTGAACGTCATACGATTGTAGGACATAAAGGGTAGATGTGAGAAGAGAGGTCACTGATTGAGGTGATAAACTGGTTCGATAGAGTGGTGGTTGCAAGGATGAGTAGTCTATTGAACTTGGTGTGCTACAGTTAAAGGATTTTCGATGATGTGTTGAAGATATCGATGAAAGTCGATTTCGTCTAAAGAACCGATGCCAATCATCAGCAAATTCAACAACGTCAAGTCCATCAATTTGTTCAAACTCAAGCATAGATGGTTCAAGGATACAGTCTATTCTCCTTTCAGAATCAATAATAAGTAATGTGTATGCTTCAGATATAAGTTCCGAAATCTCTAGTTGATATTCTGCTGTAGCAACAACTAAAACCACATCTTTCTTTAAATAAAATAATAATTGTGACAAATTAGCAATCCAAAAGGCTAAAATGTGAATATCACTTCTATTTGACTTTGATAATCATATACATTTGTACATGTATATAAAGTTAATAACAAAAAAAATTTTTTTTAAAAAAAAAAAGAAAAGTAAAAATGGAGGGGAGGAAAAGACTCAAAGTTACCTTCACTATGTACTTGATTCTTTCGATTGCTTTTGATAATAATTGATATACAAGTTCTCTATTTGTATAATAATGAGCATACCTTGCACATAAAAAAATAATATTTGCAGGCACATAAATTTCTGATCTGGCGTTTAAAGGTAATTCAAGATGAGAAATAGAAACATTTAAAATATGATCAATATCCTTTTCAGCAAAGACAAACATTTGATCTGGTAAACATTCATCCCAGTTAAACTTATGAACTGATCTAAAGCTAGCTTGATACTCATTAAGCTCTTCTTGTTCTTTCTCCTTTTCTCCTTCTACTTGTTGTTGATTGCTACTATCTGTAATCATTTTCAAATCATCTACTAAGAGTATATTTGATTTTATTCTATTTAATTTTCTTTCCTTCATCTTATGAGTCGACTTGTCATACAATATAGACACAATTTTTTCATTTTCTGTATCTACAAGGTCATAAATTGTTCTACCACTCAACGATTTTGTTTCTGAGGAGGCACTATAATCTAATAAAACTTGTACAATCTGGTTATGACCATTTGTAGTAGCCCACATAAGCGCTGTCCAGCCAACTAAAACCATACATATATATATATGTATGTATGTATAGTATGTATAGTGTGTATAGTATGTAGGTGAATTTTTACATTATGCATGCAAAACTATGCTATACAGATTATCACTTACTTTTATCTTGTACATCTAACTTGGCTCCCATCTCTAATAAATATTTTACGACTTCAAGCTTACCAAAACAACTTGCATATATAAGTGGTGTAGAGCCATCATCATCTGATACATCCAAATTCAAATATGGACTTAGTCTTTCATCCATGATAATCTGCTTTATCATTTGTATATCACCATGAGAAGCGGAACGAGACAGTATTTCACATAATTTTTCTTTCTTTTTATCGTCTTCATGCATACTGAAAAAATCATTCAATTGATAATGATAATAAAAGGTGGATTGCTCTTCATTATCGTCTTGTTGAGAAGTAGTAGTCATAGATGATAAAACGGTTGAATTAGAGAATAAAGAACTAGAAGAAGACCATGATGATGTAGTACTTTGCGTATTTTTTCTTCCTCTACCGTTATCATCACTTGTATCTTCATCTATACTTAATCCGTCTAGGCTTAATGTTGATATTGAGTAATACATTTTGTTGTTGTTGTTGTTGTTGTAGTTAATTAATATTGAACACACACACACAGAAAAATATTAAAAAAAGAAGAATAAAAAGTCAATTATACATGAATATTTGTATATAAAGTAATTCAAATGCGTATAATATTTTTATTTTTGATTTACATTGTACCAAAGCAAAAATAAAGGGGGGGAAGAGAGAGAGAGAGTAAATAAAATAATAAGGAGAAAATGGTAAAAATAAGGGAGAAATTTCAGGAGTAGGCTATGTCATTTATGATGAGTGAAGAATACATATAACATTAAATAGCTCGATTTATAATAAATATAATGTTATATATTGGACTGTTAATCCTAAATAAAGGATTACTATAATTTGCTTTTATCATCTATTTACTTACAATAGCCTCCATTATTAAGCATAAATCCTAATTGTATTATACTCGGAAAAAAAAAAAAAAAAAAAAAAAAAAAGAAAAGAAAAAGAAAAAGGAAAGCGGTATTTAAAAGGCGGAAGTGGCATTGTTGAGAAAGACTAAAAATATATACAGATATCGATATATAAATAAAGGACGTAGAGGCATACAATATATAAAATAGAAAAAAAAAAAAGAAGATTCTTTCTAGTTATCTAAACTTTGTTTATAATTTATAGTAACCTTTAACTTTCTATTTCAATAGGAGCTATTAAGGAAACACTTGCATGCATTACCCCAAATACTATTTGTGACAATAAAACAATAAAAAGAAAGCCTAATCTCAAACAAGATGAAATCTGACACAGTTTTTTATTATTATTATTATTATAGAATTATCTTCTGATTTTTTCTTTTTCCTTTTCCCGCCATTTTCTATTGTTAAAATGAATATTATTATTTTTTTCCCTGAAGTTTATCGACTTGGTTTTTTCTTTTAAAATTTACTCTCTCTCTTTCTAAAAAAAAAAAAAGAAAAAGAAAAAAAAAGGAGGAGAAAGTATACGTGTTCAAAAAAAAAAAAAAAAGAATGATACCGCGTTCATTATATAGGTTAGTGACACTCAGTCGTCCAACAAATGTCTTACGCTCGCCTAATGTATTATCAGGTTCAGTATTGTATCAAAATCTAGTTAAAAAGGGAAGTCATGCTAGAATAAGCAGCTTTTTCTCAACAGCATGTCTACAGCAACAAGCTAAAAAAGGGATCTTATATAAACAAAGTGCTCAACTTGTCACTTCTTTCACTTCTAGTAATGGTTTAAAGAAGAAATTTATGTCTACCATAACTGCTGCTGCTGCTCGTAATAATATTGTCAAAACATCTTCAACTACCACCAAGTCCGTTATTACACATACAAAGCCTATTGTTGCTTATTGGCTCTATTTTAATGCTAGTTTAGTATTCACAATTGTTGTGGTGGGTGGTTTGACTCGATTAACTGAATCTGGGTTATCTATTGTTGAATGGAATGTTATCTCTGGTATGAAGCCTCCGAGATCTGAAGAAGAATGGAGAGAAGAATTTGAAAAGTACAAACAATATCCTGAATATAAATTGTAAATACCTTTATTATTTGCTTACCCCTCCCCCCCTCTCCCTCCCCGTTTTTTTTTTTTTTTTTTTTTTCGTACCATAAAAGGGAGGAGAAGAAGAAGGAGGAGGATTGCTTTAGAATTAGACTAATATAACAATTATATAGATTGAATCGTCATATGGAACTAAAAGATTTTAAAGGTATTTTTTATTGGGAATGGGGACATAGAATGATTGGACGTTTTATTGGGATGACTTTAATTTTACCTGCTATTTATTTCGCTCGACGTGGATACATGACAAAGAGAGTTCAAAAGCAAGTATTATTCATTGCTAGTGTAATGGGCTTCCAAGGTTTCATGGGTTGGTTTATGGTAAAATCTGGTTTGAGTGAAGCCTTAATGAAGGAGCCTGGTGCAGTTCCACGTGTGAGTCAATATCGTCTCACTGCTCATCTCTGTACAGCCCTCATTATTTATGCAAGTGCCATCTTTTCAGCTGCTGATATTCTTCGTGCTAATAAAATCGCAAATGGAACCTACCCTAAAGGAGTCGCTGAGATGCTTAATAACCCTATCTTGAAACCCTTCCGTAAATATACAAATCTATTAGGTGGCCTCATCTTCATTACTGCTCTTTCAGGTGGTCTCGTTGCTGGTCTTGATGCTGGTTTAATCTATACAGAGTACCCTAAAATGGGTGAAGGTTATATCCCCCCTCTAAATGAACTCTGGAGCGATCATTATACAAAGGAAACCGACCACGGTAAATGGCGTAACTTGCTCGAAAACCCTGTTACTGCTCAATTTGATCATCGAACCTTGGCTGAATTTACCGCTCTGACAACAACTGCCCTTTGGGCCTATTCTCGTCGTTTACCTTTACCGAAGAATGCTCGATATGCTGTTAATACAATGATGCTTGCTGCTGCTACTCAAGTTACTTTAGGTATCTGTACACTTATCTATATGGTCCCCATTAGCTTAGCTGCTATTCATCAGGCAGGTGCATTAGCCTTTTTAACTTCCAATTTCTGGTTAATTCATGCATTACGAAAAGTTCCTTTATAGTTAATACACACATCCTATCCTTACATATAAAGTGATTTTGTTTGTCTAATATAATGAAATAATAAAATAATAATAATAATAATAAAAATAATGATAAAAAAAATAAAAAAAATACATATATCTAATATATGAAAAAATATGAAGACATCCAATTTATTATATAACATAAATTAAAATGACTTGATTAAATCATATTGATAATGATGATGAAACTTCTTAATCAAAGAGACCGAAGCCCATATCTTCATCTTCTTCCTCTTCTTCTTCAGCAGGAGCAGCTTCAGCGGCAGGAGCATCAGTGGCAGCAGCGGCAGCAGGAGCAGCAACAGCGAAGGCTTCAGGGTTAGCAATGAATTCCTTGATTTGTTCAGAACCAGGGAAAGTGTAGTCGGAAGCGACAGAGACAGCCAACAAGTTCTTGTAACCGTTGATAACGGAGTGAGGAACGGAGGCCAAGGTAGGATAACCGACAGCAAGAGAGATGGAAGCGACTTCACGGATAGCAGCCATGAGGTTACCAACCAATTGGGATTCCTCAACATCAAGAACTTCGGGAGAGAAGAGAGATCCAGCATCATAGACTTGAACAACGGACATACCATAGGTGAAGGGAGAGATGTTCAACATGTTCAAGAGGACAGCTTCGGAAGGACCGACCTTAGTACCCTCGTAAACGAGCTTAACGTCAGAGACGATTTCAATGGTACCACGAGCAATCTTGGTAGGGATACCGAGAGCTTGGAAGAAGGAGGTCTTACCGGGTTCCATACCAGTGTTACCAGCAGGGACAACGACATCGACAGGAGCAATAGCACCAGCACGAGCGGGAGCAGCAACACGGTTAGAGACGATCTTTTCACGAACATCCTTAAGATCATCATTGGTGAAAACGAAACCAATGTTACCCTTAACGAAGTTAAGAAGCTTTTCGAGTTCGGGGCGTTCGTTGATCATACCCTTCAAAGCACGACGAACCATGGTGTTCTTACCCATGAGAACGACAGCTTCGCCACGAAGAGAGTGACGAATTTGGTGCATTTGGTTGGAGCTGACATTGTCAACATTGACAATGAAGATGGATTGGTAGTTAGTCAAATAGTCATTGAGCTTTTGGAAGTAAATGGCCTTGGATTCTCTCTTCGACATGTTGTATAATTAACTGTTCGAGGAAACTTTTTAAAGAAACTATTAAATACATAATTGATTAGTCATATGTCCGTTTATAGATGGATGACTGGATGGATGCTTTATCATCTTATTTTACCTTTGGCAGTTAAAGAAAGATTATTTTTGAACATACCTTCCCCCTTATTATGTCTATTCCACTTGCTTTACTGCTGCTGTCCTTGGTAGTGAAAAGATGATAATAATGTCCGGTCCGGATTTTTTTTTTTTCTAGCTCTAGACAATCAAACAAAATTTCGGAACTTCTGAGGACATGCCATATTAATAATAAGGTGCATCAATTTAAATCTTTGATTTTTTGAAACAAAAAAGGGTTATTTTGAGTTCAACTTGGTATACTATAAATCTATTTTATGCCTCATATGTTAAGGCACAATTAACTACTTTTCCCGAATAAAAAAATTATCAAAGCTCTCTAATTTATTATTTATTTTATCAAAATGGGCTATATTAACGTCTATACAAGTAAAATTTACTCTAACATAATAATTAAGTATACAATAGTTTACATTCTATTATGAATTATAAATGCATATAATAGACTGCTTTATTTCAAGTTAATAGCTCTCAAATAGTAATCATCTATTTCTATTAGCTCAAGGATATAGCGTAATCACAACACATATGTTTGCATTGATAACCATCTTGAAACCGAAAAACTCTGTATATCCTTTCATGCTAGTTAATAAACACCTTATTGATAAGAGTCTTTAACTACTGTATAAGTATATGTATATCTGGATTGATAGGTTTAAGTTTGAGCTATCCTCTTAGTAGCTATATTCGTTAAATCAATTAGCCTACTTAATATATCCCTTAAGTAAGGTACGAACATAAATACATGAACATCAAAGTGTAGACATTCATTTTTTTTTAATCATTTTGGGTAAAAAAAATGAAGATAATATTATGATAGTATACATATGTTTTTACATTTGTCAGAATGATATTTGTACAATATAGTTCAGATATGTGTATATATTTAACAAACTACAGGCTTCTGTTTTTTAATGTATAGAGAATAAGCTTTGGAAGGATTTTTGTCATCTAACTGTCAATAAGTACCATATTAAGCTCTTTCTAAAGAATGTGTACTAAGAATACTTGATTTTTGATCTATACTTACTGAACCTACATTTAATACTTCAAATTTTGCTGGCACTGACATCTTTGATGTATGCCCACAACATACAACTAATTATTTGTATTTCTTCGCATATATCAAATAAGCAAGTCACATTTTTTTCATTAGGCTAATGATTTAGTCAACGCGTTTATTTTTATTTTATTTTTTTATTTTTTTTTTTAATGATCTAATTTAATTGTAATGATGTTTTCGTATTCATCGTACAACTCATTTATAATTTATAATAATCTGCTAGTATTGTTTGCCATTTTGGTAATCAATCATTTTGCAACAGTATTTGATATTCGAATTGTATCTTACTTGTTGAACACTCGTGTTGCCATTATATTAGGTAATGCTTAAGTTTATATTTATTAAAATCTCTACTAATTTAACACTTTATATATAGAATGCTTCTTAACAACTCTTTGTAGCTATAATATATATAAAGTAACAAAACATATAATCAATCCTTTCTTTTCAAAGTTAAACGTTCCATTCAAGCTTTACACACATCGTAAGTTATATATTTTAGGCTCAATTTCAACCAATATTTATTTATTATATATACTTTAGAAAGTGGTCCTCTTTTAAATAGACTTGAACTTGTATTTAAATGTCTAATGGATGGTAATGATTTTTATATATATTGAACATCTTTTTTTTTAACTATTTTTAATCATGTATTTTTTTTTAGAATGGAAATCTTTGAAAAAACCGACAACTATTCAAAACCCTATTACTACAGAAGTGAATAACAATAAGACTGAAGATAAGAAGTTTATTGAATTATTTACATACAAAACAAAGCCAACTACATCGTTGAATAATAGATTATACAATCAACCAAAATCGACCCTTTTGACGAATAACCCAGTTACGACTACTACTAGTAACCCATTTAATACAAAAGGCTTCAATTTGAATGAGATGCAAATCAATCAAACTGGTTTAAATCAATTACTTCAACAAAAGCAAAATATGATGTCTTCTACTGTTACTAATTCAACTACTGGTGTAATGAATGCTTCTAATCTTTATAGTAGAACTTCAGCATCAACCAAAAAGCCTTCTGAAACACCCAAGCTTCAATATGTACCTTGTATTCGACCACCACTTAAACCTACTACTCATCGTGAACGTTTATTATGGTTTTTATCACCTACGCCTGAAGTAGTTGAAGATTTCAAAATCGAACAAGTAAGTAATACCAGACCAGTAATACGTTATTTACACATGCTTATATATGTATCTATAATATAGATGCTGGATATTCAAAAATATTGGACTAAATTTAATGATCATGCGTCACGCATTTATTATGATAAGATGACCGATGTAAATATTATATACGCCTATATGTATCTATATCATTTGTTTACCTTTTCATATATCTATATATAGATTTTATTAAGCAAGATTTTGCGACCTTTATCTAAATCAATCGAAATTTATAGTCATCTTCTTTCACCCGAAGGTGAAGGTGAAAAACGTTTAGCAAATTGTCCTGCAAAAGCAATTGCGCTTTCCTTAGTTCTTCCTAATGCTGTAAGTATATTAAAAAAAATAGGATTAGCATTTTAATTGTTAACTTTAAATTCTTTAGAATGATTCTGAATTTAGTTTATATGAAATTGAAAATTTTATTAGCTTAGAAGGGTATTTGAATCTAGATGGTAGACTCTATATTATTGAACGTGTTAAAGGTAAAAGAAATATGTAGATACATACATGTATATATAGTATACATATTGAATCCAATTAACTTGTTATTTAGAACTTGCAAAGAACAATCGAATGGCTGCTTATAGATTTACGCCTAAATATCCTGGAATGCCTACAGATGCAGACATTATTATGCATGTTTTTAAGTATTATTTGAGTATTAGAGAGCCTTATGCTATTCCCCCACTTCTTCGCGTAAGTTTTATTTTTTTAATGTTTTATTGACAGAATGTTTGTTTATTTATTTATTTTTTTTTGATAAACAGCCTGAAGGTGATTTATTTAAATTCCTTTTGATTTACATTAAAATTACACCAGAGTAAGTTTATTTACGTCAAAAAGAACAATGTTTTTAATTTTTTTTTATTATTATTTAGACTTAATCATTGGAAATTATTTGATGAAAATTAAATACTCTTATTAGAATCAAAGTGAATACTTTTTTTACTTTTTAAAATAAATAAACTTGTTTATGCGCTTTATTTAAAAACTCAAGCATCCCCGCTTATTTTTTTTTTTTCCTCTTTCAGACTTTTCTTTATAAATATTTATTTATTTATTTATTTATTTTTTAAAAAAAAAAATGAATAGATGCAAATATAGCAATCGACTTTTATTCTTTCAGAAAAAACAGTTTCATTCTTATTCAATCCAATCTAATCCTCGTAGATCACTGTCTGTAAAGAACATTCAACGTTGGGGTAATTATGAGAGGCTCGTACCAGCTTCATTAGCCAAGATCAATGTACGTGACATGCCTCATCGATCTGTACCAGAACATATTATGCGACCACCTTATGCAGAGCATGGTACCACCTCTAGTTGGGCGCCCAAGATTGTGATCCAGAAAGATGAAGAATATAGACTGGGAATGAGAAGAGCAGGACAATTAGCTAAACGAATTCTATCCATGAGCTCTAGTCTATGTCAACCAGGTATAACAACCAATGAAATTGATAGAGCAGTGCATCAAGCCATTATCGAACAAGATGCATATCCTTCACCCTTGAATTATAATGGATTTCCAAAAAGTGTTTGTACTTCGATTAATAATATTATAGCTCATGGAATACCCGATGATAGACCATTAAAAGATGGTGATATCATCAATGTAGATGTAACTGTAAAGTATATACATAGAGTTGCCATATTAAGGTTTTACATACATACATACAAATAGGTTTATTTAAATGGTTATCATGGTGACACATCAGCAACTTTTTTAGTAGGAAACGTAGATGAAAAGGGTAAAGCACTAGTAGAATGTACGAAAGAATGTTTAGACAAAGCTATCTCTATTTGTGGACCTAATGTACCCTATAAAGAGATTGGTCGAGTTATTTGGTATAATGTGATATGTGTGTGTGTGTTTGTTTGTTTGTTAATCTATATTCCCCTCCCCCTTTTTTTTTTTGTATATGATAGTGAACATGCAACAAAGTTTGGATATTCTGTATCTGATGAATTATCAGGACATGGTATTGGAAGCGAATTTCATTGTTTACCATTGATTTATCACCATCGTAACTATAATAGAAATATACATATAAACGCATTTTACAATGGATAAACTTAACTAATCGTGTCTTGTAGTAAATGAAGAAGAAGGTGTCATGGAATCGGGTACCACGTTTACTATTGTAAGTGTATGTTCCTATACATAACATGTTCATCTATTTATATCCATCTATCTATCTTTCAATAGGAACCTATTCTTTGCCAAGGGTCAGCGATAGGAATCATGTGGCCAGATCAGTGGACAATCTCTACAGTTGATGGCAGTAGAAGTGCACAGTTTGAACATACGGTAATATCATAGCAATAATAAAAAAAAAAAGTTAATTGTATAATTAATATTGCATGTATATAAATACATATAAATATTTTTTTTTTTTTTTTTGATTCTAGCTTTATATTCATGACGATGGTGTAGAGATACTTACAGACTAATATCATTTTCAAAAAGAAAAAAAAAATCTGTGATAACAGGATTTATTATGTAATGTCCAGTATTTTTTTTTTTTTTTTTTTCCTGAGAAATAATAATTATCATTAAAAAGTGTATTTATTTTATTTTACTTTATTTTACTTTATTTTTATCTTCTACAAGAAAAAAAAAGAAAAAAAGAAAATGAAACTTATTGTAGCTATTATATTCGGAATTCTTGTTAACCTGATTAATGCGGGTTATTTACCTGAATTCCTTATTCAAAATGATAATGAATTAGCCACTTACATGGGGGATTCAACCAAGTTAATTAAAAATTGTGGTGATGCTAATGACATTTTGACGTAATAATAGACCCAAACAAACAAAACAAACAAACAAACAAATATTTATTAATTACTTTTTTTTTTTTAATAATGATCAGTATTGATTATATATCATTAAATCCTGACCCTCCTGTTAAAGGAAAAGACCTTGTAATTGATTTTAAAGGCTATTTATCTGAGACTGTCCCAAATGGAACTGTCGTCGAGATAATTGTCAAATTTGGAGTAGTAAAGTTACTACAAAAGAAGTTTGATTTCTGTGATAAAATTCAAGAAGTTGGTGAAAAATGCCCTATACCTCAAGGTGAACTATTATTTAATAAGGTTGTTAGTTTACCAAAGGAAATTCGTAAGTACAAAAATTATATTATTGAACTAAAACCATAGAAATAGACTAATCATTTGTTTTAATACATACTAAAATTCACCAATAGCTCCTGTAAGTATTTTATATATAAATATATATATTTGTGTATACACTCATATTTGTTACTAATGTATGTTTATATATAATAGGGAAAATACACTGTACATGCAGAAATATTTACACCTAAAAAGAAGCGTGTTACTTGTCTTATTGGTCAAACTACTTTCCCGCGTACATTATTATAAGTGTGTATATGTATAAATATTTGTATATACACATATATATTTTATTTCGAGTTAAATGGAAATGGGAATTAGAAAGGATATGATATCTCCCTTCTTAGTGAATAAATGCTTCCTTGGCTCTTTTTTTGTATCTTTCAATAATTTCTAACAATGATTGTTGATATTTACGCTTCATCTTATTTACTTCTTCTTGATATTCATTTAATATTTTATTTTTCAATTCAATATCTACCATAAAAAAAAAATCATTAATATGATGGTCATGTCATTCATTATTCATTGTGTGTTACCTTTAATGAGTGAAGTATTCGATTCTTCATTCATCTTACGTAATTCTATTTCATACATAGGGAACATGGACTAAAACAAAAAATAAAATAAAATAAAAAAAATGAATTTCATAATCGAAAATTATGGATTATTAAAGTAATACCTCCTCAATATATATTTTCAATTCATCATCTAATTCCTCAGAGCCAGAACTAATACTCATATCTTCTACTTCTTCATCTTGAATAGTAGCAGTAGTAGTAGCAGTAGTAGTAGCAGTAGTAGCAGTAGTAGCAGCAGCAGCAGCAGTAGTAGTAGTAGTATTAGCAGTAGTAGTCGTAGTAGTAGTCGTAGTAGGAATAGTCTTGAGATTAGCGAAATGATATGATTGAGGTAATTGTGTTGTGGATCTGAATTGGTATTGTGAGGTGATATGCTGACTGTCTAATGATAGCCACAAGCTGACATTATCTGCCACTAGACTTGCTAATTCTTTATGATCCATTTTATTATGTTTTGGCCAATTATTTATGTTTTCAATACGAAGTAACTGTTTAAATTCTTCTTTTTTACTTGCTTCTTTAAACGATATTGAGTCTTTGATGAAATAGTCAAAGGCTCTAGCTTCTATTGAGCCTAAGCTAACAAGCCATGCAATAGGTAGATAGTCTTCTTGTTCTATACCATCTGTCTTTTTGGCCCCTTTGATCTGTTTAAATACATTATCGTCTCGACTAATGCGTACATCCATACATATCAGGAGATGAACAGAGGCTTCTATATTCTGAATGATAGACGTGTGGGGATCAGAGGTTCGCTTTGTTTTCACAAAGATACCATAGTTACCCTCCCATGAATCTAAAACTTGACTAAAACGGGCACAGGCCAAGTTGAGTTCGTCTTCAATCCAAGAAATAAGCATTGTTTCATCATCCATATTATAGGTCGCAATTGCAATTGAAAGATCTTGATCAGCGAGTTTATCAAGCATGGCCTTTAAGAAAGTGAGTTTGCCTGAGTGTGTCCAGCCGTGTTTGAGAGAGGTATCAGACATGTTTGAAGGAAAGTTGAGTTCACTAATTGACTTGTTAAAGTTGATGTGAAAGAACATATCAGATTGTCCAGAAGCAATTTGTCCAATTTTATCAGATTCTGTTTGTTGTTCTGGGGTAGTAAAGATAGGAATCATTTGTTCAGGATAAGCGTATATTTCATTGCTTGTGTTCTTCTCCATTTCTGAAATATCTGTATCAATTAACTCGCTATCGTAAACTAAAATGTCCTTAGCAGTAGCTATCAAAGAGTTTGCTGATGCTTCTGATACCACTTCAGTAGTTGTTGCCATAGCTGTTGACGATGGTTGTGATGTAGGTAGATGAACAGCTGTAGCATTAGTTAACCAAACATTTTGTATTGGCTGAATATTCTGTATTAATGGTGATTCTAATAATCTTGATTGTTGTTCTCTTTCAGTATTTTCTCTTCTTTCTTTATATTTTGATAAATTCAACGTTAATCCAGATTCCTTTGGTATAAGATCATGTACATTCTCCTCATCATAATTTAAAATATCTAAACTGCCTATAGATAAAAAATTAATCGTATCATTTATGGTAGTCATATCACTATCAACTGATGTAGTAGCTATAACGTTCATTTCCTCCATAGCAGTGTCTTCATTATAATTAAAAATTTTAAATGATTCATGTGTAATGGGCTCAAAAAAAAATCGATCTGCATTTGGTTTATTAATAGATGTTTGTGAAAGCCGTTCTAGACGAGCTTGTTCATGAAGGAATGTTGGAAGTAATTTAGGGCTTAAATTGCTGCTAATGGGTGGTGCATTTTTCTTTTCTTCTATGATAGGTAGTACATCGCTTAATAGTGACATTTGCTAATTTCAATAAAAATAAACTTTTTATTATTTTTATAGGAAAAAAAAAAGCAAATAAATTATCCAGCAGCTTAAATTCATACATATTTATTGACCCTTTTTTTTTTTTTATCTATCAATATTTTGTCATTTCCTAAAAGTCCAATAGATCTATACATATTTTTGATATAGAATCAAAAAAGATGTAAAAAAAAAAAAAAAAAAAAAAAAAAAAAAAAAAAAAAAAAAAAAAAAAAAAAAAAAAAAAAAAAATCTGTCGTTATTCTTTTATGATAAATAATGCTTTATTCAATTAAAGAAAAATCAAATGGCTTAAATGCAGCTTTAAATTGTTCTGCATCTAACTTTTCTTCTTCTTCTGTTTGACTACATGCTTTCCAATCCTCACGTTCAGGGACACCTAATACGTTAGCAATCACCAATCTACAGATAAACATATAATCATTTAGAGTTTATAGTTATAAACACGCCTTTTATTATTATTAGTTACCTTCCAAATTGCAAATTAAATCGTTCTCTAAATTGAAGTACATGAACTAAAGATTTACCGTTAGGTAAATCTAACTTGAAATAAGGAACATCTGGATTTTGCTATTATGTAGGGTCAAGTTAATTTTTTATAATCAATTTTAAATCTAGTTTACTTACAGGTACTTGATCTAAAAAGGTTATATTTGATAAAGCTGCTTGCTCTTTAGCTATTTTTTCAAGTTGGTCAGATTTAGATTTTGGCACAGGGACTATTTGAATATGAGCATGAATAAGTCCCTTAGAAGATCCTCTTGATACTTCAAATACTACCATATCTTGATCATATTTTTCAAATAAACGACGAATCGAAGCTTTATATTTTTCCAACTCTGTAATAACTTGAGTATGTGATTCTTCAGGAATCTTGGCAAAAGTAGAATAATGATTAACTGGAATAACTAAGAGATGACCACCTCCAGGAACTTTACTATCTTTATCCTTAGATGAAACAACAGGTCCTTTTGCTAATGTTACGTAAAGTTCAGTACCAATAGATACAATAAGATGCTTCTCTAGCTTAGGATTTGATAAACAAAACCAACATTCATCCACTACAAGAGGTTAAAATTAAAGAGGATGCCTTTTTTTTTTTTTTTTTTTTTTTTGTAACTTACATTTGGGCTGTGCTGCTTGAGAATTTTTTACCATTCGTTGTGGACAAAATTTGATAAAATGACCGGGTTCATTACATATACGACATACATATCCCTCTGGTGGAATCTGCCTTTGTGGTTCATTATTACCAGCTTGTGGACAGTCTTTAAAGTAATGGCCGCCTTGATTACAGCGTTTACAAATATAATTTTCTGGTGGAGCATTTGATAATTTACTTCTCTTTGCCTCCTCTCCCCAAAAGAATGATCCACCACCTTGGCGATCCTCTTCTCTCTCCTTTCTCTTGTTGCTTTCTAAAAATAAATTTGTAAATGGACATTCTGTTGTATTTTCAGGTAAAGTTTCCAGTAATTCCTTTGAAGCCTTTGACATAGGAACTAAATTGAAAGCATAAAACCACTTTGAAAGCGAAATGAATTAATAGACGACATTAGACTATAAAGTTGCTTTTTTATTCTACAGACTTACTCTCTGTTTTTCTTTATTCAAGACATCACCTAAACCAATAAATCGAGTAGGATGTGGGGCAGATCTTTCTTCTGTCGCAGCCAACCCGCTCTTTATATTTTTATAAGGCTCACGTTCATAAAAGATGGATTGAGATGCAGCAAAATGATATCTAGGTTTTAATGCAGCGGCCAATTCTGAAATATAAATAGATGATTTATCTTCATTGATTTGAATAGGGGATAAACTACTCAATTCAGATATACTTTTAGGCCATTCATACGTCAATAGAAAATCAACACCAGCTGGTAAAGTAACAGGCATGCGAGTGAGTCGTAAGTTTTGTATATCTTTTTTCGTATACGTAGAAGATGAGGTTGCTGTTTCATCATGTTTACCGGAAATAAATGCCATCTTGAGTCCCTCTGAAGTTGTCAAAATCCCTTGTTTACCGAGATAATATAAATTGGAACAAATTTCCCCATCTGTTGCTTCAATATGCTTTTGAACAAAATCGGGCATAGGTTTATCTCCAATAATAAAATAAGTCATTATTGGAACTATATAAGTTTCATTCCTATTAGTGAGGAATCAAATATATATATGTATATATATATGTATACATATGTAAATGTTAAGAGGATATACCTTCTATTTTATTGTCAAGTAGTTCTTGGATAGAACCTTCATTTGTGTCATCATCAAAAAAATTGCCAGTGCATAAATGAACGTCAAAAGGACCATATTTCTCGTGTATTTGTTTGGTTTTTGCAAATAATTCTTTGAATTTACCATTAGTTGATCCTGTTACAAGGCTAGAAAAAAAAAGAAGGGAGAGAGAGAGAGAGGATTCAATATTTATTATTTTTTATTTTCTGTAATGATTAAAGATAGTTTACACCTTATAATTATTTGACATTCTTGCGTCTAGTTTAAAAAAAAAATATGTATTAAAAAAAAAGGAAATTTTTTGATTTTCATAAAACGCAGTACTCTATTTTTTCTTCTAACATATACGGGCTTATAAAATACATTCGCGTCACTGTATTTTTTTTTTTTTTTTTTTCAATTAAAATGTAAGAGTCTCTTATACAGGATTATAGCCTAAAAAGAGATGGTTGCAAGAATTTTTAGAGACGATTAGAAACTTTTATTAGAGAACATTACTAACTTTGAAAAGAGATACAATAAAAGAGCTTGAAACTCATTTTACCCAGAGGGGCTCTTTAACGAAGAAGGCAAATCGAGTAACAGTAAAAAAAAAAAAAAAAAAAAAAAAAAAAAAAAAAAAAAAAAAAGAAAAGCGAAAGACTAATACTGACACCAAAAAGAAAGATTTAAAGATGAGCACTACATCATACCATATTGTAAAATGTGTCCAAACTGTCATGGATATATTTGATAAGCATGATAACTATGGAGTTTATATTATCATTGACAAGTGTAAGATCCATGATACTGTTTTTGTGATAGAGGCGATAAACAATAGAGAATATAAATCATTATTTACTCTTCTTCTTTTTTTTGGTAAAGTAGAGAGTAAAGATCAGAAAATATGATAGTTTTATTTGTATTTATTCAAAAAGAGGCATCATTGGAGTATATGTCAATTATTATTACTTGAACAATAAAATATAAGATACTTTTTTTTTTGTTTAACCACATCTTTAACAGCCAACAACTGAACTATCACAGAGGTAAAATTAATCGTTTGCTTCTCAGTGTATAAAATATAAAATGTAGCAGAATTTCATGTTCAAAGCGAGCCTGTTTTAGTTGTTTTCTTTCTCTCTTTCTCTCTCTCTCTTTTTTTTTTTTTCTTTTTTTTAGGTTTATTTTTCATCTATATCTTTGAAATCTCTGATTATATTTTTGTCAATTTAATTTACTATTTACACCGTTAATGTTAAACTGATGCCAATCTCAATTCTTCAGTTTTTCAAATAAACATAAACAACTAGCTTTTTTTTTTTTTTTCTTTTTTGACGAATGGAAACGATAATTCTTGGGAAAAAAAAGTCACTTTTTTTTTTTTCCTTCAAACGCGACAAAAAATAAAAAGAGGGAGACAAATTTATAAGATTCTTTAATTATTGTAGTTGTTTAAATAATCATGTTTTTATATAATATTACTTTGAATCCAACGTCAGCCATTAATCAGGCTATTCATGGCAACTTTTCCGGTACTAAACAACAAGAGATAATTGTAGCGAGGCAAACTCGCTTAGAATTATTACGTCCCGATCCAACTTCTGGAAAAGTACATACCATCTTGACCCATGAATGTTTTGGTTTAATTCGTTGCATAGTGCCATTCCGACTAACAGGTGGAAATAAAGGTAACTTCAAATGAGTTAACATGAAAAAAAAAATAGAGAGCAAGAAAAAAAAAAGCTTTATAGGATTTTATTAATTGTTTTATTTTATATAGATTATGTGGTTGTAGGTTCAGATTCAGGTCGTATTGTCATTTTAGAATATAATCCAGCAAAGAATACGTTTGATAGAATACATCAAGAAACACATGGTAAAACAGGATGCCGTCGTATTGTGCCAGGTCAGTACTTGGCTGCTGATCCTAAAGGCCGTGCTGTTATGATTGCTGCTGTTGAAAAACAAAAACTTGTTTATATTCTTAACCGTGATTCAGCTGCGAACTTGACTATTTCATCACCTTTAGAAGCTCATAAAAGCCATACAATTATTCATCATATTGCAGCTATCGATGTTGGATTTGAAAACCCTATGTTTGCTTGTTTAGAAGTTGACTATACTGATGCCGATACTGATCCAACAGGAGAAGCATGTAAAGAAGCCGAAAAGATGTTAACATATTATGAATTAGATCTTGGTTTAAATCATGTTGTTAGAAAATGGAGTGAAGCAGTTGATCGCAATGCCAATTTACTTATACCAGGTATATACATACATACATACATACATATATGAATATAGAAAAGAAAAATATTAAATACAGCTATTATATCTAGTTCCTGGTGGTAATGATGGTCCCTCAGGTGTATTAGTTTGTTCAGAGAACTTTATTGCTTATAAACATCCTGAAAATGAAGAGCTTCGTATTCCTATTCCTCGACGTGCCCAACCTTTGGAAGATCCCACACGAGGTATTATTATTTCTACTTTTGTTGTTCATAGAATGCGTGTAGATAAAAAGACACAATTCTTCTTTTTACTTCAATCTGAAGAGGGTGATCTTTATAAAGTAACAATGGATCATGACCAAGGTGTAGTAAATGGTATGACAATTAAATATTTTGATACAATTCCTGTTGCTACTTCTCTTTGTATTTTAAAGAGTGGCTTCTTGTTTGCTGCAAATGAATTTGGTAATCAGTAAGTATAAACAAGAAAAAAAAAGTCTAAGATATACATACATGTCTTTCTTTTTTTTTTTCTTTTTTTTTTTCTTTTTTTGTTACTTATATCAATTTACTATTCTCTCTCTTTTCTTCTTTTTAGTCACAACTACTTCTTTGAAAGTCTTGGTGATGATGATGATGATCCAGAAATCTCCTCTGCTGATTATATGGAAGCAGAAGCTGAACAGGAAGAAAGACCTTTTGTATACTTTAAACCACGTCCATTAAAGAATCTATCACTTGTTGATGAATTAACTTCGATGGCACCATTAATGGATTCAAAAGTATTAAACTTGGCAGATGAGGATTCACCACGTATTTATTCTATTTGTGGTAGAGGACCTCAGTCTACATTCCGTATTTTAAATCAAGGTTTGGAAGCAGCAGAACTAGCTGTTAGTGAATTACCTGGTAATCCTAGTGCTGTTTGGACTACAAAATTAAAAGCAGATGATGAATTTCATGCTTATATTGTTGTTTCATTTGCAAATGCTACGCTTGTATTGTCTATTGGTGAAACAGTTGAAGAAGTGACAGATACTGGATTTCTGACAGATGAACCTACATTAGCCGTTCAACAAATTGGTGAAGATGCACTTGTTCAAGTTCATCCTAAGGGTATCCGTTACATTCGTGCAGGTGGAAGAGTGAATGAATGGAGAACACCTAATGGTCAAGCCATTACTGTAGCTGCTACAAATAGCCGTCAGGTTATTATTGCCCTTTCTGGAGGTGAATTGGTTTATTTTGAATTGGATAATATGGGACAATTAAATGAACATCAAGAACGTAAGAGAATGTCTTCCGTTGTTTCTGCTTTATCTTTAGGTGATGTCCCTGAGGGTCGCCAGCGTTCACGTTATTTAGCAGTGGGTTGTGAAGATCAAACTGTACGTATTTTAAATTTAGATCCTGATAGTTGTTTAGAAGCTGTTTCAATGCAAGCAGTTCAAGGTGTCCCTTCTAGTTTATGTATTGTAGAAATGATGGATACAGGTGTTGAATTAGGTCATGGTACAACTTACTTAAATATTGGTTTGAGTAATGGTGTCTTACTTCGTACTATCTTGGATACCGTTACAGGTCAACTATCTGATACACGTACCCGTTTTATTGGTGCCAAAAGCGTCAAATTATTTAAAATTACTATTCAAAATCATCCTGCTGTTTTAGCTTTATCAACAAGACCTTGGGTTACATATACATTCCAAAATAGACTTTATTTAACACCTCTTAGCTATGAGATGTTAGAATATGGTAGTGCGTTTATTAGTGAACAATGCCGTGAAGGTGTGGTTGCGATTGCAGGAAATACTTTAAGGTAGTTAATAATAGTAGTACAGGAGATATGCATCTATGTATATGTAGACTTATTTTTCTTTCCCTTTCTTTTTTTTTTTTTTTTTATTAGAATTTTCACCATCGAAAAGCTTGGTAATATATTTAATCAGATATCTATTCCATTGAAATATACGCCTAGAAAATTTGCACTTCATCCACCTTCTAGAACATTTGTCGTTGTTGAGAGTGACCATGCAACATTTTCCCCTGAAGCTAAAATGAAGGGACTTGAAGAAAAAGAAAAGGAAGGATTTGAGATTGACGCTGATATTACAAACTTGGATCCTCTTCAGTTTGGTAATGTACGTAATGTTGCAGGACGATGGGCTAGTTGCATTCAACTTATAGAACCTTTCCAAAGCAATGTTATCCAGACAATTGAATTGGAGGAAAATGAAGCGGCATTTAGTGTGGCCATGGTTCAATTCCATACAAACCCTCATGCCTCTGATCCTTCTGAGCAATTTGTAGTAGTAGGTACAGGCCAAAACGTGACACTCTCCCCTCGCTCCTGTACAGCAGGTTATCTCCGTGTATATCGAGTTGTTCAAGGTGAAGAGGGACATCTTCATCTTAACTTCATTCATCGAACTCCTCTAGATGAAGTTCCTTATGCCTTATTAGCCTTCCAAGGTCGTTTATTAGTTGGTGCAGGTAAAGCACTTCGTATTTATGATATTGGTAAAAAGAAAATGTTAAGAAAATGTGAGACAAAGACATTACCCAATTGCATTGTATCACTTCATACACAAGGACATCGTATCCTTGCCACTGATGTTCAAGAATCTGTACATTATATTATTTATAAGCATGCTGATAATCGTCTTGTCATCTTTGCAGATGATACTGTGCCTCGTTGGATGACAGCATCGACTATGGTAGATTATGAAACAATAGCAGGCGGTGATAAATTTGGTAATTTCTTTGTTAATCGTTTACCAGAATCTATATCGCGTGAAATAGATGAAGATACGACTGGTAATCGTATTTATCATGAAAAGGGCTACTTAAATGGTGCCCCTAATAAGGTAAATTATAAATAGATGTACATTTCATTCCATTGTCTTGTCTTTTATTCATTTGTACATGTATATAGGTTGAAAACTTGTGCGAATATTTTACTGGCGATATTATTACTTCCATCCATAGAACAACGCTGTTGTCAGGTGGACGTGAAGTTCTTTTGGCTACTTCATTATTAGGCTCTATTTCGATTTATGTTCCATTTATATCTAAAGAAGATGTTGACTTTTTCCAAATGCTAGAGATGCATATGCGTGCAGAAGCACCGCCACTTGCTGGACGGGATCATTTACTTTATAGAAGTTACTATACACCAGTTCGATCTGTTATTGATGGTGATTTATGTGAACAGTTCAATTCACTACCTGCTGAGAAGAAGCGTATGATTGCTGAAGAATTAGATCGTCCTGTTGCTGATGTACAGAAGAAGATTGAAGATATGCGTATAAGATCAGGATTTTAATAATTGATCAAAAGAAAGAAAATAGAATAAAAATTGCGAGCTAAAATATATTCTAAACTTGAAAAGCCAAAAAAAAAAAAAAAAAAAAAAAAAAAAAAAAAAAAAGTTGTCATTTGTATTAAAGTATCTATTCTAAAAAAAAAGGCAAATATATTTCAAATCAAATTGATATCTCTTAAATATGCTTAAAACAGTAGCGCATTTGCCTTAACCAAATGTTTATAATAAATAGATTAGATTTATGCGTAACTTTGTTAAGTTAGATGAATTAAAAAAAAAAAGAGAGAAAAAAGGGCTTTACAAAATTTTTGATAAATCACGTCCTCTTTTTTTTTTTTTTTTCTTTTTTTTTCTTTTCTTTTCTTTTCATAATTTTTTTTTCTTTTTTTTTTTTTTGTACACATATAAATGGGAACTCCTGAAGAGAATTTTGAAAAAGGTGTTGAGCTTCGTTTAGCTGGCAATGAAGCTTTTAAGAAGCAAGAATTTAAACAAGGCATGAAATTGAAATAGGTTTATAATTAGTGTTGTTGCTATATTTATTCTAAAAAAAAAAATAAAAAAAATAAACTCTTTCTTTTTCCAGCTTTGACCCATTACTATAACGCCTTACTTTACTTGAAAGCAGTAGGTGGACAAAAGAAAGAAAATGAACTTAATTCCAAAAGTAATGAACAACTTGTGATGATTTATAATAACATGACAGCTGTTTTCGCGAAACAAGAACGCTGGGATCGTGTTTTATTTTATGCAAAGAAAGCAAATGAGATTGACCCTAAAAATACAAAATCAAAATTTAGAATGGGTCAAGCTTATTTAAGAATGGAAAATATTGAATCAGCAAAGAGTCTCCTTGAAGAAGTGTTGAAACAAAATCCCGATGGTACTGTGTATATTGGACAAATCTTATAAGTGTTGTTGTTTAACTTTTTTTTTATTTTATATTATAGATGGTCTCGTTAAACAAGAATTGAATAAAGTTCAAATTGCCAAGAAGCAAATGGATGATAAAGAAAAGATGATTTATAGAGCTATGATGAGTAGGCTTGCACAACAAGAAAAGAAATAAACGATAAGTATAAATGATATTTTAATATCTATTATTATTATTGTTATTATTGTTATTTGGAAAATGGTATACGGGGAGGAAAGAATGAATTAAGAAGGAGTAGGTAATTCAGTCAATGCCATGATCATTATAAACACTACAAATATCATGATAAGTGTTGCTACTAAATAGCCCATCCAGCCCTGACCAACCCAAAGTAATCTTTTTACAATTTGTCGTTGATTTTTGAAATAACTATAAAGAGAATAAATAAAGCAAATGAATCCAAGGCCTACAAATATATAAGATATAATTTTTGAGTTCATCGTCTTGGGCTCATTTGCCCATGGAAAAGAATAAGAAGGTGCAAAATTTTTTGTTGAAAAATCTAATAATGTTATGAATCCTACATGTGGTATTATTCGTATTAATGGAAGGGGTTTTGGTTTTATTTTAGTTTTTATTGTTTTACCAATTAATGCTAATGTTGTGCCTGTTCTAATCCAAGTTAATAAATTGCGTTCATTAGCAAGATGATCTCTTGGATCAGGACCATCAACAACAGTATGGACTGAAAGATCTAAATATTTAAACACGGTTGAACATTTCTCATCATTACAAAGAATAAATTTCTCGGGCGCTTGTAACTCTGCATCCATTGTAGCATCTACACAAAGGGAAATAAAAGAAAAAAAAAATAGAGAAGTGTAGGAAAGCACATGTTACAGCATGATGATAAAAAAAAAAGTACAGGTTAAATATATAACCGTTTTATTGCGAAGTGATCATTTCCATATAAATATAGAATGTTGCTATTGGGAAAACTTTACAAGAAAAAAAAAAAAAGGACCAGTATTTTCCATCTCTATAATAAATACACAAAAGAGCATTAAAGATGCTATAAAGTCTTTTGATAAAATACACTTTTTTTTTTTTTATTTATTTAATCATTTGAAAACATATAAATCACAGATATTAGGAGAAATCTATCTACTTGAATTCCTCTACAGTCTTTGAGCTATATTCTCGTTCTTTGCAGAAATCGGTTTAAAAATCGACAGACACAGCCATAATGAATTTAGTGTAGCAAAGACAAGGACTTCTTGTTATTATTTAAGATAGTGTTTTTCTATTAAACGAATCATTTTTAACAGGCATTTATGTTTCTTTGATTGAAGCAAAAAACTATAAAATGCAACAAATAGAATGCAACTGTATTAATAACAGTCACTACCTGCATATTATTTAGTATTTAAGAAATAATTCTTCTTGTAACATCTTTCATGCATACTTTCCCACACTAAAATAGAATTATCACAAGACTGTAGGACTGCTTTATTAAAAAAAAAAGTATAAAAAAGGCTGCTTTGTTAGTTTCTTCGCTATTTTTTTTATCTGTCTTTGGGCATGTGTTCTGGGATATATGCCTTGGGTATATGCATTGGATTATATGCCTTAGTAGGGTATATAATCCAGTGTTTATGTTTTAGGGATATGTCTTAGGATATGTGCCCAAAGGCATTTCTTTTTTTATTTTTTTCACAAAAAATAATAAAAAAAATGAAAAAAGTTATATACATATTATTGTAGAAAACACGGGATTGATCAGATTAATAAAAGGATACTGTAGTTATTGCAAATAATGAGTGCAAAACTTTCAAAAGTAATAAACAATTGTTATTGTATATAATAAATAAACGTGACATTCTTGCTTTAAAGACAGTGTCTAAACTTGTGAAAAGTGTGCTTATAATACTATCAAAAATATGTTTATTAAATTTATTATAAAATATTAGCCCCCCCCTCCCTCCTGCATAATATCAAAGGGAGGGGGGAAAGTTGGGGAACAATCATACCATTGCCTTCTTGAATATAGAACAGAGAATGTGTACGGGCAAATATATACGTTCAATGAGTCTTAATTTCACTCGAAATACTACTTTAGTTAGGTCTATTTATCACTCTTCATCCCAGTCGTCTTTCTATTTATTCTATTATTAATGATCTAATCCGGGCATAGTACTCGTTTAAATCCAAGAGAATTCTTCAAATCTGACTTTTCATGATTTCATAAATAAGTGTTTTCTTGGTAGCAAGCAAAAAAAAAAAAAATTACACTTAAAACCAATTGCTTGTATCATAATGACTATATGAAAGGTAGTTTATATAGGTTTGTTTATTTGTTAAAAGCTTCTTTATTTTATTTTTAAAAGATGTACAACCTATAGAGCTGAAACATAAGCATTCATAGTAATCTATCTTTAGGATTGTTTCAAGACATGATACATCTTGTACTACAATTATAGATAGCAGCAGGTGATATTGAGATATGTAATCAATGTGATCATACTTGAAGATAACAAAAGAAGAATGATAAAGTAGTTTACGCAATCATATTATACATTTTATTATTATTATGAGTAGTGAATTAAAATGACTGTCTTCTCCCTCTTAATTTGTATTCATATTATTCAGTAAGGAAGGATCTTTTTCAAGTACAAGTGCACGAAGCCATTTAGCTTCCTTTTCTAATTCTTGTACTCTTCTTTCAAGCACTTCTACTTTATGTGTCATTTCTTTGGCTGTTTTTTCAAGTGCCTGTTCTCTTAATTTCTTTTTCATACGGAATCTGGCAGATGCCGCTGTATTCCTTCTTCTTTTATCTTCTTCAATCGCTTCTCTTTCTTCTTCATTTAATTCTTTTGTTGTGAGCGTTGATTTACGCTTCTTTATAGATGGTGTTATGGGTGTTTGAATAGGTGTTATGGGTAATATACTATTAGTAGTATTTGGTTGAACTGGTGCAGGAGCAATTTTAGGTAATAATGGTTGTTGAGGTTGCAGTTGTTGAAGAGACGTTGGCAATAAATATTGATTATTATTATTATTATTATTATTATTATTATTATTATTATTATTATTTAAATACGATGCTAATAAATCATCATTTTGGTCATTGTTATTCTCATTAAAATTGCCTAAATTCGTAAGAGCTGCAAAAAGATCTTCTGAATGTTCTAACGTAATTTTATATGAATCATCTTGTATAGCGGATCCTGGCTTTGTATCAAATGTAAACTGTGCATTTGCCCAAATAGAAAGTTCTTCATTAAGTGCTTCTTCTGAGATGGGCACAGGTGAATCGTCTCCAAGCAAATTTAATGATGAAATATAAGACATTCTAAATAGGGTAAATATGTGTATGTATTAAAAAAAAAAATGAAAAAAATAAAAAAAATAAGAGAAAGAGATAGACTATTAATAATTATCTGAAACTATTATTATTCCGGTCCGGTCTTTTAGTACGATTAGATAACGATTACTATATTTATTTACAAAGATAAAGCTAAACAAACATCACATTCCATATATGGAAAATGTTCCTTAAATATTAAAAAGACTCAAAAAAAAAAAAAAAAAAAAAAAAAAGAGAGAGAGAAAAGAAACTATTTAGTTTTGATATAATGTGGCATAGTCATATTTTTATTTATACCAAAAATTAAACGAAAAAGAAAGATAGAAAATGATATTACAATATAAATGTATATAAACTATTATGTACGATGAAATGAGTTAGTTAAAGCATGGAAAGGAGTTTTTTTTTTTTTTTTTTAAGTTAACTGTAATTAATGTATATTATTTGACGAAGATAAAGACTTTGTAATAGTGGAGGTAGCTGTCATGATGGTGTTATCATTAGGTATAAATAATACTTGCTTTTCTACTTCTAAATTAGTGTATATTTTTTTTTCAGTATTCAACTTGTAAAATAGATGTATATTTATGTATATATTAAAAAAAAATTACTTACTATTAATAAGATGTTTGCCATATGTATATTTTTTTAGGCCTTGAAGATGAGGTTTAATCTTGGCAATTAAAAGCTCGCGTTGGTCGTCATCTACAACGTCAAGCATCTTTTGAACGACATAATTAGCGTATTGATCCTTCATCATTGACATTAATGGATATGATCTAATGAAATACACACACACGTTAGTTTGTATAAAATAAAATAGAATGCATACTTTACCCATCTGGACGAATGGATAAAACTTCTTCAATTAAAGCTTGTCGATCTTCTAATGAACCATGAGCAACACACTTCTCTACTACATTACTTGCAAACTTATGTTTACTCAATTGTAGAGTGTGCCCTTTTACTTTACTAATAATTAAGGCCCTGTCTTTTTGTTTTCCATGCTCTAAAATATGTTGAATAACATAATTTCCATATTGATCTTGTATTAATTGATTCGTACTTTTATGCAACTCTTCTAATAAATAAGCCTATTTTTATATATATTTATACAATAAATTAGTCGTCGTTGTCTTCTCTCTCTCTCTCTCTCTCGCTCTCGCTCTCGCTCTCGCTCTTCTCTTCACTGAAAATTAATATTGTTATAATTGATATTCACCGTTTGTTCCTCAGGACAATGTTCAAACATCCTTTGAATGACACGACATCCATAAGGATGTGTAGCCAGATGATACACTTGACCATAAAAGGTATCAATAATAAACTGAATATAATGGGATGGGATACGTTCAATTGCTTTCTGAACGACATGATTACCATTTTGATCTTTTACACATTTTAGTACACAACCATCTAATTCACGAATTAATACTGACTGTTGGTCAGTCAAAACATGTTCAAGTGCCTTTTGAACAACACGGCAGCCATACATTTGTAAGGATAAAGTTAATATATGGCCTTCCATTTGTTTCGCCAAAATAGTCTTTTGTGTTTGATTCCCATGTTCAAATATTTTTTGAATTACATAATTCCCAAAGACATCCGTTATTAATTGAAGACAATTAGGGAGGATTTCGTTGAATATAAACTGTTTCTCTTCACTTGTTGCTGTTTCAAGTTTTTGTTGAATGAAACGACTTCCATGCTGATCACCACTAAATTCAACTACATGATTTACAATATCCTAAAAAAAAAGGGGGGCGATTTATATACATATTTATATGACTATGATATGATCTTACCTTTAATCCAAATTTCCTTGATTTATTATTTCGAAATTCTTCAAGTAGAGCGCTTCGAACAATAGGTGTTATATTAGTTTCAAGCATCACATTAGATGAAGTATGAGACTCATGAGAAGCAAATACTAATGGAACACGATTATGAACAGGGCTTGTGGGTGTAGTGATAGTAGGTATAGGAGTTGTCATAGTATTATTGGACCCATTAGGGAAAAGCCCCGTAGAAGCAGAATTGACATGTATTTGCTCAATATTATTATTAGACATAGTTGTTACTATGTGTTGCTGCTTTTGTCTGTGCTGCTTTCGTCTCTGCTGCTGCTGTTGCTGTTGTTGTTGTTGTTGTTGTTGTTGTTGTTGTTGTTGTTGTTGTTGTTGTTGTTGTTGTTGTTGTTGTTGTTGCTGTTGTTGTTGTTGCTGTTGTTGTTGCTGTTGTTGTTGTTGTTGTTGTTGCTGTTGTTGCTGTTGTTGCTGCTGTTGCTGCTGTTGCTGCTGTTGCTGCTGTTGCTGCTGTTGCTGCTGTTGCTGTTGTTGCTGTTGGCGCATCATTTGTTCACGTAACAATAAAATTTGTTCTTGTTGTAATAGAATTTGGCATTGTCGTGACTGAAGTTGTTGAAGTAATAGTTTATCATTATTTATAGGAGTGTGCAAACTTTCAGGACTCATTGTATTTGCTGTGCTAAGTAAATTAGGCGTGAAAGCAGGTGGTCTGAAATCATTACCTGACGTGATAGAAGGACTACTAACTCTACTTTGATGATGAGTAAATTCATTCATAGTTAGCCAGGGAGTTGCTGCGTGTTGCTGAGGATGATGTACAAAATTGATGGGAGCCATTTCATCGCCCATTGCTATATTCGTCTTACTAGATATTGATTGCTTTGATGAAAAATCGATTATATCTGAAGAAGTATTTCGATAATCTAAATATACATTATCTCTATTATCCCATGGCATTATTCTCGAGCCAATTGGCAGAGGAGTATTTGCTCTACTCTTCTCGGTATCAAATATGCTAGGCCCTTTTTTTTGCAGTAGAAAAAAAAAATGTTTGTATAAAAATGATATATGTATATATATATTAATCTGAATAACTGAATTACCTGATGGCATAATTCCAGTTCTTGCTCTTTCATATTCATTCAAATTTTGAGAAGAAAAAGAATTATTTTGTTGATAATAATATCTTTTTGACATAATATCCTCTTGATACTGTTTAATAGGAGAGGAAGAGGAAAGGAGTAAGAAATTAAATATAAAACGAAAAAAAGGAGAAGAAGAAGAAGATTAGAGATTTCATTATTATTCTTACCTTATCATTCAAATTAATAGTGTTCATATTTAGTATTAAATTATTATATTCAAATTCTTCTATATTTTTTGTAAATGATAATTTACAGGTGGTGTAGAGTTTGCGCGAATTGGAGGAGATCTTACATATTTATTTCGAAAAGGAGGCGATATAGGCCGTGATGTTTGATATTGTGCATATGCCTGTTGTTGCTGTTGCTGTTCTGCATTATTGAAAGTAGGGGTTATATTCTCTTCATTATTGTCTACAAAAGTTGAAAAATAACCTCGACTATTATTATTAGATCCTTGATGTAATGTGTGATAAAAAGGCGAATCTAATCGTTGGTTCTATAAAACATTATTATAAATGAAAAAAAAAAAGAAAAAAAAAAGAAAAAAAAAGAAAAAAAAAAGAGAGAGAGAGAGAATATTGTGACTTACATCTAAATCTTGATATTGATTATTATTACTATAAATATTTAATGTATCTTTGCATTTATTATGCTGTGAAATAAGTATTTGTTGATTGAAATAACTTCCTTTGTTACTATCATCCTGGTTGCCTTGAAAACCTTTGGTTATTAATAAGTTGCTGAGATTTAATTTTTCTTTATATGTATAAATATTTATAAAAAAAAAGGTACTTACTATGATAATGATCTATTGTTTTATTATTGGACCAAACTTGACGAGATGAACAAGTTGGGTTGTAAATGGGAGTTGAAACTAGTTGAGTATCATTTTTCCACGAATTTGAAGTTTTCATCATATTTAAATGATCCTCATGTTGTTGAGTTAGTGTTAGTAATTGAAACTGATGAGGGTCAGGAGGAGCACTATTTGGTCTGTGATCACGACCAAGTTGTAATTCCATATATAACTCATTTTCAGAGTCAACACGATGTTTAATAAGTGCAGCAAGCTAAGAAGTAATAAAATAAATAAATAAATAACTACTTCATTCTCTAGGTAAGATATTAAAAAAATAAACAAAATAATACCTGTCCTTGAGGTAGGTTTCTTGCCTTAGGTTGTTGTAAGTCAGGCTGTCCTCGAAAAGAATACTCTAACGAGAACGAATCTTGCTGCTGCATTATATACGTGTCGCTTATATAAATGAATGTTTATATGATATCTACACGATTCTATATTTAAGAGAGAAAAAAAAAGAAAAAAAAAAAAAAAAAAAAAAAAAAAAAAAAAAAAAGAAAGAAAGAGAGAGAAAAGGAGAAAAATAAAATAAAATAAAGTTTTTTTTTTTTTTTTTTTAAGATGTTAGTAGAAAATAAACCATTCACTTGTGTCTGTGTGCTTTGATACTCATTTGTTACACTCCCCCTTTTTTGGTGGATATCCACGTTGACCCATCACTCCGCCCATGGGAATACATAATCGTTTCTCTTGCTTCTTCTTTTTCTTCCTTTCCTCCCTCTTCAAAAAAAAAATACGTGTATTTAATAAAATCGTTTATATTCATACATTAATTTATGCACATCGTATTATTATTGTGTGTATTTATTTATTTATTTATTTATTTATTCATTTATTTATTTAATACCACCATTCTTGACAGTAGCAACCTTACATTGAATAGCTTCACCAGATGCAGTCTTAATAAGAAGAGGCTTATCTCCATAGTAAGCAACAAGATCATCATTGGTATGAAGTTCAGGTTGAACAGTTTCCCAGTATTTCTTCTTGGGATTTAATACCTTCTCAGGCTCTCCTTCATGTCCTTCAACATAAACACGATCACCAGGTTTAACCTTAGATGTATCAACAGGACCTAATAATTCAACAGCAGAGCCATCAGGAGCAGAGGCACACAAAACCATACCGTAAGATTTGATACCACGCATACTAGCAGGCTTCAAGTTGGCTAAAACAAGAACATAACGGTTTTGCATTTCCTCAACGGGATACCAACGAACGAGACCAGAAACAATCGTTCTAGGTTCTTCTTCACCGAGATCAATTTCTTCAACATAAAGTGAATCAGCGCCTTCATGCTTCTTACAGGATTTAATAAAACCAACACGAATATCAATACGAGAAAAGACAGGTTGATCAGTTTCAACAGGTGCGGCTATACTGCTTTATTAGTATCATATATGTTAAAATATATTATCATCATCATCATCAGCATCGTCATCATTAACTTACGCGTAGGCTTCTTTTCGGCCTTCTTCTTTTCCTTTTTAGCCATACCACCTTCAGCAGCTTCCTTCTTATTATCGTCTTTAGGTTTGGTTGCAGTATTTTCGGATTTTTTATTTCCCTTTTTAACATTAGCATCACCACCCTTTTTCTATAGAAAATAAATAAATAAATAAATAAATGAAAAGAAAATTCATAAATTGACTTACAACAACAACAGGAGCGGCAGGCTCAGGCACATTATCAAGGTTAATTTCAACAAGAGGGAAGTCTTCAGTCAAGTTGTTAGCTTTAATGACAATATTTTGAATAAGATCAAACCAACGTAAAGTATTAGGAGCAGAGTTTACTTTGATGTTTTTCTATTAAAATAATATAAGTATAAACACTTTCTATACTATTTTCCCTTCCAACCCGCTTAATCCTTCATCTACATGAAACTTACACTATGAGCATAAAGAAGACCAAAAATAACAACATCAACAATAGTTAAACGATTATTGACAAAGAATGTTTTGTTGCTTAAATGTTCATTTATTTTTTCTATTCATCAAGTTGTTAAATTTATGTATACAATTACTAACACATATTTTATTATTTACCTCAATATTGGATACAATTTCTTTTTTGCCAACACCTCGAAGAGATTGATTGGTAAAAGACAACCATTCTTCAATCTAAAAAGCACATACATATAAATGTATTAAAAAAGAAAGCCTCTATTATGAATTTTTTTTTGTTTTACAGACCTGTGCTTGTTCAGCCTTATCAGCACCTAATAATTCAGGCTTAGACTTAGAAACAATAGCTTTAATGATGGTATTAGGAGTATCTAATTTTTCACCATCAATCTAACCAAAAATTTATAATCAGTCGTTTGAACTTTTTTTTTGTTGATTTATGATAATTACTTCGAAAGAAAGTTCAGTAGCTGTCTCAAGCTTAGCATCAGATTTTGTTAACTTGTAAGTTAAAAGAATTTCACTTCCTGATTTCTCGGGAATACGAAGAATGGATGCCATTTTAAACGCGTTTTGTTTTTATGAAAAAAAAAAAAAAAAAAAAAAAAAAAAAAAAAAAAAAAAAAAAAAAATCATTCCAGACTAGTGGCTTTTTTTAAATTTTATTTTTTTATTTTTTTCGAATTTTAAATGGCGAGTGGACAGATAGCAATCTAGTGTGCTGTGTTGCCCAAGCCAGATCTGAAGTTGGAGAAGGAATAAGAAACCTCTCAAGGGACAAGAGAAAAAAAAAGGCAAAGAAAAAGTAAAAAGTAAAAAGAGCATAAGGCAAAGAAAACAAGTATAAAGAATAAACAAAATAGCTAAAGAAATCAGAGGAAGGTAAACAGCAAAGACTAGTGCTATTGCTTGGATAACCGATTCAACAATTTCCAACCAGGATCAATAGGAGAAGGAGGAAGTTGATGGTGGAATAGGTAGTCTAATTCTTGTAACAAAGCGCACATGATGAGCCAATGTATCAGCCAACTGATGCAATCAGATTGGTGGCGAGATTTGGTCTTTGGAAGCAGGTTGAGAAGAAAAAGATGTGAAGTCACTAACAGAATAGGGCAGGAACAGCCACCGATGCATATGGAGACACTCGATAGCATGGTGTCGGCTCCAGTTCACAGTGGGATGATATAGGTATTCCTTGGGTTTGTCCGCCAGGAAGCCAACCCAGACGCCAGCGAAGTACACAGCTACGCTCAGAAGGGAACATTGGCAGCCAGAGAATTGGATGCAGTTCCAGAGTAGGTCGACAAGAAGATAGCAGCATAGATGTAGAGTTTGTATACACCTCTTTAAATTGTTTTTTCCAGAAGCTGACGGCAAAGTTGATGAAATTAGCGCTTGTCTATTGTTGATAGTACGGGAGGGACACAAGAAGCGTCTCCACATGATGGTATTTGCTAGCTTATTCCAGTGAAACTGACTTTGTAAGGTCTGAAGTTAGGGCAGCAATTGACTAAGGAGAATTTCATCTGATAAGCGAAGAGAACTAAAGAGATATTGAGCTTGTAGAATCACAATATGATCACTCATAAGGGGCAGATTAACGAGATATAGCATAGTTTTTGTGGAAGAATGTGAATAACCACCAAATATACGGCGGTTACATGATTTCTGGAAAGATTCTAATTTTCAAAGATGCTGAAGAATTAGCAATCTGATTGCAAGGCCATAGCTCAATTGTGACCTAGCCATTTGAGAATAAAAACGACATGCCAGTAGAGGATCAAGGCCTTTGGAATTGAGTCCAATGGATTTTTTACAAATACATTTTAAATTATTATTATTACTATTATTTTATTTTGACTAAATGAGCACATAGCATTTTTTATCTGCAGTGTTGCCCTAGTCGGTTCTAATAGTATAAAAGTCAGAAAAACCCTCTTAAGAGACAAAAGGGAAAAGGATAAAAGTATATGTGTAAAAGATAAAATAAATATAATGAGTTATAGAGGAGCAAAGTAATTGGGAAAAAGAAAAAGATCAGTAAGATAAAATTCAGAGACAGTACAAGGATATTAGCACTGTTAGTTGAGTAACCATTTCACCAGTAATGTACCGGGTTCTGAGAGAGGATTTGGAGGTAGTTTTTTCATGAAGGAGGTAATCCATTTCATCTAGAGTGATACGAATAGCTGGCCAAGGAGCCACATCCTGTGAGTGTTTTAGCTTTTTAGTGGGTAATTGGTTTAACAGGAAGGAGAGTGGGTCTATGACCGTTCTTAGCATTTGATAGTGGGCTGTGCATATGTAGATGCTCAATAGAATAAGTACGGCTGAACGTTTGAGAAGGATGGTGAGGACATGGACGAGGTATACCACCAGGTAGCCAACCGAGGCTCCGGCGGAGGACTTGATTTCTTTCCGTATTCGTCATGGACAACCAAAGAATTGGATCGACGATCATATTGGGACGACATGTACGAAGAAGCTTGGAATTTAAACCCAGACAAAGGTGATCATATTGAGTTTTTTTGAAAACGCAGACGGAGCCGTTTGAAAACCTTTTTTTTTTATCAAGTTCATCCAAGGTAGGTGCACATTCTCTCCAGAGAGAGGTTTTTTTTACAATTACGATTAAAGAAGAATTTTATTTAAAAATTAATAAATGACCAATGAGCACATAGCATTTATATGCTGTTTTGCCCTGGTTAGATCGTTATGAAAGAAAAACCCTAATAGGATTAGGATAAAAGGGAAAATGTTGAATTTTTTACAATTACTTTAAATTTGGAAATTATTAATTTCTTTTTTGGATGAATCAAAGTTAAAATCCAGATGATTTGCTTACCTTTTTTGGATGAGACGTAAAAGGAAATTCAGAAAAAGGAAAATTAGTTTTCAAGCGGATAAGAGGATTCATACTCGGATCTTTTTTTTTTAAAAAAAAAAAAAAAAAAAAAAAAAAAAAGGGGGCCACTGTCGCAGTTCATCAAACTAATAGTAGTACATGTGTCTGTTTGATAGATAATTTTTTTTCCAAGAATTGAATGCTGTTGATAAGTGAAGGTGTTTTGTATGTATACACACTCAGATTGAAATACTACATTAACAAGCATTGTCAGTACTACTGGCAAGAGGTATTGGGACTAAAAGTAATGTATTCATGTATTTTTATATTAGTTGGATGGTGTTTATTAGTTTGATAATAAATATAATTAGCGTGTTTAAGAACAATATCTTCATAAAGTTTTCTAGAATTCAAGAATAACTTCCTTCATAGAATAAACATTAATTACCTGCTTAACTAGTTAAATCTTAGTCATTTTAATATAGTTTATTTATACGATAAAAAGAAGAGAGTGAAAAACAAAAAAAAAATCTTTTTATTTTTTCATGAAAATGAGTGTATACATGTATATACATTATTACCAGCTTTAGTGTGTAGCTGCAGAAGGCATCTGGGAGATTTAGATTTTTCAAAGGAAAAGACATAAGTTGGTATGTTATTGGTGCCTGATACAGTCGAAGAAACTAGGTTGGGTCAATAAAAAAATTTTTTGGTCACTTCCAAAATAAATTGGGACAGGGACATTGATACGAAAATAGTACACAGAAGGGAGTATGAGAAATTAAGATACTTTAGTTTATTTGGTCAAATAAGAATTGTTACAACTTCTTACCTGTAACATTATTAAGTCGTCGATTCACCGGAGTGAGCCGAGACAACCACATTGAAGGTGGCGGTTTGTCGTTTGAAGACGGTGGGGCGATCATTGTCATTCCATATAGACTGAGCTATGTAAAACATATTTTTGCTGGCTATTATATCTCGATTCCAAAAAGATATTGCAAGTTTTACACTTCAATACTTGATGGATCATGGTCATCTTCCTTACACTTCAGATTTTCTATATCATTTTTAAAGAAAGAATTGCAAATCTATGAAGAATTGGTTTTAGCTGAAAGTGCAATATGTAAACTATGTGTTGTTTTTTTCTTAATAACCTTTGATATATTAAATTCGTTGATGTCTAGTAGCAAGAGTTCTCCAAGCCTTTGTCTTGTTTTTTAATTGTTGATATATTTTGTTAGATACGCCATGATGGAGACCTTTGAACTTGTTATGATCCTTGTTTTTTTTTTAGTCCGTCACCAAAGACTACCAGAGGTATCTTGTTGCTGTTTCCCTTTCCAAAACAGATTTTGTTGTTTCTGCTGTAAGTTACAGATATAATAGTTCGAGTTTACTGAAATAATGATAATAATAAAAAAAAGTGTATATCTTTTTGATTTTGGGATGGTGGTGAGTGCTCTTTCTTCTTGAGCAGTACGAGGCTTGCGAGTTTTCCTCCTTCTTTTTCTGTTTTCCTTTGTCTTCTTTCTCCTGCTTTTATTATACTTCTTTCCACCATTTATTAAGATGTTGACACTTTCTTGGATGGCTTTTTGGGAACTAAGGTAGTTCAACCATTTAATCTTAGAAGTTTCAAAGCCGTAGAAATTAAGCAAAGTATTCATGTGCTGCAGCATGTAAGTTACGTACAAAACAAATTGTTCCACAGACGCAGTTTTAGGCGAAGGAATGTCTGTTTCAATCTTTTCAATACCTAGTCTCTGTTTGCGCTTCTGTTGCTCTTTCATTCGTCTTACACTTCCACCCATATTGTAACATTCGATTGAGGACAAGCGACGTATGTCAGTGCCACCGTGATAAGGGACAAAAGGATCCCGTCTTCCAGGGTCTATAGTACATGGACGGAAATACTTGTCCACCTCCTCGCTTGTAAAATCGTTCAACTCTAGACAGATATTGTCTTCTGGTGATGACAGAAGCACTTTTCTAGCAAATAGAACTCTGCATGTGTAGCCATCAGTATACAATCCATTGAGAAATATCTTTCCTTTTTGTTCAGGCAGTGCTTGAAGCTTTTCACAACTATATTTTTTTTTTCGTCAGTAATTTGATTTATAGATATATGTAATAGTAATGTATACCTTTGAATGCCCAGCTTCTTAAAGTCAAACATATGATAGAAGCATCTTTGTTTATTATCGAAAGGAGATTCATTAGCTTGCTTTTTTTTGTTTAGCATCTGGGAAAATTCCAGTTAGGTTCTGAGCATCAATCTTTATGAATCGCCAATGCAATCCAGGATTTGGGAATAGACTAAAACGTCTTGGAAGTAGGGACTTAATCAAATCGCTTTTGTCATTTTGAGGAGTTTGGGCCTTGTATATATCATCGTATTTTTTAAGGACATGCCCTTAATGCGGATAGAATTTTGAAGGGTTCATTGTTTAAGCTTTCTTTAGACACTGGAAGCTTGGACATGCGATTGTTCACTTCTAAAATCAAAGGATTTAAGAAACTTGGGAGATTATTGACCACATCCGGATCAAAAAAGGGCAGGAATATCATCAGGTATAGAGGATGGCTGGGAATGTGTAAGCACTTGATCATATATATGATTATATATCCAAGTTCTTGATACAGCCAACCTTCGCATTCTAGTTTATACAATTTTAGTATAAAAAATTTGAGAAATTGAACATGTATATTAAAGAGTTTGTTTTTATCTCTCGTTGCTTACCGGATACTTTGTCCTTAATGTATAGATAAAGTAGTTACATATAATATTTTCAAAGTTTTCAACATAGAAGTTATTGTATGTTGTTGCGACAGTTTCACATGCAGTTGACAGAGATTGTCCATAATTCTTTAATCTATTTTCTGGAACAAACAAGCTACCATTTAAAGTGGCGGATAGTTCAACAAAAGAACTTGTAAGTTGAACCATATCTAGATTCTGTTCTGCAGGTCTTTCCCTTTACGTGTCTTTGTAAGCCTGTAGAATTGGCCCTACATCATCTGAGCTGCCCCTAATCACTCTTGAAATAGTGTACCCAAAAATTTTGATAAAAAAAAAGTCATTTGTCAACTTGCTCGGGTGTTGCAGAATAAAAAAGTTTATAAATAGTTGTGCTTTGAATACGACTTCATGGATAAAGCTTGATACAGCCTTGACCTTTTCCAAAGAACTGGCTTTGTTTGGGAGTATTCTTGCAGAAAGTTGCAAATGGAACAGAGAGAGAGTATATCTTTGATAAGTTGATTCCAAGTTTAATTTGTAAAAGTTCTGCTAGCTTTAGATTATACTTTTTTGCAGTGGGGGCTTCTTTCAAAGTTATTCTCCTCCTCTAGGCAAGAACTACATTTGTTTTTACTTTTAGAGGATGACGCTGCTGAAGTATTAGTATGGCGGCTTCTCTTTGCACTCCTTTTTACTGTTATTACAGCAGGAGAGTCTTTCCTCTTGGTAGCTTTATGTACATTAGCTTGTGAGACCTTGTAAATGCATAAAGTATTTTTTTTTTACTTACATGTTCTCTTAGGGTTTTAAGTGGTTGAGTTGTCCTTCTTACTTTCAGAATTGACCTTTTCTAGCTTTGCACGTTTCTTGAGGAAAATTAAATGCTCCACTTCAGAGTGAATAGGTGTGCGTGGCATTGATGAATTGAAAAAAGAAGTAGAAAGAGTTCAAGACAACATTTGTCTGCTAACTAGAAAATATACTTAGTGTAAAACATGTCACATTGTAATGAAAGTTATGACGTGAAGTCTTGTTATTATAGTTGAAGGGAATATATCTTTTGATTATTTAAATTCATTTTTATAACTGAGCAGAATTACTTCAGCTATCATTTAAACAATGAAGGCCTTGTTGGTTAAGTAAAAGTTATACACATATGAATTTTGTCTTCGACACTTAGATCATGAAGTACTAGAATCATACGAGCACTATAGAGGCTGGCTGTTTTTTAGGGTTACAACCCTTAAATCAAGACAAAAAAAAAATCTTTAAATTTGTTCAGTATAGTCCCACATTCGCGTTCGTGTTCCATATTCTCTTATGTGTTCCATTTTCACACTGATTTCCCATTTTTATACTGGTGTCCCATATTCCCTTCTGTGTACTATTTTCGTACCAATGTCCCATTTTCATATTGGCGTCCTAATTTTGCAACCCTGTCCCAATTTATTTTGGAAATGACCAAAAAAAATTTTTATTGACCCAACCTAGTTTCTTCGACTGTAAGTGAATGTAACTTTTAAAGTTTGAAAATGGTGTCAAGACTGACTAATAAACATTGACATCAAAAGTATGCGCTATTATATTCATCATTTCTTCCTCAAAAAAAAAAAAAAAAAATATGTTTAAATACAACAAATTCAAGATATCCTTAAAAGAGTTTCGTGTATAAACAAATAGAAATACAAGAACAAAGTAAGATACAATTCTATTAAGGTTTAAGAACAATAGTTTGACACTTACCATTAATACATAGTAGCTGAATTCAAATGTAAAGACTGCAATAACGTTAGACATCATATAAAGAGAAGCAGTAAATATGAATAATATCAACCTAAAGCAGTACAAGGTAAAGTATATGCATTCATACATAGAATTTTCTTCAAAGCGAAACACCTTCCAAGCGATTGTTTAGTTTAAAAAAACTGGAGCAACTTTTCAACACGATATCATATAACCTATGAGATGCTTCCAGAAATAAAAGGGTATAGTCATTGCATAACTACTGCTTGTGTAGAAATGGCCATGATCTACGCAAAATAATATCGCCGAGTGTTTCGAGACAAGACTGAAATCATATATTTTGCACAATGTTGCGGAAAAAAAAAGTTTGAAAAAGGTACATAGTTTGTTTATTAAATATTATGTTGAATGTTTCTTTAAAATCTATATGATAATAGCCAGATAAAGGTATACTCAAAAAAAGATGACTCATATGTACTGTTACCAGAGTATTTGTGGAAGTACATTACCTATATGGCCAGATATGTCTTCCTAATATGTACAATAATAAGAAATCGGTAATTGATAACAATTGTAAAAAATTAGCAAACATAAACATGCCTAAACCAGTTACACTTCAAAGTTTTTCAAAGTCTTCAGGAGCCTACATACCTATGTTAACCTACATTCTGCAAAAATATGAACAGTAACACCAACAGACATCATTAAAAGACCGAGACAAAGGCGTAAACCAAAATTTTCCTCAAGTACTCTTGCTGCTTTTGCTGGTAGAACATTACCAAGCGCCTATGAAAAAAAAATTAGAAATGTACACTCAAATCTTTGATTTCAAAAGGCTCAAAATAAATAGGTGTGTAGTTATTATCATATAGCTTCCTTGTATATATATATTACTCATTTTTTAACCAACGCTTTTTAATGTATACTTACTATAGTATAGAAACTTTACGGGATCCAGCTAAGAAGAAAAAGGTTGTAGTTGTTTTTTTAAAAAAAAAATATTATCCCAACCGATGGTCTTACCGCTGATGTTGTTCTTATTAAAAGTACAAAGACAAATAATGATGTTTCTTTTGATTGCTACGAGCAAGGTTTTGATATTTTATTGTTCAGGCGATGTTATAACACAAGTAAAGAGTTCAGCGATATTTATTTCTTTTTGCTATAGACCCAAATCGAGGGCAGGTGTTTGCTGTTCCCCATGGTCATGATGAAAGTTACCATCAGATTAAAAGATGCTCTACCAAAGAATACTATACTTATACAGGCAGTAGAAGACATGAGAAAAGAGAAAGAAAAAGAACGTCTGATGAAAATATGCATAAAGTACTTTTAACCACCCCCCGCCCACAAAAAAACCGCCTATACATCAACATATCTACAGTATGTAACATATATCTTGCTACATCTACAAAGAATGTTATTATACAACGTCCAGTCAACAGCTGAATCTCACTTTCATTTGTACCAGAGTGTGAAAAGAGCAAGACAAGAAATGTTCAACCTTTTGGTGAACGGTGGTAAGAAATACAATCAATCAATCAAAAAAAAAAAAAAAAAAAAAAAAAAAAAAAAAAAGCAAAGAACAGAAAGAAAAATGAAACGAAGAAAAAAAGAAAAAAAAACAAGATGCACAACAGGATATTATAAATGAAGAGATGCAGCAAACCACAAGGTTAGTGCTAATAAAACAATAGAATAATTACCATATTAATGCATTGTTTATATAGAAGAAAAGACAAGTCCTAGAGATCAGAAAAATTTTCATTATCAAAAAGAGAGTTTACCCATGATTTTTTTTTTTTTTTTTTTTTTTTGGTAATGGAATGTTCGGTAAGGACACACATATAAATTTCGTGGACTCTGAGTTGGTCTGACTGGAGTACGTTGGAATCAACTTAAATGCAGGCAAATATCTGGTAATTTTACTACTTGCTTATGTAGATGAATACAGTACTTTGAAGGTAAAAAAAAAATATATTAGGATACTTTAATTTTTAATTTTTACAACTAAGTATCATAATATTGCTAGTATTAGACGTGTCACTCATATAAGCAAATGTCTTTCACTGAAGCTATTGTCGAGTTACACAGTGTCCTCGTTTGCACACGTTGTGGAATGATGTGGCAGCGTGATGCCAACACATAAAAAAAAAAACATCTTTGAGATTTCTCAAAAACATGCTCGGTGGTTGTGGTCGTCCCCGAGAATTTACAAGATGCAAGTAAATTTTTAATTATATCGCCGTCCTGAATACGGTTTTCCCTTTTTTTTTTTTTCTTTTTTGGTAAGAATCCCAAACATTAATCCTAACTCGTCTGAAAAAAACTAATTTTCCTTTTTCTGAATTTCCTTTTACGTTTCATCCAAAAAAGGTAAGCAAATCATCTGAAGTTGAATTTTGATTCATCCAAAAAAGGTAAGCAAATCATCTGATTTTTAATTTTGATTCATCCAAAAAAGAAATTAATAATTTCCGCACATATTGTATTGTGTCCAAGTCAGATTAGAATAAGAAATTAAAAAACAAAAAAAAAAACAAAAAAAAAAACAAAAAAAAACAAAAAAAAACAAAAAACAAAAACCTTTTGATAGTGAAAAGGTAAGGAAGGGAAAAGAGCTAGAGAACGTGTATCTTTAGATACAAAATAATTTGCTGTATTATTATTTGATTCAAGTTCATACTAAAAGGGCTAGTAATCCTTTTTTTTTTACACTTTATTCAGAAAAGAAAATTAAATAAAAAATGATATGAAGTATGGACAGATAAAGGAGTTAAAATTGGTTTAAAGAGAGACAATATATATAACAGAACTCTTTAGTATAGGATAACCAATATAATATATACGTAGTATTACTTACATTGAATGTGATTAAGAGAGAAACATCAAAGTATAATATTAGCGTCTGCTTTAATATTTTCTTTTTTTTTAGTCTAAGCATTTACCTGTGAGAGTGTATTATAATATGGACAAGTGATAGCTTGTCTATACATTGAAGTAAATATAATCCAATTCGATACAATGTAGAAATAAGGCTAAATTCGATAATCGGCAATTCTTTCTATACATATCTGTATATCTCTTTTGAGACATTTGTTTTTCTGTTCTCTCCGCCTAATTTTTTTTTTTGTTTTTGTTTTTTTTTTTTTTTTTTTTTTTTTTTTTTTTTTTTCAGAAATAAAGATAATGAAATAGAGTAAAAAAAAAAAAAAAAAAAAAAATTAGCAAAAATGAGAGATGCTAATCTGTTTATTCTATGAGTAAGCGTATATGTATTTATCTGATAACCTATGCTTTGATCTAAAGAAGATCAAGATATTTGCTCGTTAAATTTAAGAAAGAAGTGAACTAATAAACATAAAATTCAACTAGACGGTATCACCTGTGAGAGTGTAGTTTGTTAATGAACAAAGTTCTGTGGAGAGGGGAATTAACTTTTTGGTAAGTTAAACACTTGTTCTCAGAAGTGTCATATTCTATTCACTCTATTATAAAGGTAAAATGAATGAATAACTTGAAAAGAAAAAAAAACATCAAGTCTTCCATAAATTAGTCATCTTTAGACCAAGTTGGAATATCATTAGTAAATCAAGACAAATAGGAAGATAAAATAGTTTACTGTATATGCCTTATAGAAAAGAAAAATGAAGGGAGTTCAGCTTATATTATAATGTCTAGTTTTCAAGATATACTGTATTATCAGATAGGTCAAGCTTTATAAACCAACAAGATTATTAAACTTTAGATATTTTGTTATAAATTAAAATAGATGTGCAATTATATTATTTTCTTAAAAACACTGTGTTATATTAGGGAAAAATATACATTTAAGAGAGAGAAAAAAAAAAAAAAAAAAAAAAAGCATAAAGAAAATGATACAATAAATCAAGGTCAAGGCGGAGTGTAGTATGTAAGTCCTTTTATTTAGACTCTGTATTACCTTTATTTATTTATTTTTCTTTTATTTTATTTATTTTTTTTTTCTTCTTTTAACATCTCGGTTAATTATACAAATGTCAAAGGCTTCTTTTGTTCGTGAATATAAACTAGTTATGGTTGGTGGTGGTGGTAAATAGTTGTGTCTTCTTTTTTTTTTCTTTTTAAAAAAAAAGAAAGAAAAAAAAATTAATCAATCTTTATATTGTCATTTTTTAAATTAGGTGTTGGTAAATCAGCTTTGACTATACAATTCATTCAATCACATTTCGTTGATGAATATGATCCAACCATTGAAGGTAACTAATAGTATTAGTAATGAAAAAAATTGAATGATTATTTTTATACATATCCTTTTATGTATATAATTACAGATTCATATCGTAAACAATGTGTTATTGACTCAGAAACCGCTTTACTTGATGTACTTGATACAGCTGGTCAAGAAGAATACAGGTACAACAACAAAATAAAAAATAAAAAATAAAAAAAAAAAAAATAAAAAAATAAAAAATAAAATAAAAAATAAAAAATAAAAAATTAAATAAATAAAATAAAATTAAATACTAAAGCACAAAAAATGACTACTCTATAATAGTGCAATGAGAGAACAATACATGAGAAATGGAGAAGGATTTCTATTAGTCTATTCAATTACTTCTCGTATGTCTTTTGAAGAAATTACAACATTTTATCAACAAATATGCCGTGTAAAGGATCGTGATTATTTTCCTATGGTTTTGATTGGTAATAAATGTGATTTAGAGACAGATAGACAAGTATCAAGTCAAGAAGGTAGAGATTTAGCAAAGAACTTTGGATGCCATTTTATAGAAACTTCAGCAAAGCAAAGAATCCATGTTGATGAGGCTTTCTTTGAAGTTGTGCGTGATATCCGTAAATATAACAAGGAACAAGAGACACGGGGGCATGACCAATTTGGTATTCAAGATGCTCCTGATGTTGTTTCTGACAAATGCTGTATCTTGATGTAATTTTATACTTATTTATTATTTATATACTAATCTCTCTCTATCTCATTTTTTCTTTTTTTTTTTTTACTAAATGATAATGAATGTACACACTCTATAAATATATACAATATTACTTTCATTTTTGGGTGTTATACATGTGTTATATAATTTATATATTTCTTTAATAACGCTATAAACTATAGAACAGTCTGTACATGTATATATTTATTTGTATACCGCATATTTATAGTTTATCTGAATAAGGGCAAATCTTTTTTTTTTTTTTTATATTATTTTTACATGTAATAATGTAAGCATCAATAGCTTCTTCTTTTTTATTATAATTGTGGTACAAATTTCATATATATTTTTGTACACATAATAAAATGAATTATTTCCATTCACTATCTTTCTTCTTGTGGTGCTTTTCCTTTCTTTCTTTACGTTTATCGTCATCAGAATCGGATGAAGAGTCAGAGCTACTGCTGCTGCTGCTGCTACTGTCATTCTTGTGTTTTTTATGTTTCTTTTCTTTCTTGTCACGTTTCTCTTTCTTGTCACATTTTTCTTTCTTTTCATGATGATGATCTTCTTTTTTATCATTATGTTCTTTCTTTTCAAAATGATGTTGTTGAGGAGGAGGCTGAGGGTATTGTTTTTGTGGCTGTGGTTGTGGTTGTGGTTTTTGTGGTTGTTGTTGTTGTTGTTGCTGTTGTTGTTGTTGTGGCTGTTGATTATGAATGGTATAAGGCTGTTGCTTATTAGACTCAGGTTGAAGGAAACCAGAAGGAGGGACAAAAGGTTTTTCTTGTTTCTTGTACTTTTCTTCATCTTCTTTACTATCAAAGTGATCTTTAAGTTCATGTGCACCCCAAGCAGTAAGACCTACAGCTGCAAGGCCGGCTAAGGCGCCACCACCATATTTCTATGTAATGTAATGTAATATCAAAATAGAGAATGAATGAATATATAAAGATCACAAAGAATAGTAATATGTAATATACAACTTACAGCCCAACTGGGTAGCTTGCCTCTAGCCTTAGCTTCCTCAAATTCACCTTTAGACATTTTTTCTGGATTAACAACACCATCTTCATTCATTAAAGGTGTAGAAGGACTAGTAGGCATACGATGGCTGCTCTCATTTCCAGGATAAGGAACTGCAGCAGGGGGTGTGAAAGGAGGTGGACTACCTGCACCATAATTATGAGGAATAGGGTTAGCAGGACCCAAAGAAGCAAATGAACCCTGACGACTACTATTATTATCATCAGAAGAGGATGGATGATGAGAAGCCTTTTGTTGATAAGGTACTTGTTGTCCGCCCAAATTCATGTCACCGAATGATGAGGTAACAGAGCCAATTGAGTTAGTACCCTAACCATAATAATAGTTATACATGTATACACTCTATAAATAAATAATTTGTATAGAATCTACTTACAGAGAACATAAGATTTAATTTAAGCTCACCAAAGGCTTGACCAGAGGAAATGGAATTTAACTGAACCCAACGTTGCTCTTTACCTTGCTCAAAGGTTTCTTTCAAAGAAACTTTAGCAGTAGCAATAATACCACCTCGATTGGAATTTTCATTAACCAACTCCAAATTCAAAATATTTTTTCCTTCAGGAACATGACTGTAAATAAATAAATAAATAAATAAGTAAATAATATAATTATCTTTCATTCCTTTCACGCTTTTATCTTACCAAGTTAAAGGGCTATTCCAATAAGGCTGGGGACCATTTTCGGAACGAGTTCTATGTTTCTCATTTTCTTCAATATAGCATCCAACAAAGAAACTAGCATCTATAAAAAATAAAATAGGATTAAACATAAAAAAAAAAGAAAATAATTAATTCATTATTTTATTATTACCATCAAAACCAGAAGGGATTCCACGAAGCGTTTCTAAATAATAACATAGATAAATAAGTACTCCTAAAAGGAAAAAGAACGAAAGAATATAAAAATATATTTTTGTTGTTTACCGGGAGTTACAATTAATTTTCCAATAGCCATTTGTATGTTTATAAAATAAAAAAAAAAAAGAAAAAAAAAAAAGAAAAGTAAAAGTAAAAGTAAAAAATAAATGAATAAATAATATTTATAATAATAACAGCAACAGAAGAAGGATAGGCTAAGTTGATTATGTCGGGAAAAGAATTTTTTTTTCTTTCTTTCTTTCTTCTTTCATTTCGTACTACTTACTCTAATTGCCAAGATTAATGTTATTATATAATAAGCTCTCCTTGACGCTGTTACTACTGTGTGAATAATATTTTTTTTTTCGGCAAGTTTCATAATGATTATGCAAAATTGAAGCTAAAAATAATATATTTATAGTTTGCACTATTATAATAATAACCTTTTTTGATAATAATATTCATACACAAATTCATGTATTATTATGATATCTTTTCTTTTCTTTTCTTTTTTGTTTTACTGTATTATTAACAACAAAGAGTTATTATATTATAAATACACGCATATAAACTACTACACAAAAGTTATAATTTATAATATACGACTGTGGTGTATTTAGCATGATTAGCTTGTTGTCTTCGGAATATCCTCCGTTTTTATAACACCAGTAGTAATGAATCATCATAGCTTAAAACAATGCTACTCAACATTTGTTGGCGCATTGAATTTCCGAAGAAAATCGCCAAATCTCGGCTACTACCAAGTAATGTAATCATTATCCTCTTTATAATGTCCGACTACAATAACGTAATAGTGCATATCTACATAACGTTATCCACATTAATAAGGAATAGTTTCAACAATTATGCTACTGCTACTGCTGCTGCGAATGTCAAAATTCAATATGCAGAGATTCAAAATCCAGCTTTTTCCTTCATAAGAATGAGTTTGTCGAAAAATAAAAAAATAAAAAACAAGCAGAGTTCTATAAAGTAGATTGTTCACGTAGTATAGGTTATGTAAAGATGAATGCAAATGAATTATAACTTTATCAAGAAAGTAAACTCTGTTAAACCATCTCTAAGGATTACTTTTTTTTTTTGATAAATTTTTTCAGGTACTCTATAAAAGATAACAAGTAAAAAAAAAAAAAAAAAAAAAAAAAAAAAAAAAAAAAAAAAAAAAAAAAACAATAATAGCTCCAGTTATTTTCATCATAACAAAGTCAATAGAGACAGGACATCATTTATTGCATTTTACAGCAGGCCATTCATTCTATACTTAGTTTTATTCATGGTTATTGCTACTAGAGTATTTTCGAGTATAAATTATAGAAATATGGCTGGTTATTCAATTACTACTACATAGTGGTTCACTATAATCTATGTTTTGCAGTAACAGTCACAACAGCCCATTAGGGAGACAAGATTGTTTGCATGAATGTTGACTAATTCGGAGATAACAATGGCAGTCTCTGTTTGTTGTCAAGACCATATCACTTATTTTGAAAAAAAAAAATAAAAAAAAAAGTAGAGCAATACCCTTATTTACAATAGATTTTTTTTAAAAAAAATAACGCGTAAATCAAAGAATCGACTAGATTTACTGTAATAGTTGTGTTATATTTTCTATATGAATCAATTGTGTATAAAGATAAGAAATGATCTATCTTTATAGGATCCGTTATTATTATTAGCATAAAAAATCTTTATAAATGCCATCATGACGTGTCAAGGTAATAAAGCAGTATAAAACAAAATACAACGAATATCTGTTATAATCTTCTTCTTTAGATTATATGCATGTGTATTAGAGAAGAAATATTATTCTTTTTTTTTCTTTTTTCTTTTTTTTTATTTAGTATATATGTAGAAATAATACTAAATATGATAACAATTAATATAAAAATACTCTTATATTACCTAATCTTAAAATTGAATCGTTTCAATTAACGTTTTTCTTTTCCTTTTCAGCTCTGTTGTTACAAGAGACATTGTTAATTATAAAAGGCTGCTGTTTGGATTTACACGTCCATATATTCTATGATCAAGTAATATACAAAAAAAGACTAAATCAGGAGAACATAATCCCGCTGAAAATGTCACCCATCAGTCAAACTCTGTAAAAGCATATTGAAACTAATACTAATATAAATAGGAAGATTAGAATAGTGATTATGAAGAATCCTATCAATGACAGTTATGACATATTAACTAAATTAAACTATTCAAGTCACTGCTCAGATGCATGTATCCAAGTAAGCAAATGATAATTATATTAGCAATCTATCAACTTGAGGAAATATTCCTATTTTGTTCTGCATTCTTTATGCTTTCTGGAATAGTGTTAAATCCCATTAATAATGTATTTACTTTCTAGAGCTAATGACATTCAGTTACCACCGCTATAAATAATATAATTTTTAATCCCCACAAATTGAAAAAAAAAACTAACTATTTCTACAGTACAGCAATTAATATTAATTATTTCAAGTCTAGTATTTAAAACACTTGGTAAGCAAAATACTGCCTTGTTTATTGTTCCTTATAAATGTTTAAATATAAATACTATTAAATAAATAAATAAACAATTCACGGTCCATAATTGATTTTACAGTTCTATTTTATTTTATTTGGTTTTACTTTATTTTATTTGCCTTCATCAAGATGAGCATTGACTTTAATTGTTATATATAAACTTAGACAATAGCTTCATAAATATTTACTTGCATTTAAAATAATTTGTTAAATAAACGCAGTTCATTCTTTTTACATTTGTCAATCGTTTAAACACAGCTGCTGTGTAATGCGTGACTATGTTTTAAACTCTGGTGGCTTTTTGCGTAAAGAAAGAAAGCGTGGTAGAAATGGTGTGATACTGAACGATATCCTTTTTTCCCGTTTTTTTTTTCGTCACTCATTTTATTTTATACATACATACATACATACATTTATATATATATATTTATATATAACAGTAGAAACACACACACACACACACATAAGTTTCCAACTGAAAGAGTTAATCGTCTATCAATTTCATTACTTGTGAGAGCACAACATCTTTTATTTTCTAAGAAAAAAAGACTAAATATTTATAATGGCATTAGACCCACCATCTCCTTCAAGGTATATAAAATATGCATATATATAAATATTAATATTAATATAAATAAACGCCTTTATCTATGTATTGTTTTATTTTTATTTTAACTTTATTAATATTGAAAGGCAACCAAGTAATGTAGAAGCAACAAATTCAACCGAGCCATTTAACATGGCTTCATTTACATCTGCCCCACGATTAACTGAAAATAGCCCATATCAAGTGTCAACTGTAAATGAAAGAACAAGTTCTGCTCATACTAGTTCTTCACAGGAGCGAACTCAAACATCAATAGAACCATCTTCTTTTAATATACGACGACCTTCCAAAACACCTCCTCCACCTCAATTACCTCTTTTGCAATCATCTGTTTCTAATTCACCTTCTTATGCAAGACAAAGAACACCTGTTGCTGAAAGTTCACCTGCAAATGCAACAACTAATCCTGATGTTGCATCTATTACAACTAATAATTCTAACACTATAAATGGGTCTGGTATCGTAAATGCAGGTACAAATGCTTCTAATGGTTATCGACCTTTAAATGTAAAAGATGCTTTAACTTATTTGGATCAAGTGAAAATGAAATTTTCCGAAAAACCTGAAGTTTACAATCGATTCTTGGATATTATGAAAGAGTTTAAAAGTCAAGCGTAAGTAATAAAAGACATTTATATATTTATATACATGTATATATTATATTCGCATATATTAAAATTATATATATATATATATTCATATATATCCAAGTATTGATACCCCAGGTGTTATTGAGCGTGTATCTACTTTATTTAAAGGCCATCCAAGTTTAATATCAGGATTTAATACATTTTTACCTCCTGGATATCGTATTGAATGTTCAACAGATGCTTATTCAAGAGATATTATTAAAGTGACTACACCAAGTGGCGTATCGAGTACAACACACGGAGAACCGCTTAATTTACAACAATCAGAAACCTCAAATCGCTACTATTCTTCTAAACTTCAAAATTCTAGTTCACCCCATGAGTCTTATCAAACTACTCATAGTAATTATCGCAATTTAAATGGGCCACTTCCATCTATTTCGAATTATCATTTGTCTCAACAATTTCATGGAGGCCCAGTTTCAACACATCCCTCTAATAATCCTATTCCTTCACCATCTCTACCTCCTCCTTCACACTCTTCTCATTCCCCTTCTCCTACAGCCACTGTTTCAACAGATGAGAATCGAACACGTCGTGCACCAGTTGAATTTAATCACGCTATTAATTATGTAAACAAAATCAAAACACGATTTGCGAATAATCCAGATACATATAAACAATTCCTTGAAATCCTACAAACCTATCAAAAGGAACAAAAATCGATTCAAGAAGTCTATTCTCAAGTCCAGATCTTATTCGATGGCGCCACTGATCTTTTAGCTGAATTTAAACAATTTTTACCTGATACTACTGCACAACCTCTTCAACTCTCCCCGCATCATTATCCTCCTCTTACAGAACAAAAGGGGACTAAAATAAAAAAGAGGTCATTCATAGGACTGCCTAAACAAAAGAGAAACAAGACACACCATTTGCTAGATAGTAGTAGTAGTAGTAGTAGTAGTATGAGTAGTAGTAGAATAGATCATCACGTGATTACATCTGATATTAGATCACATCGATCTCCTATTACCCTACCACCAGCATCCATGGAGGAGGAAGAGGAGGAGGATGGACCGGTGATCTCTGTGGTAGAGTCTGAATTTTTCGATCGAGTTAAAAAATATATTGGAAATAGACAAACCTATTATTCTTTTTTACGTGTATTAAACTTATTTAGTCAACAAATATTAGATACAAATGCCCTAATCGAACGCTGCGAATCATTTTTAGGCGGACAAAAGGAATTATTTGATCAATTAAAAAGATTAGTGGGTTATGATGGAAAAAATCATATTATTGAAAATGTACCTATTGCACCAAAGACTGATTATGGTATCTCTGTTCAATATGGTCCTAGTTATCGATCTGTTCCTAAATCAGTAAGTCTATTTTGTATATGTATAATAGAATTTTATGATTATTAAAAAAAAAACTTTTATTCTAGGGGCAAACTCAAAACTGTTCTGGTAGAGATGCACTTTGTTGGGAAGTGCTGAATGATGAATTTATTTCACATCCTACTTGGGCAAGTGAAGATAGTGGATTTATTGCATCAAAGAAGAATATATATGAAGAGGCTTTACATCGTGTTGAAGAAGAAAGATATGATTATGATATAAATATTGAAGCTAATTTAAATACAATTTCATTATTGGAACCTATTGCAAAAAAGATTGCAACTATGATGGAAGATGAAAAGATCAACTTTAAACTTTCTCCCGGTTTAGGAGGTCCTTCAAAAACAATTTATCAACGTATTATTAAAAAGATTTATGGTAAGGTGCAAGGTGCTGAAATCATTGATATGTTACATAATCATCCAGCACAGACAGTCCCTGTTGTCTTAAAGCGTCTTAGACAAAAAGATGAAGAATGGAGACGGTCTCAGGTAAGCAGATGATGATAAAATGGGAGGTTTCTTTCTCTCTCTCTATATATATATAAAGAAGAAAAATGACTTATTCTTTCTTTCTATTTCCCCTTATATTGTAGCGAGAATGGAATAAAGTATGGAGAGAGGTGGAAATTAAGAATTATTACAAAGCATTAGATTATCAAGGAATTGTTTTTAAAACCAATGATCGTAAAATGATGTCTGTTAAATATCTTGTTAATCAAATCGAGGCACTTCGTTTGGATCAAATAAATGATGAAAATCAGTTGGGCAATATGGAACCTCAGCTTATATATGAATTTAAGAGCAAGAAAGTCTTTAAGGATGTCACTCGTGTATTATATAGTTATTTTGATCGCCAGACTTTATATGGTCATGAAGATTGTGAAATTATGAAAGCATTTATTGAAATGTTCTTACCCATCTTTTTCGATGTTCCTGATGTCCTTCCTGAGCCAAAACAGGATTCAGTTACAGATATCAGTTTAGAAGAAGAAGAAGAAGAAGAAGGAAGAGGAGGAGGGGAGGAGGAGGAAAGAGAAGATATAGATGGAAATGAAACGATGGAAGACGAAGATGAAGAAGATAATGATACCCAAAACTCTTACGATTCAACTGATACATCACGTTCTACAAGAAGAAGAGGAAATAATGGAAGCTATTCTCGAAGAAGCACAAGTGGTAGAAGATCACCTCGTCATAAACCAAATGATGATGAACAACGACTTTTAAAAGATGTCTTGACAAAGACGATTAAACCTTCTACTCCAACTATATCAAAAGTGACTGAAGTGAAGAAACAAAAAATAATTGTAAAAGAGGATAATAATGAAGAAGAAGAAGAAATGATGGATCCTCACAAAGAGCAAAAGATTTATAATTTCTTTGGTAATCCTACTTTTTACTGTTTTTTCCGTTTATTCCAGGTAAGAAAGTTATTTTTTATGTCTTTCATAATAATAGTGTAATCTCAATATTATAAATTGATTAGATGTGTTATGAGCGATTATACAAGATGAAACAAATTGATCGTGATTATAGATACAATGGTGAAAAAGCAAAACTGATGACTAAAGCAGCTCTTGAATTAAATATTACAAGCGCAACATTTAATTGTAAGTAGACTATTTTATAAAGTAATATCATTTTTTTTTAACTTGATGATTAGCTATCAAGATGGATTTCAAAACAGGATATTACAAGACTTTACTTGATTTAATTGACAAATTTTTTGATGATGAAATTGATCAACATGTATTTGAGGAATGTACAAGATATTTATTTGGAAACCAAGCATATATCTTATTCACAATTGATAAACTCATGTTGGCTATCATGCGACAGGTAAAAAAGAAATTGAAGTTGACATGATTCATAAAAAAGAGAGATGTTTATATTATTATATATATAGCTTCATTATATAGTAACTGACCCAAAAGCGCAAGAATTATTGTCATTCTTTAAAAAGAATCATGAATATGAAAAGATGAAACCCGAGTTGACACAAGCATATAGATTAGAAGTGACTGAAGCCTTAGGAGAAGATGATGTATTGTATAATTTAGCATTTGATACCTTGAATAGAACATTATCGATTCAATTATTGGAAAAAGAGGACGAGACATTTGAATTGAATGACATTGAAAGTTATACCGAATATGTTACAAATTATACCAGTTGGGACATTGATACTCCAGGTGTAAGTCGTAAAGCATTACGACCACAGTATTTAAAAAGGTAAATTATAATGAGCTGGGGGAAAAAAAAAAGGATAGAATAATTCTAACCATTTGTTTGACAGAAATTCAAATGCAAGTAAACATCAACAAAGTACAAAAGATATTATTGTAAAACCAGGCTTAGAATATAAAATATGTCGTAATACATACCATATGTTTTATGTGATTGGAACAGAAGATGTTTGTTACTGCAGACGTATTACTGAAAATGATGTCACATCTTCTAGTAGAAACAATGCATTTAAATTATGGTTAGACAAAGGAAAAGATACAAGTGAATTGGATGAAAAATGTCGACTATTATATAGCAGTAATCAATCAAATTAAGTAGTTTATTTTATTTTTTTATTTTTTTTTTTATTTTTTATTTACTTGTTTTTATTTTATATAATGTACATAATAAAGTAAATAATTGACCCTTTTTATCATTATTATGCGTAAAATATATCCATACATATACATGTATCTGTATTACTAATGCTCATCTATACGCTTGTCCAATTAAATAGTGTTGTATGTTATAACAGTCAATCAGAATCTAAAATAGGTTTTATTATATATTTTTATATACAGGTGGGGTCGTATCATGCAAGTAACCAAGTAAGTTAAAAGAAGACCATTATTTCTTACCTTCAAGAAATTTGAGACCGTCTTCTTCCAAATTTTCCATTTTATAACGTTGTTATCTGTTTGGCGTAGGTTTCTTTAGTAGTAACATTTTTTTAAAAAAATCTCTTCATTAAAATAACGTAGACAATAATAGACAATTTTTAAAATTCCGTATTTTGAAAGTGAAAAAAAAAAAAAAAAAAAAAAAAAAAAAAAAGATATAATAGAACATCATTTTACACTACTTGTTTCCACGTTTGTATTATTAATATAATGACAGTACATACGGGTGAACGATTAAAGGCCCTTAGAGCATTATTTCACTCAGAAGATCAAGATGTTGATGCTTTGTAAATAGTTCCTTGTCAATAATTAAAAACTGTTGTCTATTACTTACCTGTGTTTATTTATTTATGTAGTCTTATTCCTTCAGAAGATGCTCATCAAGTAAAAATAAAATAATAATGTTAATGTTTTGTTTTGTTATTTTTTTTTAAAAAATAACAACATTTATGTTTTCTTCCTTTTTATTTATATAAAATATATATATATATTAAAGAGCGAATATAGTGCTGATTGCGATTTAAGACGTGCTTGGATTTCGGGATTTAATGGTTCTGCAGGATTCGCTATTGTTTCCAAGGATGAAGCTGTCTTGTTTACAGATGGTAGATATTTTTTACAAGCTTCAGAACAATTAGATGAAAACTGGGTCTTGATGAAACAGGGACTTCCTGGTGTACCTACATGGCAAGAATATCTTGTTAATGTAAGTGTGTGTGTGTGAATGAAGAATTATAATCATGACTTATTTACTTTAATATCTTTAGAAACTCCCTGCAGGTTCTCGTATTGGTCTAGACGCAACTTTGATTACAGCCTCAGATGCACATGACCTCCAAGCTCGCCTTGATACCGTTCAATCACAGCTTGTTCCTATAAAGCGTAACTTGGTTGATATTGCATGGGCGAATGAAAGACCATTACCTCCTTATGATAAAGTGTTTATACATCCAATTGAATATGCAGGTAATGATTAAAAATAAAAAGACCTTGATATTTTTTATAATTGATTGTTTAATTGTTGTCAATTATAGGTGAATCACATCATGACAAGTTAGATAAATTACGCCAACATCTAAAGAAGAATAATAGATATGGTGTTATTATATCTGCACTTGATGAAGTTGCTTGGTTGTTCAACTTGAGAGGATCTGATGTGGATTGTAATCCAGTATTTTATGCTTATGCTCTTATTACTCAAGAGGATAGCATTTTATACATTAATTCAGAAAAACTAACAACAGATGTGCTTCAACATTTAGAAGGCATTATTATCAAGACTTATGATGATGTCTTTAATGATTTAAGACAATTGAAGAATACATTATCTTTAGTAAATCAAAAGATACTTATTGATAACAGTACAAGTTTAGCTATTGAAGAGGCTATCGGTTCTGAGTTTGTTTATGAAGAAAGATCGTTTGTCAATGATGCAAAGGCTATTAAAAATGAAAGAGAATTAAAGGGTATGCGTGAGTGTCATATTCGTGATGGTGCTGCTTTAGTTCAATTCTTCGCTTGGTTAGAGAAGGAATTAGTATCAGGTAAAGAAATAGATGAAGTTCAAGCAGCTGATCATCTCGAAAAACTACGTGCATCTCAGTCAGATTATGTTGGCCTTTCCTTCCCTACCATCTCTTCAACGGGGCCTAATGGTGCTATTATTCATTATGAACCTGAAAGAGGAAATTGTAAAATGATTGATCCTAATCAAATTTACCTCTGTGATTCTGGTGCTCAGTATAAGGATGGTACGACTGATGTTACTCGTACTTTACATTTCGGTACTCCTACACAATACGAAAAAGCTTGCTTTACTGCAGTTTTACAAGGTCATATTGCATTAGATACCGCTGTCTTTCCTACAGGTACTACGGGTTATCTTTTAGATCCATTTGCTCGAATGCCATTATGGAGACAAGGCTTAGATTATCGACATGGTACTGGTCATGGTGTAGGCTCTTTTCTGAATGTACATGAAGGACCCCATGGTATTGGTGTACGAGCTCCTTATAATAATACACCTTTAGCAGCAGGCATGACTGTCACTGATGGTAAATAAATATATACATGTGTGTGTTGCATAAATGAATGATGAAATATTCAATCTTCTTTATTTATTTATAGAACCAGGATATTATGAGGATGGTAAATTTGGTATTCGTATTGAGAATATATTGATTATTCGAAATGCAGATACACCAAATAACTTTGGTGGTTGCAACTATTTAGAATTTGAACATGTTACAATGGTGCCTATTGGTTTAAATTTGATTGACGAAAGTTTACTTTCTTCAGCTGAAAAGCAATGGATCAATGACTATCATGCTGAATGCTACGAGAAGCTAAGTCCATTAATTGCTTCTGACCCTGATGCTATTGCCTGGCTTAAAAAAGAAACTCGTCCATTATAAAAAAAAAAAAAAAGAAAGAAAAGTGACATAGATAATATATACGTAACAATATTAAATCTTTATTACGGACCAAAAAACTTGATACCCATACTGTCTTCATCAGTTCCTTTAAATATTTGCGCATTATCTCTTTTGACTAAAATATGTAATGCCTTGTTTAAGATGGTTTTATCTAGTTCAAAAAATTCTGTAGTATATACAAGTTAAATATTAATTGAATTTCTTTTGCGTGATAGATCACAATTTTGTTACCTTGTCCTTCTGCTAATTCACCATTAGTAATTTCATAAAATGTCATGATTTGATTATTTTGGCCTGTTTCATTTATCTATTCAAAAAGAGGGAGATTAATGCTATCCAGATGTCTATAGCATATAACTTATTTTACCCAATTCCAGATTAAATTTGCCCATTCTTCAGGTGTATGCCAGTAAATTAATACTTCATTCTTTTGTCCTTTTGAGCCACCTTCCCATTCAGCATTGCCTGTGGATTTTAATTAACAATGAATATTTTTAATTTAAAAAAGAAAACACACACACACACACAAAATATAAATACCATTCTTAACCATCTCTTCTATAATGTCTTTTAACGTTTCAAATGATAATCGTCTATTGATTTTTTTATTTTCAAATATCTCTATTTCTCCTGGTGTAGTTGCTTGATGAAGATTAAGTCGAAATATATGTTTTTGACGTGTGTACTGTAATATTAAAGCTTCCCATTGAGATACTTGGCTCTTCCAAGTAGCATCTGTTATTTGTCGACTATAGGAACATTGATTTATTTATTTATTTTTTTAAAAAAGAAAAAAAAAAGGTTTGAATCGTTATTATTACATACGTGAAAAAAGGAGGAAAGTCAAATATTTTAGGGTATTCAAATGCGGTACTGCCCATCTCGTTTTCTATTATTTAAATGAAGAGAAGCAGTAGCATGAAAATTTAGAGCAAAAGATTTTTTATTATTGGACAGATAAAATTCTAGCAAAAATCACGTTCAATATATGATTAAAAAAAAAAAAAAAAAAAAAAAAAAAAAAAAAAAAAAAGCAGGATGATGATTATCCCCTTTCACAGGCTTGAACCACGTAAAAATATCTAAACATGTTTGTAAAAAGGCGTTTGGAGGCATTCGTTATATGCACGCCTAGTGATAATACCAAGTTATCGTCATGGTCTTAAAGTACAATATCAGTAATAAGGGTTAAAGAAGCTTCGTCCAGTTGAAAGTTATACTATTCTTTAGCATCATTATGGCATTCTATTGCCCACTTTATTGGATTATATTCGTAGCCTATAATTAGAGATTGTCTCAAGAGCATTCCCACCTGATTCACTATTTTAATATTTTCCTTTTTTAGCAATGTAGAGTAGGATAAAGTTCTCCTTGATAATAACTCATTTATCTTTCTCCTCATTTCTTTTTTCTTTTTTTTTTTCTTAGTTTTGAATTTTACATTATTCTTGAATAGGTAGCCCGGGCAACTTTGATGTAGTCTCAACGTCTTGCACCTAATTCTATTTTTATTTTATTTTTTAACGAAATTGAAACAATTGAAGTTGGTTTCCAAAAATATGTATGATAGACTTTATTCAAAGCAACTTCAGTTATTCTGGTAAATAATGTCATAATTCAACATATTACTCTCTCTCCCTCTCTCTCCTTTTATTTTATTCTTCACAATTATCCTATATTTTGTTTTTTCCTTTTTCGAAAGGTAGTCAAATTTGTATGTATATTGGGCTTAATAATAAATGATATTTGACAATAGCTAGTTATTAGCGATTTAGATAAAAGGTTTTGCTCTACCTTAATAAACCTTATTTTCTTTATGAAACATTATGTGTTATTACTAAATGAACGAAAATAAATTGAATAGCTTATAGTTAATATAGGGCATAACTTTAATGTCTTTAATGCTCGTTAGCATAAAGTATAAATTCATATAGTCAACACCAATTTATAAGAGTAAACGCATTTAAAGAAACAGATGCATAATGATGATTTTGTTGTTGGGGGGGGAAAAAAAGTATATTGTATACAAACGGTTTAAGACAAGAAAGATAGAAATAGAAAGTAGCATTTATCAAAACCACTTTATGTACCTTTTTTTTTTCTTTTTTTTTTTATTGTAAATTTTAGATTTATTCCTCAAATACTAAAAATCATACAAGTGATGAATCATTCTTTATTAAAAAGAGAAGAACATTTAGTATTAGCAAGCCTAGGTTATAATGATTTTATTTTATTTTTAATTATATTTTCCGAGATAGAAGTCAATTATATCCAGTTTCCATTTTAAACTATACTACAGCACAGTCAAATAAACTTAAAAAAAAAAAAAATTAACGTTATTTTGCTTATTAACTGTAAATAAAAATAATATTACAAATGATAAGCTGTAATATAATAATCATCAAAATCCGTTGTATCTTCAGCTATCGTTAGATCAAAAATCGGGGTTTAAGCAATTGAAATGCTATTGCTTTCATTATAATGAAAATGATATACAAAAAAAAAAAAAAAAAAAAAAAAAAAAAAAAAAAAAAAAAAAAAAAACTTCCCTAAAATTTGGTACAAGCTATTAATTATATCAAAATTGCTCAGAGTTAAATCATTAACAATAATATTAATAACAACATATATAAATATTCATTATCTTTTTTTAAAATAAAGAAGGCTCCCCCTAACGGCTAGACAACAGGAGGTATAATTTGTATTGGCTTAACTGTGTCTAACCAATGCGGGGAAGAGAGAAAGAGGCAGTTAACTACAGAAGAGGCAACAATCAGATCTTCGAAGAGAAAAGCAATAGAGCAAATTGTAAGATTTCTTTTGTTAGATACCGATGATAATCATAATATTGCATTTACAAGAAACGATAAATATTTGAATAATATTAATATTTGAATGAGTATATAAGCATTGATTTATTGTAATTAACATTCTGACTTCAACATTCAAGTTGGTACCTTATTTTCATCTTTCTAAAATTAATCTTAAAAAGTGATATTTGATATGGAAACACTTTACAACAAACAAACAAACAAACAAACAAACAAACAAACAAACAAAAAATATGAGCTACAGTTTATAATTTTAGAAGAAAGCTTTTTCCACTTCATAGTATATGTATGGCTTACTGTATTATGTACTCATTGTTTAGTTTTATCTGATCGCATCTTAAAAAAAAAGGAACCATTTCCATAGTAACTGTATCCTTTATCTAAAAATATATTTGAAATATATATTCTGTACATGACTGCACGTTTTAAATTATGACAGTTTGTAATAAATATGAAGTTTAAACTCATTAAAAAGCTCCTAGCCTATAAATCTATGTGCTAATAGTTATGCTGCTGGTAATATTTGTTATATTATCTGAAACACTTAGATATCTGTTTAATATTACACCAAAACTTTTATAATACGGAATATCTTGTTCAACAACATGATGTCTTTTAAACAACTACTACTCTATATTTTAGATTCCTTGTATTCTTCAATACGTGCTAATTACAAATTATTTATTTCCCCTTGCTGCTTTAATTATCGATACAAAAAAAAATGTTAATTTTCGTATATTCAAATAAATGGGGGTTTTTTTTTTATGGAAAGAATATTTGTTTTAAGTCGATCAATGTTCTGCTTTCAAACTGAAATATAGCCAATTAAATGACAGCGTTCTTTTACAGTATAATGTCTGATTTATAAACTTTAACTGAAGCAATGTAGAAATTAAAAAAAAAAAAAAAAAAAAAAAAAAAAAAAAAAAAAAGATTTAATAATGAATCATCCTAACTTTATCATATTATTAAACAAGATATTGTTAATTTTAATTTTTTTTATTTTTATTTTTTTTTTTTTTTTCGTTGGGAAAGATGATTGAGACGATATTATGAAAATTCTAGAAAGAGAGACTTACTAAAATGCATCTTTTTTTAGTAGTCGAATTTATAAATGTGGGTTTTATTACTATTTATGGTTTCTTCTTTTTTTGTTTATACAGTCTTAAAATAGTCTACGAGTGTTGACAGTCATTGTTTTTACTATATGAATTCCTTCAACAATCCTTGTTACGAATATCTATTCTAATTATATACGTACTTAAATAAAAATCGTTAAAATATACAACAAATTGCATTGTCATTACTATTCAGATCTACATATACATATATAAATACAAGTCATGGCCATTTTCCTCCTTCAAAACTCTTAACAATATTATTTATGTATAAGCATAACAGCTTCAACACTTATTTTGAAGAAGCATTGATATAGCTTCCGTTATGTAATAATTTTGATCATAATAGTCACTCCTTCTATCATCTTTGTGCTGTACATTCTTTGATTTAGAGAAAAGAGGGAGGCTATGAGTAAAAAACGCCAAACTTTTTTCTTTCTTTCTCGTCTTATTATTTACTTTTTTTCATTCCTCTTTCTAAGAATTAGTTGTATTTTACTTTTAGACATATAAATAAAGGCCTTAAAGAGTTTTGTCAAAACAAAAGAGGAAAGTAAAAGGATAAAGTATATTGAAACATGTAGATCGGGATTTTCATGATAAAAAGGAATTCATATATGGTTGTACCTGGTAAGCATTATCAAAATATGTATTTGCTAGTCTAAAAAGTATCCCATTTTGGAGTTAAAATTATCAAGTTCTATACAGATATAAACTATCATATTTGCTTATAGACTATAAACAAACATATAAAAAACGATAGTGTCGATCAGACCTAATGAATAATCAGCAATGATAGGAAATCTTTTATTTAACCTTATAAAAATGAAAATAGATAAGACCCCCTTTTTTTTCTTTTTTTTTTATTAAAAGAAATTGTCATGCTAAGAATGATAGTAGCAGCTATATCAGAAATATCGAAAAGACATGTAAAGATAATTTACAGTTTACTAGCTACTATATTTTTTTTTCTTTTTTTTTTTTTTTTTAAGGCCAAAAATGTTATTTGTACTCGAATGACAAAATAGGTTTTATTTGTCTTGGAGTTAAAGATTTGTATCATCTGAATTTAATTTTTTTTTTTTTATAACCGATAATTGAATCTCCACTATATTCGAGTAAGCCTACGGTCACCATAGAAACACACTGATAATGAGATAAAAAAAAAAGATATATCCTTAAAGTAAAATACAAAATTTTATAAAGTGATAATAATTGTTCTCATAAGTTAATCAAATATAATTTGATGCAAAAAGACTTGATGAAAATAATAATCAATTTCTCCTTTGTTTTACAAATCATAAAAAAAAAAAAATAAGTTTTATTAAAAATGGGAAAGTTAGCGGTACCTGGAATTTTTTGTATCTTTTTGTATCTTTTTTTTTTTCTTTTCCAAACAAAAAAGGATATGTATATGTATATCTGAATAACTGTATTTTAGTTGATCTATTATATGTTTCGTTGAATATTTGTACAAATTCATAAACAGCTCAAAAATAGGTTAATTTTTTCATTATTATTAATTTTCAGTGTACTACTATTAATTGCATGGAAAAATATAATTTTACCTTTTTCAAATAAGCCTGATAAATGTATAAATATACCTCTTCTTTAGCTTAAAATATAAACCGTTTCTAAAGAATATAGAATGTATTTAATAATTGAGAGATAAATTGTTTTTTTTTAGTGAAGTAGCATTGTTTAAAAATGCTGCTATATATTCATATATTATAGCATAAATTAATCCAATATGCCCTTATTTTATGTAAGTATCCTAACTAAAATTTATTATCGAAAAGACTTACATACTTGCCATTAATTGGACAATGAAGAAACTCTCCATTGTCAAGTCGATACAAATTATTTTTTTTTAAAAAAAAAAATAAAGAAAAGAAAAAAAAAATATTTTAAAATATTTTTTTTATTTTTTTCCATTTTTCTTTTCTTTTTTCTTTCTTTCTCTCTCTCTCTCTCTTTCTCTTTTTTTATTATTATTATTATTATCATCAAAAGATTTTAGTATCATTTCATGATAAACTATTCAGATTCAAATACAACAATAGACTCCTCTACCCCTGAACCCTCGAGACGATATGTTCAATGGAAAGACGAAGATATTGGTCTTTTGTTATCTGACTTGGAACAGCCAGGACATTATGAAAAATGGAAAGAGAATAAGTCAGGTTATTCAAAAAGAGTTGGAGAACAGATATTTAATAACAATATGAACCATGAAGCGATTAAATTCAAGGTACGATGGCTAGAATCTCGATTTAAACTCTGGAATGAAAAATTGACATCAACTAAAGTGAAAGAAGATGAGACTATTATAAATAATATTCGAGGTAGGAGGAGTGGAACCACTACTGAATCAAAGTCTATAGACTGTATTTTATCTTATTACAGGTAATAATTGTTTATTTTATTTATTTTATTTGTTTTTTTTTTCCTTTTTAAATAGAGAAAATGCTTAAAGAGTTCCCGTATTATGATCGCTGTAAACCTATATTCGAAAACGCTTCCTTAGCTGATCCTTCAAGTAGCGCTTTACCTGCAGGACAAATGGATATAACAAACACATCAAAATATGAAGTAAGAGATCCTAAATTGGAATCTCTTTCTCAAGTAACAGCAGAATCTTCATCACCTATCTTAAATACGCTTTCTTCTCCTCATTCCCAACATTATGAAGAGCAGTCAAAAACAGAATATACAACCTCTAAACGACCTTCCAACTTTGACACAATCGCAGCTCCCACTGATCCAAGTTGTAAGAGATCAAAAATATCTTTAGATACAGTTCGATCCATTTTTGAAGAACATACGTAAGTTTAGATATACATAATAAATACATTAGGTTAGATTTAATATAGTTATTAAAAAAAAAAGAGATACCATTTTATTTTATTTTATTTTATTTTTTTCTTTTTTTTCTTTTTTATATAAATAGTATCGAGTACAATTTGAATAATGAATCGATGCCAAGAGATGCGAAATTAAAATTTTTAGAAATAGAACTTGAACTCAAAAAAATGGACCATCAAGAGCGTATGCAAGAGATGAAATTAGAGCAGTTAAGACTAGAAATCGAACTTCAAAAACTAAAGCGAGATACATCAAATTCAATCACTTAAAACAAGACGACCACTTTTTTTTTTTTTTTTTTTTACATGGATAATAATAATACGATATGATTATTTTTTTTTTCTTTTTTTTTTTTTCATTACAATAGAAAATAACAAACTTAATAGATACATAGTAGTAGTATTTAATTGTATTTAATTGTTCCTTTTACGTTTCAGTAAAGGGGAAAAATTATTTGTTATTCCTTATCATAGAAATACGTTTTGTTTATATGATTATAATGCTTTTCTACGCATGCTTATATTATATACCGGCTCTCTCTCTCTCTCTGTCTCTCTCTCTGTCTCTCTCTCTATCTTTTAGCATATAGTTTCAATCATTACGCGCATTCGTTCATCACTCAAGATATAAAGGATTCTCACTATATAAAATCATATTTTAGCAACTCAAAATAGCTCAATTAAATTCGTAAGTTTGGGATATACCACTTCGTTTTATTTTATTTTTTTAACACGAGTTGCTAAAATATGATTTTATATAGTGAGAATCCTTTATATCTTGAGTGATGAACGAATGCGCGTAATGATTGAAACTATATGCTAAAAGATAGAGAGGGAGACAGAGAGAGGGAGAGACACACACAGAGTGAGAGATAGACAGAGAGAGACAGAGAGAGACAGAGAGAGACAGAGAGAGACAGAGAGAGACAGAGAGAGACAGAGAGAGACAGAGAGAGACAGAGAGAGACAGAGACAGAGAGAGAGACAGAGAGAGAGATAGAGAGAGGGAGAGACACACACACAGAGAGAGAGAGAGCCAGTACATAATATAAGCATGCGTAGAAAAGCAAACAAGAGAAAGTAATGAGTGTATATATGATAGCTTGTCTAAGGGAAAGGATAACCAAACGTTGATATGAGTATAACCTAGTCGCTCATTTATTTTAAAAAATTATATTTAAATCAAATTTATACATTTCTTATATCTTATTCAACATTAACAAGTCGTTAGTTTATCGTTTTAAAGATGTTGATATTTGACTTAACTTGAATAATGTTAAATGACTAATTCTAAAATTTTTAATCTTGCTATCTATCTGGCAAGGAGTATGCTTTTATTATAATGTAAGTTTCTTTATACATATCTATAATACAAGTCTGTATTTTGAGAAGGCCTGTATTATTGTCTACAATAATAGCAGATCAAGTTATCTAAAACTGGTTATTATGAGTATTACACTATAATTCTTCCTTATTATAAATATAAGTTAATACATATTTTATAGTCGTGAATATATATGCATATAAAAAGGTAGAAGCTCTGCGTTTCTTTGATCATTACGATTAAATAGAATTTTATTACATATTTAATTTTTTTTTTTTCAGTCTTTGCAAGCACGTAATAATATTACTTGAATTGCCCAAATCAGCTTAATAAAATAATAGTAAAAAAAATAACATAAAATAAATAAATAAATAAACTAAAACCATGTGTAAGAGACTCAAGATAAAAAGAGATGAAGAGGGAGACTTTTATCATTACAACTGCATGGCTTAAAATTCTTGTTCTTTATTGAATTCATTTCCGGATCGGATAACTTAATTCAACATCGGAACGGAGAAATTAGTCTATTTTTTTTTTTTTTTTTTTTTTTTCAATACTATTATCCTTATTATTATCATTTTTTTTTTTCAAGCGTCGATACCAAATTGGTAATTGGAACTCAAAATGGAGAAATCGATTACTCCCTCTCTATCCAGTAAAGCATTTTAAGCCATGGTAAATAATAGTTAGCAATCCACCATTGAATACAAGTCATCCATCCATTTCCAATCGATTATTGACAGACCCTTTTATCTATTATTATCTTTCTTTCTCTTCAACATGTATAATATTATATAGCCTACTAGACTTCACCACAACAGAAAGAAGCGTGGACACGTTTCCGCCGGTCACGGTCGTATTGGTATGGAAATACAGCAAAATTAAAAAAAAAAAATAAAAAAAAGGAAAAGAAAAGCAATGAATTTTGGAATTAAACATAGTTTTTACAACTTTTAGGTAAACACAGAAAGCATCCTGGTGGTCGTGGTCTTGCTGGTGGTCAACACCATCACCGTACTAACATGGATAAATACCATCCTGGTTACTTTGGTAAAGTTGGTATGCGTCACTTCCACTTGAAGAAGAACCCTAGCTGGCGTCCAATTGTCAACCTTGACCAAATCTGGACTCTTGCTGGTGAAGGTGTTCGTGAAAAATATAAGAATACTGAAAAAGTGCCTGTCATTGATGTTCTCGAGAAGGTAATATAAAATAGTTGGATGAGCATCAATGATGTTTTGTAATTAATGATGTGCTGATTAAAAAAAAAAAATGATAATTCATAATATTTTTATAGGGTTACGGCAAGGTTTTAGCTAAGGGTACTATTTCTCAACCTGTTATTGTTCGTACTCGTTTTGTTTCTGCCCTTGCTGAGAAGAAGATCAAGGCTGCTGGTGGTGTTGTTGAGCTCATTGCTTAAACAGATCACGTCGAATGAACAAAGGATTTTATTTCAATCTCTTATATAACCTGAAATTCTTTTTAGTAGAATAAAAAAAAAATAATTATAATAATTGTACATGCAAATATAACAGTTTTTTTTTTTTTTTTTTTTTTTTTTTTTTTGTTTATCCAAGTTGAGCAAAATCTATTGCAGCACAGTAATAAAAGAAAAAAAAAAGTAAGCTGTAACATTTAATGATAAATAAGGATGTAAATTTAGGCTTTGCATTCATAAGAAAAATAACTTGAAATAAAAAGTATACACATATTTGAAATAGTATTTGATTGTATTTTAAACTGCAAGATGTACATGTAAAAATAAAATAAAGTAAATATGTTTCAGATAAATAAATACGCAATTATAAAGAAATATAATATAGCTTTAATTAACATGCTTAATAGCGGCTAGAACTGATATTTATTTAGAAGAGGTGTACTTGGTGACAGCCTTGGTACCTTCAGAGACGGCGTGCTTAGCAAGTTCACCAGGAAGAATAAGACGAACAGCAGTTTGGATTTCACGAGAAGAGATGGTAGAACGCTTGTTGTAAGCAGCCAACTTGGAAGCTTCAGTAGCAATACGTTCAAAGATATCATTGACAAAGGAGTTCAAGATAGACATGGCCTTGTTGGAGATACCAGTGTCAGGGTGAACTTGCTTCAAAACTTTGTAGATGTAAGAGGAGTAGGTTTCACGACGAGCCATCTTTCTCTTTTTGCCATTAGTAGTTTTGGCTTTACCAGTCTTAACAGGAGCTTTTCCAGCAGTAGTGGTAGTTTCTTTCGGAGCCATATTATGATATAAATATTTTTTAAAAAAATAAAAAAAAAAAAAAAGAAAGAAAGAAAGAAAGATGAAGAAAATTTGCTGTCTTTTATAAATTTATTTTTTTTCTTACAACAATAAAAAAATTCCTAATAAAGTATCAAAAAGAAAAAAAGCACGAAAACAAACGCGTGATGATGTTTTGATACAAGTCGATACATGGATTTATAAAATAAAATAAAATCCTTTTTTTTTTTTTTTTTTTTTTTTTTTGAGTGTTGTAAATTATCTATTATTTATATATAAAGCTGAGGATAATTATCTACTTCCAACAGCAGGGATAAATTCTTTTTTTTTTTGTCCGACAACCCCGGATTCAGGTACACACGAAAATTCTTTCAATTTATTACTTTTCACTGATTACATAATATGATACTTCCAAAGTAAAGAAGAAGATATTAAATCAATATATACTTACAAAGATGACGATAAAGAGAAAAAAACTTTTTATTTAACATTAAATCCTGGTTTTCTATTTAAGGTATAATATTAAACGCACTATATATTTCTTTTGAAATTCTACCTGCTACATTTGCCGTCCTATTGACGTAAATAAACATGTGCATTTTATAATAATTAGGCGATTTCCAACCATAACGTTTTATATGAATTAATAATTTCATTTTACAGCGTAAAGTATGTTTTAGAGGAGATAATTATTCATACCTTGATCTGAGGAATACTTGTAGAATGACTGATGATGATTATTCAAAGAGAGCTACATACATTTATTAGTGCCTAAGATGGAATGCTTAGCTTATAACTCTATCTATTCTCTAGCTCTCCTCCTCTTGATAGACTGACAATCCAAATCATTTTCTTGATCTTTTGCTATCACCTTTTGTCCTATAAAGGTTTCCACTTACTTTCTATTGTATCTGCATTTAATTATCAACTCTCAAAGACTTTGTTTTCAGGAACAGCAATTAAAAAGCCAGGTACAGTATTCAGCTTACACACTAAACAACTATTAACAATAATTATTAGACAAATATATGTATTTATACATTATATTTTAATAAACATAATTTTACTGAAGATTCCTTTAACGAAAAAAAAAAAAAAGAAAAGGAGGGGAGAGATATGATTTAGCAGAATAAAACAAATACATCGTTTCCTTTTTTTTATGTAGCAAAATATGACTATTTTATCTGAAGTTACTAGCCTCTCTACAACTACTAGTTTTATTTCTTCTAATACTGCTAGTTCATCAAACAATGGTTCTATCTTTAGATTTGTATCTTTCTTTGATGCGTCCAGCATTACCAATGAACGTATTACTTGAAAGAAAGACCAAAAGCCACTTTAACAGAATTTAAATAGTAGCCTTTATGATAGTATATATGACAAAAAGAAAAAGCAGTAGCAAGTATGTTAATAAAAACAATATCAAACAAACACCTCAGATAATAAATAAATGGAGTGATATACAAAGTTATTTGATGTTTTCAAAAGCAAAGGTCCATTAAGGTTAGAAAGTTAAACACAAATCATTAGAAATTTAGCATAAATGCCTGACAAAATTGCTTCAATTATTTTATTTTTTATTTTTAATGGAAGAGACTCACTTATTGAGGACGTTGGTTCTAGTGCAGCTAATCTATTTACAACTAATAATAGTTCTCCCTAATGAAGGAAAGGAAGGTATGAAAAAAAAAGGAAGACTCTTATCCATGTCACTATAATAGAGTATGATAGATGTCATATATGAAGCTTCAAAACTGTCATAAATTCATCTTTAAATTAATCAACCCATTATCTTCATTAAAACCATATAAAATTCATATTTTACTAAAGCTGTTTCTATTAATTTGCTTACTACAGTTATAAAATCGAAGAAGCTATATGTATATATATAAATATATATAAAAGCATGATCCTCAGCTAATTATGATACTACTTCCCATTAAAATAGATGAAAAATATTTTACAAATAAGAATTTATTAAAATTTGATGATATGAGGCTGATAAAAGTGACATGGATCTTCTGTAACAAAACTTTATCTTGTATTCAGGTAAAATGCATAACAATGAATCATAGAAGCACTTTGACATACTCATCATTCCCTCTATAAACCATACTTTTTTTAATATATTTGAATTTATTTGTAACGCGTTATATAGCTCCTTTTTCTTTTTTTTTTCTATTGATTAATTTTATTAGTTTTTGAGCATATACCTTTGAAAAGGGTAATAAGAATATTAATCTTTTTTTTTTTACCTGCAATATATTTAGCCCAGCAAAAAAAAAAAAAAAAAAAAAAAAAAAAAAGTGATAGTGAGATCCCCCATAAAATTTTGACGTGACTGTTTTGAAAGAAAATTATGGATTTTTTTTTTATCTTTTTCATTTTAAAAATTAGTCTTTTTTTTTTTTTCTTTTTCTCTTTTTCTCTATATATACACATATAATAAATAAAAATGTCTGGTGGTAAATCTGGTGGAAAATCTGCTTCTGGCTCAAAGTCTCAAACCCGTTCTTCTAAGGCCGGTCTTCAATTCCCCGTTGGTCGTATTCACCGTCTTCTTCGTCGTGGTAACTATGCTCAACGTGTAGGTGCCGGTGCTCCCGTTTACCTTGCTGCTGTTCTTGAATACCTTGCTGCTGAAATTCTTGAATTGGCTGGTAACGCTGCTCGTGATAACAAGAAGTCTCGTATCATTCCTCGTCACTTGCAATTAGCCATCCGTAACGATGAAGAATTGAACAAACTCCTTGGTCACGTCACTATTGCTCAAGGTGGTGTTCTTCCTAACATTCATGCTTCCTTATTGCCTACTAAGAGTAAGAAGGCTGCTGGTGCCCAAGACGCTTAGATGCCTTAATAAATATGTACACGTCAATATATACACATAAATATATATAAATATTGAACAATAAGTATAAAATCAAAAAAAATTTTTTTATTCTGTTATTTACCATTTACATTATTTGTGCAGAACTTCCAACATATATATTGGAAATAGTATTCCCCTCCCTTGTTTTTTTATTATTATTATTTATTCTATTGTTGAATGATATGTATATAAAAAAACACACCCCTTTCCCCATTATTTATTAAAAGATCTTCAAGTCTTATATTCAAAGTGCATTTTTTCTCATTTCTTTTCTTGTTTTTTTTCTTTTTTCTCCCTGAGCATTTAACTAATGACCAATACTCGACTTTCAACACGTTTATCTATCCAATACTTATTAAAAAAGAGTAGCACCACGATATTAAACCAGGAAATACTTTTTTTTTAAAAAAATATTTTATTTTATTTTATTTTATTTTTAAGAAAAAAGTTCTTTTGGGTGAGGTGAGCTGTACCAAAAAGACCACTATATATACAAAATGCTAAACTTGCAAATTATAATATTTTAGTTTATCATCGATTTAAACAAATTAGGGGATCGAATTTAAAATAAAATAGAAAAAAAAAAAGAGAGAATAATAAAAAGGGGGATATTAGATGTTTGATTTTTGTTGAGATAAAATGATAATTATTATTATTATTATTATTTTGTTTGCTTTCAAAAAAAAAAAATTTAACCGCCAAAACCGTAAAGAGTACGACCTTGTCTCTTGAGAGCATAAACAACATCCAAAGAAGTGACAGTCTTTCTCTTGGCGTGTTCAGTATAAGTAACAGCATCACGAATGACATTTTCAAGGAAGACCTTCAAGACACTACGGGTTTCTTCATAGATGAGACCAGAGATACGCTTAACACCACCACGACGAGCAAGACGACGAATAGCAGGCTTGGTGATGCCTTGGATGTTATCACGAAGAATCTTTCTGTGACGCTTAGCACCTCCCTTTCCGAGACCTTTACCACCTTTACCACGACCAGTCATTTTTTATATATATAATCGTTTATAAAAAAGAAAAAAAAAAAGAAAAAAAAAAGAGAAAAAGAATAGGAAATGGTGTAAATATTAACCCCTTTTATATGTTTTAATAAAAGTCACAAAAAAAGGAAGAATTTTTTTTATAAAAATACATATTTTTTTTTTTCAATGAAAAAAAAAAATGTGTAATTGGAAAAATATTTTGATTCATTTAAAGTATATATTTTTTTACTTAATAAAAAAAAATTTTTTTTATTCTATATTATCATTGTTCTTTTCAATCGAGCTTTTATCGAGATTTATATTTGTTCATCAAGTATTGTCTTTTCTTAAACAATAGAATAAGAGAGTATATATTGAAAAATAAAATATAATTTTTTTTTTGAATACATATACATTTTTTTTTGTAGTTCGTGATGTAAAATATACATTTTTTTTTCAATCGCGCTTCTGGATTTTTTTTTTTTAAAAAAAAAAAATAATATAGTTTTTTATTACCTTAATTAGAAATACAGGAGTGTATTTCTATATTTCAATATCCGGCAGATGAAAAAAAAAGTTTCTTATAAATAGAGAAAGATATCCCTGCCCTTTTTTTAGAATTTTTTCTCTCTTTTTTGTTTATATACATTTTTATATATATATATTTATACATATTAAAATATGGCTCGTACTAAGCAAACAGCTCGTAAATCTACTGGTGGTAAGGCCCCTCGTAAGCAATTAGCTACCAAGGCTGCTCGTAAGTCTGCCCCCTCTACTGGTGGTGTTAAGAAGCCCCACAGATACAGACCTGGTACTGTCGCTCTTCGTGAAATCCGTCGTTATCAAAAGTCTACTGAACTCTTGATTCGTAAGCTTCCTTTCCAACGTCTTGTTCGTGAAATTGCTCAAGATTTCAAGACTGATTTGCGTTTCCAATCTTCTGCTATCGGTGCTCTTCAAGAAGCCTCTGAAGCTTACTTGGTCTCTCTCTTTGAAGATACCAACTTGGCTGCTATCCATGCTAAGCGTGTCACTATCCAACCTAAGGATATTCAATTGGCTCGTCGTCTTCGTGGTGAACGTTCTTAAAAAGCTTATCAATGTTTTTAATAATATATATTTTTAAGAATACCCCTTTCTACTATTGATTTTTATTTTTTTTTTTTTAAGAAAAAAAAAAGGCAAATATCATTTATTCAATTCAAATTCAACCCACTTTTTTTTTTTATTTTTTACTCCTTTTATGTACAGCTTTTTTTTTAAAATAAAAAAAAAGAAAAAAATTCAATAAATGAAAAAATATATATATATATTTATTTGTCTAAGGTCAAGTGATATAAAAGTTCAGAACAATGATGAGTTATTAAATGTAGTAAAAAAAAAATAAAAATAAAAAAGGAGAGGGGAACAAATAATATTGTGACAGCCAATAATAATTCGAAACGCGTAATGCGTAATTTATCAATTAAAAAATTAAAAAAAAATAAAAGAAAAAACATAAATCATTCATTTTTGAGGCACACAATTGCCGTGTAACAAATAACGCGCATTATATCTCACTATCGGAAAATGAATTAACCATGAAGTGTCAAACTTTATTTATTTATTTATTTTTTTGGCTAAATGGATAATTTATATTCTATTAAAAAAAGAGTTATTCTATTCCTTCCACTATTTTTTTTTTATCACAAGTATCAACTATTATTTGATCTTTCATTTAAATTAAGGCACTTTGTTTCTAACAATTACATATTTTGATGTGCCTTTTGATTTACAATTATATATTAGCACTTAAGGGTGAGCTATTCAGAAAGTTAAACAGTTTAAAGCCTCGTATTTTAAATATTTTTTGGATTTATTTACAAAAAAAAGCCAAAAGAAAAAAAAAAGCGACAAATTTTACAAATGGAGTCAAATATTTTTTTTTTGATTTTCATTCAAGTTAATATTTAATTGGAGGGATATCAAAATAAGGAAAAAAAAATGCTAGATTGTTGTAATAACAAATTATTTATAAATCTGTTCTTTTTTTTGTACAAATTTAAGCGTCTTGAGAACCAGCAACCTTCTTACTCTTAGTAGGCAATAAGGAAGCATGAATGTTAGGAAGAACACCACCTTGAGCAATAGTGACGTGACCAAGGAGTTTGTTCAATTCTTCATCGTTACGGATGGCTAATTGCAAGTGACGAGGAATGATACGAGACTTCTTGTTATCACGAGCAGCGTTACCAGCCAATTCAAGAATTTCAGCAGCAAGGTATTCAAGAACAGCAGCAAGGTAAACGGGAGCACCGGCACCTACACGTTGAGCATAGTTACCACGACGAAGAAGACGGTGAATACGACCAACGGGGAATTGAAGACCGGCCTTAGAAGAACGGGTTTGAGACTTTGAGCCAGAAGCAGATTTTCCACCAGATTTACCACCAGACATTTTTATTTGTTATTATTTATGATTGTTTTCTTTAAAAAAAAAAAGAAAAAATGGGAATTTAAAGAAGTTCAATGTGTATTTATATAAATTTAGACAATTAAATGTCCGCTAAAAATGGCCTATAAAAAAATAAATATGTATTTTTTTAAAAAAAAAAAAAAAAAAAATTCTGAACGCGATTAATTTTTTTTTTTTGTTAAACGTTTTTTTTTTTTAATTAGAATATTCAGCCCTAAAAAAAATGAAAAATGGCCAAAAAATAATAAAAAAATTTTATTTCATAGATTGAAATAGATATTTGTAATTCGAGTGTATTTCGCGTTTCTTTCGTGATTTCACGACTTTTTTCTCAAGTTTTTTTCATTTTTCATGTTTTTACAAGAAATTTTTTTAAAATTTCCATTTTTGAAAGAAATAGAAGAAGCAAGTCACAAACAATAATTATATAAATAGGCTTTTCTTACAATTTTTCTTTTTGTTTTGTTTTTCTTAATTTTTTTTTTTACATACATCTTTTTTTTTAACAAAAAATGGCCGCTGATCTCCCCACTAAGGATAATAAGAAGACCGTCTCCAAGGACGCTAAGAAGAGAAAGATCTCTCGTCGTGAAACCTACTCCTCTTACATCTACAAAGTTTTGAAGCAAGTTCACCCTGACACTGGTATCTCCAACAAGGCCATGTCTATCTTGAACTCCTTTGTCAATGATATCTTTGAACGTATTGCTACTGAAGCCTCCAAGTTGGCTGCTTACAACAAGCGTTCTACCATCTCTTCTCGTGAAATCCAAACTGCTGTTCGTCTTATTCTTCCTGGTGAACTTGCTAAGCACGCCGTCTCTGAAGGTACCAAGGCTGTCACCAAGTACACTTCTTCTAAATAAATAATCTCATTTTGTGTAATATCCAATTTCAATAACATTCTGAAAAAAAAAAGTTCTTTTTTCTCGTTTTTTTCAACTATTACCCTTAACTCTATTTGTACAGAATTCTTCTTTTTTTTTATTATTCATGTCATAATAAATTTATAATATATATAAAAAAAAAAGGAAAACAAAAGGAAGAAAGTGAATTTGCTTTAGAAATTGCCAAATTGTATATTCCGTATTTTTTCGCGTATCTGCGCTGTTTAATTTAAAAAAAAAATAGGAGTATTAAGTTACTGAACAACTGCGTGTGTGTGTGTGTGTGTTTTTTCTTTTAAATAAATATAAAAATAGAGAACAAGAGTTCAACGATGCAATTAATTTAAGACTGAATGTATCGTTCACATTCATTGCAGTCAATGTTTTGGATTAATTTGAATACATGGCTCATTAAAAATAATAACATCCATTCATAAATAAAGTATGTTACTATAACTATTTATTTTTAATTCAGTTTAGGAACTGAAAATATATCAGAATCTTTGCTACTACTTTCTGCTCCAAAAGCATCCATGTCAGCATAAAAAGCACTTAAATCATCTTCTAAACTGCTTTTTGCTTGCTGTGCCTTTTTTTGCTCTTCTTCTCTTGCTTTTTCTAATTCCTGCTCTATGCGCTTCCTTTCTTCTTCTTTTCGTCTCCTCTCTTCTTCAATGGCAAATGAGTATTCTGAAGCATAAACATTTTTATCCCAATAAGCCCAAAGTCCTTCCATTGTATCTGTAGAAATAGCCCATTCAGACTGTCCATAAACTGGTATAAAACTGTCTGGCCTTGCAAAGGATACAAGTACTCTACGTCCATCAATAACTAAAAGTTCCCTAGCATATTCTAATGCCAAAGATGCAGACTTTTTTTTTTTTTAAGAAAATATTAATAAATTTGTTAATCCCAATTCTCTTCCATTAAAAAGTACCTTTACGTCGATAAATTCTACAAATGCAAATTCGCATGACATTTTTGTCAATTTATCTCTAATTAAAATAGCACGATAAACACCTTGCAATGATTGAACAGCATTATAGATAGATTCTTCAGTTGATAAATGATCCAATTGTCGCAAAAGTAACATTTTACTAGGAATTGTAGCAATATCCTTTGTTCCGTCATTTATCTCTATTGCTTCAGCATTATAAGTTCTTGTTTCAACAGCTTCAGCTATTATTATTATATATACATGTGTATATATATATAAAAGTTATTTAACAAAGCTTTACTCATCAAGTAGTTTCCAAATAATAAAAAAAACTTACAAATAAATGATTGTCTGCATTCTACACAGGCACGACGACTAACAGGATTAAAGCTACCACACTATGAAATAATGATTATTTTGAATTAGAGTTCTATTTATTTTAATATATTACCTTAGTACAACGCCATTCCTCTTTATCCTCATCTTGTTTATTCTTTTTACAATAATCAACGCGGACAAAATAGGAATCCATTTCAAAAGTATTATATCTTTCTACAAACTGAATGGCATGGCCAACACTAGTAAAACGAACAAATGCAAACTTCCTAGATTCTCCTGTATCACGGTCTTTGATGAGTGAGACATCATCAATACTAGCTCCCATTTCGATTAATTTGTTTTGAATCTACTTGTTCAAGTTATTGATTAGATAAAAAAAAATGCTGTTCGAAGATGGCAGCTTTTTTTATTAAAAAAAAATATACATCGACTTCTCTAGCTTTATCAGGTAAATTTCTCAAAACAACATTGATGTTAGGTTCTAGATTTTCAGGTCTTCTACGATCATCAAAAAATCTGTCTCCCTGATGGTTTCTTCTATTGCCATCATAGCTGCCTGAAGAACCTCTTGAGTGATCTCTTTCATCTTCATAATGGGCATTTCTATCTCTTCTTTTGTCATCACGATACGATCTTTCATATGATTTATCACGTTCATTATGTTGTCTATTTCTAGAATCATGATGATGATGATGCCTATCACCACTTTCATACCTATACTTATTATTTTCGCCACTTTTCCTAGGTAAATCATATTTTCTCTATTATAGATAATAAATACTACTATAAAAACAATCTAAATGTGAAAATAATAATAATAATAATAAAATTACTTGATCTTCATAGTCGTGTCTATGTCGATTTGTTCTGGCTGGGCTACGTGATCTTCTTCTAGAAGAAGATGAATGAAAATTCCTTGAATTTGACATTTTAGTATTACTGTATGAAAAAAGAAAGAAAAAATAAGCTGCGAAATAAAACATGAAAAAAAAAAAAAAAAAAAAAAAAAAATTCCGCTCATTGACCAGGATTTGGGGGTAAAGAGGAGTTTTGGATTTACTTGTTTTTATTTGTTACTGTTGTTGTTTTATTATTTAATAAAAGAAAGGAGGCTATTTTTTTTTTTTTTCTTGTTTTCTATTTGTCTTCTTTTTTTTTTTCTTTTACTTTTTCTTTTTTTTTTTTTTTTTGTTCACTATTCCCTCAAGAAGACAGGATGGTAAACTATCTTTCAGAATTATTGGAACCTTCAATCTCAAAAGTGGAAAGTTGGATTAAGATGATTGCTGCCAATGTTCCAATAGAAACAGATTGGGCACAATCTTCATATGGTTCATGGTATGTCTAAAAAAAATAATAATAATAATAATACTGAAAACAATAAAATGAAGTTTCGATCGAATAATACATATTATTTAGGTACAATCATCCTCGTCAACATGCCTTGGAGCTTATGTTTCTTGCTAGTATCTATATCTTTGCTACGTTTATCTTATTTCGTAGGTTACTTCGACCTGGCACCGAAAATTATAAACTCTTGACACAATTTCGACCTCCCTTTAGAGCATCCTTATCTGAAAGAGGAATGACACTTGCTCTTATTTGTTCATTATTATTAACTTTGACTCATAAAATACTTCGTAATAGAGTGTGGTTTATGCTGCAACCATGTCATATGAGCGGTACATTGCTTTTATTCACATTGGTTTATCCAGACAAGACCTCGCCTATTCCTCATGTATTCTTTAATATGTATTTACATATTCAATGGGGCGCTTTAGCTGCACTTGCTTTTCCTGATCTAAGAGAGCATTCTATGATTGGTGAAACATTTAATTTTTTCGCCGGTATAAAAAAAAAAGTTATATTATTTGTTCATAATATACATATACAATTAACCTTTATCCATAACATTATATATAGAGCATATACTATTACTTGTTGTGCCTATTTACATGATTTATAGTCGTCGATATGTTGTATTACCAAAATCAAAGGAAGTTTTGCTGTTATCTTTCTTTTCTTATGGCTTTTTCCATACCCCTCTGCTTCATTTAATTTCTCTTATTTCAGGTTTTAATTTAAATTATATGTGGGCACCTCCACCAAGTAAAGTTAGAACACAGCACAAAAGAGAGAATTATACATTATTCCTAATTTTCTTTTTTTTTTTTTTAGTTAAAATTTTATTGAAGCTTGGACGTTTTTATAGAGTTGTCATGTATGGAGTTGCATTTGTTTTCAAGTTTGTTACACGATTTATTTGTGTTGAAGCTATTTTAGCATTTATGCCACTTAAAAAGATTCCCGCTGCTGTAGTAGTAGATAATAGAAAGAAATCGAAAAAGATTTAGCCCTCATTTTATAAATAAAATAATGATAGTTTATTATTAAGGAAAAAAAAAGAAAATTAAATACACTTGATACAATATGTAAGTCGAGGCTCATAATAATAATTCTTCTTCTCAAAAAGTGTTTGAATGTATACATATATGGCCTTTACTTTATCAATTGGATTTCTTATTTCAGCGACTTTGATACTCGGATGTAGAGCTTCAATAGAGTAAGGTTTGCATATATTTATTTATATATGTCTATATTCTTCCTGCTTCTGTCTGTATTATCATTTGCAAACTACAGAGTAAATGGTTGGACTAAGTTTCAACATGGTATAGTTCAATAAAAAAGAGTGTTTTTTTCTTTTCTGTTCTTTTTACTACTTGAGTAATACTATACTTGTATTTCTTGGATTTGATATAAGCAATTGTCTTTCAATATGCAAAGATAGATATACATATACATAGATGTATATTTCTTCGCTATTATTTGCAGCCTTTTTTTTTTTTTTCTCTTCAAGTTTAAATCTTTGGGCGACGGATAACTTCTTCTCCGATCTAAACTCTCTGTTATTCATTTTGGGTTGATAAGATGATGTTATTATTATAGGGTCTACGATGTACAACTTGAAAGATATATAAAATCTAAGCAGCAGGAAGAATTTGTATCACGTTGTGGATGTCAAAGATACGATAACAAACTAAATTCAGTCTATGTATACCCACTATAAAAAAATAAAAAAATAACGAGTCACGTTTTTTTATTATTATTATTACTAGAATAACAATCTATTTTTTTTTTTTTTTAATTTATTTATTTATTTGTGAACAATATTAACAAATGGTAAATCAAGTAATTCATTAAATAATTAAAACAAAACTAATTATATATTTCTTCTTAGACAACTGCCGCTCGTCCTACTTTTGATCCTGCAAGAGGAAACGATAATGCTGCACCTAGTTTTCAATATAGTGCTCGTGATTTAGCTTCACACACAAAACTTAAATTTAGACAACCCGGTCAAGGAACAATTGAGGAAATTGGAAGTAGAGAAGAATTATTAGAAGAATTAAGACGAGCTGAAAGAGAATATTATGAAGAAAAATCTGGAGGTGCTTCCACTACTCGTATGATTAAACAGCAACAAGAAGAACAACCAAATGAAGAAAAGCAAAGATTAATGGCAGAAGCGGAAAGGCTAGCAAAACTAGATAAAGATGAAAGTGATAATGAAAGTGATGACGATGGGAGTGGTGGTAGTAGTAGTAGTAGTAGGTAGTGCTCCCTTTATTATTATTGGTTTCCGATCTTTACTTATTCCTTGTTTTATAGTGATGACGATGATGATGACGACGATAGTGACGACGATGACAACGCAGCAGAATTATTAGCTACTTTACAACGTATACGAAAAGAGCGTGCAGAAGAGAAAGAACGACAAGAACGTGAAGCAAGAGAAGAAGAAGAAGCTGCAAAAGAAGCAGAAGCCATGCGAGGTAATCCTCTATTAAACATTGGTAATGAAAAGCGTGACTTTAGTGTTAAAAGAAGGTAAGAAAAAAAAAGCATAATCGGTTTATAAAGAGACGCTATATTAATAGTTAAACTGAAATCAGATGGGATGATGATGTTATTTTCAAAAACCAAGCAAGAGGACTAGATGATAAACCTAAAAAGAGATTTGTAAATGATATGTTACGTTCTGATTTCCATAGAAAGTTCCTTCATAAATATATTCATTAAATAAACATGATGGTTAAGAATGGTCTGCTTGTTTCTATAAATTAGGAGGAAGAAACATGTATTGTACATGAAGATTATTTATTATCATAAAATAAATAGTGAAAAATAAAAAAAAAAGGAAAAATAAAAAAAAAAAAAAAAAAAAAAAACTCATCATTACGCACATTAAGCCAGCTTCTCTACCTACATGTACATTAATATAATTAAACCAATCTTTACAATACATCTTTGCTTGTAAATGTACTTTTATGAACTACTAGTAATCTTTTCTATATAACAATTTTATTTCATAGATAATATCTTAATAATAATAAACTGTATATCATATTATTTACAATGAAGAAGGCTTTGCTAATTTGCTGGTATATTTGATATAAAAGATTCATAAGATGGTAATTGACTAGGATCGTATATGGGTAGTGCATCCTCGTATTCAATTACCTTTATAAATTTGGGTTTTAAATTAGTATCTGATCCTTCTTGTTGAAAGACAGAATAAGCCTCAAGATCACTCGAGCTCTTGATCCCATAGCCTAGAGTACCGATAGTGATGGGTATATCATTTAAGCGCACATTATAGTTCCATATTCCACCAAAGAGCCTCTTTTGTTCTACGTTAATTTGAAGTCTATATGAAAAACGAACGAGCCTGCCATAATCATAAGAAGGTGTAATATCCGCAGGAATAGCTAGTTTTAAATCAGCCTCGCAATAAGAACTTTGTTGATTGTCTAAAGTGTTTATCAACAGTAATTTATGGGTTTTAGTTGTAATAACCCGAGTTTGATCACTTATATCATCAAAGGCAACCACATGCATTATCTGAATAAGTTTGAGTTTTATGGATACATATGACAGAGATTCAGTACCGCTTATTCTTTTTTTCAAACTTGTTTTGTTATTACTACTGTCTACTCGTATATAAAGAGATAGACTATCATTCGGCACATAGTCGCACGTATGCATTCTCACCTTGACTGACAAAGGTCCCTTTTGAGCCTCTGCCATGAAGGGTGACTTCAACAGGGTTGTATCGATAAATGGCATGTAAAGGATAGAAGTAAAGGTACGAATGGGTTGAGATGTGCCCTTGAGTAAAGAAGAAGGTGTGTCCAGAATTGCAATGATTTGATAATCACATTGATAGTTAGGATGATTTACAGAAGGAGGAAACTGAATTAAAGGCATCTGAACAATGAAAGGGAAAGAATATTCTGATCTTTTGTTTAGCGTCAAAGCCTGTTCATTGGATTCCCAAAGGATATGCTGTACACAAAAAATATTCTCTTTAGTAGCACGTATTATACCAGGAGATATGTCAAATGGTAGAATGGTTTCGAAAGCATGGAAGACAAGTCGAACCCTTTTAATAACAAGGTCTAATGATTTTATGTTTAATTTTACATTTCCTATTCAATCGATTTAGATCCAATTCTTCTATTTAGCTTCAATTTACTTGTTCCTCCTTTTTTTTTTTTTTTTACCTTGAAATACAGAGCATGGTCCATAAATAGATTTATTGTTAATCGACCAACCAAACTCTGGCAAGAGTTCAACTGACAGTGAGCAGGTGTTATCTGATAGCATTTTATGTATGAAAGAGATATAACGCATTCAATGAAAGCCTTTTTATTCATCATTATGTATCACCTGTTTACCGCAGTAAAAAAAAAAAAAAAAAAAAAAAAAAAAAAAAAAAAAAAAAAAAAAAAAAAAAAAAAAATTGTTGCATAGTGCAAAGTTGCTACGCAAAATTTCGGTATTACCTTGAAAATAAAAAAAATGGTAAGATGTATAAATAAAATAATTACAGTTAAAGATCTTTGATATTGTCTATAGTGATATTAATTTATTAGTAGAAACAGATCTATAGAAAATTTTAAATACTTGCAATTAGTCATTTATTGCTATAACAATTGTATAAAACAAATATCAAAACGTACTCAAACTCAGTTTCTTCTTATCAACTGTCAAAAAGGAAAAGAATAAAAATATTTTAAATTTTTATTGTTATTATGATTGAAATATGTATATGAATGTATGTATAAATATTTAGCTTACATCATAGTTTGAACGGTTAAATTAGAGACCAGTCTGAATATAGGTCTAGATCAGTGGTTTAAAGTAATTGAAGATCGCTTATCTTAAGATTACACGAAATGCATAAATACATCTTTTTATATATATATATATACATGTATTAAGGTTTTCTAACATTAAAACCGATTGGGACACCATTACAAAAGATACCAATATTTATAATAACAATAATAAAAAGAAGGGTTTAAACAGCCGTCGATTTGTAATCATATTGTTTAATATAACTATTACTATCAGTATTCTTAATTTTAATATAAAATGTTTAAAACAATCAATTTATGTTCTTCCTTTAAAAACTTGTTTGATCAAGTAGTATAAATGCTACGTTAGACAAGCTGGTAGTAATTCATCTGTTATTTATTTATGAAATAATATGTATGATGTATAAATTAAAACTACATTGATAATAGGAAATAACAGGAACTTTTAATAGTTATATAAAGATTAAGCATAATAAATTTGTTTTATTTTATTTTATTTTATTCAAATAATTTAAACTGTATTGTATATATAAATGAATGGTTAAAGATATAAAAATTAAGATGAAACAAAACTAAAATATTGTCGTAAAGCATCAGATAAGGCTTCAGGAAGAGAATTGATATCACGTAAGATCATAAAATATTGGAAGGGGAATGTTTCTAGATATTGATTCATTTGAATAGTATATTTGCCATCTTTGATCACATACTTAACGTTTGTCATATTCAAAATTGAATCCTTTTCTGGCTTGTTATCTACAACAATAAAGATAATCATGATTTGTTGTTCCAGAGCACGTCGAACAAGAGTACGAAGTGTTTCGTGGTCCTCGCAAATACCATCTGAGATAATTAATTGTAGTTGCCAAAGTTCACCATGGCTGGGCCCAGAATGTTTGGCATTCTCAAAAAGTCCAAGTGAAGTCTCAATCAAATTTTTCACATATGTCTTTTGTTGGGCAAAAGTAAATTGTTGAATAACTTGAGCACCCGATTCTGCTGTGAAAGGTTGGTCGAAAGGATGTAATAAACGAACACGTTCACCAAAAGATGTAATTGAAATGTCGCCTACCTCAAGCTGTGAAAGTGCCTTTGATATAAGGGACAAAGCCTCATATGCAAGTTGAACAGAGTGGGATTCAGACATAGATTTCGAATCATCAACAGATATCATAACTTGGTATTGACGTTTACTTGGTTTAGTACGACGTAACCATATTTTATCCTTCTTAAATTGACTTGCGATATAAGGAATAATCTTTTTCATGTTAAGACGTTTACCGGTACGATAATCACCTTTCAGCTTTGTAGCTAATGTAGGTTCCAATATTAATCGAAGTTGCTCACATAATCCCATAGCAAGATCGTGGGTTAAATTTTCATATCCCTGCCAAAGTTCACGAGCTTTATTAATATCTCGACCTTCTTCTCTCCAATCAGTTACTTTAGTTTCAAGTTCTTCCCTCATGCGTTCGATATCCTCTTTTTCAAGAGGTTCACGGGACACAACTGATTCATCCATCGTTAATATTTCAGTCTCATCTATTATTTGCTGCTCAGGTAGTTTCTTACTAAGAATAGCACCTTGCATATCTGCTAATCCAGATGTATCAAGTGTATCTCTAGGCAAAGGCATAGTATCCACATCATCTACTTGATCATCAACTTCCATATCACCAGATGTTTCTTTAGACTCCTCCTTTTCCTCATCTACAGCACCCATTTTCAAATCTTGTATTTGATCAGGCTGTGCATTGCCCATTGTTTGCATATCATGAGCTTCTTCATCATTTTTGATGTACTCAAATGAGTTATTTTCATTAACCTTTGCATCCTCTGCATCGGGCTTATCAGTCTTATTATCCTCTTCAGTATTTACATTTTCTTCTTCATTTTCAGCTTCATCATTAAGGTCAGCAAGTCTTCTACGCCATTTTTCAAGAGCATCACCTAGACTTCTTTGAGGGTTAGATTGAGGTTCAGTAGCATTCTTTTCTTCATTTTCATCTCCTTGTTCATCCTCATCAGTATCGTCTACTTCATTACTAGCTTGGTTAGCACCACCTTCAGATTTACTCTTCTGCTCATTTTTTTCTGTATTTTCATCTTCAGCATCATCGGTGTTGGCAGTATTATCTTCGCCTTCCTTTTTACCAGCTGAACTTCTACTTTGCTTACCAGATTCTCCTTGCACTCCAAATTGATTATCAGCAGTGGTATCACTATTTGGCTGCTCACGATTTTGTGCTTTGTTTTCTTCATCTCCATCTTGTTCATCTTCATCAATTTGCCCATTCTTCTTGTTCTGTTCTGAATCGCCAACATTTGGTGCAAGCTCCTCATCTTCTTCTTTTTCCTCATCACTAGGTGTATTTTTCTCTTCTTTATCATCTCCTTCTCCAAATTCTGTGTCCACTTCAGCAGATGCATCCACCATTTCTTCATCTTCATCATTCATATTTTGTTCAACGTCGTCTAAAGCATCATGGAATGGTTCAACATTTTCATCTTCTTCAGCTAGTTGTTCTTCATTCTGTTCAACTTGTTCATCCATATCCATCAGATTATCCATATCCTGTCCTTCTTCACCCTCTTCTCCTTCATCATCTCCATCAAGATTCATATCATCAGGTAATTCTAAAGTGTCTGCTTCTGGTATTTCAGCATTTAACTGTTCACCAGCCCTGTTTTCAACTTCGTCTTCATTTTCTCCCTCGCCATCAGCCTCTTCTTCTTCTTCATCACCATCTTGATTCTGATCATCCATTTCTTCATCTCCGTCACCTTCATCTCCATCTGCCTCTTGTTGCTTTTCATTGTTTTCTGATATTTCAGGTTTTTGTCCCTTTGATTCAGGCTGTTGATCATTTTCTTCCTTGGCAACAATTTCAGATTCCTGTTGTTGTTGTTGTTGGTTGCCTTGATCTTCAACTGTTTTATCGCTTTCTTTAAGATTTTCTTCAGCTTCATCGCCCCACATTTTATCATCAACTGCGTCTGGATCCATATCATCAACATCACCGATCTGTTCATCAGGTTCTTCTTCATCTGAACTTTCAGAATCTTCTTCATCTTTATCTTCATCTTGCTGTTCCATATCCTCAAGGTTACCATCAAAATCATTCTCCATATCCATACCATTCTTTTCTTCTTTAGTATCTTGTTTATCATCATTACTACGTTCTTCATTTTGAGTACCTAGGACTTGTTCCTCATCTTCAATTTGTTCACTAACGTCCTTACTACCCTCACCTTCTCCGATACCTGTACCTGTCATTGTACCATCAGCTTCACCTTCTTCGTCCTCATCATAACCAGCAGGTATACAGAAGCCCTTTGTAATAATAATACTGAAAGAATTAATCAAGCAATATGTCAACTTGGCCATGGATTTATGATGAATCACCATTTTACTAAGAGTATGTTGAACAATAAGCATATACTGTTGAAGGAAAGGATATACTTCATGTAGTAGATGAGAAATTTCTTGAGTAACAAGATTGTCCTGAGAGGAAGTAATTAAATTATGAGCAATTGTCAAAATCTCAACACAGCGTTTTGAAGCAGCCTCAAGATGAAGTGCGTTGACAAAATCAAATTGTTTACTATTTTGCACACGAATAAAATCATCACTCATAATTTCGTGTTCTTGTTCCTCTTTTTCTTCTTCAGTAAGTTCAGATTTCGTTTTTTCTGCAGACAAATTAATTTTCTTTAAATCTTGAACAGACACTAAAGCAGCTTCAATTAAACTATACACCTTTTCACGAAGATCAATCATTGTTACATTTTTGTTTTGCTCTTCATTTTCTAACATTGTAGAAGGTAAACGAATATTCTCTATATATTGAGTGATAGGGAATAAAACATGACTGGCTTCAGGTAAGACTTGCATGATGTTAACAAGGACATTACAGACTGATTTAAGCTTTTCGGTATGAGATTTAATTTGCTCTTCAATATCTGTAGATATTAAGGAAAAATCAAGTCCAGTAGTGCTCTTGGGATAAAGATAGCGTTGAACAAACCAATAATCAATAGTTTTCTGTATTTTTTGAATATCTCGAGAGTTATCCTGTAGCTCCTTCAACATTTGAAGGTTAATAGGGCTAGCTTGGAGACTAAGAATCTCTACAGCTTCTTTCATAAGTAATGAAAGTTTGTCAATATGTACTTTATAATTTGTTAGACGACAGCCGATTTGTGCATCATTAACCAAGCTTTGTCCTTCAGAGAAAGAGTCGTATAAGGCAGCAAGTTGTACAGCAGTACCCTGGAGGATTTGTATATGTTTTTCAACACGAGCTAATAAATTACGTTCCTTATTGATAAGCGTAAACATATGTTCAGTAGCACTCAGAGAACGTTCAACTTCAAGCATAGAAAGATCTTTACTGACGTTTGTATTACTAATTGTTCTTAAATGCGTCATTCTAGCAATACAACGGAAATAGTAATCATTAGCCTTCTTCCATTGCTCGATCATATCACCATTAACATATGAGTAACTGGATAGCTTTTCCTTTTGAAGATTTTTAGCTATAGTAATATTTTCTAAGTCTGCTACTTGTTGACCGAAAAGGATAGAATTATCAGAATTTTGTTCCCTCATTTTACCAAGACGTGATTTAAGACCAAGTCGGCGAAGCTCCTTTAAAAAGTCAACTAAAGCCTTTTTCTTGAGTAATTTTTGATGTTTGACAAGAGATTTGTTTTCTTCAGTCATGACAGATGGTGTTTCTTTCTGGAAGTGCTTGATTTGTTCGATCATTTCAGTCATGAAAATTTCTAATGGAAGCTCTTTAATGTCATCGTCAGGAACAAAAATGTCTTTACGACAATAAAGACGCATCCTATCTAGAGTGACATGAAGATTACTTAAATATTGTTTGACAGAGGGAGCAGAAGACCAATCAAACTTTGAAGTTTGATTAGGTACAGTAAGAGCACCAATCCATAAATTAGGTTGGAAAAGCTGGTCAACAAGACCACGGTTAATATCCTTAGTATAGCGCTTCTCATCATTATATTGATACATAGCATGTTCTTCATTATAATTTGCAATAACTGTCAGCATTGAATTATTTAAAACTTCACGATACTTGCGAATACATTTATGAAGCTGTCTATGTGTCTTTGATGCACTCTGTCGAAGAGCATAAATGTTAACATCCTTCCATGTCGCGATCTTGACAAAATCCTTCAATTCTTTCTCGATAGGCTTACGTAATTGAGCAAGCATAGTGTTAGCATGTTCTTGGAATTGTGAATAATATAGATAGACATTATATAGGATTGCAGCTGTTCTTTCATAATTCAACTTTTCATCAGAAGAAATTGAAAGTTGAGCTTGGATCTTGGTTTGACGATAGAAACTGTTAATCATCTTGAGACGAGGTTCAAGTTCAATAACCGAAGAAGTTTGAATGAATTGATCGAGAGCACCAAGTAATTCCTGAGTATTCTTTCTATTTACTTCTTCGTTATCTACTTCAAAAGAGATATTATTTACAGCATCGTAGAGATGGAACCACCATTTGAAAGCAGCATTCTGATGATATTGTTCCTGAGCGGCTAAAAGCTTTGGCCAGCAATTAAGTTCCAATTGTCTCCAACTGACGATTAAACTTATAAGCTCCTCACGTTGATCTTTCAATGAAACGTGTTTGGCAGCATAAGCTTCCCAATCTTCAGATTTTTGTAATAAAAGTTCTACGCCAGTCAAAAACTTAGCAATAGGCGATAAAATAGAAAATGCCAAAATACGATCACAAATAACAACCAATTGCTCTAAAATAGCATGTTCCGGCCATTGTTCAGAAAGTTGCAAGACACGAGCCTTAAAGCGATTGATAATAGGTTCGACACGTTTAGCTTCACTCACATTTTCGCTTTGATAGAAATCGTAAATATCATCACTAGTTACTCCGAAAGAATTTTCAGATTGAAGACGATTGATAGTTAATGAAGTAGCACGAAGATGACCGGCATTATAAGCACAATCCATATAATCAGTAAAAGTAGAATTCGTCATAGAAGCAAGCTTGCTAGCAGCGGCATAGGATTGAATAGCTTCGCGATCCCAAGATTTTTCAATACGGGAACATATATCATGGCTATAGGTTTCAAAGAAGAATCTATGAAGATGTCCAATACGATAAATATCCTCTTCATCTAATACAGAAGTCTCCTCAACCTTAGTAGGAGTAGTGGTCTTCTTAGGTTGATCATTATCCTCGATATTTAAGTCAGCAAAGTCTTCATTGAAATCAGCAAAAATTTTTCTTAAATCTTCTGCTTCAAGTTCTTCATCAGTAGGAGGCTCATACTTTTTAGCACGTGTCTTGAAGAGAGCTTCTTTCTCTGCATCCATTTTTTGTTTATACTCTTCAGCAGACTTCCAAACCTGAATAATTTCGCTGAATAATAAATTAACAGAGATAAGATCGACTGCCTTCATAAATCCATTAGTGTTGACGTTAATAACAAGTCGTTGAAGAATTACAATTAAAAGACGCAGATAAAAAGCCCATTTTCTTTTCGTAGGAGCTCTACTGAATATAATCTCTTTAAGAGTCGAGAGCTTATCCGGCGTTGCAAGTATATGCCAATCAAGGTCTTCAGCATGATGAGAAACATCAGGATTACGGATAAGAAGTTCAATAATTTTAAATAAGAACTTATCAGTAGAATCCTTTCTAGCAGTAGTTGTCAATATACGTAAACCATACTTAATATCATTTACTGCTACGATAAGTGGCTGAAGAATATCCTTATATAAAGGGAACTTTTGCTGGACTCTATCAACAAATTGGAGAGCATTTCCCTGTAAGAGAGCCTCACGTTGTAATACTGAATCAACTCCATTAGCCTCAAGATCATGCAATAAGTTCTCAATATTACGGTCAAGCATACTCTTTTGCAAATAGCGTAAATCCACAAAAATCTCATCTAATTGAGATTGAGTAGGACGTAGTGAAAAAGTAGTTGCGCTATGAGCTAATTCACTATTGACTTGTGTTAAACCAGCCTGATCTTTCTCAATCTGCTTGTTTGTAATACTTCCAGTGTAAATTTTTTCGATATCCATACGAACTTCAATATTATCAAGATACTCTTGCTTCTTATTTTGTAACAAGTTAACACGAAGACGAGGCTCAGAAGTAGGATCGACAGGATAATCAGGAATGTATGCGGAGACAAAAGCTAATCCCAAGAAGACACGTGCTTTTCCAATAGAAGTATAGAAGCCATCATTGTTTTGATGTTGTAAATTCTGGATACTGTCTTTAATAGCATGGAGTGCTGATATGTAAAATGAATTAATTTTAGCAGCTTTTGCAAGTTCCAAAATTTGAAGGAGAATATCTACAGCAGTATTAAATTGAGGAGTGATATTTTCAGTTGAGTAAATAGAGAATTTCAAAATAGTATGAGTAAATGAGGCAATATGATTAAATTGGTGAATAATGGCTTCGAATTGTTTATTGTTGTCGGCTTCTAAAGATGCATTTAATAACTAATAATAATAAAAATCAATATTAGACATGTTATCTATAAAAGAAAAAGGAAAAAGAAGAATATATACCTGGCGTGCAATAGCGATAACTATTGCAACTTCAAGAAGCTTTCTATTCTTCAAATTAAAATTAGAAACCAAAAAGCTCTTCAAGTTCTTTAATTGGGTAAGAGCATTTTCATAAGCATCTACAGGCATTTTCTCAATTGAATTAAGAATATTTAAGCATATAACTGTTTCTACATTTTCAAATAAACTAAGAGGACCTTCAGTTATTCCAAAAGCCTAATAAAATAAAACAGGAAAAATTAAAATGATTATATAAATTTTGCTTTTCTTTTACTTACACTCTCTTCATCAGAAGATACTAATTGGTGAAGATTTTTCTGATAAATACTTGAGCGCCAAAGACGCTGATGATAAGTAACAGCTGCATCTTGAACCATACCAGGGAATGCAGATGAAAAGTTTATTGTCTTTTTTGAATCCAAGAGCCAAGTGATACGTTGATAAGGAACCATATCCAAAGGAGGGCGAGATGTTTTCGTGAACGCAAATTTTCTGAATTCTATCAATTCCTCAATTAAATCATCTGTATTAATGTCTGAAGAATCACATGCAGCTGTATATAATTGAGCAATTAGATTCATTTCGGTAACTATGCTAGTATAATCGTAAATAGGTATTAAAGCTGTGTCCCAATATGTTTCTCTTCTTATAGAATCTAAGTTAGGTGTTGAAGATTCAAGTTCTCGATTAATATATTCAGGTAAGTTATGAAGTGGTTTCATGGCTTTTTCAGAGGTACTAGTGTCATTTTCATCAATAGCATAGAGCGCAGCAATACCTTCTACTAAAGCCTCTTTAGCTTCGACTTTAGCATGCAAAACAAGAGATTTAGGGCTGAGGCTTTCATCAGAGTCAAATCTGTAACAATTCATCAATTCATTGGCTTTATGTAATTTCATTTCAAGTTCATGCAAAGATTCTGAAGATAAAGTAGAAGGGCAAAAGTATTTCCAAAGGGCCTTCATTGATTGACTAGTGTTGAAGTCAAAACCAGACATGATATCCTCAATATGAGCGATGACAGAATTCATTAATGTATATTCACTGCCTTTAGAAGACATAAGATCTTTCATTATCCTTAAAATAATCAGGAAATTATCCAAGCTAAGGCTTTGCATTTGAGTAAGATTCCAGGCATAATCACGAGCATCTAATATTTTGTTAAATATTTCAAATACTTCATTAGTGCAATTATAATAACATCCTTGATTGATCCAGACAGTAAAGGCAGATTTAATGGATTCAAAGAAAGGATAAAGTTTAGGAATGATAGAATGTGATAATTGATTCTCTGACAAACGACCTTCATGAAAGCAATAAGATTGCTGAAGAGAAGTTAAGTTGCCTATTTTAAGATGATAGGTAGCATTACGCATATTTTTATCAGCATACTCTTGCTTATAAAGTCGAATTAGCAAACGATATGCATTAAAAGTATGTTCCAGCACAAAGTTGTTGTCATTTTTCAAATTAGATCGAATCTTTGAAAGCTCGATGTATAGAGGATGTTGATATACCTCTCTAATTAAGTAACATAAGCGTTCCAAAAGTGCTGACTTAGATTTAGTGACTTGTCGAGACATATAATTTAACCAACGAAGACGAGCGCCATGATCCTGATACGTTAAATGCTCCAAAAAGTAATCACAAGCAACCTCGATTTTCCTAAGCGAACTGGGATTCTCTATATCAAGAGTTTGCAATAAATAAATAAGATAAGCGCCTTGAAGCGCAATAGTAGCAAGTGTAGAATCCTCTTGATATAATTGACCACCAATAAGAAGTGGTGAATTAGTAGGCGAAAGCATCATTTGTAACAAATCTTCTTCAAGGTTGGCTTCAAGCATGGAAATAAGTGATTCTGGGGCTTCTTTAACATCAACAAAAACTTGGAAAAATGACTCACGAATAGCGAATTTAAGTGATTGGCCACGTTGAAGACGCTCAACTAGATAAGTAGCAAATAAAATGTAATCACGAACATTTGCATCTTTAGCAAAATGTCTACGTTTAGCAACAGCCTCTTCTTGTAGTTTGTTTAAAATCAAAGGAAGCTGAGGACCACGTAATCCAATTGAATTAGTAAGCTTTACTACATCTTGAACATTGCTATTCCAGTTTGAATCTACCAAGGAGATTTCAATACCACGATTTCTCATAGCACGAGAAAGTTCACCATTTTGAGGATCAACAGTCATAAATATTCTAAAATTAGGATGAGGTTTGATAACCTTAACTGTACCATCAACAAGGCCACGCTCATTAACCATAAGAACACCATTATTCTCGAAAAGAGGATTTAAACGATCAAGAACAGATGGATTACATAAGTTAGCATTATCAACGAGGAGCCAATAACCTTTTTCTAGAGCATTAATCAAAAGACCATCAATCCATTCAAATTTACCAGCAACAGATTCCTTTTCAATTTTTTGAAGGTTCTGAATAGACTGAGTAATAGCTTTAAGAGATTCTTGAGCATGTTCATCAATAACAGATGCAGAATTTAAACAGTTGATAACATTATATACAAGAGTATAATCCAATTTTCCAGACTCTGGATCAGTTGATGTAAGTTTCAGTTGCTGCTCACTTTCAAGTGTATACCAAGAATCATTAAGTTGTCGAATAAGTTGTAAAACAGTAACATATTGTTCATTTCCAGAAGATAGAGTAGTGAGGTACATTATTAAATTTTTGGATGCAGAGCTAACCATTTGGCGAAGAGTGTCAATTATAACTTGACGATGGCGATTCAAATCAACTTGCTCAAAACCACCAAGTAATTCCATAGTATCAACACTATTATTCATGGCAAATTCTTCCAAACGATTTCCAGTCATTTTGCTTAGCAAACGAACAAGAGATGTTTTTCCAGAAGCAGAAGGGCCAGTTAAGATGGCCATCCAAGAAGATTCGACACATTTTATCAATGCTTGGAGAGGAGATAAAAATGATTGTAAAATATGGTCCTCATGATCAAGTGCATTAGTAAGATTATTTGTTTGGCTTCTAGCCAGACGAGAATGGCCAACAATAAACGAATCAGCAGTAACTTCGTAATGTGGTTTAGCAGGACGGTCATACTTAATATTAAAGACAGATTCATATAAACGAATAATTTGTGCACGATCTTCATGAGTACGCATACGTTGCATGTAAATAATATCAAGGAACTCAGCAGGGTCATTAACATTATCTTTTTGCATTAATTCAAGCCAACGGAAAACATCACGTAAATTAAATTCCCAAGGGCTACCTTTTCGGCCAAAACTACAACGTATCATCGTTTCTTCATACATTCTACTATTGAACTCGATCATCTTTGCTAAAGTTGCAGGCTCAAACTCAGGGAAAAGATGAGAGCAAATGAACAAAAGATCATCTGATGTCAATTGTTCTACATAGACCTGTGTAAAACGATTAACGAATGATTTAGGTAAACCCTTACGGCCACCACCTTGCTGAAGAGGGTTTTGTGCACCAAATACACGGAACTCCTTATCACAGAAAAATTCTCGGTCAAGTTCAGGAATGTATACTGCGCCACGATGATCTAAACATGAATTAAGGCCTTCTAAGACAGATTGAGACGCTAAATTTAACTCGTCTAATAAGACCCAGTCGCCAGCTTTCATTGCTTGCAAAAATGGTGCATCTCTCCAAGCAAACTCACCACTATTACCACCTTCAACAGGAAGATCAGAACCAAAAAGATCCATTAAATCTGTTTGTTCAGATAGATTGATACGAATCAAGTTATGACCAGAAGCAGCTGCTAAGGCGGAAATTAAACTGGTTTTACCCACACCAGGACTACCTTCAAGTAAAATAGGTTTCTTTAATTGCATAGAACGAACTACTCGCATTGCATTGTCAGATGTAGTTGGTGCCAATAAAGTAAATTTAATATCCGTTTTTGTCAATTGTCCACGGGGAATTTGGAAAGGGCCAATACCAAATTTATCACCAATATTTTGCAACTTGTCTTTAGTATCGCCTAGAATCTCCTGTTCAGTAGCTTCAAATTTACCTGAAAGATGACGAAGGCATTTTAGTCTAAAATCTTTTAATGTTTGTCCAGTTAAGAATGAACCAGAAGAACCATGAGACCCTAAACCATCTAGTAATACTAAACAGCCACCATGTGCAAAACTAAGTTCGGGATCCAATCCAGAATCAACAGCTATATTTATAAATTTGACCCAAGAAAGGATATCACGAAGAGAAACAACAGTTCGACTTTGTCCAATAGCTTGAGTATACCAGGCAATAAAATCAAGCATCTTACTGCTATAACCTTTAAGAGCAGGATGTGACATTTGCTCATTAATAATTGAGATTAAATCATCTCTATCTGTAACAGAAGGAACCCAAATTTCCGTAAAACGATTTCTCAATGCAGGAGAAAGTTCCTTCTTACCATAATCGCCACCAGGATTCATAGTAGCTAAAAACTGGAAGTTTGTATGAGCATATAGCTCTTCTACATTTTTACCACCTTTTTCAGCAAGAACTAAGAGACGACTAGGCTCAAGAACAGAGTTTAATCTTTCAAGCACAGAATCATCGGCAAGAGAGATTTCATCTAGTAAAAATAAATGACCACCTCTCATAGCCTGTACAAGAGGACCGTCATGCCATTCAAAAAGATGTTGTTTGTCATTATCTTCAAGGGACTCTCTGTTACGCACAGGACGTTGACCACCAAGTAAATCACCAGTTTCAGTATTTTGATGACAATTAACAATATGAAGCTCACGGTTGTAAGTTTCGGCAAGCATTTGACAGACAGTTGTTTTACCACAACCTGTTTCACCAACTAGAAGGACAGGTTCATTATGTTTAAGGCAACGAGCAACAAGACTAAAAAGTCGACGCATAGCCTTTGTCCATACAAGTTTTGTATCTTCACCACTTTTTGCTGCATTTTCTTTAAGTATACGATCGTAAATAGCAAATTCCTCAAGCTTTGTACAGTCATACATATCTTCTTCGGAAAGTTTTACTTTCATAACTTTTTCAAGAACTTGTTTTACAATCTTTTTCTCTTCATCTTTACGACATCTTTCGGCTAAAAGCATATAACCATTTTCTGCTAATTCTTGATAACCTTGTGGATCACGGCCAGCCCAACGGAATAAATCACGAAGAGTAATAAAACCATGCTTTTGCTCAAAAATACGTGTGCTCTGTCTACGCTCCATTAGCTCTTTATAGACCATTACAAGTTTTTTACAGTATGAGGGTGCAATAGCGCAACGCTTTGACAAAATAGTCTCCAATTCATTTTCTGGAATATCATCAAAATGAAGCTCAAGGAAACGATTACGAAATGCTCTAGATAAAGCTTTACGGCCACCATAAAGTCCAGCAGGATTTTGAGTGGCGAAAAGCATAAAATGTGGATGAGGCTTGACAATTTCCTGTGTTTCAGGTATCAGCAATTCTCTGTTATCATCTAGCAAACGATTAAGTGCTTCCAAAACATCCGATGGAGCCAAGTTAAGTTCATCAAGAACAATCCAATAACCGTTACGAAGAGCTTCAACTAGCACACCCTCCTGGAAAACAAGTTTACCTTCGTTATTAGAGACATAGGTACCAAGATATTCTTGTAAATCAGTATGTTCATGATTATTGATACGAACAAAACGATGCCCAGTCTTTTTTGCCATATATTCTACCATTGATGTTTTACCAGCAGAAGTTGGACCTTGAATTAAAACTGGGAATTTTCTAGACATAATGACACGTGCGAGATTATAAAGTTTTGTTTCAACAGATTCAGTCAAAATATAACGAGTATCATCTTTTGGTGGGAACTGGCCTTGTTGTAACCAGAAATAACCAAATTGAATAAAATCTTCACCTGGTTGGCGAGGAATTTGGGTGATAAGGTTATGTGGATTTGGTATACCACGTAGTATGGTCTTATGGATTAAGTCTCGCATCAATACTTCACTATCTTTATCAAGCTGAGTTAAGAAAGTCATACAAAAGCCTTCATAAAGTGAGCGTCTTAAACCATAAATGGGGAAAATTTGAACGACATAAGTCAATGCACGAGCTAAAGTACGCATACTAAAATGAGGGCGTTGATTAGCACCATCAACAAGCTTGTGCTCGGCAGCTAACTTTTTAGCGTTCATATAAAATTCTGCAACATCATCATATGCCTTCTCGTCGCCAGTAGCAATACCAATAAGATACTGCTTAACAATTTGTAAAAGATCATCATAGCGATTATCAGGTGGATGAACATAAAATTCGGTAAATCTATTGCGAAGACCAGGAGGTAAATCACGTTTTCCAACATCTGTAGCAGGATTCATACAAGCGAAAAGACGGAAATTAGGATGACGCTTAATAGGTTCAACGTCACCTTTTTCGGTCAGTAACAGTGAGCCGTGAGCATCTTGAAGCAAGCCAGAAAGACACTCAAGTGTTTCAGTAGTAGCCAAGTTAATTTCATCAAGTAGAATCCAGTCACCTCGACGAACCGCTTTTACAAGCGAACCTTCCATAAAGTTGAAAACAAATTTATTTTGAGATTGAACCTGTTGCACTTCAAATTCTTCTACACGTTTAGCAAATGTTTTCCAAGCATTACGAAGAGTAGGCGAGGATACTTTTTTACTATCTGCACTTTGTTCTGCTTCGAATTTTTGAGTAGACATTTTAACAGCTTGCCTTAAAAGTGCAACAAAGTTTGTCCATTTTTGATGAATGAAAGTTTTGCGAATCATTTCCAAAAACTTGACATTTTTTTTGACTGAAAACGTTTTTTCAAATAAACGCTCAAAGTCTTCCTTTAATGGAATAGCTAACACTTTACCATCAACAGGCTTAAAGCCACCCAAAAGGTCAGAGCTATCTGATTGTTGAGACAAGTTGACAACTATCAAGTTTTGATGGATCATATCTGCTAAATGCTGTACAACTGTAGTTTTACCAGTACCTGTTTCGCCGACTAATAGAACAGGCTCATTTAAATGAATAGACACAGCAATCCTTTCCATAAGTCGCAAAGCATGACCTGTTGTTGCAAAAGGCCTTTTTTTCTCACGTTTAATTAACGCTTGTTTTTGTTTTTGCTTTCCAGAAGCAGCAATGGAAGACAAATTGACCCGGCCAATTCGAACAGTTGACTCGTTTGCAACTAAAGTAGGCTTGTATTGATCTACATAGTTGTGAACTAATTCACTAGAAATTTGTAATGGTTGTCCAATAGTTTCAAGGACAGTCATCCATACGTTATAATCAGAAATCATTCCACAAAAACAGTCATTTGCTTCGCTGAATAAGTCTTGTCGAAGAGTCAAATCCATTCCAACTTCTGAACTATCGTTTAATTTCTCTCCAATTAAAACATCAACACGATGACACCATTTCATCAAGTCACGAGTAGATAAAAATCTTCCCATAGTTGAAGAAGATAATGATGAAAAATTTGGATCTTGATAAAGCCCAACGACAGTTTGAAAGAGCTTCATAACATGAGGTGCAAAATCACCAATATGAACATATTTTTTACGAATTACCAATTCCAGTTCTTCAAAAGAAAGAGGCTCGATATGCACCCTTGTCCACAAATTGGCACCGGTCATCAAGTTACTACCTCTATTGCTCATTCCTTTACCAGATTTTGTAGGTACAAATGATCGAGTACCAAATAATTGAAAACCTTCTTTTGCCTTAATTTTTTCACCACGAGAAGGAATAAACAAATGTCTGGTCTCTAAAAGAGGTAAAAGTACTGACAAAACTTCAGCAGGAGCTAAGTCGATATCTTCAATTAAAACCCATCGACCCTCTAAAACAGCTGTAGTAAGAACGCCTGGTTGCCATCGAAAAGAACCAGGCGTAGAAGTAGATACATAGGTTCCCAATAATACTTTTGGATCTGTTTGATCACCTAAATGGATTTTGACTAGTTCTGCTCCTCTATTGGTTCGATAAGCAAGTTCTTCTATAAGGGCTGTTTTTCCCGCACCAGTAACACCTTCTAATAATGTGGGCGTACCAATAGATAAAGTAAGACTAATAGCATGTAAATTTTTAAATGTTGTTTTTGTTAAGACAAGTTTTGGATTATAAGGGTGTCTGGTGGAAGCACTTTGAGTTGATGTAGAATGTGATGTTTTCGGAAGTAATACACCACATAAATTACTTGTAAGTGAGCATAAGTCGTTATCTGTCAATTCATTATGTTCATCCTCTATAATATAATTGTTGTGCAGGTATGATATTTGAGTATCTGCTAAACTCTGTTGTTCCCATAAACTACAAAATCAAAGTTTTTAGTAAACATAAAAATTAATACATTTAAAATATTTTATTTTTTTACCTTAAAAATCTAAGATCAACACTTTCCCCATTGATTGTGATATATAAGGGCTTGTCTGATTCATCCAAAGTGTGTTCTGTACCAACAATAGATGATAGTAAACTTTTAACTTGTGCGTCACTTAATCCGTAAACTTTACTAAGACATAAGATAGTGATATAACGGATACAGGGATTTTGAAACTGAAGTAACTGAACTAAAGGTCCCCAATTCCAAAGTGATTTGAATGTCGATGTTGAAAAAATAAGTAACCTGTAAGTTGTTAAAAGCAGATCTTGTAATTCGTCCACAATCTATTTTAAAAAAAAATAAAAAAAGAAATATATATATTGATATTATGCAATTCCTACAAGTTTCTTATTCTATTACCTTTGAATCATCGTAATTATTTAAATGGTTTAGTCTTTCGAATAAAGATGCTGAATGTGTAAAATATGTTACCGCTAAGCTATATTTTACATGTTAGTCTTAAATATAAACATATACATAAAATCAATTATATAAAACTATTACCTTTTAACTTGAGGCATAATAGGCAAAGTAACACTAAAAGCTTTCGCAATTAATTCAATTTTATATACAGTTTTGCTAGTATTTGTCAATGTGGAAGCATGATCTAAAAAATCTGCGAATCCGGGTAAAGTCCAGCGAGCAACAAGGTCAATTACAATAGGTCGAAATAAAGAAATGGTGCTGAGGGTCCACTTTGGATTAAGCATTGCTTTGGACACTGCATCAAGTAATTGAGATTTTGAAGTTGCTAAGTTTGGTGTATGAAGAACGTCGAAACTTTCATTACCAAAAGTTGATCTGTCAATTAAAGTTGATAGTTGACTGACAGCTTTCATAAAATCAAAATTAAGAGGGTTAAAAGTTTTGTCAATCGCATCTTGATTAGCTTCTGTTACTGAAATGTCCGAGTTAACCATTTTTTTTTTTCTATATTAAGACGAATTACAAAAGTATTATAAAAAAGTAACGAATTAACCAGACGAACAAAACTTTAGTTAGAGAAAAAATATTTTATTCTTTATCATGTCAAAAAAATAGAAAGACTAAATTTTTGTGACAGTTTGAAAAAGACTGCTTTTTTCCTCCGCAGCAGTAGGTCAGATCAAAAAATGTATTACATTTTTTGAGAATAATGCTACAGTATCCCTACTTTAAATTTAGACGATGTTAGTTTTTTTTTTTTGGACAAAGTAAAATTAGTTTTCAGATGAATTAGAAATTAGTTTTTAGATGAGTGATATCTGTAATAATCTAAATGTCTCGAGAGACAATCTGTTGATAATACAGCGATAGGATTCTCATAGTTATTGTTGTGATTTCTTCGGTCTTTGAAATGCGGTTGGGCGACCAGTTTGTCTCCAATTTGATAATGTCATTTCCATCATGTTTTTGCTTGCGTTAATGTCTCACTGCCATAATATTCCACAGAATTTGCATTCCAGGATATTATTACCATGAGCATGCTCAATTGGCTTCAGAGTCTCGTTGTGACAGCTACTACAAACTCTTGAAGTATTAAATTCGTCAATTGTAACAGCAATTAATCTTCCCTCGCTTTCTCTCTTCTTCAGAGTCTGCCATTAAATCTTTGTAACTCCACATCGGTTTCCTTTTAGCTTAATTGAGTCCTTTCCAAACATATCGTCGCCGAAAACAATTAAGGGAATCCTTTTCTTATCTTCACGGTACTTCTGGGGCTTCCACCTATTTGATCTTTGAAAATGTTTTTAGATAAGAACTATTTAACACGTTAAAATAGAAATTGCTTACTTATTTACAACCTTCTCCTCCTCTCTTTCTTTTACTTTCTTATTCCTGCTTTCCCTCTTCTTTTTGTTCTTTTCCTTCTTTTTTTTTTCTGACTTCTTTTCTCTTTTCTCTTGCTTTTCTTCTTCTTCTTTCACGGTTGTATTTCAGCCCGCCATTAAGCAAGATATTGGTCATGATTTCTGAAGCCCGTTGGCGACCTTGATACAATGCAAAATGACTTCTGCCACTGGTATCTTTGTAGAAATCAAATAGTATGTCAATATATTCAAGCATAAATTGTAAGTATTTGTAATATTTTTTTTGCTTTTGCTGTCTTGTGTGTTGGAATTTTCGATTCTACTTCCTCAATTCTATTTTGTTTTTTAAGTTTTTGTTGAACCGGTGTAGTGATAATACTCTTTGGTTGAACAACGTATAATAGGGTGAGCATCTTTGACAAGGCCACACACTGCCGTATATACCGCCTTTCTTCCGGGGTCCAAATAAATTGGATTATATGTTGACGCCACCTCTTCGTAGTCAAAATCTGTTAACTTGAGATCTAGATTATTAACAGTCTGATAAGATTCTTTTTTTCTTTTTGTAAAAAAAGACAATCCACCGAAAATCTGTCTGAGCGTAAAAGGCTTCCAAATAAGACTTCTTTGTTCCCATTAGGTGCAAGATCGCTAGTATTATGTCAGTTACTTGTTTGCTCAATTAATAATTTTTTTCAGATTACACTATACCTTTTAATTCGCAACGTTTTAAAGTTCACAACCTTTTTAAACATTTTAAGTTGCTTACTATACTTCCTTGGTACAGAAGTGGACAGGAAAGCCAACAATGCGTTTACGGATATTGTTATAGACCTAAAGCGTAAAGAAGGTTTTGGCAACAAGTCAAACAAAAGAGGTACTAGTAATCTTCGTACATGATAAGAACTGTGATTTGCATGTTCCTCTTCGTATTCTAGTAGGATATGTAAAATAATAGGTATACATTTCTCGGGGTACCCAGTAAGTGATTTCAATGTTACTTTGTTTGGGGTAATTTCCTTCAGTGGTTGACAAAATAAGGTAACACACTGCTTTTAATGCTCTTCTAAATGTATAGATTCTAGCCTTTGAGGGTCCCTCCACAAACAAATTGGTAACAGTATATTACAGAGACTTCGTGAATGTCTTTGGGTTCGATCATCTGATTAACAGTATATAAGTATAATCACCAACTTTATTGTCGATTAATCACTTACAACAAACATATTTTTGAAGCCGATACCTGAAGTATCTCATGAGCCATGCTTCGAAATTTTCAACAATATGGTTGCTATAAGCTGTTGACAGCTCTTTACAAGCCTCTGTTAAACACTGGCTCGCTCCTGCCTCTAACTTTTGCTTATACACGATGTTTGGGAAGGCAGCACGGCATACATCAATCGATGCTTATTAAATATAAGAACTTTAGTTCTATTATGCTTATCCTAATGAAATAGTGAAAGTATCGTGCAACTAAGAAATGATAGTTATAATTTTATTCGTCATACAAATAATTGTACAAATTATAGATACTAATATGAAATAAAAAAAATCATCTTAGTTATCCATATCAAATATTCATACATTAGATATTAAGCACGATAAAAGTAATACTTAAATTTTAATAAAATTACAAAAAATACAAAAAGCAATGCTGACTGTGAGATTCGAACTCACGCCTCTTGCGAGACCGCAACTTGAGTGCGGCGCCTTAGACCAACTCGGCCAAATCAGCTTGTTGATATAAATTTTAATGATTAAACCTATAATTATCTACATTCCTAATCGGGGATGTCACGTGATCTTCCGTGCTTGTCCGGTTAAAACTTTACTAATTTAATATCATATCCGGAGCTTGTTCTATTACAATTTTTGTTTTTACTTCAGGATATTAGAAAATATCAAATATGTTGAAGAACAGTTTAAGATTAATGTTATATTAAGATGTACGATGTATTATCAGTTGAGAAGACGGAGACAAAAAAAAAAAAAAAAGAAAAAAAACTAGAAATAGACTATATTATAAAAGAGTTTGTCTTTAATTCTTTTAATAAATGTTTTATTATAATAGTAATAGATGTATAATGCATTCTAAATACTTTTTTGACTGCTGTATAAAACTTTTCTATGCCAAGTTTTGATTTTAAACAATTCTACTACTGGTATATATATATGCATTTTATTTCTACTTGTTTTATATATATTAATAATTAGAATAACACAATAGGCACTATAAATTATTAAAATATAAAAGATATTTATACAGATTATGATTTTTTTTTTAAAAAAAAGAATATTATTATTTCAACTCTGTTAACGATATTTTTCAAATTCTAATAAAATATTATCAAGCAGGTAAACAACATTTCCAGGACTAAAATCTATATCTGTAGAATTTGTAGTAACAACATTGCTGTGATGTCTTATTTCTTGATTTTTAGAAAAAAGCGAAATTAATGCTGACTTTAACTTTGGGCTAATATCATTTTTGTTGGTTTTATCTTGAACAACCTCCATTTTTTCTAATATTGACAAACGGTTACAGAAATATTCAATTAACAAATCACCATGAATTGTTGATTTTTCTCCTTCATTTGCCAGTGCGCGATACCATTGAAAATTTTTTAAGGAGCCCAGGAGAGGCATTGCAGGCTCATAATTAATCAAAATATCTTGAAGAATACTTAGGACAGAATAAAGCATCTCACTGATACGATACACATGAATCATTCCACCTGAAATAGTGCAACCTACTATAGGCTTTACTGTATTCTTTGTAGTAGAATTAGATGTTGCTACTGACCACGGTAAAATATGTTGCATGATCGAACTTGTACTATCATAAAGAAGATCAGTTTGTGATCTAAGTAATGCTAATTTAGGTCTGACAATAATATCCGAGTAATGAAATGAAAATACACATTGAAGCCGTTGCCTTATATCATTAGGATCATCATATAATGCTACCATTCCACCTGACTGATTAACACCAACCGCAAGGTGCCTATTAAGTAGCAGAGAATGATGTATATTACGAGGAATAAAATCACTGAAAAATAATAAAATTTGTACAAGTTGTTTTTTTTAATATTTTTTATATACACATATTGTTTTTGTGTTTGTTTATTTGTTTGCTTACCTTTTAACAAACTCAATTAGTCTTGTTTCAGAGTTATACTTAAAGAAAGATATAGAACTTTTGTGAGAAGTAACACATATACAGTCTTCACGATAATGCAAGGATGTAATAGGGAAGTCAAGCGTCTTATGTGAGGTATTAACAAGCTTTCCATTAATGGGATTGAGATTATATAAATAAAATTCTTTTCCTGCAGAAAATAGGATACTATGGTGCACAAATACGCACATAAAAAGGGGTCAGAGTTAATTAAAAAAAAAAGAGGACTTCATATTATTTTTTTTTTTACCCAGTTGGATGTGGACAAATAGCGTAAACACCACCTGGTAAATGTACATGTATCCAAACTCGTTTTATTGAATATGTATTTGTTGAGGTTGAGTTCTTTGGTTTTGCCTTTAATCTAAATAAAATCATTGTGCCCATTTCATCATCTATTATTGATTTTGTATAGGTATTTGCTCCATTCTTATTAATACCATATTGCTGAAGTGAATCTTTTGAATAGCTAAATCCAACGCAAAAATATTTATATACTTTATTTTCATTTTTAACCGACCAACCTATAACATAAAAAAAAAAGAAATATTTAGGTCGACTATACGCATGTTGGATTAAGCATATTTTTACCAGCAGCTGAAAGAACTACAGCATTATAACTAGAGTGTGCATCTTCCCAAAGTAGTTGACTATCTGTTAATGGTTGTCCACTATAAATTATTATAGTAATGAATAGTTCGATCCATGATACTTATTTAGATTTTAGTTACCTTATAGGATCTATTAAGCGTACATAATTTTTACGTTCTCCTAATTTTTTCTTTGTCGTAATTGCAATGATGCAATTTAATGTTTTATCATAAATAACCTTTATTGGCGTCTATATTGTGAAATATATATAGTTAATATGTTTGAATTAAGCTTCATATATATATATTCCTACCTCACCCAAATTTATTTTAGTAGTATTTATCTGACTTTTCAATTTTAATTGAAATAGCTGAAGCTTATTATCTACAACTGTTACAATAATAGGATATCTAGATGCACTTTGATTCTGTTGTTGCAGTGATAAATCAGTTTTAAGAAAGGTAAATGCGTCAATTGAATCTTTTTGGAATTTGGGTATTAATATTCGATCTATTTGAATATTATTATCTTTATTTTTGTCCAGAGTTGTCACTGCAGTTATTTTCCATAACTGCTCTGACAAGGCGTATACTATACTATTGCCTTCATAACAAGATTGTAACAATTTTACTTCACGAAGTCCAATATTGTAGATAATGGGATAGCCATCATTTAATTGTATTGATATAATCTTTCCGTCATCACTCATTGTTGCTATATTTACTTTAAAGCATAAAATTGAGCCTTGTTGTAATCCTATTAGTAGATATAGAGGATTATCAAAAGTAGAATATAAAAAGGCGATTGAAGAAGGGGCAGCAACTTTATCAGGAGGTATATGTGCTAGAATAAGAACATTTTAGTAATTCCTTTCACCATATATGTATATACTAAGTACTAACATAAGTCTATCTCTTGAACTTTGCAAATATAATTATTTTCTATCAAAAAAATAATCAATGAAGGCCCAAAAGTACCTAATGTAAGAAGAGTTTTTGATCTTCATTTCATATAGTTAATCATCATAATCTTTTTAGTTAAAGATTTATAGATTACCTAAACTTAAACTGTCCAATATAACTAGGACAAACATCTAAAGGTTTGGTAGTAAGTTCTTCTACAATTAAAGACAAAGGGCTATATATAAAATAATAATTCCAACTGAGTAAAGGAAAAAAAAAAGCAAAGATAGATTATCATATCATACCTAGATTCATTGCTTTTGATATTAAGTATATACAAAGTAAACATGTCTTTATACATAATACATAATGCAATATAAACTTTATCATTTATCTGCCATGATGTTGCAAGCTCGATATGATAATCAGTTCCAATATCTGGTTCCCATTTTGTTATAACACTATTATCTTTTATAAAGTAATTAATTATTTTGTTATGCTAATTATAAATATTATTATTCATACCATGCTTCCCAACATCAATAATCAATAATCCCCGAGAATAAATCTGGAGTAATAGTTTATATTGTTGTATAACAATTGTATCTACATGAATTGTTTCTATATCAGATTTTATACCAGACGTAGAGGTGATATCTTTTATTTGTCTATCTATAGCCATAAATTAGTATCATTAAGCATATATACTCATATACATCTGATTTATATTTTTATTACCTTCTATACAAAATAGACGTGTATCTTTTGCAGATGTTGCGATTAAACAAGATAGTTCTTCATATTCCAAAGATGAAAGACTTAAGTCCCATAAAGCTGATATACCCTTCCATTCCGGATCTGATGCATGTAAAAATTCTGCTTGGATACCATGGGTAATAACACTTAAAGAGCCATGTTCTCCTTGGCCAGAGCATGCTATCAAAGCGTCTTGATGATCTTGAAAATTTTCTGCTATTTGAAAGTCTGTTAATGGTGCACGATTAACTAAAACTTGTAGAACTGTATAGTCAATGGGTGTATTCTGTGATGCAGGCGGGTGCTTGCTGGGTATCTACATAATGTTAGATAAAGATTATATGTTACTATTACTACAAAACAATAATAACACACTATACTTACTAGTAATACTTGACTATCAGCACTTTCACCAGAATACAGTAAGACATCCATTTTTCTAGCTGTATTTTCTTCAATTAAGTCCATGGTACCTAATAAACACATGGATTGCCCAACTGGATTTACTTTTTTAATAGGGATCCAGTTAAGTTCGCTTGTTACTTTCACTTCAAGTTTGTACAAATGTCCTTCTGCTGAACCTAAATAAATATATTCTTCTGTTGGATCCAAATGTGTTGCATAGGCAGTAAATAATGGGCCTATATAAAATACATACAAAAAAGTGACAGTGTCATATTATTGAATACAGACGTATATTAATTATGATATTTTTTTTTCTTACATTCGATACTTCTAAATATTTTTGGAATCATACTGGTTGGATACAAAACATTTCCGCAACCAAGATCATCTGCTGTCAACAGGCAAGCTTGTTGCTCCTTAAATTGAATTAGACAAAAGCAAATAACATAATAATTATAAAAACTTACTGTAATAAGAATAAAAGCTTCAGGTTGAAACTTCAGAGGTATAAGTAATAATGGAAGTGAGGTATCTAAAATCAAACAAGAGAGAGGTTAAATAAACAGCGATTATAATTTAATATACTTACTTTTTTCTAAAGGCAGTCTACTAATTTTTTCTATTGTAACATTTTGGGTATCCGAAGCATCAATAGCATAAAGAATTAAACGACATAAACGTTCGACATCACTACATAGATAATAGTTTATATAAGGTATACCTAATATATATATTATATATAATCAGTTTACTTATAAACAACCAAGACAAGTAATATTTTATCCATTGATGTAGTCTCTGTATATAAAAATTCCATCTGCCAAATTATCCCTTCCTCACATTCAGATCCTCGCTTATCAAATATGTATATGAATGTATATATGTATGTATTTATATATATATTTATATATGTTAACAAAAAAAAAAAAAAAAAAAACAAAACAAAAAATTATATATAAATTTATTACTTACACCAACAATAGGATCAAAATGTATCCTTGACATATTTTTATTTAATATAAATATATCAAAATTATCTTGGAATGAAGCTACAGCAATTGCCCTACCACTTTTAAATATATAATTAGCTTCTCCCGTTTTTTTTTTCTTGTCATATATCCATAATAACTTACTATGGATCAATTGCTAGCTTTTTATCTATCTTAGTATATTCTAAACCAGGGCTATTCAAATGAACCTACAATACGAAATTTAATAAAACATATGCTATGCTCATGTTTTAACATGATTCACCTCAGCTAAAGTCTCGAATCTTTTTATGTCTAATAGTTTATTATGATGAATTGACATAAAGATAAGTTTTCCATACTCGGAAAGTGTAACAATGATATCTTCTCCTTTAATTGGAGAATGATGTCTCGTTTTTTTGGTATATTTGACTTCCTCAAATACTTCTGTTTCCTTATCCATAAAATTAAAAGTATTGTGTTCATCATCATCGTTATTGTGAAAATGACAGTGCAATATATTTGCATCAGTGATTGTACCAAAAACTGATTGTTGTAATTGGCTTGTAAGTATATTTAAATTTGAATCGTTAACATGATCTATTGACATCCATTCCAATGAGTTACCCTAAACCATACATGACTTATTAAACTGGACTATTTTAAAAACAGAAATTGTAATATACCTTAACTAGGATTAGATCTGATGAATCCGAGTTGGATATAGATCCTTGGAGTATACGTTGAATGTAAGTATTATAAGAAGATGTTCGATAATATGCGAACATAATAATTATTCTTTCTAACTTATTTAAAGAAGTATAAACCGAAGAAAAAAAATATAAAAGAATGTGAAGAATTAAAGAAACATGATATAATTTTAAATTACAATGCTACATACACTACATATAAGCTTTTTTTTATTGGAATGCTTGTTCTGTAATATTTAATATATTTATATATGTATATATTAATTACCCAAAACCTAATGTTTTTCAAAAGAAAATAGTTCTTTCCTTTAATTCATTAAATAGTATTTATATATGTAAACCTGTATACAAATACATTACTGTTTTATCTGGACATGAAACACTTGACAAATTGATGCACATATCAGATTACATAACTGTGACTACGTTTTTGACCGCAGATTTTTTTTTTTTTTTTTTGATTTCTCCCTTTTTTTTTTTATTCTTTTATTTTTCTTTTATTTTTATATCTTTAGTATACATTGTTATTTGTTTATTTTATTAAACGTTTATTTATCTATTGATATAGAAGATACATATTTTCTCATTTGTTTTAAACTAAAGTTTACACGTTTTTTAACTTAAAAAAAAAACAATTATCATGTTCTGTCATAACTGTGGCTCTAACAATACTGAATCTGATGCCGCTTCTGGTACTAGTTATTGTATTGACTGTGGTACTGTAAGTATTCTTTTTTTTTTTTTTATCATACTATTTTTTTTTTATCATATCATACTCATCTTTTTTTTATCATATATAGGTCCTTGAAGAAAATACTATTGTTTCTGAGGTTACCTTTGGAGAAGCTTCCAATGGTAAAGCTATTTTACAGGGCTCTTTTGCTGGTGAATCAGGTATATATATATATATAAATGAATGTGAAAGTAAATAAACCTTATTTTCTTACTAACATATTATCTCATATTAAGGTCGTATTGCTGGTGGAGGTTTAATGGGTAGAAAAAGAAAGGAAGGCCAAGAACAAGCTATTGATAATGGTAAGAATTAAATCATAGATAAATAATAACCTCCTTTAATTCTTTTTCTCTCCCTTAAAAAAAAATAGGTCGTATAAAAATTGCTAATATTGCACATGCTCTCAATTTACCTGAACGTTATAGAGAGTCTGCCCAACGTTATTATAATTTAGCAGTCGTCAACCAATTTACTCGCGGACGTAAAAGTGATCACGTGGCTGCAATTTGCTTGTATTGTGTTTGCCGATCTGAAAAAAGCGCACACATGCTTATTGATTTTTCAGACTTATTACAGATCAATGTTTTTACTTTAGGTGCTACATTTTTAAAACTTTGTCGTGTTTTAAATTTATCTTTGCCTCAAATCGACCCTTCTATCTATATTTCTCGTTTTGCAGTTGCTCTTGACTTTGGAGATTATACCCAACGTGTTGCCCAGGATGCTGTTCGTATCGTACAGCGTATGGATCGTGATTGGATTACAAGTGGTCGTCGTCCCGCTGGTATCTGTGGTGCATGTCTTCTAATAGCCGCTCGTATGAACGGTTTCAGAAGAACAGTAAAAGAAATGATTTATATTGTTAAGGTGGCTGAAGTGACTATTCAAAAGAGATTACAAGAATTTAACAATACTGAATCATCCAAACTCTCTGTACGTGACTTCAGAACTGTTTGGTTGGACTCTCGTGCTGATCCTCCTTCCTATCAAAGAAATCGCAAGCTTGAAGAAGAGGAGGCGGCAAGTCAATTGAGTATAGATGAAGCTAATCAAAGAGATACTGACTTATGGTCTCCGTTACTTGTTGAAGAGAATGAAAATGAAACTTCAGTTACCGAAAATGGAGATAAACAATCTGTTTCTGCTGAATGTCATTCTGATGAAGAAGCTGAAAAATCAAGAAAACGTAAAGAAACCGAATCGGTTGATCATGATAGACAAAGTAAGCGTCTTATGAAAGCCATTCATGATCATGACAAGGAGATTGATATTACTACTATAAGCGATAAAAAGGAAGATTCTCGAAAGCGAAAACAAATAGAGAATATGAATGATAGTCCTCATATAAAACGTCGTAATATAGGTGAAAGTTCCTCATTAACAAATAATCAAGAAGAGATAGAAGTAAATAATGTAAATGTTGATGAAGAACAAATTATAAATCAGCTCGTTCAACAAGAGATTGAAAAATCTTTGAATGAAGAAGTTCAACAAGTGGAGAATGTAGACATAATGTTGACAGCAGAAGCATCTATCATTCGACGACCCTCATTAAAGGGTAAAGAAAAAGTCACCAGCAGCTTAAATATTGATGAGAATGCAGCAGCAACTCAAATAGGTACTCAGGTATCTTACTTAGAAGATGACCATCATGAAAATGATACCCAAGCTACTCTTGTTGACAAAGAATTTACTCAAGACTATATAAGTCTTAATGACAAAGCCTATAATGAATTGTCAATTGAAGATAAGAGAAGACTTACAGCAATAGCTAAAGAAAAAATTGCCAGAGAAAGAGACGAATTACTTGATCCTGTAGCTCATGAACAAGACCGACAGATTGGAGAAGAAATGGAAAGCTGGCTAGGTGATGAATCTATCCAGCAAGCAGCTGAGTCCCTTAGTAAGTTATATACATATATATACATAAATATACATATATAATTATCATATAACTAATGTACTTCATTTTTTCTTATACAGAAAAAGAAAGAAAAGATAGAAAAAAAGATGAAGAAGAGGATGTACAAGAAGATTCTTTGTCTGATGTTGATGATGAGGAAATTGAGGCTATGATCCTTACAGCAGACGAAGTGATGTTGAAGACCAAAATTTGGTATAATAATAATAAAGATTATTTAGAAGAGATGGCAGTTCGACGTATGGTTGAAAAAGAAAAAGATTCGCAACCACATACAAGGAAAATTAACAGGTCTAAAAAGAATATGCAAAGAGCTAATACACCAGCGGAAGCAGCAAAGCAACTTATGGCAACTAAGAAGATTTCAAAAAAAATTAATCAAGCAATATTTGATGATCTCTTTGAGACTCCTGAATCAATTGCAAAGATTAAAGAAAGAGATGTTCTTAATCGTATAACTAGTGATAATAATATTTCTGTATCTGAATATACAAATTATGAAGTAGTAGAGGAGTCTGGTGATGTATCTGTAGCTGCTACAAAGAGTAAAAATAAAGATGGTAAACCTGCTTTGGAAGATAGCAATTCTATACAATCAGGACAAGTTGCAAACGATGATGATGATGATGACGATGACGATGAAGATATGGATCCTGATGATATGGCAGATGACGAACGATTCTTACGTGAAGCAAGAGCTAATTATACTTTTGATGATACCGAATATGGTGATGAATACGGAGACGGTTATGATGATGATGATTATTAAAGCATATAACAATTATGTTTGTCTAAATTGATCTTGTATATACACATTTATAAGAGACTTTTTATTTTTATTTTATTTCATTTCCTATTTTTTTTTTTTTTTTTTTTTTTTTTTTTATTTTCTTATTGTAAATAATGTACATACATATCTGTATACATGTATATACATATATATATCACAAGTTAATACTATTATTATTACTGTTACTTAATTTAAAATAAATGCTATTTCGAACACCAGAATCCACATATCTTTTAATGGATTTTTTGGTGGTAAATCGAAATTCAATATCAAAGTATTATTATTGATATCATATTGCCATTCTACTGCTGCTTGTCTATGATTCATTAAAGAAATCTTGATGCTAGTATCATTTTGATATATAATAGGTAAAGATATGTTGATAATAGAAATAGAAGATTGTTGTTGATTATCAATAATATCAAGAGGAGTAAATACATATATTACTTTCCCATTCTTATTGGCAGCAAACCTTATACCTTTTTGTTCATCTCTATTAGAAATCCAATAAGGTATTGACTGAAAAACACTATCGCCTACATCTTCCAGCCATTTTCCAATAGTTTGTAGTCGTTCTACCATTGGTAAGGGTAAATCTCCTGATCCTTTAGGTCCAATATTGAGCAAAAAATTACCACCTTGCGAAATAGTATCAATAAGATCTTGGATTAACTGACTTGTATTTGTGTATTCCTCTGGTTTTGTCATTTGATTAAACCCAAATGAATATGGATCTATGCCTCTTGTTGATTCCCAGAATCGAGTAGGAACGGTTGTTACAGTCTTATACTCAACTGTTGTGAAATCAGAAGCACTTTTATCGCCGCATCTATCATTTACAGCAACTTGTCGTCCTTCTCTTTGAGCTTGGTTAAAATAATCTGCTTGCCATACACTTGAGTTATGGATTCCACCAATATCGCACCATATTATATCTGGCTTATACCCTTGTATCAATTCTTGAAATTGAGGTACCTGTAATTCATTTACAAAGTTATTTATCGGTTTACTACCTGTATAAGAAATCTGTTGACCATTATAAGGATTAATAGGGGGACCATACCATCCAAGCGAATCATCCTTATATTTAGGATGATACCATTCCGGTAAAGAGACTTTATGATAGTAATAAATATATATATATATATATATATATATATATATATATAATAATATTCTTATATACATCATTGATATAAATATATAATAACTTACAGTAAAGACCACGTTTTAAGTGAGGATATTTTGTCTCTGAAACTTTCATGAGCTCTCCTACAAAATCACGTGGAGGCTTAAGTAAATGTATCGTAGAACGATTTGTCACGCTCGTATTAAATAATGCAATACCATCATGGTGTTTTGTTGTGAATATAAAATAACGAGCTTTTGATTGATGAACTAGCTCAAGCCAGGCATATGGATTAAATTGATTAGGCTTCCATTTATTTAAGAAGTGATCATATTCAAAATTTTCGGCATATGTATTACGATGATATTCATAAACAGGATCCTCTTTGTGGTTCAGATTCCACCAATACCACTCAGCGTAGGATTTACCTACAGGAGCCCAGGCTGGAACTGAATAGAGACCCCAATGAAAAAAGATACCAAATTTGGACTGCTTCAACCATATTGGCGAACGATGTCTTTGGACAGATACTGAAGTTGAATTATATTCTTGCTGGGCATACAAAGATGATATTAAAAAATGCATAGTATCCTTTGCTATATTTGTAACAATAGTGATAGGTAATACACTTTCCATTTCATTTGTTTTATAAGAGAACGAAACATTCATAGTTTCAAAATGCCTATTATTACTTAACTGTGAATGATATCGTTGCTGCGCTATAGTAATTCGTAACTCACAAAGGTGACCAGGTGCAATAGCTTCTACAAAGCCTTGCTTTATTGTTGTAAATGGTTTCCTTTGATAGCTTCTTAGATCCGCACTAACATTATTCATCCATCTTGTTCCCAAATTGTGTACTTTGACTAAAACTATTTGTTCATTTACATTGATCAATTCCTGTATGAATTGAATACTTGTCATTACCGCTTTATAATTTTGTGTAGGATAAGCTAATAAAGAAAATAAATGCATTGCAGCATCACTATTATCTGTTATCTGAGGAGAAATCTCGAGGCTTAAAGGTATTTTTAAAGAGTTCACATACACTGGTAAACTAAATAAAGCGCCGTATGATATATCCTCACTACTAGTTTTATATAGTGGATATTGAATTGCTTGGTAACGGTCCATTTGATTTACGTAAATGTCTTGCCAATCTGGAATACTTAAATCTGTTCCATCGTATGTTCCATCTCGATAAATGACTTTAACTTTTACACGCAGTGGTCCATGGCTTGCGGACACAAGCATATAAATCGCACTAAATTCCACATCAGTAACATTTCTTAAAGATATGACTTGGTTGCTACTGATCTTTATGTTATCATACTGTTGTTTACCATTATAGTGGGTACTATAGTTTAATAAAAGGGAAGGATGCTTAAACGTATCATCTCTGAAGGAATTTCCAAAGTTATCGAAATTAGCATTTGCTCCACCAAAGGCTTTGTTATTAAACCATGGTTCAAGAGGAATAGAAATATAAGACACATTATTACTAGTTCGTAATAATCTATTATCTGATGCTGATGATGTAGTAGACTCAAATAGAAATATGCTATGTAAAACTAAAAGTAATAGAAGAAAGTACATGTAATCTAATATTTGCATTCAATTATTTATTAAAGAAAAAGAGGTACTCTATAATAATAAAGAGGAAGGATTTTTTTTAAAATAAAATAAAATAAAATAAAGGGGTTATATGATGATGATACCTCCTATATACATTATGTATGAATGAGCATATTACACATTATTTCATATAAGAAAGGTGCATTTTTTTTATTTACCCTAACAACAGCCGTAGTTAAATTACCTGCAATTATCTTTTAAATTTAAAAAGATATTGAAACCACCATGAGGAAGCGATCAATTAAACATTGTATGCGAATATCTGAACAACACACCTTTTTCGGAAATAGTTCACACATTCAAGAATTCTTTAGTGCATTCAGAGAGTGTTCAAATTTTTAGCCAGCAAAAAAAGCAATATAATCAGAAAGTTCGTTAAATTATCATGTGTTTGAGAAACACCAGCTTCTAATACTCTTTTTTTTTTTTTTTTTTTTTTTTCAACTTTTTCAGACCTATGGCACCGCAAGCACCACCAAAATGGGCCACAGAACTCATAAACGAAGTGAAGAGAATTGGCGGTATAGTCAACACACTTGTCCAGACCCAAAATATTGAACCTATCAGTAATAGACTCGAAAAGATGAGTACTGATATTGCAGCTATTCATGATATAATAAATCGTATTCCCGCTTCTTTAGCTACTCCCCCTATCGCCAATAATGCTACTGTTGTTTCCGCTACTTTTGTTGCAGCTCACAATAACTTGATCGCAAAACCAAAAGATATAAGGAAAGCTGTAATTGTGAATGCCATTGCTGAAGTTGTAGAAGAAGGGTCTGACGCAAATAAAGTTTACGAAGATTTAAGGAGGGAAACAAACAATCTTGTCAATGCGACAATCGATGAAATTGGTACATTTGTTGCTTGGACCTCCCTTTCTAGACAGCATAGGAACGCGCTTCTTGGTGAAGTTACAGCTTTTGCTAAAAGAAATGATCTTCAAAAGGTAGGCCGTTTTGAACGAAATTGGGTGGTGGATTACCGGGTTCAGGCTTGTTATTCGAACAAGTTGCCAAAAAAAAAAAAAAAAAAAAGGCCAGCTGCTGAAAAATGGGACTTTTACAATTATTTTGTATCAACGCATGAAAATATCAATAAATTTAAAAAATTACAAATTAATACGAGACGATTATATTAATGGTATCTTGTGAATCTTAAGTTCAGAAGCGCCAATTGAAATAAAAAACTACGTTACTGAACTCAAGAATAACCTTGTAAAGTACTGAATCCTAAACACATTTATGAAGTACTAATTAAATTACCACTATTGCCTAGCCCTCCAAAGCAACGGTGAAGGCAAAAAAAGCAAAACAAATGATCAAGAGCCCAGTTAATAACCATGATATCATCATGTATAACATCGTTTTCTTTGGTGATAATGTAAATTTATTAATAGTGGTATATTTGATAATATAAATTCTAATTAATATATTTGTTAGACAAAAGCGATTGAAGACAGCAGTAGCAGAAATTGTGGTAATAAAAAACGCAGTCTTAGTAACAATAATGACATTTCTACAGGGCATTTAAACAAGAAGAAAAAGCCTAACAATAAGGTAAGCATTGGTATTATTCTCAAATTAAATACGTTCGTAATATCCTATTTAGATTTCTGGCTTATGGGAAGACTGGGTGAATTTTATGCTGGAAGGGAATGTAGAAAGCTTCCATGCTTACAGGTTAGTAAAAAAAAAAAAAAAAAAAAAAAAAAAAAAACGACAAAAAGTGTTTCGACCATCATAAGGGTCTCTTCAGTTGCTGACGAATATTATCTTGGCTCAATTGAAAATTTTTCTAAAATAAAAATAATATTTGTTCAAGCTGCAGGTATGGCATTTTATAATACAATATGTATTAAAATATTAAATATTTTTAAAAGGCAAGGCAATATATATTTGGAGTTTGAAGTATATTGTAGAAGGCCCTGCTTACAAGCTTTGGTTAGAAGGACGTTTAGATATTAACCCAAGATTTGATAGAAAAGTAGCAGAGTTACCAAAAACCATAAACTTTTACTGGTTATTAAAAGTAAATGCTAACCAAATAAATTTTAAGATACAGCTAACAATTTATTTTTTTTTCTTAATAGTGTTTACTAGAAGATTCTGTCAAAAGCATTTCCGCACTCAAGGATGAACATATGAAAAAGTTAACAGAATTAAGATTTGCTTCTTTTCTCTCAAAAAACCCTTTCTACGATAATTAATCCAAGCATTCTAAAGTTAGTCGAAGAGGAGGATAAGGCTGGAATGTATCAACTTGGCCCATTTTATAAATAAAATACTTTTATGTATTATCTTTTATATATTAGTTGTATGAATACAACAGTGGTGTAATTTAGCAATTTTGTTCAAAGATAATAGTAGTACTTTTTGACAACCGAGTTACTGAGTAGCAAAAAAAAAAAAAAAAAAAATTAATATCACAGAATGGATTAACTAGAAGATAACCAACTTACATCTTTCATCCTTGCTGTACTTGTTAGCTGGTGTATTGACAATATCTACAATATGATCTAGTGTGTGTTTGACTGTTTAAATGAGCATTTTGAGTAGTTTCATTAGGGTCGATTTAAGCTTTATTCTTTGTCATTAAAGCTTTTTTAAAAATGCTGATTGAAAATAAAATGCGTAGGATATCCCTTTTTTTTTATTACATCAAAATGGGTTTATGCTATTCAGACGACTGTCCCTCAAGCAAACTTATGCTTAAGTGTCCTGTATGACAATACCTTAAAAAAAAAAAATTGAAAGTTGCCAAATATATCTCAATATTACTGCCAATAAAAAATAAAAATGATTGCCATAATTTTCAAAATGTTCTGCCAAATTTGCTGAAAAACCTAGTATGTTTATAACTTCAGCTATCATCAACATGACTAATTAGTATGAAGTATCATTATCGTCATGAAATACCATCTTATTTACGCTATTCACTATTACTGTAGATACATTATACTTACAATTGTGTAATTGAATGAAACGGTCATTTTTTCAAGCCCTCTAGTAATGGTAACTGTTTAAATTGTAAAAATAGATTCTCCACAATAGCTGTAGTGAATAGAATATAAAACTTAATTCTAAGTAATAAAGACAATAACGGTAATAATTAAGATACCCCATAGAGCTTTTGTCTTTAAGGGAAGGGGAAATGAATTAAGTTGGTAGTATCTACTACTACTACATTTTTTAATATTTTCAATATTAGAAGAGTATTCGGGTACCAATAATTTGTTTGTTACACAATAAAAAAAAAACCAAGATAATAATAGATAGACGCAGATAATGATACATTTATTATTTCATAATTATTTACAATGTGCTAACATTACCCAAGTCTTTACAAGCTTGTTGAACTCTCTTAGTCATGCTCTTTTCAGCTTCACGAATAAAGACACGGGGGTCATAGTGCTTCTTGTTGGGCTTATGATCACCCTCAGGATTACCGACTTGAGTTTGAAGATAGTCCTTCTTATTTTCATAATACTTTCTAAGACCATCCCAGTAAGCCCATTGAGTATCAGTATCAACATTCATCTTAATAACACCATTGTTAACGGCTTCAGAAATTTCTTCCTCAGTGGAACCAGAACCACCATGGAAGACAAAGAAAACGGGCTTATGATTCTCAGATTTGAGTTGTTCCTTAACATAAGCTTGATGCTTACCCAAGAGTTCAGGATGTAATTTAACATTACCAGGGGCATAAACGCCATGAACATTACCAAAACCAGCAGCAATAGAAAATAAGGGTGTAACTTCACTGAAGGCCTTATAAATATCCCAAATATCTTCGGGTTGTGTGTAAAGAGCAGCATTATCAACTCCAGAGTTATCAACACCATCTTCTTCACCACCAGTGATACCAATTTCCATTTCAAGCCAACAGTCAATAGCAGCCATACGTTTAAGATACTTGAGACAGGTCTCAATGTTTTCTTCCTTGGTCTCTTCAGAAAGATCCAACATATGAGATGAGAAGAGAGGCTCACCATGGGCATTATAGTATTTTTCATCGGCATCAATCATACCTATATATATGTATATCAACATTTAGTATCTATGTTTTTTTTTTTTTTTTTTTTTTTTTTTTTTTTTTTTTTTTTTTAAAAAAAAAAAAAAGAAAAAAAAATTAAGCTTGTTTTATCTTACCATCAAACCAAGGTAAAAGTTTCTTAGCACAATGGTCAGAATGAACAATAACAGGAATACCATAGGCTTTGGCAACAGTACGAACATACTAAAGATATAAAGTATATAAATATATGTAAATGTATAAATATTTATTTATTTATTTACCTGAGCACCAGCAACGGCACCAAGGATTGAAGCTTCTTGATTTTTGTTTTCTAAGCCTTTACCGGCAAAGTAAGCAGAACCACCTTGGGAGAATTGAATGATAATAGGAGACTTAATATCACGAGCAGCTTCAAGAGCAGCGTTAACAGTACTATTTTTTTTTTAAAAAAAAAAGTTAAAGAAAGGTTCCGAGTTATTTTGAGAGGTCACACATCTTTTGGAGACCACATATCTATTTATTTATATACATGTATTGCACAACACATGATTTTATTTCCCCTCTCTTTTCACCCACGTATACATTTGTATATACACATAGATAGGTCCAAATGTGCCCTCAAAAGAAAAAGTCAAAAAAGTAGAAAACTTACCTGGTTGAAGTACAATTGATAGCAGGAATAGCAAACTTATGCTCACGAGCTTTATTATTATTATAATGAGCAACAATGAACGGTGATAGCCAATTATTAACTTACCATATTCAAAGACCTTCAAAACATTTTTACCAGTAATAACACCAGCAGGAACAATATCAAGAATACCCATTTTATTTTATTTTTAAATATAAACCAAAGTAAAGAAAAGAAAAAGAAAAAAAAATATTGCTTTGAGTTACCTAAAGCTTTTATATTTAAAGCCCTAAGAAAAAAAAATGATGTAAACTCGTTACATGCTGGGTTTTTGTGTTATATTCGCTCAGATTTAGATTTGACAGTAAGAATACCCGGTCTAAAGAATCATCTAGTTTATCTTTTATTATTATTATTATTCAACTACATTAACTAATAAATTCACCATACAGACAAAATCATTATTACGAATTTGCCATGTTCTTCTTTAACTATATAATTAATAAGATAACTTGAATCATTATTTCTTTTTCTTTTCAATATATCAAGCTAATATGCTGTTTCTAGAATTAAATACAACTACCAGTATATCGTGGGAAAGCTTGGGGCGAAGAAAAGGTTATTTGAAGGAGCAAAGAAAAGATCCGAGTATTTCCGTCAGTCACTTACAATAAAAAAAAAACACGTAAAAATAGTTCGCGTAACAGTGTTTGTTTGCAACAAACTAACCACACAAAATACGCATATAACAACTAAGTAGTAAATGAAGTCTAGTCTAATTAATCAAATAGAGTAGTTTTTATTGATATATTTCTTTCTTTCCAAAATAGAAATGATTGGACGGTGATTCAAGGAAAAAAAAAAGGAACAGAAAATGTATCTATAAATCTTCGCTTTAATATACATGGACAGAATAAAGGTAATTCCAAAGGGTCCATTTTTTATACAAAAAAAAATGAACTGCCCACACCTGATTAAAGCGTTATTCTTCTTTCCCTCAATTATAAATAGTTTTACCCACATGAAGCCAAATTTCACATTGAAAAAAAAAAAAATCAAAGTAATATTACAATAAATGGGATATTCTTAATTAAAATAATATTATTAACTTATGACTTGTCTGCACTAATATATAAAACTATAAATGGTGGTCAATAAGCATAATTATGAATAAAGCTTTTTACTCATGTATATGTATACATGAGGATATATATACCATTATTTCCTCTAATAAAAGTATCACCATATGTGTTCTTCAATCGACCATCAACATATTCTTCCGTGTTTTCTAAAGCAATGTTCATATAACCATCCAAACATGCCAGAGTACCTATACATATATATATATATATATGTGTGTGTGTGTGTGTATATGTGTATATTTATTTAGTAACAAAGAAAACTGACATGCTTTTTTTTTTTAACTTCTACCTTTATAATCGATTCCAGAATTTAATTTAACAATAACTGTCTTTCCCAAAACAGTACTTAAAAAATCAGTTGGGGATCTTGAACTTGTTTGATTTTCCATGTGATTTATTTACAAATGTTTCTTTTTTTTTTTAAAAAAAAAAAAAAAGGAAAAGCTTTTTGGTGGTGTCATCGTCTCTTCAAAGTAGTAGTCACCTCTCTTCAATCATTTTAATTGGATAGGAAATTTAATGCAATTTTTGAAAAAAAAAAATATGAGATGTTTGTATACAGTAAAATTTAAAAGATGATAATAAAAATAAATGAGCATAAATCATAATATAATAAGATTAACATTTTTCAATAACTAAGGATTAGTCTAAATAGTAATAAAACATTTCTCTTTAATCGATAGCTGATGTAATATGATTAGATCGCATAGTTAGTAAAGAATAATAATGATATTCAACAAGCATTTGTATGTAATAGATTTATTGAAGATCTCTCTCTCTCTCTCCCCCTTTTTTTTTTTTTTTTTTTTTTTTTTTTTTTTACTGACAGGTATAAAATAATTTAATAATATTAATAATAATAATAAAGAGTGTGCTGAGTAATATTATTATAGAAAGGAAGGTTATTCTAAGAATTTAGATCTATATGATATTCAGGCTTAAACAAGCAAATAGGCAGCAATACCAGCAGCAGCAATAACAAATGTACTACCAACCTTGACATTACCAGCACCACTGGTAGGAGATAGAGCAGATGAAGTAGCAGAGGCAAAAGCACTACTAAGTCTAGAAGCAATAGAAGAGGTTCTAGCCACATGACTAGAAGAAGACATACGAGCAGAGCTGGAGGCCGAAGCAGTGGCTGAGGCAAAGATAGAAGAAACAACCTGAGCAGCATCTAAACTTTGATTCTCAACAGCGTCTGAAGCTTCAGGAGCATAAGAGTTGGCATAGAATTTGTCTTCATTCTTGCCCTTTTTAGATTCCTTTCCCTTGTGATCCATCTCATCCTTATCGTCATCTTCTTTATTATCTTTTTCATCATGTTTATACTTATTACCCATTTCATTGTATTCAATGTATCCATGCTCATTATCTTCTGTCTCATCTTTACCGCCTTTTCCATGGTAATCGTATGTATCATGTACATCATTATCTTTATTATAATCTCTATCAGCCTCATGATCATACTGTTCATAGCCGTTTTGATCTTGTTGCTGTTTACCCTTATTATTGTCCATCCATTCGTGCATACCTTTATTATTGTCCATCCATTCGTGCATACCCTTATTATTGTCCAGCCATTCGTGCATACCCTAATTATTTATATACATGTCTAATATCTCTTTTCTTCTCAAAATAAAAAAAATTATTATACTTACAGTGGGCATAGAAGATAAACAAGTAGTACGAGTAACAGTTTCAATTACGACAACTGGAGGCTTTGTTTCGATTTGAACACCAGGTACAAAAAGTTCAGACTTAGCAAAATGTTCACCATGTTGTTGGTAAGCACCTAATAATTACATTATGAATTCCAATGTTAAAAAAAGAAGAAGAAAAAAAAAAGCCTTGCAAGTAAACTTACTGATTGAAGTAGCCAAAGCAGCAGTAATAGCGACAATAGTAAATGATTTCATTGAAAGAATATTAAATCAATAAATAGTTTAATAAAGAAGAGAAAAAAAAGAGAAAAAAAAAGAGAGAAGAAGAGGATTATGAATAAGTTGAGATTCCCCTTTTATATAGTTGTTTACATAAATTCCGATGTATTTTAAGTAAAGCCGGTCTTAAAAGTAATAATCTTTTATTGTAATGTTAAAATCGAAAGGAATTGTTTACTTGATAATTAAAATATGAAATAAATAAAATAAAAGCTTGAAATTCTAAATAAATCCAATCTTTTTTTTTTTTTTTTTTGTTCATAGTCTTTATTTAACTTATCAAATAGAAACATATAGAAACATACATACATTTATATAAATATATATATTCTATTCTATTCTACTCTATTCTGATGATTCTCTAGTGAGTAATATAGGTCTTGTTTATATATTTGGATTATATACAATATATATGACGATAAATTTGATTTGCATTATTATTATATACGTGCATATAATTCAAAAAATTCGGGTCGATTGAAAAATTTTATTAAGATATTATTTGCAGACTTCCAAGTGAGGCTTAAAATAAAATTGATGATCGATGTAGCTCATATGGATAGTTATATAAGTTGTAACAAACTTCCATGAAGCTACGGATACATGATTCATTGAATAATCTGCAGCAAGACAAAGAAAAGCAAACTTTATTGCAGGTATCTGGATATGAATGGTGTATCATGTATTGATTCAAAAATGAATCAGAAGGTTGTAGGAAAGTCTATATTCTACATATCTATATAATAAGTAAAAAAAAAAAGAAAAAACTACTTGAGTTTGGAGTTTAGAGGAAATTTGTATCTTTATTGTCAATCTCATTTACAATATATACGATTTTAAATAAATAAATAAAAATTATCATTTCCTTTATATATATAGTTCCTTATATTTCGTTACCATCATTTTAATACTTGAAATTGAACTGGTTTAGACTAAGTAACCATAATTAAATACTCTGTCTCTAGACTTGGATGGAAGACTGAATACTAACGAAGGCTCAAAAACACTGAGTATACAGTAAATACAATCGTTCTTCGTACTCACAGCTTCACAGATTACATATATTCGATAATGACCTGAACAACAACGAATCTTTTGATCTTGAACACTATACAGAAAAAAAAAGGGGGGAAGGGGAGGGAGAAAAACGGATTTCTACATACAAATATTAGTAACCCTTGTAAAACAAAAAGAACAAGCAAGCTATAAAATTAGCAAAATCAAATAATCTCAAAAAATTAATATAGAAATATATGAATGATTGCTGCCATTTTATCAACTATACCCTCATAGAACTAAAATACTAGCTGCAGATAGCAGTGTATGAATGCGCAAAAAAAAAAAAAAAGATACTACGTACAAAAACGCAATCATAGTACAGTTTTGAAGCAAATTCCGGATATTTATTAACCAAGTCCTACAGTAGAAGTATAAGAGAGAAGACAAACTAGAAAAAAGACAAAAGGAAATCAAGGTCACTATTAGACAAGAAATTACACAATCTTTTATAAGCCTGAAACTTTTTTTTTTCTATATCTACAATCTTAATTGTAGATTTGATAAAGGGAATATATACAATAATTAAAGACTCAAACCCACAAAATCATTTAAAAGCTTATTATCAGTTGTCTCAAATGTACAAACAATTTGCTTTCAAGTCTTTCATGTCTTTTCCACTTAGAAAGTCGTGCAGTTCTTGCTATATGAGCATTGATACTATGATTTTAAATAACCTTATTTTACAAGACTTAATACGCAGGAAGGGTTTAAGAGAACTATTTAGAAAAAAAATATGAGCTTTTCATTTAATCGATTGACGAGTACAACACTTTGCCACTTTGTTCAAAATACAAAGATAGGAAACTAGAGAAATTAAAAATAATTCCTAATCTACGACCATTCAAGCAAGCTAAAAGACCCACCATAGTCAAGCGTTATGAACTTTTATGGTAAAGTCTAACTACCTTTGAAAATAAATATATTAATATCTATAAACTATTTCACCAGATCCACAAATCAAATTTGGTTAAAAACCCCTTTCCACTTTGGAATGGAGATCTGAGAGCAGTGCTTAATTTTCGTGATATTATAAAAATGGTCACAGACAAGTACTCGATCGCTCTACAAGATTTTTAAGGCCAACTTTGAAACCCTCATCCTCTAATGGCATTAGTCTCCCCCCCCTAATAAGAGTATCTGTTTTACGGTTATTGATTAAGGATAACTCTGCTTGAAGCAACAGGTATTGTTAAAGCAGGTAACTAATTTTAATGACAATATGATTGGGCGAATTCATCCAATAAAATTTTCCAGTCGTCCCAATTTTTTTTCTTTTTAAGTTAAAATACTGCCGAACAAGCCTGATGATGACGAATAAGCACAGCAGTAACTTAACATTTTTTTTTTTTTTTTTTTTTTTTTTTTTTAAAAAAGAGTTCTTTTTAAAGGAATATATTCGCATACATACATACATATACATATATATATACATATACAGTAAGAATATGGGGCTTATTTCACCGGCTTCAGATAGTCCAAAAAATAATGAAATGGATGAACTTTTAAAGAAAGCAAAAGAACTCATGGCTACAAAAGATAAAATCGAAGAGCAATTAAACGAATTAGAAGATGTACTAAATAGTGCAGGCATTGATATGAATGAGCCTTTAGTTGACACTTCAGGATTCCCTCGAGCAGAAATTGATGTATATAACGTTAGAAATACACGCAGTTTAATTCATCGTTTACGTAATGATCATCGTGCTACCATGTCAGATATTGAAAAGATTCTGCACAAAATTCATGAAGTTAAAAAAAAAGAGCAAGAATCTAGCACAGTAGAAAATAATATCAATGTTAATAATAATAATTCAGAAATTAATAAGGATGTAACTGAAAGATTAGTTGCTTTTGCAAAAGTCAATGCTGTAGCACCTGATTCTCCAGCATATACTGCTGGATTGCGTAGAAATGATCATATTTTGAAATTTGGCCATATTAATTCTAATAATCATGAACGACTTCAAGCTTTGAATGTATTGGTTAGTCAAAGCGAAAATCGACCAGTACCTTTAACTATTCTAAGAGATGGACAAAATCTTAATTTAGTTGTTACACCTAGATCAGGATGGGGTGGAAGAGGCACATTAGGATGTCATATTTTACCACTATAATTCACCATATTTGTAACATGTATCATTCTTATTTCGAATAAAAAACAAAATAAGAGTAATGTTTTTTTTTATAATCACTGGACATTTTTTTTTTTTGACTTTTCACTATAGGAAGTATACATTTGTAAATCAAAATATAATACACTTAGCTACTTCCTTATTAAGTCTTTTAGTATTAACAAATATAAATGACGAACGACACATGTATTATTCTTTTTTTTTTCTTTTTTTTTTTTTTAAGAAAAAGTCATGTTTCCCCCACTCAAAACATTACTAGAATTAGCTGTCAAATTTTACATAATGTGTTATACATTTATATGTGATAAAAATATTGACTAATGATAAAATAATCCAAAAGAAGAAAGTATACAAAAAAAAATTATTCCTTGTCACGTCGTTCGACCATCACTTTCATTCCATATCTCATTGGTAAAGTGAGTGAAACTTGATAAGTAATTTCTTGATCAGGCATTAAAGTAAACTTATATCTTTTAACCAAGAAAACAATAGCAATTAATGCCTCCAATGTAGCCAAATTTTGACCTAAATAAAGAATAGTAGTCAAAATTTCTTTCTTTCTTTTTCTTTTTTTTTTTTTTTTTTTTTTTTTTTTTTTTTTTTTCGTTATACCTAAACAAACACGAGGCCCAGCATGAAAAGCTGGCCATTGGCCTTGTGATTCTCGTCTAAGTTCACCTGTAGATGTAATCCAACGTTCTGGCCTAAATTGTTTAGCATCAGGGCCCCATACTTTTTCAGAACGACCTTGAACATAAGGACACCATAAAATATAATCGCCCTTCTTGATCTGTGTCCCATCTGGCCAGATATCATCATCTAGAGCATATTTTTGATTAAGTGGAACAGAAGGATAATGGCGTAAAACTTCATAAAAGACAGCATGAGCATAAGTCATGCTCTTCATCTTTTCATAAAGAGTGGATGAATCATGCAGATCGTCATCAGTAATGTATTTATTTATTTCATCCAACAGTTTTCTTTCCACCCGAGGATGACAGATAAGCATATAAAAAGTCCAAGAGAGAGCTTGTGCAGTTGTATCCCGACCTGCTATAACAAAGTTAAGAACAATATCGCGTAATTCATCATTATTAAGTGGGACTCCCTTATGATTTCGTGCATCCATAAACCTTGATAGGAGGTCTTTATGGACTTCACCCGCTTCAAGTTGAGCTCGACGTTTCTCTATCACTTTACGAGCAAAACTATCGACGACAGCTAGGTGATCGTTCATGTTTTCCTTCCAGGGCATCAAAAGACCAAGAATTCGTTCCGTCACTGGCCAAATAGGATTTACAAAACGTAAGAATGTGTTCTTCTGAGCCTCATCAAAGGCAGCTGCAAAAGGAACTTTCCCTTTAGATGAGAGTGCATTTAATTCGACGCCAAAGCCGAGCATAATAAAAGAATCCAAAGTAAATTTAAACATGACATCATGAAAATCTACTACAGTTAAATTATCAGCTGCTATATCCCAAATTTCATCTACCATCACACAAAGCTCTTTGATAAAAACACTAATAAATAGATGTATATCGATTTTTTTTTTATGAATAATCTATATACATATATACATGTATATATATGTATATACACATTTAGTGTGGAATACTGACTCAGTAAATTGATCTCTAAAATTTTTGACATTAAAAATAGCACTAGCCGTTTTACGTTGATATTTCCATTCATCACCATTAGCATTAAAGATGCCGTTACCAAAGAGATCCAACATACCATTATGAAATTCAGGACCTTTGATATAATTTTCGAAATTATCTAAAAAAAAAAAAAAAAAAAAAAAAAAAAAACAAAAAAAAAAAAAAAAAAAAAGAAGCAGATAAACGAATTAATATAATATACATATATATGTGTGTGTATTGCATATGATTACTTTTTAAAATATGTTCTACATTTCTTGGATCAATAGTACCTACATGTCTAGGAATACCTAAGGCAGATAACGTTCTATATCAACATTTAAGTAAGAAATAAAAATAATGATAAACAAGTCTATAATTACAATGTTAATTCATCAAGTCGTGTAAAACCTTCTAGAAGGAAATCATGAAAACGTACTAAATATTCCAATAAAACAGGTAGATTGCCTACAAGTGGCCAACCAGGCTGTGTTTTAATGTCTGCTCGTTTTTCATCAAAGATAGCTCGATCATGATAAATACATGCTAAAACTGAAATCGTAGCCACTGTACCAGCACCAAGATAGCGAGCTAAAGAAGTCATCCAATAATAATAAAAAAAGATAATTATTTTTTTTACAAAAAGAAAAATAATTATTGTTTTTTTTTAATTCTCTTTATTAGCCTTTTATATATCACTGGTAGTACATTACGTTAAATGCTGTGAGTGACATTTTCTTTTCCTCTTCTCCTCCCCACACAATTTTATTTGCCTTATCTTTTTTTTTCACATGTTATTTTAACTTGAAATAAGTTTATCACAAGATCACGTGAATAAAACATGAACTTTTAAATCATCTTTCTTTTAGTGTATGATTTGAAAGCGGCAAAAATCGAATGAATCTGCAGAAAAATATGTCTAAATAGTACATGCACTTATTATATAATGATAGAGACACCCTCATTTCATTGTGGTAGCTGTATAGAGCAAATTTTGATAGTCTATTATGACAAATGCAAAATTATTCTTATCTTTATTATGTGTCAGTCAATATAATAAGTATGAATATTTGAATATATATAAATATGTAAGCTTGTTGGTTAATGTCTACTTGTTCAAAACTCAAGTATAAGCCTAATATCTCCATTCGTTTTCATTTCCCAATTCAAAACGATCATTTCACCATCCAAGATATGCTCAGTTATAAAGGTATCTTCTATTAAAACGAATATATCTGATGTTAGTGGTTGCTTCTTTCGCCATAGCATTTCAGATATCTTTGATGGATGAATAAATAAAAGATGGGCTAGCTTTACTTTTAAATTTTCTGTTGTACATAAATCAAGAGACACTTCTCGTGGCACATGAGGGAAATCGCGAGTCCAAACATAAAACTGAAGTGCTGTTGTTGTGTCATATGTCACCACCACTTCTTTCGTTGTTCCCTTTAATTTTTGTTTTGGTGGTTGTGAAGGTTGATCTGAACTATTTCTTTTACGTTTACATGACTTGTTATTAAGAGGAATCAAATTATCTAAAGCAAGGGCCTTTGTATTATGCGGAGAGTCTATTTCGGTTAATTTACTAATAGGATTGTCTGGTTGATTCATTAACGACCATAGAGGATGTTCATTAGGTTCCACTTTTGACGTAGCTATTTATTTAAATTATACATATATTATGTAAGCAGCTAACAATAACAGCCATAGTTCTTAATATACACACTACCCATTATTTTTTCTAGCTGTTTCGTAATTTGCTTTTTATCATCCTTATTTTTTCGTTCTGCGCCCTACAAAAAAAAGTAAATTACGATCTACAAAAAAAAAAAAAAAAAAAAAAAAAACTCCTTTTCCTCTACTATATAATATATAAATGTATACCTTGTCTCGAAATAATTTAATTTTACAATAGCATATTTCTTTATATTCATAAGCAGTGTCTGTTAATTTATGAAATGTGCCTTTATAAGAAATTGAATCGTTTGGAAGCTCTGTGTAATGAGCACAAGTTTCAACTTCAACACGCATAGGAATTCCTTTCACACCTTTAATTCTAGAAAAATCAGTGGATAAGCAGTTAAAACGAATATATATTTTAGCACCAAAACGACCATTCCAATCAAATGATACTTTATCGAATGATATAAAGCGAACATTATATACACCTGTGCATTGATGGGCATCAATATGAATAGCTCTCGCCTCCATTGAATTTTCTTGTTGATTAACCCAATATTTCCAGTAACTGTCTGCAATGCGTCGATGACTCGATTCGTGAAAGGCAATTGAAATAGTGCTTGTTACTAATGTGTTATTATTCGTCTTTGTTGTTACAGAATCTAAATCGATCAAATAAGCTTGACCACGATTAAGATAAGTCGTTGGCTGTTCATCTAATTTCTTAGTTATAGCTGGGGTTGCTACATGCAATAAAAGAGTTAATTTACAATGTACTTTTTTTTTCCCGTAATTTATAATGTCCTTACCATGAAGAGCAACATTGAATTGAAAAGATCTAGAAAATAATAATAATAATAATAATAATGAAATATTTGTCAAAAAATCAAAGTTATTATTGACATCCTTGATCTATTTCTTCTCCCCACGCGCGCGCTCTCTTCATGAATATAATTTCTCTCCTTTCTCATTTATCTTTACTCCTCCCCTCCCCCTTCTCGCTTATTACTCCTTTTTTTTTTTCTTTTTTCACACTCCTCTTTTATACTCTTTTTTTCTCTCTTTTTAATTAAAAAAAAATATGTATTTATATTTACGTATTACTTGAGAATTCTTGATGCTTTACTTGTGCTTCACAAGATAGATTTATTCGTTGTCTCGGCTCATCTTTCATCATTAAAAAATTTTGATTAATTATGGTATGATTGTAAGCTAAAGGTGGAGAAAGGAACTGCTGGTAAACAACTACATCTTTTTCTTTCTCCGAGAAAGGAGGAAGTCTAGCATAGGCACTCTTGATACGGGGGTGATGAAATTTAGTGTTATCCAGTCTTGTTGTGGTAGAAGAAGGGGAGGAGTAATGAAGAGGAGGGTAAAGATCCATGGATAGTTGTTGGTAGTATTGTGACGAAGAAGAGGTGTTAGTAGGTAGTAAGGGAGGAGGAGAAGAAGAAGAAGAAGAAGCAATGGATAGTCTCTTATTGTTACGAAATAAAAGATCAAACGTATTTATTGATTTAGTATCTAATTGCAACTGATTATTTTTGGTAGCTTCTATGTCTAATAAAGACGCGTCAGTATTGTCAGTTGTTGCTGTAACCAATGACCAATGACTCGATGAAGGATATCCAAGCTTAGAAGAAGATGAAGCTTGCAAATGACGTTGATGGTTATAAATATCTGAAGTAAAAATAGGATGATGATCGTCGTGACGATGATAAAGATAAGAACCTTTGCTATTTTCAAGTGTCAAATCAGTGGATACTGCATAACATTGATTTTCGCCAATCATATTAAAGTTATCTTGTGGCTGTAAATAATTAATATAATTCTTTGATGTATAGCTTAATAAAGAATAAAAGAAAAGAAGAAAATAGAAAAGTAAATAAACAAACAAACATGTTTATTTAGTCAAGGAAAAAAAAAGAAGTTTATGTAGCACATGTAATCGAATGCTTATAATACATGTAAACAGGTTTTGTTATTATTATTATACCTTTTGTTACTTTCGAGTGAATGAAGTAAATCACTGTATGAATACATTATTATTAGAAAAAGGAAGAAATAGAAGTCAAGATATTCATTAACGAATAATAGTAAAAGAAGTAGCATTCTATAATTGAATCTGCAGGATTTAATAAAATGCTGAGCTATAACTTTTTCTCTTTTATAGGGACGTTTACTATGAACAAAGATTTACTTTTTTAGGTTGTACCAGCTTTTGTACTCTAAAGTATTTGTTTATATATGCAATTTTTTTTTATTGTTTTTTTTTTTTTTTTTTTTTTTTTTTTTTTTTTTTTGTAGAAGCATATCCATAAAAAGTGCAAGAACATACATTATAAAAGAATCAATTTTATATACATCAAAGGTGGCAATGATAGACATTGATAAAGTTATTTTTTTTTATTTAATGTAAGAAATTACTATTAAAGGTTAGTCTATAGAAAAGGAAAACAAATGAGACATGCGGTGATATGTTCATGTTATCTCCTTTCTTGTGTTATCTATGTTTAATGGGGCTTGAAGATTTTCTTCCCCTTAAATGACGGATAAAGAAATGGAGGTCGAGGGTATTCATTGAAGAATAGAACAGTTAAACGTGATTAACTACTTCCTCCTTATTATACAATAGAGCTATTTAAGCTATATCATCTATTAAGGTCAACTTTATAAGGAAGTATTTTAAAAATTAAGTAATACATCGAATGACATATTTTATGAATTATATTTTATATAACCTGATAATGTTGGATTGTGAAAAAAAAAAAGCATACATTAAAGTTAGAATATCATTTATTTACAATGGCGATAACGTTGAGCTACCAATACATTTTTTCATTTTATTTCTCTTTGGTTATTTATTGACGCCTGTCGAGTCCAGACTCTCTCCCTGTAAAACGTACACAGTCAATAAAGCATTCATTTTATTAGGATTTAATAAATGTAGTACGAGTTAATAAAAAAATGTCAATTATTTTTTTTTTAAAAAAAAAGATCTACTGAATATCATTTTTGATGATACTAGAATGTTCTTTCATATATACATATGTATTAATTGTATACATTTAAAAGAACACATTTATACTGTAAATTGAGGTCAAAACTCGTTGTATCTTTCTTCGTAAAAAAAAATTATTATATATTAAATCGTGATTGTTAACTGCTTCAGAAGATTTGGTATATGACACAATACAATTTATATTTATATTTTTGAGGAGTCATCATTCCGTACAAAAAAGGAGATGTATTCTTCTAATAATGTAATAGAAATGGTTTAACACATGTCCTTGTGTTGATGCACAGATGTATGGGTTTGTTTGAACAAGGAAAAGTGTATAAAGACAAAAAAAAAAAAATAGCTGCCATTTTGTAGTTCGCTACTTGGACTGATTTTGCATTCTACCAGACGTAATCTCCGTAAGACCTTGCTAAAACCATTCGCAACTGCCATTAGTTCTGCATATCTTTGCCCTGGCTGCACTGACGTTCGGCAATAGGTGCTGTGCTTTGACCAAGGCAGGTAGTAGTAGTATGTTCTAAAACCCCTGGACTTTTTGTGCTTGGGCGAATGGGATGGTGGTGACGTATTAGTCTAAATTCTGAACTATGACGTGCATTGTGATGTAGGTAAAGGTAAGTATAGTACAATCATTTGCTCATCCACTTTCTTCTGTATAATAGTGTAGCGAAGACAGCTGGAAAAAGAAAAGCCTTGTATATATCTGATACTCACTGTAACGTCGCAATTTTCTAATGTTGAACAGACAATATTTCTGGATATATAAAGAATTGAAACCAAGAACAACAAGCTGGTATGACACTATAATCTATCTTTGTTTTTGCTATTATTGTACTAGTATATAATATTATAGCATAACCTCAACTACCTTTTTATGAATAAAACCTTTTCTTACTTTTTGCTGTCATCCCAATCACTTGTTGATTCAATCTAGCGTTTACTGCCAACTTTACTTTTAATATAATGTAAAAAGGTATCCTACAATTATAGCACATATTAGTTTAGTATGTATCTGAGATATACCGTATGTCAGTTGTAGTAGTATACATCTGTAACATGTATCTGTATGATAAGCATATTGAAGCAAACATTTCGAAGTAGCAATCTTACTATTTTTATTCAAATATGGTATTCATCTATCTATGGCTACAATATAACACATCCATTTGTGTTATGTTGGTGCAGCATTTATAGAGTAATTAGAAATGAGCCTGACAAATTTAGTAATTTATTGAAGGATTTTATCATGTCTGCATTTATTGTAATATAATCAAAAAAATAAAATTGTACTGCATCCATAGTTATATATGTATAATTGACGTCCAATATACTTGAATAGGCAGGGCAAACCTGCTAAAACTACTGATATGAATGCTGACATCAGAAACGATACGATAAAAAAAAAATCAAAAAGTTGATCAAAGTATTTGTGAAAGATGGTTAATTTGTTTTCAGACATTTGGCCAAACTAACCCTCATACAAGTGCGTAATTTTTTTTTTTTAAACTTTTGAAATCTCTTCAATGATAAATACTTTTTCGAAGAATGGAATGGACAACCTTTTCAATGAGCATGGTGAAAGAGTTTATAATCCCATGAAAGGTGTCTTGACAGAAATGACAGACCCAAACATTGTACTTGAAGCAATAACTAGCTGGCTGAGCTGCAAGAGTTATTTGGCTAATAAACTTGCTGAAAAGAAATATTGTGGGTGAAAGAGGTTAAAGAAACAAATAAATAAATGAATGTAGATTACTATCAAGAAACCTCGTTTTGAAGTCGAAGCTAGGAACTCTGTTTTAAATCTGCAGACAAGATACGAGTGATTCATAGACTGGAAGGAAAAAAGATCTGGGCTATACAAATAACTGTGTGTTTATTGATAAAAGCTGGTTTCCATATAAATATGAGAAATAACTAGGCTAGATCACCAGCTGGAATTCACGCTGTTGTTAAAACTGCAGAAACAAGAGTAACCTCTCATTCGGTTATTGAAGCCATCCATTCGTCTGTAGTGCTTTATGTTGTTTTGAAAAAGCCTCCCCCCTTCCAAACCTGAAACAGACACACATACACTGACACTGACTGACACTGTTAGCCGAAAACGAAGAAAGAGAAGAGAAAGGGATGTAGCTGAGACTAATGACGATGAAGGAACTCAGGAGGATGACACCAGTGCAGTTGATGTAAAACCAACTCCAAAAGGTACAATAACTGCTCATTTTATTAAGTTTGTTAATGAGCTCCTTAATATTATGGATGAGGATGAATTTTTAAAGGACAGTTATTTAGTGATGGATAACGCTAGTATCCATAAGTCGAAACCAATAATTCGAAAAATCGAAGCTAGAGATTATAGAGTAATGTAACTTTCCCCTCCCCTCTCCCTTCTTTACACGCCTGAGCTAAATCCTATTGAACAGTTCTGGGCCTTAGTGAAAGGAAGAATGAAGTGTTATCGCTTGATGGTATTGATAATGCATATAATGACGTTTATTTTGGTGATCTTTATGGTGTTTGTCTTCATTCCAAAACGTCAAATTATAAATTGCTTTAAACAAACTCCATTCTAAGCCTTTCATTGAATAAATATCTACTCATTTTAACTACAACATCAACTGAACTCTTACGAGAGCCAAAACACTCTATGCTTCTATTAATTAAAGTATGGCTAAGCACTATGAATTAAACATAGCAGCATCTTTTCCTCCTCTTAATATGCTTTATTCATATTTGACTGACAGTTTCATTTTTCTGTGATTGACAATTGCTTTTTTTCTTTTTTGTAACCGACAATATCCACCAGCCGGACTATATATCTTATCTTTTTAATGATAAAGCCTTTTTTTTTTTATTTTTTAAGATTCCGTTTTTAAAATTACCTAATATGGATTTTATATTAAAAAAAAATCGCTCCCATTTGTATCTTGCGTTTTCTTTTTTTTTTTTTTTTTTTTCCTTTCTTTTCTGTTTCTTTCTGCACGTTTTTAATAACTCTATTAATGCGTTTAATACCAAGAGAAATAGACAAGCTTCTATTACATCAAGGTAAAAAAAGAAAAAAGCAAAAAGAGTTATAATAGAAAGAAGAAGAAGAAAAAAAAAATATGTAACACACACACACGAATATACATATATACATATTTATATATATCGATATTATAGTTGGTGTTCTTGCTCAAAAGAGATTAGCACGCGGTGTAAGATTAAATAGAACAGAAGCAACAGCGTTAATCGCGTCTCAATTATTAGAGTTTATGAGAGATGGATGTTATTCAGTAGCGCAGTTAATGGATATGGGGAAACAAATGCTAGGTAGAAGACATGTTATACCAGATGTCTTTCATAACTTACATGAAGTTCAAGTGGAGGGCACTTTCCCAGATGGTAGTTATTTGGTTACCGTTCATGATCCTATTTGTACAGAGAATGGCAATTTAGAAATGGCTCTTTATGGCTCATTTTTTCCTATTCCATCTAAAGATAAATTTCCTCCTATATCATCAGAAGAAGATTATATGGATAAGAAGAGGGCTCCTGGTGCCATCATCGTTAAGTCTGGAAAAATTGAATTAAATGCAGGTAGAAAACGATTATCGCTAGCTGTTACCAATTATGGTGATCGTCCAATCCAGGTATACAACTATATAAATAAAAATATATGTATATTTAATAAGTAAAATAACTCTCTTTCTTTCTATCATTTCCTTTCTATCATTTCCTTTCCCCTCTTCACCCTTCCTCTCTCTCCCCCTTTTTTTTTAGATTGGATCACATTTCCATTTTATTGAAGCAAATGCAGCTTTAAATTTCAATCGTGCTTTAGCTTATGGTATGCGACTTGATATTCCAGCAGGATCAGCAGTTCGTTTTGAACCAGGAGATTCTAAAACAGTAAATCTTGTAGAAATAGGAGGCAACAAAGTAATCACAGGCGGTAATGGTCTCGCAACAGGTCCTATTAATTTTAATCGTTTACCAGCTATCATTGATTCCCTAGTAGCTAAAGGATTTAAACATGATTCAACTGCACTTTCTCTACCACTATCAACCGCTATTCCAACTACATTAGATAGAGACTATTATGCTGATCACTTTGGACCTACTACAGGGGATCTCGTTCGTCTTGGGGATACAGAATTATGGGCAAGAGTGGAAAAGGATTATACAGTTTATGGCGATGAATGTAAATTTGGGGGTGGTAAAGTTTTACGAGAAGGCATGGGTCAAGCAACAGGAAGGTTGGATAAAGAAGTATTAGATTTAGTTATCACAAATGCTCTTATTATTGATTATACGGGCATTTATAAAGCAGATATTGGTATTAAGAATGGAATCATTGTTGGTATTGGTAAAGCAGGTAATCCAGATGTCATGGATGGTGTCACACCTGGCATGATCGTTGGTGCTGGTACAGAAGCATTAGCAGGTGAAGGTAAAATTTTTACTGCGGGCGCTATTGATTCTCATGTTCATTACATTTGTCCACAATTGTGTTACGAGGTAAAATATGTCCCTCCCTTTCTCTCTTCAATTAAATATACATACATACATACATACATGTATATATACATTATAACAATTTATATTAATATTGGCTAATTTTATTAGGCACTTTCTAGTGGTGTAACAACATTGATAGGCGGTGGTACTGGACCCAACACAGGTACAAATGCTACTACTTGTACTCCAGGTAATTTCCATATTGAGATGATGATGAAAGCGACCGATGACATTCCTATGAATTTTGGTTTCACGGGTAAAGGAAATTGTTCAAATAAGGAAGAATTAGTTGAACATATCAAAGCAGGCTGTCTTGGTTTAAAATTACATGAAGATTGGGGGACAACGCCCACTGCTATTGATACTTGTCTTCAAGTGTGTGATGAATTAGATGTACAGGTAAATAATATAGTATGCACAAATTTATTAAAAAAAAAACAATTATCACGGCTAACAATTACTTACTTTTCCCTCCTATCCCATTCCTTCTTTACACACACACATACACACACTTATATATTTATATATATATATAGGCTACTATTCATACGGATACTTTAAATGAGGCAGGGTTTGTTGAATCTACCATTTCTGCGTTTAAGGGAAGAACCATTCATACATATCATAGCGAGGGTGCAGGTGGTGGACATGCTCCAGATAGTAAGTTTATTAATTATTTTTATTTTATTTTTTTTTTAAAAAAAAAATGATGTTATATTTTATATATCTAAATCATCATTTTCAGTTATCACTGTATGTGGAGAACCTAATGTACTTCCATCGTCAACCAATCCAACACGTCCATTTACAGCCAACACCTTAGATGAACATGTTGACATGCTGATGGTTTGTCATCATTTATCTAAAAAAATTCCTGAAGACGTTGCATTTGCAGAAAGTAGAATTCGAGCTGAAACAATTGCAGCAGAGGATGTATTGCATGATATAGGTGCCATTAGTATGATCAGTTCAGATTCACAAGCCATGGGTAGAGCAGGGGAGGTTATATTACGTACTTGGAAAACAGCCAGTAAAATGAAGCAGCAGCGTGGTACCTTAAAAGAAGATAAAGATACAGAAGAAGGGGGTGATAATTTTAGAATCCGTCGTTATATTGCTAAATATACTATCAATGTGTAAGTGAAAAGATATTTACATAAACGTAAAAAAAAAAAAAAAAAAAAAAAAAAAAAAAAAAAAAAAAAAGTCAAATAAAATTCATTTTATATAGTGCTTTAGCGCATGGTATTGGGCATCTTGTAGGTTCTATTGAAGTTGGTAAAATAGCTGATTTGGTTTGTTTTACTCCAGCCTATTTTGGCTCGAAGCCTGAACTTATTTTGAAAGCGGGTGTTATTGTATGGAGTCAAATGGGTAAGGAGAGTAGTTTACTATTTATTATTATTTTATTTATTTTATTTATTTATTTTAGGTGATGCTAATGGTTCTATTCCAACTACAGAACCTGTTATTTCAAGACCTATGTACGGATCAAACCCATCTAGTTTATCCTCTTCTTGTTTTGTTTTTGTATCACAATTGTCCCTGGATGAAGGTGTAGTCCAAGGTTATAAGCTTCGCAAGCAATTAAAAGCAGTAAAGGGGTGTCGTACAGTAAGTAAAAAAGATATGCAATTAAATGATACTCTGCCAAAGATCACAGTGGATCCTGAGACTTATAAAGTTCAAGCTGATGGAGAAGAATGTGTATGTGATCCTGTATCCTCATTACCTCTTACTCAATCTGTATACCTATTTTAATTCTCCTTCACCTTTCTTCCTCAAATCATATTGTAGTTGAATTCAAATAAAATAAAATATTCTCAAAATTCATATAGTAGGGAAAGCTAAAAATAAAATAAAAATAAAAATAATATATAAATTTATTATAATAACGCATCTTGATACATTCTGCTGTTGCTGCTGCTGCTGCTGCTGTTGTTGTTGTTGTCCAGAAAAGATAGGCAGTTTGTCAATGAACAGGAAGAGGGAGGAGATATGAATTTCTTTTGATGAAGTCGCCATATATAAAGCAAATTACTAAGGACATATATTTATATGATCAAACTCTTATGATGTTTGAAACACTCATCACTAGTTGCACAATTCAGAATCAAAATATAAAAGAACAATCATTATCTGAACATTATTTCACGACAAGAGTAGATAGTAGTTCATTTATCTATAAATACTATTACTGTAGTATATCAGAAATTAAGCTTGGAAATAAAGTATGTATTAATAATAAAACAAAGAGATAGTTTTCAAACTAGGTTTTTTTTTTTTTTTTTTTTTTTTTTTTTTTTTTTTTTTGCTGTTAGGGATACATCAAATATAAACTATTACAAGTCTCTAGTTGTTGGAAACTTTTTTTTCCACCAAAAAAACACACACACATAAAAATACATTTACTAATATCCCTGGGTATAGGATATACTACTGTTACTCTTCTATATCAACTGAACTATAAATAGGTACTAGGTAATACCTCTTTATTTCCATTTTATCGTAAAGTAGTTTTTATCAGAAAACTTAGATAATGGCCTGATACTGTTCATGTGCTGTTGTAGGTATTAGTATCAATTGCACGTCCAAGCTCTCTCTCTCTCTTTTTGATACGCTTTATTACTATTAAATTAATAATAATAATAATTAGTGACAGATATTTGCATCTAAAATCGATAGTTGTATTTGCTTTGATTGTAGGCACTGTAATAGGTTTCCTTCTTTGATTAAGCTCTACTTCATTTCTGAATTAGTATGAAAGTCTGACTTTTTATCAAGGAAGATACAGTTTGTTACAATAAAGTCTAATTTAGTTTGCTGCCTCTTTTGGATCTGTTACTTGTACCTTTAACTGAATCTTTTCATAACATGGAATTACACCTGTTAAATGGATAGATTACAATGCTGAATTATTATGAAGATAAACAGTATTAACAAAAAAAAACATGAAGATATGAAACTTCTACCACTTTAGTTCAAACAGCAGAAAGATTCTTATCAATATAGTATAGTTTAAAACGAAGATATGCTTTTTCTTTTTCCTTGGGGGTTTTTTTTCCTTTCTCTCAAGAATGCTTTGAGAATCTTCGTTAGAATAGTTGAACCATTATCTGAAATGTAAAAGTATGAATCCCCACAATAGTAAAGGCACTTGAGCTTTTATTAAAGAAAAAAAAAACGGTTATCTCATTATTCGAGTAATATACATCTATAGCGTCTCTTGATGCATAACTTTATAAAAACAATTTCTTTCATCTCTAGTTGGATATATTGCAAGATAATAAAGTCTTTCCGGAGGTTTATTCTCTAAAAAATTGAGGAGTATGAAAGAACTTGTTGTTTCAATAGCAAACAGCTCCTCGTTATTAATAAGAATTATTATCGGGTTAACTCCGTGCTCTTCAACATATTCTTGTTCATCTTTATAAGAAAATACTTACTCATGTTAAATGCCTGTAAATATAAACTGTAGATATATATAACAATGATCTATTACTTCATTTACATGAAAAAACTAAAATAGCACACACATGTTCTACCAAAAAAGTAATAGGTAAAGATGAATAGAGTTCGTGGAATCCGAATTCACGCTTGGGCCTGGTGTCATTATTCTAGAACGGTATCCATTTTTTTTTAATTATAACTTTACTTTTTATACTAATAGTTGATTATTAGGAAGAATGCAAATACATGTTTATAAAGCTTAATGATCACGAGGGCTTTTTCCCAAAACTGTTAACATTTTAAATACCAGTCCTCTATTTTGTTTTAATTCAAAAAGTTTAAGAAGATCTTTTTTTTTTTTTTTTTTTTTTTTAATAACGCGCCAATAAAGGGATAATTGATAGTATTTCATTCACTACTTTTGTCTGTCAAAGACAGTTTTCTTTTCTTTCTTTCTTTTTTTGTTATTATCAGTAGCACTGGCACTGTCATTCTTATGTATATGATTGAATTAAAAAATACATAATATAGCATTGATAGAATGTAGTATTAACCATATGATATCTTATTTATCATGTTGTATCATTCGATAAACATAAATTATAAGTGGACAGGTTTATAATTTTTTTTTTTTCACATATGACTTTATATCGTGAATAGTCACAACCATTAAGTTTCAGTCCTCTGTTATTTTTCTAAAACACTTTACATTTAAACTCAGTACTGTATTTAAAGTTCTAATTTACAGTAGCAGTAACAGAAATAGCAGTGATAGTCATACAAGACGTAAATACTTTTTTTTTCTTTTTTTTTTCTGCTATTGTTATTCTATTCTTGTTGTACATGTATAAATCAAAAAAAAAAATAAAAAACTAAATTTATATGTATTTTGTTTTTAAAAAAAAATCAATAAGAACAACTAAATAATGTAAATATACACTTCAAATAATAGTAGTAACCCTCTTTCTAAATCCAGACTATATCCTCTAAGAACATCTGTTCTTTTTTTTTTTTAATATTTGATTTTATCTTTTGACCCCCACCCATCTTTTTGTTAATTACAAAAAAGAGTTTCAAATTATTATTACTGGGTCAATCCGTTTATTGTTTTCTCGCTTTCTTATTGGATGACAAATGATAATTCTCTTCTTTTTTTTAATCTGAGAAACAAAACTGAGTCGATCGGTTTTAATGCTAAAAAAGTGATCATCTGTATATTAATTTTTTTTTTTTTTTTTTTAAAAAAGGACTTTGAAATGTAAAAAAAAAAGACAGAATTAATATAAATAAGAGACAAGTTCCTGAAATAAATAAATGATGTAATAAAAGTTACTTCTTTTCATTTTTTTAAGTACACATCAACAAGATCACCACTATTAAAGGGAAAAAAAAAACCAAAAACCAAGCAGACCAAGCAAAGCAGATTAATATGACTTCACGATTTACAGAACATTTTGAATTTAATGAATCATTGGAAGACGGTTATCCAACCGTTCTTTGCTCACCTTTATCAACATCGTCTGAATGTTATTTTTCTTCTTCAACAGAGACATTGGGTTATCAAGTTGCATCATTGTCAGAAGAAGAATACAGTAATAACAATCATAATAATAGAAATAGCATCATGTTAGGCTATAATTCATCTAATTCTTCTGTATCTTTATCGTCTAAAAATCCTTCTTTAATGCATACACATTCAATTACATCAGCTATTTCAAACGATGAAACTGTCACGTCTACCTCTAAAATTCAAATTAAATCAAAATTGAAACGTTTATTGAATACTATTGGCAATCAATATGGACGCAAATCATCCAAATAATTTATTTAATCTTATTGCAATATCCCTTTCATTTATGAATATGTATATTATTATTATTCTTATTTATATTCAATTATACCCCACTTTCTATCATCCCTTCATACATACACACACACATATATACACCTTTTCCTGTTTATTGGTGGAAAAAAAAAAGAAATATTGTATATAATTTGCTATTAATAAATCACGCTATATGGCTTTTTTTTTTTCAATGATTGTGAAAGGAAATTTACTTCTTTTCTTTCCGGCCCACATCCTAAAAAAAGGAAAGGGCCCGTATTTTATTCTATTTTTAATGGTGTGCGCATATGGAGGTAGAACTTCTATTTTTTTTTTTTTTTTTTTTTTTTTTTTTGAATAAAGAAAAAAAAATAAAATAGAGTCAGCTTTAGATTACTGCATCTGTTGATTATTCATATACAAATTTATAGCATAAATGTTTATTTTTATTTTTCTAAAAATAATGAGTAATATATTACATAATTATTATTATTTTTTTTTCTAATTTTTTTCCATAATATCAAAGAAGTGAATGAGCCTCATTATTCTAGTCGCGTATCCTCTCCTTTTGTTGTTATGGACAAACCAAAAAAAAAAAACTCAGTAGTAGGAGCTTATAATTTTTTTTATACATTAAAAGATAGAATGATTTTTTTTTCATATTCAACAAATATTGGTGATAGGCTATTATGTTTTCATATCACGCGGCGATAAAGGCAATAAAGAGAAGTTTTGGTTCGTGATGTGCAGCGACGGTAATCATGCTTAGTAGAATTAAAAAAAGAACAAACAAAAAACGGTTTTAAATAAAGAAAAAGAGAGGCTAACAGTAATTTTTTTTTTTCAGTTTTTTTTTTAAAAAAAAAAGATGGCACTTTTGTTCTTGTTATATAAAAAATGTTTTACTGAATGCTTTTGAAGTCATAAATGAATCGATTCTTACAATAGAATTCTATTCTATAAAAATAAATAAATAAATAAATAAATAATTAAAGAAAATAAAGAGTCCATAATAATATACAAATCGATAATGATCTATTGATCTTCTTTCATAATAAAATGACACGTGTAATAAAAGTTTTTATTTCTTTTTTTAACAACAAAAACAGTTAAATATAAACACACAGTGCTCTTCTCTTTTATTATGGTAATAAGAGTATGCTTGTAAATACATTCTTATTTTACAATGCAACAATATTCCATTACTACTACTATCTAGAACAATATGTTCTTATAGAGTTTTTTTTTTTTTTTTTTTTTTTTTTTTTTTTTTTTTTTTTGCATATAGATAAAATAAACAAAACTTATTGGTAAAGTATACATTACTATTCTTGTATGGAAGAAGAATGTCTTCTTTTTTTTTTAGTTGTGCTGTTCTAAAATAATTATGCCTAATAATACAAAGACTCGTTTTTTTTTTTTTTTTTTTTTTGAACTGAGATAGTGAGTAACTTCACGTAGTAACTTCTTCTTTTAGCCAAGTTGTCCAAGTTACACAATTTTTTTCTTCTTCTTCTTCTTCAATTTATAAACATTATTCATTATTTACAATCAAATATAAGAATCATCGGCTAGTTCCAAATACTTCTCTTATGTTTAGAAATTTAAAAAAAAAATGGTAGAATGATGAATTGGTAGAATTTATGTTATAAAAGTTACATATTTTTATGTATACATATTTGTATATTTTTTTTCCTCTCTCTGGAGTAGTGGCTTTGAATATTAAAGTTTAAATTGTGACGTTGAACACATTGGAAAGTCCCAGAAAGTGCAAGAAGGTTTTCCTTAGGTTTTGATTGGTGGAAAAATTAAGAAAATGTTAACTATATTTTGAGGTTTTAGAAAAATGAATCTAAGAAAAATATTTTTAATACTATTGTTCTTTACTCACATTCCATCATGTCTGTTGTTGTAAGTATAAATTAGTTTTTTTTTTTTTTTAATTCTCCCATATATGTATATACATATACAGATTTTATTTTTTACTTTACCTGACTTATTTAACGTATTCTATTATTTATAACAGGGTATTGATCTTGGTAATCTTCAGGCTGTAATTGCCGTTGCTCGTAATCGTGGTATTGATGTTATCTGTAACGAAGTTTCTAACCGTGCCACTCCGTAAGTTTCATATTAAGAGTTAAAATGAATTCGATAAATAAAAATAAACAAATAAATAAACGAGATTATTCAACAGAATGTACTAATTAATTATTTTGCTTAATTATTGTAATCTAGTAACATCGTTTCTTTTGGTCCTAAGCAAAGATACCTTGGTGAAGCCGCTAAGACTCAAGAAATTAGTAACGCCAAGAATACTATTGTCAGTTTAAAGCGTCTTGCTGGTCGTACCTTTAATGATCCTGAAGTTCAAGAAATTGAAAAGAACTTTATTATGGCCGAACTTGCTGATGCTAACGGTCAAGCTGGTGTTAAGGTAAAGAATATCACTATTCAAATTTTATGTGTGTATGTGTGTGTGTGTGTGTGTGTACCCACCTAATATAGGAGTTGATAATATTAACATTGAATTTATTAAATTAGGTCAACTATCTTGGTGAAGAAACTGTTTTCTCTAACGTTCAACTCATTGCCATGTACCTCAACAAACTTAAGGATATTACCGCTGTTGAAATTAAGGGCCCCGTTTCTGATTGTGTTATCTCCGTTCCTGGTTGGTTCACTGAAGTTCAACGACGTGCTGTTCTTACTGCTGCCGAAATGGTCGGTTTGAACTGTTTGCGTTTAGTCAATGATTTGACTGCTGCTGCTCTTGGTTACGGTATCACCAAGACAGATCTCCCTGAAGAAAAGTCTAGAAATGTTGCCTTTGTCGATATCGGTCATTCTTCTTACTCTTGTCAAATCGTCTCCTTTATCAAGGGTCAATTGACTGTCCGTGGTGCCGCTTATGATGAACACTTTGGTGGTCGTGATTTCGATAATGTCATTGTTGAAAAGCTTGCTGAACAATTCAAGGAGAAATATAAGATTGATGTTTACACTAACAAGAAGGCCCTCTTGCGTCTTCGTGTTGCTGCTGAACGTTGCAAGAAGATCCTTTCTGCTAACCCTCAAGCCCCTGTTAACATTGAATCTATCATGGAAGATCGTGATGTCTCTACCTTGGTTAACCGTGAAGAATTTGAACAATGGGCCTCTCACTTATTTACTCGTACTGAAGCTACCTTGGCTAAGGCTCTCGAAAATGCTGGTTTGAAGACCGATGAAATTGACTACGTTGAAATGGTAGGTGGTTCTACTCGTATCCCTGCTATCAAGGCTACTATCTCCAAGTTCTTTGGTAAGGATATCTCTACTACTCTTAATCAAGATGAAGCCGTTGCTCGTGGTGCTGCTCTTCAATGTGCCATGTTGTCTCCCGTTTTCAAGGTTCGTGATTTCCGCGTTCACGATATCTGTTCTTACCCTATCAAGCTTACTTGGGATGCCACCCCTGAGGAAGAAGAGACTGAAATCGTTGCCTTTGATAATAACAACTCTATTCCTTCTACCAAGATCTTGACTTTCTACCGTCGTGAACCTTTCAATTTGCAAGCTGTTTATGCTAACCCTGAAGGTTTACCTCGTGGTATTAACCCTTGGATTGGTCAATACACTATCAAGGATGTTGAACCTCTTAACGGTGAACCTGCTCAAATCAAGGTCAAGGTTAGACTCAATATTCACGGTATCTTCTCTGTTGAATCTGCTTATACCGTCGAAGAAAAGATGGTAGATGAAGAGACCAAGAATAAGGATGGTGAAAAGGAAATCAAGAAGGTTAAGAAGCTTGTCAAGACCGGTGATCTCCCTATTGTCTCAGGTAATACTTCTCTTCCTAAGGATCTTATCAATCAATATACTGAAAAGGAAAGCCAAATGTATGCCAATGACAAGCTCATTGCTGCTACTGAAGCTGCCAAGAACTCTCTTGAAGAATATGGTTATGAGATGCGTGACAAGATTCTCGGTGTTTATTCTGAATATATTGATCCCAGTATTAAGGATAAATTTGCTGAAGATCTTAATGCTGTTGTTGACTGGATCTATGATGAAGGTTATGATGAAACCAAATCTGTCTATGTTGAAAAACTTGAAGCTCTCAAGAAGATTGGTAACCCTGTTGTTGAACGTTATCGTGAAGCTGAAGAACGTCCTCATGCTGAACGTGCTCTTCGTGAAACAATGGCACGTTTGACCAAGGAAGCCTTGAGTACAGATGAGAAATATGCTCATATTCCTGCTCATGAGAAACAAGATATTGTCGAACGTTGTGAACGTGCCGGCAGATGGATGGATGAACAAAATGCTAAGCAAGCAAAGATGGCTAAACATGAAACCCCTGTTTTGTTCAGCCGTGATATCAAGAAGGAAGAAGAAGCTATCATTTACTTTGCTAACCCTATCTTGAACAAGCCTAAGCCTGCTCCTAAGGTTGAAGAGCCTGCTTCTACTACTACTAATCCTCCCGCTGCTGATGCCGATACCCCTATGGACGACGCTCAGGAAGAAAAGAAGGAAGAAAAGAAGGAAGATATGGACATTGATTAAATTAACCGTTACTAGAATTAAAAAAAAAAAAAAAAGGGCCATATTTCAACTTCATCTTTTATATATATATATTTATATATATACGCATACATCTTTATATATATATTTTTTTTTCTTTTGGTTTATATAAATTTTACAAATATAATGTGTATTTCATACACAATATACTCTTTTTTTTTTTTAAAAAAAAAAAAGGAAAGTAAATGTTTCAATTTATGAATTTCCTTTTTGTTATAATAATAAAAATATAATTAGAAATTTTATTCCAAAACAGTAGTAAAAAAAAAAATCAATCAATCAAACAATTTATTTGGTATCTTCATTTGTTGTATCAACAGTAGTAGTTAAAGGCTGTTTCTCTTCATGTTCAACATATGCAGGAGGTTGTTGTTGTTGCTTTTTAATTGTATCCCACATGACGTCTTCTTGTTCTTCTTCTTCAACAAGAACAGCGTAAGAGTGGAAAGGTTTCAACAAATAACGAATACCTAAAATAAGACTTAAAAGGAGAGTGATAAATAAAGCACCCATTAAACATTGAGCGATTGTTGAAGCCTCATTATTCCACCAATCCTGTAAGTCTAACTCTTCACAACCAGGACAATCCAAGATACTTAATACTAAACAAATATTCAATTTAATAACCTATCAGTGAGTGTGTTTGTGTGTGTGGGGGGGGTGGAGGGAAAATATATACATATATATATATATATATCAAGCAGTTAAATAATTTACCATTATTCTTTGTATTTTCATCATCTTCTTCTGTAAGAGCAGGACCAGGCAACATAAAACCAGTCAAAGGATCAACAAACCATTTCATGAATGAACCATTATCAAAGATATCAAGAATTTGTTGACCTGCCTCTGTTTGAACTACCTTTAAACCATTGACCTCCGTAATTAACTCCTTCACATTTATTCTACGGAAAATCATACCATCATCCGTCTTCAATTCATCCAAGACTGTAGCCGTTACTTCGACAGTAACAAGGCCCAAGTCAAAACTATCAGCTAACAATGCAGCATCTTCATCAGATGAAATGATCAATTTTTCTGGATTCGATACCATTTGAGCCTCAACTTGAATACTTGATACCCCGATATCCACTGGTTTGCCGTTACACATTAACTATTATTATAATTATAATTAACATATATATATATCATTATGCTTATTCTATATACTTGGTTTTCAACAACGTCAAAGGTAACTTTGACAGCCATGACTCTTTCAGCCAAAAGAGATCCATCATCATCAATAAGATCATCTATTCTTGTCACTGTAACATAAAGATGTTCATCACCTTTTGAGTTATAAACAGTTTCAGTCAGATCGACCGAAGTAACTGAAACATCTTGAAGAGGAGCTGCGATTGTTAAAGTTGCAAATGCTTTAATAAACAAAAAAGAAAAAAAAAAGGATATGTATATGAGTAAATATGATATATGTATTGTTATTATTCGTTTGTTTGCTAAAAAAAAAAAAAAGAACAATGGTCTAACCTAATAAAACAGATGCTGTAAGTATTTTAGTTAAGCTAAATTTCATAAGTAATTTATTTATTTATTTATTTGTTTGTTTAAGAAAAAAAAAAAGGGAAAAGAAAAGAAAAAGAAATAAGAAAAGAAAATACAAATATTTGAATAATTATTATCATTTAAGGAGCAAATGACCTTTATCCAATTAAAAATCGATTCTAAAATAAAACCCCTCCTCCTTCTTCCTCCTCCTCCTCCTTCTCCTCCCTTCTCTTTCATCATCGTCATTTCTGTTTTGTTTATGAATGGGCTGAAACTTGTGATAGAAAAGTAGGCTAAGCGGTTTGTGTAATAAGTAAATTTGCATATTTTTTTTGTCGTTAACCAATAAAATAAGAGATTTTTTGAATAATAAAATGACAAGTCAGTAGTAGTTAGTATATCAAAAAAGTATTTTACTAATAAATGATAATATTCAATATATAATATACATATATAAATCATTACTTACTCCCTTTCTCTCTCTCTCTCTCTCTCTTTCGTTCTTTCACTTTCTCTCTTCCTTTTTTTTTAATAAGAATTTTAATAAATAAAGTCCTTACTATGTAATCATAAAAAGTATGTTCTGTAATAGTAAGTTTTTGTTTTTGTTTTGTTTTTTGTTTTTTGTTTTTTGTTTTTTTCGATATTTATAAGGTATCTTAAATTATATAATAAACACGAGGTTTATTGTAATTATATTTAATCTATTGTTATAAGATCATATCCAAAGTCTAAAACCATAATTCTTTTATCTTGACCAGCACTAAAAAAAAAAAAAAAAAAAAAAAAAAAAAAAAAAAAAAAATAGGCAGGTATAATTTAATATGATTTTGTATCTGCATAGAATGAAAATTATACCTAATAATTTTAGAACGGTTTAATAGACAATTAAATATCCAACTTGAATGTCCACTTTGAAAACTTAATTTACATTTATTTTCTTTTGTATCCCATACTCTTAATGTTTTATCGTAACTACCACTAACAACTGTATTCTATCATTTTTTTTTTTTTTTTTTTTTTTTTTGGTTAGTTAGTTGGTTGGTTAGTTAGTTACTTATTTAGTTTGCTTGCTTGTTTGTTATGTTCTTACTCTATTTAGATAAATAGAGTATACCATTTTATTTACCTCAAAACTGTCTATAGTACGTATCAAGTCTGAATGTCCTTCAAGTGTTGATACACATTGTCCAGAACGAACATCCCAAATCTTTAATTTATTATCTTGGCCACCACTATAAATAAATTGACCATCAAATTTGACACAAGCTAATCCTCTGGTATGTCCAACAAATGTTCTTAAACAAGCCCCTGTCTCTACATCCCATAATTTTAAGGTAGTATCCCCAGAGGCAGATACAACAAAGCCCTCATGGGATCCAAGGGCATTCACAGGTCCAGCGTGTCCTGTTAATCGTCTTAATTCAATCCCTTGTTGTTCCTTATCCCAAATACGTATGGTTGCATCCCTTGAAGAACTAACGATGTACTTGTCCTTGATGATAGCGATATCTAAAACGCCACCTAAATGTCCCTCAAGTCTCGTCTGAGGTTCAAAATTAGGTAAGGACCATATTAAACAGGTAGCATCAGAGGAACCAGAGACCATAAATGTCATATCACTTGAAACACGTAAACAAAGAACACTCCCCTCATGTTCAGTTTTAGTCAACACCAAACATGACTTCTCTTCTCCTCCTCCCTTTTTATTTTTCATTTCTCGGGGACGCTCCTGTATCGATAGATCCCATACTTTAATAGATCGATCTCGACTGCCACTGATAATTCGATTAGAGTCTAGCCAAACTAAACAATAGACACTATCTTCATGACCTATTAAATACCGAGTATGAACTTGACCATGTCTCCATCGAAGACTAAGTTGATGATGATTTTTATATAATTGAAAATAAGAGAGTTCCTTTAAGAAGATGGATGATACGAATGACTTATTGACTATAGTAGTATAATCTTGATGGAACAAAAACTGCCAAAGAAGGTGATGATCCCGATAACAAAATTGATAAAACTGCTTACACGTTTGTCCTAAATGAAGGATACTATAATAATCCAAGAACATAATTATCTTGATTGCCAATTCAGTTGGTAAACAGTGTAATGATCGTTTCTCCTTTTTCACTATAACATCTATTTTGTATATTATAAAGAAGGTAAGCAAAGTAATATATATATATATATATATATATATATACATTTAACTTACTTTGCTTTTGAGGTTTTGAATAATAATCATACATATGATTATCATCTCTTATTTCACCATGAACCATCATTTCATGCTGATGAATAGGATAATCATTCTCTTTCATATTAGCTTTATCATTGTTATCAAAGATACTATTTTTGCTCTGTTTTCGAGTGATTGATTTATGATGAAAACGGTTTACGAATGAGGTAAACATCAAACGTCTTTGCTTTGGAGGAGAAGCTGAAGATGGATGCTGTGTAGATGACGACGAGAATGAAGAACGACGTCTGCGATGACTAGAATCATTTCTCTGTTGTATTTGATAACTATTATGGGTAGGATTCAAACATTTTGTAGTAGGAGTACCGTCCTTACGCATAAAAATCTCAATACAAGTAGGGGTTGCTACCCTATCTGATGATTTAACAGAAGATGAAGGATTGTCATCGTCACTTGACTTGTGATTATTAATATTAGAAAATGATAGGTAAGAGAGTAACTTGGTTGCTGTAGGTGTTATCAAAGAAGGAGCCACTAGAGTCATCTTTATATAAAAATCTTATTCTTTCAATCTATTAAACAATAATGAAGAAAGAAAGAAAAAAAAAAGTTATTATAGAGGAAGAAAAGAAATTTTATATTCCTTCTATTTTATTTTATTTAAAAGAAAGAAAGAAAAGATAAAAGGGGGGGAGGGGAGATAACGAGAATGACTTTAACAAACATTCAAGCTTTTTTTTTATGTGTGTGTGTGTGTGTGTGTGTGTGTGTGTGCGTATTACTTTCACGATTTGTCTAGTAATTGTCAAAAATTTAAACATTCTCCATTTAAATATACGGTCAGAACAAAAATTATTTAAAAAAAAAAAAAAAAAAAAAAAAAAAAAAAAAAAAAAAAAAAAAACGTTAGCCATACTTTTTGATCTAATAAAGTTAATATGTATACATACACATATATATAAAAAGATCAGTCCAAATATGAAAACTAGTACAAGATTTATTTTTTATGTGAATTGTTCGCGATTTCCATAAATTAGTAAAGTGGCGATGACTATTTTAATCATGTAGATTACAATAACTATTCCTGGTTATTTAATAATAAGGTTGACTGCTCTTAAGAAGAATAAACAAACGAATATAACAAAAAATTTTAGTTTGAATAAAACAATATACAAAAGAAGACTGAGATCGGTATTAATACTAGACTATATCAAGGCATAAATGCCTCTTCTTCTTCATACTTAACAAAAGATAGAAATCAAAGAATTATAAGCTATTAAAATTTAACTTGATCTACTATTAATATTGCCCTTAGCATTTTCTATTTTAACTATGGATAATAATCCTTTTTTTTTTTTAACATTTCATGATATTTTTTTTTTCCAACACAGTAGAAAATATTATGTTTAGTCGTATTTTCTTTTTCTTTTACACACACGTCGTGGCAATCATTCTTTGTACATTTTGATATAATATTAACAAAGTATCTGTGTACTCTGCATCTAAAGCAGGTTTAGTTGTGAGTTTGTCTTGAACCAGTTCAAATTAATAACCCAACTTGTAAGTATCCAAATATAAAATCATTACTTAATAAACTTTTTTTTTTTTTTTTTTTTTTTTTTTCGTAACTTAAAGGGCAGTTTTGTATCCTCAGCAATAGAATTAAATGAAAATTTTGTTTTCCAACTTTCTATTTTATTTTATTTTATTTTTGAGGAACACGTAAAAAAAAAAGAAAACCTATTATGAGCGATAACGAAAGCTTCACTGATGAAAATCAACAAGAACTTATTCCTGCAATAGAAAAGTTACATGAAAAATGCGTATCTATATTAAATCATTGTAAAGATTGGAATGAAGTTAAGCCCATTGAAGGTTTACACAGGTATACAAATTCTCTTATTGCTGAAATGCATTTTATTGAAAAGTACGAAATGCATTTTTTTTTCTATTATATTACAAAGACTAAATAAATATATGTGTATATAAGCTTTTAGAAAAACCTTCACTTATAAAAAAAGAGCATGTCCAAAGTTCAAATCTGAGCTACCTAGAGGCTGTATATGAAGCTTTGGAGGGCGTTGGAGAAAGACGAAATGAGGTTATGCGTCTTGTAAGTGTTCCCACAAATGACAATGTATGGATGTCACGAGCAGCCATGATTCGAAATCATAGTGTAAAAGTGGACATCGTTTCAGAAAATGGATTAGTGTGGGTGAAAGTAATTGCACGAAATGCTAAAGCTTTTAGACATGAAATTATGGGTTTAGAATGGGATGGCGATTCTTCCTCAGAAGAGGAAGACGAGGACCTAAAGTCCTCATCAGAAGGAGATTTTGATAGTTTACCTATTTTTAAAAAAGCACGTGATTACTTAAAAGCGGCACAAGCTCATTCTGTCCAATTTCGTACACCTGTTGTAGTATTTGCCTTCATGCGTATTCGTCCCGAAGAAGATATTTTTGTACAGAGAATTATGGATGAACTAAAGAAGATAGGCATTCTTGTTCATTTACAACAACCAAATGATAGTATTCGATCCACTTATATGCCGTTACTAAAAGATATTCATGATTTAGACCACTTTACAACGCCTTCAATTAATATGGATGTTAGCTCTATGTTAGCTATTATGTCTGAGTTATCACATCATGTCTGTTTACCTCATGAAGTATCTGCTCTTCCCCTTCAAATTCAGGCTCAACGTGAGGCACAGGTACAGGTTTTACCCCAAATTTTACCTTATGTCATAGGAAAAAAATTATTCATTATTCAAAGTGCATATGATCGTCTTAAGGATATTGTTGATGTCGTAGGTGGGCCTAGGGAAATTTCTCGGTTTCAGTATTTATTTAGACATCATCTTGGTTTACAAGAGAGTATTCAGTTTGATCCTGAACTTTGGACAATTTTACCTCCTTTATCAGTAGAGATAATAGAAGATGCTTCCTCAGAACGTTTTAGAAAACTTTTAGATCTACCTCAACAGCAGAGGTCCAAATTAAATAATGGAAGAAAGATTCGAACGCGATTTTCCGAGTTTCATGCACAGATATTTGGAAGTGGAGATCATTATAAGATGACAACTATGACTTCTATTCAATGGATGGAAACAGCATTAGAGGAAGCAGGTATATTAGGTTCTCTTTTAGTTTCTCATGAGCCAAGGTCTTTGGCTGAGAAAAAAATGCGACCTAAGAATGGTATTAATTGTTAATAAACAAAATCTTTTTTTTTTTCTTTTATCACTGTTGTATCACAACTAACTTGTAAAGGATACACATAAATAAAGATAACGATAATGATAATAATAATGATAATAATATTAATAATGAATATTGTATTATATATGCATCTTATTTATCCCAATGATTTTGTTTTAAAATATAAACTATTATTGATAAGCTAAATAGAATTATAAACAATTTCACTATTTGAGATAGTATATAATAAGGCTATTAAATATGTGTTCTATATTAATGTCAAAAGAGAGTTATTATGTCTCTAGTAAAGAACTATATGAAGAAAAGGTATGGATGGTTTATATAAGGTATGAATAATATATTAGAATACATACAGTTTATTTATTCCAATAGTTACTATTATCCTTTGATTGAAAATAATTCTCATTGATATTGATTCTTTGAAAGCAATCATCTTTATCATGACTTAATTTACCAAAAGTTTTATTCATAATTATATCAAACTTTTTCCATTGAGAAGGATGTACTCCATTTCTAGGGCAGGCAGACTATATAACTTTAGTTAATTATAATTGCATAGAAATAGATATAAATATATACTGAATGCCCAGGTAGCCAATTGCCACATAATTCACAAGTAGCAGGTAAAGTAATGATAAAATTAGAATTCATGTTTTAATATAGATTATGGAGAGAAGAGAAGAAAAATAGAATTAAATGTAAAAGTCTCCTTTTATGTAGCCAACAAAAAAAAAAAAAGAAAAAAAAAAAAGAAATGCATATTGTATTAACTTGACTCATGTGGTCTTAATTATTGTCATACTTTTTTATAATATCATTGATGCTGTTTTATCTAAAGGAAAATGAAAAAGAAACTACTGTAATCATCATTTGATTTCGTTCCCATGTCTTTTCTTTAACTTTACACAAAATAGTTTATTTTCTTATTTACATAGAAGATATGTCATTTATACTCTTCATTTAATCAACTTGAAATCACTTGATATATAATATTAGGATGAATAAGGTCTGATCTATGATAAAGGGACCTTGAGTTGATAATAATGCATGCAAGATTAGTAGTCTTACATGCAAATGTAGAAATAATTTAAAATGGGCGGATCTTGACTTGGTTTTTGTAAATTAAATTAAAAAAAAAATAAAAAAGACAACCTATATTAATGCAATAAGGAGCTTCATCCTATATAAAGTCTATCTACAATCATTATTTAGCTTCCAACTCTAATTCCTATGCATGTATTTTATAATATCAGAAAACTGAAAGAAAACTAAGATAAAAAGCTATAGTTGTTTTGTTTGGTTTTATACAAAAATAGTTAAGGACAAAATGCGATTAGATTGTATTGCAGGAAATAAACCTTTTTCATTCAGAAATCCTCACAACTTCAAGTTTGAGTGATTTTTTTTTTTTTTTTTTTTTTTTTTTAAAAAAAAAAGAAATCAACAATATAAACTAAGAATAAAATATCAAGTATATAATTAGCTAAGTGATATTATACTTCTGCTATCCTACTAGCTTTTACAATAACAAAGGGTTTGACATGTATCAAAATAGTCAAGTCACTCATATCTAAATCTATTATCCAGACATACAACTTCTACTAATTATATACAATTCTCTCTAAATAATATGAAGATCCATTGTTGCTAGTTTAGCCATTTATATAACCATTGAAGTTGCCAAAGTATTTTTTATTAATATTATTTAATCTGCTTCTATTCATTTAATATTCTTGTCCGTATTAACTGTCCAAATTATCATTTTAGTGATATTATGCTCCTTTATCAAATAACTTCACTAGGTCTATTTTTAAGTTCATTTATTCTTTTTTTTTTTCCCTCAAAGATAAAAGCTTGTCCTAGTAGAGAATCTATTCTAACTCTGACCATACTACGCTAATGACCTTATCATTCTGGTTGTCTATGACGAAGTTTGAAAGAAGAAGAAGAAGAAAAAAATCAGCTATACTAATAATTACGATAAGTACCTTTGGATAAACCCTAATTTTGTCATTATCTCCTCTTCAATCGTCTTTTTCTTTATCATAAATGTGTTTCACTCTTTGCTTGTATATACATGAGAAGCTTCATACACCCTTCCACTTTTAAAGTGCTATCTTCTTTGCTTAATAGACCATCTATCCTAAAAAGTCTTAATCATCCGCGCTGATATTTTACCAATGTTTACTCATTATTTCTTTATTTGTAGTCTACTGTATGAAATACACCCAATAATGGGATTCCTTCTCCACCTTGGATACCAATTATTAAATTAGTTATCTTAGCACACTTTCTTTTAGTACCACTTACTTTAATATTAACTCTATGTATGTCTATAACATATATTTATTTAATTTCCTATTTCTCTGTTGCTTTTATGTGTATGTCTTGAAAAGAGTTTTTTTTCTTCTTCTTCTTCTTTTGTTCTCTCTTTCTCCTTTCTTTCTTTTTAATCTGATTAGAACAATTCAATGTATGTTTAATATACCAGTATTTGCTAAATTACCAGTCATTTAAAATTTTATCGTATCATTACAGTCTCACAAAAAAAAAATACACATTTGTTCTCACACAATGTATGTGCATGTGACTTTTACTCCCCCTCTCCTCATATATAAGGAAAAAAAAAAGAAGACAAAAAATACTATAGCACTTTTTATGTTTTAAAGACTTATTTCTCACGTGAATACAATTTAAAGTGATTCATAAAAAACAAAAAAAAACAAAAAAGGCATTATTATTATTTTCATTAGGATCACCTAGTTAAAGAACCAGCTATATCATTAAAAAAAAATGACTATGATATATATGTTTATCATACCACGTGTGCTTATGTACATACTGTTACTTCAGAGGAAATATAATTGTAGGATGATTCTTATATTATCATGAAAGGCTGTGTATACAACTATTAGACAAGAAAAAAAAAAGATCAACCTATTTTTTTTTTAAAAAAAAACACGAGTTACATTTGATAATTATAAAGATATTCGAATTCTGCATTGCTTATTATGAACACACATGTTAGTAGATCAAGATAGAAATGTGTTACATAATAGAAGGGTATATATAACAATAGTAAAGAGAATAAAAAAAAGTTCTTCCTTTTTTTTTTCTTTTAAAAAAACAAAACAAAACAAAAATAAACGAAAAGTTATAAAATGAAAAATTATACAATTGAAGTTGGCCCTGAACAGCCTAATGGTGGAAGAATTAGAAGAAATATTTCAGCAGCTGATGGTATCCTTCGTGTTCCTACAGTTGATGTTCATACGCTTTATGATGTGTTTCAGTATGGTGTAAAGAAATATCCTAATAACAATGTGTTTGGCTACCGTACATTAGAGACAATGGTAGAAGAAGAGAAAGAAATAACAAAAGTAATAGATGGTGTTGAAACCAAAATAATGAAAAAATGGAATTATTTTCAATTATCCGGATATCAATATGTAACATTTTCTGAAGCAAATGAAATGGTTTATAATATTGGCGCAGGATTTTGTTTCCTTGGTTTACAAGAAAAATCAAAAGTCGAGATATTTGCACCTACAAAGTACAGTATATATATATATATATATATGGATAGATAGATATAGACTACCTATTGGCTAAGTTACTCATATCTTTGAATTTATATTTAGTATGTATTGGCTTTTGACAGCTCATGGACTATTTTCACAAAATATGACAATTGTTACAGCCTATGACACATTAGGCGTGGAAGGTTTATTGCATTCTATGAATGAAACTGAAGTTGAAGCTATTTTTACTTCTGCAGAACTATTAACAACGGTTCTGAAGGTAGTCGGTCAATGTCCTTCACTTCAAATGGTTGTTTATAATGGCGATGCAAAACCTGAACATTTAGATAAATTTACTCAATATAATATAAAAGTCCTATCTATACAAGAGGTTATGGAACTTGGAAAGCAACATCCTGTTGAACCTCGTGAGCCTGAGCCTGAAGACTTGTGTTGTATCATGTATACCTCAGGAAGTACTGGTAATCCTAAAGGTGTCATACTTTCACACAAAAATATTGTAGCAGCAGGTAATTTAATGAATATATATATATATAAAGAAAGAGGGAGGGAGGGAGAGAAGGTGAAAGAGAATGTAGAAGATGAATATAATACTAAACTGTTATCCTAGTTGCTTCTGCAAATGGATTATTGGGAAAATATATTAGTTATAAAAATGACACAATGATGGCCTATCTACCACTAGCTCATGTCTTTGAATTTGTTGTTGAAAATACATGTCTCTTTTGGGGTGTCACTTTAGGTTATGCATCTGTTCGAACTTTAACAGATGCGTCAGTTAGAAACTGTAAAGGTGATATAAAAGAATTCGCTCCTACGTTTATGATTGGTGTTCCTGCTATATGGGAATCAATTCGTAAAGGGATCTTGTCAAAACTTCAAACTTCTTCTCCTAATGCTCAAGCACTTTTTACGAAAGCCTTTAATACTAAATGTTGGTTTCTTGAACGAGGTTTATCGACTCCTCTATTAGATCGACTTGTATTTAGTAAGATTAGGGAGCAATTAGGTGGAAGATTAAAGTTAGCCATCTCAGGTGGTGCTCCCTTATCATTAGAAACACAAAAATTCTTGACTGTCACAGTATGTCCTATTCTTGGAGGATTTGGCATGTAAGTATTATTAAACTTATATACATATATATAATTGATCTAATATATTACTCTTTATCAAATAGGACAGAAAGTATATATATATATATATATATATATATATAATATATAGGTGCATATATTATAACTATTTTAATACTAATGTTCATACTTTTTTTTTTTTTTTGTATATCATAATTAGGTTGCAGTGTTTGTTCTGTTATGACGCCTGAACAATATGGCTATGGTCATGTTGGAGCTCCTGGCTCAAGTTGTGAAATTAAACTTGTAGATGTTCCTGAAGCCAACTATTTCTCAACTAATGAAAAGCCTCAAGGTGAAGTTTGGATTCGTGGCCCTTCAGTCACAAAAGGTTATTGGAAGCGTGAAGACCTTACTCGTGAGACAATATCTGATGGAGGATGGCTTCAAACAGGTGATATTGCTGAATGGAATGAAAATGGCACTTTAACCATCATTGATCGTAAGAAAAATTTGGTCAAGCTAAGTAATGGTGAATACATAGCCCTTGAACGGTTAGAATCTATTTACAAGAGTTGTATCTATGTCAACAATATTTGTATATATGCCGATTCGCTTCTACCTCGTCCAGTAGCTCTTATTGTGCCTAACGAAAAAGAAATCAAATATCTCGCAGGATTAAAGAATATACAAGAAGAAGATTGGGATTTGTTATGTCAGAATTCCATTATAAAACAAGTAGTGCATAAAGCGGTAAATGAACAAGCAAAGATAGCTAATCTTAAACCTGCAGAAATACTTTTCGATATTTATTTGTGTGCAGAAGAATGGACAACTGAAAATGTAAAGTCAACTTTTACTGTTATTTCTATTACTAATACTAATACGATAAATTTAATTTTTAGGGTATGTTAACAGCAGCACAAAAAATGAAAAGAAAGGAGGTTACTGAGCAATATAAAACAGCTCTAAATGAAATGTAAATATAATAATACACACATACTCTTTAAAAATATAAAATTTAATGTATTTTTTTTTTAAAAAAAAATCATAGGAATAAACTTCAGTCTGTTTAAAATTAGTTACTATTACGATAAAGGTTATTTTGTATAAATATAGCATTTTTCTTTTTCTTTTTTTTTTCTAATTAATAAAATGTAAGGACGTATTGTAAAATAATAAAACATTTCAATTAAATCAATAAAGTTTATTGTATATTATTTGTATAAGAATTAGTAAGAAAAGGATATAATTTTTTCAGAGATAATGAAGAACTTCTCCATTTACGGTATTTTTAGATAGCAAAATTAAAAATCTATTAGTTTTTAGACATGCTTCTCTGTACAAATTTAGACTTATGAGTTTTTAAAATGACGGTGTCCCTAATTTCTCCTAAACAATATTTGTTAGTATTGAGAGAATACCAACTCCAAAGCTCTATCAGGCTGTAGGTTTTATCTCATATTAATTCTATCCTTTCGCTATCTATGTACCATATTAACAGAAGTCGTGCTCTCGACTGGTGACTTGTCTATTTATCTGGTAGCAAACCTAAAAATTGTTTCTTTTATCCATCCCACTCTTCTTACTCGAAATCATGTTATTAAGCATTTATATATACATGTTCGTTTTTACTAGCCCAGTACTGTTGACGACTCTTTATCCTTTCTTCTTGATATGCTTTCATATTGTAAACCTAAAAATCTTTAACAAATGTCTGCATAATTCCATTATTGGCCTATTATTTATGCCATTCTTCAAAAAGATAAATCATTTGGTAAATTATAAAGTCTTTCCTACTTCATATGAACCAGAACAATAGTTATATGATTAGTCATTGACTCAATAATATATTGAAATCATTTTTCTTAAAAAGGTCTTCCGATATAGTTTTCAATGTTGTGAACTAATTAGGACAATTAAATATATTATGTAATTGCAGCAATTATTAAAATCAATATTGAGAAGTATTGTTATCTTTTTTTTTTTTTTTTTTTTTTTTGTTATCAAAGATTACCATAAACATATATAGAATTACCCTATTTATTTTATCTTAAAAACCAAAATACGTATTTTTTTTATGAATCTGAAACCTGGCAATGTTTATTTTGTTAAACTGAAAGAAAAACTACCTGAGTTTATTCTATGAAAAAAAAAAAAAAAACTGAAATTAGGCCGGAGATTTGACCATCATACAAAAAAAAAAAAAAAAAAAAAAAAAAAAAATTAAAATGGATTTTATTGATTCGTTCAGCTATGTTAAGGAAAAGAATAATAGACGATATAGATTAATACAAAAAGAATTAATTTTGATAATAAGTCGTAACTTATTGAACCTTCTTTAAAAAAAGTTTAGAAACAAAGTAAATTCTTATTTGCAATATAGAAGAAAAATATGTATATTTATAAATATTTATTTAACGATATATAAGTTACAAATGATATAAAATTATTTATGTACAATTATATATAAAAATAAAATCATCTAGTTAAAAAAAAATGAAAAGGTGTAGATGGGATATATGGTATAAAAAAAAACAGGATCAAAAGTTAACTTGTAAAATCTGAAACAAGAGCCTTAATAGCATCAATGGTACCAAATATACAACCAACAATGCCCATGAAGATAGTAAGAGCGCAGAAGGCAAGCTCATAAATTGGCTTGTTACGAAAACCAGTTAATTTAAGATAACATAAGACGGGCAAAAGGAAAACAAGCCCACAGTTAGAAAGAGCACCAATAAGACTCATGAAATCACCAAAATAAGGAATAAAAATGGCAAGAATAACAAGAACGGCCATAGTACAGGTACGAATAATAGCTCTAATAAGCCATGCTTTCAATTTACCAAGTCTTTCATCTGTAATGTTAGTCCATTTTTCAAACTCAAGTGAGAAAGATGTAGTATATATAGGAATGGCAAGGATAACGTGAATAGTCATGACAATGATAGCAATAATTTTTCCTTTTCTTTGATCATTTAAATTGTTATAAATAGGACTTAATGTTTCGCGACCAAATGCCCAATAACCAGGGACAGCGGTCAAGAGATAAAGAATAGTACAAGTACCTAAACCGAAAATAACACACCATTTCCATTGATTTGGCTTCTTAAGAGCATGCTCAACATGAGGATAAGTGTTAATACCACCATAAGAAAAGGCGATAGTGGAAAGAGCAGAAGGAAAACCAGTCCAGATAACAGAATCAGTAACAGTATGAATATTAGGGTTACTGTTATGATCAAGAGGTGATTGGATAGCAACAATAAAGACAGCTATCATTGTACAAAGAGCGCCTACAGCGGAAAGAACAGAGACTTCCCTCAACGTTTTAGTGATTAAAGAAGGGATCAAAAGAACAGCACCAATGATACAACACCAACTCTTAAAATCCAGAGCAGCTTGAGTATAACGGAGTAAATAGTTCATATTACTGCTAGCAAGCACTAAATAAAGAGCAGGACAACCGAAAAGATTAAGCCAATGGAGAAAAGAGGCAACACCATAACCTAACCAGCCAAAGGCAGCAGTACCCACAGACTTATAATCATGAAGACGTTGACCTGGTTTATAATACAAACAGCGGATTAAAATAATACCACTGTAAATAGCCATCAGGTAGGATAAAAGCAAGATAAAAATACCAATCCAGCCACCTAAAGCAAAGGCATGAGGTAGCCCTAAGGTACCAGTACCTGCAACAATACAAGTAACATTGAAATAGCCTGTCCAGAAATTTCCATTACCGTGCCCAAACTCATTTGTCATAGATTCGGCATCCTCTTCAATGACAGACTCTTCATATTTAATACTTTCTTTGTAGCTTTGAGAAGGTGAAGGTGGGCTAGGGTATTTTTCAGTGGCTTCTTGAATTTGCATGTAATATAGCTAACTGAATAGTACTTATTTGTGTTGATTTTAGAGTTGAACTAATTAAAGTTTAATAATACGAAAGAAAATTAAAGAAATTGATCCAGTTCTTTGACAAACAAAAAAAAAAAATTCCCTTTATATATTTGTAATTTTTTTTTCCAAAAAAAAAAAAAATGAAACTAAATCAGGGTAAATGCTAGTTAGAATATCAACTCTTTTTATTTCGCCGCTTTATATTCTTCTAAGGATTTGATGCGGAGACAAATTACAGGTTCATAGAAGATAAAAAAAAAAGGAATAATTTCTATAAGCAAAACACCAAACCAACTAAAATTTAGTTTTGATGCAGATCAAAGAAGTTTGTAGAAAACTAACATATTCTTATTTTACAAACCATAAATAAAATTATATTTTTCATTGTAAATAACATAATTTGTAACCTAAATGCGTTTTAATATAATTTGTCATACAGTATTTGGTTATACAGCCTACCAATATATTTTCGACTTTAACACTACCAGGTATTATTCATAGAAATAACTATAAAAAATTGCTGAATTTTATGGGAACTGTCTTTGAAATCGGCTTTTAAAAAATAGAACAAAAGAAATCAAAGAAAATATGTGTCAATTTTTGTCCCTCAATCTTTTCAGTGAATAAACTGTAAACGGTATATGTCAAAAAATTATCTATTTAATCATTTACTTATTTTATAGTGATTTACAATGATTATAGAACTGATCTATTTAAGATAATAAATCAAGCTATATTGTAGGATAAAGTTGAAATTCAAATCTTCTTGTTCCTTTTCATAATAAAATATGAAACATGCCCTATTGTAAGGTTTTTGTTCCCGATTTTAGTTTTAAAAAAAATTTTTTTCCCCACAAAATAGCAATAATGATGTTGATCCATACCTTAAATTAAAATATTATAGATAAATTCCTTTCATTTAAATGGAGCAAAAAGAAAAACCCATATATCCTATGATAACGCGTTTTTTCTTTATAAAACATAGATCAATTATACTAAAAAGTTTTTATTTTCTTTAAGAAATGAAAGTGCTTTTTTTTTTATAAAAAAAACGCTATAAAGAAAAAAATCAATATGAAATAATAAATAATTAAGCTTATAGGAAGAAGAAGGGAATAAAATATTCTTTAGGATGTATATCGAAAAAAAAAGAGAATACAACAAGATAAAACAATGTGGATATGAGCATCAGAAAATAGATAAATACTCCGGTATTTTATTGTTGTAATTTGTTATACAAAGTTATTTTCGATTTACCACTAAAAAAATTAAAATAAACCGTGTATAGATTTGGGAGATAGTGATATATACGAAGTGAAGAAAAAAATGCTTTTTTTTTTTTACCAAATAAAAGGTTAATCACTTAACTCTATGACGTGCTGTTGACGATAATATTGTTGCTAGTAAAAACATCTCCTCAAATATAGACAGGTCATACTTGTGTTGAAATGAAGAATGTTATAGCAAATCTATTCCAAAATATACCATGAAGTATCACAGATAAATATCCTATAATAAATAAAAATATCATATCTAGCTTTTGAGTTTATTAATCTTTATGACTGACAGGAGCAATGGACCTATATATTATCGGATAACTAAGAATATATAATTATATTTTACACCAACTTACTTTTATTTATTGTCCTAAATTTGTTGAGATCTCAAAACCATAACTTTTCCATATTTCTCTTTAGTTTATATAATGCGTTCTAGGACTTTGTGTCTATAATATTCAAGTGGTTTCTATATACATATTCTTATGTACATATGAAAAAAAAAATACAGCATTGATAAATATTAAAGCTATTTACGTATATAATATGTTGTTTAAGTGATATATCTAAACCAACTTGTCAATATGCTATACTCTGCTTTTCTTTTCTATTTAACACACTGTTTTTTCTATATTTTTTGCGTTTATTGTTTTCTATATCTTTATTTAGGAAAATATTTAGTTATTGCTTTTTAGCTCTCATAACTATTTTTTTGTAACTGAATTTAACAGCTCAATTAGTATGAAAAAATGTTGGACTAGTCCAGTGAAGGATATATGGAAAGAGGTGATACAGCTTTTAGCTTTTAAGATTAGGAGTATGAGTTTTATTCCATTTTTGTGTCTCTTCAAACTCTACAAGTGTAACCATCTGTCCTTTTAACTGAGGTAAATTCTTTAAGGCTTTGATGTATTTAACATATACGATGATAATATAAATTGACATAACTTAATATACACTTATCAATCAACATACTGTCAGCTCATAATATCTATTTAATTTTGACACATTTAATGTCTCAGGGCAACTATATAGCTGTTGTTGCCTACATTTTTTGTTTTTGAAATGTCTCATATTTATTACTTCATTTTGTATATCTGTGTGATTGTAGCGGCGAAAAGATCATATCTTTACTTTGTCCAATTGGTTCCTTTTATTATAGCTCCATTATTTTCGGACAATAAAATACTGTACGCTTATGCTGTCCCTTCCCCGACCCCTCTTCATGTTAAGGGTTTTTGTTGAAGGTTAAACGGAAAATTATATAAAATATAAAACGGGTAATTTTCTCATTTTTGGATTCTATTTGGACACTCATCAGCTCATTTACGCGTTTGTTTGTTTTTTCCCCTTATCAGTCACTTATTCTTTTTTTTTTTTTGTACACTTTGTGTGTTTTTTTTATTAGATTCACAAACGTTGCTTTCCTTCCTTGCCTACTCCTTTTCTCTCCAAATTGATTAACAATTGATTCTATTTTTATAGCATAATATATCTATAAAAATGATTACACAATATACTCTCTCTCATTTATTACTATTTTTTAACAGCTTTAAATACAAGTTTTTACAATACAGATTAAAAGACTAGTAACACCATTTTTCTTGATCCTATATTACTATCAGTTCGAATAAATACTTTCAAATATAGGAACGGCATCTATTATCGACTGAATCGATTATATAGAAGGAAACCTTAGTTATGTTCTCTATATCTAAATAATCCTTTAAATAAAAAATAAAAAATAAAAATAAAAATTCAAGTATTGTTATCTTTTGTATATAGTTGACTAAAATGGTACGAATATCAATCACTTCTGGAAAATTCATTTAGCCGATAATACATCTTCTATTGCAGAACCTCGATAAGAGTCCTCCTTAGTTACTTCCTTTTCCCTTTTTCTGAAAAAGAGGAGAAGAAAGTTTTACAAACAAGCTTCCAAGAGAAATTCTAATAAAGTGCTATACATAACTTAAGCAATCACCCACTACTACTTTTTATTCATTTATATACACGTTAATTATCTATTCCTGATAATTACTTTTTTTTCTTTTTTTGATAGCCTACTATCGAAAAGTATATCCTTACTTTTGCTTAATAATGCTGCAAATCTTCTACAAGTTCTCTCTCTCTTTTTTTTTCGTTTAATATTTATAATATCAAAATATAAGAAAATATATTAGGAACAAGCAATGTGCTGTTTATTTCAATGGTATAGCTGAATTGATATAGTTTACTACATTGACAAATGATATTTTAATAGTTTCTTTATCATGAAGGACCCGTCAGAATATAAACATTTCTTTCATATTTTTTAACATATATATTAATATATACAATTACGATGTTTATTTCTTGATATAATACGAGAGAACTACACCTATTTTATTATCAAACTGATATTTACTATTAGTACTATATTTTCTTTTGCACGTATTATATCCAAATCATTGTTTTACTGAACATTATCCAATATATTATCTTTCAGGATCACTTGTTAAAGAAATATGTTCTTGTTTCGAAACTAAAACAGAATTTTGAGGTGGAATATTACTCATCCTATGTATTATCTGGAGATTATTAGTTAGATTGTACAGTTTACTGAAGATATAATTGAATTTTTAAAGCGAGTGAAGAAAGAAAAAAAACACTTCAAGTTTAAAGTCAATGTACTATTATTAAAAGATAAACGATTTATTACTTTTTAGTTTATTATTGATACACATACAAATGATTCTTACTTCTTCCTATGTATTTATCCTAATGTGACGTCATCAGATATTAGTGCTCTTTTCTTTTAATTTGACAATCATCAAGGCAATTAAACTTCAGTGCCCTTCTATACTTTGTGAACTGGTCTAGGGAAGCTTTGGTGTACAGTGCGTCCGCCGTCAATTGGACAATTTTTTGAAAAAGCTGGTCAAATTTTTGAATAAATTTGCCCACTTTTTTGAAACTCAATTGGTCATTTGTTTGAAATTCATTTGGTCATTTTATTTAAATTCAATTGATCTTTTTTTTTTTTTTTTTTGAAAATTATTATACTTTATATAATGTTAAGGGAAAGTTATAGAGGGACCTTATTTAAGCAATTACTAAATTGGTTTATGGAATGTTGAATAATATTTCGAAGATGCTCAACAGGTACTTCTTCACTAGCCTCAATAATTCTTGAAGTAAGCGTTTCAACATCATTAAGTTTACTTCGCTTTACTTTTCCCTTAAGAATGGCCCAAAATTGTTCTATTGGGTTGAGTTCGGGCGAGTAGGGAGGAAGGTATAATGGCTTATAGCCCCGACTTACAATTACAGGGTCAATTATAGCAGGAACATGAATTGGTGCATTGTCCATAACAATAAAAAATCCTTTCATTTCTGGGAACTCATCCATAATATCCATAGTATCGTTAAGAAACAAAAGATAATGATCGCCAGTAGTGCCACTGGGAATAGTTAATTTATCTTTAGGAGCCTTTCTCTTTTTGGCCCCTACAACTTTCCTTCTCTTAACATTTCCAGATTCTCGCATACTCACATTGACGACACCATTAGCTGATATTGCACCAAGAACAGTATGTGAGGTAGCCTTGGTGGAGGGAGTTGTGGTAGTTGCTTTCGTACCGCGCTGTGACCAACCACGACTACGACGCATATTAATGTCAAACCCGGACTCATCAACAAATATACAATTGTCGAGATAATTGACGCCATTGCTGATCAATTTCTCAACCCACTCAGCACGAGCTTTAAGATTTTTATCATCGTTTCTGGCAAGAGGGTGTCGGTTAATAAGTTTGATGCTGAGATTACATTCTTCCTTCATGAACTCGGCTACTCTTGTTATTTTTATTTGTAAGCCAGCAAAGTTGGCTGTCAAGCTTTCAACTGCGTCCTGGATTGTTGCAGTTGAGTCATCATCAAAAAAACTGGTTAGATAAACTTTATGAGCTTCGTTCAGTTGACTGACTGGTCTGTTGGGATTCAGATTCGTCTTTTTGATAGGAATCTTCCTTTCCGGATCATCCTCGTAAGCCTTTTTCCATTTGCGCGCTGTGTTATAATTTACATTTGCGGCTATGGTCGCATCTTTTGGTCTCATGAGTTTTTCTTTCAAAAAATAAAAGTAACGTCTACGGTCTTCCATTGTATAAATGTTATACTCAAGAGGTCTTTCTTTCTTTGGACTAGCCTCTTTCATGACTGTATCGTCTGAACTGATCGTTTCAAATTGGAGATCCTTGTTCTTAATGTATTTTCGTAGATCTGTTAATCTTTTCAAACGAAATGACTTCTCTTCAACATATGCTTTTGCTTGCTCGCCCTGTTCATCAATGAGATTACCAGCACCATCTTCATAAAAAATATTCATGCTCATTTGAAAAATAATCTCGAAATAATGGTATAAAAAAAAGTAACAAAATATACCTCAGATAAAATGATCAAAAAAATGATCTATTGAATTTAAATAAAATGACCAAATGAATTTCAAACAAATGACCAATTGAGTTTCAAAAAAGTGGGCAAATTTATTCAAAAATTTGACCAGCTTTTTCAAAAAATTGTCCAATTGACGGCGGACGCACTGTACAAACCACCCATACTCAATTGGACTAATGAAGTAAAATATAGGTATGACTAAAGTCTTCCTCCCTCCCAGATATTATTATACTAGTTGAATTATATTAGTTAACAATCTTTTTTTTTTCCCATATTCTTTTCTTTTTCTTTCTTTTGTTTACTTGTTATTACTATTGCAAACTGACTTTATAAAATAAATTTACTCTTTTTCTCTTTTCTATTGGAAGTAAATATCTTTATTTATAGTATCAGTGTGTGTGGAGGGAAGGGGAGGGGAGAGGAGGGTACAGGAAAAGATATTTATTATTATGTAGTTTAGTAACTCTATTCAAATTACACCGTAATATTATATAATGGTTAACTACTAATATTACTAAAAAATATAAAATTTCTACTTGTTGATATATGACATCAAGAAAAATAAGAAAAGTTGCAACCTGATTATGCATATTTGACGAAATAAAAACATTTGTTTTCTATTTTTTTTTTTTTTTTTTTTTTTTTTTTTGTAGTGATACAAATTAAAGAAGAAGAATTTTGTTACGAGAAAATAAAATAGTTGTGAAACAAATAAGATACATGTAGTAATAGGAAGAAATGTATATGTATACATGTATATGTAAATATGCATATAGTCTTATCTACTATCTTGTAAAGTAAAGTAAAACTATAATTATATATAATAGTTAATATAGTGTTAAAAAGGGAAAAAAAAAAGGGTATTTATTACAACAATTGCTTTATATAATCAGTTACCATTGGAGATTATGAACTAAGTTATATAGGATCTTATTGTTATAAGCAAAATACACCTATTTTATTACAATAGCTTAACATTATTTTTCTATTCTTTTCTTTTTAAAGTATATCAATTCTCTATTCTATTTGTTTTATTCTCTCTAAAGAACAAATGTGGGGTAAGGTCAAATCCCTTTTTTTTTTATCGTGCAACCTACATAATTTCCTTTATTATCACAGCTTATAATAAACCATTCTTATAATAATCATGTTCACATTATAATAAATTATTATTTTTTTAATTACTTCTTCCTCTTTTTTTTTTCTTATATATGTTAGTCTTCTTGTAATATAAATGATTCAATTATCAGAATATGGGATTAAAGTTGTAAATAATTTTAATCTTATTGGTATGTGGATTGCTGTACTTGTTTGTTGTAGAAACTTTTCTATTTGTTTAAAGCAGTATCAAAGAACTAAAGGAAAAATGTAATAAATAATATAACTCGAGTAAACCAAAGTAGCTTATATATATGTATATATTTCAGACATTTAGTCAATCTCGCTCAAGTTACCGTCTTTCTTATTCATCGATTTTTATATGGCCTTATTCCACTCTTTGAAATAAAAAACATGCGCTTATTTTCCGTTACTAATATCGTAAGTAAAAAGAAATAATATATAATAATGATAATAATAATACTAATATTAGTTCGTTTCCTTCTATATATATATATTAGACTTTGGCATATAAGTATGTAAATTAAGATATATATATATATATATACTTATACTTATCTCAATTGCTTCTAATATAGCTTACATCTTATTTTATATCGTTATGTTTATGAGACTAATTATACTTGAACTGGATCAGTATTCTCGGTGGATCAAAATTATTAGTGTTTTATTAATTGGATTAAGAGCAGCTGACTGGCCTTATGAACTCGCATTTCATACCATACAACAACATATCATAAAAGAAGCTCCTCAATCTGGCTCGCAATGTTGGGCTGTATGGTAAATAAGAAAAAAAAAAAAGAGAAAGACTGATTTTTATAATGACAAGAATTTAACTTTATATATGTTAGGGGTGAAGGTGTTATTATTTTAAATTTTGTTGGAGATGCTCTTGCAAATTTATTTTTAAGTGGCATGTTTGTTAGAAGGTATATAAAACATAATAAATGTATTCCCATTTAACATTCATCTGATAATAATTTAATAGACTTTTCATTCATATTCATACATCAAAATCTTTAATAAGCTATCGAAATGAAACTATTGAGCGTATTGCTCAAAAATCGTTGATTTGTCTAGCATTCACTTTTCTCGTTAATTTAGCTATGAACTTGTTAAAGATAACTATGTTCATAGGAGAACATTCTGATGTAAATTTTATTTATATATTTTATCTTGATTGTAAACAGAAACTTTAAAAAAAAATAGGCATTTACAGTATATTTTGAAATTATTGAATCAACACTTTTGGTAGAAGCATTACGAAATGATGGTTATCAAAGTACACATCATACTTCTCAATGTGCCAGTTGTCAAAAAGTAAATTATAACATTTGAAAAAAAAAAAGAAGTTATATTATATAATCATGAATTCACATATATTAATAATAATAGGAGCTAAATCAAGATATTAATACAAAAAGAGGTTTAGATACTACTAATTGTCTCAATAGTCAAGCATTTTTGCGTTCATTTCATAATATTGATAACAAACAAAATAAGCATTACAGTGCATATACACTAGATACTTATGATGAAAATCGTATCCGTCATGTTGTATCTTCTACAGAACCTGTATTAATTTCTGATAAAAATTATTCATCATTTACTAGTTCTATTCAACTTAATGAAGGCCCATCAAATACTTCCAGAACTCAAAATCAGTCAATGTTAACCTTAATGGAAGATCCTCCTACACACAATAAGCTGATACCACAATATAATACAAATATAGACAAATTATCCAGTCCAAGATTATCATCGTCAATAATTACTTCAGTACCAATTGCTGGTGATAGTAATATCAGCATTTCTTCTGATGATAGCTCTCCTTAATGAATGAATATTAGACATGTACAGCCTTATGTTTACTATAATTATACCTTTATTTTTATCTTTAAAACACGGGGGGGTTTTTTTTGTTTGTATTATACTTTAGATATCCACAAGAAGAATCCTAATCATCATTAATGTATTATTCATTGTTTATTTAAAGCCTTACAAAATGAATCTATACTGACCATTTCAATTTATATAATATATGAATATATACATATTGGGTACTTAAATATATGTCCTCTTATAAATATTCTTTTTCTTTCTTCATTTATTAGCTGTATATAACCTCTTATATTTTGTGCAAAATGGCCATAATCTTTTAGTTACTAAGGCTTTATATAATTCTCTTAGTTTTAAAGTATAAATTATTCACAAGCTGTTAATCCTAGGATAAACTATCAAGTATTTTATGTAAAAGACTTGTACATCTTGATTGAAGATTTTCCAGGTTTATTAACCAACACGCGCTAATAAAAAATATAGATGTATTTATATATTCCATGATTTTTGTAAATTTAATTAAAAACTATAACACCAAATAAGCGGAGGGGTTTAAATCATGAAACTAAGAAACAGGTCAGAAATAGATATTGATATGTTTGCAATGTAGGAATACATGATGCTTTACATTTAGTTCCTGAGTTTTAATTTAAATATTTGAAGATTTTATTGGGCAATTGTTTCTAATAAATGATCAATAACTTAAGTTTATGATTGCGTGCTTTGATGCCTTGTTGCGAAACATCATCATACGTGGATCTAGACATACGACGTTTAAATTAAAAAAAACAAAATACCTTAATTCTCCTTTAAACTTCCAAACGTCTAACCTCCCCTTTTTTATATATATTTATATATTTATATAATTATTCCTTGTTTATCCCTTAAATTTCTTTATTTATACATATTATCTTCTTTTAGTATTATTAATCTTCTTTTAAACGTATTTAATAAATAATTGATATTTCCTTTGTTGCATTTTTTTTTCTAACAAAAAAAAAAGATGTATAATGGTAAAATTTTGCTCGATTATGAACCAATCTCATATACAAAAGAGTTGAAACAGTTTATTCGTAAAATACCACCTTACATGAAGCAATACGTTTCGAATTTACTGCCGATTATTTATTGGATTTATAGATATAATTTAACTTGGTTATTATCAGATGTTGTTGCTGGTGTTACAGTCGGTATTGTTGCAGTTCCTCAAGGAATGGGTTATGCCAAAATTGCCAATTTGCCTCCAGTAAATAAATATATAAAATAAAATAAAGAACTTAAAAAAGAAAAAAAAAAGAGGTATTAAATATTGTTTTGTTAGCAATATGGATTATACTCTTCATTTGTTGGTTTGTGTCTTTATTGTCTTTTCGGTACCTCCAAAGATATTAGTATTGGACCAACAGCTGTTATGTCTCTATTGGTGGGTCAAACGATATCAAAAGTAACAATGACAGGTGATTTTACGGGTCCACAAGTAGCGTTAACATTGGCTTTATTTGGTGGCTTTATTGCATTATTTCTCGGACTTGTGCGACTTGGAATTCTAGTAGACTTTATTCCTGGGCCAGCTATTGCAGGCTTTATGACAGGAAGCAGTATTACTATATCAATAGGGCAATGGCCTAAGCTTTTTGGCATAAGTAGTGTAAATACGCATGATTCTGCGTATCTTGTTTTTGGAAATTTTTTCAAACATTTACCTGAGACTCAACTTGACGCTGCATTTGGATTAATGGGTCTTCTCTGGCTATATACAGTTAGATGGGGAACGAATTGTCTTACTAAAAGATATCCTAAATATGAAAAAATATTCTTTTTCGCTAATATAATGCGAAATGGGTTGTTAGTTATTTTTAGCACATTGATTGCCTTCTTGATCAATATCAATCGGTCTTCTAGCCCTATTCACATATTGAAAGATGTACCCTCAGGGTTTACTGCCATGAATGTTCCAAAAATCGATGTCAAGCTTCTTTCACAACTCTCCAGCACACTTCCCTCTGTTATCATTATTTTAATTTTAGAACATATAGCTATAGCTAAATCTTTTGGTCGTATTAATAATTATAAAATTGATGCTGATCAAGAGATTATTGCTATCGGTGCAACTAATGTTATTGGAAGCTTTTTCGGTAATTCAAACCTATACATCTACTATATATATATATATATTGGTTTATATCGCTAATAACTTTCTATATATAGGCGCATATTCTAATACTGGTTCATTTTCGCGTACAGCCATTACTGCACGAAGTGGCGCTAGAACACCTTTAAATGGTGTTTTTGCAGCTCTTGTTGTACTTCTTTGTCTCTATGTCTTAACACCTGCATTTTATTATATTCCTGATGCAACCTTATCCGCCATTATTATTCATGCCGTCGCAGATCTTGTATCTGGACCCACATTTTTACGCCAAGTATTTCGAGTAAATCCATTTGAGCTATTTACTTTTATTGCCGCTGTTGCGATTACATTCTTCACTACCGTTGAATATGGCATCTATATCTCTGTCGCTTTATCCATTATTTTTATGCTTCTTCGCATTGCTCGACCTCGCTATGCAGTATTAGGCCGTATCCCAGTTCAATCTTCAACAGCTGACTGTCATCTAAATAACCCTAATGGCAATGAAGGGTATGATTTTAATCTTGTTGGGAAAAGTAGTAGTCGTCATGAAGAAAATAGTAGTCGACATTATATATATGTTAGACAAGATCATCAAACATTAAGCCACTTAGTAGAGCCCCCACCTGATGGTCTTGTCATTTTCCGTTTTGATGAATCCCTAACATATCCTAACGCAGGTTTCATTTCAGATAAAATTATGCATTATATCCAAGATAACTTTAATTCTGGAGCATCTATACCTCGAACAAAAGGTGAACAAGCCTGGAACGATCGTCGCTCTATTGTCGTCAAAAAGGCTTCTAAAAAAAAGAATCAAAGGAGAATAGCGAGGGGAGAGAATGAGGAAGAGGAGCTAAAGGAGTTACCAAGGCTTCATGCTATCGTTCTCGATTGTTCTGCTATTAATCATTTAGATTCAACTGGTGTACAGACTTTATTAGATCTCAAATTATCGATTAATCGTTATGTTGGTAATGAAGTTGAATGGCATTTTGCCAGTATTGCTAGCCCTGCTATTCGTAACGCTCTTATCACAGGAGGCTTTGGTAGCCAAGCGGGTCGTGGGCCACGTACCGGTGAATTATTACCTGTTATCCCTGTTCATCAAGATGGTCCCCAGTATAATGTAAACGATAGAAAGAGTCCCATGAGTTGCCAAAAATCACCATTAGGATCTTTAGACAACGAATGTTCAGAGTCTGTTACTTCATGTACTAATGAAAAGATAGTCAAGAGTGCAATCGATTTATCTATTATTTCAAAGACTTCATCTGTTACATCTACACAAGTTCAATATGAAGTAACAGAATCTGTACAACACCCAATTGCTAGTGTCTCTAACTGTAGTCGTATGTCTTGTGTAATTAATATGGATGGTGATGAATATATAGAGTATCATCCGCAACTTGATAGGGGTCTTCCTATTGATAGATATCCATTTTTTCATTGGGATCTGGAGGATGCTGTTCGAGCAGCCTCTTATACTCGAAAGAAGAGTTCTAATAGTTCTTGAAGATTCTATTTTATTTTGTACCATAATGTAAAGTATATGTATGTATGTATTATTTTATTTAATAAAATAATCTATAATAATAGACCGATAACCTACCAGATAATAAATCCTTATATTACATGAGACATACTTTATTGAAATAGAGTAACTATTTATCATTAGTATAGAACGTAGTAAATGTAAATGCAAATGCTCCTTTAGACATATTTTTGCTAGTTTTTATACTTTTTTTTTTTTTTTTTTTTTCAATTGCACATATTTCGATTTTAAAAATTATTCATACAGAATAACAGTCCTTTTTTCATTTATTTGCATTACTAGTATGAATATACAACCCTATTCTACGAATGATTTATGCATTTACCGTGTATCAGTATCATTATCTATTTATTTCGAATAGTTATAATCTTAATAGACTAGATGTAAATTCATTTTCCCAAATTTACTAAATAAAGCCGAATTAAAAAGGTATTTTTTTTTTTTTTTTTTTTTTTTTTTTTTTTTTTTTTTTTTTTTTTTACCCCAGAAATTTATTTTCTGTATAAATATAAAATCATGCTTCGTTCAATTCCACAATGGAGCTACGTTCTTCAAAGGCAAAATAAAGCAAATAATATACAACGATATTTATCAAGTAAAATAGATAAAAGTAACAACGAAGATTGGGAACAAGCCAAAGTTGAACGACATAAAATTGCTAATCAAGCCATTCCTCAACCAGCCACAAATGCCATACCGAGTAGCATGTTAGCATCTTTTAACAACATGTTTGATCGTGGGCCTAATGTTGGTATTGAAATTATCACAAAAAAGGGGTTTGTATTATCGAATAATGTAAAAGTTGAACAGCCTTTAATCTTGTTGAATGGATCAGCGATTTTATGGAATGCGCCACCTCGAACACAATCAGGACATATTCCAATGAAAGATTGGAATTTAGAAGCATTTAAAATATTTGAGCTCATATCACCTAGACCAGAATTAATAATGTTTGGTACAGGAAAAGATTTTTCACCTTTACCAGAACACATAAGACAATATTTTTTTAAACTAGGAATTCAAGTAGATCAAATGAACTCAGTAAGTTGGAAAAAAAAAAAAAAAAGAGTAACTATAAAAAATGTCTAATGATGAATGCATCAAATATGATGATAGAAACTTGCAGCTGCTACATATAATGTATTAGCAGAAGAAGGAAGAAGGATTGCAGCAGCTTTATTACCATTAAATTAAAAATCAAGTAATTATTCCACTGTCCATTTGTGGATTATTATTATTTTGTCGAATTCCTTTTCCTTTCTTTAAAACAGCTTCCATTAATGCTTGTATAAAACGTTGTTCATCAATTAATCGAACATCTTGCTTTAAATAACTTGGTTGAGTTATAGTTGTCATAAATTCTCTTAAACTCCAAGCAGATATTAAAAATAGTTTTCTTGAACTGATTTTGTTTTCTTTTAATTGTTTATAAACCGTCTTTCTTACTTCTTTTACAAGTTCTCCTACTGCCTTTGCCCATAATGTATTTTCATCTAAATTATTTTGTTGTTGCTGATATCTTGTAAGTTTTGAATGTATGGACTAAGAAGATTTATATATTAAATTATGTACAGTCCATTTATCTATACAGATATATATATATGTATATGTATATGCAAATATAAAGAAATGTATATTTTACTTGGTCACAACGATTTCTGACAATTAAAACAGGAATATGATACTCTTGTGCTTTTGCTGCAATATTTAAATCAATTTCTTGCAATCTATACATGTGTAAGAATATACATATATAATGACTAATATGATCACTTGTACCTTTCTGCAGTAACGATAATTAATGAATCAAATGCATACAAATAATTATCTTCAAAGTAGGTGGTCTGGCTCTGTGTCATTGTACCAGCACCTGGCATATCCCATAATACCATTCTTCTTAAATCCGGATGTCTATAACCTCTAGGTTCATTTAACATTGTACTTCCTGCTTCATTGATCACTGCTGCGTAACGATCTGTGTCATGATAACCGAGAATACCATTTACAAGAGAGCTCTATAGCATATGCATATGAATGTAATTGAGTAAAGAGTGCATACATGCATAATAACATACAAACCTTGCCTGTGCCTGCAGCTCCTACAATAGCTACGTTATAAAACCTATCATAATCTAAACCAATGGCTCTTCTAACTTGAATTTTTGCCTCTTCAGATAATTCAGATAATTTATTAGGATCTTCATTAAACATATTTTCATATACAGACCAAAAGGCAACAAAGGGGGATAAAGGCCCTAATATATTAGAATAATGGTGATTGGATAAATACAAGTATTTATTTATTTATCTATTAATTATTACATCCAATCACTCCTAACAATCCACCAATCGCACTATCTACTATCTTGACGCCAGTATATTCAGTTTCACTAAACTTGTAAGCGTTCAAGATAGGAAATGCAACGATCACCATAGGAACTGTCATAGTAGATAATGTAGCCTTTTGAAATTTATTTGTAAAATCGTCTATGTCGTATAATATATTTGATTTATTACTTAATGTAATCGAAGCTGCTTGTCCCATATTTACACTGTAATTATATAACTTTGATATTTATTTACAAGGAAAAAAAAAAGTAAAAAAAAAAAAAGTGAATAAATAAATAAAGGAACAGAAAAAAAAAGAAGAAAAATCTTCATATGTATACACAGACATGCCATATGATTTATTACAATGCTTACAGATTTTATCATTGATTACGAAATAATAATAGTAATAATAATACAAAAACTGCCCAATCAAAATATCAATAGTTTGAAATTATTTTATTGTACTAACCAAAAAAAAAAAAAAAAGGAGTTTTTGTTCAAAAACTTTCATTGAATAAGTAAGCTTTATAAAGAACATGTATGATACAAACATCACACTGATTGAATCAGCTTAACAAAGAGATCTCCTTTTTCTTTTTTCTTTTTTTTTTCTTTAATAATATAATTTTACAATTCAATGCTTGTTGAAGATGAGTATAATCAGTCTAAAAGGAGATATTCAGGAGTGGATATTGTATTACTATATCCTGGTTTTTTTTTCTTTATGAAAGAAATAGTATAAAAAAAAAAAAACCTCCATCGTATGAAATACATGTTTTATTTACAAAAGACCCCCAAAACAAACAATAAAATTTATTTTTAATAATCTTACTTGAAAGCTGCCTTTGCCTTTGCCTTTTTTTTGAGTTATAATGCACATCCTGTTTTGAATCAAAAATAAAAAATACCTAAATTAACTGAATTTGGTAAACAAAAGACATTAGGAGGCATTCGAAAAGAAGAAAAAAAAAAAGGCGGGTCATTTGATTAGAGGACTTTATAATCATATAGCTGAGGGAGCCTGTCGTTCTGTTGGAGTCCTGATAATCAACCTATTCAAGAAGAAATAAATATTACAATACATGATTTTTTTTTTTAAAAAAAAAAAAGATAATCGATCTTGCTTTAAATAGAGTACATTGACCCATCCAATTTTTATATTTATGTGCTATTGGTAAAGCCAATTCTCATGTTTATAGTTATATTATAGCAGAAGAAATAGGGATACATAAAGCACTTTAGTGTGTTACTCTTGTTTTGGATATCACTTTAACAATCAGAAAGGATTGGTAAGCCCACCATTCAGAAGATAATCATTAAATTCTGTTAAAAATCGGGCAAATGAGTTTGGTGATATATATATCTTTTATGTACATGTGTGTGTGAATAACATTTGGTATATTTTTAACAGTTATCTATAATTCTGGCCGAATATGTGTTTAGTTCTTAACAAGAGATAATGAAGGAAATGAAGGAAAAAAGAAAAAAAATGCAGCTATTAAAAGCTGGAGGGGGGGGGAAGCAAGTCAAGAAAAGAACTCTATTCTTATCATTTCTTACACAAAATATTTACAATAGTGTCAAATTGGTATTTTTTAATAAATGAATAAATTAAATAGTTTACAAGTACAAAGAAGGGTACAGGTACACATATCGAAAATGATTTGAATGAGCACTATGCTTTATTGAACTTTGCTAATCCTAATTTACTGGAAACGCCAAATGAGTTTAGACATAATTATGGAAATTACATCTTAAAAGGTAGAGATACTGATGCGTTTGAAAAAAAAAAGGAGGAATAAGTAATGAGAAAGTAGACAGGTTCTTGAATATCGTATAATGATTTGGGGATTACTTTAAACGACAACAGCCTTTTATTAAGCGATAAAAAATCAAAAAAAAAAAAAAACTTGCTGCTGAATTATGTCTAGCTTAACTTATAAAAAATAAATATACAAGCTATTCTACAACAACTCATAAGGTAGCGACTATGTGAGAGCGTTTGCTGGCACAAGAATAGCACCCAAAACATTTCAACCAAGTTGTAATAGCCATGTTTTCTCTTCTTAAATCCTTTGGTAAAAGAATACATGATCAGCTTGCACTCAACCCTAATCTTCTAACGTTATCAGTTTGAAAGTAGAACAAAAAAAAAAAAAAAAAAGGTGTTATTAAGATATCATTTTTATTGCCCTTCTGCCCAATGCTTAATTTGTATCAGATCATCTGTTATTTTACTTCTTGGGCGTATAATATTTTTTTTGTTTATTAAACTGTCCTTTATATATCTTCTTGATGTCTGTTAGTCATGTCCCTTTTATTTTTTATTTTTTTATCTTTTATCCTTTATGTTTATTATTTCTGTTCATAGATTATTATGCTATACTTTTTATTTTGGAAAAAAAAATAAAATAAAATGAAGAATCAAATAATATTTATGATAAAATCTCTACTAATTTAATACTACAAAGATTTAGAAATTAATAAAGGAGTTACTTTTGACTTTAATTCACCATAAACAAAGCTAATTTATCCCGGTAAAAAAAAAAAGAAAGAAGGTATAATGGCCTACTATTACAACTTTATAGTGATATATCATAATTTTATTAATTTACATATGCCTTTGCCCTCAATTTATTATAGCCATGATTGTTAGGCAAATCAAAATGAATTGCTCCAGTTTTATTATTCCTTTTCTTACTGTCACAAAACTAACTAAACAATCCTGTCTTATTTGGTAAATGTACATTCTTCTTCATTACTATATTATTTACAATAGAATATAAAAAGGTATAAAATCAACGAAATTCAAAACTACCAAACGAACGTTCTTCAACATGTTCCAATATTAATTGTTGAAACCTATTATTATACATTAATACAATCATTTTCTCTTTTTCTTTTCTTTTCTTTTTCTTTTACCATTCTGGATTATTATGGTAAAAGTAAAATCCCTTGATTTCATTAGTTGATCTTTGATAACAAATATAATAAAATCCCGCAAAGCTCGCTCCTTCAATATTACTAACACAGTGATCAGGTACTAAAAAGTGCTCTTTCCATCTCATATAGATAAAGTCACTTTCAAAAGGATCGTATGTAAAATCATCTTCATTAAAAGCATCGATATAAGGTTCAAATGAAGGAAATTTACCCTATAAATAAATAAATAAAAAGTGAGCGCCTAAATAATATCATAATTTCTGTTTCTTTTATTTCTCTCTTACCCAATGTAAAGCATCAATATATTGTTGTGCTTGCCATTTTCTCGTTAAAAATGGATATTTAGGACCAATAATCTCCCCAACAAAAAATGTCTATAGGTAAAATATGAATGAGTTCTCAATATAATAATAATGCATAATGAGTACAAGTATACCGTTAATTCAGGACACTCATTTGTAAGCCCTTCAATATTAAGATATCCACTAATTTTACTTTCATTTATGTCAACGTGCTATATAACAAGTAAATCATTTAGTTTCAATCCCTTCTTTTTTTTGTTTTATATGCATATGCATATACATATATATATATATATAACCTGAATATCAACAACCACATTATATTTACTAATTCCACATTTTTGTACACCTTTAAAACGAGAGCCATCATAAAGTGCACCTAAACGAGTACTGTGTAATCTTTTATCAGAAATATCCACCCAAGATTCATTTTCATTACGAGAAAGTAAGGAAGTATTTTTCTTTTTTTGGTTAGCTTGAGTCAAAGAAGATACAGTGCTATTCAAGTTGATGTTGGTTGCATCAAGTTTATCATCATTTTTATTGATGATGGAATGCTTACAGCAGGGATTATCTATGGAACAACAGCCTTGCTGGGGCTTTTCTATAAGCATATTGGAAACTCTTGTAGAAATAACATCGTTGGTGTTATTATTTGTAGATGCAACTGAAAGAATTGGCATTTTTTTTTTAAAAAAAAGAAAAAAAAAAAAACTATTTCTAAAAAAAGTTTAAGTGAAAAAAAAAAAGGTTTTATAATGGCATTGAAATTAATAATTGTTCAGCTCACATCCCCTCTTTCTTATTTATCTTCGGAAATAGAAAAGAATATCTAATTGTTGTGGCTTATTAATAATCCTAATTGTTTCAATATTAGCCAATCAAATGATAGAACTTTTGTTTTACAGATCAAACTATATCATAAAAAAAAAAGAAAAAAAATGCATAATATCCATAACATATTGTTGAATTATCCGGATCAGTTAAGGATATGTATGTACATATAAAAGGGTTAAAAAAAAATCTTCCTTCTCAAGAGACAAAAGGTAAAAAGAAAAGAAAAAGAAAACTATACCATCGAGTTCAGTTAGACAACCAATCAATTAGCATTTTGTTTAGGTAGAGAATGGTACAAATAATTGACCAATGGTAAATCCATGCAGATACATATTGGAGATCTCTAAGCTTATGTTGAGGCAAAAAAAAAAAAAAAAAAAAAAAAAAGGAAAGTTCAAAAGAAAGAAGAGTGGGTTCTCAATTGTTTTGGGCCAGTGTAAACGAGTATATACATGTAGAAATTCAGTTATATCTGATCTACTAAGATAAGTGTACGCATGATTTATACATTATTTGAAGTTATCACTAGGTTACCGACAAAAACACCATCGAATGACATGACTACGTTCTGTAAAGGACATAAGCAATCAGAGTATGAAATCAATAGTAAGAATAGGCCAACAAGTGATGAATAATTTAAATTGGTGACTATCCCATAATCGCAAAAGTCTCTTTTCAAAAAAAAAAAAAGTATTAAATTTTTCAGCACAAAATTGTCAGAGTGATGTTTTCTTAAATCTATACTATCGAATGATTATAATTAAACTTTCGATATGGGGAAGCAGAATAGGAAGTAATGCGCCAATAGTTAATTTATTAATACAGAAAATAAAATAAGCTTGTAGGATGGTTACTCTATCTGCTATTGTAGCTTGGTTTACCAGATGAGATATTAGCATGACTGAAAATCAATAAGATCCAGCAAACGGCTTTCTAATGCAACTGTTTTGAGAAGATTTTAATTGTTTGTTTGTTTGTTTTTTTTTTTTTTTTTTTTTTTTTTTTTTTTTTTTTTTTTTTTTTTTTTTTTTTTACTTACAATGATGATTGCTATCCTGTATTCTAGTTGTAAACGAAGTATATATGTGTAAAAGCAAATGACTAGTAGAAAAACAAAACTTCCAGAATGAACATCTATAAAAACAAGTTGATTTATTGTTTGTAGTGCTTTGTTGACATTATAAGTTATGAGGTGCTCAAAAGTTTTTACAGCTTAATAGAAATATCCAAGCATGAAAAACTAGTCTTATTGGGGGGGAAAGGGCGGAATGAGTTATCATACAAAGTAGACGCTTTAAATCAAGCTTTATAGTATGTCTACTTAAAAGGAGACGATCAAAAATAATTTTTTGAATATCCAACAACATTTTTTAAATGTGTAGAATAAAATTGCGGATAATATGACACAACGAATTCGGACAAGGTAAAAAATGGGATTGCGGAAAATATGTGTTAGCCTTTTAGACATGTTAATGATATATCCTATTTGTAAAAGATACCTGATTCCTTGTTGAAAAGAAGGCTATACTTGCTGTGGCAATATAAGGTAGAAAGAATAAGACTTATTTTATTTTTTTTAAAAAATAAAGAAATGATAGAAATCATTATTAATTTGATTTATTGTATTCAAATGATAACAGCAACAAATACATGCAATGGAAATAGGTTGTAGATCATACATGTTCGTTGCCTTTATTTATTTAATTCTAATCATTTTGAAAGCTTCCTCCAGCTTATATTTAACACGGAAATACTTTAGATAGTTAGATCAATAAACATATATATATATATATATATATACTTTGATTGTTTCTTTTTTTTTCCATCTTTATCTGATATCTTTTCATACCAAATCTACTTATTCAATGCTCAAAGTGGTAATTAACAAGATTTTAAGATCTATAACTAATGTGAAGCAATTGATAAAGAAGGTAAATATTTAAAATAACATTGATTAAATACATGTATATGTATAGTAAGCTTATTTATACTTTATTTGTAGTCTTACAAACTTGGATACAAATCAAAAAGATATTATAATTGTTAAAAAAAAAAAGAGGAGGAGGGAAGAAGGACAATAAGTTCTATTAATGAACAAGAAAGCTCGTATGCATGTTCAAGTTATCACTACTTGGAAAATATACTATTGTCACCAAGGGAATCAAACTTGATACGATTTTAAGGTCAAGGTACAAGAATAGTCTAAAAGGAGAATAAAAAAATAATTATTAAAAGTGCTAAAGATATATGAAATATTAACATTACTTTACCATATCATTTTATCATCTTTTACTTTTATATTCTATTATGCTCTAACTAATTTAAAATAAAAATATACTTTTGAATCTGCTTTAGATATTGATCTTATCCTTACAACATATCAACATTTTAGACCGTATCCAATTTACAATTATTGTAAAGAGAAACTATAAAATATCCATTATTAAAGATTTAACATATTGGTTATCTAATAGGAAAAAGAAAAAAAAAAGATTACGATGAATGTTTTACTGCACATATACAGTGAATGATTCATTTTTCGAGAAGGAGGCGGAGTAGTAGTAATAATAACAGAAAATTGCGTAAATCATTAAATAGATTTAATCTTCTCTCTGGAAAGAGTTCTAGATGCTTTATTTTCGTATAAATCAACAGGAGCAAATCAATATAATGATAATAACAAGTATTCACAGTGATTTTTTTTTTTGCTCTTATACATAAAATGAATGGTTAAAGAATAAAATATACAAATATACTTTGTTACGGTATATATTTTTTATTATATTTATATATATATTTACATTTGGCCAACTTGTATTCAAATAATTTCAGGTACATTTACCAATTTAAGGTATTTCAAGTGAGTTGCTTTTAATTTTAAATCATGTAAAGGTGAGTTTGGATCTTGAATAACATCCATTATTATGTCATCATTTAATAAACTTGATAGACTTTTTTCATTTTCTTCTTTAGTTTCAAATTGTAATACAAACTTTTCTAATTGGGGTCCCACATGTAAAACAAATTCTTTTAGATATCTCTTACTTTGCCAGGTGACTGAGTCCTCGATATCTTCGTAGATCTCTACTGAGGTCACTTGATTCCATAATCGACTAGGTATATGATGGATCGTGGTATTCAATCTTGGAGATGTCCTATTCCCTTTTTGAAGAGGAACAGTGATGATGGACCTATAAAAGATCATGGTCTTTATATTAGAATTTTTGGATAGGATTTCAAATACTTGAGGCGAAGGTAAGACACTCTGGAAAACAATAGTATCTAAAGTCAAGAGACTACTAATGATAGGAAATAGATACTTGTCCCACATTTTTCCTGCACAGCAAGGGCAGCGTTGTATAGGATTAAATCCTACAAAATCAAGTCTCTTTATGCTGCATTGTGGTAATAAGTTTTTTTGTATAGCCTTTGAGGTAGATAAAATACTATTGTTAGATAAATCATGATGGTCATAACTACTATTGTCATGGGATAAGAGAGATGTAAACTCAGCATCACAAATGATATCTAATCTTTTAATCTGGCTACACAGTTTAAATAATTCGGTCATATCCTTTAATGCCTTTGGATGATGCACTATTATGTAATCAGAATATATATACATTTATATATAAATGTGTATGTTTGTGTAAATATTTATATACATATTTATAATTTTTTTTTTAAAAAAAACCAAAGGCTTTACCTTTCTTTTTGATAATTATATTATTCTTGGTCTTTTCTCGACGTATGGTATCAAATGACGCAAAATCAATTACGAGATGGCATACTTGGCGATGAAAATCCAGATTTGCCATAGATGATTCCTTGAGCAACTTGACCAACTTTGATCTGAATGGATAATTACGTTGGTAGCTAGCATGATTTAGAAGCGAAAGCCATGATGTAGGGGATGGATGATATTTTATAATAGAATGAGAACCCATAAGATCAATACTAATAGAATGCCATGTTCTACAGACCATGGAGATACTTAGTAAATCCAATTGCCAGCATAAGCAATAAGTGCCATTTTCTCCGTATGGAGAATACCGTGTTGACACATACTTGGGATAAAATCCATTTTTCTCGGGCAAAAAATGGCATTTACTTGAATTTGTATGTTGTAGTAATAACTGGATAAATATCTCTCTTACAATCTCCACAGGAAGTTGCTCAATATACATTATATATATATATATATCTATGAAACAAAAATAAAAACAAAAGAAATATAAAGTGAAAAAAAAAGTGCAAGTTAAAACTTCCTTTTTATGTCTGTTGTGTTATATTTAAGCAGTTCGTTTTTATATATGAAATATTTTAAAATTTTAATATGTATATTTATATATGTTTATATAATACTTAGCCACATGTTATACAGTTTATGTGTCATTTGATCTGTGGAAGCCTTTTTTTTTAAAAAAAAAAAAAAAAAAAGAAGAAGAAAAGAATAAAGCTTTCCTTTGGATTTTATATTTTAATATAATAGTCTTTTTTTTTTTTTTTTTTTTTTTTCTCAATAAAATTTACATGGTATGTGCATAAATTCATTGGATTTATACAAAAAGACATATTTGTAATACTATACATAAAGATTTAATAAAACATACATCAGGTGCCATTTCTTTATGCATAACGGTAACCAGAAGAACTACATATACATACACGCATAAATATACAGGGTTTTATTTCATAGACAATTGATATTTCTCGGGTTATATGATTTCCATAGTATAGAATGAATGCAAAACTTGATTTTTTTTTTAAAAAAAAATAAGAGGTGTATTATATAATTGTAAACCAAGATTAATAACTTGTGCTTATCCATAAATGTATTAAATTTTTTAAAGAAAGAAAACTCTTACCCCCGAAACAAGTTTGGAGTTAAAATTAAAATATACACGTTTATATATATATAAACTGAAGGTGCGCATCTACCGGTACAAGTATTTCCAATTTAATTACTTGAGGAAAATTTTCAGTATAACTCTGAGGCAGTATTGGAGAAGGAGGATTACTACGACAAAGAAGAAATGGATCATAAAGGGAGTTTAATGATAACTCAGGATAACTAAAAAGAAAAGATTGAAGCCACTATCACTTCTTATTTTAGAATCACAAATCATCCCGCATCGATATACGAAAAAAAAAAAATTATGTTCTTGATACCTATCAGGTTTTGCATGATAACCTCAGAGTAAAGCTCAAATAAAGTAGTTGACCATTCATCATTCTTTACAAGACTAAAATCGAATGTTAAACTCGTTATATTATAGTTATAGTTGATTGTGTTGGTTATAATGTCAAGGAGTGCTCTTGTTGTATGTCTTGTTGCTGCCTCACGATAATCATCACATTAAAAAATTAAAAGTCATTGTTCTTTGTAAATCATATTTTGTTCACGTTTTGTCAGATTCAAGTGAAAAAAGAAAGTGAATCTGATACGTGTAGTATTAAAAGTAAAATCAAGATGTCTGTCTAAATTTTTTTTCAATTCCTTTTCTTCTGTTAGTGAAATATATAAATATCGATCAATGACCTCACGTAAAAAAAAAAAAAAACATATATTCCTCTTGATCCTTTTGGTGACTCTAATGATAAATAGGAATACAAAGGATTGGAAAGAATATCTTTTCAAAGAATATAGAAAGGGGATACGTTCATTTTTTTTTTATAAAGGAGGTTTCTTGTTCTGTTAATCTACCATGATGAGTATTGTCGGAAGTTAAAACATGACAGGGCCAAATCTTCTAATCTAGGTAGATGGTAGCGGATCAAAAATTGAAGCGTGTTCATTACGAAATGATCCATTGTCAGGAACAACTGATGGATTTGATTTAAAAGAAAGAATTATATTTCCCGTGGGATTCCAATTATTCTCTTCTAATGAGGATATGAAAAAAGTCAGGGATATCCAATATCATTGATAATTGTAAATGATCCAATTCAGTTGAACAATGAGACATGCTATTCAACATATCAAAGAGATTATGCTCTTCCCTAAGTTATTGTCGTATGACCTCAAGTGATTTTAGAAATGAAAAAAAAAACACACACACACAGAAACAAAGACATACCTCCCATATCTTTTATAAAGTTAAAGTTGAATCATTTGATGATAACGCAAAACATACCATCATTTTCAGGTCTTTTTTCTTTCTTTTCTTTTCTTCATCATACAAATACTGATCAATCTGGAAATTCTTTTTTTTTTCATTTTAGGCCATTTTTGAATCATAGTCTTTATCGCGTTTGCATGAAAGGACTCTAGACCTGCCAGTGTATCAGGAAATTTAAATTCTTCTACATTAGGAAACCATGAAAACAAGGTCTGGAAATGCTTCTGGTTCTATCATCTGTACTCCTCCAGCAGTTAATAAAAATGAAGAAACAAAATCTGAGCCACCGATAGTGAGTTGTTTGACGGATCTAGATGTTTCTAGGCTGAAATTTGATAAAAAGTAGCTTATTAAATTTCGATAGCGAATCAATGCTAAAGTGAGCAACATGCAGGTAAATACCATGCTTTACAAACAAATTGTCACTGAAGTCTAGCTCGATACGGTAATTTTAGGAAAATTATTTCCCAAATCTCCATTGGTATTTTGTCGTAATTAATTGTCATATGCGTTTGTACTAATATAAACAAAAGGAAAAAAGGAAAAAAAAAAGAGTAGGGAATTAAGGTGTATTACATCAAGGGTGTTCAGGTCTATCAGTCCGATTTTTTTTTTTTAAAAAAAAAAGCTACTCTTCATAATAGATAGAAAGAAAGAAAGAAAATCAATGTTTACTTGAATATATAAAGTATAAAATATCCTTTATATTCTCTTTTTTATTTTGTTATTTACTACACAAGTAATGAAAATGACTAGCTTATATATTATTATTACTTACTATTGAAAGAGGATGCTGTGAAACATTTTGTAATATAAAATATTATAAAAGCTAACAACCTCCTATTTCAGTAACAAAAAAAAAAAAAAAAAAAAGCTTATTATTTGTATTACTTAATTATACAGGCCAATTTAATCGTATCTGTTTACAAAAGGTATTTAATTATATTTCACACAAACTTCAAAGTTTTATTTCGTGTTATTTAATAAACAAATTTGTTCCTATTTTAAATATCTACTTTTTTTTTATGACAAATAGAGGACAGGGAGGAGAGGAGGGGAGTTTTTTTTTTTTTTTCTTTTGTGATTGCTAGGCATTTTTTTTTTTTTTTGATTTTTTTTTCCTTGTTATTGTTATTGTTGTGATATGAGTACAAAGTATAAACAAACAAAAAAATCTTTTTTTTTTTGCTTTTCTGTTGAAACGATAAGATGCAGGAGGTTCATCTAATGAACGTATAGGTTACTATTTATAATATACGATGTACAATTTCGATATCGAATCATCATTTTGCGTGTATGTGTGTGTGTGTGTGTGTTTCTTTTAATATCAATGAGTTATAGATTATAATAAATTGCATTATAATTAATTAAAATATTACGATAAAGAAAAAAATTATTTACATACAATAAAGATATAGAATGGGAAAGGGAGGGGGAGGGAATAGAAGAAAGAAGGGTAAAAAGAAAGGTGGAAAAAGGAACTCTTTTTTTTTTTTAGTCCCAACAAATTTTAAATTCTTGGCTTCCAACCATGACTTTACTTGGGATATAGCTTTGTTGTATGGGCCTGAAAGGACGAACACCATCATCTTGAGATAAACGTTGTAAAAGAATAGTAGCACTGATAGTATCGATAATATCTTTTTGATGTGTACTACAGCCAAACATTTCAGGTGGTAAACAGCTAGTAAAAGTTTCAGAAAAAGAAGAAGTTGTAGTAGATGAAGAAGACAGATAAGACCATGATGAGCTATTAGAAGAAGGGCTATGATAGACAGGAGTGATACGTGGTTCTAATGTTGTATGATTGTACGAAGAAAGACCAGAGTCCATATTATAGATAGGCGGTAATAAACATCTTTCAGTAGAACTTTGAGTCATATCAAGAGTAGGAAAACAAGGAACAACTCTGAATGTAGGGGATGGAGTTGTTTCAGGAGATTCCGTAAACGACTTTAATAAAGGCGTCTTGACTTGATTATCGATTTCATGATCTGAAATTAAGTCATTTTGGTTATCTATATCCATCTGTTGTTGTTGCACGAAATCATGGGACTCTAATGAGTTAAGTAATCTCGAGAGAGACATACTATTATTGGAAACAGTTCTAATAGACTTACTCTTTCTAGCCTTTTTAGAATGACGAGGAGAAGCATTTACTTTTGAAGATGACGACGACGACGACGAAGAAGAAGAAGAAGAAACAGTTTTTTCACGAGGGGATTTTCTTACACTTTCACGTTTGTAAGGATGATGAACTTGACGCATAGTAGCAGTACGGCTTGACATTCCCTTTTGGTTAGACTGGGAATTCCTTGGGTCTAAAAGAAGACAACCATATTCAGAATGAGTAGGTTCAAGTACATCATTACTAAAATGAGGGCCAAAGATAGGAACAAGTTCTCTTCGAATAGACCAGGCTGTTCTCTTACAAAGAGTGTAAGCATATTCATGAGGTATCCTATACAATATAAATATAAAGATAATTTATTTAATGGAATAAGATATAGTGTTGTCTTTTTTTTTTCTTTTTTTTTTTTACCATGTTCCTTGAATTTTCAAAAAGCCACCACGTATTTTCTTGACCTTTAAGTTAGGATTAGAGTCAACCATCTTGACAATATCAGCCTTAGAATTTCCTAAGGCTTTCCAGATACCAGTGAAATGGACATAACCTAATTTGAGGACGCGATTAAAAAAAAAAAAGATAAGGAAATTAGTTGAAATAAATATTATTAAAAGGACAAATTTAATTTACCTGTTTGTCTATCCCACATAATAGGTTGACTATTGATAATATATTCATAAACTAATAATAAAAGGAGAGAATGAGTAAGAGATGATATAGTCTAAATATGATTTTTACCTGGAATATATCCCCTGGGATCAAGTGAAGTTGAGTACTTTGCCTTTTTGACTTTATTGTTCGTGCGTTGTTGGTTGGACGAACTGTAAGGTCGGTAATTCAAAGATTCGTTATCAGAGGTATTGTTATTCATGATTGAAATTTTTGTTTTGTTTTTAGTTTTTTTTGTTTATAAGTTGTAAGAATTCGGAAGGTTAAAACAATAGAAAAAAGAATAAAGTAGAAAGAAAAGAAGTTTTTTTAAAAAATAAAAGTCGTTAATTGTTTAAAAAGGGATTGAAAAAAAAAGAGAGAGGTAAAAAAAAAAAAAAGAAAGGGGAGGTCCGGAGTCAAAAAAAAAAAATATAAATAAAATATTAAGGGGCTACTCCAAAAGAGAGAGAAAGTGAGTGAGTGAATGAGTGAGTGAGCGAGTGAATGTGAGAGGGAAAAACAGATACACAGAAAAGAAAGTTCAAATTGAGTAAATAAATAAAAAAAAAAAGTTAGGAGGTATTTGCTAATGACAGGAATACAGTGTATTTATTCGAAGGTAATTGTTTAATTTGTACTATTTTGGAGAATGTATAACCAATTGTCGATCATTCAAATCCACTTCTTTTTCCCTTTTACTTACTTGAAGGTGATATCATTTGATACACTTTAAACTTTTGACTGTTTCATAATATAAAATATTTTTTTTTGTGCTATTTGTCTTTTTGTGTGTACTTTATTGTAAACAAATAAATTTCTATACATAATGTTATGTCCTCTAAAAAATCACCCTTAATTTGATATATGTGAGTATATACATAAATGACTTATTTGTATGTATGACGATATTTTGGTTAATATACATGATATTACCTTTCATTCCATAATAAAGTAAAGATAAGATATGTGTGATATTTATTAAATAGTGCTACTTTATTAGCAATTTCTTTTCATAATTTCTGTTATTCCGCCGAAATCTAATCTTGTGCATATCATTTGCCATACTCATCGTTGTACCATAGACATACTCTCTTTCTCTTGTCATGTAGAAAAGAAAAAAAAGGAAGGGAGAAGGAGGAAGAAGAAAGGGTAACCCTTTAACCCCTCCATTATTTTTATTACTTTTTCCGTTTATACGTTTCTCCTCCTCCTTCCCCTTAAATTTTTATAATCTCGGTCCCGGTTTTCATAATATACGCTTCTATACTTTATAATAGTTCATAACAAAATTTATTGTTCTCTAAAATCAATTAAAGCAGGGAAAGTGAATAGTTCAAATAAACTTTTGTTCCCAATTTTCAATGTCTTTTATAAGAGAATAACGATCAACAAAGTCATTCTTTTTTTTTTCTTCCTCTTTTGATCGACACACAAAATAAATAAGCTTTTTTATTACTATTATTATTATATTAAATCATATTCCATGCATTTTTTTTTTTTTTTTTTTTTTTTTTTTTTTTTTTTTTTTTTTTTTTTTTGCATTGCTATTCTGCTTTCCCCCAAATACATTTAATATAACACACATATTTTCTAATATTCTTTTTATTAAATTAATCAACTTTGTAGCTTCTTTTTTTTTTTTTTTTTTTTTTTTTTTAACAATCTAAATTTATACAATAACTTCACATACAACAAGTATGTAAATTCTTTTTTTTCAAGGAGAAATATGCATATATAACATATAATATGAAGAAAAAAATGTTGATTACATATATAGGGTCCTATAAAGTTACCAAACATAACTTAAATATAACACTTGGGCCATTTATGAATCGAAATAAACTTTTAATACAATACACACAACAACAATAAAAAAAAAAAAAAACTTGTGTATTAGTCAATCTTCGACTAAAGTAGAAAGATATTTACCTTATCCCTCAATCGAAAAACACGCATACGCACGCACACACACAATAGTGGATGATGTAAGTTATTATAACTGTTCATTTTTACGTAATAATATCCTATCTTTGCTACTCTTTCTGTAACCATACTACTGTTGTATTACTATAACTCAAGTTTATTACCTCTGCCGTATATATAGTATACCCTAAATTAGAATGATATTCGTTTCGTTTAAGCATATATAAACTATATTAATTTTATTTGAATAAATCTGATATAAAGAATGCAATTGACGTGTATGAATAAAGATAGAAACACTTGAGTAGCTTTTTTTTTTTTTTTTTTTTTTTTTTTTTTTTTTTTTTTTTTTTTAGTTGAGATTGCTATATCTTTTTTGTAAACCTTCAATGTATCCTTCATCACCAATATAAGTTTCTTTAACACTAGGACGAGAAGTAATGCCCTTAAAGAACTCAGCTAATCTGGTGCTGGATTTAATTGCATCGAATTCATAGCCATTCAAATATCTTTTGTTAAAAGCAAAAATACGCATGATGAAAGGTGCAATAGCAATATCGGCCAATGAAAACTGTTCACCAAGGAAATAGGGTCCAGAAGCTGATTCTTTTACTAATAATTCATTAAACTTGTAGAAAAAAAAAAGGAAGTTGTATGATGTTAAAGCTCTTTTCTTTTCTTTCTTTTCTTTTCTTTTTTTTTTTTTTTAGTAATAATAATAATAACTTACGCGAATTAAAGCATCATTGGTATTCTTTTTAAATTCTTCAATTGCATTTGCATCAGTGTAATTAGGAATAAGTTTATAAAGTGTTGGTGCAACTTTAGAACCGAAATATTCAATAGCAAAGCGAATATTGGCCCGTTTAATAGGTTCTTCGGGTAACAACCTTAAAATAAATAAATAGGTAAATAAATAAAGACTTTTCTTTTTTTTGAGATAGAATTAAAAGTTATTATTTACTTTTTCTCGGGAAAACGGTCATGAAGATATTCAATAATAACTAAAGATTCAGCCAAGTTTTGACCTTCAGTATGAATAGTTGGGACTTTAAGTTCCGGATTAATGTCCTTATACCAAGTGGGTTTATTGAGCAAATCAATTTGAATTGACTCAAAATTCGCTCCCACTTCTCTCAATGTGATAGCAGCGCGTTGTGCAAAGGGACAGATTAAAGAAGTATACAAAGTGATTTTATCTAATATGATGAATAGGTATCATTTAGTTTGAAAATATTTATATATATATATATATCTTGGATTATTTTCTTGTTTTCAAATTATTACCTGTGAAGACCATTCTATTTAAGAAAATAAATAAATAAATGAATAAAACGACGATTTGCTCTCTATTTATATAATGTCGGAGTAATATCCCACTACTACTACTATTACTTACTACTTACTCATATTTATCAGCTTGATTATTAATTATTGAAAAAAAAAATGATAGGAATACTCTGGCCAATCATGGATAATAAAAGCATCGGCATAAATGAAAAACGATAAAAAAAAAAACTCTTGATTAATAATTAAAAAATTAATTCGAATAGAAGCTTAGTTATTCAAAAGAATTCATAAAACGATATTTTTTTTTGACTAATGTCTATATATCAAATAAACTTGTATTATTCTGGAAAAATAGGGAGGGAGGGAGGGAAAAAAACTAATAAAGTATATACATATATTTTTATATGAACAAACTATTACAATTATGAATATGTATACATATATATTTTGTTGAATCACAAAGAGTGAATAATAATATGTACACATATTACATATCTTTTTACATGCTTGGTGCATTTGAGGCATCAAGGTAATCGCCATAATTGGGAACTGGAACAAGCTTCGTATCACCTTCTTTAAGTTGATCAACTGGGGAAGTTATAAAGTTATGATAAATTTCAGGAGATTTAGGAGAATTGATCGATTGTTTCATCATATCTCTTGTGTCAATCCTAGTTACAACAGCATCAGATTCATTACGAATAATTTCACGAGCAGCAATGGTGGAGACACGACGAATAGATAATGCTTCACGTTTTTCTGCTTCAGATAATTTAGAAGTTTCTTTATCAAGCATATTCTTAAAGAGAGTATCAGGATCCGTTAATGCACCTAGCGCTCTACGCAATCGCGTATCAAGATAAGAAAGTCCAACTTCGAATGAGGCATTCATCCATCCAAAGCCTTCTCTTGAAACATATTTAAAGTCTACACCTACATTACCATATTCTACTTGTACTTGATGAGAAAGGTTAACTACATCAAATTTTTCTGGAACGACACCATTAAAATCGACAAAAGATTTTGTAATACTAGGAAGAGGAGGAGGAAAAAAAAAAAAAAAGGAAATTAATATTTTTTTTTGTATATACACGTATTTAAATATAAAACAATATACTTACGTATACAAGAAACGATACGCTAAACGACCAGCAATATCAGACATACCATAATTATCAAAAGCAGCCCAAGACATAATTTGATGAGGAGCCCAGCCAAAAGGGAAATCCCATTGTCGATTAGGACGATCAATCGAGACAGGACCTCGGGATTGTTCTGTACCAGAAACTAAACCACCTTTGACTTCAAATTTATATAGACTCTTTTTCAATCTTTGAGCTTGATCTTGAGAGGCACAACCTGCCCACATGGGCCAATAAGCCGTAGCACTCTCATAGGTAGTCATCTTTTCTTTGACAGTATCATAATCAAAATAAAGATCTTCTTTTTCATTCCATAAATAGGTATCTATTCTTTTGCGTCTTAGAGATGCTCTATCTGACCATTCCTCTGCTGTTTGTTTGTTTCCATCAAAATCTTCAAGCTCATCATCTAAAATATCACGAATACAATCTGCTATATCCGTTTCATATTTGTATAATAGAGCATTCAAGTCTACAGTCGCCAGGTTAGCACATATACCATCGAAGCGATAGGTTGTATCATGGCCTGATTCTCTAACAGCACGATCATGTAAAAAGTATTCATCCAGTTCTGGCTCGGAGAGTTGACCCTGATTATACATATCATTAAATTCAGGGATACTAACATTATATTTCTCAGCATATTTTTTGATGATATGATCAAAATGAGAGGCCTCTGTTTCAGGTGGGATACCTATACCATCGGGTCTATAACGAGATAGCATTGTCTTTTTATCTAATCTAGGTTCAGCCATCCATACAGTATGATATTCTTTAATAGCCGACTTTAGTATCTCACGTAACCAAGCTTTATTTTCTTCTTCATGGGAGGGGTCGAGATGCTCATATACCTTGATAGCCATGTCAGTTAAGAAGGGAGGTTGAGATCGACTCAGATAATAGGAACGATTAGCATTTAAGATTTTACCATAATGTTTAATCTCGTAAGCAAAATTTTCCACCATGCCCTTTGCAAGATCGACTCGACCATCTACTAAAAGACCTAATGATTCAAAATAAGAATCCCAACCATACATTTCATTAAAACGACCACCGGGTACGACGAAGGGGACACCCTGAAAGTCAACGTTTCCACGATCATCAACGACTCTCTTCATTGCTAAAGCTAAAATTCCCGGCTTATCATTAATGCTCTTTACATATTCAGGAGTAATGTCCTTGGGTAGATATTGGACATCTAATTGAAGATTCGGTCTAGCCTCTGCTACCCTTTTATAATAATCATAAATCTCAGTTTCGTCATAAGGAACATAGATTCTAGGCGCAATATTCCTGGTTCTATTTTTAGGATCAGCACTAATCGATTCGAGACCTACGCCATCAATAGTCCTTGTCAAGTTATCCCAAAAGAGATGACGAATCATTCTTGATAAACGATTAACAGGATTCTCATTTAGTCTTGCCTCATCCAGGACAACATATTTACGCCCAAAATCCTTTGCAAGAGCAAGTTCTTGCAAGAGATTAGATAGCATATAATTACCACGAATTTGAAATCGTTTATAACCTCCAGAATCAGCTGTACCAAGAGACAATGTCTTTGGACCAAGATCATTAATAGTAATTTGAAAATCACCATCCGTATCCTCTTGTTCTAAAATATGTGTTAACGTAGCATCCACATCAATTAAAAAACGACGACTTTTGCCTCTATCCTCTATAAATAAATAAATATATACATTAATTCAAAAAGAAAAAGAAAAGAGAGAGAGAGAGAGAGAGAATAGTGAAAGCTTTACCATAAGATGCGCGCCTTTGTATACCAGTATTTAAAAACTCCCTTGTATCTCCTGAACAGAAACTAGTGCCGTTTCTCTAATAAATTACTTGCCTATTAGACTTTTTTTTTTATATATATCCTTCATTTATTTATCGAATCAAATTTACCGTATAGGTTCTTGTTCTATGTTTAGGTGCATTTCTTCCAGTAGTATAATAAGTTGAAGGAGGAGCGGTAGGGTCTACAGATTCTCTTCTATTGTTATTAAACATGATTAAAGAATAAATAAGAAAAAGAGAGAAGAATAAAAATAAAAATAAAAAGGTTAAAAAATAAAAATAAATAAGAATAAATTTTATTATTAAGATACCCTTGTGCTTTTTTAGATACTATTCTGTGTTGTGTATTGATTAGTTTAAAGTTATAATTTAATAGGTTTTGCATAATGACGATAAGTACAAATTAAGGATACACTTTTTTAAAACTCCGGAACCACGTCCTTTACATTAAAATTCTTGCAATTTTTAAACATTTACTATTTCATTTAAAAAAAAAAAAACTATTTTATTATTCTTTTTCTTCATTCTCTATTTGTATATAAAAGTTTTCAAGTGAAGATAATAATAATAATAGAATGTGTAATAAAATATGAATAGATTTTCTTCAAACCAGAAAAAAAAAAAAGAAATTTAAATCTGGGTTTTTTTTGTAATGACGACATATATACATGTTATAGGTCTCTGCACCTTCATCTATTTAATAGACTAAAATACATGTATAAATTTCTTTTAAAGACAAAAAAAAAAGAAAAAAAAAGGGGGGACTTAATCTTCATTATTATCATAGACTCGTAATGACATAAATAACAATGATATAAATTAGTTAAATATAAGGCATAAATAAACAGTTAAAAAAAAAAAAAAAAAAAAAAAAGATTTTAAATTAAAACCTTGGAATTTATAATATAATATAATGTTTAACTTTAAATAGCCACTAAAAAATAGATATATACACGTTTATGATAACTTACACCTTATCCTCTTTTTATTATGAAACAAATGGTTACCTTATAAAATGACTGTCATGTACAATACTTAATGCGTGACTTGAAATATGCATAATCTACTCAGGCACACGCAGCTACCACTATGAATTGATTTATTGAATGGGAAGGGGAGCTTTACTCTAGCACAGGAAACATGTGAAAATAAATTATTATAGTGTGAATTACCTCCATTTATAATATATAAACTATTTCTTTCAATGAATAGACATATTATCTAACTAAAAGAATAACCCATTCCTTCCATTCTTTGAATGAAAGTAGTAATTGTACTCCTTTATAATATACATCATGTCCTATTAACAATAAAAAGAAATGAAATTCTAAAATTCAATAGTCAACTTCATGTGTGCTTTTTTTTTTTTTTTAATATATACTGTAACATAAAAAGCCATCAACTATTCCCACAAATCAGTTTATTTAAATAGAAAACAAAAAGAAAGAAAAAAGGATTATTAATTTTTAGAACAATGAGAACTTTGACAACATATTTGTATACAATTGGCAACATTTTCTTTATTGTTGAAAATCAAAATAGTAGGAGTCATTTTTATTAAACTCTCAGTTTAAAAAAAAAAAAAAAAATATTTATACACATATAATGCGTTTATTGTTGTTTCCATGACTACTTTTTTATTTGTCGCTTTATAAAATTCCCATTCTTTTTTATTTTATTCTATTTTATTTTATTTATTATTTTATTTATTATTTTATTTATTTTTCTTCAATAATAGATAAATTAAAACCCTTTTTTTTTCTTTCTTTCAAGAGTAAATCATGTCTCCTTCTGCTTCAGCAAGTACCGACAATAATACAAAGCCTTTACCAGGACATGTTGGGAATTTAACAATCAAGGAAACGGATATGCTTAAAAAGATGTGGGCTCGTCTTATTGATCTTTTTAAACAAAAAGGTACAGAATATAAAGCTATAGAAAAGAAAGAAGAAACAATAGCAATTAAAAAGAGTGGATGGTTCTCCAAGAAAGAATCGAATACAAATGAAAATAAGGACCTGTTTATTGGAGCCACAAAGGATCCTTCTTGGTTATCATTACCGCTCGAAAGGGCATTACCCCTGATTCCAGGTAAAGAACTTCGTTCCACTTTTTGGAGCATGGTAGCTACAGATAATCCAGATGCTGTTATTCTTCGCTTCTTACGTGCTCGTAAATGGGATTTAGATGCTGCTTATAATATGTTGGTAAATACACTTCGTTGGCGTTTAGTGATGCGTCTTGATGATATCCTTGCTCTTGGCGAAAATGGTCTTCGGGATGAACTTAATCAACTTAAACCTAAATTAGGTGATTGCTTTATTACTCAACTCAACTCTGGAAAAGCTTATTTAGGTGGCCCTGATAAAGCAGGACGTGGTATTTGGTAACTATCTATAACTCTCTCTCTCTCTCTCTCTTTAAAGGCCTCTAAAACTCCTTAACTAACCCTATTTATCATTTTTATTTTTAGTTTTATTAATGTTTGTCTTCATCATAAAGAAGATCAACCAATGGAAATTATTAAACTTTTAACAATGTACATTATGGAAACTTCTCGTGTTGTTGTTCATCAACCTGTTGAAGCTGCTTGTATTGTATTTAATATGGAAGGATTTACACTTAAAAATATGGTGCGTAAGAAAAAAAAGGGAGGGAAAGGAACATATATATATATATATATTTTGGAAAAGAGAGAGAGAGAGAGAGGAGGCTGCATGTGTGTGATCAAGAAGTATGATTAAGGAAAATCAACAAAAAAAAAGAAAAAAAAATACAAGTGTAACAATTAATATAAACTCTATTTTTTTTTCCATTATAGGATTTTGATTTTGTTAAATTTTTATTAACTTGTTTCGAAGCATATTATCCTGAAACATTAGGCTCTTGCTTGATTCATAAAGCTCCTTGGGTCTTTTCTACTATTTGGCACTTAATTACACCTCTTTTAGATCCTGTTGTCGCTTCAAAGATTCATTTCACAAAGGATGTAAAAGAATTATCAAATTATGTTGATGTCTCTGCTTTACCTGCTATTATCACTGGTGATAAAGATAAAAAGACTTTAGATGAGTCTATCAAGGTGGATCCAGTTGCTCCTGGTACATTAGAGGAACCTACTACTGTTGCTTACCAAGAATATCAAGAAATGATTCACGAATATTTAACTGAAACTGATGAATGGATCAAGACGCAGTCTACAGAAAATGATAGTAGTATGACAACGATACGTCGTGAATTTGCAAGACAATATCGACTTGCTCGTATTAAGGCTGAATTAGATATTAGAGGTCCTACTAGTTACCAAGCAAAGGGTCTTGTCACTATTAACAATGAAGGTCGTATTATACTTGACTATAGTAATGATGGTTGGGTTCCATTGGATATTACTGAAATGGTTTAATATTATATTATTTATTACATTCTCTTGATATACATACTTATTTATATAATTATCTTATTTTATTATTACTTTCTCTACTTTAAATAAATAAATAATAATAACAAAAAAAAAAAAAAGATTACATAATACTACTGTATATAAAACTTACAAACACTTATTGGGTTTTTTTTTATTTTTTTGCTGTATATTATCGTTTATGTATACATCCTTATATTCTCATGTATATGAATATGTATATGTATATCTATTATCATTTTATGTATTATATTATTCGGCAAGTTTAAATAGACATGATTAAATCACGGGGTAAACGTATTATGAAGAAATGTTTCGTCTATTGTCATTGTATTAATTTCGGAAAAATAGTAAATTATAACTAATATGTGCAACAGCATTCTCCTTTTATTATGCATTTTAATACCGGATAAAGTAATAATAATAATAAATACACATGTATAGGTAGATAGATGGGTAAATATTATATATTATTAAGCAATAATCTGTTACTGCTGTATTTTTCATCGTCAATGATATTAAGTATTTTTACTTTAAATTCAGACAATATTAGCGTGATATTTATTTTAAAATATCAAATAAAAATATTAGAAAATAAAAAATAATATGAAGATAAAAGAAAGTCAACGAGAGCGAACAATAGTTCTAAAGTCAATCAATTTTATTTATGAATTTAAATTAATAGGGTATTTATAAAAATTGTTAAAGAAGTCTGACATAAGATGTGAATCAGAAAAGCGTTAGTTAATGACCGAATAAGATATGTTATAGATAATAAAATGCTAGAAGTTTTTAATATTATTTGATGAAGTGGATCAAGAGAGTTTCAGGAGAATCTATATAGAATTCCTTGGATCCCTATATTTAATTAAGAAACATGACATTATAAGTCAGCCCATGACAGTTAGTTGTTTTTTTTTTGTTGGATGAATCAAAATTAAATTTTAAAGCTTTTACCTGAAATAGAATAAAGGGCTCTGCCTACTATCGCAGTGGTTAGATATTCAGTTCATCAATCTAATGACACATGTTTTTGTTCACCAGAAGCTGTTATTAGGTAACAATTTATTCAAGAGTTTTCATGTTGCTGTCTGTTAGTTGTTAATAGATAAAAGAGGTTTCTATACGCTCAGGTTGAAATATTACATTAATATGGTCACTACTATTGCCAAGAAGAAGTCTTGTGGTATCATAACTAGTTCATCTTTCTTCCCCCCCCCCGCCCTCATCTCTCCGCTCATTACATAGTACATATACTTTTCTTTTACTCAAAAACTTAAGTCACTTTTAAAACATTTATTCAACTTGTTTGGGGGGGAAAAATAGTATTATATTTAAGATAATGTTCCCAATTTAGTTTTACATAGATGGTGATGGTGAACATGTTTTCAAAATAGACAATGGTAATTAGTAATATACTCGGTTATTGACTTGTCATCTTTTCATTCTCAAATGGGAAGAGTGCACGCTTAATGTCTTTGTAATATTCATGTAAAGCAGTCAAAAGAACTAATAAGATACAACTATCAGAGTGTTTTATGTTTCTAAAAGAAAAGCCAAAAAAAAATAAAGTAAAATAATATTATCTACATTAATGCAAAATAATACATTTTATTTGTATTAAGATCAATTCCATGAAAACTGGTCTGATCATCTGTAAGTTATTTATCGCGTTTGCTCAGATAAAGCGCCACCTTATACGTGTATATTTACATAGTTTGATACGTTTTATATCGTCTTGTTTAGCTAAAGTCAGATGCAAGGACTGCAGCAAACCTGGGCATCATACACAAAGAAGTAGTCAATGCGAATACTTTGCATCAATATCATCACATGGTAAATACACATTTGTTTATATACATGACATAGAAGATATAACAGCAATATCTAATATCCATGTACATAACATAGTTGGTACAAAGCATAAAAGAATTGAGTCAAAAGGACAGAAACTTGATGCGAAACAATATAGTAATGAGGCTTGACAAGTAGAAAATAGGGCTGTATGCCAAGACAGTCATAAAAGTTCAAGATCAAAAGAATGTCTAAACAAGAAGAAATACAAATGCTGTTGGGGAATTATACTAACATAACAAGAAAGATAAGACTGGACACAATAACTAAGGCAGACATACAAGGCACACATTACAGATAAGATACGAATAGTATCAGACCGCATTCCCAGTCTTTTTTGTTTTTAGTGAAAATAAGGTTGAAACTTTGCCACATGATATCTAAGATTTAACTTTAGCTTTTTTAAAAATTTTGACTTGTCAGTAGCTGTTTATATAGTAAAAAGCATATTAATAGTGTATGTATAAGGCTCAAAAAAGTCATTCTGTTTTTTTAATAAAGCAGTAAAAATAGATAACCAATCACTTTGATTAACAATGTCAAGACATTTTGGATAACTCAAAAGTTTTTATTAAAACTAATATTATATATGAGTACTGAGTACTCAAGTTAAATGGAATCTTGTTTGATCTACCCTTTACAGTGTTGTATCCAAGGAAAAAAAAAGAATATTTATTTATAAATAGGTTGTAAAAAGTCAGTATTTATTTGTTCAATTATAGGAACTTTGTTATATGGACTACGAGGTTTAATAAGTATAAATTGCCGTCGGATTCAATAGTATCTTTTTATTAAAGATGTATTAACAAAAAAGGAAAAACGACGAAAGGCCCTTTTGAAAAACGAAGACATTCAGTTTATTGTAGTACACATTATGCGCTGTCTTAAATTTTATTATATTTTTTTCTGATTACTACATAAAAATAATTTTTTGGAGAGCACATTTCTACTTTTTTTCATCAACAAAAACCAATATATGTGTAATACACACACACACACACACACGCATACACATATACATACGTACATACACGCCTTCATACCAAAAAAAAATGATGTAATAATATAATATACATAATTTATTCAAGATACATTACTGAACGATAAAATATGAGCTATTATCTATACAATAAAAAATAACACACATAATCTTTTTTTATACTTTTTTAGTAATTTTTTTTATAACAGCTTGAGGGTCAATTTCGGAAAATTTTTTCTACCGTTTATCCGTTTTATTGTTTACTATCTTTTATTACTATTTGATCCCTTAATTTAATTGCAGAAAAAAAAATAAAAATAAAAAAAGAGAGATACTATATAAACCCATTCATTTCTGACTTTTCTCTATTTTTATTTTTTTTATTTTTTATTGTTATATTTATTTATTTATTGAAAGTATGGTGTTTGACAATACAACATCGTTAATTATTGCATTAAAAGGTTCTACTAATATCGAAGATGAGGGTCGCATTATTCGTTTTGGTAATGGTGCTAACTTGGACACGATTCGTGGCCTTGCTGCAGAAAAATTAAGCATAGTTAGTGGCATTGCTGATATTCAATTTTTGGACGTAAATGAGCGCTTAATAGATAGTATTGATTCCCTCAGAAATCAACAAGTAGTTTATATTGATATGAAGCAACAAATCAAAGAAATTATTCCTGGTCCTGCCTGTTTACCTTTTGTAGGAAGTCTTTATGAATTATTACCCAACATGTAAGTATTCAATGACTATTCTTTATCATGTATCCAAGTAGCTTACTTTACTTTTTTTTTTTTCCTTTAAAGAACTGAAGGTTGGGATCGTCAATTTAAAGCTTATGGTCCTCTGGTTGAGGTAAATATATTGGGAAGGAAAGTAGTTGGAACCAATCATCCAGATATTGCAGAAATATTTGCAAAGGAATCTGAATATTTTACAAAGAAAGTAACAAATTCTGGTTTGATGGAGATTAAGGCATTTGGTGGTCAAGGTCTTTTTACATCAGATACAGATGAAATGGATTGGAAACTTGCTCATAAGTTGTTGATGCCTGCATTTAGTCCTAGAGCTGTGAAGGTAAAACTTCTATCATATATATATATATATATATATAATGGTCTTATAGAATATAATGATATTTATACTTTCCTTTAGGTTTACCAAAAAGAAATGGGTATCATTACTCAACAAACTATAAAGATTTTTGAACAATATACACCTGATGAGCCTGTTGAAATTCTGGATTGGACAACTAATCTTACATTTGAAACAATTGGTCGTATTGGATTTGGATATAATTTTAATATACTTTCAAAACGTGATCAACCACCTAATGAATTTATTGAAGCTATGGGCTATTGTTTAAAGCAGGCTATCCAACGTATGCAACAGGCTCAATTTATGAAGCGTTTACCTCTCGAGGCAAATCGTAAGTTTGATCGAGCAGTAAAGTTAATGCATGATACAGTGGATACCGTGATTGCAGAACGTAAGAAAAGCCCAGATGCTGGTAATATGGATAAAGACTTGTTGGGTTATATGTTAAATGCTCGCGATGAACATAACTTGGGATTATCGGACGAAAATATCCGTGATCAGGTCGTTACCTTTTTGATTGCTGGACATGATACGACTGCTAATACACTTGCTTGGACTCTTTATGAACTTTCTCGACATCCTGATATTCAAGCCAAGGTACTTCAGGAAATTGCTGATAATCATATCACTTGGGACACTTTACCTACTTCTGAACAAATCTCAAACCTTAAATACATGCATCAAGTCATTAAAGAAGTACTTCGTCTCTATCCTCCTGTTCGTTTTCTTGGAAAATTCTGTAAACAAGATTGTATTGTTCCCGGTGGTTACAAAATCAAGGCTAATACCTCATGTTCTATCAGCGTCTATTCGTTACATCATAATGAGGCTGTTTATCCTAATCATAATCATTTTGATCCTGACCGTTGGACGAGTGAAGAAGAACAGAAGCGTTCTCGATTTGCTTGGTTACCATTTAGTACAGGTCCTCGTGGTTGTATTGGTATGGCATTTGCATTACAAGAGGCAAAGACAGTCTTGGCTATGCTCTTGAACCGTTTTGAATTCCGCTATGATGGTCCTGATGTACAATATGATCCCAAGATGGCCACTACAAAACCTGTAGACTTGAAAATGACAATTCATCCTCGTGAAAATTTCCCTGAGCCTGGTGCTCAAACCGTTCCTCCTTCAGCCTCTTCCTCGTCTGCTGGCATGGAAGATAAAAAGGCCGATTTACCTGCTTTCCCTACTGCATCTACCTCAAATGTTGATTTGCCTCCTGTCACATTCTTGTTTGGTACACAGACCGGTACAGCCCAAGATTATGCCAATCTACTTGCAACTCAAGCCAAAAATTTTGGCTTCAAGAAAGTGACTCTTTGTGAAATGGATAACTGGAAGGTGCTTCAGGATGGAAAATTTATCTCGAATGATCAAAAAAAGCGTTCCGATCAGGAACTGGTTATCATCTGTACTGCCACCTATAATGGCCAACCTCCTGATTCTGCTGAAAAGTTTAACAAATTCCTAGATGAAAAATTGATGTTAGATAATCATGAACACCTTTTAAAGGGTCTTTCTTTCGCTGTCTTTGGTCTTGGTAACAAGAACTGGCAAACTTATCAAGCTTTCCCTATTAAAGTAATTAATTTTCTTGAGGAACTTGGTGCTGATCAATTCTTTACAAGTGGTGAAGGTAAATTACTTTTTTCAAATTTGAATGATGGCATTTCATATAAATTAAAATCCCCCCTTTTTTTTAAAAAAAAAAATAGGTAATGCTGATAAAGATATGGATAGCGTTTTTAATGAATGGTGTGCCCATTTTTGGACCCACACTTTGGACGCCTATGGTCTCATTGCTTCTGAAACTAATTCTGTTGTTCCCACAGCTGCATCTACAGTCTCTAGTCAGAAGACAGCAGTTAAAGTCAAATTTATTCAACCAAATGAAAAAGACGCTTGGAAAGATGCAAAGAATAATTATTATGGTGAACCCAAGGCGGTCTTTCAAGTAAATCATGAACTTCAAGCTGAAAACTCTCCTCGTAGTACTCGTCATGTTGAAATTGATATCTCTAAGTTGAAATCCTCTGTTGATGACAAGGAAGGTCAAGTCCTTTACCAAGCAGGTGATCATTTAGAAATCATGCCTGAGAATGATCCATCGGCTGTCGAAACACTTGCTTTAAGATTTAACTGGATCTTAGATTCTGTATTTGAAATTGACCAAGAATCCATTTCAGATGTGTCTCCAAGATCGTTAGCTGCTAATATAAAGGGACCCTGTACAATCCGTAATATGCTTACGTATTATGCAGATATCACCTCTCCACCCTCTCGTGCTGTCCTTGGTTGTTTCTCTGCTCAACTCAAATTAGTGGCTCCAGATACAGCATCTACATTTGAAAAACTCTTAATGCCTGATACAAATAATCGAGATCTTTACCCTGATTTCATTAAACAGTATCGCACCTTATTGGATTTACAAGCTGCCTATCCTCAAGTCAATCAATTGGATCTGGGCCAATTTTTAGCAGCCGTCCAAGTCATTCAACCTCGTCGTTATTCAATTTCCTCATCCCCCTTGGCCTATCCTCATTCTGCTCACTTAACTGTGGGCATTGTAGATGATGTCGTCAACGAAAAGCATTATTATGGTCTAGCATCACACTTTATAAAATGTAGCACAAAAGGTCTTCAGCTTCGTGCTAATTTGAAATCATCCAAGAACACCTTCAGTTTACCCAATGATCCTAAAGTCCCCCTAATCTTGATTGCAGCTGGTACTGGCTTAGCCCCCTTCCGTGGTTTCCTTCAAGAACGTAAAGCTCAATTAGAACGTGGTGAAGAGATTGGCAAGGTGGTGTTGTTCTTTGGCTGTCGCCGTAAAGACCAAGACTTTATTTATCAAGAAGAGCTTGAAGAATATATCAAATCAGGCGTTTTGACTAAATTACATGTTGCATTCTCTCGTAGTATTGAAGTATCTCCAAAGAAATACGTACAACATGAGATCTTGTCTAATGCTACTGAGGTCTGGAATATGCTTTATCCCGACGATGATGAAAAAAGCTTACCTGCTGCTGTCTACGTTTGTGGCAGTGGTGCAATGAGTCGTGATGTTCGTCGCACTTTCTGTACTATGGCCACCTTTTTCGGTATGGCTTCAAATAATGAAGAGGCAGATAAAGTCATTAATCAACTTACAAATGAAAAGCGTTATTTATGCGACGTTTGGGGTTAATAATCACACACATACATACATACATATATACATGCACACACATTATCTTTTTGTCATATTTATTTATTTTATTTTATTTTTTTATAAAAAAAGCTATATTTATTTAATAAATAGATCATAATGTAATTTTTTATTACTCTAATAACTGTTCGTTTTTTTTTTTTTTTTTTTTTTTTTTTTTTTTTTCAACACTGAACCTATTTATATGGGTGTGTATGTAGTAATTCAAATACAAAAATGATAGAATTTGATCTGTTTTTTTTTTTTTTTTTTTTTTTTTTTTTTTTTTTTTTTTTAATAACATATAATTATACACACATACATACACATATATATTAATTATACTATCGATGACTGTAATCGCAAAAGAAGAAAATGTTAAAGAGACAAAATTAAAAACATATAAAAAAGGACACTTTCTATTTCCAACGGCCAATGGTAGACAAGATGTTTTAGCTTTAAAGCAGCAATTAGCGGATGCTTTAGGTGAAAATGGACCGTTGTATTGGGATGCATTAAGAGATTTTGTCATGGGAAAACTTAATCGACAAGAGTTTGATTTTTATGCTAATCTTTATCTAAGTAGACAAAATGGTAATGCAAGTTTTAGATGTAATAAAAAAAAGAGATTTACATTTTATTAACCTTTGCAATTCTAATAATAGCACATCTTCACAATGCATTCATTCTAAGTACAGTACATAATGCACAAATGAATACACCACCCCCTTCCAAACATCGACTTGTTGGTTGGGCGAAACGAAAGAGAGGGAAAGAGGGTAACTTGGCAGATGGAGAATTTGATCATGATCCAAGAAAGCGAAAATTAAAAGCCGATGTGATGGCCCTTAGTAAAGCAGAGCGTGAACGATTAAAAGCACTTGTCAAGGTACAACAACAAATAAAGCAAATGTTTATATATTATAGTACATAGATATAAAATGGTTGATGACCTCTTTTATATATTATTTATTTATTAGGCAGGAGATAAAAATAATCTAAGACCTTTTGTGAGTCGATTATTAGGACCACGTATAAGTCAACCACCCACTTTACCGTTCTCTTCAAATCAACTACCACAAAGTATAATGCACCCTTTATTTTAATATTTAAATTCATTTGTTAAACTAAAAAAAAAAAAAAAAATTGTTAATAATAGATTATAGTCAAGAATATTCAAAAGGTTTAATGGCGCCACTATGCATTGATCTAAAAGAACTACCATCCCCAGAGACCCTACATTCAAGATTAACAAGTATTGCCTTGGAGAATGGATTATTTGGAGGTATAGGTGAAGATGTTGTGAACGTGATGTTGTTTGCCGCTGAGGTAATGCCGATCATTACTCCTTCATATCTTTTTTTTTTTTTGGCTTGCTAATGTATGCTTTATAGTATTATATTAAATCATCTATTACAACTGCAATAAGCAAAAGAAGAATTAATCGATGTATTGGAGCAAGATTATTACAAAAAAAGGATAATGAAGATCATGATATGAATGAAACAGAAGAAGATGACACAGGAGAAGAACGACAGTCATCGATTACCCTACGCGATCTCGCTTTTGCATATCATATTACACCTTATGTATTGGTAGAGAAACCATTGAATGCAGAAAAGCTAACAGCATTATTAAGCGACAGTGATGACGAAACTATTGTAGATAACTTGAGTGAAAATAGCTCAGAAGAGGATTTCGATTTATAAATAAATAAATATATATGTGTATATATACATAATAATAAAATGATGATGTGCAAATATATATATATGTATACATGACATACACAACTATCGTTCATGATCTCTTTTATTATCAAATCTTTGTTGAAGGGAATCAGAAAAGGACGCACTTAGGGCAGCTGCTATAGTTGCAGTTAAACCTATGGTTGTATAAGCTATTTGTTGCCTTGTTGTATTACTCTTTATCATCAATTTTATTAATGTTTTCTTTAATGTGTTTTCAACAGGTCCTCTCAAAAATAAGTATAGTAAAATCCAATAAAAGGCACCTTTATATGCAAATGATGTATGAAATAACTTTCGCGTCAATCGTATTAAACGTTGTTCTATCCTTGATAAATGATGCCTGATAGGTGCATTTGCATATATACTTTGTGGATGATTATCAGGTAGCATGTGTGGGAAGTAAGCCGTCTGTTGTCTATTCATGAACATGACTGCATCCTCCTCCTCCTCCTCATCCATGATACTATCTTCTACTATTTCTGATGTTAATAATAATTGATTCAGTCGATTTGCTAATTCTTGACTGTCAAATGGATAGTGACGATTAGTAGAATAGTTATTATTAAGTCTAAAAAATGAAGTTAAGAATGAATCTCCCATATGAAATCCATTCAAGAAAAGATATCTTGATTCTACATTATGTCGTATTGTTAATGCTTGTTGTTGTTGTTGTTGCTGTTGCTGCTGCTGCTGTTGTTGTTGTTGTTGATGATGATTATAGAAATAAGAATGAATAGGTGTTAGTGTACCTGGAGTAGCATAGACACTAGGTACTGTAGATGTAAAAGTTGAATGAATAATTTCATATTGTCTTGTAGATTGTCTCGAGAGATATTCTGGTGCATCATAAAACAGACTACTTTCTATAGTCGAAGTCGATGATACAGAAGTGCTTCTACTTCTTGTTGTTGAGACTGAAGGCTCGTTGTTTACCCTATTTTCAAATCTATTTTCAGTTGCATATGTATTTAATATATCATCACACTCTAAACTCCAAACAAAATCGTCTTTTCCTCCGAGAACTAAAAAGATGAATATAAGTTTTTTTTTTATATATGTATATAAAGGAGAGACTATAATACTTCTTTTAAAGAGCTTACTTTTTAATAAATCATTTTCATCAACGATTTGTTTTATTTCTTCATTTGATATAAAATTGATTCGTGCTTTAGCTTGCTCACTTAATACTAATTTAACTACTTGCCATATTCCTTGATACATCCAGCCAAAATTCATAACATAAACAGATCCTATAAATCCGGGAAACCTTGTGTTTGTAATATTCTTTAATGTTTGTATTAAATTTGAATCAATGGGTACAAATGGTGCCTTGGCAATATCAATAATAATAGCGATTTGTGATATTAACACAATTGAATTCTCTTTGTCCTTTTTTGTTTCATTTTCTCTCGTCAAGTCTCTTGTGATCTGTCGTGCAATTTCCATAACAAGACATGCAAAAGGCTGCATAAAATAAGATAGAGGCTTAGTATTGTCATTAAATTTAGGAAAGTATCGCATTTGGACAATGGCAATCGGTCGTCCAATCATATCATATTTATGAAAATAAGCAAACCCATTAAGGTTAAAGAATTCAGAGGCAACTGAATGATACGTCATGCGTCCTATCTTTTCTTCTCTTCTCCATTCTATTGTATCTAATAATCTTTCAACTGTCTTATCTTCCGAGAATCCAGTGTCCTTTAAAAATCTGAATAAAGTGACTAAAAAAAAGAAAAGAAAAAGAAAAAGAGAGAGGATATATCATAAATACTGAGACTATAATGATAGTATACAAGTTATCTAATATACCTCGGTCGTTAATATAGTCAATGGCATCGCTTTTGTCATTCATGTCAAATCCAAGTAAATCAATGTCTTTATATAATCTCTTTTGCACATTGGTAATTGCATCTTGATATTTTATGTATTCATCGTTAAATAGTACACTGTTCTCTCGTGCTACCGACAACATGACATGTATAAGAGTAAAAACAAAAATAGAATAGAATAGAATAAAATAAAATAAAATAAAACAAAAAAAAAAAAAAAATCCCCAGTCTTTTTAGTAAAATAAAGTTGGCGGGATTTTTTTTTTTTTTTTTTTTGGAATCCAAAAGGTAGCACTTTATATACACTACTAATAATCCCAAGAACTCAATTAACATCCTCATTAATACTCCATTAATCTAAGGATTATAAAAATGAATCATCAATGAACGTATTCAGGTTAATAAAGAACTCGATAAGAAAAGGTATTTTCTTCTTTTGAATGGTAATTAAATCAGTGTAACTCAAGAGACTTTAATCAAATCCTTGTACATTTTAATAAGGAAATAGCTGCTGAAGTTGTAGTATTATGTAAGTTGATTTTTTTGATTTTCGACGCATAGTAGCCATAAATATAGGAATAATAACAAAGAGATTTCTTACTATTGATTATTAATTGGTTGTCGTTCATAAATCAATGCCGGTTGATTTTAATGTGATACGCTTTTTTTTAAAAAAAAAAAAAAGAAAAAAAAAAGTTTAAACATATAAAGTTAAAATCTTTCATATTTTTCAAGTAAGCATAGTCTCACTTTTTTTTTTTAAAAAAAAAAAAAAAATTGTCCAATGAAGATGTGGAGAAAAAAGATAAATAATAAATATTGTAATTTATCCTTCGACATCTTTTTAAAGAATTTACTTTACCACAAAAGAGAGGCGAGAATATGTTTGTCAATTAATGTATATAAATTCACTTGAAAAAAAAAATAGTTCATGATGCTTGATAGCATTACTTTTTATTATTATTATTATTATTAATAAATAACATTTTTTTAACGAGATAAATATCCCTTCAGATCTGCATAAGTAATTATTTTAGCAGCATTAGTTATCTAATTATTAATCCTTTCTTTTTTTTTGAGCTTGTCATTATGGAAAGAAGTTTTGATCTCGGACCAGTATTCTACTATTTGAATCAAACATGGTGAACAAGGTAGTAAAGATATAGGCTTTGTACTTTTTTGTTTCCCCTCTTTAACTTGGGATTGCAATAAACTATTAGTATAGATGCATTTTGTAAGTATATATGATTGCAAGTTGTCTGCTAGTAAGAAGCTAGGATGAGTGATAAGGACAATGGGTGGAGTATCCATTTGGAAGCAATCCCAATCGTCAACATATATTCGATAAATGGTATGGGAAACCACAAGATTGTATCTATAGAGATAATAGGTCTGCAAAGAGAAAGGAGTGTAGAGCTAGGCTGAGTATGTCTTTGTTTATTTAAGTTATCATGTAAAATAAAAAAAAAAATCAGGAACAGGAGTACTGACATAAGATGTTGCGAATTTCAGCCAAGCAGAGAGTAAGCTGTACGATTGTAGGGTATGCTTATGTAACAATTTCTGGAATTCAAAAAAAAAAAAAAAAAAAAAAAAAGCACAGTCCAAAAACAGTCCTCGAATCTTCATTAAGAAAAAACTTCATAATAGATAAATAATCACCTCTGTCTAAACATAGCTATATATCTTTCCATTTTATTTTATACAGTATAAAACGATGGCGGCCAAAAAAAGTGTACAAAAGAAAAGCAATAATACCAGTAATAAGATAATGAATAAAAACGCTTCAAAATCTAAAAAGAACCAAACAACCATTATAACTAATTCTCAAAAAAAGAATAAAAAGAACAAAGATCAAAAGGTAAAATTGTCAAAAAAAAAAAGGGGGGAGAGGAGAGGAAAGATCCAGATCCCTAATGGAGTGTATTCTATTTGAATAGGTTAAAGATAAAATACCCGAATATGTTAGTGTACCAAATCAAGATGTTGATGATGATCTTGTTGTTTCAGAGGATGATCTTGAATTCTTTTCAGAAAACAAAGGCTTCACATCTTTCCTGACAAATTTAGATTCTAAAGAATTAACAAAGTAAAATGAATTATAGTAATTCATTTATTTATTTTATGTACTAATAATTAACTTGTAGGAATGTTAAAAAAGAAAGAAAAACACCTGCTAAAAAACCTGTCAAAGAACAAAACGAAGGTTTAGATTCCTCTTCTGAAGAAGAGTTTGATTCAGAAGAAGACTTGGATAATTTTGAAGAGGTAACTGACGATGATAATGAAGAGGAATTAGATTTAGATGATGAAGAGCAAATGAATCAATTATTAGCAGAGGCTGAAGAGGAACATAATTTGAATAAAAAGGCGAAAAAAAAGACAACATCTAACGAGTCTGATGAAGAAATGGAATATGAGTTAAAGCCTAGAAAGGTGGCTAACGAATGGACCAAGAAAGATTATCATAATAAACTACCTATTAAATTACCCGGTGGAAAAATTGCCCAAGTGAAGGAAGAAGAGGCAAAACAAGAAGAGGAAGTGACAATTGCTAGTGATGTTGAACAAGAAGACTTTAGTACAAAAGAAGAAGAAGAAAAAGTTGAAGATCATGAAGAGGATGAACAAGTAGAGGAAGAACCAAAGCTATCCAAGCGAGAATATTTAATCAAAATAAAGGAAGAATTAGCTACAATTGCTAGTGATCTTCAAGCTGATCCTGAAGAGAATATTACACAATTGAAAAAGCTTCGTGATATGTATAAGAAAGAAGAGAATGCAACTATTAAAAAGTTAATTTTATTGACACAGTTAGCTGTATACAAGGATATTATTCCTGGTTATCGTATTCGACCCTTGACTGCTCTTGAAGAACAAACACAAGTATCAAAAGAAGTTAAACGAATGAGAGATTATGAAAAGACATTACTTAATAACTATGAAGCTTATTTGAAGGATTTGAACGCATTATTAACAAGTAAGTTTATATATAAAACTTATTTTATAAAATTGCTAAAATAATAATAATAATACATTAACAGAAAAAAAGACAGAAGAAGATGCATCTATGGCAATGGTTGCTACTCGTTGTTTATGCGAACTTTTAGTTTCAAAGACACATTTCAACTTCCGTTTAGAGATTATGGTAGCTGTAGTAACGCGAATGAGTTCTGTTAAATGGAATGAAGCAGCACAATTATGTAGTGAAGCATTGGTAACAGTATTTGAAAATGATGAGTCTGGTAAAGCATCACTTGACGCTATCAAAATGATTATTCGTATGATTAAATCAAAGGGATATGTTATTCATGAGAATGTGATCAATATCTTTTTACATCTTCGTTTAAGGGATGAAATGGCGTTACCACATGCTAAAAAAGATGAAGAAGAGCAAGTGGGTAAAAAGAGAAAGAATAAGAACAAGCCTTTCTTAACTAAGAAAGCACGAAAGACATTAAAAGAAACAAAAGAGATTGAAAAAGAATTTCAAGAAGCTGAAGCTGTTGTTAGTAAAGAAGAAAAAGAAAAAAATGTGAGTTAAAAAAGATTTTTTTTGTTTTTGTTTTCAATTGATAAAACAAAGGGCTAACATAAATATTATACAGCATACAGAAACTTTAAAGCTGATGTTTGCATTTTACTTTAAAATCTTAAAGAAGCAAACATCTTCACCCCTTTTGCCAGCTGTCTTGGAAGGACTCTCTCGATATGCCCATTTAATTAATGTCGATTTCTTTGATGACCTTTTGAATGCACTTCGTGAAGTAATGCAATTATTTGAAGATTCTAATGCAATTTCTCGTACAAGTTCAGGTACTCGCAAAAGATTACTTTGTATCATTACGGCATTTCAACTATTATCTGGACAAGGTGAAGCACTCAATTATGATCTCAAAGATTTTTATAAAGAAATTTACAAGATTTTATTCAAAGCTACTTTCCATACTAAAATTGAAGAGAAGCCTGATTCACAAAAGGAAACCGAGAGTGAAATGTTGATTAAAGGACTTGAACTTATGTTTTTGAAAAAACGACAAATTCCCATAGATCGATTAGCTGCTTTTATCAAACGATTTGCCTTGGTAGCACTTCATATGCCTAATAAGACAGTTTTACACTGTTTAGCCTTAGTTCACCGACTTATTCAGGTTAGTTTTTTTTTTTTTTTTTTTTTTTTTTTTTTTTTTTTTGTAAATCAGGTTACTCAATATATTTATGTTTATAGAAAGATCATCGTTTAGACGCACTTTTGCAATCAGAAGATAGAGCATCAAGTGGTATATACGCACCATTATTGGAGGATCCTGAACTTTGTAATCCTTTTGGTACAAGTTTATACGAGCTTTTCCTTTACCAGGTATTTTACATAGATATACACATATATATATATTGTCCAAGTTAATTCACTAATTTGTTTTAATATATTAGAATCATTATGACCCTCAAGTTAGAAATTTAGCTAAAGTATTACAACAGCCTACTCAATAAATCCCGAGGGGATTTTTTTTTTTTTTGTTTCAAATAAAACTAATAAATTGTATTTTATTAAAGACTCTGCTTACTTATTGCATAAAAGCGTCTTTAATCAATGTATACACATGCATAATGTGTATATATGTCGTATTCTTAATGATTGTATATAGCTTATATCAACCAGATTATAAATATGTATTCATTCATGTTAATTCAATTTATTTTATAGAATATGTAACATTATAAGGTGTAACTTGATAATTCATAATTACAATATTTGCATAGCCTTACTTTTATCTATTTAGCTTTGGTATATAAGTCGAAGCTTGATAATTTGACGGAATGCCTGATTCTCTGTTATTTATATAATCTATTACTACATACATATTATATCATGACATTACTTGTATAGGTGATATTGTGTACAGTAACCCTCTCCATATTAACCTACTTTTTTTGGGGGAGGAAGGTGAATACGGGTAACACTAATAAAGAGGTACATTACTGTCGTAGTTAGCCGATGACTGTCCGGATTCCATTTAATGTATCACTTTTTTATTCATTTACTGTGTGATCTATCATTATTTATCTATTCAATAATTTGAAAGAAGGAAAGAAAAAAGTAACTTTTTTTTTTCTTTTGTTGTTGTCTCTTTCTCTCTCTCTCTCTTTTTTTTCTTTTTTCTTTTTCTATATTGCTTATATAATCAAATAATAATGTTAGGAATACTATTTTGTTAAATTCAGGATGTTGAACAAATTTAGTAGTTGTAAAGTGGAGAATAACGGCGGGAAAAATAATTTGGTGATTAAAATTTCACCACGTTTTTATTTTTCTTCTTCGAATATATTTTTTCCAAATTTAGTAATTATTAGTTAAAAAATATAGTTTTTCTTATTTTATTTTGTTCTATGTATTTTTTTTTTCTATGACTAAAAGACAGATAAATAAAGAAGAGAAAGAGAGAAAGAAAAGGGTATATTATGTTTATGATTTGGGTCTTGTCAAGATATCCTTTTTTTTTTATGTTAGACTGTAAAAAATGAGTGAGAGAAAGAGAGAGAGAAAGAGAGAAAGAAAGAGAGAGTGAAAAAGTTCATTTGTTATCTTCTAGGGGAAACAGGGCAGTTCTATTGTTATTCATTGTTATTTCTATTGAAGTTTTTTTTTTTTCCTTTTATTATTTACCCTTGTCTGGTGTACACGTGAACCACAGATAAGACAAACACACGCAGTATTGACTGGATAATCGTTAGTAGTAACCATCTTGTTAGTCTTGATTGTTTTAATGAAAAAGAAAAAAGAAAAAGAAAAGAAAAAAAAGTGAAAAATAGAGCTTTTATATAATTTTTCGTTCCCTTCTTTCCTTTTTTTCACGTGAATTTTTGTTGTAACGCGACAATAGATAATAGATCCATACACTATTAAAATAAAAAATCATGCTATTTTATAGAATCATCTTTTTTATTTTTATCTCTTTAGAATTTATAGTATAGAAATATACAACATAGTAAAAAAGATAATATAGATATTTTGATTCTATAATAATATTGGAGGCCCTTTTTTTTTTCTTCTGTTTATTATTATATTTTTCTTCTATAGTATTATAATATATAAAACAAGGTAGTTTCTTCTTCTTTTCTTATTATTAAAATAAGAAAGAAAAGATATATAGATGTATATATATATAAAAGATTTGAATTTATATCGACATGAATATGTGTATATTATACATGTATATGTATATACATACTGTATATGTATATAAAGTGAATAATATGTAGATGGAGGTAAAGGGGAGAGGATGAGAAATGATAGATAGGTTTATTTACTTTTAACCGAAATGGAAACTGAATCCATTTTGTTGACGTCTTCCACCACCTGGGAAACCGCCACCTGGGAAACCACCACCTGGGAAACCACCAGTAGAAAATCCTCCACTTTGGAATCCACCCATACCACCACCAAACATTTGAGCAAAAATATCATTTACATCAACACCGCCCATGCCTCCACCAGGGAAGCCACCCATACCACCCATACCTCCTTCAAGATCAACACCAGAATCATATCTAGCCTTTTTCTCTGGGTCACTTAAAATAGCATAGGCTTCTCCAACTTCCTTAAACCGTGCTTCTGCTTTTGCATCACCATCATTCTTATCAGGATGATATTGAAGTGCTAACTTTCGATAAGCTTTCTTAATTTCAGTTTCAGTTGCACTCTTTGTTAAACCTAAAATCTTGTAATAATCTTTACGTTGTGATTTCTTTAATTCAAGTTCGGCTTTACGTAATAAGCTGTGGTATTCTAATAATGATAATAAAATTAGAACTTAAAAGGGAATTATTTTTTTTCAACTATTTACCTCTATTAGATCCATCCACTTCAGTTAATTTTCTATAATCTTTAACAGCTTCTTCATATTGTTCAGTTTCCATATAACATCCTGCACGTCTACTATAAGCTTTATAAAATGTATCATCTAATTCAATTGCTTTATTGCAATCAAGTAAAGCATCTTCGAATTTTTTTTGCTGTAATCAATAATATCAGAACATGTATTCTTAATAAATTTATCTACTTTTTTTTTTATATATTACCTTTTGTAATACAGCAGCACGATTAGAATAAAGACGAGCATTCATATGGTCATTTCCAGGATCAATTTCCAAAGCAGCAGTATAAGCTTCATAAGCTTCTTCTAATTTATTCGATTTGAAAGCATTATTACCCATTTCTTTCTGTTTTTCAATATTTCGAGCCATTTTCAATAAATCACGAGCCTTACTAAAATCGGGATCACAACGAAGTGCTTCTTGACAATGAGAAACAGTCTTTTGATTTTCACCTTGACCGTAGAAAACTCGAGCTCTAAGGTATAATGCATCTGGATTTTGATTATTCAAACGAACAAGTGAACTAATAGATTATCACACACACACACACACACACAAAAAGGAAGATGATTAACATGACGCTCTCTATTTCTTTTTCTTTTTTTTTTTTTTTACTTACTTCACAATACGACTAGCTTCAGAATAATTCTTTTCTCCTAAAGCACATTCAGCTTGCATTATTCTCCATTTTAAAGGAATAACATCACTATCAATAAAGGAAATAGCACGATCAAGACTATTACAAGCAAGACCCCATTGGTTATTTTTCATAAAGGTATCCACTTGAGCCATATAATTATAGACTTGTTGTAAGCTATTACAATCGCGCTTAGCCCCACTATGACTTGAATCGACTTGAAGAGCTCGACTATATTGACGACTTGCTTCCTCTAAATTACCCATATTTAAATGACATTTACCACCACGCAAAAGTGCCTTTACGTTTTCAGGGTCTAATTCAATTGCCAAACGACAATCTTCAGCTGCTTCTTTGTATTTCTTTTGCATCATCAAGGCAGCAGCACGATTATTATAATAAGTTGAAGTATTAGGTGAAAGTTCTATAGAGCACAATAGTTCATTTATAAATAAAATATTGCATATACATATAACGTTATATTAAGTTTACCTATAGCTTGAGTATATAATTGAATAGCCTCATCATAATGTCCTAATTTATATTGTTCATTAGCTTGATTCTTGATTTCTTCTGGGGACCTGAATAAAAATACATTTGTATATTTATTAGTTTATTCTATCATTGGATTGTTTTTTTTTTAATTTATTTACATTTGGGAAGGATCAACTTCCATAGGAACTGCTTCGTTAGTCATTCTTTTTTAATGTTCGAGATTAGGAGAAGAAAAGAAAAAGAAGAAAGAAAGAAAGAATAATAATAATAAAAAAAAAAAAAAAAAAAAAAAGGAAATCAATTTTTTGATTTTACTGGTAAAGCCTTAAAACTTTTTTTTTTTTGTTAATATTATTATTATTATTTTTTTTTTTTAATTATTTTTGTGTCAAATAAGGAAAAAGAAAAGTCACCAAAATCGAATTTGCTAGAATATGTGTATTTATTAAGTTGATAGAACGTCTTTTTTATTTATTATGTATCAAAACTGAAACTTGACAGTCAAATAATAAATATTAAAATAGATAACGACATATCTGTTTTTAGAATAAATATTAAAAGATATTCTTTGTATCAAAGAAAAAAAAGTTGTTGCTTTTAAGACTGCTATAGAAGAATAACTTCTACAATGCTTCGTTGTTTTCTTTTAGCATGATGGGCATAAAGTATTCTACTAACCAAGCAAAGTTATAGATCTAATATTAAAAAAAAAAAAAATGATCTTCTCTAGTACAATGTGTGACTGTTTATTATTTGCTTTGAATACAAGAATTTTATGATTCGCTTAATTTTGCTTCGGTTGGCTCATATCAGTTAGTAACGTATGGTTTCATTCAATGAAGAACCTTGAACTAAACAAATAGTAGTCTGTATTTATTATTAAAAGAAATATAGACTACTTGGTGGAAATAAGGAAACCTCACTTAATATCTGATTCTTATTTTAAGAAGGAGAACAAGTGCTTGTTATTATATAACGAACTGTGTTGAACACAAACCAACTTTAAAAAAGAAGTAATTTGCAATAGAAGCTACATATAGTATAATTATTCTAAATAAGGAATATGTCTATAAATACATGTGTATATGCATCTATGTATTTTTTACCTTTTTAAAAGATGTCACATTCAATAAAGAAGCTTGTTTGATCTACTTGTTGGCAGAATGAAATAAATAAACGTCAACAGTCATATTAATAACTATGAATTATACTATTCAATGTAATGACAGAACTTCTTTGTACAACTATTTATTACATGGCAGAGATAGCAATAACTCTTAAAATAAGGACAAACCCTATTCTTCTATAATATATAAAAGATATTATATGAAGGGAATGATTTTCTTTAATAAAGAAGATGTATCTGACCGAATTTCCCCTTTTCTCCCCCAATCATAGTAATAAACCTTAATTACACAGATATTTATTTTCCCTTTTTTTTTTTTTTTTTTTTTTTTTTCTTTTTTTTTTAAAAAAAAAAATGGATAATAGTTATTACAGTTTTTCTAGTAATGAAACAAATCCGAATGAGGTTGAAAATACAAGCAATAAACGTCAAAGATTGAATGATGATGACCAATATATTGCTTCTTCTGATTTTTTAAATTTCGATTACCCATTTGATATTAATCCTAATGTTATACCTGATCAGATCTCCTCGGCCGCAATTCATGATGATTTCTTTATGTTTGTTACTGATAATGAACAGCAACAGCAACAGCAACAGCAACAGCAACAGCAACAGCAACAGCAACAGCAACAGCAACAGCAACAGCAACAACAGTCTAAGGCAAACGGTTCAAGTGATAATAATCCAACTGTAGAAAACAGTAATAATTCAATCACAGTAACAGAAAATAATTTACTACCTACTGCTGTATCTAGTCTAACTTTGCCCTGTATACCAACACCCGTTATTCAAAAACAAAGAACTATCAATATATCAAAACCAAATTTACAACCACATCCTATTACCACAGTGAATAACAATAATAATGCAACACAATCTATAATTACAACTGAAGTACCTAATCAATCAGTATTTACGATTGTTGTAGGAGGGAAACAATTTCGACTAAGTTGGGAATCTTTGAAAAGTGATGGACCCAATAACTTTTTTTTAGAATATTTCAGAAAAAGAAAAACACAAGAGTGATGTATATTGATCGAGATCCAGAGATATTTGAACTCATTGCACGTCATTTAAGAGGATATTATATTAGGCCTATTGATGATATTCAAAACCAAGCTTTATTATATGATGCAACTTATTATGGATTAAATCGATTAAAAAAGTCTTTACAAGAAGTCTTGTATATCAATGTGGGTGGTAGAATATTTCGAATACCATGGGATTTATTCCAAAAAGGTAGATAAATATGAATATGAGAATATACAAATACATATGAATATACATATGCATATACATATGAATATACGTATGCATTTACATATACACATACATATACACATACACATATACATTATATCTCGGAATATTGCTTTTTAATAGATTAGATTATTGTTATAGATGGTACACGTAATTTCTTTACAGGACCATTGAAGCATTCCCTATTAGCACCTCATACTGAACAAGGAAATTCACCTCCATTATACATTGATAGAGATCCTGATATATTTGCAGATATTTTAAATCATCTTCGTGGTTATACAATCCATATTAGGGATGAAATGCACAGAAAAAATCTTTTAAGAGATGCACACTATTATGTATTCCGACAACTTAGTGATAAGCTGCTAACTGCACAACAAACAGTAGCAGGATTTGGTGACTGTAGTAATCCAGAGGTATTATTATTATTGAATGATGTTCGTATTATAAACATATTGCCAAGTGAATCAATAAATAAAGAAAGAGAGATAAAGAGGAGTGATATAAGATCATCAGAAGAATGGCGATTAACACAAGTTCAGTATAAACGTATCACTGAAGGACCACCTCATGCATTATTAGTGCAAGTATCTGATCTAGGCATACAAATTCACAAGTCAACTAGTCATCATACAATTCGACTTGAATTCACTATGAATGAATCTGACATGAAAAAGATGAAACAGATAGCAAATGCTGCAAGAGCAACTGAAGGCGTCAATACTGAGTTTTATTTAGATGATCATTGTGCAATTACAATTGATGATATTCAAGTCAAATCCTTACAACAGTGTATAGATGAGAATAAAATTGAAATAAATTGGAAATCGTGTTCCAAACATCATCAATGTCAACTCTCTCAAAGTATTCTCCAAAGGGCTATCTGCAGTGTTCACTTGATCGATAAAATGCTTACTTTATGTGTATTAAGATTCGAAGCTATAAGTTCAAAATTCCAGCTTAATTTAAAAAGACAGTTTTTATCAAATTAAATAAAATAGGATACCAATAGTAGAATAGATACAAATGCATATACAGATGTATGTATATATATAAAGGAATATAGGTGACTGATAGAACATGTTTATAAAAGAAGATAAGCTAAGGTATTGTATGATATAGGTTTTAGTGAGCCTGTATTGTTGATACAAATAAAGATAAGATATCTACTTCTTCATATATATCATAATTACGTTCATACAAGATAGTCAGTAGAGAACTAATAGGATCTAAGGAAAGGATTGGACAATACATGAATAATAAATCGCTGTGCTTGAGTGTTGAAAAAAAAATTTTTTTTTTGTTCACATAGACAATTCCACTAAAATAGTAAAAGTCTAGTCTTGATAAAGAGTGTGTATTTAAGTTTATACCGTCCTATTTAGCCTTACTTTTATAATAGTATCATGTTAGATAAGCCCATACCATGTTTTATTATACAAGATACTTATTGCTCTTAGTCATCTTGATTACTGATATACTGCTTTGCCTTTATATTGTGCATTATAGTAATTCATTTTATTCTTTGATGTTTATAAAAGATCTTAAGGAGGAAGACATATAACTTTGCTGATTCATACGTCAAAATATCCCACAATAATTAAAAACCAATCATTTTTTGAGTATCTCAAGATAAGAATATAAACTCCGAATAAAAACTTTATTATGATTTTTTTTCATATATAAAAAAAGAAAGGGGTAGTAAATCACTGATAAGAGACTGTGAGAAGAGGAAGTTATGACTAAAGGCGTTGATGATGTACAAAACAATTAATACGCCATCATTTTATTGGTTGTTCAAGGAAAATAGAAAAAAAAAGTGCATATAAATAATGATAAGGGCATAAAGCCTTTTTTTTTTTTATTTTTTTACTTTTTTACCTTTTCACTTTTTCTTTTATTTACATAATGCCTTTCCGTTGCACTTGTGGTAGAACGTTTGAAGTCACAGATTCCTTTGAATCACATATTTATGGATGTGCTCCCTTTCATCGTCGACGTATGTCTAATCAGGAAGATAACAGATCATCAACACAACAAGATTTATCTGGTACATCCTTTGGCACGGACACGATGACTTTGTTATCAAATAAAATCTTTGAATATGGTGAAAGTATCTCTCATAGAAGAAGATCATTCAAACAGCAACAACCTTCTTCTCCAACCGATTCAATCAACACTGTAGACAGTTATGCCTCTGAATTGTCAACTTCACCTTCTTATTTCTTTTTACCTACTTCCCTTAACATTCAAAATGTATTTGATGGTGCAAGAAGAAGGGCATCCATGTCATCTTCCAATCGTAGATAAATGTTCTTTTTTGAAGTATATACATACATACATACAATAGCTTCTGTGAAGTATAACTGTACATATATATACATATATATGATGTAAAGAAGCCTTCATTTCTTTTATAAATATTCTATTATATATCACCATCATCATTTCATCAATGTTATTATTTCTCTCCCGCTTCTCCTTATTGTATTGGTTTAAATAAAACGTCAATATTTTATTCGCATACACACAGGAACACAAAGTATGTATAATAATTAGCTTGTTTAGATCAAGTAACGTGATTTATTTATACACACACACACACATACACACACATAAAACTCTAGTGTTTGTATGTATGTTGTAAATCATATGAGTTTAAGATAAAAGTAGATGATGTCAGAATGTTTATATGTACACAACTATTTTGAATTACCATGAAAGCTATCAGACACAACCATAATAATAAATGTACTATACCCAAACCCTACCCTAATCTAATCTTATCTTAATCAAAACTTCTTCTTCAATTTTATCAAATACTATTGGTCAAGTAGATGACTTTCATCAAACTATGCATTCATAATCAACTCCTTGTATGTCATGACAATCTGATATTCACTCAAGGTAAAAACTAAACTACTACATGTCCAACTAACTACGCCTCATTTTGGAACAAAGATTATAATTGAAGTTTTTTTTTATTTATTTTTCTTAACAAACTATTATAATAATATTATCAACAATAAATAAGTCATTTCATATTCATTCTAAAAGTGACCTTATATGCAAAGCTTTAAAGAGAAGAAGTGTATACTTGCATAATTTACTTTTTTCAATTGCATATTGTCAACGGAGATTCAAAATATATTTTATCCACTTAAAACAAGAATAAAAATATTTTTTTTTTCCTGTTGTTGTTGTTGTTCTTTTTTCATAATCGGCATGTCTTCACCTGAAACTAAAAAAAGGAAAATAGATTATAAATGTCAGTATTGTGATAAATCATATAAAAAACCTAGCAAGCTTACTGAACATGAGCGATCTCATACTGGAGAAGTAAGATTATCGAATCCTCCTTTTCTTTTCTTTTTTTTTTAAAAAATAAAAAAAGAAATGAAATGAAATGAAATCCATTGAACTTATTTGTTATGTTATAGAGACCCTTTATTTGTTCATATCTTGGTTGTAATAAATCGTACATGCGAAATAGTCATTTAAAAGTTCATGAAAGATCACATGCCAACATTAAAGATTTTGTTTGTTCTTTTGAGAATTGTGATAAAGCGTATGGAACAAAACAGCATTTACAACGTCATGAAAAGACTCACACTTCACCTTTAATTAAGGTTTATCTTTTTTTTTTTTTTTTTTTTTTTTTTTTTTTTTTTTTTTTTTTTTTTTTTATTTGTTCTGATCATTCTGTTGAACTTTTATATCCTATATTAGTGTGAATATCCGGGATGTACAGCTGAATTTTCAAAACGTTTTCAATTACGTTGGCATAGAGCTTCTCACGAAAAGGGCACTTATATCTGTAATGTTTGTCAAAATGCATTTGATTCATTACCAGCATTAGAAAAACATAAAAATAGAGTTCATGAAAGTAAGTATTATTATTATATATATTTTTTTTTTTTTTTTTTTTTTTTTTTTACATTAAACCTATTTATTTTGGTTAGATCCAATCATTTATAACTGTACAACTTGTGATCAATCTTTTTTAAAATGGTCGGAATTAAGAAAACATGTTCAAGTTGAACATCCTGCAGTCTGTACCATCTGTAATAAAACATATACAAGACCGTCTTACCTGAGACAACATATAAAAGATAAACATACTGATCCTATAAAATGTACTTGGTTTGGTTGTGATTCTATACTTAAAAATGTAAGTAATTGAACAACATGGAATGTGTAAATTAAACTTTTATATACATGTATAGAGACGCAGTTATCGATTTCATCTTGCATTTGTACATGAACAATATGTAAAATATAAATGTGATTCATGTGGTAAAGGATTTCCTTATAAATCAGTATATGAACGTCATAAAAAATCACATGAACCTGTAAGTCTTTCTTTTACATACAAATATATATAATATATAACTTGATTCTTAACGTCTAAAATAACTTTAGAAACCAAAATCAACTTCGTCACGCCCCAAAAGATCTCTTGCGGAAATATTAACAGGCTATAACTATTATTCCAAAAATGGATTCCGTTATAAATGCCCCTTTGAACACTGTCAATTTAAATTTACAAATACATATTTATTAAGGCGCCATTTAGAGGGGAAACACCATGAAAATGACGTTAAAGCATTTGAAAGGTCACAACTTGAAAATACTGAGCAAAGTGAAAACACGGCTACTACAAATACTACTACTACTACTACTACTACTGTAAATTGATTTATTGTTGTATAACTTCTGCTGGATTCTGAACGACAATTAACAAATAATCATGATCTATTTATTATATACATTAGCATAAATTCATTAATATATTTTATACCATTTCAATTACCTGGAGCAATCATAATTTCATGCTTTTTTGTTCTAATGCGTAAAAAAGTTAATTCATTCTAATAATATAATATGAACAACAACAACATTAATATTCAATAAATATGCATTTAGTCTAATTATTTTACTTGATCGTCTAATGTTGCAACTGTCGTACGTGTTTGTTGAACAAGAGTAGAAATGAGTTGACCATATTGCTTTGTTAAATCATGATCTAAAGTAGAACGAATAGCTTGTCCCTCATTATTTAGAATAACTACTGCTTTTACTCCTTTCTTATTAGAAATACGTTTTAAGGTTTCATCTACATCAACAGTCTTTCATATATTTCCATTAGCTTTCTATTTATTCTTTTATTTTTATTACTACACTAACCATATTGTTTAGAATTATAAATAAGTCTATAAAAATAAAAAATAAAAAAAATAAAATAAAATAAAATAAAATAAAATAAAAAATAAAAGTAATTGATAATTTTGTCGGATATTTAAAGGATAGTAAAATTGCAATTGTACAACATACACATTTGGTGTCCTTTTTTTTTTTTTTTTTATAAGATAAAGAAATGGGCATTTCAGAACTATGGAGAATTATTAGTCCTGGTGGAAAAAAGTTTACACTGGAACAACTCTCATATGACAGATCATTAAAGTCAAATGGAAAAGGCTTACGAGTTGCTATAGATGTTGCTCTATGGGTATTTCAGGCAAGATCAAGCACGGTAGGCGAGTAATGTCTATTTTTATTTTTATTTTATTTTTTTTTTAATAATAATAATATTTTACTCGTTTTCCTATTTAATATATTCATGATTCATAAATTAGTCAAAGTGAATTACGTGCCTTATTTTTCAGACTGTGTCGACTTTATGAATTAGGTATCCGTCCTGTGTTTGTGTTTGATGGTCCTCAACGACCCGAGTATAAACGTAATCGATTAATTAACACAACACCCATTGATACTGAGTTTAGACGAAATTTAATTACCTTGATCCGCTTCTTTAATTTTGCCATTTGGCATTCATATGGAGAAGCAGAGGCAGAGTGTGCCTTATTACAGCGATTAGGATTTGTTGATGTTGTGTTTACAGGAGATAGTGATGTGTTTTTATTTGGAGCTCGTCGTGTAGTTAGAAATTGGCCTATAAAACGTAATGATCCTGTTTTATGCTATGACTTGACCTGGATTACAGACTCAACAGGACTTGATCGATCTGATTTAATCTTGATTGCTCTCTTACATGGATCGGATTATGATACTAAAGGTGCAAAAGGCATTGGTATCAATGTGGCTGCACAACTTGCCAAATGTCATTTTCATCGTGAACTTATGGATGATATCCAGTTAACAAAGAGAAATGGACCACTCGATGATGAACGCGTACGTCATTTGTTTGATGATTTAACCTATGAACTCCATCATAATAGTACAAAAAATCTCAGTCGTAAACATACAAGTGTAGCACTTGATCCTAAATTTCTAGAATTCTCAATTATGATGGACTTTATTCATCCTCAGACAAATATTGAGAACACAAAAAATGACCAGGGAATGTTGACGAAAATAAATCAGTTACAAAACCAACTTGACTACCATCATGAACCGAACTGGCCTTTGCTGGCGCCCTTTGCTCAAGAGGCCTTTAAATGGCCAGCAGAGTACTTGTTAAGGAGATTCTCCTCCCTTTTATTTCATGGCTATATGGCAAATCGTCTACGACGCATCATTCGTCGACATGATCACAACTATCGTCCTACACTCTCTATCCAGCAGTCATCATCGAATAGCAGTGAATATAGTAATCGACAAACAACACTTCAAGAATATTACGTGTCAACAACAAGACACCATTATGCTTCAACAACGGTGCGCGATGTAGTGAAGATTACAGGAACAAAAATAGTATCTGATGACTTGAAGTTTTTTCGTGTTGAATGGGATCCATCATGTTACCAGAAATTTATTGATCAATTAAAGCCAAATCTAAATTATGATGAAGCTCTGTATGAAAATATTAAACTGTCACAACAAGGAACAATGGATCTAGAAGAACAACTGACAGACTCACAACAACAAGAGAATAAAAAGGAAAAGAAAGATGTTTGGACGCTAATTAAAAGACAATGGGTTCATGCCACAAGTCTATATTGTCGATACCCTGATGTAGTTCAACACTACCAAAGACAACAAAAAAAGAAATCGTCCATACGTGTTCAAAAGAATTGTGACAGTAAAGCTCAATCATCAGTACGTGTTCAACGGATTAGTGAGAATAGTAAAACTCAAACATTAACGAACATTAGTCAATATATGACAAAACTCTATATACCACCAAGAGCAAAATTATTTTAAGGAGAATAAATTATCATAGTTAATTTTCTGTTATTTATTTTTATTCTTTTTTATTCTTTTTTTTTTTTTATTTTATTTTATTTATAATAACAATGAGTGAAAGACAATCAAAAACAGTTCAAGGGAGACATGAACGTATACTAAATGAACTTACAAAAAAGCCAGGAAATGAAACCTGTGCTGATTGTGGTGCTAAAAGTAAAACCCTCTTCTCTTTTTTCTCTTTTTTTTTTTTTTTTTTTTTTTTTTTTTTTTTTTTTTTTTTTGTCTAATTTGATGCATATTCAATTAATTAACTCTTTAACTATAATAGACCCCCGTTGGGCTTCCTATTCACTTGGTATATTCCTTTGCATTCGTTGTGCTGGAATTCATCGTAAAATGGGTACACACATTTCAAAAGTAAAATCAATCACAATGGATCAATGGACTACAGAACAAATCGAGGTATATTCGATTTATGTATAGGGAAAGAAAAGATTTTAAATTATACAGTAATGTTTTATAGTTGATGCGCAATTCAGGGGGCAATGTTATTGTAAATAATAAAATTAATCCCAATCCCGGGAATCATCCTCGCCCATTAGCTACAGATGATGAACAGTAAGTTATAAATTAAACCTTTATCTATTCATAATGGATACACATACATCTATTTAGTGCTATGGAAAAATACATTCGAGCAAAATGGGAAAAGCGCTCATTCATGTCTGTAAGTGTATACATATATATTTTTATAGAAAAGAATAATTTAACTGATAAACTGACTACAGGTATCTTCACCACCGGTAATGAGTTCAACTGCAAAGCTCACAGTTCCTCCAAAAAGGTCTTCATCTGTTCCTACTTTTAGTGGTAGTAGTAGTAGTCATACGAACAATTTAACAACAGCACTAAATCAGTTAAGCAGTATGGGATTTAAGAATGAAGGAAAAAATAAGCAAGTTTTGATTCAGACTCAGGGCAATCTTAAATCTGCAGTTGAAATCCTATCAAAATCAACGGATGAATCAAAGGTAGAGCAATTAATAAAATTAGGATTTAATGACAAAAGCAATAATATGGAAGCGCTTCGACGTGCAGGTGGTAACATAGATATTGCAATGACAATTTTAAGTGAAAAGAAGACTTTTGCTGGTCAATCTTCTTCTTCACTATTAATTAATGTTGATTCTACACCAGTGACCACTACTACTGCAAGTAACCCATTTATCACAACTCACACTCAAGTTCACCCACAACCATTTGTTCAACAAAATACTACCTTATTTAATAATAATCCCTTTGGTAATGCTTTATCAACTTCAACCTCGTCGCCCACTTCATGTAAGTCTTTATTAAATCTATTTTTATTTTATTTTTTTTTAAAAAAAAAATATAACATATACAATAGTGTTTCCACCAAACCCACAATTAACTAGTGCTTCTTTTAATCCTTTTTCACAAATGGTAACCATGGCTAACTATAATAATTCTTCACATTATCTACAACCTACCGCTCCTCCAATTCAGCAGCAAACAATACAACAAATGTCAGGAATATTTTCTAGCCCACAACAGCAATCCTCTATATTCCAGCAGCCACAACAGCAACAGCCACAAAATCAACAGCAACAATTTTGGTCTACAAATAGTTTATTTTAAATTTGTAGGCAACAGTTGTAACTTTGTGTTATACAAGCCTATAATAATATTTATATAATTAAAAAAATAAAAAATAAAAGATGGGAATAAAAAAAAAATTGCCCCCCTTTCTCTATCTTTATCTCTTTCTCTCTTTCTCTTTATTTTTTTTCCCCTTTCTTTCTATTATGTCTAATCCAATAGCAGATACAGCGGAATATTTTGCACAATGGGGACATCATAGTCAAAGTAATACTCATCAAGATGATGTCAATATTGTTAGAGATCACTTGAATCGTCATACTTATTATGGTGATTCGAGCAAGCCATCTTCATCTCAATGGTTTAAGGTTCTCAATCGACTCTCATCCTTAAACCCCTTGGAACAACGACAAAGGACAAAAACTTATTCAGTAGATGATGATGATCATTCTTCTGTCATCAATCGAGATACGTTTGAATTATTACGCAGTGTAGAGACAGCAAGATATCAGCAGCAGCAGCAGCAGCAGGCTACAGTGGTTGGACATCACGGAAGATATGATCTGGATAACTATCATGAGGAAGAGAATCATCATAGAGTCATTATAGAGGATGAGACTGAAAAGCTTCCTTCAGCTTATGAACTCGAAAATGATCATATAAATCCATTAAGCGAGGATTCAGGCCTTCAGGAAGAGAGTCATTATTTTACACATCCTTTCTTCTCTCCTTATGATACTAAACTTCCTCAACATCCCTTACCTATTCAATCATCTTCAACACAGAGAGGAAGACATCAGGATGTGTTGATTCGAGAGGATACTACAACTTCAGCCAATTACCTTGTTATCAAGGACAAATGGGATCGAACATTAGATAAAATTAAGTTTATTGCTAATTTACAGTCTTCTTCCAATCATCATCATCTGTCGTTTTCTTATTTAAACTCAGGCCCTTCACATACATTAGCTACCTATTATCCTCCTGCTTTTGATCCAATCTTTGCTGCATTTGCTAAAGATGAATACGGAAGAAATTTAGTATGTTTATTATTATTATTATTTGATATGTATTTATTTATGTATATATGTATATATATATATATATTTTCTTTAAAATATAGCCGCCAATATTGTTACAGTGTATTTATGTAAAGTCATAAAACATAAATTCCGTATAGTCAATAACTAATATATACATATATATATATATAATACTTCACATCTAGGTTACTGTGACAGATTTAGAATATCTTCACTCTAATAGTCAATGGATATTTCGTGTGGAATTACAGTATGGTGATATTAAATGGGTGATTCGACGTGGTATTTCAGATTTTATGGCTTTACACATTAAGCTTAAAGTAAAATCCAATTTATATGATTATGTACCTGATCCACCTACTTTTCCGAATCAATTATCTAATCTACTCGATTCTGCAAAATCAACGATTGGTATATATACTTTCTCCAACCATGATAATAACGTGTGTGAAAGAACAAGTTCATTACCACCTCACTATCCTAATAATAGTCATCATCATAAAACAACAATTGCTAACAATAAAGCAGCATTTCATCGTCGTATGGCCTTAACTCAATACCTTCGTTCTTTACTTCTTCGTGCTCATGTCACTGTGAGTTATGATATCTGTGAATTTTTAGAATTATCAGCCATTAGTATGGTTCAAGATATGGGCTGGAAAGGAAAGGAAGGATATATGCGTAATAGAATAAATTATGTTTCACCTCGTTGCTGTCAAATTTGGAAATCACATCGATGGAGTACAGAGTGGATTATACTAAGAGATTCGTAAAGTAGAACGATTCTGATTATTATTTTACTCATATATATATATATATTTAGATATATAGCGTTTTGTAAAGATACAGCATCTACTTCGCCTACAGATGTACTCTTATTTGATAAAGGATTTAAAATTGATATCCAAGAACCTCGAGTTTATTTAGGAAGTTATCATATTTCGATCAGTAATGAATCTCGAAAGATTGAAATTAAAGGTACTAAACGTGAAGTGGATCAATGGCTTGAAAGTATAGAGAAGGTAGAAAAGGAAAGCCCATGGGTAAGGAATCATCGTTTTAACTCCTTTGCTCCTGTACGTAAACATGCCAAAGTAAAATGGTTTATTGATGCTGAAAGTAAGTTAATTATATATATATATACATAGACTGCTTTATATTCATCTTTTCTATTTATTAGATCATTTTAATGCCGTTGCAGAAGCCATTTTGTCTGCTAAATTAGAAATATACATTGCTGATTGGTGGTTAACCCCAGAATTAGTTCGTATTTGAATTATATTGATACATAAATACACAAAACAAACTAAAAGTAATAGAAAATATCTTTATATATACATGTATACACATGTATATACATAGTATCTAAGAAGACCACCAGAAGAAAATGAAGATTTTAGACTTGATAGACTTTTACAACGAAAAGCTGTAGAAGGTGTAAAGATTTATATTATTGTCTATAAAGAAATGTCTGTTGCATTGACTATCAATTCTGCACATACAAAACAATGGCTTCAAAACCTTCATCCAAATATTATAGGTATACATATATTGTATAGAATCATCAAAATAGAACAAAATCACTTAATTACAATTATTTATAGTACAACGTCATCCTGATCATACATTTTCTAATGATAATACAGTTCTTTTTTGGTCACATCATGAGGTATATCCATATACATATATATTCAATAGTGTTATCTATTTATTAGCTTGTTATTTTGATTTTAACGTCTAATATAGAAAATAGTTGTGGTCGACAATAGATTAGCATTTATTGGAGGGCTTGATTTATGTTTTGGGTATAAAACTATATATAAACGTTTGTTTTGTTATTCTAATTATATATATATATATATATATCATAGTCGATATGATACACATAATCATCCACTGTCAGATTATCCTTCAGAAGGACATGATCATGAAGTTTTTCCTGGACAAGATTATTCCAATCCTCGAGTAAAAGATTTTATTAATGGTATGATATGATATTTCATTTATGTTAAAAAGAAAAAAAAAAAAAGGTAGTTTACCAAGAAATTTGTTATTTCGAGTAGTTCAGCAGTTTCATAAAACATTAGTGGATAGACATGTAACGCCTAGAATGCCATGGCATGATGTTACTTTGGGTGTTGTAAGTATTTTATTATTGATATATATATATATGTATATGTACTTGAACATGGTTATGTTAGGTTGGGCCTATTGCTCGAGATATTGCTCGCCATTTCATACAGAGATGGAATTTCTTGAAATCTATGAAAAGTATGCATCGTCGCAAATTACCTTTTTTGATGCCAAAGGGGGAACATGTGGCTGCTCGAGATGAAAATAACTTTTCAGGCACATGCCGTGTACAATTGCTTAGAAGCTCTTCAAAATGGAGCTCCGGTATTGATCGTGAAGTAAGTGGGTTATATTATATTATGTTCAAGTGAAAAGTTGAATTAATCGCTCTACTATCAAAAAAAAAATATAAAGCATTCCATCTATAATGCTTATATGGAATGTATCGCTCATTCTCAACATTACATTTATATTGAAAATCAATTCTTTAGTAAATTTTCCCTAAAAAAAAAATTAATACAAGGAGGAGGAGTGGGGGAAGTGGGAGAACAGATAGAACGAACAACTTAATTAACCTCTATTTATACATCTATAGTCAGTACAACTCAAGACGATAAATTATTACGGAATAAAATTGCTCAAGCATTGGTAGAAAGAATCAAACGCGCACATGAAAAAGCTGAAAAGTTCCGAGTTTATGTTGTTATACCCCTTGTTCCTGCATTTGAAGGTGATTTGGCGTCTACAGATGCATCATCTGCCAGGTATAATAATTTATATATTTATATGCAACTAAAATCTTACTTTTTTTCCTCTTCCTCCTCCTCCCTTTTTTTTTTTCTTTTTTTCTTCTTTTTTTCTTTCTTTTTTTTTTTTTTTTGATGGAGTTTATAGAACTGTCATGCATTTTCAATACATTACAATTAGTCGAGGTAGTAACTCGATAGTCGAAAAATTAAAGCAGCATGGAATTGATCCTGATCAATATATATCATGGTTTAGTTTACGAAACTATGGGAAAATCAAAACATCTCCAAACTCTCAGCGATCAGCGGAAAATAATAATAATAATAACAGTTCTATGTCTTCTAGTAAAAATTCAATACCGCCATCTAAGAGTTCTATCTCCCCTTTGAAATCAGAATCATTATCATCAACAATTCATATTCATCATCATGATACCAATTCCTTTTTAGATGATGACATAAACGATCCTTTCAAAGACCAGCCATCTTCAATTGATCTTTCACGTTTACATATCACAAACACTTCAACTTTAAGCGATTCATCCTCCATCTCTTTCAGTCCACTTCATATAGATAATAATAGAAGAGGATCATCCCAAAGTAATAATTCAAGCAGTGATATGACAGACGATAACAGGAGTCATTTTGTAACAGAATTATTATATATTCATGATAAACTTATGATTATTGATGACAGGATTGTGCTTATGGGTTCAGCTAATATCAATGATCGCTCACAGTTGGGAAACCGTGACTCTGAAATTGCTATGATTGTTGAGGATACAGAAATGGTCCCTTCTTTTATGAATGGAAAAGAGGTAATATATGTATATGTATATGAAACTTATTTTAAACAACTATTTAACATGATTATGTCCTTTTTTTTTCAAAGTATAAAGCAGCCAAGTTTGCACATACACTGCGTATGCAATTATGGAAAGAGCATTTGGGTCTATTAAATTTTGAAAATTGGACACAATTATTACAAACAGGAGATGAAGAAAGTCTTGTGCAAACGTTAGATATTTCGTCCACTTTCTTACGAAACAACGCATCCATGGATCATTTGAAACATCATCAAAGCACATATCCAACCTTAACTCGGTCCATCAACAATGCGCAAGAGATTAAGACGATTGAAGCACAGGAGCCGGTTAAGATGTTGGATAGAGTGAGTAGAACGTTGAGTTTCTATGATGCCTTTGATATAAAGAGACAACAACATCCTCACTTTATAAAAAATCGACATGATGCTGCAGCTTTAGATCCTTTATCTGATCATACCTATTATAAAATTTGGCTTAAACGTGCTACGTCAAACACGATGATCTATCGAAAGCTATTTCGATGTGTGCCTGATGATACCATTCATACATACGAACAGCATCGTAAATTTGTTCCTAATCCCCTTAAAGTGAAAGCAGGACATATAGCAGATCCAAACTTGAACGAAGAAGACATTTCTAACCAATTAGGTCAAGTTAGGGGTCATTTAGTTCTTTTCCCAAAAGATTATCTCAAAGACGAAAATTTACTTGCTGGTACTATTATTGATACAGTCACTCCTTTAATCATTTTTACTTAGATAGATAGATACACAAATGTATACTGAAAGTTTATACATATTAAAATAATTGTATATTTTATCAAAGATATAGGCCAGGTCATATATTTGTGCACTTGTTCTCGTTTATTTCTTTACATTACTATACAAGTCAGTTGCTGTTATACCTTTTAAATTAAATCCATGTACATCATTTTTGCCTTCCATTTCTTGGATTGCAATCGTATTCCGTTTCATTATATCTCTTGCTATATCAATCTTTTCATCTAATAATTTTTGATCTATCATGTATAAATAAGTATTTATTTATTTATTTATTTATATAAAGCTTAATAAATACCCCTCTCGATAAGCATTTTTGTATCTTTGGCTGGTAATTTAATAAACATATCACCAAAAAATGTCCATGTTTTTTTATCTAATAATAATAATAAAATTAGGCTCCAACTCTCTTATTTATGCAAAATATGTATATTTTTATATTTATATATTTTACCTTCCATCTTTTTTAGTTGTGAAAGCGCTTCTCTATTCGAATTTCTTTTACGATCATAATCAACAACCTTGAATAAAATGAATGAGTTATTTATGAGCTTTCAAGAATGAATTAACATTATTACTGCTTGTTTGTTAATCAGAATTTCTTCAGCCAAATGTTCCTTTTCTGCAAGAGCTATTGTAATGAAAATAAAAGATCTTGGTTAACGTAACTTTTAGCACTAAAAAACAAAAAAAAAGGGAGGGGAGGGGAAGAGGAGGAGAGTGGTGGTTTCTATTTCTCTTATTTGGTCTTTACTTTTTTCAATTTGATCGGCAATAGATGACATTATATATTTAACCAAAAATTAGATAAAAAAAGAGATAATTAATATTACCTCACCAAGCCACACCACCTTTGCAATATGATGCTGTGTTTTAAATTATTATTGTCCATAGTTGTTGTTCTTAATTTTTGTCATAGTAATTCTTCTTTTTTTTTTCCCTTTTCTTTATTATAATTTAGACAGCTTTATTTATAATATAAAATGAGTGTATTCCCAAAAGAAACAATTAAAGTAAATTTTAATAATTCTCTTATATACTTTCAAAAATAAATTTTCATCCCATTAGCATAATTCTAATTTTTTTTTTTTTTTTTATAGAATATTGGGGAATCATTAGGTATAACAAATTTGAAAGATGAAGTAGCAACTGCTTTGGCTCAAGATGTTGAATATAGAATTCATGAACTCATTCAAGTAAAAAATAAATAATAGATAAATTGAGTTGAAACTAGAATGTCTATTAATGTTTTTTTATTATTATTGAATAAAAGGAAGCATCTAAATTTATGCGTCATTCAAAGAGGACTAAATTATCTGTTGATGATATAAACGCTGCACTTCGTGTCAAAAACGTTGAAGTAAGTACGAAATAGTATGATTCTTTTTTTTTAAAAAAAAAAAAAAAGCTTGTTATTTATATTTTTTTGTTCATAGCCTCTTTATGGATATACATGTGGCGAAACACCAAAATTTAGAAAAACAACGATAAATTCCACAGACATCTATTTCGATGATGACGAAGAAGTTGATTTTGAAAAAGTATTGAGTAAACCTTTACCCAAGATTCCTCTAGATGTTACCTTTACAGCTCATTGGCTTGCTATTGAAGGCGTTCAGCCTGCTATTCCTCAAAATCCTACTCCTAATGGTAATTCAACATGTTGTTTAAAAGTAATCTAATTATTCATTTACAAGAGTATTTATTTATATAAATAGATGCAAAAGCTGAATTACTCACAAAACGGTCAAAGACTCACACTAGTTCTAATGGCATCACAACTGATCAAGTTAATGTAAAACCTCTTGTTAAACATGTATTATCAAAGGAATTACAAATGTATTTTGAAAGAATTACAGAAGCTGTATTAAGTGAAGACGAACGTTTACAATCACAAGCATTTGAAAGTCTACGACTCGATCCAGGCCTTCATCAGCTTTTACCTTACTTTATTCAGCATATTCATAAAAAAGTGACACAAAATCACAAGAATTTAGATGTTTTAGAGGCAATGTTGTCCATGTCTTATTCATTATTGAGCAATAAGCATCTATTTGTTGAACCTTATGTAACGTATACATTGTTCTATTTAATTAAAACAAAAGTAACTAATACATACATATAGCTTCATCAATTAATTCCACCTATTCTATCATGTTTAGTTGGACGTGTTATATGTGAAAATCCTCAACAACAAAATCATTGGTCAACTCGTCAACGTGCAGCATCTTTGATAGCATTAATTTGTCATCAATATGGCAAATCATATCATACATTACAGCCTCGAATTACAAAAACATTATTACGTGCCTTTTTAGATCCTGCTCGACCTCTCACAACACAATATGGTGCTATTATCGGCTTAGATAAAATTGGAACTGAAGTCACTCGCGTCCTTGTTGTGCCTAACATCAAATTCTATACTGAGAATTGTTTACAAGTTTCATTAAATAGTACAAATCCTCTTCGTGTTCAAGAGGCCTTAAAATGTAAAGAAGCGTTAGTGGTAAAGTCATAGATGCATATATTTATTTATTCGTTGGAACACATTTATATTTACTGATTCAATCATAGAATGTGCTGGAGCATATTTCAGAAGATGACACTACAACAATATTAAATAAAGCAAGCAAATCAGAAAATGACATGGATGAAGACGAACCAAGTGTATCAGAAGAAAGTAAAAAGAAATTATCAGACTTTGTTGGAACTATAATTGCAGAAGCTTTTATGGAAAAAGAAAATAGAGAAGCGAGAATTCAAAGTATAATCGACTTGGCTTAAAAATTGTAAAGAGAGAAAATAAAATACTTGACATTTTATATTTTGTCTTTAATGAATACTATTATACTGATCTCATGCATCAAAACCATAATTCTAAAAAAAATAGATATCCTTTTTCTTTTAGCTTTTAAATCATGTTTGAACTGAAAATAAATTAAAACACGCAAAAAAAACAAGAAAAAAAAATACAGATTTCCATTTGTGATTATACAATAGCTGTTTTTTTTTTAATTCTTTAAATTAAATTAAAAAATGCATGTCCAACTTAGAATCTAAGCTTGCTGAAGAACCACTTGTTCTTGCCGGTTTGATAACGTTCTTCAAAGAGCTTCTTGATGACTTTCTTAGCATCTTCACGTTGAGAAGGTTCCTTGAAAGTATCGGCAGAAATGGTACCCTTAATTTGTTCTAATTCCAAACCATAACTATAAAAAAAAAGAGAGAGAGAGAGAGAGAGCAAGTTAATAAAGCTATAATTCAAGATATATAAATAATAAACATCCTTACCGAGTAGGCATCATGTGGTTGTAGTTGATGATCTTGACGAAAGGCTTAACCTTAGAACGCTTAGCAACCTTCTTCTTACCCATGGCCTTGGTGACCTTAAGGGGAGTACGTTCAATACCAGCGACAACAGCATAACCATAGGGTCTATCCTTGGTTCCTTCGTCATGGTCTAAATAAAATTAACATGCATTCATCAGTCTACATTGTTATTCAATAATGTGTTTGTACAAAGCTGTTTACATACTACGAACGACAACGGCTTTCTTGCCAGCATAACGGCCTTGGAGGATCACGACGACCTAAAATAAAAAATAAAAAAATAAAAAATAAAAATAAAAAATCATTAACATTTAGAATTGACAACTTTATTAAAAAAAAAAAAAAAATCCCCAAATTCCATTTTTCATCTTCATTTATCCATCCATCCATCCTTCATCCCTTACATAGAAAATAGTCGATATAGTTTACCTTTCCGGCTTTGATGAATTTAACCATCCTTAATAAGTGGAATATAAGAGAAGGAAACTATTACTTTTTCCCCCATTTTTGCGTTCCTCATTACCTCTTTCTCGTCGCATCTCTTCCTCCTCCCCCAAATCTATAATTCTTTCTCTCGTCATCTTTCTCCTCGCCAGAATATGGACTTCTTGCCCGCACATTACATATTCAAACTCAGCCTCTTCTTTTTCTTTTTAAGCCAATGACGATATTAAAAAAAAATAATAATAATAATAATACTACAGTTATTATTATACAGATTATTTACTTTAATAATAATAAGATAGTATGTTTAATGGCATAGAACAATAAGACATAGTAATAAAGAATATTAAAGAGAATTAAAAAAAAAATAAGGGAATAAATAGCTTCTTCTCAATCTCTCCACTTTAATTCATTAGAAGTACCCATTTTATCTAAATGTAAAATTTTAAATTGAAAAACATGGAGAGCTAGCACACTAAATTCATATTATTTTCATGTTATTATACATGTTAAAATAAAATAACAGGTAAGACCGTTTGAAGAAAAAAAATGAAAGAATAGAATGTTTACAAGGATATGTTCAAGTTTAACGGATATTACGAAATAGACACTGCTCTTCTATTTATGTGGGGACTTTGTACATAAAGCGTTACAAAGCCCCTGAAGAATGTAATCATGATTTGAAGTAGAAGCAGACATCCTTGTTATTATCGTTTGCTTGTATACACAACATATAGTGTATATGTATTGGTAAACAATACTTGAAAATAAAAATACCTCATGAATATATATGTTTTATTCTAGTTTTTGTTTCTTGTTATTATCATCTTCTTTAGCAGCAGGTGCCTTCTTACGCTTCACAAGCGTTGTCAAATCGTTGACAGGTGTAGATGCTGAAATTTCTTTTGTTAATATGTTATTATTGTTTTGGTTTAGCATGGCTTTTAATAAAGCCTCTGCTTCCTTTTCAGTAGCTTGTCTATTTGAAAGCTCTTCAATCTTTATACATAAAGTTTAGTCAGTAATTACGGAAATAACATAGACTATTTTAATATAGAATACCTTTAATTCTATATCTGGTATGAGCTCTTTAATTTCTTTAATTTCACTAGAGGCTTCTTGACTCAAATCCATTTCTTTTCCCTTTCCTTTTATATTCTCATCAGATTCTAAAAACTCCAATCTCTTTTTTAAAACATTAACTGCCTTTTTTAATTCTGGAACTGCTTGATCTGATTTTTCTGTAGAGAATTCGAGTGCTAAAGCATATTTATAATGAGCTTCTGCTAATTCTCGATTATCGTCTTTTAATATTGATTGTTTAATCTCGATTGCTTTTTCATAATCTACTAAAGCTTCATTGAATTTTTCTATAAAAACAAATATACATACAATCAGTTATTGTATTATGGATACTAACACCTATTTTACCAGTTTCAAGTGATACATCGCCCAAATATAAATGAACATCAGCTAATTTTAATTTTGTTTCTTTATCCTCACTCTTTTCAAATATAATACGAGCGACGTCTAAAATATCCCAAGCAGTTTCAAAGTCATCTTCTGCATTTTCACCAGCACCTTCTTCATCATCATCATCGTCGTCGTCGTCTTCAACATTACTGGAAAAGTCAGGAATAGCATTTAGTTGAAACAAAGGATTTTTAGATTCAACTGCAAGTGAATGAATGAAAGGAAAGAGTATAAATAAAGTATTTTCATTTCATACATGTATATGTATGTATTCATACCTTCTTGTTCTTTTGTAACTGCTAATTGTTCTTCAACTTTAGAAGCAGATGCTTGTGCAGACTGTCCAAGTACGCTGTTTTGTTGAATGGCTAGTTGAAGTAAGGCCTTTCCGTATAAAAAGTATGCATCGCCATTTTCAGGAGCAAGATCGCCATTGACTTCATCCCTAATGTAAAATAAATATAGTGTATACTCTTGTTGAATAAACATTATTTTAAATCTTTTGGGTGAAAAAAAAAAAAAAAAGATCTTACAATAGTTGGCAAGCTTCGCCTAATCTACTAACACTTTCATCATAATATTTACTATCGTAAGCAGCTTTTCCTTCTTCGATAAGAGTTTTAGCTGTATTTTTTAATTGTTCGCTGTCTGACATCTTTTTTATATAATAGAAAAAGAAATAATAAAAAAAAAAAATCGTGACGACGCGCTTTTTTGTTTAAAATGAGTTGCTAAAGACAACGACTGTGACTACTTAGGAAAGTTAACTTTGGCATATAAAATATATTCTTTTTTTTTTTTTTTAGATTCTTACATTTAATCTCTAATTTTACACATGTCAGTGGATAATTTTAAAACAAATATTTATGAATATCTTGAAACATTACCGACGTTTACTTTTATGCGTTTATTTGAAAAGCCATCTACATGTTTGGCTATTTTTAGGTATTTCTTTTTTTTTGGGGGGGTAATCGTGTAAATTTTGGTTTTTAATCAATGATGATAGATTATTACCAAGCTTAGGTAGACAGATTGTTATGTCTTTATTGTATGTTGAAATGCCCATGTCAATTACTGATTTACATATCTGGGTTAATAAAGATGGACAAAAGTAAAGTTATATTTATATAAATATATATATATGAAAGGTCTATCAGTATAACTTAACATTTATAAGTAGACAATTGCAGGAATCTTTATTAAAACTTTCTCGATTACGAATTCTTGAAGAAAGAGATAAAATATTAATATTGAACAGTACATTCAGACGCGAGTTTCAAAATGCACTCACCGGAGGGTACAGTAATAGGTTTTGATATTTTTGTTGATATGCGTTTTAACACCCACTTTTTAACTTTCAATAGTGGCATGCAACAGTCATTTGGTTTGCCTTGCTCAACACCAGATAAACATGCTGTCGATATTGCATTTTTAGATCATTATGCAACTACGCAATGGGAAGCTATTCTTCATTATATGGTCGGTACATCTTTAACAAAAAAGCCGAGTCGAGGTGTATTGAACTTGTTAGAAAGGAGTAAACTTATGCAAATTAGGTGAAGGTTAAAGAATACGAATTACAATCAGTATATACTGAATATTTTAATTTTTTTGTTTTTTGTTTTTTTAGTGCTGAGACAGGACAATTGCAAATTACAAATAAAGGCTTTCAATTTCTACTTCAGGATGTGAATACACAAGTTTGGGCATTTCTTTTACAATATTTAGATATGGCAGAGGTACTATATATATATATATATATATATAAATATATATATATATGTCTACTGTTTATTGATTTATCATCTATGCTTAGGTATTACAAATGGATCTTGTTGAAGTGCTTAATTTTTTATTTCAACTAGGTTCTTTAGAATTGGGTGAGGTATTGAAGGAATATGTTAATCTTGAATAAAAAGTTTACTTAATTCTGATAATAGAACTACTCAGTTGAAACATTAACACAAACACAACTTCAGATGTTAGAAGACTTGCGTGATTATGGCATTGTATACCAAAGAAAGGTATATTGAATAAATTCCTCTAAAAAAAAACTTGTTAATTTAGTGTTATTATTTGATTTAGAAAGCATCAAAGCGTTATTACCCTACACGTTTAGCCACTACATTAACTTCAGGGAACGCAGCACTTGCAGGTGCAAGTATAAAAAATATTAATGGGCATATTGATACTACGACTGATGCTACTTCTGATGCCGAACAAATAGATCAAGGATTTATTATTTTGGAAACAAATTATAAACTTTATGCATATACAGGTAAAAATTATTTTCTTTATATATTCAATATACCTGAAGAGTGAATATATATGATGTATAATAGATTCACCACTTCAAATTGCTGTCTTGAACTTGTTTGTTCAACTCCAATCTCGATTTAAAAATATGGTTACAGGTCTCATTACGAGAGATAGTATTCGTAATGCTTTAGTCAAAGGGATTACTGCTGAACAAGTAAAGAATAAACTTGTATCAAATAATATCGTAATATTTATACCCCTTTTTTTTAAAAAAAAAAAAAATAGATTATTTATTATTTACAATCTCATGCACATGTTCAAATGAGAAAAAAGGTACTTCAATTAAATATCAAAGATTAACGAGACTAAACTATTTCCATTTTTCTTTTTTTTACGGGAGGGAACATTAGATACCTATTTTACCTTTAACTGTTATAGATCAGATAAGATTATGGGAAATGGAAAGAAATAGATTAAAGCCCACTTCATGTAAAGTAACAAGAGATCTTTTTTATTAATATACAAATCTAATACAATTTATAGCATTCCTTTATCATGAATTTAATGTTCAAGCTGATTATGATGCAGCAGAAAAATATGCACGAGATATAGGTGTTTTATTATGGTCAAATGCTAATGCACGTACAATGGTTATTACAGAAGCGTAAGTTTATTAAACTTCTTCTCTCATATTATAAGATAATAATAACTTCTTTTTTAGTGGTCATGAGAGTGTCAAGAGTTTTGTTAAGAAAAGATTGCATAGTAAAAATTAAAATGAATTCATGTAGACTAAATAATGTTAATAATTTCTGATTTATTGTAAATATGTATACTATAAACTATTGCCAACTTTGCTTACGAATGAGGAGAAAAAAAAAAGTTAATATGACTATTTATACATAATTTTACCTAATGATTATGTCTTTTTTTCTTAAAAAAAAAAAAAAAAAAAAAAAAAAAAAAAAAAAAAAAAAAAATAAAAAATAAAAAAAAAAAATAAAAAAAAAAAAATAAAAAAAAAAAAAAAATAAAATAAAATAAAATAAAATAAAATAAAATAAAATAAAATAAAATAAAATAAAATAAAATAAAATAAATAAAAAATAAAAAAGAGCATTCATAAATAAAAGATGTACTGCTAGTAGAAAATAAAATAGGCTCTACTTGCTTATCTGCTAACAGGTTTAGCCTTTCTCTGATAATAAGTTGTTGCATATTCTAATAGATCATTAAGTAAACCATCATCGTCTCTTGGCTCCTTTATGAAAATAGCAGGTTGTCCAATAGGAGCATCTACTGTCTTATAAGTACCATCACCAGCATAGTACCTACCAGTCCAAATATGACGCCAACTAATTCTCTGAGCGTCTTTAGGGAAATACACTTTGACATAAGCTGTAGATGGAGCAAGTACGGGTGCTACCATCATTGAACTGCCCACCATAAATTGCTGATATGTCAATTCACGAACGATACTGTCATTTGGGTAATAAAATACCGGGTGACGTAAAAGTGGCCATCCTTTTTCATAAGCTTCTTCAAGGACCATCTTTCGGTATTTTGAAATCACGATAAATAATTTTGCAGTATGTGCAAAATGCTCATAAGACTCTATAAGAATGGAAAAAAAAAAAAGTGAACGATTAATATTACATAGTTATTCAAATTCTTAATTTTTTTTTCTTTCTTTCTATTTATACCATCATCATCATAAAACTGAGCATTTAATGAAGGAATGATACCTTCAGAGGTTCTGAATGCTGCTGTAAATACAGCAAGTTCCATCCACCTATAGAGTAGCTCCCTCATACGAATCATACTCATGCCTGGAATAGAGGTTGATAAAGTATTATAACCGCCTATATCACAATGTGTAATTGAAAATCCAGAGAATCCACCAGAAAGCATGCCTATCACCTATTGGAAGAAATTATAATTTAACATTGTTATTGTTATTATATACATATATGTATATATATGAGTCACTACTACTACTACTTTACTGCACTTTTAATTCCATAATGCTGATCCCAAGTAACATTCTGGTCTCCTGCCCAAAATAAATTCATATGTCCAGGAGACTGTGTAAAACCAGAGCGAAAGAAACATACAGCTTCATTTTCTTTTCCAAGTTCAATTATGACTTCTTGATGTAGTTGAGCCCACTCTTCTGGATAATGATTATGATGAGTAGATGCTATTTCTCCCGAGTGTAATACGATTTTTTGATCATCATATGGTAAATGTTCGCCAAAATCAACCATCATACCTTTCATATAGGTTAATATATCGTTCAAGATTCTTTTCTTTTTTTTTCAATTTAATTTAATTTAATTTAATTTAATTTAATTTTAGTATACCTGAAATCCCAGAGTTCCAGACTTGGTCCTTTAAAATTTGCTTAAACCATGTACGTGCTTCAGGATTTGTTAAATCCAGGATGCCAGCTTCTAAATCTAATCCAAATCGAATAGATAAGGTTTCTTCTTCTTGATGATATTCGGAAGATGCGGGCTTTATGGTCTTCACCAAATAGCCCTTTTCTCGAGCTTCAACAAATAAATTTCTCTTATAACGAGGCTTTATGCTCACATTTGATAAGAGTGGATTGACATAAGTCAAGACACGAACTTTCCTTTCGTCTTTCCCACTCTTTATTAATTCATGTACAAACTCCTCCCAATCAGGATAAAGATCATCGTCACTTTCCCAATTCCACCAATGACGTGTGAATTGCATACCCTTTCCTGCATCCTGTAAACGTTGACCTGTCCAATCTTGAATGAAAATAGCTGCAATAGGAATACTGTGTTCATGTAAATGTTGAATGATATCCTTTATTTTTTCTTTTCCTCCTTGAATACCGGCAATGACACCTTCAGAGACCCAATCTGGTAAACGCAGCATTCTGCCCGAATAAGAAGTATACTCTGACAAAAGGTCAAGCATTGTTTTACCATCCAAAATTCGACCTAGAGCACATGATGTGTGTGTATATACATGTTTACTTCTTTTACTTTATTGTACATGTCAATTTTAATATTTACCTTTCATTTTATTGGATTCTAAACGAATAGTGACACGATCTGGCCGTGTCATGTCAAAACTCATGTATTCAGAATTCTCCAGGAATAAAGAGCGAATATCACTTGAAATATACTGTGGAACAGATGCATACGTAGCAAAATTATCCGTTAGACCGTAAGTACCTAAAATACTGAATGCAGCTTCTTTAAGTGAAGAAGTCTTTTTAAACATACACGCATGTTAATAAAAAAAATAAAGTAAAATAAAATAAAATGCTATACATATATATATATATATATATATATATATATATATATGTTCATAAAGTGAACTTACTGCAGGTGCACCACGTCCAGCACCTTGCTCTCTATAATATATTTTCAATAAAAGTTTTATATATAAAAATATATATTAAAATTAACATATTAGCCCTCATAATTCAATTTTTTTTTTTAATTACCGAACAAGAATTGGAACTTTTTGACCCTTCAAGGAAGCAAATGAAAATTGTTCACCAAAACCATAAAAGTGTTCATCCGCTCTACTTTCATAAGTCAAGAGAATTCGATTGAAATCCTCCATAATAGGATCACGATGTAAGATTTCTACCGAGAATCGAAGCTGACGGTTTGATATAGCTTCAAGAGTAAAGACATAATCCATATGAGTTGTAGGAACAAGCTTGATACCAAGACCACCATAAATTTTAATAGTTGAATCATTTTCTCGAACTATTTTTGTAATTGTTTGAAGACGTGTTGACCTTTCATCTATTTCTGTCACTTTAAATACTCCATTATCACCATTCGTTATCTTGTCTTTGCCAACAGTAAAAGAAAGAAAAGGTTGATTATGAAGAGCTAAAATATATATATATATATACAGACAGACACACACGTATATATAAATATATATTAAAATTTATCATAATGACAAGACTTGTCTTTTATGTTTTTGTTTTTTTTTTTTTCCTTTACATTTCCAAATAATACGTCCATGCATGTTTCTAATAATCAAAGCCAATGCTTGAGCATCCACTTGCACTGTAAAATGTCCTATAGATAATTCTTGATTTGCTACAGTATTTCCTATAGATAAACGAGGTTGAACATAATCTTCGGGTGATCCTAACCCAATATTATTTAAAACAGATTGCCACATATTTTAATGTATGCGGAAAAAAAAAGAAAGAAAAGAGAAGAAGGGAAAAAAAATGTTTATGAGTTTTAATTTTTTTTTTTTTATTAATGCAATGACAGTTTGCTACTTATAAGGAAAAACTGAATATTTCATTTTTATTACTTTTTTTTTTTTTTTTTTTTTTTTAATTGCAGCAGCAACATGATGATCAACAAGAGAACATTACTACTACCAGCTAAAATAGAATGATTATTAATATGTTTAAACTGCTATAATAAAAATATGTTTATAAAGAAAAAGTCTACACATTTCACAATCATATTTTATTGTAAAGTATTCCTTTTATTTTTTCTATTCTAATTTATAGACATAGTATTAATAATCATTATTAAAATTGACTTTTTTTTTTAAAAAAAAAAAAAAAAAAAAAAAAACAAGGAAATAAAAGACATAACTCGTATAAAAAAAAATAATAAATCTAGTATATTATACATAATTACTCTATTACAAAAAATGCATCTATTTTCTAATCTAAAATGGCTCTATTGCTTTGTTGTAAAAAGTTTATCATTGCGAAGTTCATCATACGCTTTACGCTTTAAAGAATGCTTTGCTACTTCAATATCCGTCTTAATATCACGAATAAGGGCATCTATTTTATATATAATTTAATACGTTTTCTCTCATCCCTTTTAATCCTTACCAAGTGAAGGGTAATTTTGCTCAGGTCGAATATAGCTTGCCACAATAATTCTAATTGACTCGCCATAAAAATCCGAAGGAAATTCATGAAGAATATGAACTTCCTAATTTACATAACAATAATAAAGTATTTATAATCAGTATCAGTCAGTCTCTTTCTTTCTTCCTATTTTCTTTAAAACTTACAGCTGATTTCTTTTCATTTTTATAATAAGGATTCCAACCTAAACTCATAACCATAGGGTATACTGTTGTATCCTTTTCCCCAATTTGAGCCCAACCATAATACACACCTGTATTGCATTCATGAAACATTTCTTCAAGAGCGTCATCACTCATATTTGCTAAGTTTTTGTTTTTTTTTTATAAGTATAACATTCAGCTAATGCAAATACAAATGGGTAATACCTGTTGGGATTCCTAATTCCTTTGAGCCACGACCAAAGCCTTTTACAACTGTACCTGAAATCGCAATGGGATAAGGTGCTTCAAATGTTTCAGGACCAACAATAAGTGGACGGTCAAGGTTGATGGCAGTGTTATTCATCTTTGATTATATTGAGATTAATTAAAAAAAAAAAAAAAAAAAAAAAAGAAAATAGAAAGTGAAAGAAGAAAAAAAAAGTAATTATTTTCTTGATGTGACAAGTACAGTCAAATCTGACAAATACGATAAACTCAGTCAATCAGTATTGGTTACCAGAGAAATTTGATTGATTAATAATCTTTTTTTTTTTTTTTTTCCTTGTACTAAATATTTAAATTCCTTGTCCATAATAATATAAAACTCTCATAGAAAGAAAGTAGACTTTATCATAACAATGGAAAAAGAAAGAAGCTAATTCTGTGCTCGGAAGAAAACACACGCTATTAGTAATAGTAGCCCTTTATTTCCTTTCCAAGCACAAAAATAAAATATTCCGATATAGAATAACATTTTCCTCTTTTCGGTAAAAGAATAGAAAATCAAGCAAGAAAAAAAAAATATTACTTTTATTTAGTTTTAAATAGTTTTATTGTCATTTTGCCTTTTAAACTGGTATTTTGAGTGTAGCTTTTTTCTTTCTTTTTTAAAAAAAAAAAAAAAAAAAAAAAAAATAGTATAGATAATACGAAGCTTATATACATTTGAATAATATAAAGCTTTAAAGGCTTAATTGAAATCACAAGGAAACGTATTAAAACAAGTAATAGAACATAGTATGTCATATTAGAAAATAATCTATACATAATAAACTTATCAGATTATTTACTCAGTGATCAATTCAGGAAGAAGAAGGGTATTTGTCTCTAAATAGTGATTTTTAAAGTACAATAGAAAGATTAGGATTAATGCTATGCTAGGGAATTTTTATTTTATTTTTCTAGTAATTAAAAAAATATTATCTATAACAAATCATGAATAAAATAAATAAAAGCCATACTATTAAACGGGTTCAATAATTAACCTTAATTTGTTGTTTACATGTATAGATAATGTGTAGATTTAACAGGTTTTGTAGAATACATAAATACATTGCTTTTCTTTGTGCAAAGAACATGGCTATATTTAGAACAATATCTCTCATTTTTTGATCACATTACACCTGATAATTAAGCCATTTTTTTTTTTGTTTCATTTAAAACTGCCATCATGAAACCAACAACTAGGCACTTTGATTATCTCACAACAGCAGTAAGCAGCTACAAACAAGGGCAATTATTATTAGTGCGAATTCTAAAGACTTTGATTCAATCGTTAGCTGCTCTTTATATATTTATATATAACCAACTTCGTTCTTAATGAAAGCACTAACTTGATAGTAGCTTATTAATTAACAAAATGATTATATTCGCGTCAAAATGATTGTTTTTTTTGCTGAAGTTTATACTATTTGGTTAACTAACCTACCCTATAAAAACAGATTCCAATTTTACTAGTAAAGTTATTTATCCACAAATCTACCAAAAGCTACATGCATCTTTACTAATGAACAATATAAAAAGACCCTACTTTAATTAGATATCAATCAGTATCTTTTTCCTTTTCTTTTCTTGTTTTATTCTTCCATATAGGATGCCTTTAAATACATCATTATGAATAACTATCCTATTACTTTGTATTTCCCTGCTCACCTTGCTAACATACAAGACACTCTCTTCTTTCTTTCAATTTATGTGTTAGCAGACAGAGTCAACTAGATGTGTTTAATTATGTGTAAATATTATTAGTTTGTATACATAATATTCACTTGATTGTTAAAAATGATCTTTGATATGAGTCAAAAAAAAAAAAAAAAAAAAAAAGGAAAAAAAAAAGCGCCTCGTGTATACAAATGACTATTATTACATGTTGTTCCTATTAATGATTTTTTACTGTTCATTTTTTCTTTTGAGGAGAGGGGGGGGAGAATAATGATATATTTTGGAAAATAGACTGTAATTTTTGGAAAACTGATCTGCAGAAAATAACTACTACCCAATTTTTCCCATTTTTTCAGTTGCTATTATTAAAAGGCTAAATAATAATAATAATAAAAAAAAAAAAAAAAAAAAAAAAAAAAAAAGAGCGATGCAATCTATTTATTACGTAAGTTTCCTTTTTTATGGATAATATACATTTGTTCGAAACATATCATTAATTAAAAAGATAATGATAATGATAGTAAAAGAATAGGATGGTTCTTCTTTACTTTCTTTGATAATAATTTTTTTTCCCATTTCTTTCTTTTAGTAGAAAAATTTTGTAACCCTATTTATGTATAAACATATAAGCTGTAAAACATAGAAACTGTTTATTTAGTAATTACAATTGATTGGTGTTTAAAATAAAATTTTCATGTATTTGCTAATAATTATAGAACCTATTAAGTTTTATAATTTAAAGGGAAGGAGCAATTTATTAAGATAAATTCCCGTCTATTTCAATTTAAGCATAAAAAATAACTTTATTTTATTCTACTTGATGAAGACATATTTATTAGTCATATAGAGTTCACGTTACATATGCAATCTTTCATACAAATAATATTACAACTCATTTTATCCCTTATGTTCCTACTATTGTTCCCTATTGGTTACTTTTATTATTTTTAACTGCAGTCATTCGAAGGGAACACAAATGTGGGGTAGCGGAAATAAATTGAAAATAATGGCCTCAGTGTGTGTGTGTGTGTAAGTTTTTTTTGAGCTGGATCAATTTTTTTTAAAGTTAAATATCCGTTCTTTTCTTTTATACATATACGAATTAAATTACATTAGTATTACTCACTTTTTTACTCAAATAGTCCAAGATACAAAATTTAGATTATTACCATTTTACGAGAAAGTTTAATTATTTCTTGAAAGAATAAAGGTCAAATATAAATATCTAAAGACAAGCGAAAAAGAAAAAGAAAAAAAAGTCGATTCTGGCCCTGGGAAATGTTTGACATTATCCTAATCTCCATTTGATCTCCGAAGATGACTCTATTGAATTGTATACGCATAAAATAACAAAAAAAAAAAAAAAAAAAAAAAAAAAAAAAAAAAGTCAATGTGGGTAATATCACTTGTTGTATAGAGCAGAAAATGGAAAAAAAATTAATTAATAAATAAATAATAATAAAAGAAAAACTTTTTTCTATTTAACTCTTTTTTCTTCTTCTTCCCCTTTATTCATTTATGAAAATACGAATATGAATATTCAAGCATTAACTTCACCATCAAACGATAAAGTGAATGATAGATTCTTAAATGCTTGTCCTCCTGATAAGTCACATTATACTTCTTTATCAAAGAATACAAGTCATCATAAGAAAGAATATTTGTCTTCAAGTCAACAACATGATTCTCGTCCACAACAAAATATGAATTTGACTGATTTACAAACTGTTGTTTCAACATATCATGAAAATCCAGAACTATTAAAACTTATTTTAACAAGTAAAGTAGAAGAAGATAAAAGAAGAGCAGAAGAAGCTAAATTAAAAGTAAAAGAATTGGATATCTTTTTTAAAAAGCATCAAGAAGAATGGTCGACAACACATAAACATAATTATCCTTCAATGAACCAACAGCAACATAGACGATCTTCTTCTACCACTAGTAGTAGTAGTAGTAGTAATCATAGTCTACATGGTACGAATATAGGCAATAAATATAATAATAGACCTACTACTACTACTACTACTGCTACTACTACTACTACTATTACTAGAGACGAAGGAGAATCTAGCCATTATCGTAATAATAGTAGTAGATCTATACCTTATCCAGTCCCTACTAGTGCAGTTACTAATAATAAATCAGCTTTTGTTCTATCCATCCCTCGTCGCAATTCCTCTGCCTCTATTATTACTACTAATAAAAATAATAAAAATATGACAGTAGCAGTAGTAGTAGGAGGAGGAGGATATTATCAAGCAAGTCAATCTAGTACATATTTGCTTTCATCTTCTGCACCAAATTCTTCTTGTCTATCCCCACCTTCTTCCTTTTCATTTCATAGGTAATCTATTTAACTAATAATAGAGAGAGAGAGATACAAGATTATTACAGACTAATCAACAAGTTATTATTCACTTTAGACATTCAGTAGATTATAATACTGACAATAATAAAGATTATCAACATACCAATAATAATAAAATATCCCGTAGAAGAAGATCCATGCAAGCTATAACAAAAATAGTAAGAACCTCTGAGTTTCCATATAATGACGGCTATTTCTGGAAGAATAATGGCAATACTGTACAAAAGAAGACACGTTGCAGAAGTGTCTATTACAAATGTGCAAACAGTTCAAAGGTAAGTCGGATAAATCCGGGGCAACCAAAAAAAAAAATTATATAGTAGTAGTAGTAGTAATAGTAGTAGTCGTAGTCGTAGTCGTAGTTCGTAGTAGTAGCAGTAATAGTAGTACTAATATGCTAATTTATATTCTATAGGGATGCCTTGTTAATAAAACAGTAGTTGAACAAGTAGATGGTAGTTATATTATAAAATATAGAGGAGAACATAATCCTGAATGCTCTAAAGTTGAACATATTATAGACTTGTAAATATATTTCATGTACCTTTCTTTTTTCTTTATATTATATTCCCTTTTATATTATTTATTATATACAAAATTTATATTTATTTATTCACAGTAGTAAATGCTACAAATAATAAACAACCATTCTATAATTACCTCAACGGTTGTTATTTTATCACCTCTTTTATGCATGTTTCTGATAAATCCTTATAAACATGACACGTTCAAAGATAATAATAACATACGATAATAATTCATTCTATACACACCCTATTTATCAAAATGGCTTATATAAATGATAAAGCTAAAAAGTAGGCAACCTTCTTCTTTGTACTTGGTATGAATAGAATGATAATGAGAACAGAATTCATCCATGAATAAGCGTATATGAAACATTTATTACACTAAATGACAGCAGTGTCTTTTTTTTTTTTTATACATAAAAACGTAGTGAAAAAAATAAATAAATAAGCACACTATTCTATTATTATTTAAATGGATTCATCACAGTGAGATACTCTGATGATGGTTTTTATTTGATTACATAAAAATCGAGATATTTCTTCACGACAATGAAAACCTTACTGGGTACCAAGTTTTGTACAACTTGAAAGAATTCCCATTTCTTTGATTTGCCATCATAAAAATTACCTTGGAATAAATAATGTGAGTTTACTGCATAAACACACGAGTGTCATTTATTGACAGGGCATGCCCTAAAATAAAAAAAAAAAAAAATAAAATAAATAAATAAATAAATAAAAAAACAATAAAATAAATATAAATTTAAAAGGTAAACATGAATTTCATATGCTTATGAATCTGGAAATGCGTCAATAGAATCCGGCTTCATCCGATTCTATAAGCTCAATGCTGCCTGCCTTACATCAATTTAAAACCCTTCTTATGTAGTGAAATTTAACATTTTCAAAAATAGAAATTATGGGGTTTTTTTTTTGGCCAATCAAACTTTTTTTTTCGCTCATTCAAATTTATTGTAATCATTCAACTTTTTTGGTAGAATGATTTGGAAACAAATCCAAGAGTTTACAATCTACATTATAAGCATCTTCCATAAATTAAAACACTGAGACCCTTCAATATTTTGAAAAAATGCGTGAATCTTACTTTATATAACCTATGAACCTTGGCATTTTTGGGTTATTACCAGTGCCCTTGTTGGCAAAAGTAGGCCATCCGCTTTTGGAAATCGTATATATTTTGTATTGTAAAAAATTATGCAAATTTGTCTCAACTTAAACAAATATTATTATCAACTTCTCGTTAAAAGTATGATAGCTACTTCTTTAAGCCCTCGTTAAAATGTTTCTAACTTTTTTTTTCTTTTAACAATTGATGATTTTTTTATAATTTCTCTATATTTACACAAATGCAATAATAATAAAAAAAAAAGACAATCAAAGGAAAAACAATCCATTATAGACAGACATAAATAAAATAGGATGTATCGCATTTCAAAAGAGCAACACCAACAGGTCTTTCTATTCCTGATGATGTCATCTTTTGTGAGATCATACATAGCTCAGATAATTCTCCCATTAGAAGAAAGGAAAAGAAAAGAGAAAAGTTTAGCTCAATAAGAAAAGAATTAGCAACTTGTAAAGACTCGAAGAAGACTTTAACCTTAATAGGTTGAATATAAAACAAAGAATAAAGAGAGAACTTTGATAGTCTTCTTTATTCAGAATTTGATTATGCTGCTTTTTTAACGTGTGTCATAGGAAGTCATTCAAACTTTTTCTTGTAGCTAGCTAACCTTTCTATTTTTGTTTAGTATTATTCTTGGGCTTGCGTTTCTTGAAATTAGATGCATTCAAGCCTATAAACTTGGAAGGCTAATGCTTTGTGCTTGAATATTACTTAATGGCAGCGTGGTCTTAAAGTGCAAGAATTCTTCTCATCATGATAGACCTTGGTGTATGTGCTAAAAAAAAACGTTAATAACGGAATAAACATCGATAGACAAGATAATCAATCTTTACTGCAAACCCCTTTTTACTTTTTGTTTCTTGCTTCTTACGAAGGAACAGAGAGCAAACGTGATTTGCGATATGCAATCCCCTTTCGTATAGCATAAAGATGTGTGGTCTCAATTCTATGTAGAAGCTGCATTGGAAAGTAATTCAAGAAGGATTGTAACGTATGGTTTTCAACCTACATAATTATCGTCAATTAACGTAAGTAAAGATGTGTCAAACTATCAACTTAAAAGATACTTCGCTTAACTTGAAAACAGACTTTTCCTTTTCTTCTTGTTGATGAAGGATAGTACCATGTTGTAGCTGCTACCTAGTACAAGCAAAAGGCATATAGGAAAAAAAATTATGCCACCCATCTTGTAGAAGGGATTGGTCGTCTCCTCAGGAAGAAGAGCAAGCAGTACAAGCATGTTCGCAGCAAGCAAAGATATACCCCGCAATGTCCTGACTTGGTATACGATTGCTTTTTTTTTTCATCTTGCACGAGATAGCTACGTTGGTCGATGTTTTAATGTTCCATAGAAGATGCACCACAAAAAAAAAAAAGTCTGTATAAAGAAAAAAAATTACCACTAGAAATATGGGTGCCGTAGGTACACCCTTACTTTTTATGACTATCAAAGTATTAGCATGTCAAATTCATTGTCAAAAATTCAGGTACTCAGAACGAGAAGAAAAAATATGTTAAACACAACAAAGTTGGATGTCTTTGACCTTGGCTCGAAGACTCGATCTTGATGAAATTTGATGGTATACAAAAGCGAACTTTGGATAATGCAGATGCGAAAAATTGAGCTGTTATTAAAACGAATTTTGACAAAAAAAAAGTGTATTGAGACTGGAAAGACTGTGCCTTTGAGAAAGATTATGATTTCAAGATATAAACACCGTCAATAAAAGATAATTATTACCTTCGTTTTTTCTTTTTTTGTATCTTCTTACAAATTACACAGATTAGTTATAATGAGCTCAATTACTTTCTACCATTACCCTCCTTCAGATGATTTTGCTTGCGGATGAAGATACTGAATATCAACCAAAAGATGCTACAGGTGGAACATCTATCAAAACTTTGTATCGTTTGGAAAATCACTCTCTGATATCTCTATATCATCCGAAGAAGAAGAAGAGGTTGAAACACTGGCATAAGCTATGGATGAGCTTGATTTAGGAGGAATTCTACTTCCAGATATGGTATAGATATCAATTAAGTACAAGCCATCACAGGTTGCTCAGTTTATTTCGTTAATGCAAAAAAAAAAAAAAAAAAAAAAAAAAAAAAAAAAAAAAAAAAACAGGAGGTTCCCTAAAGCTGCTAAAGAGGCTGGTATTGAATATGCCATGGCTTACTAAATTCAACAATAAAATGGAAAAGCAAATGGAGAAACAGTTTTAGCAGGCTATCATTAGCATCTGAAGTCAAAAGAAAAAGAAATAACGTCAAGATTACACTCAGAAGTCATTGAAAAAATATGTCGAGGAATACCCTAGTTGTATTGTAAAGGATGTTACCGAACATCTTTGTGCCACTTTCGAAGGTTTGTCTGTCTGTCTGTCTGTCTATCAATAAATTAAGCGTATATCGCCACATAACCGACAAGCTGGATTTTACCCTCACTCGTATACAAGTTAGATTGGCAGCCAGAAATTTTTATGACACGAAAGAACGACAAAGACAATTTGCCGAATATTTTGAGGAAAAATAAAATCGACTACAAAAGAAGAAAATGCAGTTTTCCTAGACAAAAGTGGATTCAAGAAGAATATGGGTACGTGCTGTAGCTTGGTTCAAGGAAGGAAGACCTGCAGAAGTAGAAGTTCAAGCTGAGGGTGTTAACTTGAATATTTTTGGGCTGTCTATCCGCGTATGGGCTAATTGTGGTTTCCCAGCAAGTTCCCAAGTCAAACTCACAAAAAAAGCAAAAGGTAGCAAGTGGTACCAAGAGGGGGGGGGGCTTCCACATGAAACAAATGCAAGTCATTTTTTGCTGTTTGTAGAAGAGATAGCTATAGTATTGAATAAACTGTGGGGGGGGAGGTTACATAACATGAATATAATAATGGATAATGCAACAATCCACAAAACACCAGAAGTGCTTCCTAGCAATTCGTAATCATGGGACATAATGAATTATTCTTACCCCCATACTCTCCCTTGTTGAACCCCATTAAAGAATACTGGGCAACAATCAAGGCAGAAGTCCGTAAAGCACCGTTGAAAAAAAAACAAACTGTTGGCTAATCGTATCGAAGAGGCTGCAAAAAAAAAAGTTACAGACAAAAACTGTAGGGGTTAGATTCGCCACTCACGAAGTTTTTTTTCTTTTGGCAAATGTTTGGATATGGACGACTTATAAACATTAATTTTTTATTGAGTCTATCTCCAGGGAAATTGAATGAGGCAACAGAAAATTGAATGGTTACCAAAAAAGCTGAATGATTACAATAAATTTGAATGAGCGAAAAAAAAAGTTTGATTGGCCAAAAAAAAACCCCATAATTTCTATTTTTGAAAATGTTAAATTTCACTACATAAGAAGGGTTTTAAATTGATGTAAGGCAGGCAGCATTGAGCTTATAGAATCGGATGAAGCCGGATTCTATTGACGCATTTCCAGATTCATAAGCATATGAAATTCATGTTTACCTTTTAAATTTATATTTATTTTATTGTTTTTTTATTTATTTATTTATTTATTTTATTTTTTTTTTTTTTTTTTATTTTAGGGCATGCCCTGTCAATAAATGACACTCGTGTGTTTATGCAGTAAACTCACATTATTTATTCCAAGGTAATTTTTATGATGGCAAATCAAAGAAATGGGAATTCTTTCAAGTTGTACAAAACTTGGTACCCAGTAAGGTTTTCATTGTCGTGAAGAAATATCTCGATTTTTATGTAATCAAATAAAAACCATCATCAGAGTATCTCACTGTGATGAATCCATTTAAATAATAATAGAATAGTGTGTTTATTTATTTATTTTTTTCACTACGTTTTTATATATATATATATAGTTATGTATATATGTACATGTATAAAAAAAAAAAAAAAAAAAAAAAAAAAAAAAAAACCTTGTGTTAAATACTGACGAAAACCAAAATAACAGCAGCACTCAAGTCTCCTCATAATAAAAGTCTTCTTTTCTTTTCTTTTCTTTCTTTCTTTCTTTCTTTCTTCCTCTTTCTTCTTGCTTTCTCTCTTTTGCTATCGCCCTTGTTAAATATGACGCTTTCATTTGCTCTTCCAAAATTTTCTGGATCAACACTATTGCCTTCCTCAGAGCCAATTATGTTATATGAACCACAATATTATGAAAAACATGCTGGAAGAGCAATGCATATTCAATTAATCCCTACAAGGCCTACTCCACCTTTAAAACGTAATTGTAAACCACCTCATATAATTATACCAGAACCCAATTTTGATGATTTATTGTGCCTAAGTGATGATTATTTTTCTCCTTGGTCTCCAATGGAAGAAGAAAGAGAAGATACTGATAAATCAGCTTCCACTTGTATTCATTTTTGGAATTCCTCATTATAATTCTCTTATGTGTGTATTTTTGTATTATAATTATTTTCACACACAATCCATTATTTGTACGAGGAGAAGGGCCCCCCCCTCCTTCCTTTGTTATTATCAAAAAAAAAAAATCACGCATACGCATATATAACACAAGACTCAATTATGTATATTTCATACACATAAATGTATTTATATAAATCAAATAATATTAGTTTCTTCTATCTTTAATCACATGAAATATATGTATCTTTTTTTTTTCTGTAATTGTTTATTGCTTGCGTTCAAAATAGGGTGAATTATTCATATATACAAGACTTGAATCAATCACCCAATCACCGATTCGAAGGTATTGTTCTACATATTTACGTACATCTTCATTTTCAATTTTGCTTGTTGCTGGTCTAAAGAAAATAATAATAATAAAAAGTAAATATAACCAACCATTTGCAAATTGAATGATTTTTTACTGTAATCCTGAATTTCTCTTAATGCCCGCTAATACAGTAGAAATTAGAACAGCATCCGCAGTTAGATGAAATAAACGACCCCACATCTAATGTTTATTTATTTATATATGTGTATATAAAAAGAAAAAGAAAAGAAATGAAAAGAAAAAAAAAGGGGGGGAAGGGGAAAACAACAAAAAAAAATAATATTAATAATTGACCCTGTTGCATTGTTACTAATGGATATATCTGGTTTTTTTTTTCTTTTCTTTTCTTTTTTTTTCACTAAATTTGGTATAATTTTGAACTCGCCTCTTCTTTGATTCATATAAATAAATAAATAGGAAGAAAATGATAGTAATAGTAATGAACTCATAATAATAATTGAGCACGTTTAGCGAAGGAAGAATAAGAATAGAATTAATCGTCTTTTCAAGTCTATTTTCTTTTTTTTTTTTTTAAAAAAAAAGGCAGGAGACCCTGTTCGAATAACATAAAAAAATAAAGGTCAAATGCATCTAAAGAATGCTTTCTTCTCTTTTTCTTATTTTTTTATTTATGAGTGTTATCTACTTGAAGTAAAATATACTCTGGAAACATTATTTAACATTCGTTAGTTAACTTTGCTAGTAGTCGTGTTGATCAAAGGAGTTCAACAGCTTCAAAAGAAGAAAAAGGTACAGATTTCACAAAATAAATATTCTTTTTATACAATAACTTGATTAAAACCATATTAAGTAAAAAAAAAAAATCCGGAGCAAGGTTAATTTTGCGAGTTTGATTAAATGACAAAAAATAATAATAATAATAAAAAAAATAGCTATTGCTAAATTTGTATACATATTAAAAAAAAAAGAGTGGCTTTTGAAAATAAATTTTATTCCCAGTTTACTGCAATGTGGGTTTTTTTTTTATCTTTATTCTTATTATTATCGTCATTTCTAATGGCATTAAAAAAAAAACAACAGCTTGCAGAAATAGAATCAGAAGAAGAATATGGTTATGATTATGATGATGATCAAGTAAGAATACAATGCATCCATCTATGATTGTTATTAAGTCAATCGATGTTAATATATATGTATATATAGGATCTTGAAATAGATTCAGATCAAGCTGATTTAGACCATGATGATGATGATGATGATGATGATGATGATGATGATAGTGATGAAGAGGAGGAAGAAGAAGAAGCAGATGATGATGATGATGATGATGAACAATACAAGGCCGAAGAATTAGCTAAAATCAAAAGAGGTAAATCTTTTCAAAAATAAAAAAATAACATGATTCTTATAGATCTCGAATTTTTTATTTAGATCTCGCTCATGTGTCTTTTGAACAGCTTGCAGAAATAAAAGGAAAGATGGGAGCAAAGGAATTTAGTGAGAATAATAACCAGAAAAAGACAATATCTAAAGACCAAATTTTGAAAGATCTTCAAGGTGCTGTTGGTAAATTGAAAAAGAAGCCAAACAGAGTAAAGCGAACAAAAGAAGAGATGAAAAGAGAAAATAAACACAAGTAATTATAATATTATGTCTGTCCCCTTTTTTTATTTATTTATTTTTTCTCTCTTTTTTAATATGCCTTTCCTTTCTCTTTATTGATAGACCAATGGAAATAACATCAAAACGAGCAGTTGGACGTTTTAGAGAAGTTGTTCAAATGCAATCTGTGGTAAGGATTAAGAGATTAGACTCATTAAAAAAAAAAAAAGGTCGAGTTTCATAAAACTTTAATAGAAACGTAGAGATCCAAGATTTGATAAACTTTCAGGTCATTTCAATCAAGATTTATTTGAAAAGTCGTATAGTTTTATAAATGACTACAAAAAATCAGAAATGGAAATGTTAAAGGAACGCATTAAAAAAGAAAAGGATGCTGATACAAAAGAGCAATTGCAAGGTTTATTAAAAAAAATGGTAGTTTTTGTTTATTTATATAGTAAAAATACTATTTGTTCTTAATCATTTATTTCTACTTGAATTAAAAAGATATCTGCTGAAAAGCAAGAAGAAGAAAAAAAGAGAAAACAACAATTATTCCGAGAACGTAAGAAACAAGAAGCAGAATTAGTAAAACAAGGAAAAACGCCTTATTTCCTTAAAAGATGTAAGTTCATTTTCTCTCTTTTCTTTTTTTTTTTTTATTAATTTATTAATTATTATTTGTTGTTTAGCGGAAAAACGTAAACTTGATTTGATGGATAAATACGAAAAATTAGGCGCAAAGAGTGTAGATCGCATATTAGAAAAACGTCGCAAGAAGAATTCAGCAAGAGACAGAAAGCATCTACCTTTCAAGAGAAGATCAGCAGAATAAAAGCTTTTTTATTTTATTTTTTTTATTTATCCTTTTTTTTTTTGTTATTTGGTTTATAGTTGAATAACGTTTTATTTTATTCATTAAATTCATCTGAAACAAATTCATATAATAAATTACATAAAACAAAATACAAACATCTTCTCCCTCTTTGTATTAAAAGAAAAAAAAAGGTACCTGTTTGAAGACTTGTATGATTTTATTACCAACAAAGAAAATGATATTAGTAGTCAGTAGTAGCGAGGTTTATCATTTGTAATGCATTTTTATCATACTTTCCTTTGGTCATAGTGGATGTATTAACTTAATAAATTTACTAATATAATTGTTTATTAAAATCATTATTTAGATGATGGCCCGTTTTAGTATAAATCAAATTTATCAGTGAGTACACTATGTATTTATATCTATTGAGAAGAAGTGCAGGGATTTTTTTTTAATTAGCTTAGTTTTGTCTGTATAGATAATACGGATTCAAGTAACTCATCCGGTCTAGAAATTGTCTTATATTTAACTTGGAAATGACAAGATAAGCATCCATGCATACACAGTTGGTTAATATATAAAACAACACAATTAAATAGACTGTAAAGATTTGATTAGATTCCACAGTCTATTATGTATAATAAGAAAATGTGTTTAATTGTTTTGAAAAGTGACGATGACTTATATGCTAAGGAAACAATATTATTATTTTGCCCAAAAAAAAAAAATAAGGTAGAAATGTTGACTTTTTTTTTTTTTTTTGAGAGCCGAAAAAAGAACAAAATCTAGTTTATGTACAAATCTGGTAAAATAATAATTAAACTTTACAAGTGTGTGTAATGGAGATACATGAAGATTATTATTTTTTACTTTAAATGGTCATGTCATTATTAAACAGTAATCATCATCTTTTTTAATTATTATCATTACTAGCAACGATTGTTGTGCATATAAAAAGCGTGGACTTTTTTGTTTTCTTTTCTTTCTTTTTTATTTTATATTTCTTCGACTTTTTTTATTATGCGTAATTATCAAATCTATTTGACGATTGCTATAGCTATACTAGGTAGCTTACTTGTCTCTGTGCAAGCTAAAAAAACTCATAACGAAATAACATGTGAGGATGACTCGTCCTCAAAAAATATCTATGGCAAACATAAATTAATTACATATATTGTTGATTGGGATATACCACATAATATTAAATGGGATCTCTTTGATCATGTCTCTTATGCTTTTGCTGAACCTAATAAAAATGGCGAGCTAAAATCATTTTCGGGCAGTAACTTGAAATCAGGTACTTTCTATAATTATAATTGTAATATAAATAATATATTGTTATTCATATTTTTTTTTTTTTTTTTTTTTTTTTTTTTTTTTTAGTGGTTCGTGAAGCACATAAAAATAAGGTTGGCGTCAGTATTAGTATTGGCGGGTAATATAGATTGATAAATAGATATAATTACATGCATAAATTAATATCTTTATTTTGTTAGATGGAGTGGTTCCAGATATTTTAGTTCTTTGGTCAAATCAAAATCTAAGCGAGATAAGTTCGCTAAAAATATTATGAAATTGGTTGAAGAATATAATCTCGATGGAGTAAACCTTGATTGGGGTAAAATAGTTTAAAAGAAGTAGTAGTTAACAATAGATTAATCCATTTTTTTTTTCTTATTAGAATATCCTAATGATCCTAATGGCGTCTCTTGTAATGAAAAGTACGAACCTTTTTTTTTTTTTACGTTTATTAGTTACAAGTATTTACATATGTGCATATCATGTTTTATAATAATAGGGATCCCAATGATACAGCTAATTTCCTTACTTTTATCAAACTATTACGCGAAATGCTTGATAAGAAATATAAAAAAGTTCATAAATTAATTACTGCTGCCGTTAGTACGAGTCCCTTTAATAATGGAAAGCAGGAGCCTATCAAGCATCTTGATAAAGCTTGGTCAGCAAATGTTGATTTTTTTTATATTATGGTACGAAATAGAAAAAAAAAGAAAAGAAGCATTGTTCTCTAAAAAGTATTTCTCAACTTCTTCCTTTTAGGTTTATGATATTAGTGGTAGTTGGATGAAAAAGGCAGGTCCTAATTCACCTTTGAATAAAGGAGGTTCCTATGATTCTAGTGTAAAACAAGCAGTGAGTGTATGGAAGAGTGCAGGGATCCCTGCTAATCAAATCATCTTGGGTGTACCCTTCTACGGACATGCTTCTCGAACTGCTACAGCTATTACTTCATCTACAGGCATGTATGTCAAGTTGGCAAGAAATAGCACAATTAAAGGTGATAAATATGATTCATTAAGTGCAGATCCTTGTCCAGGTGCTGTCAAGTCCTACTCAGGATCTTATGAATGGCGTTCTATTATGTCTGCAGGTATCTTGGACAATAAGAATGGCTGGAAATCTTACTGGGATAAAAGATCTGCTACACCTTATGCTTATCATTCTAAAGATCACAAATTTCTTTCGTATGATAACCCAAAGTCTCTTAAAGATAAAATGAATTATGTTATTAAAGAAAAGCTGGGTGGGGCTATGATTTGGTCTCTGGAAATGGATGACAAAAAGAATACCCTTTTATCAAGCCTTCAAAGTATTAGGGATTAATTTGCTGGTTGAATTATTTCTCATTTCTAAATACTGCTACTACTATTATTATATATTCTTCTAATATGTAAAAAATAAAAAATAAAATAAAATAATAATAATAATAATAAATATGATTATTTTCTAGAAAATTGACAGCATTTCAATTGAAGTTAGAATGATTCTACGTATGATATAAAGTGTTCTGCTTTTTAAAGCTATTCACTATATTTACAGTTTTACGCATATTAAAGGCTATAATGAGATTGCATTTTTCTTCAAGACTATGTAGATTTTTTTTTTAGAAGAATTTTGTTTTTAACATATGTATGAGAAAAGGAGATTTATTAAACTTTATCGTGTATTCACATGGCCCTTTGGAGTTAAATAGATCCAAATAATAAAAAAATAAATAAACCTATTATGTAATTCTGTTGACAAAATGTATATCTTTAATAACAATACAGCAGTTGAAATGAGAGATTAGATTAATCTGTGTAGATTTTATAAAAATATTTTCTTTTTCTTTTTTTTCTTTTTTACTTTTTTTTTCTTTTCTTTTTTTTCTTCTTCTTTTTTTCCTTTTTTCCCTTTTTTCCTTTTTTTTTTCTCTCTTTTATTAAAGCTTTTAAAGTAGTGTTTAAATAATACGAATCATGATAATTTCCTTTTATTATGTAATATATGAACATAGAATATAGGGACTGTGTTAAATTATTTTTACTAGTGTGTATCAGTTATTATACACCAGATATAATTATAGTATTTAATCAGCAATTATCATTATAATTACTTGTATTATATCATTTTCCATTGTTTTAATGACTGTTGTTCATAGTGTTATCATATGATAGAACATCATTGAAAAATATAATTTTAAGGCCCATTGCTTGTTTCAGTCATAAGAGGAGTTCCCTTTTTTTTTTTTTTTTTTTAGTAGTAGTATTCGTCATATCATCATGGGTGGGTAAATATGAAAAAAATATTTGTTTAACAAAAAGGAGATAATGATCTACCTCGGCTGAAGAAGGAGGGAATTCCTCTTTTCTGATTATTAAGGACCCTCATAAAGTGTAGGAGGTACTCTACGCACATTAGGAGATAATAATTATCCGTGATCTATTACTGTGCTTTAAGCATGATGTAAGTTAATAGATGGAATTATCGCATTTGTTTCGCTTCTTCTTTTTCATTCATAAGGATTAATCAAGTACAAAAACTTATCATATGATAATGCTAGTGGTAGTGGTAGTTATCACTATTGATAACTTGAATAATAGGCTTGTGATATACGCGTTTATGATTAAACACTCTTTTTTTTTTTTTTTTTTTTCTTTTAAATACCAGTCTGTTTCAAAACTATTATTATGGTAATCATTTATATTTGATTAGAAATAACACATGACGCGTAGATTGAATAGAATGAAATATTAATCATATCAGCATTATCAAAGAGAACTATTATGTATTAATGATTTAAAACTGATTAGGAATCAGTAACTAGTTTATACATAAAATCTCTTTATTGTTTAACATGACTCCTTTTTTATGAAGTAACTGATAATATGCTGAGTTATTCAAGAAAAGAAGGAGATCAAAACTAAAAAAAAAAAAAAAAATGATACAGTAAGTATTTTGTTAATAAACCGAGGTAACAAAATACGATTTCCATCAAAGATAGATAGAGTTAGTATTAAAGAAACTACATTGTTTTAGTTAAATCTTTTCTCACATATTATAATGATAGTTTTTTCAAAGAAGATCATCAAAGAGTAATAAGCATATTATATAACAGTCGTTTTTAATTGCATTTTATTTTTAGTAACCGAACATTGACAACGTTTGACTAAATATACCAAATGTAGATATTTTACATACATAACTATTACTTTTTTTTTCTATGATAGACAGACAGACAGATAGATAGATCATTTACTTGTTGTTACTGTAGATATTTCAATTTACACGAAGGAGGTAAGACAACTTTATCAAATTTCATAAGCCAGAATAAACTCTTCTTACTCAACAAATATTAAGTTTAAATTATTTATTATATTATGTCAAAAGAAATAAAATAACTTGCCTTTTACTTTTTTTTTTTTTTCATTCAGTAACAAAAAAAAAAAGAAAAAAAAAATCATGCATAAATAAATAAAAAAATAAAATAAAATAAAATAAAAGAGATTTTATCCTCGTGTAAATAAGTCTATTTGTCATGGTTACTTACCTCCTTTGTTGTTTTTATTATCTTTAACGCCACCGATGATAATGCGAAACCATGGGAACAAAATTATTTAGTTCTGTGCTTGAATTTCATTTTACATAATGCTATTTATATGAATGTTTTAACAAGATCGCTCATGTGTACTTTCTTTATTTTGGGAAAATAAGATAAAAAAAATAACGCAATATTATTACTGTTTGTTTATCATCAGTAGCTTTAAACTAAGTTTACTGTAAATAGAAACAAGAAATGTATAAAAAGTAAAAAAAAAAAAAAAAAAAAAATAGAAATAAAGAAAAATACATCAAATCACTAGTATCACTGATTTCTCTTTCTCTCCATTTTCTTTGATTGATAATAGATTTTTCTCTTGCAGGGGGGGGGAGGAGGAGGGACAAAGTTATTAAATGATCTACTCCACATTCAAACTAAACTTATTTATTATTATAAACTTGGAAATAAAGCAAAGAAAAAAAAGAAAGGGACATGCTTTATACATATAAACATATTTATAAAAATTGATTATATAGAAATATACATGTATAATATATATATATATATATATATATATATATATATATGTATATATATCAGCTAAATAGTTTCTTTTTTTCTTTTTCATTTCAATAAAATGTTGATCAACTTTTATAAAGGATTTTCATACAAAGTCGATCATATCATTTTTTCTTTAAAATAGAAAAAAAATACTCCGCTTTTTTACCGCGACACCTAAAAAAAAAAAAAAAAAAAAAAAAAAGGACGGAAAAATCTAAGGATTTTTTTCCTTTTTTTTTTTTGATTTGGAATATATATAAATACAACAACATGCTTCTTATCTATTGTCATTCTTCTTCTTCTTTTTTTTTTCATTGAATTCTTAATAAAAATAAAATGGTTGAATTTTTTCGAAGACAAACAAAGCAATTAAATAGATCAAGGAAGCCTAATCCGTTAAAGAATATCATTAGTCGCACTAATAAAAAGGAAGAAGTTCCATTACTACCATTAAACTCTGGTTTGACTTCACCTACAATAGTATCACCCATAATTACAAATTCAGCTTCAAGGCATAATGATCCCTATACGCCTCATATTTCTCCAACTGCAACAAAAGCTGTTAAACAAATGAATCACATGAATACCACTAATCATACACCTTCTTATAATAACAATAAGGGAAGGCCATCTAATGTAAACCACTCTGATACAATGAATCCCTTTGAATCACGTACGCATCATAAATCTTCCTTAGAAGATAATTATCAACATTCCTATTTTGATAATCCTGATCAGTATCGTACAGGTCCTTTAACTCCAACAACAGTCAAAACTGAAATCTATTCTACTCAATCTATCATGACAACAACGCCACCTAATCATGTTACACTTTATAGTCAACAATGTTATACAAGCACTACCTTTTTATCTTCACAGTCTCCTCTATCTCCTTCTTTATCATTACCTCCGTTATCACCTACTAATGTATCACTTGCTACTAGTAGTAATAAGCCCTCTTGGAGAGAAATGAAACATGCGGCTACTTATCAACCCGCTGCATCTATTTCAAGTACGGATAATGATGAAGATGATTCTTTAGGTGCATTAGCTACACCGTCTTCAATAGAAAATCCTTTAATTGATTTATTAGGTGATAATTCAAGTGAGGAAGAGGATGATGACGATGATTTAATACCCATTGGCCAGTTATCTCTTTGTCGTAACAATGATATTCATCATTTATCAGCTGCTGAAAAATACAAAGCAAAAGTAAGGGCAAAACTTGATATGGGCTTTACTCCAGATGACAATCATAAAGTCAAGCTACTTATTTAAATTTATTATTTCATTTATTTTATTTCGTTTTCTTCTGTACTTATTTATTTCCCTCTTTGTATATATAAAATAAATAAAAATGTATAATACTTTTATGCATTTAGATTTCTCCTTCTTCAATTATACTACACTTGGACAATTTTTTTTTCTTTTCCTAACAAAAAAAAAAAAAATATACATAATAAAAAAAAAGGGATAAAAAACTAGTCACGAATGCCTTAGCAATAATAAATGAATAGTCTAAATTCTACTTTAGAGTTACACTTTTGTTGTCTTGGTAACAAATATTTCTATATATCCACTTCATCACTTTCAGGTACTTTACTGCTGTTTCTAATCTTTTCTAGAATGTTTTCTTTTAACGGGTGCTTATAGGGATTTCTATACATATAATTCATTATAATTGTTTGCATGACTGGATTTCACATGCTTTTTATCTTTTCGTCAAGGAAAGCAATATTTCGCACACTTTTTTAAATAACCGCTTCTTTTTTTTTTTCTCCACAATTTACATACTTGCTCTTTCACCCACACAAACACACTTTTTTCTTTTCTTTTCTTTTTTCTTTTCTTTTTTCTTAAATTAATCTATTCTATAATAATGGCATTTCGACAAGTATTTATTGTTTCAGCCAAGAGGTATATGCAAACATAAGAAAAAAAGAAAAGAAAAAAAAAAAGATACAAATGTTTAACATAATAAGTATTGTCTTAGAACTCCATTTGGTACTTTTGGTGGAAAATTTAAAGATCTCACAGGTAAAAAGAAAAAAAAATAGAGTTTTTTGTTTTTTTCTATTTTAAAATAGAAAAAAAAAAAAACTTATATGTTGTTTATTAGCTGCCGAATTGGGAGCATTAGCGTCAAAGGCTGCTATAGCTGACTTGCCTCAGAATGTACCTATTGATTCAGTTATTTTTGGTAACGTGCTTCAAACGGATATAGCAGGTGCTTATGTAGCAAGACATATTGGACATCGTACGGGCTTACCTGTCACTGTTCCTGCCTTGACTGTCAATCGTTTGTGTGGTTCAGGTCTTCAAAGTGTGGTGAATGCAGCACATGAAATTATGCTAGGTGAAAGTGAAGTCGTATTGGCTGGTGGAACAGAGAACATGTCCTTGGCTCCCTTTTCACTCTCAGGTACCTCTCGTTGGGGGATTAAATTGGGAAATGATCCTAAGCTTCAAGATACCCTTTGGACTGCTCTTACGGACCAATATCCTAAACCTACGCCTATGGGTATTACTGCTGAGAACCTTGCTGAAAGATATCATATTTCAAGACAAGAATGTGATGAATATGCATTTACAAGTCAAAGTCGATATGAAAAAGGTAATCTTAAAAAAAGAAAAAAAAAAAGAAAGAAAAACGCAGAATTTTTAGTATTGATTATTATTTTTTAAAGCTGCAAAAGCGGGTATTTTTAAGGATGAAATTGTTCCTGTTGAAATAAAAGGTCGTAAAGGCCCTGAAATTGTGGACGTGGATGAGCATCCTCGCTTTGGTTTAAAGATAGACAATTTGACAAAGTTGAAACCTGTCTTTAAGAAAGAAGGTGTAGTATCAGCCGCAAATGCTTCAGGCATCAATGATGGTGCTGCTGCTCTCATTGTTGCAAGTGAGGATGCTGTTAAAAAGTACAATTTGACGCCTTTAGCACGTGTCGTAAGTTGGCAGGCTTCTGCAGTGGAACCTACTTTGATGGGTATTGGACCTGTCCCTGCTATTCACGGTGCTTTAAAACGTGCCCAGTTAGAATTAAAGCAAATGGGTTTAGTTGAAATCAATGAAGCCTTTGCTGCTCAATATTTAGCTTGTGAAAAAGAGCTTGGATTAGAAAGAGAGATTGCAAATGTGAACGGGGGTGCAATCGCTGTTGGTCATCCTTTAGGTGCTTCAGGTGCTCGTATCTTAACTCATTTGTCTCATGCTCTTCAGCGCACAAAGGAAAAATATGCTATTGGTTCTGCTTGTATTGGCGGTGGACAGGTAAAAGAAAAAAAGAATTATGCTAATTATAATATTTATTGTAAAACAATTAATTTAACGAATTATTATTATTATTATTATTATTTTTTTTGAAAAAAAAAAATAGGGCGTTGCTGTTGTTTTGGAAAGAGTTTAACCAAAGGAGCTTTACTTATTAGAAACTATTAAAAAAAAAAAGTCAATGATGTTTACCCTTATTCTTTTATTTTCAATTATTCATTTACCTTCAAATTCTAATGAATTAATTCCTTAATAAGTTTAAAAAATTCTAAATTTGAAATATGAGATTCTTTTTCATTTAAGTTTGTACCAGTGTATATGATGGAATATAGTAGTTGGCTTGTGTTACATGAGTATAGAATAAACTATTATACAAAATAGGCTTAGTCGTCTTTTTTTTTTTTTGTTAAATTTATTCTTATAAATTCCTCCTCCACCCCCCCTTTTTTGTCTTTACACATAATATGTATAATTCATCACATAAGAAGCCTACCAAAGAGACTAACAAAAACAAGTCTCAGTATTCTTCAGATCAACAAGAAAAAAAAGATAGAAGGCCAAAAACACTTGCACATCGAGAACAATTCTATCACACTTTTAAAGCCAAACTTTCTCAAAAGATTCAAGAAAAGGAATCTGAACTAAATAAAGAGCGTGCAAAATTGAAAGAATGTGAGGAACAACTTAAAGCAGCTTGTCAACAAACTGAAGTTCAGCAGCTAACCTTGAATAGAATACAAACTCAGCTTTATGAAATCAGCAAACCTATTAAAGTAACTGATGATGATCTCTCTACCGTTACAGTACATCTTGCTAAACTTACAGGTAAAATTCAACATTTTCCTCCTAGCTTCAAACAGGCGTATTTAAGAAAACAGCAAAAGGAAAAATTAACACCACATCAACTCAAGGATATCTTTTGTCAATGGTTTGGTAAAGATGAAAAGGAGTTCATTGAGGAATTGTTCCTTGAGATGATCGAGCAACAAAAAGTGGATTATGGACTTATATCCGTGTTGGTAGAACGATATTTGATGGATGTGATTGTGAATGATATATTTAAGGCAGGTATTCATCTTGACCAAGGGGTGAACCAGGCTTATAATCGACTGTATCATTTTTTTATTCAGACAGGACATCCAAAATGGGCTTGTGATTTAAGGTTAAAGACAGCAAGGGCAACCTATGATTTAATACATCAGGGGCACCCAAATACACTAAGGGCTATCGAGCTATCAAAACAAACCATTCTTAACTCTCTTATCTTACATCTTTCTTTCATTTATGATTGTGATACTGACCAAATGAAAGAACGAGTTGAGAAACTCGTGGATATGGCTACTCATCTTTGTCTACCTATACATGGTCAGGTAGATGAAATTCAAATTTATGACTTGAACCAAAAAAGGAGATTTACAGGTGAGCTTGAGACTGTACGGGAAAATCAAGTTAAACACGTGTATCGTTATCTTAATAAAGACCACATTCATTTGGGCATTGCGCCAGTCTTTTTGGCAAAGAGTATCACTGAAGAAGAGGAGGATGATCATCAATCAATGGATTCATATATACTAAATCATACGCTTATTTATCCTGGAAAAGCTATTTGGTAGCCCATTTATCGGTGTATATAAATTTGTCTCTCAAAATAAAATAAAAAAAATAAAAATAAAAATAAAAAAGTAGGAGGGAAGAGAGAGAGAAAAGAATTATAATTGCTTTTATATATATATAACTTTATACCCTTTTCCCTATTATTAAAAAGTCGTAGGTAATATTTAACGAATAAATGAAAAATAAAATAAAATAAATAAACTCCATCTACAAGCGTATCTAATAATTAAACCAAGTACTTTAAAACATATTTTCATTTTAAGGTCAAAAATATAATTCAATAATACGTTTTCATAAATGATTAGTTGAACATTTAATCCCTTCAGTACATTAGATAGCCCTAGTCAAGTGAGACAGAGAGAGAAAAAAAAGGGGATCTTTTTTTTTTTTTTTTTATTTATTTATTTATTTGTAATCATGCATCATACTATATTGCATTGGCTTTTGAATCCATTCCAAAAAAAAGAAGAAAATCGAGAAAAATGTAGTTGAAAATAAAAACAAAGACATACTATCATTAAGTGAGTAATCGAATGAATAAAAAAGGGTTCGAATGTAGTGACAGGGAAGAGAGAAGAAAGGATTGTATCGCGAGTTATTTAATTTTATTTCATGTAGAATTATGCAAATGATAAGCTAACAGAAAAAAAAAAAGAGAAATACGACTTGAATAGTCTTGGACTACTTTTTGAGTTGGAGAAAGAGCTGTTTTAAAAGCGACATTTTAAATACTTTCAATTATAAATGACAGTTATAGAATATGTCAATACAAATTGTTAAAATTTCGGCAATTTGATTTTTCCAGATTAAAATATAACAGTGGGTAAAATATTAAAACGTAACATTTTTAATTTAGCAAATATAGAATAAAGGCTTCAATAGTATACATCTATTCTGATGTAGCAACACATTAACTTGAAGTATTGAACAACGCTGTCATTTTCAGATATGTGTTAACAATCTATACAATACACTCATTTATTTTCCTATTGTACTTTAAAATCACTATTTAGAGACAAATACCCTTCTTCTTCCTGAATTGATCACTGAGTAAATAATCTGATAAGTTTATTATGTATAGATTATTTTCTAATATGACATACTATGTTCTATTACTTGTTTTAATACGTTTCCTTGTGATTTCAATTAAGCCTTTAAAGCTTTATATTATTCAAATGTATATAAGCTTCGTATTATCTATACTATTTTTTTTTTTTTTTTTTTTTTTTTTTAAAAAAGAAAGAAAAAAGCTACACTCAAAATACCAGTTTAAAAGGCAAAATGACAATAAAACTATTTAAAACTAAATAAAAGTAATATTTTTTTTTTCTTGCTTGATTTTCTATTCTTTTACCGAAAAGAGGAAAATGTTATTCTATATCGGAATATTTTATTTTTGTGCTTGGAAAGGAAATAAAGGGCTACTATTACTAATAGCGTGTGTTTTCTTCCGAGCACAGAATTAGCTTCTTTCTTTTTCCATTGTTATGATAAAGTCTACTTTCTTTCTATAATAATAGTAAAATACCTAGAAGTTATATTTCATCGTGTCCCAAAATATTTTATTATTGGTCGAAAGTATTTCTTCCCAAAAAAATATTTAAATTTCCTCAATTAAAAATGAAAAATACTTTTATCAGGCCAGATTATCCGATAAAAGGGAATATTTACTTGGCTCGAATATAATAAACATCTTTAACAATTGTATTCACTTTTTTTTGTAAATAAACAATAGGTGTAAACAGTCTTTACGTTACAATAGCAGAGCCGTGTATTGTAGACTTATTTACTTCTTATTAAAAAAAAAATTAAACTATAGCTTGCTGGCTAAGTTGATGATCTTTGTCGGTAAACAAAAGTACCTGATGTTTCTCATTTTTTTTAAACATTTCTGACAACTTTTGGGGGAGCAGCTGAACCAACTTTTAACTTTAATTAGAGAAATAATTCAATGAGCTTATTTTTTTTTTCTAATTCTTTACATCCTTTGTTTGCATTCTTATTTTTTTTTCTTTGGTAATCTTTTATTGGGGAATAAAAGATTAACTATAAAGATTTGGATAAAGGACTTTTTTTTTTTTTTTTTTTTACTTTATTTATATATCATCAATATTTACATATACATTAATTATACATAATACTACCTAATTATACATTCTATATTTTAACAAAAATAAGGTACATCATAAATTTAACTGATCTTGTACCACCTAGTTGTAAAATTAATTCCTATCTCTTTTTTTAAGCCTTCTCTTTATTTACAAAAATAGTGTAATATGATTCAAAACCAACAAACACTTCGTCCTTTAACTTTAAAACAAGGTGTTACTGAAATTTCTATTCTTGTTTCTGAAAACGTTTGGGGTTATACGCAGCAACTTAAGGAAGAGTTCCCTACAGCTGAAAATGCAGAAAATGTCAATGAAATTGAACTTGCAGCCAGATTTATGAAATTTGCTTCTGATCGTGCAATTAGGGATTCAATTTTTATTGAAGTGGCTAAAGTTCTTTTTATTGATTTTACATCTAAATATCTTAAAAGTAATAATATACATGCTGCTACTCGTAATCTTGTACTCGAGTCAAAAAAGTCAGTTATCAAAGCCTATTATTCCACTTTGAATGTTCTTGAAAAGACCAATACCTTACCAGATGAAAATATGGCTCCAGTTAAATCAGCTTTATTCGAGGCTGCTGCTAGCGGTGATGCAAAGCTTTTCGCTGTTTTTGGTGGTCAAGGCAATATTGAGGAATATTTTGATGAACTTGCTGATATTTGGGAGATTTACAAAGAGATTGTAAGACCTTTTGTTCTTCGTATGGCAGATGTATTAAACGAGTATGCTCGTAATCCTGATGTAAAAGTTTTATATTCAGAGGGTCTGGATATTTTACGTTGGCTAGAAGATTCTGAGCTTAGACCTGATGTCCAGTACCTTATTTCTGCTCCAGTGAGTCTTCCTTTAATCGGTCTTATTCAACTTCTCCATTATTATATCATGATTCGCGTTCTTAATCGTACACCTTTTGAAATTCGTGATTTATTTAAAGGTATGTAAACAATATACTAAAAAACGGGTAGTGTGTCTTTTATTAAATATTATATTATATTACAAATAACAACAACAACAACAACAACAACAAAGGCACTACGGGTCATAGCCAAGGAATCATTAGTTCTGTCGTTATTTCTGCTTCTTCAACTGAAAATGAATTTTTGAGCAATTCTGAAAAAGCATTAGGTCTTCTTTTTTGGATTGGGGCAAGAGCACAACAAGAGTATCCTTCTTTTACTTTAAACCCAGCTGTTATCGAAGATTCAATTAATAACAATGAAGGAAATCCCACTCCTATGCTAGCTATTACCGGACTTCGAGAGAGTCAGATTTTGAACTATGTGAAAGAAACTAATTCTCATCTTGCTCCTGAACGTCAAATTGTGTTAGCCTTACGTAATGGCCCTCGTTCATTTGTCTGTACCGGCCCTCCTCAATCACTCTATGGATTAAATCTTGCCCTTCGCAAATTAAAAGCCCCAACCGGTCTTGATCAATCTCGTATTCCTTATTCTCAACGTAAAATCAAATTTTCTTTCAGATTCTTGCCAATTACAGCACGCTTTCATAGTTTCTATTTGAATTCAGTGGTCGATAAAGTTATGGAAGATGCTAAAAATAACAACCTTTTATTTGATTCTAGTAGCCTTAAAATTCCTGTACTTTCTACCGACTCAGGTAAGAAACAATTTTTTTTTAAAAAAAAAATTAGTGGGGTGTTGGGGAGAGAGAGAGAATGAAGGGTTTAGCAGTAATGTGATGAGATTCAAACTTACTTTTTTTTTTATTTGTGACTTTGTGTAATTAGGCAAAAATCTCCAAAATGCAAACGACTTGACAAAGACATTATTAGAACTTATTTGTATTTGTCATGTGGATTGGGAAAAATCTACTGCTGTTGAAGGATTAACACATGTTATTGATTTTGGACCTGGAGGTACATCAGGAATTGGTAGTTTAACATATCGTAATAAAGAAGGCACTGGCGTAGAAATTGTGTTAGCAGGTGTTCTTGAGGGATCTAATGATGACTTGTCTTATAAAGCCGATCTTTTCGATTTAAATGTCAATTCAGTTAAATATTCTCAAAATTGGGCGAAATTGTTTCAACCTAAATTAGTCAAAACAGCAAGGTAAATAATAATAGATTTTATTTTATATCTACATAGATAATTAATGCACACAAAAAGTGGACGTATTCATATAGATACCAAGATGTCTCGTTTATTAGGTAAGCCACCACTTATGGTAGCCGGTATGACTCCCGCTACTGTTAATGAGAAATTTGTTGCTGCTGTCATGAATGCTGGCTATCATGTTGAACTTGCTGGAGGTGGACACTTTAATGAAGATATGCTTCGTGATAAGGTTCATAAAATCATGGAACTTACTCGTGCTGGTGAGGGTATTACTCTCAATATTATCTTTTTAAATGTCCTACAATGGGGTTTCCAATATCCTCTTATTCAAGTTATGCGTAAGGAAGGTCTACCTATGGAAGGCCTTTGTATCGCTGCTGGTGTTCCCAGTCTTGACAATGCTAATGAAATTATTGCTAATTTACAAGCTGCTGGAATTCGTCATGTTGCATTCAAGCCAGGAAATGCAGATACTATTCGTCAAGTTGTAGCTATTGCTGCTGCTAATCCTACTATGCCTGTTATCTTACAATGGACTGGTGGTCGTGCTGGTGGTCACCATGGTTTTGAGGATGTTCATCAACCTATTCTTGAAACTTATGCCGCCATTCGTCGTCAACCCAACATTGTTCTTGTTGCTGGTTCTGGTTTTGGTGGTGCTGAGGATACCTTGCCCTACATTACTGGTGATTGGTCTGTCAAATTTGATTATCCACCTATGCCTTTTGACGGTGTCCTCTTTGGTTCTCGTATGATGGTAGCCAAGGAAGGTTTAGCTTCCCCAGCTGCTAAACAAGCCATGGTCGATGCACCTGGTGTAGATGACAGTGAATGGGAAAAGACCTATAAGGTCCCTGCTGGTGGTGTCCTTACTGTTCTTTCTGAACTTGGTGAACCTATCCACAAGATTGCTACCCGTGGTGTTCGTCTTTGGAAGGAACTTGATGAAAGTATTTTCTCTTTGCCTAAGGACAAGCGTTTACCTGCCTTGTTAGCCAAGAAAGATTATATCATTAAACGTTTGAATGCTGATTTCCAGAAGGTTTGGTTTGGTAAGAAAAAGACAGGTGAAGCCGTTGATCTTCAAGATATGACCTATAGTGAAGTTGTCTATCGTATGATTGAATTACTTTATATCAAGTTCGAAGCTCGTTGGATCGATATTTCACTTCGTAACTTTGTTGGCGACTTTTTGCGTCGTGTTGAAGAACGTTTCTCAAAGTCATCTACATCTTCTATGCTTCAAAATTATGCTCAATTGGAAAATCCCTTCCCTTTTGTTGAAGAGTTCTTGGCTCAATTCCCTGATGCTGAAACACAATTATTAACATCTGAAGATGTTCTTCATTTTATTTCTCTTTGTAAGCGTCCTAATCAAAAGCCCGTTCCCTTCATCCCTATTATGGATAAAGATTTTGATATTTGGTTTAAGAAGGATTCTCTTTGGCAATCCGAAGATCTTGCTGCTGTTGTTGATCAAGATGTTCAACGTACTTGTATCCTTCATGGTCCTGTTGCTGCCAAATATGCTACTCGTATCGATCAACCTGTAGCTGAAATTCTTAACGACATTTATAATAGCCACATCAATAGTTTGAAGGAACGTTATTATAAAGATACTATAATCCCTGAAATTGAATATCTGGGTGGTGTATCTATCACTAAAACTTCTGTTCAAGAAATTTTTGCTTCTTCTACTGAACAAATTTTTGAAACTTCTTCAAATCCTTTACCTGATACGGACGAATGGATTCAAGCAATCTCAGGTCCTAATTATAACTGGCTTCGTGCTCTTTTGACATCTCCTTTTATTGTTCAAGGAAAACGTTTTGCAGACAATACCATTAAGGATGTGTTCCGTCCACGTGTCAATCAAAAGGTTATAGTATCTAAAAATGCTCTTGGACATATTGTCTCTGTTAAAGTTCAAGACAGACGTCAATGGAGTGTTAATGGTAACAGTACAGATTATACAACCTCTATTGAACTTACTGAGAGTAATAACAGTGTTACAATGACACTCTATGAAAAGAAGGGCGACGATTTCATTCCTTTGGTTTTACGTTTTGAATATAAACCTGAACTTGGCTATGCACCTATTCATGAAATTATGACTGATCGTAATGAACGTATCAAGAATTTCTACTTCAAACTTTGGTTTGGCGTTGATAATAATGAAGATTTCTTAAATTATCCCCTTGATGGGACTATTGTTAACAAGGGTGAAGTAGTTAAATTTGAAGATATTTCAGAATTTTGTCATGCTGTTGGCAATAAGGCAGAAATCTTTGGTGATCGTAACCAAAAGGTTGTCAGTGCTCCTATGGACTTTGCTATAGTTGTTGGTTGGAAAGCTATTATGAAAGGTGTCTTCCCCAAAATTGCTGATGGTGATCTTATTAGACTTGTTCATGCTGGTATCAGTTTCCGCATGTTAGCAGGCGAAGAGCTTCTTAAAGTTGGCGATGTTGTTGATACCTTTGCTAAAATTAATGCTGTTACTAATATTAGTTCTGGTAAAATGATTGAGGTCAAGAGTCTGATCGTTCGTGATGGAAAGCCTGTACTTGAAGTTACTAGTTGGTCTTTGTACCGTGGTAACTTTGTTGATTTTGAGAATACATTTGAGCATAAAACTGAAATCCCTATGGAGTATAAGATTTATGGTAACAAAGAGATTGCTATATTGAAGTCTAAGGAGTGGATTCATTGGAATGATATCTCTGAACAATATAAAGTTGCTCCTGGAAAATCTCTTATCTTCCGATTGGAAACTGAACTTAAATATAAGAATAGTAAAGTTTATTCTTCAGTTAAAACTACTGGTAGTGTTACAATGCAAGTCTCTACTAAGGAATTTATTGAAGTTGCTAAAGTTAATTATGAATCTGGCGAAAGTCATGGCAACCCAGTAACAGAGTTTTTGAAACGTCATGCTCATGAAATTGAACAAGCTCATTTCTTTGAAAACGGTGGCTACTCAATTATGCCTATTCAAAGTACTTTCCCCTCAATTGTTCATGCACCCACTTCTAATGAACCTTATGCTAATATCTCTGGCGATTTCAACCCTATTCATGTTAATCCTTACTTTGCTGATCTTGCTCGTTTACCAGGTACAATCACTCATGGTATGTGGACTAGCGCTTCTACACGTAAGTTTGTTGAAATCTTTGCTGCTGACAATGTACCTCGTCGTGTTGTTGCCTACGATGTCAAATTCGTTGGTATGGTTTTGCCTTCTGACCGACTTGAAACCAAACTTTATCATATTGGTATGAAGAATGGTCGTAAGATCATTAAAGTTGAAACCTACAATCAAAACAATGAAAGAGTTGTCGAAGGTACTGCTGAAGTTGAACAACCTATTACAGCATATGTTTTTACCGGTCAAGGTTCTCAAGAAAAAGGCATGGGCATGGATCTTTATAATAGTTCTCCAGTTGCTAAAGCTATCTGGGATAAAGCTGATAAGCACTTTTTGGAAAACTACGGTTTCTCCATTCTTGATATTGTTCGTAATAACCCTAAAGAAAAGACTATTCATTTTGGTGGACCAAAGGGTGAGAAAATCCGTCAAAATTATATGAGTATGCTTTATGATGTTGTCGATCCTGATGGTAGTATTCACACTTTACGTTTATTCCCTACCATTGATGAATATTCACCTTCTTATACATTTGTATCCCCTAATGGTCTTCTTTCTGCTACTCAGTTTACTCAACCGGCTTTAACTTTAATGGAAAAAGCGGCGTTTGAGGATATGCGTTCTAAAGAGTTAATTCAAGCTAATTGTGCTTTTGCTGGTCACTCTCTTGGAGAATATTCTGCTTTAGCTGCTGTAGGTGACATTTTACCATTAAGCTCTTTAGTTGATGTTGTCTTTTATCGTGGTATGGCCATGCAATCTGCTGTTAAGCGTGATGAGTTAGGTCGCTCTAACTATAGTATGGTTGCTGTTAACCCTGCTCGTGTTTCTAAGACATTTGATGATGCAGCTCTCCGCTTTGTTGTTGATTCTATTGCTCGTCGCGGTGGTGATATTTTGGAAATTGTCAATTTTAATGTTGAAAACTGGCAATATGTTGCTGCTGGTGCTCTTCAAAATCTTGATGCACTTGCTAATGTTTTGAACTATATTAATATGTCTAACATTGATTTCCAAAAACTTATTGGAACCGAATCTCTTGATTCAGTTAGGGAAAAACTTAATACAATTATTGATGATGCATTTGAAAAAACGAAATCTAAGCAAGCTAAAGGATTTATTAATCTTGAAAGAGGTAGAGCTACTATCCCTCTTTCTGGTATTGATGTTCCCTTTCATTCATCATTCTTACTTAGTGGCGTTACTCCTTTCCGTACCTTTTTGGCAAAGAAATTTAATCCATCTGATATCGATGTTAATCAATTGAAAAATAGATATATTCCTAACTTAGTGGCACAACCTTTTAGCACAGAAAAGAGTTATATTGAAAACATTTATCGCACCACTTCTAGTCCCCGCTTAGCCAAGGTACTTCAGAATTGGACTGATGACAAGTATTCTACTCCAGCTCAACAACAACGCCTTGGTTATATTATTCTAATTGAACTTTTGGCTTATCAATTTGCATCCCCTGTTCGTTGGATTGAGACTCAAGACGAATTATTCAAGAATTATAAGATTGAGCGCCTTATTGAAGTTGGTCCTTCTCCTACACTTACTGGAATGGCTGTTCGTACCTTGGGACTTAAGTATCAATCTTATGATACTGCCTTGAATAATCGTAGACAAACTTTGTGTATTTCAAAGGATTCTAAAGAGATTTATTATGAACTTGAAAGCTCAGTTGAAGAGGTAGTTGAACCTGCTGCTCTGCCTAAAGTAAATGTGGCTCCTGCTCCTATCGCTATTCCTGCTCCTGCTCCTGTAGCTGCACCTACTACTGGACCTGCAGCTGCTGTAGCTGATGTTCCCGTTTCTGCTATTGAAATTATTCTTGCCGTAGTAGCTCAAAAGCTCAAGAAATCTATTAATGATGTTCCTTTATCTAAATCTATTAAGGATTTAGTAAGCGGTAAATCCACCCTTCAAAATGAAATTCTTGGTGACTTGCAAAAGGAATTTAATAACAACATGCCTGAAAAGGCTGAAGAATCTTCGTTACAAGATATTGGCTCTGCATTGAATGGCGTATTCTCTGGTACACTTGGTCAACACAGTAATACCATGATTGCTAAATTAATTAGTGCAAAGATGCCTGGTGGTTTTACCTTGAATAGTGCAAAGAATTATCTTAATAGCGCTTATGGTTTAGGCCCTGGACGTGCTGATGGGGTTCTTCTTGTTGGTATTACCATGGAGCCTGCCTCTCGTCTTGGTGCAGAAGCTGAAGCTAAGGCATGGTTGGATTCTGTTGCTAAAGCGTATGCTAGTAAGACTGGTATTAGTTTAACTGCTGCTAGTGCTTCACCTGCGCCTGCACCTACACCTGCTGTTGCTGTAGCTTCTGCTACTGCAGCTCCCTCTTTACCTACTGCTATTAGCGATGTTCCTATAAGTGCTACTGAAGTTATTCTTGCTGTTGTTGCCCAAAAGCTTAAGAAATCTGTTAACGAAGTCCCATTGTCTAAATCTATTAAGGATTTAGTTGGGGGTAAATCTACTCTTCAAAACGAAATCCTTGGTGACTTACAAAAGGAATTCAATAATGGTATGCCTGAGAAAGCTGAAGAAAGCTCATTGGAAGAACTTGGTTCATCGTTGGGTAGCTCTTTCAGTGGTGCTCTTGGTAAGCATACTAGTTCTCTCATTGCCAAATTGGTTGGTGCCAAATTACCCGGTGGTTTTACTTTAAACAGTGCCAAAAATTATCTTAATAGCACCTTTGGTTTGGGTCCTGGTCGTACTGATGGCTCTCTCTTAATTGGTATTACTATGGAACCTGCTACTCGTCTTAGCACTGAAGTTGAGGCTAAATCTTGGTTAGATAATGTTGCTGCAGCATATGCTAGTAAAACGGGTATTTCTCTCTCTAGTAATGGAGGAGCTTCAGCTTTAGGTAATTCTATGTCGAGTGGTGTTGTTGCTACTATGATTAATAATGCTGAATTTGATGCCTTGAAAGCCAAACAAGACGCTTTGATTTATCAGCAACTTAATTTATATGCTAAATATCTTCAAAAGGATTTGCGTGAAGGAGCTAGAAAATACGAAGAGGAAAAGGTCGTTACTAAGAAGCTACAAGCTGAGCTTGATTTGTGGCTAAATGAGCACGGCGATGTTTATGCTGAAGGTATTAAACCCTTATTCTCTCCTCTTAAAGCTCGTCGCTATGATTCTTATTGGAATTGGGCTCGCCAAGATGCTCTTGAAATGTGGTATGACCTTATCTTTGGTAAATCCTCTATTATTGATCGTGAAATTACTGCAAAATGCTTAAATATTATGAATCGTGCTCATCCTAAGTTGATTGAATACATGCGATACAAGGTTGAAAACTGTACAGGTGATGAGGGAGAAACTTATAAAATTGCTAAAGAATTTGGCCAAGCTTTGATTGAAAATTGCGTTGAAGTTCTTGCTGAGAAGCCTTATTTCAAGTGCTTTGCTATTCCTACAAGTCCTCATACTTCTGTTACAGAAAAGGGTGATATCAAATACTCAGAAGTTCCTCGTCCTGGTTGTGACAAATTGGCTAACTATGTAGATGATATGATTGCTGGATCTGAGGTCTCAGAATATTCAAATCGTCTTAAAGTTCAACGTGATTTAGGACATATTTATGAAATTATTCTCAGACAAAACAATGCTACTAAGAGCGATAAATTAGCTATGGAAGAGCTTTACTCTGATATTTTGCGTGCTTTGTCTATGTCTAATACTATCGTTAGAGAACAAAGACCCCGTTCTCATATGTCTGATTGTAAACATGATTCTTCAAATAAGGTTAAGGATACTATTCCCTTCTTACATCTCAAGAGACAGGACCATGACAATCCAATCAATGGCTGGGAATTCAGTAATAAGCTTACTAAAATCTATTTGGATGCATTAATTGAAATTTCTAAAAAGGGTATTACTTTTGCTGGTAAGTACGTTCTTTTGACTGGTGCAGGAAGAGACTCTATTGGATCTGAAGTTATGAAGGGTTTACTTGCTGGTGGTGCTAAAGTTATTGTCACCACTTCTCGTTTCAGTCGTCAAGTTACTGAATACTTCCAATCTATCTACAAGACTTATGGTGCTAAGGACTCTGAACTTATTCTTGTTCCATTTAATCAGGGCGCTAAGCAAGATGTAGATGCTTTAGTTAACTATATTTATAGCCGTGAAGGTCTTAATTGGGATCTTGATTTTATCATTCCTTTTGCTGCTATTCCTGAAAATGGTCGTGAACTTGACAGTATTGATTCGAAATCTGAGCTTGCTCATCGTATTATGTTAACTAATTTGCTTCGCATTCTGGGTAACGTCAAGACTCATAAGCAAAAGATTGGCTCTGATACTCGACCAGCTCAAGTTATTCTTCCTTTGTCTCCTAATCATGGTACTTTCGGTGGTGACGGTCTTTATGGTGAATCTAAAATTTCTTTAGAAACTCTCTTCAACCGTTGGTATTCTGAAAGCTGGTCTAGTTACTTATCTATTACTGGTGCTATCATTGGTTGGACTCGTGGTACTGGTTTAATGAGTGCCAGTAATATTGTTGCTGAAGGCGTCGAGGCACTTGGTGTTCGAACTTTCTCAACTGTTGAAATGGCATTCAATCTCCTTGGTCTTATGCATCCTACTATTGTCAAGTTATGCCAAAGAGAGCCTGTCTATGCTGATCTTAATGGTGGTCTTCAATTTATTCCAAAATTAAAAGAACTTACTACTAAATTGCGTTCTGAAATCTATGAAACTGCTGAAATTCGTAAGGCTATTGCTGCTGAGAATGCTCTTGATTACAAGGTTGTATTTGGCGAAGAAGCTGAACGTAAAAATAATCCTTATAAGGTTACTCCTCGCGCTAACATGAAATTTGAATTCCCCAAGCTTAAGCCATACGAAGCTCTTAAACATCTTAGCTATCTTAAGGGTATGCTTGATCTCGATAAGGTTATAGTTATTGCTGGTATGGGTGAAGTTTCTCCATGGGGTAATGCTAGAACTCGTTGGGAAATGGAAGCTTATGGTGCTTTCTCTCTTGAAGGCTGTATCGAAATGGCCTGGATTATGGGTTATATAAAACACTTTGACGGTAGATTAAAGAATGGTAATATCTATTCTGGATGGGTTGACGCCGAAACCGAACAACCTGTTGAAGATAAAGATATTAAGGCCAAGTATGAAAAGCAAATTTTGGAGCATACAGGTGTTCGTTTAATTGGTAAGTTTATAAATTATCAAAATAATTGTTGCAAGTATATGTATTAAAAAAAAACAACCATAGAACCTGCGATTATGGATGGTTATAATCCTGAAAAGAAGACACTCTTGCAAGAAGTTATGATTGATCATGATCTAGAACCTTTTGAATGCTCTAAAGAAGAGGCTGAACACTTTAAGCACCAACAAGGTGATAAAGCTGATATTTATGAATCTGGTAATGGAAGCTGGTATGTTCATATTCATAAGGGTGCTACCTTGTATATTCCCAAAGCCCTTCGTTTCGATCGTCTCGTTGCTGGCCAAATCCCTACTGGCTGGGATGCTACACGTTATGGTATTCCTAAGGATGTTATTGACCAAGTTGATCCTGTCACTGTTTACAACATGGTCTCTACTGTTGAAGCATTTATTTCTGCTGGTATCACTGATCCTTATGAATGTTATAAATATATTCATGTATCTGAAATGGGTAATACTATCGGTTCTGGTGTCGGTGGTCAAGCTGCACAAAGAGGTTTCTTCCGTGGACGTTTCCTTGATCAGCCTGTTCAAAAGGATATTTTACAAGAGTCTCAAATTAACACTATGGCTGCTTGGATTAATATGTTACTTATTTCATCATCTGGTCCAATCAAGACTCCCGTAGATGCCTGTGCAACTGCTGCTATTTCTATTGAAATGGCATGTGAATCATTACTATCCGGCAAAGCTAAGATTATGATTGCTGGTGCTTCTGAAGAAACAACTGAAGAATCCAGTTACGAATTTGCTAATATGAAGGCTACTTCTAGTGCAGCTGAAGAATTTGCTAAGGGCCGTACTCCTTCTGAAATGTCTCGTCCTGCTACTACTACTAGAAGTGGTTTTATGGAATCTCATGGTTCTGCTACTCATGTTCTCATGACTGCTGCAACTGCTATAGAGATTGGTTCACCCATTTATGGTATTATTGCTCATAGTAGTACTGCTACTGATAAGGAAGGTCGTTCTGTTCCTGCACCTGGTGCTGGTATCCTTACAACTGCTCGTGAAAACGTTAGTAAGAGGGCCTCTCCTATGTTAAATTTCAAGTACCGTGCTAAGCAAATTAAATCTCGTCGTGCTCAGATTAAGGCTTGGGTTGAAAGTGAGTTTGAAGATTTACAAGAGGAGTTAGAAGAATTGAAATCTTCTGGCGAGATTACTACTGCTGAAGAAGAGAAGACATGGCTTGAAGAACGTACTTCATTCATTGAAAAGCAAGCTAAACGTCAAGAAAAGGAAGCACTAGCGACATTCCAACATCAATTCTATCAAAACGATCCTGAAATTGCACCTCTACGTGGTGCTCTTGCTGTTTATGGTTTAACTATTGATGATATCGGTGTTGCTTCTTTCCACGGTACTTCTACTAAGGCTAATGATAAAAATGAATCTCGTGTTATCAATGCTCAAATGAAACATCTTGGTCGTACTAAGGGTAATGCTCTTTTGGCTATCACTCAGAAATATTTAACTGGTCATCCCAAGGGCCCTGCTGCTGCTTGGATGGCTAATGGTATGATGCAAGCTATGCTTAGTGGCATTGTTCCTGGCAATCGTAATGCAGATAACATTGATGCTGATATGAAGGAGTTAGACTATATTGTTTTCCCTTGCCGTTCCATTCAAACTGATGGCTTAAAGGCTGGTCTCCTTAAATCATTCGGTTTCGGTCAAGCAGGTGGTGAAGTCTTGATTATTCATCCTGACTATATCTTTGGTGCTTTAGAAGAAAAGCAGTATAATACTTATAAAGCTAAAAATATCAACCGCTATTCAAAGGCTTATCGTTATCTTCATGACACTGTTACAGGTTTACATACCTTTGTTCAAGTTAAAAATGAAGCTCCTTATAGCGAGGACCTTGAATACACTGTCTACCTGAACCCTAGCGCTCGTGCCGAATATTCAAAGGAGAAGAGGTCCTGGTATTTCACTAATAAATCTGCTAACCGTGCTGCTCCTACATCTGGTGATATTGAAGTAACAAAGAGCATCATTTCTTCTCTTGCTGAACAACAAGCTGGTAAAAGGGGTGTTGGCGTTGATGTCGAATTAACGAAGGAAGTTAATATCGAGAACTCCACCTTTATTGAACGCAATTTCACTCCTGCTGAAATTGAATACTGCCAAGCTCGTCCAGATCCCCAGGCTAGCTTTGCAGGCCGTTGGTCAGCTAAGGAAGCTGTTTTCAAAGCTATTTCTTCTTATGGCAATATCCCTTCTGATGGTGCTGGTGCCCCCTTGAAAGAAATTGAAATTAAATCAAATGAAGTTGGAGCTCCTGAAGTCGTGTTAACTGGTAAAGCCGAAAAAGCTGCCTTATCAGCTGGAATTAAGAATATAAATGTATCTATAAGTCATAGTGGTGCTTACAGTGCTGCTGTTGCCTTGGCTCAATAATTTTTTTTCGACATATTTTTTATATTTTCCTGCTTTGTATATCAATAGATTAAGATGTAGATGATATATACATACATACATATATATATATATATTACTTATTCCCCACTAAACACAATAATAATCCTCTACAATTATATAGTATTCCTTCCCCAGCTTACTATATAATAGATAACAATAATAAAATGATGATATATAAAAAGATATTATATAAATTCAATTTTAGAATGTGTCTATTTTTATTTTTAAAGGAAAATCTGAATAAGTTATAATTGTATAAAAAATTACTTATCTACTTACATTGTTTAGAAGATGATATTTAAAATTTATCATTCAAATAAAATATAGAAAATACACATCGAAAAGAACTATGTTACCTATTTTCTATAATTTATTAAAGAAAAATTCTTTGAAAGAACTCTAGTTTAGGCTTATTTTGGCTTCAAAGATGTTTTTATAAATAACTAAGACTACCTTCGCAAAGGAATTATAAAATACATAATACTTTTTTGATTTTTATTGATTACTTATTTAGCTTTTAAAATATATTTTTAAATGAATACATGAGAGAGCTTTCTCGAAAAGAAAACCACAAATCTATTTTCGATAATAATAAATACAAAAAGGGATATATAATATAGTGATGGAAATCTACAGTGAAATAATTGAAGAGCTAAAATCCATCTATAAAACAGATCAAACTAGTACTAAGAAAAAAGGGAAAGATGTCAACTCAGATAAAGAACATTTTGCTAAAAGCTTTAGTACTGATATGGATGAGCAAATTTTTGGAATGTATAAGTCATACTATAATGAGCAGCAAATTATTAATTTTATCATTGAAATAGTGCCCATTAAAGATTCTACAATAAAAACTGATGTCCATACGAAGAGTACGTACAGGTTTTAAGCAATGTTGAATGAAAACTTAGAAGCTCCTCTTAAAGAAATAAAGAGGTATAAAGAAGATGTAAGTATTGGATAAAGAACAGATAGTATTTAATATAAAAAATGATACCCAACAGCTCTGCATCAATGACGAAAGTGGGAGTAAAAGTGTTACTTATTGACAAGTTCCTCAATGTTATCGTTTTAATAATTCAACTCTTTCATTGAATTAAGGAACAGTATGCTTTAAGCTTAAAATAGAGTGCTATACAAAAGTTTACTCCTTAGAGAACAAAAACCTCAATTATTTATAATGACAATTTCTAAAAGAAAAATTAAATAATAATCGAATTATTATTAACATTTCACCCCTTCTTATGTCGGCTAACGATTTCTATGGATTTAATTCTTTGGCTACCAATGATATTTATTGAAAGCAGCAGGCACATTTGTTGGTAATGTGAGTAAATGCCCAACGATTACTCTTTTTTTTTTTTTTTTTTTTTTTTTTTTTTTTTTTTTTTTTTTTTACTTTAATCATTCTTCACAGCTCCTCACTAAACAACATACTCTATATTCCTTGTAAATATCGGAAATAATTGTTGATCCTCTGTCATTCTTTCTGAGCCGCCTTTCTTGCAAAAAACCGCAAACTCTACAATACATCACTTCTTCGTGAATACAGAGACTTGACATCTGTATCCTACTATAAATTTGATTGTCTTCGACATAATAAGCCGATTCCTCCTTCCATCCAATCTTGGGCAAAAACTCTTCAACTGGTTCTAGTCTCGTCTCGTCTCATACACATGACTAAGCTTTTTAATTACTATTTTTCATATACTCACTTTCTTTCTTTTCATTTTTTTCCACTTGATTCTAAATAAATTTTTCATTTCCTATTGATTTTGCCCAGGCAAATTTGATTTATTAATTCAAATTAATTTATAATTCATGTGAAAAAGTCACTTGTTAAAGCATTACAAGTCACTTTTTTTTTCTTGAAAAAAAAAAAAAAAAAAATCCGGAGAAATCAAGCTTTTTTTTTTTTTTTTTTTTTTTTTTTTTTTTTTTTTTTTAAACAAATATATCAGTATTTATTGTTCAACATTTTCATTTTTTGAACAGCCTATGGGTTTACCACTTTATAAACCAAAAAAGGATAGCGATGAAGTTATTAACAGAAAACCTAGAAAACAGTCATTAAATTTTACAAATGATGAATTATGGTCTGCAATTCCTCATGAGTTAATTCAAAATGCTCTTAATCAAAGACATCTTTCATTTAGACAGTCTTCATTAAACAACCATTCTACTGTGCCTACTTCTTCATTTCCTTTTAGAAATAACAATAGCCGCATTAGCAATAGAAATTCGCATTCTATATTGTCTCAACCTCACATGCGCATACGCATGACTCGAAATAATGCTATGGCAAGATCTTCTTCAGCTTCTCATGTTCAACAGTTACCAATTGCTCCACTTTCATCTTTTACAACAAATCAAATAGATGAACAACTTCAACAGCGTATAAATGAAAAGGAAAGTTTATTAGCACAACTTCGAGCTACTATTCTATTAATTGATCAATTCTTATTAACAAATGGTTCTCGACAATCTAATCTAATGGATTCACATTCTTTTATTGCAGAAGGTGATAGTTTATAATTTGCTTTTTCTCTTTTGTTATATCCTAATAAGGGTTTTTTTTAATTATTTATTTAGATTTACCTTTGATAATTCAATCTGCCTCCTCTTTAGTTGCAATGATACCTACAGTTTTGTCTTCTTCAACTGACTATATATCAAATACTAATGAACCTACTACATTAAATGAAATGATTGATAGGCTACTTCAAGCTCCTCCTTATTGTACTCTTATAAATGACATTGAAAACAATATTATATCAGCTCAGCGTCGTCTAAGAGAGCATATTAGAGCATTAGAATCCTTCATACCTTCTACTTCATCATCTACAAGTTTATTTACTTGAAAAAAAAAAAAATCGAAAAATTTTGTATAAATCTCCACTAATTCCATCTAATAATATAGCAGCATTTTTCATACTTTAATATATATGTATTTTTTAACAGATTGTCACTTGTCTATTTTTTCTTTCTTTTTTCTTGAATTCAAGTTTATCGACGAAAAAGGGTTTATTAGTAGTCTTTATTAATACATATATGTCTATTTCACGTTTATCAATACACTGTTATGGTTCGTATTTATTCTAATTATATATCAATAGGCATATTTAAAAAGCAGAAGTATATTTACATGTGTAAAAGGGGTTATTTTTTTTTTAGGCAGATAGTATAACAAGAAGTAATATTTGTGTAAGTGCTTATGAAAATTATATGTCATATAAGCATTTTTTTTTATTTAAATTTTACAGAAAAAAAAAAAACAAAAAAACAAAATCGATTTACATGATAAAACCGATTCTATAATATAAGATATGTGACTATAAGATAATATGTGTTGTATATAAAAGAGAAGTAAAAGGTGAAAATTTCATATGACGAACAAGAGACGATACATTTATACGGCTTTTATACGGCTCACCAGTTAATCCATTCATTGTTATGGGCAGCTGGTTCTGATTCATCTTGCCATTCATTGACGTTATTACTATGGGTATTTTCAAGACCAGTCCATGAATTAGAGTGATCATTATGGAGAAGTGAAATTTCTTCAGGAACATAATTAGTATGACTTTCTTCAGAAACCCATCCTGAGTTATTGTGAGTAGTATCTTCAATCCAAGAAGGTGCATTATTGGTATGCACATCGTCTTCTTGCCATTCTTTGTCATTAATATGGTAATTAACATGACTATTGCTATCAGTTTCAGTTTCTTTGGATGTCCATCCACCAACATTATTATGTTCATTAGAGTCTTCAAACCATTCCTTGTCATTAACATGATAATTGGAATGCTCTTCAGTATTAAGTTCGGCTTCTTCTGATACCCATTCATTAGCATTATTGTGACTATCAGATTCTTCAACCCACTCACTATCATTTGCATGATATCCGGTGGAATTAGGTGTAGCATTATCTTTCTCGATATCTTCGGCAACCCAACCATTTTGATGGTTATTAGCGTCCTCTTCTACCACCCACTCACTGTCATTATAGTGATGTGTGCTAGCTACACCAGAAGCGTCACCTTGCCATTCACTATTGTTGTGGTTGTCAGCAGCAGTATCAATATCTTCGGTAACCCAACCATTTTGATGGTTGTTAGTGTCTTCTTCTGCTACCCACTCACTGTCATTTGCATGGTAACCAGTAGAGTTAGGTGTGACTTCATCTTTCTCAATATCTTCAGTGGTCCAGCCGTTGTGATGGTTATTAGCGTCTTCTTCTACTACCCACTCACTGTCATTATAGTGATGTGCGCTAGCTACACCGGAACCGTCACCTTGCCATTCGCTATTGTTGTGGTTGTCAGTAGCAGTGTCAATATCTTCGGTAACCCAACCATTTTGATGATTGTTAGTGTCTTCTTCTTCTACCCACTCACTGTCATTCGTATGATATCCGGTAGAGTTAGGCATAGCTTCATCTTTCTCGATATCTTCAGTGGTCCAGCCGTTGTGATGGTTATTAGCGTCTTCTTCTACTACCCACTCACTGTCATTATAGTGATGTGCGCTAGCTACACCGGAACCGTCACCTTGCCATTCGCTATTGTTGTGGTTGTCAGTAGCAGTGTCAATGTCTTCGGTAACCCAACCATTTTGATGGTCATTGGCATCTTCTTCTGCTACCCACTCACTATCATTTGCATGATAACCAGTAGAGTTAGGTGTGGCTTCATCTTTCTCGATATCTTCAGTGGTCCAGCCATTGTGATGGTTATTAGCGTCTTCTTCTACTACCCACTCACTGTCATTTTGATGTTGATTAGTAGCACCTGTAGTTTGGTATTCATTTGTAGAATCATTTGAATGCCAACTCTTTCCAGAAGCAGCAGTAGAAGTAGCACCATTTGCATGTTGTGCTGTGTCATCTTCATCTGTAGACCAAGAATGGCTAGCATCATTTTTATGAGTAACAATTTCCTTTTCAGTTTCTTTATTTTTTTGTATATACTTTTTATAATCTTGTTCTAAGCTACTGATATAATCATAAAAGGATTGATCTTCTGCAGCTTTTGTTGTAGAAGAGTCTTCGTTGCTGTGTGAGTTTGTGTTTCCTGAAGTTAATTTCGTAATTTCATCTAATGTAGAGCTCCAATTGGAATCATTTTCATGACTTTCATTATTACTGCCATTAGCTTGAGTTTCTTCGTGAACATGATCAATATCTTTCTTGTTTGAAGATGAGGAAGACTTCGAGTTGGAAGCAGCTGTAGTAGTGGCTTGATCTTCTTTCTTATGAATTTGAAATGAAGTTGAGTCAGTTTCACAAAATTGACGTAAACCTTGACCAGAGAGATGAAAATGGTAATCCCTTGAATTGTCATCAGTTAATACCAACGGAAATTCATGAGTTGCACCATCATTTGCGTCTAAACATATAACAAAGAATAATATAGTGTTAAGGTCGGAATTTAAAATTAAAATTAAAATAAAATTAATGACTTTTTACCAAAAGTGCCAATATATACTTGATTGGAAGGGGAATGACTATTCACTAAAGTAAGGTTGACTTGCTTTATATTGTCTGGTGCTTGCCATGCAACAATATGTTTACTCGACTCTTCAAAAGCAAGACCTAAAGAAAACAAAAATAAAAATTACATAATTTTATTATTAATATACAACATAAAATAAGGGGTTGTAAAATATGAAAAAATATTACCTGCTGTATGTGGATAAGTAATCCTAAATCCTAATAACGAGATAATATATTAATCCTCTAATAAATATAAGAACGTTTAAGCTAATATATACCTTCACAACTTGAGTCGACAGATGCGTCATTAGCATGATTAGCTACATCTGGTATATTGAAAAAAGGTGTAGCAGTAACAAAGTTGCCGTTTTGAAGTAATAAACTAGCTGCAAATGTTAAAGTTGCTAAATTTGATATCAATTTCATATTATATTTTTTCTCCTTTTTTTGTTTTGTTTTTTGTTTTCTGTTGTGCTGTGTAGACTATAAAAAAGGAAAAAAAAAATACTTTTGCTCAATAAAAAAAAAAAAAAAAAAAAAAAGAAAAGAAAAAAGAAATAGTTGAAAGCGGAAATGTAAAAATATTGTTTATTAACAAATAGCTATAATTATTAGATTCTATTTTTGTATTTTGTTACACGTAAATAAATTGGTACCGCACTTTTTTTTTTTTCTTTTATTCAATAGAAATGAGTCAATTAAAGCAATAAATAGTTCTAGATTAGTTGCTGAAATAAAACGAAAATATGGGTCCAGTTAAATAAGAAACAATACGCTTAATTTTGAAGTTTCTCTTTTTAAGGTAATTTTGTTATTTTTAGTCTTTATGTATGTAGTCGTTGAGTAGCTTTTTAATTACCTTAAAACTACGCATATAAAGGTTTCACTGTTATTATTATACTCACTCATTAGTAGGTATTAAAAATATATGTTACAACAACATACTTTCCGTTCCTTCTTCTTTTACTATATATACCTTGCCTTTTATGGCATTTAAGCATATTATTTTTCTATTTTCTGTCTTTTGTTTTATATATAAGCACATAGGTTTTATTAAGGTTTCCAATAATATAAGTTTTATTGCTGCTCTTTATTACAAGTAGTCATTCTATTTTTTTTTTCTTTTTTCTTTCTGTTTTATTATCTACCTAACCTCTTTCAAAGAAAATCAATAACTATAAATCTATGAAGAACTCCGTTCGCGCAGATAGTTTTTTATTTTATTTTATTTTATTTTATTTTATTTTATTTTATTATTTCCTTTTTTTTTTGAATTAGATCATCATTAATTAATTAAAACTTGAATGAATCAAGCACAGTTAGAAAAAGCACTTCATGATTTACCATCATCCTCATTAATTACAGAAATTCCCGAAATTCAAAACGCGATTGCTCATCTCTTGAAATCTAACCAAGAAATGCGAGAATTTGATCCAGAAAGTAAAGACTCTGAGTTAGTTCAAGCAATTCAAGAAAATAAGGATTTAATTATGCGAAAAGAAAAACAAGTTGATTTAACACTTCAAGTTATTCGAGAACGTTTAGGTGAAGCTGCTTGGAGAGAGATGGGAAGCAATGTAAAAGAGTTTAGAGAGTTATATGCTGAGCAATTAAAAGCTGAACGTAATGTGCAGAAGGATGCAGAAGAAAACGGCGTATTTTTATAAATAATATACGTAATAAAGAAAAAAAAACGATATCCTTTAAATGTATACATTTATTCTGTTTTTTTTATTTTATATTATTTATTTATTTATATATGTATGTATACACATATAAAAGATGAAAAGATGTATGTATACGCATTATAAATATTTATGCATATAAAGTAAACAATAGCTAATTAGGTTGGCCTGGCCACGCTGGTTTTTCTGAACCATCAAATTCACCATAAAAACGATTCGATCCAACTACTTTATGTTGAGTACCTCCAATAAGTGCATCACATTCTGGACACTTGGAAATCTCAGTAGCGCCTCCACAATCCCCAACATAATACGGGTGTTGATTTGGACAGACAAACCAACGACCGCCAACGATATTATGTGCTGCTTGTTGTCTAGTTTCATCATTCATTGCATTAATGATTTGTGCCTTTTCATGATATGATAATTTTTGTCGTTCCTGTTCTAAGCGTAATTTGATGGTATTCACTAAAGTAATCTCTGTCTTAATATATTTATTATAACGGAGTGCAGTGTAAATTGCTTTCTGACATGTAGGGCATTCCCATAGTTTAATAGCAGTATGTTGTCCGTTCATAGATTGTGTTTCAAAATATTTATCTAATGCTTCAACTGAAAATACTATATATGTATGCGTAATATTTAATTTACATAAGAAGTAATGTCATCATGTATAAACTTACCACATCCACATTCAGGTAACATGTATGCTTTTTCATCTTTGTCAAATTCAGATAAAGTGCGAAGTGAAATAGAACATTTCAGATCACCTGAACAAATAACACAAGGTGGACAAGGCTCTCCACATAATCCAGCACATTGATGTCTAAAAAGAAAATGTAAATAAACGTAATTGTTTTTTTTTTCTTTGAGAGACTTACGAGCAAGATAATCTTTTACGGCATGGTTGATAACAGGGTGGTCGATCACAAATCTAATTTTTACGTATTAGAATAATTTAAGCGTGTATATGTGCATACATACTTTATAACATTTCCTTGTACACTTATAATGATCACATTTGTAAGGACATTCGCTAACACAACGAATACAGTCTCTCCAACATTCTCTACCACATTTATATCCATGAGAGCAAACATAGTTGCATCTTTCCATACATCGTTCAGTATGCTCATTTGGATTAGCGCAACCTATATAGTAGATGTTAATATTTAATATTTACACGACTCATGACCATATATGTATATATTACCCTTTGCACATCGATGGCCACAGATTAATTGTTTAGGACAATTGGCAATACAGTTATCACGGCTATGGTTATGAATGGCATTACACTATAATCATAAAAAAAAAAGCAAACAGTTAGTAAAGATGTATATACGGATGCAAATATATTTCAATATACTAACAAGATTAGGACATTTATGTCCACATTCTAATAACTGGTTACAATTTTCTAAACAAAGTGGCTGATCTCCACACTTTACAACAGCCTCATGACCACATTTCAATATGGTATTCTTTGTTACTTCACATCGTATTTTTTGTGACCTTGATTTATAACATTCTACCATAGTCTCATGTCCACATCCAAAAGTAACACTTACAAGTTCTTGGCATTTTATTTGCTCAATATTTTGAATAGTATGGCAGACCCCAACATAACTATGCCCACAGGATAATTTAACTTTTGTCTCTATCATACAAGGTGGACACGAACCATTTTGTGAGCACTCGAAACATTTTTTAGGACAAGCATGTTTACATTTAGAAGGACGAAGACGATTGCAAGGCTCATAACAAATGACTTCACTGTGATCCATAAAATGGCACTCCTCTTTACAGGCATGTCCATCACTCATCAAAGTTGCACAGGGTCGTTGGCAACCACCATTCTTTACCTTATCAAAGTCTTCCCATCGACCGGCAAAAATAGTATCTCCATGCGTATGACAAGTGAGTTGAATGGACGATCCATAAAGATGGCAATCTTTCATGTAGTTTGCAAAATCATTCCAACGTGGATGAACACGATCTACACCTGGTTTACCAATTACAAATAATCCATATCTAGCACGCGTCAGAGCATTATAAACAAGATTGTATGGTGATGAAGAGTGACCTGGTGTTGCTGTACTAATAATGACAAAATTATCTTCACGACCCATATATTTCTCTATAATATCAAGTTTAATCTTTGCTATATTACTCTTAAAACAAGTTCGCTTAGGCGCTTCATCGCGTAAGATATGGCGAATTAAATATTTTTGTAATAAACATGTGGTTAAGATGGTAATACTTGCGTTGTTATAAGGCTGCTGACTGAGATACACAGCAAAGAAGGCCACATAGCGTGCCTCATCAACTTCTGTATTTGTTACAGCAGTAGTCAACAGTTTAGAATAATGGGTATCAATCGTATGATCCGCTGTAGGCGGTTCATAATTTAAATAGAATGAACGTTGACTAATACCATAAAGAGGTTCGAGCTTGCTATATCTACCATCTACCATATTTTCATTACATGAGGCAAGATGTGCTGTGATAAGTAATGAAGAATTTTCTTCTTTAGTACTATTAAATTTATCTACAATGCTGGCAACTTTGGAATGCATACGCCATTGTTCTTCTAAAAGTACCATTTCACTTGTTGAATTCTTCCAACGTTCAAATAAGGAAACATCCAAGTTACGTGGATTACCGGCAAGTGTTGGATTTATGATACGAGGCTTGGAGAATTTACCATTTGTGCCCAAAAGAATAACATGTTCAGTACGAGAGCCAAGGATGCTAGAAGCTACAGTAGATTCTAATATATCAGAGGCCTCATCAACGATAACAGCACGCGGCCATAATGTGGAGACCCAGTCCCGATGTGCTGCAGCAAAATCTGCAGTCATACCAATAGCACGATTGAAGCGGCAAAGGAAAGAGCATTTTTGCACAATTATTTCATCAATTGATTGAGCTAATTTAACCTGCTTCTGTAATAAAATCTCAATTTCTTTATCAATATAGTCAATAAGCACCTTTGATAAATTGTTAATTAATGTAGTCTTTGCTTCGTCTGAAATCAACCAAATTTTTTCAGGCGGTACAGCTCTCCAGACATCTAACAGAGCACAACGCAAACTGGATCCTGTAGCTTCAGAATTTTCAAATGGCCAATTTTTAGAATCAGCGATAGATAAAATAGGTGTATTATTGTTGGCAATAGAAGTAAATCGATTACGAATGATATTAGAACTTAATAAGGGAAGAAGACCACGTCCACCCTTTTGAAGATAGGCATTTTCCAAACACCATTGTGCGTGTGTGTTGGCTTTATATTCATTAAACATAGTTGCATAGTTTTTGGTACGTTTATCATTAGATGCCCAAGCACACCATATCTTTAAGATGCGGTTGCTAAAGTGCTCCTGTTGATTGTTATCTGTATACCCCTTTTCAAGAGCTGATAGATAAGCAGGTGCAATTGCTCCTAAAAGTACAGCAGGATCATGCTCCAAGGCTTGAAAACGTGCTTTAAACAAAGTGTTCAACTTACTTTGATTCTTGGAGAGCTGATGTTCTAACTTTTGATATTGACGATAGTTAGAATCTGTCGTATTTGGAATAGCAAGACGTGTAGCTTGTTTGCTTGCAAGTGATTCAATAAGAGGTTCTCTACCAAAACGAACGATATCTGGTATTTGATTTACAATCTTGGACAAAATATCATCCAAAGTAAATTGATTTTTTGTAATAATTAAAATAGGTTGATGGAATTGGCCAGAGGTTAGCGCTTTACTCATAAGCTGTACTAATTTACTTGCTAAAAACGTTTTACCAGTACCTGAAGCCCCTGAAATGACAGCAATACGATGTGTTAATGCAAATTGAATAGCATTTACCTGACTTGGTGAAAGACTATAGAGTGGAGGACGTTTAGAAGGAGCCACTTGCTGCCATTGAGCTGAATAACACGGCCAGTTTCCTTCACTTAGTCGTACACAATGATTCCCATTCTTGGCCATAATACATGAAATATCAATTTCAGAATCAGCAAGATAATCAGGAATTGCATCCTCATTGGTTGTAACCACTCTATCATAATACTCCGCATTCCAGGAAGATAATTGAGATTGAGTGAGAACATTTTTAGAGGCTAATATTCGAGGTGTAATCACTTGAGAGAAATGCTTCTTATCTAAATTAATATATTCACTACGAAGCCATTTAAGTAATGAGAATACAGAGGTAGCATTGATATTAGATGTAATAATTGAATATTTGGCGTCCCAATCTATCTTTGATAAATCCTCTTTATGAACATGAATTGATACCATACGAATAACAGAGGCACTTGTTCTAGAATGATTAGTAATTGCATAAATAGCATGACCCAAAATAGCTGTTTCTGCGATCCTCTTTATAACACTAGTAGGGTTCTGTGTACATTCATTTTCTGGAAGTAATAAGACAAGTGAGCCTTCCTTAAAATGTCCCATAATTTCATCATTCTTTTGAATCTTCCCAAGTTGAAAAACAATGCATGGCTCAGAGGATGACATAGACAAAGTAACGGATTTTGGAATAGTCTGCTCGTAAACTGCACATTCTGGGATCTGAAACTTAGTTGGAGGTATACCTTTAAACAATTCTCTAACGACTCTCTGTAAAGGACTTACGAGTTCATCTCGTAACATGACAAAATGATTTAAAATATAGTTACGTAAATCAAGGTTTGGCCATGGGTTGTGAACCTTGTTAGCTATAGTAATTTCTCTTTTCGATTCACATAGCTGAAGCATATTAATATTCTCGATTTCTTCAGAAACGATTACTTCAGCTATAGGTATAGAAGGTAAATAGTCGTGTAATTCATGATAGAAACTATCATCTGAATTTTCCTCAGGTAAAACCTCTGTAAGACGAAGATATTTGATTAGATCACTATGTTTTTCTACATCAATCACTTTCTGTAGTGATTCATATATTTGTGAGATATCTGATAGAGGTAAGTCGTTTTTAATATTAGGATAGTAGCGGGACATGAGAACGATAAACTTAAGGACGACATAGAGATCATCTGGTAGTTGGACATAAGATTGAACATATCGAGTAAGATAATAAATGAAAGTACTCCAAGCGTCATGTATTTTTCGAGCAGTTTCAAACTTTAAGTGATTTGATTCATAATCCATAACAAGTATAAGTGATTTTAGCAACAATTCAAAAGTACGTAAAGACATTTCATGAAGATTACGATTAAGAATAGTTTCCACCTTCTTTTGAAATCCATTGATAACACTTCGAATATTTGGTTTACTAATTACAGAGTAAAAATAGATTAAAAACTCTTTGTCCTGAGGTGAATAATTATTTGCCATAGGTATATAGGACGAAGGCATCATAATAACGGGGGTCATGTGCTGCATAGATTGTGAGGGCAACATAGTAGGCCTCCAAACGTTAGTTGGCTGTTGATTAAAGCCAAAAGCGACTGAGTTTATATTTTCATCAGGATTCCAAGCAGATGTATTATTATCGTCGATAGCCCAGTTAGGTGTAGTTCCACTAGCAACATCAGAATAACTTTTCTTTACTTCTTGAGGAACATTTTGAAAAGACACATCTAACTGTTCAGGCTTAGCGGAATACGTATCCTCGGCGAAGAAAGCGCTTTGCGGTAACCATTCTGAACGTTTCTTTTCTTTTGAAGCTGTTTCTAATTCTAAATCTAAACCTTCTTCCCATGAATTTATAGCCTCATTTTTTAGATCTTCAAATTTTCCTGCAGCAGGTGTATATTTAACAAAACCAAGTGAATCAACAGTAGATTGTCTTGTTCGAGTGTGTGACAATGTATCAGGTGAAGGCTCAGAATGGACATTCTCTGATGCAACATTTTGAATATGTGTTGTACTATCACTAGAATGTTTATTAGTATGCCAATTATTAGATCGGTTTATAATAAATGGAGAAAAGTTCTTTGTATTTTCTTTCTCGCTTCCTTGAGAATGGGTATATTGTTGATCATTTGTTGGCACTGGTTCGCTAACTTTATTGACATTCTGACTATTTTTTTTTTTAAAAAAAAAGAAAAGAATAAAAAAAAAAAGAGTTGTCAATGTAATGAAGTATAAATCAAAACCTGATAAAACTCACAAGAAATGATCTTCATTATATGCCGAAATGGGAGCAGATGAAGTTGAGTAGTCTTTATCAATTGATGACTTAACAAGTACATTACTAATAAAATAGTATAATGAGGATTTAAACTGCAAAATAAACAAAATGTCAAATTTACGAATTATAACTATTATCCTTTTTTGGTTTGTTTGATTGAACGTTCATAAAACTGTTTTCGTTCAAGGTATTTGATTTCTTAAGTATTTTAGGTGGAGTCAAATCATCCATAGATATGATTTCTGTTTGAGAGTTTTTTTTTTCAAGTACATTAGGAGAATTTGATAATCCTTTTGAATAATGTAAGAGGATTGTACTATTAGCTAAAGCCACTCTTTTGAGATGCTCAAGCTGATCCTCCATTTTTTATATATTTTGATAATCGCAAGATGATTAAGAAAAAAGAACAAGATATAGGCTTGAACATATGCATCTTATAGCAGTAACATTTTTTTTTAAAAAAAAAAAATAAAAAATAAAAAATTGTGACAGGAAAAATAAAATATATGAATATATTATGGCTTGAAACAAAAAATAAAATAAAATAAAATAAAATAGGTACACAGTAATCATTTTAAGAGATTTGCCATATTATTAAATTAGATAGTGTTAATGTTATTACTAAGCGTATGATAGACTTTATATAGAAAAAAAACTTATCAAAGATTAGCATTACAAATCAAGTAAAAATAAGTTCAATTTGATTTGTTATTGCAGGTTCTTATGTCTCTTAGGTAAACACATTGTAGCAATGTCTAAATTAAGTTCAAAAATAGGTTTCTTCTTATTAACTATGAAACCTGTAATAAACGTATAAAACTCTCTCTTTTTTTTTTTTTTCTGTTTAAATAAGCGGAGCAAAATGAAAAAGAAAAGAAAACAAGATTACACAAAAGTTTATCATTGTTAAAAATAAACTATATTCTTGCACTTAACTCTTTTTTTTTTTTAATTTATACAAAAGAAGTGAAGATTATTTATTTTAGTTTATAAAACACAAGTATATAATTCGCTTTATATTGTACTTATTTGCTTTATATTGCACTTATTTGCTTTTAGTAGGAGAATGCGGAAATAATAAAACAAAATTTCAGCTAATATCTAGAAAAAAATAACAATAGAAGACAAAATTATGGGGGAGAAAAAAAAAAAAAAAAAAAACTTGAAACTCCTTTTCTTATTTGTTCTTAAAGATTACACACATATAAATTTATAGTTCATTTTTTTTTATTCTTCTTCTTTCTCTTTTCTCTTGAAATTAATATCATTATGGGTCAACAAACAAGTAGAGAACACGCTCCATTAACATTTGGATATGTAAACCAAAAATTAACAATATCTAATGAAGAAGAGGATGCTATTATTACCGAAAAATTCGAACAAGAAAAGGATTTCGTATTAGCAAATCCACACTTATATCAATTACAATCAACATGTGAACAATGTCAAAAATTATCTTCTTCACCATCAAATAATGAACAAGTTGTTGTTTCTTTAATAAATGAAGCATGTGCTAAATGTAAAAAGCAGAAGCGTTTATCATTGGTTAGAAAAGACTTGGCAGAAGATTTGGAATATATCGACCAAACCTATTATCCCGACTTAATTCATTATAACTCTGAAGAAGATCCAATGGAGCAAGAATTACTAGAGTTTGAAACTGATACCTCACAGCAACAGCAATGGTCTCGATTAACTATTGGTGAAGCTACTACTATTACCCCAAAAGGAAAACCAAGGAAATTAACGGGTCTTTCAATGGCTGTTGATTTATCAAATAGATCACTTGTAAAGCTTAGTCCAAGTATAGGATATTTAGATAATTTAACAAAATTAAATCTGTACGTAAATGAGTAGTAATAATAATGATGTTAATCTATTTAAATGAACTAAACAAAAGATATATGATTTATTTTATATAGTTCAAACAATCAAATGACAAGTTTACCAAGAGAAATAGGTTATCTTAAAAGCCTTCGAGTATTGAATATATCAAGCAATTTTATTGAAGAGATACCTGATACGATTGCCTTCTTAACTAAATTAAGGGCATTTAATGTGGCACATAACAAGCTCGTTCAATTACCTTCTTCTATTGGTTATTTACCAAAATTAGCTATTATAGTTGCCAATGATAATCATCTAACTTCTCTTCCTCGTGAATTCGTTCATCTAGTAAATCTTATCTCTCTTAATGTATCTAATAATCCTCTCAAGACATTACCTGCTGAAATTGCTACTCTTAGTACAGTTAAAAGGTTACTAACAGATAATTGCCCTTTTGAAGAAGAATATACTTATGATTTACGACATGACCCACCCTCCTTATTTGAGATTTGTGCTCGTATTGCTGTACGCTCCGAGATAAATATTCCAAATCACTTTGCTGATCATATCAAAGAATACCTATCTCGTGCTGATACCTGTTCTTATTGTAAAGGTCCCTTTTTTGATAGTTGTGTAACACGTGTACGATATATAGAAAGAAGAGCTAGACAGCCTATTGCTTTACAGTATACGCTTTGTTCAGCTCATTGGTCTGATGAAAATGATCGTTTACTTGCTATGTTTTCTAATCAACTTAAAACTAAGAATAACAGTACACATCGTAATATTGATACAGAAGGTTTAAATGATAATATAACTCCTAGAAATCGTCTTCGGCATCGTGCTTATAGTGACAGTACTTATAATTCGCATAATTTGGGTAACTTATTAACTACACCTATTATATCATCCCCACTCTCTGGACGATCAAATGCAAATTCTTTAGATAATTTATCATCTTCTTCTTCAATACCCATTTCATTACTGAAAAGTCAACCTAATTTACCTGCTCTTCCACAACAACAACAACAACAACAACAACAAGAATCAGCAATTCCTGGTTTATCTCCTCCCTCTTCTTCATTTTTGTCACCTAATATCAAAGGAAATCGACCTCGTGCCTCTTCAGCAGCCTCCGTAACAAAACGACTTACTAACTTTATTCGTTCTAACAGCAGTACATCTCTTACAAGAACACGTAGCTCAAGTAATTCTTCTTCAACTTCAACATCATCCTCGTCACGACTTAAATATCAAGAACAACCTATTAACACTATTTCTTCTTCGTCTATAACAATAACACCTCGTCAATTAGAAGTAAAAGAAGGAGCTACTCCTACTCAAGGTTTACGTAATTGGGCAGATAGCATTCAAACAGCATCTATGGCAGCAGCCAAGACAATTGCAACTCAACAACAACAAAATCAAATTGAAAGCTATTTTATCTCAAAGAACAATAACTATCCTGTTATAATGCATCAAACTGAATTATTATCCTCGGAAACATAAAAAAAAAAAAAAAAATAGACAAGAAAAATATAGGAGAAAATTTGTATTTCTTTTTATTTATTTATTTATTTATTTATTTATTCTTTATATTTTAACAGAATAAAAATTTACCCTTTATTGAACATGTAGCTACTTTTGTTCTTTCCCATTAAACCAGTTATACTTGCGGTAATTGGGTATTAGTGATAAGCTAATTATAATATTAATCTTGGGTTTTCTGTAAATCAATTGTTATGAGATAAAGTAGTAACAATGAACTACTATCTCAAAATAAATAACAAGAAAAAAAACCCTTAAATTTGCTGCATAAATTATCGTTATACATATATATAAATATATAAAAAAAAAGTTTATTTTCTATCAATTTTTAAAATTCTAGAAAGAAAAAAATAAGCACAATTGCATTACTAACAATAATAGTATTTTTTTTATACGTACTTTTATTAAGCTGATGGGATTATTAGTAGTACATCATCTTCGCCTCTGAAAATATCTAATAGCTTTTTGTTCATTTGTTTAGAGTTAACTGGTATACCAATTTTACCATTATGTCGAGAAATACTGAAATCCTTCGGTAAACCATCAATTTCCTTTATTTCATTGTTAGTAGATATCCTCTTTATATATAACAGTCATTTTTTTTAAATACCTTTTTAATATCATCAATTGCATTTTCAATTGTTTGGTTTTTTAAATAAACTGAGCCAAGTAAGTTTTCATCTTGACGAGAAGATAAATAAATAAGTATTTCCTTTTCTTCTCTATTATCTTCTTCCGGTTTTATCCCTTGTTGCTTGGTATCATTCGAATTTTCTACTAATTCAACTGCCTTTTGTCTTCTCACTAAATTTTCAACCTTATTCTCGGAAAATTCATCAGGCATAAGCCATGTTTTTTCTAAATCAGGATTTTTCATATAAGTAGGAACAAATGGAAGTGAAGGTTCAGGACCTACAGAAACATTTGCTTGGTCACCCATCGCTGTACGTAAAATTTTAGCTGTAGTTTCATGTTGTACTGCTAAATCTAATGCTGTTTGTCCTTTTTGTGTTTTAATAAAAGGATCAGCTCCGCTTCTTAATAATGCAATAACAACGTGTTCATGTCCTCTATGTGCTGCCCAATGTAACGCAGTCCTATCAAAAAAAAAAAAAAAAAAAAAAAAAAAAAAAAAAAAAAGAGGAAAAAAAATATTATTTTTTTGATCTAATTTTCAAGTAATCATCTTTACCATCCATTCATTGCATTTTGTGAATTAACATTAACACCAGAATGAGCTAGATGAAGAGTAGCTTTAATATTTCCCAGAGCTGCTACCTCTCTTAAAGTGTGTTCTCTTTCATCAGGTATTTGCATTTCGATTAATGAACTATGAAATACAAAAACAAAAAAAAGATGATCTTTTTATGGAAGCTTAAAGAAATAAATAAATAAATAAATAAAAAAAAAAAAAAGTTATATTTTAATTCCCGCTTAGGACTATATTACAATTAAACATACTTTTTTTTTCCCTTCATCCTAATCATAAAGTTTCAAAAGGATATCAATGAAGAGTACATGAGCCGTGTATTAAAATATTCTGCTTCGGTATATGAAAGTTATAAAAAACATCTGGTTGTTTTAATAGTTGATGTCTTCAGCGTACCCGCGTCAATAAATAACATATTAGCTCCAGTCGTAAGCCATTCATTCCATAAAGAAATCTCCAGTCTGTTTTTTGGCAAAGCGTTGTCTTTTAATATTATTAACAATGTTGTCAACAATTCAATCAACTGAACAACTAGATTCCTTAGCGATTATTGGTTTATTTTTGTGTTTATAAAAACTTCTTATAACACATCTTGTTAGTAGTACTCAAGAGATAACAATGAAACTTCTATACAAGATAGCTGTGAGCAGCGTTCAACAATTAATTGATAAAGAAGATGTGTATTATGATTGTCTTTATAACTAAGTTAATAGAAATAAACCATTATTTATTACATAAATAAAACTAGTGTATTGTACTTTACAGCATCATATTCATTCTACATCCAGTTTTAGTAATAGTTATTGTTAATAATGATATTATGTAATAATAATAAAAATTCAATAGGATTATGACTGTTGTATTTATAAGTCATACATATTATGTGTACATCTAAAAATGTTGGAAAAATAAAACTACTAATATCTTGGCTGTTTCTGTCTAAATATTTCTATTTGTAAGAGAGGGAATATTTGCCTATTATATCTGACTTACTTTTAGAACAATCACTCATTACTTTTTAGCAAAGGAAATAAGAATAATTTTTTTTTTTGGTTTTGGATTTTAAGCACCAATTTCACAGTGTCCATACCGTATCGTATCTAAATAAAAATAAAAAGCCTATTGGTTTTTTCGCTCTTCTACCCAGGTAATGTTTCATCTTGTTCACCAAACTACAAATATACCTGTTACAGGCAAAATTTCTAGTTCGTTTTTTGTGTCTCCCAAGGGACCACAATATAGATCAAATTCATGTCCTTTTTTTTACGTATTCCAGCCAATAACTCTCAATGGTATAAATTCTCCTAACAACTATTATTGAAATTATGTGCACATAGTGCTGATAATATTAACTGTCGTTCATTTTAATCTATTTATCGAGATTTCCAAGATGAACAGTTTGATAAATGATTCCGTTCATCTCATTCGATCCTTTTATCTGCTTGTCGTCCAATACCTACCATTGACCCTATTCTTTAGTTTCCCATGACTCTGGCTGAATTTATTCCTACTTTACACTGACATCTCGGTTGGTTACCTGATAGTATCTCAAATCTATGCCTCTTCCATCCAAATGATACACTCACTCGGTTTCATGCTACTGTCTGTTTAAATATGCATTGTTGGTTACAAATGCTAATCATCGTAGCTGACCCTTTATCTTTTCTACTCAATCACCTTCCTAGCAAATGTAAAAAAAAAAAAGAAAAGAAAAAACTTTTTGTGCGAAACAGCTCCCTTACTCCTACATAAATTATTTGCTGGCCGACACTATGTAGTATATTTTTTGAACGTGATTACTTTTACCATGATAAAATCCCTCATTCTCTTTATACTGATTTAAACTATTAGTTATGCAGTAATTAATTTAGTATTCGAAGATACTGTTCTTTGTTTATTTTCCCTTTTGACTATCAAAATGTATTTTGTTTTTTTTTTTGTTTTTCTTCTTTTGATCTGACTCGCGCAAAGCAACATAGTTTTTTTTCGGAGTGCAAAAAATAAAAACAGATACGCAAGTTCATTGGAAAAAACCAGTATTATTGTTCCTGTAACTGTATTTATGTGTAGTTTTAAAAGGAATTTTCAATTTTATAAACTGACCAAGGCAATTGGATGTAATAAAAGCACTATCATATATTTTGATGCAATTTCAACAGATAGTTAAAAGAAAAAAAAGTAAATGTAAAGACTTACTTAATTTTGGAAAATAAGTTTTATTCACACTGACTTTATCGGCAATAATAAATAAAGAAACGAAGCCTATCATAATTATAGTAATTATATAGCAACAAGCCAAATTATCTTATCATATGAATTATATTTTATGTATAAATATGTCTTCTGAAATTATTTTCTAGTTTAAAAGCTTGGAAGATTATACTGTTCAGGTAATGAAAAGTGTATCTGATAACAGAGCTTATTTTTTTTGGAGCAGAATTCCTGTGCAACAACTTATTATTATATTGTGTAAAGATTTCTAAAAAAAAAAAAAAAAAAAAAAAAAAAAAAAAAAAAAAAAAAAAAAAAAAAACGGCTTAGTGTTTTTGCAACTTGGTGGGTAGAGAAAAATGGTGGAATAAACCAAGATTCATACTTGTCTTTTTTTTTTCTCGTTTTCGTAATAGTAATAGTAGTACATCTTTCTTTTATAATAACCATTAAAAAATAGGTCATAGTTTAATAGAAAGTTTCTTCAGATGTCATATATAATGAGCTGATATTGATTTATTTTGTAATACAATAAAAATGCTTGAAATAGTAATTTTAATATGTATACATTCACTTATTATCTCCCTAAACAAGTATATTTATTGATAATAATATTCATTATATTATATCTTTTCACTTTTCCCTCTTCCCCCCACTGTTTTAGTTTACTTTTATATAAACGTTCGAAATAAATATGCCAAAGACAGATACAAGCTTTTCAACATATACTTCCATGATGAGGGTCACAAGTAAAGGCAGACCGTATACAAAAGTAGAGACATATTTTTATTTTATTTTATTTTATTTTATTTTTACACCTATTTCTTGACTCTACATGTATATTAATCTACCTATCATTATTGTTGTACGATGCAGGATCTTTATGATATGTTTGCCGCAGTTTTACTACAAATCAAGTTAATTGACCATAGGGTTATGTTCCGCACCTATTCTTATACGTTTACTACTGAAGAAGCTTCAAAAGTCATGTCTTCCCTTGTCTTTATACATGTCAGTCGAAACCCAGACCCCTCTGATCCATCACGTCAAATTTCAACAAGAACAACCACAACTTTCAGTATGAACTATCAGTCTGTTAAAACATTGCTTCAACAATTTTTATCTGCACGTCTTATTATGTGCGCAACAGATCCTCAAAATTGGAACTCCATGAAAGATCGAAGCCTTTGGTGTCCTACCTTGAAGGGTAAGCTTGTTCTTGAAGAATTTGCATATACAGCACAAATATTACTATCAGATACACTTCTTGCCGCGCTCCACGCATCCTCCATGTCTACTAACTACGACACTATGAAAAATAACAACTACAGTTTTAATAACGGTCCAAGTAACCGTATTATTCATCTTGATCGACTTTCAGATGATGATGATCAACTTACCTTTTCACGCAGCAATATGACGGTCATTTTCAAAGCAATGATGGCAAGCTTGCCTAAAGAGGCTCTCTTGGCAGACGATGTTCCTGGTATTGAAAAGAGGAAACTTCCGCTCTATAAATATACCTTTATGGGTATTCATTGCATTAACTGGCTCTGCGATCGATTAACGATCTTTTGTCGTGAGGAAGCAGAAGCTGTAGCAGCTGAATTTGTTCTCTTCGGTTGGGTCTCTCACGTGCTTGATAAATGTGAAAAGACAGCTACTACTAATTCAGTTGATGATATCGTCACATTTAAAACAAATCGAAATGCTATCTATTATGTAACAGAACGTGGTTGTTTAGTGACGGGTTGGAAAATGCCTAGTATGGATGCGAAGGACGAACAAGAAAACACCATGACACAATCATCTATGAGTAGTAAATCAAGTAGTACTAATATTTCATCTATTTCAAACTTGAGTAATAGTACAAACAATAAGTCAAAAAATATACCACAACAGGATACTAAACTTTCGTCTTCAAATGGCAAGCTCATGTCAGCAGAAGCAAGTCATAATGATGTACTCATAAAAGACAATAAACAACATCTACTCAATAGATACAGCTACTATGATATTATAGATGATAAAAGGATAGAGAAACCTATTGAAGCAGAAACAATTCATGATGAAACAGCTGAAAAGGCATTGGAACCACTTCCGATCATTTCACGAAAAAGTACAGCTTATGAAGACGGTATTCCTCAACTTTCTTCATTCGAACAACCACAGACTCAGGGATCTAATGAGTTACGTCCACTTAGCAGAGTAATTACGAATTCATCTTTGTCTTGTACCACAAGTTTTAATAAAGTTAATACAAACAATATGAATTCACAAAGAGCTCGTCTTCAAAAAGTGCTGGAGACACCGCTACTTCGAATGTATTTCCGAGACTTTTTGAAAGCCAACTATTGTATAGAGAACATAAATTTTTGGGTTGCTAATAATAAACTGTTACAAAGCCTTAAGCAACAACAACAACAACAACAACAACAAAGCAATAAAAAGTCTACTACAGTCATTTTAGAGTTACTCTCCGAATGTTATTCAGTCTATGAAATTTATTTAGGACCTCAGGCAGTAGCAGATATTAACATCGATCATAGTTTGCGTCAAGAGATTATTCACTTTTTCTCTACAGTTTTTGTCATTCACAATGATAATAACAATTTATCGGTTGCGGCTAATGATTCAAAAAATTACTTTCTAGTTCCATCATTCAATCATTATCAGTCAATGACCAATACAGTAAATAAACCATCAATGACCTCGGCAAAATCAGGACAAGCTGGATTGCTTTTGTTGCCTCCCCAAATGGTAAATAACAGTAAACGACGTAAGGTAGTGATTCGAAGCAATACAATTGTACCCGAGCGTTGTTTAATGAAGATTTTAAAAATGTTTACTAAGGTTAATGAACATGTTTGTTGTATGATGGCGGAAGATTCTATACCAAAATTTATCAAAACTGAGAAATATAAACAGCTAATAAATGCACATCATCAACAAGAGCAGCAAGGACAAGAAGATAATGATGTTGACTACGATATTGTATACGAAGATAGTAGTGAAGATGAAAAGGAAAGAAGTAATAAGGCGAAGAATAACTTTGTAACTTCTTTATTAACACAGAGATCTTCTATGGATCAGTCACAACATGAATCTGTAACTGCCCCTACTACTTTAGGACCCCTTTTTTAAATATGGATAGTTATAGTATCCCTAATTATTTTATTTGTGTATGCGAGACTGCTTCAGAACGCTATTTATTTTTTTTTTTGTATCTGTATTTCACTATGTATTATACTGTACTATGTTTGTTTTTATTTTGCTTGGGACATATCATACTTTCATTGTTGTTGTTGATCCTTTCATGTATATTTTAACAACACATTTAAATCTAATAATGGGACTCTTTTTTTTTCCTCTGATATTAAATCAATAAAAACTCTTTTTAATCATACAAATATTTAAGCTTATTACTGCGTATTGTATATAACAACAACAACAACAAAAAAACATTGAATATGTCTTTTTAAGAAATAGGGAGAAGTTGATTTTAACTCGTGTTTCCATTGTTATGAAAAATAAGGAGAATGACATTACTGGTTTACTTTTTTTTTTTCAAGTAATACACATAATAATAGCGCTAATCATATCATTGCCCTTTAAATCCAAATAAGGAAAATATGGAAGAAACGTAATTACATCTTTTGAGGGGAAGACAAATCTCCTAAACATGATATGAAGGGTAAATACGTATATTTATGAATGATAGTATAGATTGGCTCTTATATAGTGGCTCAATATTTATTCGATAACAGAACAAATACTTTAAACTGTCAAATAACAATCATCTGTGGAAATAATTTAAACCAATTATACTTGTTCTCTATTATGATTATCGTAATTATAACTTGTCAAAATAATATTTCTAGTTAGTGAAGGAAAGAAAATGTGTATAAGAACATCATTGATATAAGTTTTATATATATAGTTCATTATTAAGATATGACTAGTATACAAACTGCTTTTAGATGAAGATATAGCTTCTTTATTTTTATATGTAAAACACATAGTTTAAAAGCTTTATCAAAAAAAAAAACCTCCCTTTTCAAGTATTACAAATGTTGAATCTGTGCACCTTAAATTGCTTAACTGCTCCTTCTACTTTCTTGGGGTGGGCATATTATTATTTCTACATACATGTATAATGAAATTCTATTTCGGAACAAGCTTATTATTAAAAGTGTATAATAACAAGGTGTGTACTCGCCTTAAAAGAAAAAAAGACAAATACTTGTTATTTGCTTTAATATAATGAACATATTCTATATTATAAATACGAGAATACAAGTTATGTTTATTAAAACTTATGGATAATTACTATAAAGCCACAAGTAGATCCGTTTATGTACTCAACAGTTTAAATACGTTTTGTTGTATACACATATATTACTCGGGTATGTATATGCATGTAGTTTTATCAATGAAAAGGGTTTAGCAATAATTGTGCATAATAATTTTACTCGGTCCTTAATTTTACTTTGACATAAATATACATTTGTAACATCTAAACCTTTTTATCATTAAACAGGGTTTTTTTTATTAATTGTGTATTTTTTAAAGGGAGGAATCAAGTTATATATCAAGTTTTTTTTATTTTTTTTTCTCAAGAGGGAAAATAAGCGGATAAAAGTTTAAATAAGAAAGTTTCCGAGTCTCTTAATTATTATTAATAATTATATTATTATATGTTCAAAATGCTTCAGGAAAAAAAAAAGGAGTCTTTTTATTTTATATAACAATAAAATATATTGCAAGTAATAATAAAAAACACTTGTATTTAATGTATATATTTTACAACAAATAAACTTAAGAGAAAAAAAAACAAGCGGTATATACGCATATAAATAATACATGTATAAGGATATTTATGTATGGAGTATAAAAACAATAAGGTAAATATATATAAATATGTATATGTCTATATTTATATATAAAAGATACAAGTATTTTATAATGTCTATTATTAAAAGTAATGTTATATGGGTATCTATACACGTATATATATTATTTATAATTTCGAATCCTTTGTCGCTTCTGTATAGCCGCATTTGCTGCAGCTAATGCACTTGGGGATAATGTGATGAGTACTGCTGTATTTGGTTTATTTTTATTATTGACTAACACTGTTTCACCTGAAAGTTTTTGTAATGTCAAAGCATATGATGAATCGTAATTTGAGTCCTTCAGCGAATAGCTAGTATCTAATAATTCCTCAAAATTATATTCTTCATTATTGTTTGATATAGTGTCTTGCTCTTCATAGTTATATTCTTTACTTGCAATGGTTTTATTTTCTTCGACTTCTTCATGAACAATGTTATTAGGTCTATTAAATTCAGATTTCGTAGTTGAATATATTATTTGACTTTTGTGATAAAATTGTTTATGAGCCCAGGAAGATGTTCGTGGCGGAGGTGGGAGAGACGTCAAATGCTGTTTTTCATGATGGATGAAACAATTCATTTCTTCATTTACTTTTTCATTTTCTTCCTGAGAAAGATGTTTTTCTTTTAACTCATAAATAGATGCGATTGATGTAATTGGCACATCGTTGGGTAAAGTTCTATGCTTACGAATTTGTGTTCGACGTTTCATAAATTTGGAAGCGTAACGAATACAAGCATAGAGGCTTTGTGTTTTTGCTTCAATCTTTATCTGCCCTGCTTTTTGTTCAATTACATCAATATCATTATTATATGTCATTACTGTATGTATGAAATCGATAAATATATAGCAAACAGATACGTAAAGTAAAAAAAAAAAAAAAAAAAAAAAAAAGGAAAGATAGAAAAAAAAGGAGAAATAATATTTATGTAGGTCTTTTTTATTATAAATCTATATATGTAGGTAGGTAGGTAGGAGAAAAAAAAATATAATTTTTAACGTTTGTATATAATAATGGGTTATCTTTAAATAGAAAGTTGCGGTATAGAATATTTATAAAAAAAAACGCGCATAAAAACGTGGAATTTAAGTTAACCCTTTAATTTTTGAGGGACTCATAATTTTCTCTTTAGTTATTAACTTTATCTATTTTATTATACTCCATACCTATTATTTTATATGCAGTATCTTTGATCTAAGTGTTTCATGTTACTTCTAAATAATTAATATCACAGATCATCCTTCTCCTTTTATAAATATATATGAAGTCATATAAATGGAAGTTCAGCACGCTAAACTCTATTTTCTATATGCTTAGGTATAGAAGTTAAATGAAGTATATATCTTGTAAATATAGAATATAAGCATTACAAGAGTGAGATATAATGTACATTATATACATGAAGTGAATTTTTTTTTCTCACATATATATCTATAGAATCTGTATTCAGTAACAGATATTTATTTTTATTTATATTTGTTTCCTTCCCCCCTTACCTATTATAAATTCTCAGATATACTGTTACTATGTGTATGTGTATCATTATTGCTACCCCTGAATTCTCCTAAAATAGCAAATTCAAACTGACTTTTAATTATATATATTTATATCTGTGTATATATAAAAGAGCGTATTGAATCATTTAAAAACGGTACTAGATTTATATTTATATGAATATAATATTATTTCGGAAGTGTATAAATGTATATAAAAAAAATTTATACAAATATGTGCTTCTCCTAACCAATGTAGTAGTTGATAATAGACATTATTGGTATATGTAAATTTTATAATTCTGGTATCACTAATCTGTTTTCAGTAAGCATATTCATGTTTCAAGTAAAGTTTATACAGCATTATTTGTTTACTTTTGAATTTCGGGTTTAATGATACTGTACAAATTTCTTTGTTATTTACTATATTGTACAAAAATTTAAATAATAGTTCTTTTCGTTTGCGTATTTGCGCTTCCTTTTTTGTATATTCTTTGATAATATGCCAAGTAACATTGGAGTTTATTAATGTGTCGAAAATTCATGTATAATACGCCTCTGAGAAATATTTAAACTGATTTGACACTATCAACAATACAAACAACGTTGATGTGAATGTTTCAAACATAAAATATAAGATATATATATATATATCGTATGTAATGAATCACTAAACCGCTTGTACTTTGTATATAAGCTAATGATCTTGTTACTATGTTATATGATAAATAGAGATACTAGTTACACGTATAATTTCTTCTAAATATTAAATAAGTTTCAGTTGGACAGCTAATAATTATTGTGAGATCATATGTAGAAAACTATGCAAATATATATGATTTATCGCATATCAATACGACATTGAGGACAATCCTAGTCACCTACCTGGTTACTCCAAAATACATAAAAATGAGAGTCGTAAATTTGAAGCAGATCATTTTGCCTTTTTTTTTAAATGTTATATGATAAAAAGTTTGCAGATATAGTATTATAGGAGATGAGGGGCGCACTTGTCAACTAATTTCCCGGTTTTTATGGTTCATTATCATTAATGCACTAATATGCTATAAGGAAATACAGATTAACTTTTTTTTTTAAAAAAAAAAAGTCAAAGCAGGATCTTTTAATAAAACTATCATAGACAGAAAGGGTATTGTATTGAAATGGATCACTGATCTTTGTATGAATTACATGGATGATTTTGTCTTCAATGATGAAGCTGGCGTCAGCATACATTTATAAAGTATCTTCGGTAGATAAAGAAAAAATAAAAGAAGGGCAGTAACAAAATCCAATTCAGTAGTAACATTAACCCTTCAGAAATCTGAAGTTATTCAGCTGAGAATATACAAGTGTCTAACGCTAGAATTGATATAATAAGAAGTGAGCATTTTATTGAGTTCATCCGTGGTGATTTGGATTGCTCAAATGCAAACAACATAAAATCTGATTAGTTGTAGTATGACTTTAAATAAATTCCTTTTGTATTTTAAATGATTAATAACTGTGCATAATGATCAAAATCATATTCAGAACAAAAAAAAAAAAAAAAGCTGAACAGTATGCATAAAACCAAAAGTCATGAAATGCAAAAATTCAAAAATATGCCCAAAAGCAAATAGAAAGTACAATATTTGAATATCAAATGTTTTGTTATTTTTAAATATATGCATATGTATATTTACTGCAGCCGAGGAAAAATAAAGCAAAAGTCGCCTGACTAACCATTCCATATTTATTACCTTTTAATAGAATATACGCATACTAAAAAGTATTCTGTATTTGTAATCATATAATATTAAGAAATAGTATGTCAGTGATTCAAAGAACTCAAGCATATAAATGTTATGTATCCCGACCATTTAATTAGTTAGAAACAAAATAAAAGAAATAAATCTGCATTTGTAAAAATTATTTTACTTTCTCTTTTGGAAAACTCTTTTGTCCAGTTATTTTGCTTACTCAAAATTACTTAAATGAGGAATATTTTGGAAGATATACATCTCTCTATCCCTCTACTTCTAATCCATTTATCGACCTTTGTTCTATGAATAGGAATAGTGTCTATGATTATGCAAAATATAAATATTTCAGATAGTATGTCTACTTTATTTAGCATACTGGATATGAGTCATTTATAATAATCATCAGTTGTTTCTTTATCAATAGGCGTCCTTTTGCTATCTATTTTTTTTTATTATCATTATCAACTTTTAGTTTTTTGTGTGTGTAGTAAATTCACCTATTTCTATATTTATGATATATACAGTGTAGATATTATCTAGTTCTATAAAAGAAATAGCTTAAATGAATAATATCTCTTCTATTGCCAGAGCACTAAGAAACGAACAATCAAAAAACCTTTTTATATGAATATCAAATGCTGTAGTATTGATACAAGTGCAACTTTTTAATAATATATACATATATGTATCAGTTTTTCGGTGTAAATATTATTCAATTAAAGTGTCCCTTTAGAGTTTCAAGGCTAATTCTTTCAAAAGGATAAAGAACAATCCATTTAATGACCAAATTTTAAGTGTAAAAAGAAAGAAAAAAGAAAGAGAGAGGATATTTATACTTTAGTTTATTTCTTTTTTTTTTTTCATTGTTATTAATATATAGAAGCTGCCGCTATACTACGTGCTTCTGTTTAAGATTATTGAAAAAAATAAATAAATTAAGAAATAATTGTCGCAAAAGAAATTTCAATCTGTCGTTTTTATTTTTGTTGATTGTCATTTTAGGAAAAGCCGTGTTGTAGCAAAGGTTTTTTTTTTTTTTTTTTTTTTTTTGTAATTTTACTAAAATTTTTTAAAGAGGCTCTCTATAGACATTTGATAATTTTGTTATAGAACAAGCTCTGGATATGAGCATAAGTAGTATTATAAAAAATGAATTACATAATACAGGACAAACTATAAGCCCGAATATGAAATAAAAGATATCATATCTTTTGTACACTCTTTGAAACTCTATCTCTTTCTTCTCTTCAAAGCCATTATTCCTTTCAAACTGATCAAAATCTAAAAAGCCTTGTTATCATGATCATCATAAAAAAGAGCTCAATTGTCATAATACAGTAATAAGAAAGCTTACAGCTTAACTATTTAAAATGCATGAACCGCCAAGAGTATCTTGTACAATTGAAAAAAAAAAAGCATTCTACAACAAAGCTAAAATGGAACATCTTGTAAAATTAATTGTAAGAAAAAAAAAGCGTCTAGATTGTGTGTGTCTAAAAATAAAAATAAAAATAAAACTGTTGTATAAAATACCATTTTTTATATTATTGATAGCTTATCTATGAACATCATGCTCTGTCGTGTAACTGAATTTGACTAGTTTTGGCTTAATTTCTTTACAAGAATGCTCAATATATTCACATGAATATAAATACATATAAAAAAAGTAAACAAACGTCTTCTTTTTGTTTCTTACTTTCTTACTTTCTTGCTTACTTTCAAAGAAGGCAGTAATGCTTTACTACATTCAAATAAAAGGCAAAACTTATCTCTAAAGTGTTAAAAAGAAAAGAGAAAAAAAAAGAAAAGGAGAAAGGCAGGAGAGAAGATTTAACGAAAAGTAAATTAAAAACAAAAAAAATATGCTAAAATTTAACTTTAATAACTTCTCCTTCTTTTCGTTTATTTTTTTTTCTCCTGAATTTTACTATAAAAAAAAGCACATTTTTCGTTTTTTTTCCCTTTTTTTCTTCTTTTTTCTTTAGCTTTTTTTATTTTTCCTATTCTTCTTTATTTTTACTTGAAACCATAGATAGACACTGTCAGGGTTATGAAGTGTGCTCAAGTCACATAGCTTGGCTTACTTGAGTTTGTAGAACTGTCCGTTTATAACATGGCTAAAGGAGAGGCCTAGACTCTCTTTTGGTTACTACATGCATATCCGCCTTCACCTTGGGTTATTGCAACCTTAGATAATTGATGGGACCTTATCGAATTTTGACTGCTCAAGTTTGATTTATTTTCAAAGGAGGAGGAAAATAAAAAGGATACTTGGGGTTGGAAATTGTAAACCTGTTCCTTTTTAGGGAGATTAGCGTACTCTTTGTCTGCACCATTGAAAGGGCTTTTCTCAAGGTTTAGTTTTTCTGTTTTTCTTTTTGGAGGTTTTTCCTTCTTTTTATTTTTATCTAGTTGCTGTTTATAAAATAAAAATAGATAAGGATGCACAGCTTACGTTTCTGACCGTGGTTTTTTCATCTATTTATTTAGTTGAAGAATCCCAGCTTGTATTTACTGTTAAGTCAAAAGTAGATGCTAGGGGTCAAAGAAGGGACATTCTCAGGTAAACAATAGTCAGGTCGTGCACTTCATGTATCTGGATTTCTTCCACTTCGCCACGCTACAGGTCAGAATGTTTAGCCCGGCTTCCAGTGAAACTTACATCCAACTGTATTTTTTATTGGGTTATGGGGTGAGGAATCCTATCTTTTTCTTCTAGCAAGGCTTGGGCCAGGTTGGACTTTGCCAAGTGTCTACTAGTTGAAATTGGACGTTTATCTTTCAAGTAGAAATTTAGAGGGAGAAGAAGAAAAAAAAAGCCCAGTATGGGTATTGGTTTATAGAACTTATTTTTGGGATTAGATATGCTTTCACCTTCTCGTGGTTAATCCTGTTAGTATCAAGTCTCTTCTAAAGAGATTTGAGAACTAAGAAAAGCATCTTTTTTTTATAATATTAATATAAATGAAAAAAAAATCAATTTAATAAAATAGTGCTCCATAATAAAGTTGCTTCTCTAATAATATTTAATAATTAAGCGTATAATTCTTTAACAAAAGTGGTGAAAGACTATAACAGCACAGTGTATAAATATTAAAAAGATTATTGTATAATTTCCCTAAGTAGTCTTTCCTCTCAAGGTAAGTTATGTATGGTTAAATAAATTCAGCATCACTAGAATGTAAACTACCAGAATAAGACTAAAACTAGCCAACATTCATAATGAGCATTCATAATCTGATTGCTGTACAAAAGACTGTTCATCTTCAGGGTATAGCTTGAAGTTGTTTCAAATCTTGCTATCATAAATACTCATTATTCTATCTGGAAACAAACTAACTTTGGTTTTCCAACTAGTGATTTTTTTTTTCAAGGAAAATTTTCTTTAGGTATTGATTATTGAGTAGTTATATATTTAAAGACTGAAGGTGATTATTGAGTTGAGATTCTGAGATGCTAAATTTTTCGAATTGTTCAGCTAACCTCCCCCACTATCTCACCCACATCAAGCTAGGAGGGGTTCATCGTCCACTAGATTCCTCAAAAAGTCGTTATAATCGTTGTTGAAAGAAGACTGAGGACCAGAACTTATAGAAGACTTTTTGTAAGGCACTTCTTCTGTTTCTCTGTACATTTTCCACTATCTTTGAGCCACACATGCTTCGAATCCAAGTTCTCTTGCGAATTGGGTAGCTAGACCTCTTTCTTGAGCACTTTCAACCATTCTATCACTAAAGTCATCTCGTTGTCCATCACTGTACTTTCTGTATTCTTTGCCGGCTTAATTAGCATTACTTTAGCTATCTTTTTTACAGCAATCTTCTCAAGCGGTTTTAATTTTCTCCAAGTGCTTTGATCAGTTAGTCTTTCAAGAACCACATTAGGATTGGGTTATCTCAGTTAGAACATCTTCCATTGGATCATAAACTTTCGTACTCTTCTCGTCATACAGGCTATCGCGCCCATCTTCGTAATAAAATAAAAAAAAAAAAACTCTCCATGACTCAAACCAAAAAAAAAAAAAAAAAAAGTATTAAACAAAAAGAAGAACTCAGGAAGAGGAAAACACTACGACAATTTAAGCTAATCTAATGTGACAATACGCTTTTCCTAAAACGACAGACTGAAATTTTTTTGCGACAATTATTTCTCAACTGCCGACACATATTTGTTAATTGGCGACAATATCCATCGTATTGGCTGTATTTTTATTTGTCTTGCTAATATATAATAAAGTACATCCAGCATTTTAAAACTTTTATACCAAGAATATTAAACAAAATTGATGGCTTCGAAGATTCTCAACATAAAGAATTTTGTTTTTCTTTATTTAAATAATTGAAACAGACTGTAGGAATGATTTTTTTTTTTTTAATATCTAACGATATACAGCTAAAATTAAAATGAAACTTTTACTAATTAATCGCTAGTATAATACGAAAAGAAAACTGATTTATTTTATGATCATTACACAAATACTTATCAAAACTATGTCTGACATTTTATTGCTGTCTACATAGTCAATATAGTAACTACCAAGAAATTAAGAGTATCTTATTTTCACAATAGAGCCAGTTTATAAGACACGTTATATTCGACAAAGGAAGACCATATTATGTGAATAAATATTATATATAGCGAATCCCTTTCTATGTATAATGTACAGTCTACATGGTGTATATATAAAATTAGATTTTGCATCAATAAGAAGGTTTTCTTTTTTTATACAACAGAAACTAATGATGTAATATTTTCAGTGGTGGCAAACGTTATATCATGTCTACATATTGGACACTAAGAAAGAAGAAAAAGAGTACAATCATCTTAAATATACTAAAAGTCTGAAACTAATTTTATATTTTATGTATTTACATCTTTCTTCTGCTTCGTTAACCAGATATCAATGCAGAATATATGATAATGATGATTACAGGGCAATATTCGCAATTCATCACCGTCTACATAATCTTCTAAACAAATTACGCATGTTTCGGTTTCATTCTCTTTCAACTTATCGTAACAAAATGTTTTCTTGGTTAAACTTGAAACCATATTTACAGAAGCTACTTCTTTACGTTTACGATGCCATTCACAAATATAATCATTAATACAATATAGTAATAATACACATATTGGACCTAAAAGGACTAATAGTAAAGGGAGAAGTATCGATACACCAACTTCAAAACTGCAAAATACATATATACATATAAAATTCAGTTTTCTGTATTTATATATCTGAATTATATATGTTCCTTACTCTTGATCTAAACTATCAAGCTTCATAAATACATTTACAGACAATCCTTCTATTTCGATCCAATGCAATACTTCTGAATATTCAGTGCTAGCTAAAAAAATAGTTGGTATTTTGACATCTAACACGCTATCCACTGAATAATAATAATAGTTATTATTCTCTATATTGTTTAATATATATGTATATATATATATCACATTTTATGTATACCTTGAGTAGACAAATGTCTTATTTTGGTATCACTACTACCTATGACGATAGCCATTGCGCCAGAAGCTTGCATATTTTTAATTTTTGTAAGAAAAGAGCATCTTCCTTCTTTTACCAAAGCAATCCAATCTGTATAAGGTGCTTTTACCATTTTACAGCCTGTTGGATCAGAGATGGGCTCTGCAAGGTTACCACTTGTACCATTTACTGAATTTTTATAAATAAATGCTGCCGGATAGTCAAAGTAAGAAGTATTATTTGTTACCTAAATAACATGTAAATATATTTATAAATTGAGAGCTTTATAACAATAAGTATTTATTACAAAAACACGTAAAGAGGCTTGGGCTTGAAAAACAAAAAAACTCCCTAAAAGTAAAGGATAGAAAAAATTGATTTTCATTTCAAATAATTGGGCTTTTTATTATTCAAAATGTAAATTAGGAAATTGAAAAAAAAAAAAAAAAAAAAAAAAAAAAAAAAAAAAAAAACGAAAATAACGCATTGAATTTATATCAACTGTTTTTTTTTTCCTGCTTTTGATATCAACTGTTTTTTTTTTCTTTTTTTTTTTTTTTTTTTTTTTTTTTTTTTTAAAAAAAAAACTCTTTGTTTTGTTTCACTATTGTTCTTAGATGTTAAGAAAAAAAAGCAGCAAAAATTCGGCAAGTCATAATTTAGAATTAGAAAAAGAAAATGCACCTTCTTGTTACAGTAACATTAATGTTAATACACCATCTGAAGTTATTGTGACAACAACAATTAAAAAAGATTATGATCCCACTACGGGAAATAAACTAATTAATCAGTATATGATTTTGAAAGAAATTGGAAGAGGTGTTCATGGCAAAGTAAAATTAGCTCAAAACATGGAGACAGGTGAACTCGTTGTAAGATGAATATAATGTTAATAAAACTTATTGTGTTGAAACTTAGTTTACTGTCTAGGCAATCAAAATTGTAGATAAAAAGAATAGACGACGACAAATGGGATACAGTTTACTTCGAGGAAGTCAGCAAGCACAAGGCTTAGAGCCTGCTTCAAAGGAGAGTGAACAAAAATTGAGAAGAGAAATTGCAATATTAAAAAAATGTCGTCATCCAAATGTAGTGCAGTTATTTGAAGTTATTGATGTACCAGAAAGTCGAAAGATATATATGGCCTTGGAATATACTGAAAATGGCGAAATTGGATGGAGAGACGAATACGACCATCCTATTTTATCAATTAATGAGGCTAGAAGAATATTTAGAGACATTGTTAGTGGACTTGATTATCGTAAAGTAAACTATTTTGTGTACAAATCGTACATAATTCAGTAAGTTAATATTTCTATTATAGTTCATTACCAAGGCATTATACACAGAGATATCAAGCCTGCTAATCTTTTATTATCACAAAATGGAGTTGCAAAAATATCAGATTTTGGTGTATCTTATTACAATGAGTTATTAGCAGCTAATAATACTGTGCAGCCAACAGAGGAATTACTAAATAAAATAGATAGAGAATTAGCAGAGACTGCAGGAACTCCAGCTTTTTTTGCTCCTGAATTATGTTGTGCTGGTGACCTTTTTTCATCTCATAAAAGACCACGCATTTCAAAGGCAATTGATGTATGGTCTCTTGGAGTTACTCTTTACTGTTTCATTTTTGGTCAATGTCCATTTATAGCTGCCACAGAATTTGAATTGTTTGATACAATACCTACTCAGCCTCTTACATTTCCTTCTATTGAGCAAGTTGGATTTAAAATTGAGGATAACTTGGAAAACCTACTAAAAGGATTGTTAACTAAGAATCCTGATGAACGTATTACACTAGAACAAGTAAAGGTAATTATTAAATAAAGGGGAAAAAAAAGCATATTTTCATGATATATACAAATATATATATATATGTGTTTTAGCATCATGCATGGGTTACTGAAGATTTAGTTGATCCTCAAGAATGGATATCAATGTCAGATCCAAAGCGTTATATCAGCATATCAGTAGTTGTTAGAAACTCGTTAGGAAGAGAAAAAGAATCACAACAACAAGAGAATATAACAATAATGGAACGTTTACGTCAGTCTATAAAAAAGCTATCATTTTCATTTAGTGGTGGTAATAATCGACGTAGACCATCAAAACAATTATCGACTACAACTTCTCGACCTTTATCTCATCAACCTACACCTACCATAAATACTGGAGCAGTTTATAATAATAACTATCGTCATTCTTCTAACATTAATTATCATTTACCACAACCTATCATGAATAAGCAGCCTTCTTCTCTTCCAACAACATCACTATTATCACCCACTACAAGCTCTGCTACACCTACTGTTTCATTATCTACAGGACATACTTTAATATTCAATTCAGAATTACCAAATAATAGTAGTCATATATCCTCTCCCTCAATACACCCATTACGACCTATATCCTCATCATGCATATCAGATGATTCTTCATCTATTATTGAAGAAAACAATGAATATTACGATACGGATGATAGTCCTCAAAGTATTTCAATGTCACCTAGCCAAAGACCTTCTATGAGTAGGCAAATTTCATCTGCTTCTTCATCATCTGGATTAGGCTTAACATTTGGTAAATACAGAAGTGGAATGACACCAATGGAGATTATGCAGCCGAGCAATAAATAATAATAAATGCATTCTATTGATACCTTTTTCTATCATGTTTATCTATTTATATACACATATATTTTTTTTGCCTTTATATTCATTATAAATCTGCAAGTGATAGTAATAGACTACATTTAAAATATATAATAAAAAGAAAGACGAATCATATTCGAGGTTATAGTAATAATATATTCAATTATGACTGTAGACGTTTGTTATAGATATTATTTTGCTGGACTTTTTTTTTTAAGCAAGTATCTGAAGTTTAATTTGTTAATTTATAACTTTTCTTTTTTTTTTTTCACAAGTACGAGTTCCACTAATGGCCAACCATCAACAAAATAGTACAAGTATTAATGCCACAGCAGATGTTAATTCAGATTCGAATTCGAACAGGTTGGTCAGTGAAACATGTATGGATTTATTTTTGATAGAGATGGTGGATACAATCTGTAGAACTACAACAGCTGAAACGGATAGCGATAGTGACGCGATTTTCTATAAACTCGAAACATTAGGTTACTCTGTTGGTCAAAGGCTTGTTGAACGATTTACTAAAGATAGACCCCGCTTTGTGGATACACTAGACGTAGTCAAATTCATTTGTAAAGATCTTTGGACCATCATGTTTAAAAAGCAAATTGACAATTTAAAAACAAACCACAGGGTAACTACATTATATAATAAAATCGTAACTTAACAAATTGTTAAACATAACTAGGGTGTATATGTTTTACAAGATAATGGATTTCGATGGTTTATGCGTATGTCAACTGATGTAGGAGGATCAGATTCAGCTAAAAAAGCAATGCCTGTAAAATAATTAATTTTTTTTTTTTGTTGGAAATTTACATTACTAACATCATGGAATAGTATGTATGGTTTCCTTGTGGTATTATTCGTGGAGCACTAGCTAGTTTGGGTGTGCCTACTGTGGTTGCCGCCGAGACATCAAATCTTCCCCAATGTAAGTCAAAGTAACCTTAAACTTTAGTTCACATCCTTATTATTAAAAAAAAATAGGTACTTTTCAAATCAAAATTGTTAAGCAATAGTAATCGATTATGATGCACATATTATCATTTTTTTTTATTTGAATGATCATATATACCTTTCTTATTTGCTCAATGAATAAATAGGATAAAATCCCGTTGTACAATGCAAAAAAAAAGATGATGTATAGAAAAGCCGGCTTTCATATAGATTTATTATTAATAAAGTATATATAATTCAATTTCAGGGACATTTTTTTTTTTTTTTTTTTTTGTATTCTATGCAAGCCATAGAATAAGTATGTATGGGATATACAAAAGGGTACTTTTTTTTTTCTTTAAACATGATTACTAGTTATAAAATTGAACGCATTCAACTTTGTTTCCAATTTAGGAGAGATGTTATATGTTGTTCCATTATTTTTCTTTTTTAACGAGGCTGATAATATATTGGATGAAGTAGAAGTTTGTCTCCAAAAAGAGGGTGTCATTGATTTATTGTTAAAAGGTGTAGTAGACACACTAGCTGTCGCTTTAGGTTCAGCATCGTTATTATTTGTTGTTGTAATAAAATTGACATGAGATGAAGATGTATGTTGTCTCATACGGAAAGTAGGTAATTTGATTGATTTACTACTATTTATAGTAGATATATTAGTTGCTGGATAAGGTGAAGTCTCGATAGATAATGATCTTTCAGACCGTGTTCGATGATGTTTGTTCTGTAGTGAAGAGCTTTGGGGTGTAATGTCATGAGATCGGGTATTTTCTGTAGAAGACAAACTACTAGTCATGTTTGTTGGTATCGTATTATGCTGTCGATGAATTGCATCATATTTTTGTAAGAGTCGTGAATTTGTTTGATGCTGCTGCTGCTGCTGTTGTTGTTGTTGTTGAGAAAGGAAGAGTTTCAAAGAAGAAGAGTTGGAAGCAAGAGGAGTAGTAGGTGGTGAAAAAGGACGTTCAACAACAAAGGATTCCTGCTGCTGCCTTTGTTGTTGTTGTTGCTCTTCTAAAAGTTGACGTTTTTTTAGCTCCATTTGTTTTTGTCTTTGCATCATATTTCTCGCATTAATCATAACTCGTAAAGCACGAATTTGTAGTGAAACTGCATTCGAAAGTGATGCTGATTCATAAATCATAGTAGCAGTTTGAATATTCAGCATCTGATGTAAAGCATGAGTAGCTAATGCTTTAAGTCGAGGTATTTCAAAGAGATCGGCAATAAACAGTAATCGAGCCAGGATCTGTGGCTGATGCTGTTGGGCAGTAACGAGATGATCTGTATAGATAAACTGAAGAAACGCAATTAATACTACATACGTATCTGGGAAATGAAGTTCACGTTTATCAAAGTCTAAACTATGCATCATATCACCATTAGCAGAAGAAGGCTCAAGTATGGTTTCGATTAAAGGGGCAATAGACGGCCAGCGTTGAGCAAGTACAGTTGAATTGACGGCTATATATTGCTGGTCAGTAGATAGGATTTTGAGGTCAGAGAGGATTGGATCCTTAAGGAGTGCAAGCCCTAAGCCCTGGCCAAACGAACTATAAGTTGAACGAGGAGGCTTATAGACACCAAATATTTCAATATCTACGCAAGCAATATATTCAAAGCAATGAACACGATCTCTATAATCATCCCTCATGGATCGATCTGGATGACCAAATACAATGAACTGATTATTATTATTATTATCATTGAGTAATCCTCTTAACCATGATCCATTGGAGAACGCCGTTCCTACTTCAATCTTAGTCCAGATAGAGGTAGTCGTATCTAACGCCCAAATTTGAAATTGCTGACTCGTAGGAGAAAAATGTGGACCTGCCAAAATAAGCTGCTGACCACACATAAAGGCAGAGGGGAACTTGAAGGAAGATGGTGAAGTATTACCAAAACTAATATCTTCAGACTGATCTTCCATTTCAACACTCAAATCTGGGTCATAGCTTAGTTGCCACATATGAAATTTACGATCAACAGATTCTATCTCATTCGTATGATTATGCTTATTTAAATTAGAATAAACAAGAATATGGCTATAGATGACATCTTTAAGGACTTCTTGAGTAGAGTCTTCATATCCGTTAGAAAGTAGATCCATGGTTGGTGCAAATGGCGGAGTGAGTTCGATAGGTGTAACGACAACTGCAGCTGAGCGGTAGACACCATATTGTTGATGTTGAGAAGGGAAAGATGAATACCATGATTTCTTTCTGATGTTATATACATTAATGTCTTTTATATATTCGTTATCTATATCTTGACCTCCCATGATTACTAGAGTATCTTTTATACATGAGGAAATATGGGCGTACCGAGGAGCGGGTAACAGTGAATTGCTCTCGTTCGTAAACCCTGGATAATAGACCCAAGCCATTGTTTTAAGATTTAACGAGATCAAATCATTTAAGGTGGTCATTTTATATCTATCGTTTTCATCTTTAATCGTACTCATACCACCAAAGATAAAAATTTGATTATGAATAGCGCTATAATTGGCAGAATGGAAATATCGCGGTAAAGGTTGTGTATTCTCTGGTTGAATAACTTTCCAAATCCTAGTTCGTAATGATAAAACATAGACTAAATTTGAAATCTGTCGAGTAGTCTGAAGTCTACCACCAAATAAATAAATATGTTGATTAGCCAGGGTAGTTGACGCTCCAATTAAGGCTGGAGGCACATTGCCTGTTGTTTTATGAAATTCTGTGATAAGTTCTGCTATAGAATGTGTAGCCGATGAATTAGTAGCCACTACCATTGAGTTTTTGTTTTCTTTAAAAAAAAAAAGAAAAAAAATATTATTTAGTTGCTTATATTATTGAGAGTTGAAAAGAAAGAAGGTGAAAAGGAAATGTTCTCCTCCTCTCCCCCCTCCTATAAAAAAAAAGATAGCTAAATCATTTTAAGTGGAAATGCCCTAATAAGTGTAACAATTATCATTTTATGGTGATTTTAATTAAGTGTAACGTCTTTCAAGGGTCAACGTGTCTTATTTAAATATCCGTCCTTTTGTGTATTAATATAATAATCATTAATACTATTCGACGTGATATTTTTCGATACAGGCATGTATACTGAATAACGGGGAAATTATTACCATTTAAGCATATTTGAGGAAGGTCTTTTTTTTTTTTTTCAAGAAAAAAAAAAGGGACGATTTTTCGTATGATAAACTTTAACTTACTATGTTAGCATTTGCATGCATATTAAGTTTTAATAAAAAGTAAACTGTGAAAGGGGAGTACAGTTGTATCATATATAATAAGGAAAACTGATAAACTATATATGAAGCTCATCTTTACAATAAAATCCAATTTTAGTAATACTTACTGAAAATAGTATTGTACATAATAAACTCTATTGAATATTTATTTAAAATAAACAAAAGGATTTTCTTGTCTACAGTATAATAATAATAATAATCCTAAGCAGCGTATTATGTAGGCCTTTTTATTTTATTTTATTTTTTTCTCCTCAGTAAAAATTATGTGACTGAGTTTATAATCATTCTACACTTACTACGAAGGAAAAAAATAAAAAAATAAATGTCGTTTTTTTTTTATTATAATTTAATCTTTTCAATTATTTACATTACTTGACATGAGTTCAACTGTAGGCCGTAATAGTGTAAGATTTAGCTTATGAAAATATTTAATTAGAATTAGAACATTAAAATGGGGGAGCTTTTTTTTTTTTTCTACTAACATTTCTTTTTTTTTAATTAATGCATGCGATTAGATTCGTTTACCACCAGAAGTAAATAGAGTCTTATTTGTCAGGTAAAAGCAAACTTAAAGACAATATCTTATTAGTACATAAAATTAAAATTTAGAATACTATAAATTAGAAATTTACCGTTTAAAATTACAGCAGAAGAAATGTATGAAGTATTTGGTAAATATGGCCCCATTAGACAAATTAGAGTGTAAGTAGAACATCCTTGATATAGATCTAAATAATAATAAAACTAAACTAAAAATATAAAATGATTTATTTTAAACTTAGTGGCAATGCACCCGATACTCGTGGCACAGCATTTGTTGTATATGAAGACATTTTTGATGCTAAGAATGCTTGTGAACATTTGCAAGGCTTTAACATTCTTGGTCGTTATTTGATTGTGCTTTATTATCAACAAAATAAGATTACTAAAAAGATGAATTTACAAAAGAAGGAAGAAGAAATCAGAGAAATGAAAGCGTAAGTTTTAAGTTCTGAGTACATGTCATTGAATTAACTGATTACTTTTTTTGTTTTCTTTGATAGTCGATATGGTGTTGATTAAGAAGTCTTGCTTTATAGTTATAATATACATATATATATATATACAATTTACATTTATATATCAATCGCATAATCAACACGTTGAACTATGAATTATTTTATATGGAGAATACTATATTGTTATTTTAACACTTTGTATATAAAAGAGAGATGGTATTTTTATTTTTTTTTTAAATTAAAAACGGGCCGTTTTTAAATGTAACGAATAAAAAAATCTGTTATGTCTAATAATGTGAATGAATAATAATGCCTAGTGATATTAAATGTGCATATCTTCATATTTGTCTCTATTATGCTTTTCTTTACGTTTTCTATAGTCTTATTAGTAACAATCCTTTTCACTTTTGTTACAGGCTCTTCTATTACTCATACAATACAGAAGCCTACAACAAAAGCATATCTTCGACATAGCTTTAATAGTTCTACAAAGCATTTAATTAATAAGATTATAAAAATAAAACAAACAGGATATTTTAATAGCAGTGGTATATATATATGTATATAAGCCTGTGTAGTAAAGTAATATATATATACATATTGTTAGGATACTACGCAATTGTTCAAGTGGGTAATCCTGCCCAATCATTCCGAGTCACGTTTGATACAGGAAGTTCTGATTTTTGGATTATATCTCATCATTGCCAAACAAGGGAATATTGTGCTAATCACCATCAGTTTCGACCAGAGGAGTCAAAGTCCTATAGAGAATATTATAATCCTAAGATTGGCTCGTCTTTGTCCATTAAATATGGATCTGGAGAAGTTCAGGCAAAAGTTGGACGTGACACGATCCAAGTCAAAGGGACAACATTCGATGTGATACTTGAAGATCAATTGATTGCTGATGCATATCATCTATCACCTGAATTCAAGGATTTGCCCATTGATGGTATCCTAGGCTTAGGTCTACCAGCACTTAGTCGTTTGAAACCCTATAAAAGGACACTCGTGGAGAGTATGGTAGAGAAAGGGTTGATTGATAAGGCAATCTTTGGAATATATATTGAGGATATAAATGGGGAAATTCATTTTGGAGACACAGATTCTGACTATTACACTGAGCCTATATTGTATGCTCCTGTTCTGAGTGATACATATTGGCTCACAGAAATGAATCAAGCCTCGTTTGGGAATCATTCTATAGGGCCTCGTAAGATTATTATAGACTCAGGTTAGCTTCATAATAATTATATGCATGTGTATATGATACGGTACAGTTAATTAATATGATTGATATATGTATATGCAAAACAAAACAAAAAAAGGTACATCCCTTTTAATAACTACAATAAAAGATGCTCAACAAATACATAGTAAAATCAAAGGTTCGAAAAGAAATGAAGATGGAACTTATCAAATCCCTTGTGTTTTAAAAAACAAATTACCAGATCTTGTGTTGACAATAAATGATCATATCATATTAACACTATCTTCTAAAGATTACGTGTTGGTACCTTTGTCCAATAATAAAACTATGTGTATATCAGGGATACAAGGTAAAGACACCCATAAACTAGATCATTGGGTACTAGGAAATGTATTTATGAAGGCTTATTATACGGTAATCATAAAATCATTTTGATATACGACTATTATTTATCATTCTAATTTTAATATATTTGTTCTCCTAAATTAAGGTATTTGATTTGGACCGTAAAAGACTTGGATTTGCTAAATCAACACAACAAGGTTCAAAGTTTAAGTAATAAAGCACTATGGATATAATAAATACATACATACATTTATGTATGCACACAGAATAAAAAAAAAAAAATAAAGTTTCATTTTATTATCTGCTGCTGCAACTTACCACTGCTTCGAGAATTTGATTCCCCGACCATTGATGATTGGATAAAAAAGATGAAATGAGTTAGAGGATACCAGAAGACTGTAAGATATGTTAAATTATTTAGGACAATAGGCAATATACTCCCCCTTTCTTAACCGAACGTTGTCACTATATTAGGTATTTACTTTTTTTTTCTGAAATAAAAAGAGAATTAAAAGCAAAAGGATCCATCACCATACAAAGATTGATATAAACGATAAAAAGAAAACGAATTAAAGAAATGGATGGATGGATGGATAAATATAGATAAATTGAACTAACTATTTTTTTTTTTTTTTTCATTTTAATTCAACTTCAAATTAACTTCATTAATTTTGGCAATTTAATTATCATTCAAACGAACTCAACAGAATGGCTCAAAGACTTACTTATCGTCGTCGTTGTTCTTACAACACTCGTTCCAACCGTGTCAGAGCCGTAAAGACTCCTGGTAAATGTTGATTTCACATTCTTGTTTCACACTGAAGAAGAAACATTTAAATTCAATTTTCTTACACTTGTCCAATATATTTTCTTTTTTAGGCGGAAAGCTCGTTTTCCAATATCAAAAGAAGCCTGTCAAGGCTCCTCGTTGTGGTGATTGCGGTGAAACCCTCGCTGGTGTAAGTTTATTAAAACAAAAAAAAAGAGAGAGAAAAAGAGAGAAAAAGAAAGAAAAAAGGAGTAATTGAAAAGATTATTAATTTAAATACCATGAATTATTAGATCAAGGCCCTCCGCCCTCGTGAATTCGCCACTGTCTCCAAGACTCAAAAGCATGTTAGCCGTGCCTATGGTGGTTCTCGCTGTGGTCAATGTGTTAGAAACCGCATTGTTCGTGCTTTCTTGATTGAAGAACAAAAGATTGTCAAGAGAGTTCTCAAGGCCCAAAAATAAATAATCTAATATAGTTGATTTTCATTATAATTAAAATGCATTGAATTATTTCGACAGACTTTATTCGATTCAAAACTGACATGTTTTCTTGTATGGATGTTGTTAATTTTCATGTCAAATTCAAAAAAAAAAGAGGATATGAAGGGCTGATTTATGAAAATTATTCATGTGTTTGTGTTTGAGTAGCTATTTTAATAATCTTTATTCATTCGGACTATATATAAATGCTGCATTTGTATAAATTGCATCTTTTTTTTTTTCCTCTATAATAAGACTTTAAGTTTATTTTATTGATACTACAATGGTTATCCTTTTGAGTTTGCAAGTTTTTGTTTTTTTTTTTTGAAGATGCTTAATAAATCTTGAGATATTCCTTCCCTCCTTTTTAAAAAAAAAAGTAAAGAATATTGAGCATAGCTTATTAGGTCTTTTTCTCTAATTATTTTAAATACTTTAGTTACTCTATCTTGTACTATTGCACTCTTTGCAAGTTTATCGCTACGAAAAAGCAGTCTTTATTTTGGATCAGCGTTCTTTGATCGACTTTTAAAAAGAGGAAAATAAGGTGGTAAAAAAAAAAAAAATCGTACTTGTAACCTCTTTGATAAATGTATTCTTTCAACAAATCATAACGATGTAATAGTCTTGCATATCCCAGTATTCCTTTCGGGAAGTCATCCCGCTAAAGCAGCTCTCCGCTTACATCCTGTAGGCCATCGCTTTTTTTTTTTTTTTCTCACGCTTCATTATTTGTAAATCATCATTGCAGTAAGAAAATTATATAAATATAAGCGAACAAAATGCGGTTTTTTTTTTGTTTTTTATAGCATATACATATATACTCCTTCTTCTTTTTTTTTTAATAAATAAATAAAATAAAATAAATAAAAATGTCTGTTTCCGATGATGCTATTCTTGAATTCATGTTTAATCCTGGTATAAAGCGTCTTTTCTTTTTTTTTTTTTATCGTTTCCTGTAGTAAGAAAATTAAATTGTATTTTTTTTTTTCATGTTAGAAAGTCAAGGTTTACCACTTGATATTATCACCAATACTGTAAACACATCACCAAGTATGGGAATTATACATTACCATGCATATATGAAGCTATATAATTAACCATAAAAAAAAAGAATATAGTATATCTCCAGAAGTAGAAGAGAAACTAAAAGCAATGGAAAAGGAGGCCGTAGAGTTGATAGAAGCAAATCAAGAGAATATGAACAAGTCGTTAAAGATTTTAAATGAATGTATCAAAATGGATAATAAATATGCTTCAGCGTACAATAATAGGTAATTTATAAAGAAAAGGAAAAACGCTTAAAAGGAGAAGAAAGTATTGAAGCCTTTTTCTATGTGTCTCTATTTCTTTCAGAGCACAAATTTATAGATTAAAAAATGAACTTGATAAAGCCTTGGAGGATTTAAATCTCGTTATCGATGATTTAGGAGAAGGTCAACCCAAGATTTTAAGACAGGCTTATACTCAACGTGCAATCATGAAACGTCAACAAGGAGATATGATAGGCTCTAGAAAGGATTTTGAAATGGGAGCTAAATTGGGTAACCCTATTGCCCGTAATATTACAGTCAATGATAATCCTTACGCAAAAATGTGTAATCAAGTTATGTTGGAAGTAATGAGTCGTGAAAGAACAAAAGGTGTTAATAAAGATAATAATGATAAAGAATAATCCTGTATCATACATATTAAAACATACAACAAACAAGCTAAATCAAATTTTTATTATTATTATTATTTTTTTTTTTAAAAAAAATTATGGGTTTAAATAGGCCCTCAGTTCCTCAAGCTCAGCTTGAAGTTTAAGACGCTCAATGCGTTCATCTTCTAATCTTTTTTCAAATTCTTTACGGATTTTTTCAGTTTCTACTTTAATAATTTGTCGAATCTTGGCATCCATTGGATCCATATCAGTCACTGTGGGTACAGCAGGTGGTGCAATTGAAGGATGAGGTGGTCTCTTTCTTTCATTTATATTTGCATTAATAGAAATGTCTGGAACAGGAGGCATTGATCTTTTAGGTGGAAGAGGAAGGGTAGTCTCGTTATTCAGACTACTCTTTCTGCTATCCTCTAAACTATCATTTATCGAAACAGGTCGACTCGATGGTGATTGAGAAGGAGAAGCTATATTATTATCATGGCTATTGCTATTAATGGATTTATTAGCAAAATTAATTTTAGGAGGTTTAGCCATTGAATGTGTTGGAAGATGAGATGCAGTAGGTGAAGTGACAGATTCGAGATTTCTACTTCGAGAGGAGCGACTAGGAGGGGATACTATAGTTTCATTAGAGTTGCTTGTCGAGATAGGATTAGGAAGAATTCTAGTAGGACGATCATATATAGGTGATAATGGTGGTAAATCAGGAGATACAAGAGGAATAGAGGGGACATGCCGATGATTTATATCAACAGTTGGAGGAGAAATAATCGAACTAGTACGGCGTACAGTAGATGGAACAGTAGGTGGCATAGTCGTGGGTCGAGGAGGAGGTAAAGTAACAGGACGAGGAGGAGGAGGAGATGCTATTGTAGTTGAATGAGAAGAACTGCTATTTTGATTATCACGATTTGTCAATAAAGAAGTAGGGCGAGTTGTAATTGGTACAGGAGGAGGACGTCCCATTCCTTTACTATTGTCCATAGTATTGATAGAGGCAGTTGTTGATGTTTCTGACTTTACAGTAGCAGGTCTTGCACGTACTGGTCTTTGTGGTGGCTTCTCATCATCTAGAATTTGAACAAAATTTGAAGGGAAAATACCTGTAATTCCACTTTCATTTACACCTTTCCACCAACCATTATCTTCTAATTTATCAATAATTGTAATATATTCACCTCTCATAAGCTTAAGTTCATCTAAATATCATAAATAAATAAATAAGAATTTTTGTTTTATTTATTTTTATTTTATACCTTCATGCTCAGGCTTATAATCATGAATAGCCATTGCTTTTAGCGTCAAATTATCTATAATTAGGATAAGTAAAATAAAAAAAAATCAATAATAATAAAAAAAAAGGGGGATGAGTTACTTTTGTTAACAGCATTTGTATTATTTGAAGACTGATCATTCACTTTAGCTGCAAGTGAAGAATGAGGCTTCGTTGGAATAGATGGCGCCTATAAGTATGTTAGATAAATAATTCAAATAAATAAATAGAATTATTTACCTTATCATGCTGATTAACAGAATTACTTGAGGTAGGTCTTTCATTTAAAGAGCCTCTATTACTACTTGTTGAATGTCTTTTTAAAGGAAGTCCACCAGCTAAAATACTCCCTATACCACCTTGTTTTACTCCATATGCAGCTAATTTAAATCCATCTTTTTATATAAATGCGTATGTGTGTTTATTATTAGTAGAATTAACTTTAAATAGATATTCAAATATAGGTTACTTACGCTTAGTTTTATTTTCTTCATCACCTGGATGGCTATTTTCTTCTACAAATTCCACGTGCTACAAAAAAAAAAAAAATAGATACATATCAATGAGCTTAGATGTGAAAATACCATGAATAATATACATACATTGGCTGGAAAAATACCAATCTTTCCGTTCAAGTTCCCTTTCCACCAACCTTCTGCAATGTTCTGGTCTAATACAGTAATGACTCTATCCCTTTCTAAAGATAGTTCATCTTGTGCTTGTGCAGTATAATCTCGAGTAACAACAGCCAATTTCATGCCTTTGTCTAGGTTTGAAATATGTTAACCGATTAAATAGTTCATTTGTCTATATTTATTTATTTTATTTTTTTTACCTTCAGTAGGTATTTTTTCAATAAACTAACATAAAATCCAACAAAAAAATAAATAAATAAGAAACCACTAAAAAAAAACATATGCATAATAAAGATTAAGAAGAAGAAGAAGAAAAAAAAACTTACGTTGCTTGGTACTAAACCTCTTTCTTTACTACCGAATCGTTCTGCTAACCACCAGTCAGGACTATCCTTATTTGTAATACGAATTGTTTCGCCTACTTTAAGGGATAATTCATCGTCTTTATCTGTATCATAGTCGAACAATACTTTATATAAAGCTATATATTTACATGCAAATATATAAATTATAAGTAAATGTGTGTATAAATTGTATGTTTATGCAAGTTGAATTTACATGTCATTTAATGTCAAATAGGATTGAATTAAAAGAAAAAGAGAAAATAAAATAAAATAAAAATATGTTGATATTAAAGCGAAAGTTTTTTCTTTTTTTTATTTGCAGAAAAAAAAGTATTTTTCGGGATAAAAAAAACCGAATCACTTTATTATTGACATGATTTCTTCTATGATTAAAAGCAGTAATAGAATTGACCTTTACAAAAAATATTTTTACATGTATTCCACAAAGACTGCATGAAGAAATAAGTTAATAATTTACACTTGCACTTATTGTTCTTTCCTTATATTCAAAGTATTCTATACAATCAGGCTTATGGGTTTTGTGGGTTTAGAAAAAAAAAAATAATAATTGTTAATTGGCGGAAAGTAATTGTCAGTTACTTGATTATTTAGACACTCAAATATATACTATTTTTTTTTCTTCTTCTTCCCTTCTACATCTTCCCTCTAAAGAAGATAATATCTGTCAAAACGTTTTTATAATTAATTTGATTCGCTAACTTATAAAAAGTAGATAAAATGATCATATGTTCGTATTAGAGTGTCTCGGTCAAATTCTAATAGAAATTCTTTCGTCAATAAATAAAATTCATTAGTGGTCGGTTTGCATCGAATTAATTGTCGGTTAAATTCAGAAGTAAGTGTTGATTTAAGTCAGAGTAATTTGTCGTAAAAAATGTAGTGTTTATTTCGTCAAAATGGGATTCTATTAGAGCAATTTACTACTTGACGTCTGAAATAACTAGCAAATCCATGAAGATCACTAATGAGAATGTCAGCAGCAATTCTGGGTAATAAATTCTCTTCAGCCATTATTCAATGATATTTTCATCTCCCGCCCCTCCCCTCCTTCACTATAGTCTGTCACTGTTTTAAGTCTTATCTACCATTTTGTTCATGCATAATATTTCGTTTGGCGTACCTCTTTTTTGTTTATTTTGAAACACTTTAAACTTTCACGTGTTGTTGATTAATTTATTAACTTTTTATAATGACGATAGGGAGTTTACCATGACACCTTTTTCACTCTTTTATTTCTTGTTACATATCACCATGAAGCTGCGTCAAATAGAATAAATTTGCAAAAAAAAAAAAAAAAAAAAAAAAAAAAAACATACTGCTTGTTTATGAAAATAGTACTTGCTTAGAGCTATCAAGAACAAGAACATGGCTTTAGTTAAGAAAGCTGAGGAAAAAAGTAGGCCAGTAAAAAATTAATATATTTCATGGAGAATGACTTGTTTTAATCTTAATTCGACTATACCCAAGAAACACAATAAAAAATAAACTGATCTTTTCTTGTTGTTGTTTGTTCCCTTTTTCTTACTATGTATTTATTTGACAGATACGGTAGTGATGATAAGTGTATAATAGAAAACGTATATATGTTGTGGCTATATGAGAATATAGTATAGCTTCTTTGGTATTATTATAGTCTCAATTGAGAGTTAATCAATATCTCCCTTATAATAGAAGTAATTGAGGAATCAACTTCCTCTTCGTTTTCCAAAAATTCTCTCCTTATTTTAGGACTGATAAGCAACGTTTTTTCAGGTTTAACAGTTCATCCAAAATGAGGCCATATTTTAACTATTGAGTTGGTATTTCTACGGTCGAAGCTTAAGATATTTTCATGTCATTGTCTAATGAAAGATATGTTTGTTGATACTAACACGTTATCATTGAGGACTGGTGTCAACAGGAGGCATAACTTTAAAGTCTTTTTTCTAAATGAGCTTTAACTTACAAAACAAATTCATTTAATCAAACGTGTTATGATGAGTAATGTAGTCTAAAGAAGAGTTCCAAAAAAACAAAAAAAAGATAAGTTTTACCCAGATAAAACAGTTATTTATAAAGTAAGATGATTATTAAAACTAATTTACATTTTAAAATCCTCCTAGTTCCCAAAGTAACCCTGGTTATTACTTTTGATTAGCAAAGCTAACCATGAGAAGGTAGATGTTTATCTATCCCCTAAAAATAAATCCTCCCCTACAGAACCTTATCAACAAAATGATGTTGGGTGGTGATCATCACCTCACGTAAGTAAAACAACTATGGCAAGCCATTCTACCCATGATGCTGGGGCTTGTACTGTCCTCACTAACATAGGCTCTAAAGCTCACTTTTGCAAGGTAACTTCCAGATCATGTTATCAAGCTCACACTATAGTCTCTATTCTAAGACGAGCGTTACTCCGTAAAAAGAACACATTTGTAAAGACCTCTTTTATAGTAAGAAAAGGAGGAAAAAAAAAGGAAGGGGTTTTTCCCTTTTTATTTTACAAAAAATGGCTTATCACTGTCTAGTAGTTTTCATTTTTTTGCTAATGGAGTATTCAGTCTCACTCATTTATTTTGTTTATAATGTGATAATAGCTTTAATTCTGATACAGCAGTTTACAAAAAAAAAAGGAGATGCTTTAGAAAAGAATTTGAATCATATACAGAGAAATAAAATACTGCATAGATAAAGAATAACTACTTGTGTAAACTGATTCCAATTGAGCAATATTATGCTATAATAAATAAGAAAGATGAAAAAGTTATCGATGGATGATTGAAGAAATTATATCTTCTAGGATTGCTGATATTCCCATTAGTAATGATCTTTGTAAATTCGTTAGCCATTCCAAGTTTCAAATAAGCAAGCCCTTTTATTGTTATTATTATTATTATTATTATTGACTAATTTAAAATCTTCTATTCAATAGGTTGTATATAATATCTAATTAAATATTATATTATTAAGATAATAGTGAGGGGAGTATTGCAATATGGAAATAAGAGTAATAACCTGAAGATAAATATTAAATTATGACTATTTTAATTATGTATGTGTTTTTTTTAATATATGAAATATAAGGATATTATGCACGAGGGAGTTTTTTTTTTTTTTTGTTGACGTGTATAATATACTCATGTAACATTACTTATATGTACAAATATGTGTATGTTTTCTTTTGCTTGCCCCTGGTTTTGATCATTTCTCTCTTTTTATTTATTTATTTTGTTTGCTTCAAATATCAAAAAAAAAAAAAAAAATGGAGTCAATACCTTTTGATATTGTTCATTGTTCTTCATTTGAGTCAGGTTATGAACCTGAACAATTAATTTTAACACAAGAAGAAGGACAACCAAAATTATTATTTCAAGATATAGGTGAAAGAAAAGGATGGCAAACTAAAAAGTAACAGATTGAAATATATACAATATAATATAACATTAATTAAATACATTTTAGGTATACAGAATACCCGCAAGACTTAATTTTACAACTACAATCAGGCTTGTGCCATCTTTCAAAAGTGGAAATTTTATCTCATCATTATAAAATAGCTTCTCAAATAGAGTTATATACTGGTATCACCAAAGATCAAGAAGAAGATTCAACTTTTATACAATTTACAAGACTAGGGTACTTAATAACGCTTTATATATATATATATATATATATGTATATATTGGCATATATCTCAAATAGTCTTACACATATCACTGTTATTTCTTCTAGCTTTGTCAACCTAGTGAATAATCAGCGTTGTCAAGGTCGGGAATTGAAGACAATCCAAATTCAAGCGGAAGCCGAATATATTCGCCTAGTGATCAAAGGTTGCCACGAGAACAAATTAAACACGCATCAGCAAGTAAATTTAATAAAATAAAATACATGATTATAAATGAAGTAAATGGTATTAAATTAGATAGAATAGGTTGGATTCATCGCTTTAAATATTGTAGGACAACCTATTATGAATACAGCTTTTCAATATGAACAATTGAAACAAGTAATAATGATTGTCTATTTGTTTTGTTTTGATTTTTTTTTTTTTTGAAAAAAATAAATAAATAACAGTAAGGTAAATACTAATATTATCTAATATAGGACCACCTATCATTAGAAGCTCATCCAAACATAACAATAGGAGTAGGTATATCTACTGATCTGGAATTATTAAAACATTGGATTCATGTTATTCAAAATGCTGAAGATGAGTCTGCACAAGGTGAAATAAGCTTAACTTGATTTTAATTAGTATGATATATGCTCATATTCTTTTATTATTATTATTATTATTTAGAGGAAGATTATAAAGAAGCAAAAATTTATAAGGAAATAGGAGACCAATTAGCACATTTATGGAGATTTTTATTCAACTTAGAACAGGATAAGCTGCAAGCAGTAGCTACAAAAGATTATGATGAAGCTGATAAAATAAAGGTAAATGAATACTAATAGTTTGATTTAATGTGAAAGTTCATTATCTTATATGTTTGTACTTTTTTTTTTTTTTTTTTTTTTTTAGGCTGATATAATTCAAGTTAAAAGAACAGCCGAATCTATTTTGCAACAAGCTGGTATACAAATTACAAGTGAGGGCGATATTTTACCATATGATGATATCATTAGTACTGACCAGGAAAATAATAAAGAAGAGAATCAAGTAGAAGTATATATTATAAAAAAAAACAATATATGATTTTGAAAAGATATTAATTTATAGTTTTTAACATTTATCATCAGTATAATGGCAATGAAGATAATGATCAAAGGCATGATATTAGAACAGAATCATCTACAATAGAAGCGAATCCAGATCAGCATCATAGCGTCATCACTAATCCAAAATATAATACCGACAATCATGAATTATTAGATGAAGCTATTGCAAATTGGACAAGTTTTGATGCTCTTTCAATTCAAGATGAGAATAATAAAGTAGAGCAGCATTCACCTTTATTATTACCTAAAAGTAAAACATCCCAACAAGCTACTATTAATAGTAATAAGAATGATTTATCTAAAGCAGTGAAAAATAACAGTAAAAAATCAAAGCAACAACTAAATAAGAGTCGACATTCTGATATGATAACGCCTGAGCCTTTATCAACAGACGATCGAGAAGCATGCCAGCTATCTATATCATTGTTTGGGGAAGACTTAGTTGCCTGTATCATGAGTGTAAAGACCAGATGTCGACAAAAAGGTTTAAATGAACTATTATTACATATTCAAGAAAATCGAACTCAAAATGATGTGACATTCATTCATGCATGCCTTATTTTAATTCAAGAAGTTACTATGGACTCTAGAGAAACTATTTTTAATCAAGCAATGGTTGCATGGAAAGATATTTTTGGTAAATACATGTATATGTATAATATACATTAAAAAAAAAAAATATCGTAGGAACCCATATAACTAAAATTATAAATGAAAAACTTTAGAAATATGTCAGAGAATAATTGCTGAAGAAAATAGTGAAAATAGGAATATATTATATCCTTGGATAGAAAAATTTTTTTCAAGAGTATTGGTGCGTACTAATGACACAAATTCCGGTATTCGACAGTCTTCCACACAAGTTATTCTTGATCTTCTTCAATTATACGACTTATCATTAATTCTTCTTTGTGTGAATAAAGATAGAAATACGATTATTCGTAGCATAAAAGATAGTAAAGCACGGATAGCCTTGATAACTACAATCACTAAAAAAGTATTAATACTTCAATGGAGTAACAAAAAGAATAATAGGGTCTATTGCCAGGAACTGATCATGTTTATAACTTCTTATCTAAAGCATCATTCTCATACTGAAGTTCGCAAGTCTGCATGGAAACTTTTGGTTATTATTGCTCAACATCAAGATACAGAAGGTGTCAAATATATTTGCAGCTTTTTAGATAGTGATATGATAAAAATGCTTCAACAAGTTAATATCTATCTTTCTTTTTTTTTTTTCTCTTCTTCTTCTTCATTATTAGTATACTAAACTTATAAAATAGGAACTTAAACAGGAAAAGAAAAAGAAAAAATTATTATCATCTTCTAATTCAGCTACAGTACAGGGACTGAAAGTTTCCACTGATAAATCCAAAAATAACGGTTCTACAATAGCAAAAAAATCAACAAAACAAGCAAAGCCTAGCAGTAAGCCACTTTTTTTCTTTAAGAAAAAAAAAACACATTACAAGAGAAAAATTATTAAATTATATTTACACATAGATGAAAAACGAGTTCAGAATAATATGAATTCTTCAGGAACAACAAAGGAAATGAAGAAGGTACTAAAAATAAAGCAAATTTTCTTATATATAGAAATCTGAACTTATATATATTATTATTATTATTATTATTATTATTAAAGAATAAGACTAAACAACAGCAAGAAGAGCAAGAAGAAAAAACGTAAAGTAAACAATTAGGAATCAAAGTTTATACTATGTAATAATATCAAATCACTATTTTAACTGAATATGATTTATTAGGAATGTGTGCATTTTCTGTGATGAAGTTAATAATAACTTCAATGAAGATACCCTTATTTCACATTATTATAATCATTGTCCAGTGCTCACCAATTGTTCCATGTGTCAAATAGTAAGGTTTTTAATTATTCTGACTGATATATTTCCTAATAATATGCTATAGATTTTAGAAGTATCTACGCTAAAAGAACATTTTCAAAATGATTGCGAAAGAAAACATTTAGTGAAACAATGCAATAATTGTAAACAATTTATTCCTGTTGAACAATGGTTACAGCATACTCTTAAAAATATTTGTCCTGGTAAGAAAGAAAGAAAGAAAGAAAGGAGAAAAAAAAAGGGGGGACATTTTCTTTTTTCTTTTATTCATAAAGATATTATAGTGACTTCAGATAATCAATCAAGATGTGCATACTGTCAATTGGATATGACAGATTCAACGGAAACAGATTGGAAAATACATTTAATTAATGAATGTCCTAAAAATCTAAGAAGAAACTAATAACTTTATTTTTATATCATGAGAGCTGATCTATTATTATTTATCTATTATGCATTAAAAATAAAATAAGTCCAAAGATATGAAAACAGAAAGAATGATTATTATCAAACAAACAAACAAACAAACAAAAAACTATAAACTTACTGAAGAAGGAGCCTTTTTAGTTGATCTCGATCTTGCAACCTTTTTGACTTGTGCCTCAATTCTTCTTTGAAGACAAGTACTAAAATCATTGTAGTAGTTTTTAATATCGTAGTTAAGTGGAGAAGACACCATAAATGCTCTTTTTCTCTCTTCCATTCTTAAAATTTCTTCTTCATCCTCCTCCTCTTTTAGTAATTGCTGTAAATGAGATGATTTTGTATACTGCAAAACATGCAACTCCTTTTCACTAAACAAGTCAGTAAAATCATCTGATAATGGGTTTGTCAAATCAATATCCTCATGAAAGGACGTAGAGAATGAACTTGTTGTTGATAAGGTACTTGATGTTTTAAAATCGTTATTGTATTTTCTAGTAGTAGTTGTCGGTAGGCTATTATCAGCGATTTCGGACCTTTTATAATAGTTACCGTCATTAGGAACTATCTTCCTATTGTAAAATTTGCTATTATAATTTGGATATTGTCGTTTAGTATGATGTGGAACTTTTTGAAGGGCCTCTGTTATCTGGGCCATTACAGCCATAAATTTTTCATCGTCAAGCATATTTTTTAAATTACTGGGATAAATATTATCTATAGTCTATCCCAACATATAAAAGAGAGGAAGATGAATTAAAACTATGGAATTTATACAATATATTGTCCTTACATTCTCCACGACTGTGCTATTATCATTATCTAGTAGTTAATAAAGGAATAAACATAATTAAACAGCTAATATATCAATACTCCTTTCATATATATATCAATATCGTAATCTATTCTCATCTTACCGACATGATATGTGTGCTATAAGTTAGTTTCATAAATTGAAATTAGAAAACAGAAAAATGTGCATATAAAAACAATTTAATTTCTAGTTATTACTCTAAATTCAGTGGGATCACTAATCGTTGTTTTATCTACTCCAATAATAGGACGATTAGTATGTCTGTTGTAGTATTTTTTAATGTCTCTATAAGCTATTTTTGTTAAAATATTTCCCATTTAACTTTTTTTTTTTGTTAAGGGAAAGGAAAGAAGAAGAGGGAAGGAGGAAATTAAGATATAAATCAAAGAAATGTGGTATAAAATAGGTTTATATTTTATTTTGATTTTTTTTCCTGTTCATTCATCAACAATTCTTTTTGTTTATTAATAGCTCGTTTGTTTGAATAAGAACCATAGATTAAACCTCCTGATAATAATACTGCGCTCCATGCTTGAGCTTCGATAGGCTTCAATGCAGACAAACTTAAATATTCACAAAAAGCAGTTGAAGTAGATGCAATGTAAAATAAAGTCGTAAAGAAAGATGCTTTCATATCTAATGATGCTACATGTAATAATCTTGGGGTAGAAAATGACCAAGAGGGCTGATTTAATTGAAAAGTATCTAATAAATACAGAAGGTTAAAATTCCGTATTATATACATATATACATATAAATATATATATGTATATGCATATTGTATGAATATATTTACCAATCCATAAACCGCCACCACAGCCTGCTAAGGTACCGCATAAAATTTTGGCTACGATTTTATCTGAACCTAAAGCTGGGTTTGAGCTTACGCCTTCAATTCCGAATTGGATCATTGCCAAGGCACGTAAAATACTATCAGATAATGTAAAAAGATGCTCGATAACAGGTATAGAAAAAAGAAAATCAATTATTTGATAAACATATGAGTTAGAAGACATAGCAAAATAGGTTGCGCTAAAGATTATAAGAGAAATATTATATTCACACATAGTGTCAATATATATATATATATATTTATATATGTTTATAATTACCAATGAATACCCCAGAATTCATTACTTTTCAAAATACTTAGAGGCTCACCTCTTAGAACTGATACAGTACAACCACCACCAGTAGCCATAACCAAAGTTGCTAATAAGCCCTGATACCAACCTATCTTTTGATGAGAAACACCTAAAGCAGAACGATAAGAATAATGGATCAAAATTGCAAAAAGAACATCTAACACAGGCAATGAATAATCGATAAAGGGCAGTGCTTTCACTTTCAAATTAGCTAAACCAAATACAAGTTGTACTATTTGATCATTTAATGTTATCATAGTTGTCGACATATGACTCTTATTTTTTTTTAAAAGAAAAAAAAAAGGAAAAAGAAAAGAAAAAAACACAAAGTATTACCTTTTATTTTGTAGGAACAAAAAGCCTGAGCCTATAAATTGATCCAATCAATGACCCCTGTTTCGTGTGAATTATAAAATGCTAATGCACATATACATCAGATGAATTCCAATAGACAAATTTTTCTTTGTTTATATAGAAAATAGTTTGGGTAATATGACCAATATTCGTGTTATATCACAATCAGATATTAGCCGTATATTAAGTCAAGGCAATACAGAAGTAGCAAATGAAATTGTAGACATTATGGCAAAGACATTTCGTCAATTTACAGAAGGACAAAATGACAAAGCAAACGAAAATGAGCGATTAGCATCACAATCACCTCAACGTATAGGGATTTCTACCGAGGCTTTTCAAGTTTTATTCATGCCTTCTCGTTTAGATCATACAACTTCAATCAAGGTTGTTAGTGTACCAACAAAAGAGGGTTTATCGGGTTTACCGGCCACAATTCTTGTTATAGATGAAACAACAGGTTCAACTGAGGCTGTTATGAACGCAACTTCATTAACAGCCATCAGAACAGCAGCAGGTAATATCAAAACACTATACATAAACATATATATATAATTGTCATCATTATTTTATTAGGATCTGGATTAGCTACGCGTTATTTTGCTCATCCTGAGGCTAAAAATTTAGTAGTATTAGGTGCGGGTGCACAGGCGAAAGCTCATATAGATATAATGATTTCCATCCGACCTAGTATTGAGCGTATCTCTATTTGGAATAGAAGTGAACAACGTCGATTGGAATTAATCAAGGAACTTCAACAAATCTATCCTACTCGTACATTTGTGAGTGCTGTTGGTGATGATAATAGTAGCCATCATGATGTCAATGCATTTTTATTGGAGGAAGAAGTTCGAAAGGCAGATATTATTTGTACCTGTACAAACGCGACTGATCCTATTCTAGTTGGTCAATGGTTAAAGCCTGGTGTTCATTTAAATTGTATAGGTTCTTATCGATTGGATATGCACGAAATTGATTCAGACACAGTTAAACGTGCTGAACTGATTATTGTTGACTCTATAAAAGCCTGTTCTCATGAAGCAGGTGAGCTGGTAGCATCATCTAAACCTGAAGATTGGCTCGAAATTGGTCAATATATGATTGACAATGAAGAAATAGAAACAAAATATAATGAAAAAATCACTCTATTCAAGAGTGTTGGTATTAGTGTTCAAGACAGTGCCATAGCTGGACTAATAGTCAAACATGCGAAAAAAGAAAAGCTCGGAACAATTGTTCCTTTTTAGATTTTATATTCTTTAAACATAGTTTATTTATAATAAAATATTCAATGAAAAAAAAACAAAATAAAAAAAAAGACAAGCCAAAGATATCAAAATGGCATACCTACAAAAGAAAAAAAAAGTTAATATTGTATAAATAAATAAAAAAAAAATGTTTTCTTTGGATTTATAAAACATATTTTTTATGTATCAGCGAATATAAAATAACATCAATTGTAACTCTTTATTGAGTTACTTAGTCAGTGCTTGACTCTAATATTCTAACAATCTCATCCCCAAAAAAATAAAAAATATATTTATCATAGAATCCAAAGCATACGAATACATTACCTCTTTTTTTTTATTTTATTTTTTTCTAAAGTATTGAGCAAGAAAACGAGAAATGAAAAGTATCAATGACAGGATTTTATAGTTTGTCAGAAAAATTTTTTTTAATATTCGAGCACAAAAAAAGAGTCCTTAACAGTCACAAAATTACATTTTTGGAACTCAGTAAGAATTCTTGTCTCCTCCTAATTGCACACCTTAATTGCATATTTTTTGATCCTGAAGTATCATGGATTGATTTCAACTGTAAAGTTCGAAGTTTTAGTAGAAAAGCTTTTCTGAAGATGATAAAAGAAGAACTGATTTTATTGTTTTCTTTTGAGATCACTCGTATGTATATTTTTCTTTCAATTCAGATATAATTGAGAAGAAATATATTATTCTTTTTAAAGCATGAATATCCTATTGACAATATAAATCATATAATAGTTAATAACGAAGAGGATATTATTACAACAAATACAATTTATTCTTTTGAATGAGCTATATGATTACCTAATGTATATAAAATAATATGCAATAAGAGTTAATGTAAATTATGCTATGAACAATTTGGAACAAGTTCTATCCATCAGTAGCACATGACATATTTTTATATTCTTTTTGCTGTCATGTCTTTAATGAGAATATAATAAACATCAACTTATTGATACATAATACGCGACTTATAATATATAACAAAATTATTTATTTTATTTTATTTTTTGTGTACATGTATTGTGTATATAATGATGTATTACATAATATCTCATAATGTATAGATCAGAGTCATGAAGGACCGAATGATATTATAGTTATTAGTTGTACACTTTATGCATACAATATCATTCGATTTCAATTTATACAAGTCATTCTTGCGATGAGGAAAATAATATTATAATAAATACTAACGTTACAAGATAATGATAAGCCAAACAATAGTGTAAAGAGTTATTAATGATAAAGATATATATGAATTATAGATTGTGCCTATTAGTCATATATACACATTATTATAATATTATCTAATATAGTAATTTATGAATACAATCATATACTATCTATACACTATACACTATACACTATACACTATACAATATACAATATACAATATACAATATACAATATACAATATACAATATACAATATACAATATAATGATATTCATTCAAGTAATAAATTGAGGAATGAATATAATACAAAGTATTTTCTCCATATCATTCATTATTTGGTTTCAAGAAAAATAACCGGCTAGATCGAGCACCAATAATTTAATATTTATTAGAGTTAACTGAGATTAATTCTCAATCAGGGCAAAGGCTAGAGAGCTAAAACACAATATCTTTAATCATTTTATGGGAAATATTCTTCTTTCATTCTGTTCCTGACGCGAAGTAACTCATTCCCCACAAGATATAAATAAGGATCCATTTTGCAGTCATTTTGAGAAATTCAATTAAATTTATTCTTATTCAATTTCTTCATTTTATAAAGTTTCCACAGATTTATTCTGTTTTCTTTTTTTATCTCCATCTTATCAACAACATGCTTATACACTAAACTTACAAGACTTGAGTCAATATGGCGTTTTTCACGTTTTTTTTTTTTTTTTTTTTTTTTTTTTTGCAAGATGTATTTTATTGAGCCATTATTCTTTAACAACAAGAAGAAGACTTTAACTATTTCTACCAATAATTAATTTATATTATATGGTCTTCTATGAATCTGATTGCTCTTGTGTAATGTTCAAATTTTAAGTTACAAACTAAGAAAATCTTTTGTTACAACAGTATAACACAAAGTAAACTTTATTTTATTTTTCTTTCTTCTATACTGAGACAAAAAATTACTTTTTAGGTAATTTGTGAATTTTCATGTGATTTAAGATATAGCATATTGAAATCAAAATTTTTAGTGCTTCACCTTAACAATGAGAGTATGAATAATACAAAAAGATAGAGAGAAAAAACTATTATTATGCAGTCTTACTTACTCGGTTATCTGAAACTTATTTTTGCCAATCAAGTTAGATCTTCATTTATAAAAGATAGGAGACCCTTCTTTATATTCCATCGTGTTTGTTAAATAAAAAGGATTCATAGTTATTTTTATCAATTTCTATTTTTATTTACGATATTTGAACCAGAAAAAAAAAATCTTTTTTTTCTTTTTCCATAAAAATGATATCATATAACTAATAAAACTCTTAATAAAGTTGAAACAAGAAGAAATTTCGGTCGATTTGACAAAAGAAAAAAAAAAGTAACCATGTTTCTAAGAAAATCAGTAAATAAGGGGTTCTCTTCTTTAGCATGACTACAAAATATATCATCACTATATTGTGCCAAGTAACTAGAACACTTACAATTTTTTCTTTTTTTTATGAGTGTAACAAAAAGAAAAAAAAAGTGGAATGAACTCTATTCTACTACTCAAATCATATAAATAGACTGTAGAATTATAATTCATTCGGATCACTTATTTTCTTTTTCTCATTTTATATTATACTTTTATTTAAAAATGCGTTCCACATTCATTATTACTATTGCTGCAATTGCTACAGCTGTTTCTGCTGCACCCACTACTCTTGACAAGAGAGCACCAAAGGCTCAAGTCATTACTACTTGTACCGTTCCTGGAACAATTGCTTTGACTTTTGATGATGGACCTTATGAATACACTTGGGATTTAGCTAAAACACTCAAGAAAAATGGTGTTACCGCTACCTTCTTTATGAATGGCAATAATTGGGTGTAAGTAGAATACAGATATGTCGTGTATGTAATATATAAATGAGTTTCTAATTGGCACCTCTCTCTCTTTTTTATAAAATATATATATATATATATATACATTTATAGAGATGTGGAGAAACAAACAGTAAAGACAAGTGACGGTATTAAAACTTATAAGGAGGTTATCAAACATGTTTACAGTCAGGGACATCAACTTGCTAGTCATACTTATAGTCATCTTGAGCTTGGTGGTCAATCAGCTTCTAAGGTTAAATCCGAAGTTCAAAAGCTTGAAAAGATTTTCCGCTCTGTCATTGGCAAGAATCCTTTATACTTCCGTCCTCCTGCTGGTTCCTATGATGATACCACGCTTAAAACACTCGGTAGTCTTGGTTACAAAGTGATTCTCTGGGATATTGATTCTAATGATTGGAGATACAGCAGTCAAAGCAGTCTTTCTAAAGAACAAAAAAATTATAAAGATGTTATCGAGGCTGATTCCAAGAAAAATCCTAAAGGTCATATTGCCCTTCATCATGACGTGTACAAGAAGACTACAGAAAAATTGGTTCCCTGGGTCATCAAATACATCAAGGATAAGAAAAATTATAAATTTGTCAGTGTTGCTGAATGTATTGGTCAAACAAAGGGTAGTGCCTATAGGACACGACAATAAATTTACGTAATATCTATTACTTTCTTCTTAATTTTATACACGCATATTTGATCTATTTTTTTTTCCCACTAATAAAGTTGTATTATATAATTGTTAAAGATAAAATAAACCACCTCGCGTTTTTATCTTTCATATTATAAAGATGTTAATCTAAAGCAAAGTATCTGTAATATTACACAATTGTGTAATTTTCAACTAGAATGTAAATAGGTCATATACATATACATACATATATAAATATATAAAAATATTTTTTTTTTATAAATTTTATAATATGAAATTCATTGTACACTAAAACTTCCAGAAAAAAAAACACGTTTGATATAATCGTTTTAAGAAATTAAAAAGATGTTAAGAAATCGGTCTACACAAAAATATATATATATATTACAAAAGAAAGGAAGTAATTCAAAAGAAAAAAAAAACTATTTTTGAGCTTGAAGAGTATAATCAATGATAAATGACTGTGTAATAAGATCGTCAATACGTTGATAATGACGGTCAGTGTATGGTAATAATCCATCAATTAACTAAGGGAATAAATAAATTGTTAATAACTTTATCTTTTTTTTCCCTTTTAATATAAATATTTATATATATATATATACCTCTTTAGCTGTAGAAATCTCTACTAGTTCTTCAGATGTACGGCTTGAAAGGATAGCATAAAGAATTGTCTGTGCAATATCTGAATGCTTAGCATTTGTATTCCAATCTCTAATGTAACCTAACAACTTTTCAATATTCTCAATAGATAGTTCCGCCAAAATCTTATCTACATTTTCAGATCCTGTAATACTAGTTTCATCATCTTCAGATCTGGATTCATAAACCTCTCTAAATAATCCCAATAAACGGAAAGGTTGCTCTAATGATAAGGCTAGTAAAATAGCATTTAAATAATCTTTTTTACGCATAAAGGTTTGTAATTCTTGTTCCCTATATAAATATGTATATATATAAAATTAGCATAAATAGAAAATATATACATTTATACATGTATACATTACTTTATAATTAATTCCTCTTTTTCTTTTAATTCCTCTTCTTGTTCTTGTAAAGTAACATCTTCCCAGAAATTAATAACAGAATCAGCACCAGCTGAAATAACATATTTCTCATCTTTACGTACAGCTAAAGCCCAAACCTTCTGTGTATGGTTATCCAAGGTAGAAGCGCATTCATTTGTCTTGATTGTCCAAACTTTAACAAGACCATCTGAGCCAGCAGAAACCAATTGCATACCAGCTGTCAAGAAATCAACACGCAAAACAGAATTTGTATGTCCTTCAAACGTTTTCAAACATGTAAAATCCTTTAAACTCCAAATTTTCACTGTCTTATCACCAGCACTTGTTGCCAAAACTTGATCTACAGGTGAGAATCGTGCACACCATACACCACGCTTATGACCCTTCATTGTGCCAACTAATTCACCCGTGTCCACATTCCAAAGCTTTGCTGTCTTGTCCTGTGAACCTGTTGCAAAATATTTATCATTAGGAGCAACACAAATTGTATTAATATCTTTATCATGTGCTTGATGTGTATAAAGTGCCTTGGGACGATATTCTTCATTTGCATTCTGAAGATTTAAATCACGAAGGTTCCAGTATTTAATTGTCCTATCTTGACTACCAGTAATCATGAAAGAATTTGATTTACGTGAAAGAGCTACAGCGCCAACAGACTCAGTATGACCAATACAAACACCTGCACTTTTAAAACGATCCTCTTTGTTTTCACTTTTTAAATCAATCTTCCACAGACGTGCTGTTTTATCTTTTGATGCAGTTACAAGAAGTGTGCCATCTCTAGAACGATCCAAAGATATGATCATATCATTATGTCCATAAAGAAGATCACAGTCTTGTGTTTCTACATTATAAATTCTCAGTTGTGCACTATTTGTTGCTGCAGCCAAATGAGTTTCATCTTCTCCTACATACGCAACATCGACAACTTCATCATTATAACCAACAATTTGCTTTACGCGTTTTAATTTTTGTTCTAACGAATACATCAAAATGTTTTGATCGTTCGTTACTGCTGCCAATGTGTGTGTCTTTTTAATATAGATGATATCTGAAAGTGTATGTTGACTATTCTTTTCAGGTTCCTGAGCTTTAATTAACTGGCCTGTCTTAAGATCCCAAAGTTTGATAACACCTGCATCACCTGCAGTATAAAAGATCTCTGCATCTTGCCAATCTTTACCAAACTTGGTTGCTAATTTTACATTCTTTTCCAAAAATCCTACTGATTCAATTGTCTCAAGAATGGGATAGGTTGCTCTTAACTGTTTGGCTTGCCAATCCCAAACATTAACGACCTTATCGCGCGAACCTGAGATTAGATATTTACCATCGGACGAGAAGTCTAGACCACGAATGACACTGACATGACTATTCAAAACAGCCACACAACGTCTACTTTGAAGATCCCAAACACGAACCTGACAGTCATCTGCACCCGAAGCAATATACCATTTACCATTGTATTGATGGAACTTGAGAGCTGAGATGACACCACCATGTCCTTTTAGGTTATGTGTACAGTAGCCTTTATCGATATCCCACACCTTAATAGTTGCATCTGCAGAACCGGTCGCGACTAAAGTGGAAGTGGAGTCGATATCCATAACAATAATAGGTGCTTCATGGGCTTTCATTGTACGTATACATTCACCCTTTTCAAGATCCCAAATTCGAAGAAATAAACTACGACTTGCGCTAACCAAGTGTTTACCGTTTGGTTTCACCGCCATGGTCGTTACGATTTCAGTATCCTATACAATAAATTAGTAAATAAAGAGCCAATGTAAATAATTCCTTTATATATATGTATTACGTACACCTTCTAATTCATGCACTTGTTTTCCAGTATCAAATTCAGTAACAATAATGTCTTCATTAAGTGTAGTAATTAAATGTTTAGCATCTTCTGTAATGACAACTTTGCCACCTGTGTAAATAGACTCAATGGTCTTGGTTGGCTTGAAACTTTTTTTTTAAATATGTATATATACATATATGTATATGTAAATAGAAATATATTAATAATACGAATATTGTATGAGTTTAATTCTTCATGTACCTAGTCTTTAATAATAACTTTGTTGATTCTTCAGCCATGGTCGGATCGATGAAGAAAAATAAAGATATAAAAAATATCGAAAGCCTATTCGAGAAAAATGTCAAAGATTCATGAACGAAAACGAGTCACATATTTTAAAGGAGGGGCTTGGATATTCTTTAAACTGTACATTATTACTACTGTGTCTTTATTAATATACACTCAAAATTAAAAGCATATATAGTGTTTATTATATCTTTTATGTGTCCCCTTTTTTATTTATAACATTATATAATATATTGTATGAATGTGTATGTACTTATTTTTTTTTTTACATGAAATCATCGAAGTCATCATAGGTACTTGAGTACTCTCTAGTAGGTGCAGGAGCAGCCTTAGCAGGTTGAACTTTACCCTTTGTCTTTTTACTATGCTTAAGAGCTTCCTTTTGTTGACGTTGCTTATCATTAGCAAGAGCAGTCAAACTAGAAGCAGCTTTACGAACATCCATATCCTTCATAGGTGCAGAAAGGTCTTTAGCAAGCTGTTCAATAAATGATGCATATGCAGAGTTACCCTAATAGTCCATATAAATATGTAAATTTATAAATATTCAAAGTATTCTTATTCTTTTTTTTTCTTTGTCTTACCTTGGTTTGAAGAATCATGTCGGTCAATAATTGTTTGAATTCTTCAAAATCAGCACGAGTTCTAGGCTTAATAGATTCAACAGGCTTTGAAGGTGCTTTCTTAGCTAATGGGATATTATACATTTAGTGTCATACTCTAACCTTGGTTGTTATTATTTATTACTTACAGACTTCTTCTACTTGGATGTCATCAGATTCTTCCTTTTTAATACCTGCTTCTTTTTGAGCACGTTCGAACTTTTCTTCTTCAGTTTCACCTTCTAAGAAACGATTAGCCTATGGTAAAATGAATATAAATATAAGATTTTGATTATAAAAAAAACCAGGAATAATAAGGCAATATTTTGATTACCAATGCAATTTTCTTTGCTTTTTGTTCTTTTAATAAAGCTTCTTTTTCAGCAATCTTTTGCTTCAAAGTCAAATTCTTTTTGGCAGGTGCTTTAGTAACAGTTTCGGTCTTTTTTACGGGTTGTACTTGTTTTTCTTCCTCTTCTTCCTCAGATTCATCCCAGGATTCTTTTACTTGATTATCATTGTCATCACTTTCTTCGTCATCCCAAGCCATCTTTGGTCTAGTATTTACAACAACCTCATCGTTAAATTCCTCTTCTATATCATCAAAAAGTTTTTTTAAGATGCTATTCTATTTCTAATTTAGATGGTTTATTTTATTTTACCCCAATCGCTCATTTTTGTTTTTTTTAATGTGAAGATTTCTTTGCGTGTTAAAGAAAAAAAAAATTATTTTTTTATTTTATTTTATTTTATTTTTTTTTTCTGCACTGTAATTTTTGTCAATTTTACCGTCTGTCCGGGAAAAAGCTTAGTTGTTTATTTCTAATTTTATTTATTTATTTTTCTAGACAAGGTAAGACTATTTTAAACCTACTTTCTTCTTTAAGGCGTATATTTTAAAAGTTCTCAATATGCTTTATACAGACAGTATTGATAGCCATAAAAATAGATTTATATATGTGTATATACAAAAGTTAAATTTGATTACATGTATATATATTTCCCAAGATAAGCTTTTTATACCTGGTTCAAAAATTATATATCTTTAGTATTGTTGTAGTTATTAAACTAGCTTATATGAAGTAGATGCATCATCTTATTGAAGAATACTAATACATCATGATAAGAAGGAGAATTTGATACCAATGTAACCACTTTTTATTTACTCCAGTATATAAAGCCTTTATTTATTTATTTATTTATTTTGCTTTTCTCTACCCAAAATATACGGTTACGCTACATATCGACAGCCAAATCATTATTAAATACAACAATTTAAATGTCAATAATTGCTTCATAATTCTAGTAGGCCATCTTTATATTTAGCTTTATTTCAAAGAAAACGATTCATATGCAGACACTATAATATAGATTCAAGGTAAGATATATCTTCATTTACATAGAATGATATACAATGGTATTATTTAAAAGAAAAAAGATGTTATATGTAAAGCATTAATAATATTAAAGAAAAAAAAAAGTATTTGTTAGTGGTGCTGCTGCTGATGATGTTTTTCTTTATGTTATTTTGTTATCCCATAAGGAGTTAAAAACCAAAGTAGCTAATGAAATAGGTACAGTCCAATCATCCGTGATCCCTAAGCAAGAAGCGAATCCTAAGTTTATGGCCATACCTGCAAATAACAAAAAGGGGCCATATTTTGGCTTTTTACTATTACAATTATTATTATTAAGATTATTGTCGGTATTATTATTTAGTAGAGACGATGATGATATTAAATGATTTTTAGATGGAAAAGTACAAGGAATTCCATTATTACAAGACGTATTATTAATACCTTCTATTTCTTCTTCTTCTTCTGTTTCTTTTTGGTCAATGTAGTTGGTATTCAATGATAGAGTATTACTAGTTACAATCGAAGAAGAAGAAGATAATGATGATAACGATGATGATTTGTTATTAAAAGTAATATCATCGTCTTCTTCGATTATACTTTCGATACTACTTTTCCTTTCAGCATCTTCTTCGGTATAGTTGCTATACTTTAACGACGATAATGTCTTGGGATTTTGTTTATGCTGAAACCCTATTTCTAGATCACCTCTAAGCATCTGTTCTAATAATTCGGTATCTTTAATAGCTAATGACCTTCGTTTAGATTCCATTAACATATATGATTGTCTTTTTGGATCACTCTGAGTTATAGGTGGTGAAGTGATTAAACTACATGTGTTATCATCATTATTTGTATAACTTTGATCTTGAAGAACCTATAGTATACACACACATATATATATGTGTATATTTTATATGTATGTATTATATAGTTTATATTATAAAGTTACATACATCTATTCTAAGCAAACCTATACATAATCATGTATATATATTATATGATTTGCTTACATATGCGTACCTTCTGAAGGTGCTCAATTTGATCTTCTAACCCCATAAAATCTTGTTCTAGTTGTGTCACAATCTCATCTTTGATCCTTAATTCCTTTTTAAGTGTTTCAAAATCATTGTCTTTCAATGACTGTTGCCGAAACATCTGGTCTTTTTCCTCGTATAATTCTTCTATCGCTTGATTTAAATGGTAGATTTTTTTTTCTAATTCAATGGCATAAGAGCCTTGTGAGATATTTGAATGAATAATGGGTCTACAAATATGTTGAGCCTCTATCGCTTCATTCTCAGTTATTTCATCATTATTTGTTGAAGGTAAAGTCATAACCATAGTGGATTGATCAATTGGTTTCATAGTAAAACAGCAAGTATCATCACAAATAGGACGTCCTGCAATCTAAATGAAGGATTTTAACTCGACATTCCTTTATATATATATATATATCCATTTAAAAAAAAAAATTCTACTAATTATTATTACCTGTCTTTGAAGTAAATTAATATTTTGCACTAAAAATTCATATTCAGGGCCAACCGACTTCATTTGAAGTATTTGATTTTGTTTAAATTCATTTAGTTCCTTTGTCTTTTCATCCAATTCAAGTTGTAATAGTCGTGAAAGACGTTGAAGTTTAACATTTACGATAGTTAATTCTTCTATTGTCTTTTCTAAGGGACTTGTCCTTTGTTCAATTAAATTATCTGTATCTATTTTCAGTAATCGATTTGTTCTCTGTAACTTAACATTTTGTAGTGTAAGTTGTTCAACCTGTGCCTCAAGCTGTCTTAATCTTGTATCTGAATCACCACTCTGAATTTCTCTTTTTCTATTTTTATTGTGAATAGGAGGAGAAAGTCTCTTTTCATTGAATCCTGTTGGTATAGAATAATTCATAAGATTAGAATTCACACTAAAACGACTTGTTTCTTCATCTTCTATTTCCCCTTCTATTTCCCCTTCTTGATTAATAAAAAAGGATGATTTTCGTTGATATGCAGCAATACTCATTTTAATAAAGAAAAAAAAAAGAAAAAAGAAAAGGAAAAAAGAAAGAAATAATGATTTTTTTTTTTTTTTTTTTTTTTTTTTTTTACACGAGTTTATTTTGTAAGAAATAATGTCGTACATGGAGTTAAAAAAATAAATAAATAGATTGATTGTGAAGTCTATTTTGACAAAACAATTTCCCCTTTATTTAATGAAAATAATTCTACTTCCTCCTCCTTTATTTAATATATACATATATAATGTATGATAGAAGAAGATGATGATTGTAGAATTCATAGTAAATCATTAGAAGAACCGAAAATAGTTAACTTTACACATTGTTACACTCTTTTCTAAAGAAAGAAGATTATCTTCGTAAAAAAAAAAAGAAAGAGAGAGATTTTATTGTTTAATACTATCTACAGGGATTTTTAAGGGAGAATATATTACACATATTTATTATACAGTCGGTACTATGGATATTGGCGGTTAAAAAAAAACAAATTGTCGAAAACCAAAACAAACACTTTTTCCTACGAAGATGGATTTGATAATGTTTTCGATGAACATGGTTAAAAAGTTTATGACCCAATGGAAGGTGTTTTAACTGAGATTACGAACCCAAACATTGTGCTGGAAACAATAACAAGTCGAAAAAAAAGCTATTCAGCTAATAAACCTGTTGAAAAAGATGTCGTAGAAGAAACGACTAAGCATTCAAAGGCTCAAAATTCGAATACTAAGACAACTACTTACAATACCTACACTGATTTTCAAAGGGAGCAGTTCATCGATAAAATGAGTGAAGCCCCTTTTTGAAAATGGCAATATCACCAAATTTGTCCAAGAGCTAAATATCAACCCACGTACGGTAGAAAGATGGTGGAAGTCCTACAAAAAAAACGAGGGAGGGGAGGAAGCACCCTAAAAAAAATCTAAGAGTAACAACGGACCAAAATCTTCCATAACTACTGGACATGAAGATTACATCAACAAACTAGTCAATGATGATCCTCAACTTTTTGTTGATGTCATCATTAATGAATTGACCGAGAAGTTTGATGGCTTCACCATATCGAAGTCCCAGCTCAACAATCATTTGAAGAATACCATGCAAATTACTATAAAGAAACCACACTTTGAGCCCAAAGTAAGAAACTCTATCAGTAATTTAAAAATAAGATACGAATGGTTCCAAAAAACGGAAGGGTACAGATCTCAATTACACAACAAAAACTGTGTTTTTATCGACGAAGCTGTCTTTCATGTCAACATGAGAAACAACTGGACTAAATCAGCACGTGGAACTAATGCTATAGTTAAGACTGACACAACAAGAGCAGTTTCTCATTCGGTCATTGGCGCCATACATTCGTCTGTCGTGCTTTATGTTGTATTAAAGAAGCCACCACTAAAGCCAGAGGAAGAGACATCTTGTAAAAAGAAGAGAAACAGTAATAACAGGAAAAAGAGAACTGTAGCTGAAACCAACGATAGTGAGAGTACTCAAGAGATTGAAAAAGGTGCGGTTGATATAAATCCAGTACCAAGAGGAATAACAACTGCCCATTTGTTAAGATTATCAATAAATCTCTTGATATAATGGATGAGGATAAATCATTATTTAGTTATGGATAATGCGAGTTTTCATAAATCAAAGCCAATGGTACGAAAAATTGAATTCAGAGATTATAGAGTGATGTACCTCCCTCCCTATTCACCAAAACTTAACTCTATTGAGCAATTTCGGTCTTTAGTTAAAGGAAAGATGAAGCGTATTCGCTTGATGAAGGAAGAGACATTATCTTTTAGAATTAGTGACGCTTGTAATCGACAATTTCCTTTTTTGTAGCCATAGTACCAACTGTACCATTCAATTTGCATGTAAAAATGGTAGCGGTAGCGGTAGCGCTGTGACGTTTAAAAATAGTAGCGCTATGACGTTTAAAAATGGCAGTGGTAGCGCTATAATTTTTTTCGTCTTTATGAATGTTTTTTAACTAAAAAAACGCGCCCAGGCGCAGACCACATGTCTAAAGCAATCATTCAAGATCCAACTGTTATTAATTATATAACAAAGACATTAACCAACACAGAGAACGACTACCATGTAGGATGCTCTGAATGGAGTGATAGTACTCGTTCTGATGTGGTCTTAGAGCCAAAATCATTTGATCTTGGGCTCCCACCAATTATAATTGAAATACAACAAATGGTTGATAAAGCTTTCATGAAGAGAGCGGTTGGGTATTGCCTACAAGCATCGAAGAGATATAATGTCGACCCCATTATTCTTATTATATGCGTTAATAGCTTAGATAGTTATGTTGCTTCGCGCATAGTAGCCAGTGATGTTTATGGCGGATATGACTTTCTCTGCGATCCTTGGGCAGCTAATTGCATTGTTCTTTCTAAAGAAAGTCTTAACAAGGACAATGTAAGTAGTCCATTAGACCCTCTGTTTGCCCTTGGATTGTTCTTCACCAGCCAGGCTCTTTCTATAATGAGTGCCCCTTTTGCAAATGATCCAACTATACAATATTTATATAGTTTGGTTACAAGTCGTGAAGAAAATTGTAGCAACAATATTGCATTATCGCTACTCGAATCACAACATCGTGAATATGAGAAGCTGCTGACACTTGTTAATACAGCTGGATCATCAGATGTATGAGTTCAAGCAATTATTGATGCAATTCTCTTCACGACTTGAAGCCAAGTTATATAGATGTTGTCTAGTTGGATCATTAACAAAAGGAGCATTGTCATGGTTGTAAGATTTGTAACTTAATTCAATAAGGTAAATAGTCATAATAGAACATGTAGTGCACTTTTATAATAATTCTGTCTATACACATATTAAATATGTTTACTCTTGTGTAGAACTTTGTAAGATAAACTGGGGTAATACAAGTACGCGTAATAGCTAATTTCACTCAGAGTACACGTATTAGTTATAAAAATAAATATGTACATACAAAAGACATGGATGTATGTCTATAATGATTCTTGATAGCATAATCATTCTCTGTCTATCATTAAATTATCAAATACAATTTGTTATATTATTACTTATCATCTTTATTCACAAAAGACATAAATACTCTTATATTATTAACCTTTATTTTGTTTACTTGAATTGAACTTAACTCTTAATAAACTATATGAACAACTCTCAACGTACTTTTTCTGTCTGTTTTATTTTATTTCTTTTATTTCTCATTTCTATTATATTATATTTACCTGTACGCCTCTATAATAAATACATGTACGCATTTACTAATATATTCTCCCTGTAGATAGTATTAAATAATAAAATCTTTCTCTCTCTCTCTCTCTCTTTTTTTTTTTTTATTAAAGATGATTGAAAAAAAAACAGCATAAATATGTGACAGTTTCTCATATTTCCACTTCTTAATAGCATTTTTTTTTTTGTTCTTCCAACTATAAGCATCCTTTATTTAAATGCAAACCATTAACGTCCAAAAAGCAAATTTTACTCAAAGGAATAGAGCTACTCCACCAGATCCGAAAAAAGTTAAACTTAAATTTGATTATTCATCTAGTCAAGATGGGGTTGATTTTAATCTTCTCATCTTATTACACGGCTTAGGTACTATATATATACATGTCTACTGGGCAATAAGCTTTTCTAATCGATATACATATTTGTATATATGTATATATATATATATCCATGTTTATATAGGCGATACAAAAAAGCCATTTTTAAATCTTGGGAAAAAGCTTCAGTTACCTCAAACTGCTATATTATCTGTACAAGCACCAGAAGAGATACCCTATATGGATGGATGTTATCAATGGTTTCCTAGCTTTAACATGTTAACGGGTGAACGTATTGTATACAACTTTGAGTTTTGTTATTATTATGACATTTATTTATTCATAAACCATATATATACATATATTTATGTCTATGACTATGACTAGTCCTAACATCAAGAAACCCTGAAAGATGGAAAGGATTATTACGTACACGCGCTTTAATGAACGAACTTATAGATCATCTTATTCGTAGCTGTGGTTTTAATCCATCTAATATATTCTTATTTGGGTTTTCTCAGGGAGCTACGATTGCTCTAGATGTGGCTATGTTTGGTAAAGTGCCGAATTTAGGTGGTGTAGTAAGTATTAGTGGCTATTTACTTGAAGAACAAAGTAATGAACAAAGTAAATATGCTGGATATATTCTCATTACTCAGGGTGATAAAGATAATACGATTGGCAGTAAATCAGAGGCAGAAAAAAGGGTAATATATATGTTTATATAAATATATACATATATATATATATATGTATGTGTGTGTGTGTACTAATGCTGCTTATATAGTTTAAAATGATTAAAAATAAATGTTCTCCTTCAGCAGAAGTATCTCAAGTTTTTATCGAAAACAAAGACCACACTATGCCTACTTCTGAGAAAGAATGGCGTATAATTCATACATTCTTTGGAAAAAATATGCCAAGACGAAATATTGAATTGGAGAATATGTCCGATGTTTATTTAGTCAATCCTTAAAAAAAAAGTAGTTATATTTTACCCCATCCATCACCAAATTCTCCACAATACTTATTAAATTCATTAAACGTATTACACCATTTTTTGTAAAGTACTTTTGCTGCAATTTTACCTGCAATCGTTTGTGTTTCCATAGTCTATTATAGTAAAGTGTTATGTTATTGTATGCTATGATGAATCAAATGGAATGACTTACAGAAATGAAATTCTCAAAGGCACCTGTATAAATAATACCAAAATCATCATTTTCTTTATCTGGTTTAAGAATGAAGGATGGAAAAGAGTGATTGTCGGCAATAGGCTTAAGTTTAGGGAATGCATGCCATGCTGTACGGTAAGTCCAACTTCTATTAATAAAAAGTTGATCGAGAAATTCTTCTTCCATTACTTTAGGAGAAAATAGTTTGATTACACTTTCTCCATTTTCCAAATATCGATGTACTGAAAAAGTATTGAAAGGAGCCGTCTTATTTTCAAAATGATGAACTAAAAATGGAAGAGTTTAAGATTATGTATGTAAATAAACAAACGTAATTTTTTTTTCTTTTTTTTTTTTTTTTTTTTTTTTTTTTTTTTTTTTTTTTTTTTTTTTTTTTTTTTTTTTACTTAAAGGTAAACCAGTTGTGACGATAAATGAAGGTAAATGATCTATAGTTCTTCCGAAATAACTTGGATCAGGATATCCTGCAACCAAAGTAACATGTACTGCATGATAGTCTCTTTGTTCCTCTTCAGTTGGAAAGGAAAATTCAATACCTGAATACTTTAAAGGTGCTGCAAGTACAACTTCATCAAAGACCTGATTTTTACCGTCTAAAGTTTCAACCCTATAACGATTTATATGATGACCGTTTGTATCCACTTCGGTGATATTACTAATAGATACAACTTTAGTATTCAGCTGAAGATCGGCTCCAGAACGAGAAGCAAATTCTTCAAAAATACGGTAATTTCCATCTTCAACCGCCCATGTACCATGACTTGCTTCCATTGAAACCTATACAGGATAAATAAATAAATAAATATATACATATATAGAAATAGAAATACACTAAAAGGTGAAAGAATATACCATAACAGCTAAAGCATGAAGAGCATTCAAATCTTGACAGTAATTACCACGAGTCGCTGTTTGCAGAATTTCATAAGAAAAACGATCATTTATACCCAAGTCTTTCAAATAAGACTCTGCTGTCATGTTGACGAGTTCCTTGAGTCCCAGGTCCTTGACAATCTCCATTATTTCATCTTGTTGTTGAGTTTCGTTATAGATGTTCAAAAAACGCTTTACAATCTCTTGCTGTTTACGTTGAAACTTGATAGGACTAAGACCATATCGCCAAAGTGCCTTTAGACTATCCCAGTAATAACTTCCTGTTTCCTCAAATACAAATTGTTCTCCATCCCATACACCAAGTCCAGGACGACGATCCTCTCTTTTCTTCTTAACAAGAGGATCAATGTCGTCGTTATCATCATCTACTTCAACTGATGTTCGCTTTAAACCAAATTTATCTGTAGCTTTCATGAGGTTTTGATTTGCTTCAACAAAGATAGATGCTCCGAGCTCCATGGTCCCTAACGAGCTATTACCTTTAATGGGAACGGTTGTACTACGACCTCCAATGTAATCTTTACGGTCAAAGATAGTAATTGATATTTGATTAGGACTATTTTCAGAAGAAGAAGAGAAAACGTTGTTTAGCCAAAAGGCAGTTGAAGTCCCAGAGGCTCCACCACCTAAGATATTAGAGAAAATATTAAATAGCCGTGTCCTTTAAATATGTATATGTATATATTGGTCATGCATTGTTAAAATGAACTCTGTTTTATTACCAATAATGGCGACTGATTTTACAATTGGAACATGTGCTTCATGAAACACATGTTGTTGTTGATAATCATCAGCATTAGCATGTACTACACAGGATGGAATGAATATGATTAAAGAAAATAAAATTTTTTTCATTTGTTAAATAAATGATAAGAAACAAACTATTATTATTATGCGAAACAAAAAAAAAAAGGAGGTTCTACGTTTTAAACTCACTGTTGGGAAAAATAAATAAATATTTTAGTAGTAAAGCATCAGCCTTTTTTTTTTTTTATTGCTGCTTAAATAAATAAATTAGATTAAGCCATTGAGTCCTTCTACTGTATTTTTAAAATATGTTATATTAAAATAAAACAATGATAATAATAATAGTAATAATAATAATAAAAGATAAAAAATGAAATAAATAAATATAAAAACAATATTCCTTCCACATCCCAACCCTTCTTTTCTGTAATAATAATATAATTTATTTACCTTCAAGTACATTCATTGTTTGAAATACAAAAAGCATGATATTAGCAGCCATTTGCATACTAAATCCTCTATATAAACCTCGAATACCCCAGGCACTGGTACGTAATGGTGGTGGTGGTGGTGGTGTATGCTTTTGTTGATTCGAAAAGGATATATCACTTTCTGTCGTATCACTTTCACTCGACCATCGTTTCTTGTTGTTTTTCACTTTTGCTTTCTTACGATTATTATTACGTTTATATCGTGTACCTTCTTCTTTAAGTATTTTATATAATGCGTCCAAGAGACCTCGATAGGGCTGTGGTCTTAGAGCAACTGTTGTCTTGAATTCAATAGGATTTGTTGTTTGGCATTGAAGACGTTTACGTATTGTTTCTAAAGGTAAAGTGATCAAAAGACCAAGGGTGGAGAGAGTAAGTTCAGCAGCACCATAAAGGATAGGTGAATCAGTAGCTGAAATATGCAAAAGACGTGCAATTAATAAAGGTGTACTACAGGATATCAAAGGAGACATGGTATGATAGAATAAAGTAGGAACCAAGTTTTTAGAAAGATAGACGCCTCGAATCCCACCTTCTTCAGAAAACATGGTTCGTAAAGCATGAAAAAGTCCCTTATATTTACTACAATGAGGAGATGCAGATTGAACGATTAATCGTGTACGAATAATTTCTAAAGGACTCAATAAGACACCTATCACAAGATGAGAGACAATCATGGTTGCCATATTAGCTGTTATACTATCAAGATGTAAAAGTGGGATGGTCGTATCATCATAGAGACCGAAGACATCATTAAGGGAACTTTCAAGTGCTGGTCGTAAAACGGTACGAAGCATATCATAGATCCAGGTGACTCGCTGTCCTTTGAATAACGATCTCCATCCTTCTGTTGGCTGTTTAACGATGGAACTTAAAATTTCTAATACGCCATCTCCTTCCATCGGGGACATTTGATAAATGGGTCGATTTTTATCATCATATACACTTACAGATGTCGATATGACATTATTCATGGGTGTCTTTGTAATGTCTATAGAAGATCTTTCTTCAGGTCGTTTATAGAATCCACCTTCTTCTTCTGAATCACTCTCAACATCAAGTTGATGCATCTTTTTTACAAGAATAAACATAAAGAAAAGAAAAGAAAAAAAAAATAGACAAAATTAGTCTTCATGTATGTGTATAATTGATAGTTTAAATCAAGTATTTACAGAAGTAAGTTGAAAAGTTGAATCAAGTGGTATTGGTATACCAATAACTTCGACGTCTTCATGTGGGGAATATTGAACTTGTAATAATGTAGTTCCTACTTCAAAGGGACTCGTCAACATTGTTACAAAGTATTTTAATAAAGCAAAACTCGTACATCGAGCAGTAAAACTTTTAAGTTGAGTATTGTTATTATCCTCTAGTACTAACGGACTCGCATCACTTGTTGAAGGTAATGAAGTATAATTATGATGATGTAAACCTGGTGTATAATAAGGTCGATGTGGATTGACCTTTGGTGTTGACATATTCAATACAATATTTACACTCAAAAAAACAAATAAATAAATAAATAAAAATACAGTTATACTTTTTTTTTTTATGTAAATAAAGTTTTATTATGATACGATTTTAATAAACTGTTTTTTCTTCCCCCTTGCAATTTTTTTTTTAACTTACCTTGATGACTCAAAAATATATAAAATAAGCTAGAAATAAATAGATATTTATATGTGTATTTTTTTTTTTTTTTTTTTTTTGTTTGTCTGCTGTATTATGTTAAAAGAAAAAGGAGAGTCGAAATTATTGAATAAGTATATCTTCGCATCCTTTTACGTGTATTTATAGGACTGAATTATTGGTTCACACGATTAGATTGTTTGTATACAGACAAATAGGCAAAAAAAAAAAAAAAAAAAAAAAAAAAAAAAAAGGAAAAACAATCATGTTCGAGTAGGGGAAAAAAAAAATTTTTTTCTCCTTGTTTGATACATGTACGGCTTGTAAAATAAACATTTCAATATAATGTGTTAGATGTTCTTATATGAGTGAGATTCTCTGATGTTATTGATGACATTTATAATGTTAAGAACTGATACAGACACAGACATACTGAATGAGACTGAGTATATAGTTTTATAGAATATAATATATTATATAGTGATTTTTTTTTTTAATTTGTTGAATTGAAAATGAGTGTAATTTTATCAAAAGTGCAAACTTATTTTTCTCCTTTTTCTTTAATAAGGTGATCTGGTACGAGGAGGGTAAGGATCATATCTTGGTGGTGGGGGACGACGGTCATAACGATCATAGCGATGGTCGTAGCGGTCGTACCTATCATAGCGATCATAGCGATCATAACGGTCTCTTTCGTAACGATCATATCTGGGAGGATCATAACGATCCATATAATGTCTGTCATAATAACGATCATATCTAGGTTCACCACGAGGAGGTCTATGATCTCTTCTATCACGGGCTATACGTATTTAATTGTTACATTTAGTTGTCATACATATAACATATATAATTGAATATCACTTACGTCCTCTCTTGGGTGGACCATAATAACGACCAGGGGTAGGTGTTCTAGGTCTGGATCTCTTTGCCTTTTCAACTGTAACCATACGGCCGTCAATCTCAGTACCAGTAACACCATTTAAAGCTCTATCAGCATCTTCAGCAGTAGCCATACGAATAAAACCAAAGCCACGAGATTCACGAGTATGAGGGTCAACCATAATTTCAGCTTTAATAACCTATAAGTACATTTGAATAAATCACTATATTAATAAAATAGACACATACACACACATATATATATATATATATGTATGTATAATTTACCTTTCCGTATTTAGAAAAGATGTCTTCTAAATCAGCATTGGCCGTTCTAATAGAAAGACCAGTGATGAAGAGATTGTCTCCAGGATTGACATCATCATCTTGCCTATTAATATTTATAATGTGTATTTGTATATGTGTAAATATATTTGGCTGTAATATGTGTATTCATTGTTTTTTTTATGTATATGTAGAAATAGTGTAAATAATTATGTGGGCTGAACTGCTTACATTTGTTCTAAGGAACGGGAACGGCTTCTATATCTGTGACCACTGTGATCACGTCTAGGAGAACGAGATCTTGAACGACTACGAGAACGACGGCCTCTCTCATCTGAAACGCGTTGTTCAACTTTTTAGAAAAAAAAATAGTCAAAATTTACCCATGAAATGAGATTATATAAAAAAAAATCCTTAATGTTGAATAATAATTATTTACCTGAATTATCCAACTCACTCATGTTAATGATGAAATGAATTTAGGGAGAATTTAAAAAGGAAAAAAAAAAAAAGAGATGAAGGAAAAGAAAAAAAAAATAGATAAAAATAATTAATAACTAATACGTCATCGCCGTAGTATTGTACTGTGTTTTTAGAATAAGCAAGAAAAATTTTTACCAAATTGAGAATTATTTACTTTCAAAATGGGAAAAGCAAGACTACTATTCTGAGAAAAGTTAAACCAAAAATGAGGATACTATAGCTATTGAAGCGAAAGACAAAAAAATGGCGATAATAGGCCTCCAAGTTATCCTCTTTATTATCAATAATTATATAATAATTATATTCCATATTTTTTCGATTTCCTTTGGCAAGCATAGGAATGTATAATCAAATGAATCTTCTATATCAAGGACAGATGTCGGCGAACACAGTATTTTGTCTAACCGACAAAACCCACAAGCCATATCATAAAGCAATAATCACCTCCTTTACCCTATTTGTTTTGTTTAATTAAAATATAATGTCTACTCATTTTTTATACTAAGGGGATGCAAAATTGAAAAAACATCAGAGCATAATTAATAAAATTCAAAACCATAGACAGTTGGTCTTAAAAAAAAAAAAAAAAAAAAAAAAAAAAAAAAAAAAAAAAAAAAAAAAAAAAAAGTTCAAGATATGTAAATTATTTTAGGTAGAAGGCAATTATGTGAAATAAACTGTAAAACTTATTGAATTCAATTTAAAAAAAATAAAGATGCTTATTTAAAAAAGACATATACAAATCCTTCACTGTAATTTCATTTGTCAACTAGTGACACCTTTTGTAGTAGACAGTAGTAAAGGTTTGCAGTATAAGAAACAGTTACATAACTGACTTACTAATGGACTCTAAGACTACTATGTTGTATTACTATTAGCTCTACCTGCTTGTCCTATGTTTTTTTTCTCCACAAGTGTGTTATATATATGTGTGCTACAACACTTTTCTCTCAGAACCACTTCACGACTTTTGTTTCTCAACACTAATGCATAAGCAAATGCAAACACATATACTTCTACAAGTATTAACTATGTGTTTACTCTATAAGTATCCTTTACAACTGAATTCTACTAAATTACTCCAAAGTGTATTCGACAATTATGCTCTACAACCATACTCTATATATGTACATTACATATGTCTTCTACAACCTCTTCCCATAAATTTACTCTACAATCTCTCTCCTCTAGTTGATTCTACTTGTAATATCTACAATCCTTTCCAACTTGCTAATACTCCAAATGTATTATAATCTGACATCAAATAATAATTCAACAATCATCAAAAATAAGAAGATAATCAAGGTTGACTGTTGTTCTGTATTTAACCTTAGATTAAAAGTACTGCTTGGGCAAGTAATAACACAAAAGAAGAAAGGATTCCAAGTTTTTATTTACTCGTTCATATGATCCAAGAAAGCTGTACAATACTGAATATATTTCAGTCGTAACTAAATATTTTTCTGATCTCAGGTATTCTTCTATACATAACCCATCATTTAAGATCATAAATAAAACAATTAACTTCTTCTAGAACTAATAATGTTCGGTTTTGTTGGCTTCACTAGTCTTTTATTTATTTATTTATTTCCCTCTTTTCTTTTTTTCTTCTAAGTACTTTGATTTGATTAAAGCAATACTGTACATGCTCATTTATAAATAAATAAATAAATAAATAAATAAATAAATTGTTCAAAAATTTACAAACTTTTTCCAATTTCTATTTGTTATTTCTACAACTTGTTGAATTGTCCATCCACGAGCTTCGGCCACTATCTTTGCAATTTCGACCATACAAATATCAATACCGTTAGGCGAATTCAAATCAGATTCAATCAGTAGTCTATCTTCTGGTACAATTTTGATTAGTTCAATTAATTTTTTTGCTGGTAGCAGTCTTGCGTTAATGCAAACTGAAAATGAAACATATATTTCAAACCCTTTTAATTCTAAAAACTGTGTAATAGTAGCAGGTGCTCCACCAAATGAGTGCAAACACATGCGTAACGTATTTGGAGTCCTTTTTAATTTCTTTAGTTGTCGTGTACTGAATTGACTAGATTGCTTTTTAAGAAATTCAAACAGATGACCTTGACCTTGTACGCAATGGACACTAATACCTCGGTTTAATTCACGTGCAAGTTGACTTTGTATATCAAAAATTGCAAGTTGATGTTCAATAGATGTTTGGACTTGAGTTGGTTTACGTCCATGCCAATCAAGGGCACCACCCGGTAAAAGTCGTGCTGATCTATCTATACCTACTTCTCCAACTAAGGCATAAGGATAGTCTAGTAGACGTTGTCGCAAACTATTGTACCATACATCATATTGAAAAGGTTCAGTTAATGAATTTACCATTTCGTCTAGTTCTTCCTTATTGGGTGATTTTAATATAGAATAATAATATTCCTTTGGACTCTTTTTGGATTCATCTTGTGTCATTACGAAATGAGAAAACCAAGGATGAATCCCTAATGAATACTCAAATGTTTATATTTACTGCCTTTTTTTTATTATTTATTTATTGTTACATATGTCTGTTTACCAAAGCATGGTATGCATCTCTTTTCATATAGTTTGTTATTTTCATTGGTTACTTGGGCAACTACATCCCAATCATCTTGTCTGACGCCCATAATTGTAATATGTCCTGTTTTTAATTGATATATTTGTGATAGGTTATTTAAATCATCATGAGGATGACAATGGGAATCACAAAGATCTTTAAACAATGTTTCGTCAAATTCTTCTTTTGTGACAGGAACTCCATGGCTCTTAAATTCTAAATTTTCATCAGTTGACATTATTGTAAAAATATTTAATTTAAAAAAAAAAAAAAAAAAAAAAAAAAAAAAAAAAAAAAAAAAAAAAATGCATGTCAGCAGCAGCGGTCTGATTATTGTGTTGCTGTATATTAAAATTACTAAAGCTAGAAGAGTAATAATTTATCAATCAATTGTACAATATAAGGGTTATTTATTTTATTCTTTCTTTCTTTTTTTTTTTTTCCTTCAACTTTAAAAAAGAGAATGTCGGATGCAAAATATTTTCAAAGAGGTAAGCTAGAAATATGAAGATTATAAAATTAAATTAATAAAACCTCTCCTCCAAATAGGTAAAATTCAGGAACTTCGAGCAGAACTTACTTCTGAAAAAAGAGATCAAAAACATCAACGAAAGAAAACAGTTATGAAGAAAATTGTTGCCAACATGACAATGGGAAACGATATGTCACCTCTTTTCCCCGATATTTTGAATGTGATGCAAGTGCCCGTATTAGAAATTAAAAAAATGGTGTATCTTTACATCATTAATTACGCACGAACAAAACCTGATATGGCTGTTATGGCTATTTCTATGTTTATTAAGGTAAAAAAAAAATACAATTATCATCTTTGTATTAGTTGTATAGTTAATGGTTGAAAGATGGTACTGTACTATAGGATGTAGAAGACCCTAATCCCTTAATTAGAGCCTTAGCTATCCGTACTATGGGCTACATTCAGGTGGAGAAAATTGTAGATGTTTTAATTGACCCATTGAGACATAGTTTAAGAGATAGAGATCCTTATGTTCGTAAGACAGCTGCTACTTGCGTTGCTAAGCTATACATGTATGATCGAGTTCTTATAGAAAGTGAACATTTTGTAGACATGTTGAGAGATTTACTATCTGATCCTAATCCAACTGTAAGAAAAAAAAAAAAGTATATGGGCCATTTTTGCTTACCTTTTTTTATATTAGGTTGTTGCTAATGCTGTTGCTGCATTGACCGAAATTTCAGAGCGTTCAGATAATATTCAACTAAGATTAAATCATTCAATTGCCAGCAAGTTGGTTTCTGCTTTAAATGAATGTTCAGAATGGGGTCAAACATACATTTTGGAAGCTTTGATGTATTATGTACCTCAAGAAACAGAGGATGCAGAAATGCTTGCTGAACGTATTTCTCCTCGTTTACAGCATGCTAACTCTGCAGTTGTCTTGACAGCAACGAAAGTTATAATGTATCTTATGAATTATATAAAAAATGAAGAAGAAATTAGTCAATTATGCCGAAAACTAGGTCCACCTTTAGGTAAAATTATAAATATAAAAGACAATAATGATGGTACTGAGCCTTTTTTTTTTTTTTAGTTACTTTACTTGCATCAGGATATGAAGTTCAATATGTTGCTTTACGTAATATTCACCTTATTATTCAAAGAAGACCTGAAATTTTAAAGAACGATATTAAGGTGTTCTTTTGTAAATATGATGATCCTATTTGTGTTAAGTTGGGTAAATTAGAAATTATCTTTAGACTGGCCAATGTTGGAAACGTTGATATAGTTTTGAATGAACTAAAGGAGTAAGTACATCCTTTTTTTTAAAAAAAAAGAAAGAAAGAAAAAGAAAAAAAAAGAAAGAATAAAATTAACAAATTATATTTAGATACGCTGCTGAAGTGGATGTTGATTTTGTTAGAAAATCAGTCAGAGCCATTGGTAGATTAGCTGTTAAGATTGAGTCGGCAGCTAATAAATGCATTTCAGCATTGTTGGAGCTTATTCAAACTAAAGTCAACTATGTTGTTCAGGAAGCAATTATTGTTATTAGAGTATGTGATAGTGACATTTATAAAAAAAAAACATGTGTATATTTTTGTGTATTTTTTTTTCTAATACCTTTATTTGCATAAAGGATATTTTTAGGAAATATCCAAATCAGTATGAGAGTATTATTTCCACTTTATGTGAAAATTTGGATGATTTGAATGAACCAGAAGCTAAGGCTTCAATGATTTGGATCATTGGTCAATATGCTGACAGAATTGAAAATGCTGATCAATTATTAGATGACTTTTTATATACTTTCTTAGAAGAACCTTATGAAGTAAATAGGAAGAAGAAGAAAAAAAGAGAGAGAATATTAAGCAATACTCAATATCATTTATTTTTTATTAGGTTCAACTAGCGTTATTAACAGCTACAGTAAAATTATTTGTACAGAGACCTACAGCTGGTCAAGAATTAGTGCCTAAGGTGCTCAAATGGGCCACAGAGGAAGTAGATAATCCTGATTTACGTGATCGAGGTTATATTTATTGGCGTTTACTTTCAACTGATCCTGCTGTTGCCAAAGCTGTAGTCTTATCTGATAAGCCTGCGATTACAACAGAAAGTGATAATTTAGATCCTAATTTCCTTGATGAACTTTTGTTACATATCGGTTCATTATCCTCTATTTATCACAAGAGTCCTACTTCCTTTATTAATCGTTATAAGCCTCGTTATTTGTTACCCTCACCTGCTCTTCAGTCAAGAAATGAACTTCAACAACCATCTTTCGCTAAACAACAATTGCAGGAAACCTTTCAGCAGCCTTCCTTCCAACAATTGCAACCGTCATTATCACAGCAACAACCAAGTATAGCAGCAACTCCATTTAATGATTGGAGTTATAATGCAGCCACAAATAATAATAGAGTCGTATCTATTCAAAGTAGTAATCCATATTCTATGGACTTGTTACAATAAAGACTTTGTTTGCTCATATCAGAATTAAAAAAAAAAAGAAAGAAAAGAAAAGTAAAAAGAATTCCACACATCTTTGTTTGAATAAAATAATATGTGTATAAAAAACATTTGCTAAGAAAATTTTGAATTTTCAATAAACACACACATACATGTCAATCTATAAATCAGGAAGAAAACCCGTATCTATTTATTAAACATACATGTATATAATATATTTTTTTTTAAAAAAAAAAGAAAAAAGAAAAAGGGAGAATTAATAGTATTTCACATAATCGTCTTTAACTTGCATAAGCCAAATAAGAGAAGTAACTTAAAGCAAAAATAACAAGTTAGATAAATCATTATATATACTCAAGTGATTCTATTTTACCTGCAACAAACAAAGGAGACATGAAAGGACCATTGAATTTACAACCACGGAAAATGAAAAGTTCGGCAGCATAATGAGTCAAGGCAATAACATAAGTCCAAATACCAAGATCATACATACTATTGAAATATATATATTAAAAAAAAAATGAATACAAAAAAGATAACCCTAAATATATTGAGTCTTACAATTTATGTTGAAGATGGAAAGCTGCATAAATACGAATCATACTGACAGACCATGTCCAAGTAGCAAAAAGACGACCACTTAACGGAGTAACTTGAATCCAAATAAATATATATATGTATATGTTATATTATTCATTTATTTTTTCTTTTCTTCTTTTTCCACTAAATCCTCCCCTCTACATACACACACTCACTCACTCACTCAAACATTTATAAATGCAAACTATACCTTCATGAGGTTTATTAGCATAAAGGCGTTTAGTTAAGGAACTGGTACAAAAATTTTGAATAGAGTTAAAGATGCCGAGGGCAGAAGTAAATAACAACCACTTGGGAAGATATCCCTCAGGAAGAGTAGAGAACATTTCAGTAAGTTGAGTATACAAGCCGTCCATCATAAATATTGCTAAGAAAAAAAAAAAAAAAAAAGGAAAGAGAGAGAAGAAAAAAAAAGAAAATGTTTTTTGGTTCGAAAGAACATAAAGTGACACAAAAAAAAGAGCGGAATATGGAATTTTAAGCTTTTAATTACATAACATTATATGCTGCTTTGAGCTCCTCCATTATATATTACTGCTGCAACCTATGATGGTGAAGTTAACAAAAAAAAAAAAAAAAAAAAAAAAAAAAAAAAAAAAAAGGAAAAGACATAAATTACTTTTTAATTTATTTATTTTTTTATTTTTATTTTAAAGGATTCAAATCATCTTCTCCTTCTATACCAAAGGCGATATGAGGATCTTGCTCACTGTTTTTAGCAAATGTACCTATTTGAATTCGAATATTCTTGGATTCGTTAAATACACGACCATAATTCAAATATGAGAAGCTCTGTAGCTGATATTCAGCTAAAGGTGTCATACGCATAGATAATAAGGCAATTTGAGAGTTACCTCGAGCCACGCCTCTCATTTCTCTCATACTCACAGACCACACGATCGCCCACCAAATGATAGGTAAAAACAAACAAATAAAGAGTGTATAAGCTACGTGTTGTTTTACATGATAGATAGGCTCTGAACTGAAGAATGCTTCACCACTATTGTATTGTGAATTAAGGCCTTGGTAATCACGGTTTACAAAGGGGGCTTGGAAATAAGTATAATCAAAGGCCTGAAGTGCATCTCTCATAAAGTCTTCATAATACTTGGGGTCATTATCATTAGCAGTCGTCGCGTTGGAATGAGGACCGGTCCCTCCTTTGGTTTTTTCCAATCGCCATGCACTTAGATAATCATACATAGCATAGTATTTAGATACAATAAGCTCAATAAGTAATGATTGTTGCATGATATAAGCATTTACCATGATGGCCCATTCTGGATGTGCTGTAAGGGCATCAAAATGAATGGTTGTATTATTACCAAGAACACGATCATAGTCCATAATAATGGGTATTGATGTTTCAGGTCCAACTTTCTGTAAAGTACCATTTGATGTTTGCCAATTTGACTAGAATATAAAAAAGGGAAAGAGTTAAAAAAGAAAAAATAAAAAAGAATGGATGGAGAGAGAGAGAGAGAGAGAGAGAGCATTAAAATAAAAAATATACCTACTGTATTAAGGCTTGAAGTAAAAAAGCATTTTTTAAACCCCATTTCAGTATAATTATTTGCTATACGAGAAAACAGATTCTTTTTGTTATACGCCATGACAAATTGCTGATCACCAACATAGGGTCTATACTGTGGATCATAAATGAATTTATCAGCAAATAGACTTTTTATGTTTAACCCTGGTAAAAGAGGCTCGGTATAATTTAGCAAGTCATAATAGGTACGTCCCAGCATTTCAGGTGCATAAAGAAACATGGGGAAATATTTTGTTTTACCCGCATAACTAATATTCAAGTTGGTGAAATACTCTTTTAAGATAATAAGGGTCGGATCAGTGCCATCTCTGAGCGCGATGGCCTTGTCATTTTCTGTTATCTCTGTACATGACATGGTAGTAGATATGAAACTGACATTCTTGAATTCACAGCGGATTGCCTGATTTGGACAGGTATAGAGCGGTACTGATTTGGAGCCTGTAGCTGCTTGAGCAAAGCTAGAAGTCGTGATATAAGCATTCTTGGTTAATCCATTCATCTTGGGAGGCATACCACTGCCTTGCAAAGCACTGCGACCATTTATATCATACGGTTTAAAATAAAAGAATCGTGTATCAATACCTGAAGTAGTATAGTTGTTTATAAATGGTACAAGTATTTCTTGAGATAAGGGACTAATAGCTATAAGACCCATATTGAATACTAATGCTAAAATCAATATATGATCAAAGTGTAGAGCCTTTAATACTGTAATAAGTCCTATTATATAATATCCCTTGTTGTAGTTAGTATGTGTATTGTTTTTTTTTTTAGAGGAAAAAAAAACTAACTAACCTGAAATCCCCCTTGCGCAGCTATCATAAATATCTACAATTGTTAATTTAGCACCATTCTTTAAACGGACCCATTTGTACTCTGCAATCGCTCTATATACATATATAGAAAGAAATGGATTCATATTAGATATAAATCATGTATGATAATAGAATAAACTAACGTTGAAAGACCACTGGCTATGAAAATTACATTAATGCTGAGAATAAGAGAAACAAGCGAAGGAATTTTAAGACCCATGATTGTATAATCTAATGGTTTTCCATCTGCATGAAGAAATACAAATAATAAAACAAGATTAAAAAGGGAAGGCACAAGAATGTTGAACAAAGGTTTTGCCAAGTATGAAATTGAATTCACTTGCTGATGAAGAAGTCCGTTCGAGTTAATATCATCTTTGTTCATAGACAAGTATTTTTTGCTATCATTCGTGTCGTATTTATTTGGTAAAGTGGTAGTATTGTGTTTCTTTTCTTCAGAAGACATTCTACTGAGAGGAATCGTCTCCATATGATGATCAGAAGAATATAAATTTGTAAAATGACAAAGACTATACTGTTAGTAGTCTTTATATGAAATAAGAATAATAGCTAATAAATAAGGATTAACAAAAAGTAAGCATACTTTTATGTTTACTTATTTACCTTTATTATGTGTGTTTATTATATAGTTAGTAAAGAAAAGAAAAGAAAAGAAAAAAAAGTGAAATAAAAAAGTACAAATTTCTAAATAAACTATAAAGCTGTTATGAAAGAGAAGGCAATCCCACTAAACAAAAATAGAAGAATGGCATCCCTTTAATTTGCATAAATTCAGGAACAGTAGAATAAATTAAGCTTATATTGACGGAGATGTTATTATTTTTTAACTACTTTTCCCCTTTCTTTTTTTTTTTCCCCTCCCTAACTTAATCATACTGCAAAAGGGGAAATGAAATTATAAAAATTTAATATTTCTTTTCGATCTATGCAAATTCCATTGTACCTATTTTTTTAGCTTGCAGCAGATAAAAGTTCGAGATATAAACTTTAACTTTAATCTATTCTGTGGTCTATTACATCTTGAACAATGATCTTCACCAGTTATATTCTTCTGCCTTGTTCTTTTCTCTCCTTTTCTTTTTTTTTTTTTTTCTTTTTTTCGCAGGTTCAAAAATCTGAAAACTCTTTAAATAAGGTGATCTTCTGTTAAACAAGAGAAATGAAACATTATTTTGTTTCTGTACCTTGTATACTGTAAAGATGTCTTTTTTTTTAGATGATATTCAATTTGCATATAAACACAGGAATTTACTGTAAACGAATATGTACTTCTTTATCATTTCATTATGTTGTTCTGCTTAACTATAACATGATTTTTCATCTTTGACGACCCCCTTTTTTTTTTTCTTTGGTTTTATTTCGCCTCTCAAAAAAAAAAAAAAAAAAAAAACTAACACTTCTTTACATCCAAATTAGGAATATATCAGTTTTTTTTTTTTTTTATATAGCAACAAAAAAAAATTTTTTTTATATATAAATACAAATATATTTTTTTTCTTCATTAACAGAAATTAACAATTTAATACATTAAAGATGGGTAACGTAAGTATATTTATATAAAAAGAAAATAAAGAAACTAAATTAAAACACACACAAAAAAAAAGGAGGAGAATGGATAAAGTATAACATATAAATTGTATAATAGGGTCAAAAAGCACAAATGAAGCGTGAGCGTAACGCTAAGAACTCAAAGAAAGAACCTACTTCACAATTAAAGGCTGTAAGTAATTAGTTTTTTTTTTGCGTATATGTGTATGTATCTATACTAGACAGCTCGACTAATGTCCCTATGACTCTTCCTTTCTCTCTTTTTTTTTTGTATGGTTGTTGTTTAAAGAATCAAGCTGCAAAGAATATTATTTGTAAAACATGTTTTCAAACTTTCCTCTGTACTTCTCGTGAAAAAGCGTAAGTAATTGATATTAAAAGTGGAACAGATGAGTGATCTTAACTTGATGTCATTAGTTTAACTGAACATGCTGAAAATAAACACAACAAGACAATGAAGGAATGTTTCCCTGGTAAGTGTTCTTTTTCTTTTTTTTTAAAAAAAAAAAAAAGGTAAATGGAAACAACAAATTAATCACATTTATTTATTTATAGACTTTGTTGCTGCTTAATTATGATATTGCATTGATAGAATTCCTCTTAGTAAAGAGAAAAAAGAAATTACATTTATACATCATATCCTATTAATTATTTCAACTCCCTTTGGAAAAAGAAAAAAAAAAATTTATTACTTAATTTTAAAATAAAATAAAAACATTAATACTGAAATGAAATTATTATGTTACAAAACTAATTAAATACACAATAACAGTAGCAGCTGAAATGTATGTATGTATGTGTCTGTGTGCGTGTATGTGTCTGTGTGTGTATGTCTCTGTGCGTGTATATGTCTGTGTATATGTGTCTGTGTCTGTGTATTATTATTATTATTATTATTATTATTATTATTATTATTATTATTATTATTATTATTTTTTGTTTTTTTAAAAAAAAAAATATAAATATGGGATAATTTAAAGCAAAGCCATAGCAGCAACAATAGCAGTACCAAGAGTTAAAACACTAACACTTGTAAAAGTAGAAGTTGATCCTGAATGAGGAGCAGAAGCAGAAGCAGCATTGACAGATGTAGACACGTCATCTGTATTTGCGGTTGCAGCATTAGTAGGAGCAGAGGAAGTAGCAGCAACGATAGGAGCTTCACTGGTAGAGGTAGCAACAGTAGTACTTGTTGTTGTAGCATTTGTTGCAATTTCAGTCATATTTTCCTTATAAACTTGAACATTATTGCATTGACCAGCAGGAACTAAAGTGTATTTCTTTTGAAGAACAGGCAAGATACGAATAGCAACATCGACAGTTTCCTTATAGAGATCATGTTCAAGAGAGATACCACCCACTTCAGCAGTAGCGGCTTCCTTTGCCCAGAGTGTAACATTACCATCAATCCAAGATTCTTTATAGCCCTTTGGATTAGAGGCATAGGCCCAATCATTTGTATCATGATTCCAAATAATAGGAATAAAACCGAGGGCAGCGGCTACATCACGTACACGATCGTCAATGTCACCATAAGGAGGACGGAAGTAACGTGGAGAGACACCGGTGACTTCCTTAATGGCTAACTCATTCCATTTTAATTCAGCTACAATTTGCTCGTTTGTCAAGGTTGTCATATAATTATGAGACCAAGTATGCATGGCAATTTCATGACCTGATTGATAAGCACGTAAAGCATATTCAGGGTACTTGACAACCTGTCCACCTACCATAAAGAAAGTAACCTTGACATTAACTGAATCGAGATAATCATATAATTTAGGACTGTATTCAGAAGGTCCATCATCATAAGTTAATGCCCATTGTCCTTTAGGACATTGATAAAGGTCATCTTTGCCGAAACAACCAGTAAAAGTCCAATCACAATAAGGATCTTGACCTGGAACTTCAGGCTGAGGACCTAATCATATATACATCTATGTTAAACTCTGTCCATCTATCTATCTAATTCCTCTTTTACTTACCAGCATTATTCAAATTTTTATAAACAGGAGCTTTCGTAACATTGATGTTTTTAATCAATTCAAGCCATTCAGGTTTAGCTGTAGGAATGACATAAGGTTCAGGATAAGTTTCAGTAAATTTAAAATTGGAGGTTGTTGTTGCTGTTGTTCCAGCACTTCTAACGTGCAATCCTGGATGAGCGTTTGCCACTGAAAGAGCGATACTGGCAATAATGAAAATCTTTTGATACATAATGGAAGTTGATTTCTTTTCTTTAAAAAAAAAATAAAAGAATGGAAGAAAGGAAAGACAAATCTAGATATTATAAATTTTATTTATTTCAGGAAATATATATGTAGAAAGAAAGTGATGTATATGTTCTATTTTTTGAATTAAAGTAACACCAAATGAATTCCAGGAACATTATTATTAACGGATGTTAATGAATATGCCTGAATAGAAATTTCTTCTTTTTAACTAATTACAGAAATCAAAAAATTTCTTTTTTTTTTTTTTTTCGAAAATCTATTTTGTCAATTCTAATAATAGAGCTTATTGTTAATAATAAAACATTTAGTTTCATGTTGATAATGGAAAAATAAAAGATAGGATTACTATTACAATTATGTGAATATTTCATTTCTCGTGTAAATACCCCATATTTAGTTTCTTATAAGTTATACAGTTATTTTTTTTTTTTTTTTTTAGTAGGAAAAAAAAAAACAAATAATACGAGTAACAATAAGAGAATCATCATAGTGGTATATAAGCATATATATATATATATATACATTTATACCGTGTTTTACAGTATAACAAGTAAAATGCTGCTATTCTTCCATTTTTGTGTGTCTTTTTTTAATAGATGGTAGTCATGGCAATTTATTATTTTATTTTATTACATACTATTTATAGAAGAAAAAATTTGTCTAGTGGGTGCTACAGACTAGCACAGAAACAAAATAAACTCTACTGCACGTTGATTGTACAAATTGTTACTGTGTAACAAGCTATAACGTATTGCCAAGATGATAATATTTACTGTTGCAACCGACACAGACACATATTGTTATTATATTACATAATAATTAGATGAAGAGTGATTTACAATGATGATCATGTTACTTTTTCAATTTAAATAATACAAAAGGATACCTTTTTCCTCTCTCTCTCTCTCTCTCTTCTTTTAATCGTAGATTGAGATCAATCAATCTATTTTACAAACTTTATTATGTAATATTGCCTACATTTGTTTACGCAATAATAATAATAATAATAATAGCAGCAATTTTCTTTTCATCAATGTTTGTTAAAAGAAAAAAATATTTATTCTTCATATATTGACACGAATCAATGTTATCACTTCTATAAAAGTAAAAATATAAAAGGTTGTTTGATAAGGATAACAACAAAAGATAAAGTGAGAAAAAAAGAGTCACAAAAAAAATCCGGGGGTGAAGTCTCCCGTAATTTTTATCTATATTCCCGTCATACTTTATTATTATTATTATTATACAAAAAGGACAATCTTTTTATTTTGTTTTGCTCTAATTCTATCACAAGATGCATCGTATACTTGTTAATCGATTAGTGAATGCTACAAAGACATCTACTATAAAGTTAGGTAAGGATTACAGTTTTATTTGTCACTGAATTTCAAATACCCCCTCCCAAACAGTAGATTAAAGTCATCTTTTCCTTCTCCCCTTTTTTCCCCCATTATTTTTTAAATGAAGAGACGGTTGATTAACATTGCCATTGTAATAGGGTTTCATACTTCAACAAGTAATTCAGCCATAACACGTTTCAATTTACCTGCCATGAGTCCTACCATGACAGAAGGAACTATTCATAGATGGGTAGTAAAAGAAGGGGATTCATTTTCTGCTGGTGATGTTCTTTTAGAACTTGAAACAGATAAAGCACAAATTGATGTTGAAGCAGCTGAGGATGGTGTATTGGCAAAGATTATCGTAATGTATCTTATTTTAATCTTTTTTTTAAAAAAAAAGAGAGAGAGAGAAAAAGAAAGGAGAAGAAATACACAATGACAAAGTGATATTTATATTTATACATATTATTTTAGCTTCCTGAAGGTAAAAAGAGTCCTGTTAATACATTAATCGCTCTTTTAGCTGAAGAAGGAGATGATATTTCTAATGTTGAAATCCCTGCTGATAAAGGAGAAGAAAAGGCTTCCCCTGTTGAAGAAAAGGAAAAAGGTAAAGGGATAATGAAATTATAAAGAAGAGCTGTATTAACATAAAGAAAAAGCAACAGAATCTACTACTGCTAATAAAGCTGTTGTTTCACCTATTTCTCATCATGATATTGACACAAGCAAATTAAAGAAACCTTTATCACCAGCCGTATTAAGTTTGGTAACAAAGTATGGTATTAAAGATGTTAGTCTTATTGAACCTTCAGGATATGGAGGCCGTATCTTAAAAGGTGATGTTCTGGCCTATCTTGGTTTAATTAAACCTAAACCTGCTCCTAAGCCTACTTTGACAGCAGCACCCCCTAGAGATCAAATCATATTTGCAAAGGTTAGTAGAATGAATAGGAGAGATAATAGATCAGGAAAATTGACTAATTGTATATTCTTTTTTTTAAAAAAAAAAAAAGCCAAAGGTTAAAGAAGAAGAAAAAGAAATTAAAAAAGAAGCTCCTCCTACTTTTATTAGTAAAAAAATAACAGTTGATCCTCTTTTCAATTTACGCCAATCTTTAAATGGTATTAAAACAAAAAAAAAAAAAAAAGATTTGAATTATACATGTGTATCTATATATAACACATATCATTATTTTATTAGAGCAACATGGAACTTGTGTTAGTGTTAATGATTTCATCGCTAAAGCAGCTGAACGCGCTTTACAAGACGTGACTACGCGTTCATCTTTTGATAATAATAAGAAGAAGAATATTATTTACAATAATGTTAAATCATTCTCAGAAACAAAATACAATGGTGGTACTTTCAAGTAAAGTAGTACATAATACAAATGGCATGTATTCTATTCTAAATCTATTGTTGTATATATAGGATATTTAATCTAGCTGATCCTGTTTATGATTTTATCTCGGATTCTTATACAAATGCAAAGCCATATATTATGCAAGTAGGAGGTAGTAAACGATATTCAATGCAACAAGCAAAAAAATCAGAAAATCAAGAAATGCTTGACTTGATTGATTATCTTGGTGATGAAAAAACTAGCGTCACTAAATATAATCATATTCGACTTTCAACTCAACAAACACCTAAAATTAATTTCTTAAATGAACCAAAGAAGCAGAATCGATATGAAATTGAAGTAAAACTTGATGGAGGAATTCCAAATGATCCAAAAGCAAATGCTTTCCTTGATCGAGTCGAATATTATATTAGAAATCCTAATGAATTAGTTGTATAATAATAAATTAAGCATTCTTACTATTTACACGAGATAGAAAGAAAGAAAAAAAAAAGTATGTAAATAGAGTCAGAGTGACATCATCTTCGTTTCACTTAAATTAAAAATATTTATATAGAGATAATGGAAAAAAGAAACCATCTCATTTAACGTAGCTCTTTCTCTCCTCCTCCTCCTCCCCCCAAAAAAAAAGAAAGAAACCTTTCCATAATTAAAAAGTGATGAATTTCGTTCGAGTTATCATAAATACTTAATTATAGTAGTACTGCTACTTCACTTTATAAACCTTCTTTTTATAATTAGCACATTATTACATAAAAAAGAAGAAATGATATCATAATTTAACCCATGAAAACTATATAACAACCACAAGTTCTAGCCAATTCTAACCTTTTGATTTCCGGGGATTTTATATCACCAAATGATGATATGCCGTGTAATTTTTTTTTTTTTTTTTAACTATTATTAACTAAAAAAAAAACTGTGTTTAAAAATAGATTCAACCACATTTTTTTAATCTTAAGATTCAGATGATTTTAATTTTTTTTTTTTGTGGATAAAGTAAAATGGAATTACGCACAAATCTGGAAAGCAAATTCAGAAAAAATGAATATCCATTTTAGAATGAATATAGTTTTTTTTTTAGATAAATTAGTAAATTGCTTTTTTAAATGATGTGTTACAAATTTTTACTAAAAAAAAAAAAGAAAAAAAAAAAGACGCGTGTTACCATCTTTCGGAAACCTGCTATTGACCTGTCATTATAGTTGGAATGAACTTTTAGTCGAATTCCTTTAATCAACTGTTACAATCCATGATACAATTTCCAGCTGGTACCCATTTTGACTTTTGACGCACGTCTTGGTTATTATATATAAAAAAAAATGTTTTTTTTCTTTCCTATCTTTACGCCCCACAACTAGTGTTTTGTTTGTTATTAGCTGAAAGGTTGAAAGGCTTACTTTCAGTTGGTCTTTCATCATTGTTATGAGTGTTGTTAAAATAATCTATTTTTTTTTTTACAATAGTTGATATATAAGACTAGAAGTAACTTTTAGACTACCATAACACTAAACATAGGCTATACTTATTTGCAATAGTAATACTAATATTAAACATTTGTAACGATATTCTCCCACTTTATAAAAGTGTCTGGATTCATGTCGGCATATCAATATATCAGAAAAATAAGGCACCATTTTTTCTTTTTTTTTTTAGAAAAAAAGCATGTATCATGTAACTTTAAGGTGATAAACATTATAATAAAAGGAGTCCATCATGACACAAAAATTTTATCATGATCAATAGGAAAGTGCATATTATATATTCTGTAAGACTTTATTAGTGTCTGGTGTCTCCCCCACCTCTCACCATCATAGCAGCTTCATATTCATTCGGCATGTTGGAAGCAAGCAATTCAAGTAGACCATTGCTTATATCACACTGCTCCTTTTTTGAAGATATACCTTCAACTGATATTCATCATCATCAAACCGAGTTCTGCTATTTTGTAGGCACTTTTTAAAGATAGGCCCAGATGATATATATATATATGTATATACAACAAAAATAAAATATTTAATAAAACTTTTTCTTTTACAATATTTACTTTTTTAAATAATGTTTAAGGCTGTATTCGTATTTTTATTAACTTTACCATATGCGACTTTTTTTTTTTTTTGTGAACTAAATGTATTGTATTATTTAGTTGTGAAATGTAAAAGAAAAAAACTGCAGAAAAAATATATATCATACGAAAAAAAAAGATATTATGAGTGCGAGAGATTGGGAGCGCCTTCAACAAGCAAAGGTATACATATTCTTGTATACATATTAATATTCTGAACAAGTATCTCTTTTATTGATAATGTTTATATGAATAGTAGGTTCGAAAAGACAAATGAAAATAACGAGACAAGTAAAAGTTAAAGATTTGAAAAAAAAAAAATACATACATGTATAAAAACCATGTTGCCAAATAATAAGCTTGTTAAAAAGATAGTAGACGAGTACTGTTATTAGTATGTTTGTGGTGGTAGCCTTGTATGGCCAGAGAAAGCTGTATCTATTTCTAGCAAACAAAAGGCTATGATAGATGCAATTTGTACTCGTCTACTTGAAATTCTTATGCCAAAATCAGCTACACCAAAAAAAAAGGTTTGTCTGCATTTCCAGAAGAATAGACTCCAATGTTTAGCAAAATAATGAGAGTATATGAATTCTAACACCAAATGCAACAACAAGAATTGTTTTCTCTTCCTCAATTACTTTCTTTGTGCCCAAGTCCCTTTTTTTAAAGTAGAGATTTATTACAATAAATCTAAGCACTCTTTCCGCATTTGCAGGTATAAAGTTAAAAAAAAAAAACTTTTATAAAGATAGACTTGCGATGTTTAGTAACGTCTTTAATTTTTTTAAAAAAAAAGGCTACCGTTATATGAATAAGTTTCTATATAGACATACACTAATTACTTTATGAACAACTCAAACAAAAAAATATACATATTTGTATATACATTTTTGGCAATTTAATCAAGACAGACGATTTTACAGCAGATGTAACATTACTTGAGGACCCAAGCGATTATAAATACTATTCAAATCAAGATATTCATATTTGAGAATTGGATGATGTTGTACAAAGCTTTAATTATGACAGTTACCCTATCTGCACCTTAGATCTTGGTCGTAGCCAAGTTTTTTTTTTTTTTTTTTTTTTTTTTTTTTTTTTTTTTACTATAGCACATGGAGAGGATGAAATACCGCCATCAGATAAGAAGATGCTCCACTAAAGGAGTACTATATTGACTGATAGTATAGTATTAGAATTCGATTTCTTTATATATCTTTGAATTCGCTATTAAATAAAGGTTCAAGAAGATTCAAGCATTATAACATTTCCTATTTTGTTCTTCAGGTCTAAAATACATTTTATATAATATACAAAAGTTGAATTTTTATTTCTAATTACAAATGTACTTGTTAGAAGTCAAAAAAAACAGTATTGGGAATCCAAGAAGTCTGTAGTCTAATGGGAAGCAAGCTACCTGTTATTGCTTTTGGCACGGGTATCAAGGATAGAGATGCTATTCATTTCAAAGGATTAATAGAAGTTTTATGAGAAACTTTAAAATGTCGGTAGAAAAATGGGAGGGGGGGGAGAGAGGTTGATTTTTGCCGACGTGGATGAATTTTGTACCTCAAGGATAATCTAATAATTTGATATTATGGCATTGATTAATTTTTTTTTTTAAATAGGTATGAAACTCATGTTGGCAAAGAGCCTTTATAAATGCATTTATAGGACTTTATCATATTCAAGCTTGCCAAAAGCTGTAGAATATGATAGCAAAGAGATATAAATACATCAAAAAAAAACATTTTCAATATCATCCAGAAGGAATTAGATAACTGCAGTCGTCTGCCAAGAAGAGAAGTTTTTTTTTCTATATATTCATGTATATATATACACATACAAATAAATATTTATATGTATATATCACCATATCGAACATGGTTTCCTTTCTCTTTTGGGGAAGAAAGATTTAGATTTTCATAGGTAACACATCATCTAAAAAAGCAATTTGCTAATTTATCTAAAAAAAAACTATATTCATTCTAAAATGGATATTCACTTTTTCTGAATTTGCTTTCCAGATTTGTGCGTAATTTCATTTTACTTTATCCACAAAAAAAAAAAATTAAAATCATCTGAATCTTAAGATTAAAGATTACAATAAAAAAAAAGTGGTTGAATCTATTTTTAAACAGCGATTCGGTTTTCTTTTAAACAAATGTCCAATTAAGAGTGGAATGACTATAATAATAACATTTTTTTATCCAAAAAAAGAATTCTCCGATGTTGTTGTCGCCGCCTCATGTCTTCTTTGTTACAATAATAAAGTTTTGTGTTAGGGATATCATTTATCTCCGTTGTTGTTATTTATGTAATGTACCTTACATATTGATAATAATACATGTATTTGTATTTGTATTCATATTTGTATATATTTTTTTTTTATTACTGTTGATCATAGATGTACTACACGTGATTTTTTGTTGTTGTTATCAGCATTTATTGTTGGTTTAGAAGAAAGTCTTTGAAACTTTCTCCCAATTAATCAAAAAAAAAAAAATTTTTTTTTAATCTTCTCTCCATGTAAGACATTTGTATTTTATATTATAAATTATTATACTTTATTTGCATTATAAATAATAATTATCATGAATGACGGTCACATTTTATAAATTTACCAAAAATAGATAGGTCGATCAAATTGTGTACCTGATATATTAATTCATTATTTTTATTTATGTACAAAATTCATGATAATAATATGTATTATATAAACAAAAACAAAAAAAAAATTTTTTTCCATATTAAGAAAAGAGAGAAAAAGAGAGAGTAGGGGAATCATATACATATGTATGTATGTATGTATGTATGTATGTATGTATGTATGCATGCATGTATATATGTATATATGTATGTATATATGTATGTATGTATGAATATATGTATGTATGTAAATATGTATGTAAATATGTATATATACAAAAAAATAGAGTTAAAAGAAGATTTGATTGTTATTATTGTTCATATAATAATAACTATTGGAAGTGGCTGGAGTAAGATAATAGTGCTGTTGATTGACGATAGCAGATATTAATGATGTAGTAACATTGTTTTGGATAGATGAGGACCAGCTCAAGATGGGTTTACAGATGATAGTAGAAGGAGGAGTGGGATAAGAATAAAGTGGTTGTTGTTGTAAGGTGGTTGGAGTTGTTGTCATTGAATTCTTCTTCTTTTTATTCTGATATAAAGTAGTGTGGTAGTCTTCTTGTTGTTCATGTTGAATCAATTTACGTTTCATAGAAGAATTATTTTGATCAACGAATAAATAAGGTTCTTGTTTAATTGAATGCATTAGACTATCAGACCATATAGTTTGACATTGTAATATCCATGCATAATACATTGTATCTGATGTATGTAAATTATAGTCTAAAGCCGATAAAAATTCAATTTCCATAATATTTAATTCATGAACAGGAATCTTGGACACATCAGACCAAGTCTATTATTACTACTTGGTTAGTTTACATTCTATTCTATTCTATTCTATTAAAATGTGACCAACCTTATTTGTGAATGTGTTATCATCTAAATATTTATTCGCTAATATTAATGATGTCGTGAATAATCGAACTTCAGATCCAATAGAAGCATGTATGACTGGATAAGCAAGTCGTAATCGTTGAATATAATATAAGGCTAATAACATGCAAGTACATGATATTTGGGTTGCTTTCAACACTTTATGAATGTATAATTTAAAGGCAGCATGTCGTTTCGGACTTAATATAGGCTTTTTATAAGATCTTGCCCATATACAAGGTATGATCACTGCACAAAATTCGGCCAATTCTGAATAATCTGTTATTGATAAAAGAGAAACTTTTGTCATTGAATTGTAAAGAAGAATACACAATAAATATGTACAAAGAGATTAAAATGTGCAAAAGAAAAAAAAATAAAGATAAGAAAAAGAAAAATTAAAGACGAGAGATCTTAAATTGGTTCAAGTCTTTATATATAATTTCTGAGAATAAACTTATGCGTTTGATTCCTTTTTTTAGGGGCCGTTCAAACGGAAGTAAAAAGAAAAAAAATAAAAATAATAACGTTCCATCGTGATACATTAAAAAAAAAAAAAAAAAAATAGTAAATAAAAAAAGGGATTTTAAACACATACACACACAAGCACGCATATTGTATGGTTTCCTTAATTTTTTTTTATTTTTTTATTTTTTTTTTGGCTTTTATTTGACTTTCACTCCTTCTCTCTTTCGTCTTGTTTTCTTCTTTCCTTCTTCTCTTCTCCCCCCAAAAATAAATAAATAAATAAAATTAGAATAAAAAAGGTTACTTCTTTGTGCTATTATTTCTTCCTTCTTCTCCCTTTCCCTCCCACTCCCCCCAATTTTGTTATTATTTCATGTATTCTAAATTCCCCTTTTTGTTTGGTTTTGATTTAATATTTTCTTTTTCTTCTATATCTTCCTCCTCTACTTCTTCCCCCAAAAAAAGAAACCTATTTTTCTTTTGACAACATTTTTTTTTTTTATCTTTTCGCTGTCTCTCTCTCCTCTTAAATAACCTTTTATAGACTCCTTTCGAATCTTCTTCTATTATATTTTCCTCCCAAAATAGATTTGTTATACAGTTTATTTTAATAATAATAAACCTATTTCAGTTTCATTTTTTTTTTTTTGTGTATGTAATATGTTCCATCTCCTTTCACAAGACATTATAAAATAATGACGATAAAAAAATTTATCAAATTTAAGCGACACATGAGCATACATAAATATATTTGTAATGAATTAGCAAATACTTAAAAAAATTTTTTTTTTCTTTCCTCTATTATTATGTAATGAGGATTTCGATATATACACCCCATTTTACGCACCCTACTTGAATAGTAATATCATTGTCATCATGTGAATAAACTATTTTTTATTTTTTGTCTTTTTTTTTTTTTTTTTTTTTTTTTTTTTTTTGAAACAATTGCAGTGACGAGATGCAAGCAAGAACATCACTCAGTGTTTGCATAAAATTACCATGCTTAAATAATAAAAATTTGAATGTACAAATTAAAAAAGGTCAAGATATTAAAGAACTTGTTCAGCATCTTATTCAAACACACGCAATACCTCCATATTTAACAATATCTATATATTCAACTATTTTATCCGCTATGAATGAGTCTTGTCAAAAAGATCAGTTAAACATTCATTCAACGTTATCAAAACACGAATTACGTCATTTATTTGTAGATGCATATCAATCAAATACCCTTCAATATAATAATAAACCTGAAGATGTAATATAATCTGTAATGGTCATCAGGATGATGGGAAAAATAATAATAATAAATGCTTTTATTTTATAGGATATTTTCCCTCGTGCATTTCATACCCTTGTCCATTGTCCTGTCACATCCATATTTGATACTTTACTTGAATTAGAACAAAATTATGCCATTGCTATTCAAGAACTGCAAACTGCAAGTGATCACGAATTAGTAGCTATTCAAGCAAGGTAGAATAATATATAAAAAGAAATAAAATGATTGGATTAGAAACATGATTTTATTTGTTTAAATAATAGACAAGCACAAGAAATAGAATCTGTTTCTATGTCAAGCCTTGAATCGAATATACCAGGAACAAATCTATCGAATCAAAATAGTAACATGACGACCCTCTTTACTCGTCAAGTAGAAGAAATGGAAGTATTTCAAGCGACTTGGCAATCTGAAATTATGCAGACTCAACAAACTCAACGTCAGGAATACAGGGACTTTGTCATTGAACTTTATCGTGCATATCAATCAACATTAGCTTCCCTTTCTGATAGTGAACATCTTAAACCAGAAGATACATTAAAGAAATTAGATGGTAAAGAAATTGTTGCTATCGCTGCAAATCGGATGCGTCAATGGGAAGAAGAACAACAACAACAACAACTTCAAACTGCTGACTCTGTTCATAGTGATAGTAGTCATACTTCAAGTCATACAACTTCTCTTCCTACACGACCTCGTACCGCTTCTTTAGCAAGTAGTCTTGGTTCTCCTAATCTACAACACGCTTCATTCTCTCCTAATGAATTGGCTTCTTTAGTACGTACTGCTTCTTTATCCTCTGGCTATGACCCTGTTTCTGTCAAGAACATTCAGGAAATGGGCTTTGCTAAGGATCAAGCAGAGTCGGCTTTGATCTTGTCAAATCAAAATATGGAAGCTGCTATTGCTTTATTACTTGAAAATCCAAAAAAGGTCGACGCTTATTTAGCTGAACAACGATTACAACTGCAACAACTAGAACAACAGAAACATTTTAAACAAATGTCCCATCCACCTGCAAGTTCAAATACGCCCTATTATCGTCGTTCATATTCTTTAAGTCAAGTATCTCGTCCATCTATTCCAATTTCACGTCAACACACTACTCCAACTACAGCATCAAAGAGACGTTATTCTTTACAACGCTTTAGTACTACGCCTACCTTTTTAAATATGATGGGTCATAAAAATACGAATAACCCTCCTTTATCAACGCATGCTGCCACTCCTACTTCTACTACTCCTTCTCCTCCTCCTACAACTATAGCAACAAATACAAATAAAAGTTGGAATCCAATTTCTTTCTTGCAACAACAGAAACAAGCCATGGAGAATACAAATCTAAGTTCAGTGCGTAAATTGGGTGGATGGTTAGGTAAAGCAATGGAAAACTTGGGTATAGAAAATGAGAACGGTACTTTAGAAAAAAGAGAGCAAGCTATGATATCAACTCAACAACAAGCACCTCAACTAGTAGAATCATTTACAATCATGATGGGTACAGTACAAGTGAAGACATCACATAATTTACGTTTATTAGTAACAAATGTCGCAACTGACATATTTCACCCTGAGCATTATGATCCATTAAGAGAAATGGCCTATCGAGCTGAAACAGCTACAAAATTGTATACAAGTCATCTAAGTGCTATCATCGTTCTAGTTGAAATAAGTGAGTTGATGTCGAAACGAAAAGAAGATACGTCTATTACAGATTGGAGACTTTATCGTACAGGTAAAAGTCATAGTAATAAAGCCTTTTTTGAACGTTGTCGACAATCAACAGAATTTCATTTCCCTGATGTTGAAAGTCAATTAAGACAAATTGAAGAGGATTTTCAACCCCATCAATTAACTGAAGGTTCCTTTTTTATAACAAAACATTCTAATTTACCTAGCACACAGATTGTATTTCATCTCTTGATTGATAGTACAGGTAAGTCATCTCGGGGACGACTCTATATGTATATATATATATATATATTTTAATTGTATTTTTTTTTTTTAAAGCCATCACAGCAACTCAATTATCCAATCGACATCCATTAATCACAGGTCTTCGTCATATATTGAAAATAACAACTCAGTATGATATTTCATCATTATCTATCCCGCTTTTATTATTACCTGATCGATTCCATGAATTGGCTACAGATACAACAGAGACACAACGATCCAGTTGGCTACAAAAAAGGGGTGAAGTCGTGATGAAATGCATAAAGGGATTCTTGATTGAGAATTCGAGAAATGGGAAAAGAGTTCAAAATGAAGGTTTAGATCGAGCTGAAAGTATGGGAAATGGTGGATTAAGAAATATTGAATTTTTAATACCTAATAATGCGGAGATCTATATGGGTCATCATTCCTTACAACAACATCCCTCTCATTCGCAATACATAAATCATGGAACTAATACCACTACAACAACAACAACATCTACTACTACTACTACCACCACCACCACTACTACTGCTGCTATTACTACTAATAGTAATACTTCAGGAATAGATACTCCATTGGATACTAATGGTGCTCAGTCCATGTTAATTCCACAGGAGGTTGAAACTGCATTTGAACAATTTAGAGCTTTATTAGTCAATCTATTCCGTACGAGTTAAAAAAAAAATGAATGTAAATAATAAAAAAGGAAAAGGAAAAGGAGGGAGGGAGCAGAGAGAAGAAAAAAAAAAAAAAGGAAGAATTGACAGAACATTTTTTTTTTTTTAACATGACAATAATTTATTTATTTTTTTTTAAAAAATACAAGGTTTATTCGTTTAATTAAGGATTTTCGTTGAAAAGCATTTCAATAGCAGCATTAACATTTCCTCCTGTAGCAGTTAAGGCTCTAATATTTTTTGCAGCATCCCAAAAACCCATTTCATTTAATTGCTGTAATTGAACTTGAAAACGTTCTTCAGGAGGACGATTATCAACAGGTGCTGGACTTGAACCAAAAAGTGCAGCCATACGTTGTTGTAATTGAGGATCAATAGGGGGCACGTTACCGAAACTAGCAAAAGGGTTTTGTTGTTGTTGTTGTTGTTGATTATTAGTATGAGTGGGTGAAGGAGTAGAGATGGCGCCAAAGGGATTACCACCCATACCACTGTTTTGAAATGTAGAAGCCATAGTTGCCATTTGTCGAATCATTTCTGGATTTGAGAGCATCTGTCTAAATTCAGGACTTTGCATCATGCCACGAATTTCAGGACCCATACTGGCTAGTTGAGGATTTGTTTGGATAATGGAGTCAAGAATAGCAGGGTTTTGTAAAATATTTGACATGTATTGAGCAAATAATGGATTTTGTAACATTTGATTTGTCATGGAAGGATCTAATCCACCAAAACTATTTCCCATCGCACCTGCACCGAAACCTGCACCAAACATATTGAAAGGATTACTTTGAGAATCAGCAGGCATGCCTGCAAATCCTGCAAAAGGGTTAGAATTAGGTGCTTGTGATGGCTGTGTAGTATTATTTGTTGTATTTGGTGTTGCTGAGGATGGTGTTGAGGTTGAGGTTGTTGTTGTTGTTGTTGCACCAGTAGTAGGAGCTGTCGAAGCTATATTTTTTTTTTTTTTAAAAAAAAAGTCAATGGATATTTCCTTTTTATTTATTTATTTATTTACCTTTAGCAGCTCCAGGTTGAGAACCCTTTACCATATGAACAGTATTACCATCTGCAATTTTACAGTCTGCTAAAGTATCAGGATCTTTTAGTACACGGCCTGAATAAATAAGTCTCTGTCTTTCAGCAGGAACTTCTGTTTGTTCAGCAATAGCATTTTTTAAATCTAAAACAGTTTTATTGGTTTCAATAGTAATGATAAACTTTTTATCACTAGATGACTTTATATTAACGTTAATTGTATTCGACATTTTGTTTAAAAAGAAAATAAAAGAGTAGAAAAAGAAAATGCCAGAATAATATTAAATGTATATTTTTTTTAAAGGAAAAAGGTGACGTATTCTTTCCATTTTTGTAAAAAAAAATCCATCTTTTAACTGTAAATTAAAAAAAAATCACAAAAAAAATAAAATAAAATAAAATAAAATAAAATAAAAATGCACAAGTTTATTTATACAACATGAAGTCTAATTAATTCTTTTCTTTTTTTGCCTTTTTTTTATCTTTTTTTTCCTTTTTCTCTTTTTTCTCCTTCTTTGACTTTTTCTTTTCTTCAGTTTTATTATCTTCTTCACTATCTTCTGTTCTCTTTCTCTTCTTTGGTGTTTCATCCTCGACAGCCATTTTAATATCCTTTTCGTCATTCTTACTTTGATCCAATGTCACTTCACCTGTTTTTGTTATTTAATATCCATTAAGAATAAGAATTAAAAGAAAAAAAAAAAAAGGGAGCCAGTTTAAATTTTACCAGAATAATATCCATAAGGCTTAAATCGCATTTTAAGACCTTCTGGTTGTTCTCTTTTATAAACGGGTCTATCAAGAATAGATTGAGCCAAGATAGTTGTATCAGGAATATCAATAACTTGATTCAAAATTAAATACTGACTAAACTTCTTTGGAGCTATCAAATAAAATAAAATAAATTTATAGAAAATAAAATATGTCATAGTTATTATATTTTTACCAAAAGTAAGGTTGCCGTTATCTTCACGAGTAGGAACTAAACAATCAAGTGACAGCATTTCATGACCACTAATGCCAATATCTAAACTTTCATCTGATTCGCCATCTGATCCAGACTTTAAGTCAGTTGTAGTAGGTACTTTATATAAAGCATATTTGTCTCCTTCCTTCTCCATTTTACCTAAAGGCTTTTTTGAAGCCTTGTCAGAAGGTAACTTAAACTTCATATTAACTAGTTCTTTCTCATCAATCTACAATCCATTTTTAAATCATTTAATATATATAACTATATAAAACATTAAATTTATGATTGCTTTACATTATCTGGAATACGAATTAACCAAAGTTCTTTATCATCATCTAAAAGAATCTCTTTGTCGTAAGGTGAATCGAATTTTGAAAGTGCAGGTTGAAATCCGTCTGTAGTACTTGTAATAAATTGTAATTAATGATAAGGTTTTTTATATACATATACATATATTTTTTTTTCTTTAATTTGAATATACATATATGCATGTATATATGTATATTTATTTACTTTAACAGTGAACTCATGTTAATTCGTTTTAAATGGAGTAATATAAATATTAGATTATGAAAAAAAACAAAACAACAAAAAGGCTCAAAGATTTTTTTTTAGTCGTCACATATATGAGTAGTCACAAATATGAGCTGCAGTCCGTAGTGTATGTAGCCATCTTTTTTTTTTTTTTTTCGAAAATACACTTCCAGAAAAAAAAAAAAGATTAAAAATGCTGCCAGCAGTATTGTAGTTGTTACTATTTATTATTAGTGTTGTACTTTGATGATGATGGTGATATAAGCAAATATAAATGTTATAAAGATATCATACGATTTTTTCTTACTATCGAAGTAGTAGAAGTAGTAGTAGTAGTAGTGGTAGTAGTGCTGAGCAAAATATTTATTTTTATAAACAACGCTTGCTGCTGATCTATTTTATTTCTTTCTTCTCCTCTCCCCCCCTTTTTTTTTTTTTTTTTTTTTTAATTATAACGTTGCATTATTATTAAGAATAAATACTGCGTAATGTAGACATGCATTTTTTTTTTTTTTAAAAAAAAATAATCTAGAAACGTAGTTTGTGTAACATTTAAAGGACAGAGAACAAATGTAGTGTCACTTCCAAAATTGGTGTAACCATAAATAAGTCCACAACAGTAGTTAGCAACAACAACAACAACAGCCTACTAATAGTGGTAGTAAGACAAATAATGAATTTTCGTTTTTTTAGCAACAACAAGCTCACTAATATCCCGTGCCGCGCTTCAATAGTCGTAGTAGTAGTGATAGTATAACACAACTACTAATAATATAAATTGTCTTTTACTATATTTATACAGGTGAGACATTTTGTTTATTTATTTATTTTTTCTTCTTTCACAAAAGAACGTAATAAACAGTTGTTGTATTTATGATTATTTTTTTCAGCCTACTCTATTTTATAAAACATAAAACTCTTCTAGGCCAATAGGATATAGTTTATGTATAAAAAAGTCAGTTTTCTTTTCTTTTTTTTTTTCAGATTTATCATATTATGTAATTATTATTTTTTTCATAAAAAAAAAAAAAAGCTTAAGAATCCGAGGAATGAAAGTAAGCTGCCTAAAACGGATAGTCATTCATCAGGGGGATACACATACATGTACACACACAAAAAAAAAAAGAAAAATCTAAAAGAACAACAAGTTGTTTCCTTTTTCATTTCATCAATGTAGTTAGTCGCATGTTTTTGATTTGAATCGCATATTACGTTTTATGATTATCCAAATGTCTGCTTCCGATTGGTATCCAACAATTTGTTACCATGAAAATCAGCCTTCTTTTTAAAAAAGAATATCATATTATTAATTTAAAAAGGCGTTGTTGTGTGACTATGAAAATAAAATTTCTGTGACGCCTTTTTTTTTTTAGTTTGAAAGAAGGGATAATCATAATTAGTCATCCATTTCAAACTCAGAAAATAATGGGAAAAAAAAAAACTATAAAAGGAGGGTCAAAATGCAGAAAGTGATTGAATCTTTATCCTCTCAGGCCTTTTGGCTAAGATCAAGTGTAGTATCTGTTCTTTATAGTTTAACAACTATAACGAGGGGCATGTCCCCTCAATGTTGTTAATCTAATTTTTTCCGCCTGGAATCCAAAGCTCTGGCTTGCTATCTTTGGAATCCACAGGTGTCCTTTGCCTTACACTACCCGCAAAGTGACGCCGAAACCATTCTTTTTATCATTTTATATCTATTTTAAAGAAAAATGAAAAATAATAATAAAATATCTTCATTATTTGGTTAGCAATTAATAATGGTATCTTTGAATAATGAAGAAAACTAGTGTTCATATTCATCAAAGAAGATGGATATAATAGTGCGTCTTCATTAATAATAATAAAAAATGCTTATTATTCGTATTTTATAAATTATATTTATCATTTATTTCAAAATTATATACAAATATATCTTTTTTTTAAAAAAAAAGAGGAAACGTTCGTCAAGATTATTTCTACATTTTATTTAATTGCAGCGAAAAATCCATCATATAAGAATCAAAACTTTTTTTTTTTTTCGTGGTTTCGAAAATGAGTTCATTTACTGTTAATATGATATTTTTGCATTTATGGGTTTCTGGTTCTTTTTTTTTTTTTTTAATTTAATTTTTTTTTCCGAGTCTTCTTGTATAAATAGGTCAAGATGTCTGGTATATTTAAGAAAAAAGATAATTATGTAAATACTCCAGGCAGAAATAATATTCAACATAGTACCACCACTGCCAATTGGGGTGATGATGAATATGCTCAAATCATTGAAGGTGTCAAGAAGATTTATAAAACAAAGATTAAGCCTTTAGAGGTGACATATAATTTTGAAGGTGAGAAAAAAAGAGAAAAATTATTCTATGTGTTGCTTACTTGTCTCTATCTAAAAAAAAAAAGGTTTTCATTCTGCACCTTTGACAGATTCTGATATTGAAGCTAAGCCAATGGTTTTATTACTTGGTCAATATTCCACTGTAAACATATTATATTTGTATAAAAAAAAAAAGCAAAACGATAAGGGATATTTTTTTTTATAAATATTTACATTCTCTTATTTTATAGGGTAAAACAACATTTATTCGATATTTATTAGATAAGAAATATCCTGGTGAACATATTGGTGTGGAGCCTACAACCGATCGTTTCCTTGCCGTCATGAATGGTCCTGAAGATCGTGTCATTCCTGGTAATGCAGCAGCTGTTAATCAAGAATTACCTTTTTATGGCTTGAATCGTTTTGGTCAAGCATTTTTATCTAGATTTCAGGTATGAATGAATATCCTTCTCTTTCTCTATTCACAAAATTCTTATTTTTTTTTTTGGGGGGGGGGAATTCACTCAAAATGTGTTAGGTCTCTGAGACACCTTCACCTGTATTAGAAAATATGACGATTATTGATACACCAGGTATTTTAGCAGGTGACAAACAACGTATTGAGCGTGGATATGATTTTACACAAGTAACTGAGTGGTTTGCGCAACGTTCTGATTTGATCCTTTTAATGTTTGATTCATATAAATTGGATATATCGAACGAATTCAAGATGGCAATTCAAAGTTTAAGAGGACAAGAGGAAAAGATTCGAGTTATATTGAATAAAAGTGATATGGTCAATCAACAGCAACTCATGCGTGTTTATGGTGCCATGATGTGGTCTCTCGGTAAAGTAGTTCAGACACCAGAGGTCATGCGTGTCTATTTAAGTTCATTCTGGACAGAGAAGCCCGCCAACTGTTTCGATGACTGTCGTGAGTTGATTGAAGCAGAATCAAAGGATCTTCTTGTGGATTTGAAGGAATTGAGAAGAAATGCAGCTATTAGAAAGGTAAACGAGATTGTGAAAAGAGCTCGTTTAGCAAGAGTTCATGCTATTATCATTGGCCATCTTAAAAAGGAGATGCCATCCATGTTTGGTAAGAAAAAGGCTCAAGAAAAATTATTGAAGAATCTGGATCAAGAGTTTATAAAGATCCAAAACAAACATCATTTACCCGCTGGTGATTTCCCTAATCCGGATAGATTCAGACAAAATTTAGCTTTATATGATATTGATAAATTTAAATCGCTCAAGGAGGACTTGATCCAAAGAGTCGATGAAGCACTTGCTGTCGATTTACCAAAGATCATGTCTCGATTCCCTATGGGGAACCCTGAACTTGAAAAGTCACAATTAAACCCATTTGACCTTCCTGAAACAAGTTTTAAAGAAGTCGTGAATGGTCAATTACCTCCCGCCTTTTGGGAATATAGTAACTTGGATAAGAATTCATATATGCCTACCTTTCAATCCTTACACCCTTGTGATGGCTTGGTGTCCGGTGCTGCAGTTAAACCAGTTTTAATGCAAAGTGGTTTATCGAATGATACACTTGCTCAAATCTGGCGTTTGGCTGATTGGGATAATGATGGTTATATGAATGCTGATCAATTTGGAGTGGCTATGCACTTGATTAAGGCAGTTGAATTAGGTGCTGAGTTACCAGCTAAATTACCAACAAGCATGATGCCTACTCGCAAAATTTAGATTTTTTTTTTTTGTACATTTCTTTTTTTTTTTTTTTTTTTTTTTTTTTTTTTTTTTTTAAAAAAAAAAAAAAAAGAATACACTTTTGTAATATTTAATATTGCATATAAAGACCCCTTTATTTACTCTGCATAATATTTAATATTAAGAAATCAAGACTAACCAAGATATCACAAAATAAAATAAAAATAAAGGGTAGACCTAATATTATTAAGAAAAAGAAAATGTCAATTGATTTACTTGTAGTATTTTGCATATAAATATATAAATGTATAATTTACAGCTAAAGCTCGACGGTTTTGTAAATTGACTTGTGAGTCTGACATAAATCCTACAGAAGCTATTGACACATAATGATTAGATATTTCTAATATTTTTATATACATATATGTATGTATATAAACTGTATATTTACCATAAGTTGACCATGCAAAAGTAATAATAGAAACAGGTAATCTAATCCATATAAAGCCTACAAAGACAGCAATGATAGCGGAAACAACAATAGGAAATAGACAATAACCAATAACACATACTGATTGAAAGAAACTAACAGCTCCACCCAACATTTTAGCATTTATTGTAACTATAGCTGCTCCTAACCAAACAATAACAAATACACCTGTGAATATAGCCACTGCTTGATTGTCAGGAGCTCTTAAACTCAAGACACTATAAGATAAATAAATAAGGATAAGTGAATGACTCATTTTCTTTTTCTTTTTTTTTATGCTTTACATGGCAAGTGTCAAACATAATAAAAGTGGACCCCAAAGATCCCCTAGATAAAGACATAAAAAAAAAGAATATACGTATACACAAAATCAATAACAGGTACCAATATACTAGTGGTTACCTTCTTACAGTCTCTTAATACTTGTCGGTCACCTTTAGGATGCAAAACTTGTAATAATTTATTTCCCACTTTTTTTAAATCTCGCGACTATTATTCTCACAAAAAGAAATAAGAAAAAAAAAATTAGATTTATACCATGTGTAATAATGTAATGTTGACTTACAATGGTTACAGTGACGGGCTCATCTAGAGTATCTTCCCCAGAATAGGTAGCAGCATGGTATTGAATGTTATTACTTCTAATGCTTTGTCCTATATTACCAGTGGGTAATGGTGATTGAGTTGTTGTTGATTGACCCGTCAAATCCAAATCTGGCTCAATGTAGGCGTTGTTGTCTTGAAAAGGATCTACTGTCGAATCAGCAAAAGGATTTTCATACTGTTCATTTCGATATTCCCCAGTGTTCAATTTGGTTGATGATAACATGATGAATAAAAAAATAAAAAAAAAAAAATAGAAAAATAAATAAAAGGGCCGAATATTAATGTGTAATAATTATGCTGTTTTTTTTTTTCATACATGTATAAATATATTTCCAAAAATAATAATTCGCATTTATTTATGACTGGGGAGAATAATAATCATACTACGTACAACGCTGGTTTTTATTATATGTGCGTGTATCTCTATATACAACTTTATTGATATTTTGTTTTGCATTATTTTATATAATTATTATGTAATTTAATCTAAGTTTTTACGCTTCAACATACAATAGTCTCCCCATGCTACACCAGGATTACCAGGTAACCAGAAGGCTCTTAATAATCGATTTGAATTCTCAGCATCAATGAAACTATAACAATACATAGTTTCCCAATGTTTATCATCTCTTACATAACGAGGCTCAAGTTCTGAGACAGATCGAAGAGGGAAATCAACATCTACAAGATAATCACAATCCTCTTCTTTAACATAAACACTAGGATCTTCCTTATTCAGATCATTAAAGCCTTCGGGAGCAGTACGAGCACCATACCAACCAAAGACACGACGTCTATAATAATGCTCTTGTCCTTCCATTTCATAAATACCAACTCTAATATCTTCTTCAAATTCCTTAGGTAATTGTCCATCAAAGTTACTCTTCAAGAATTGAATACGTGTGTCACTGGGCAAGAAAAATTGTGAAGGGAAACGATACCACTCCTTACCAACACATACGTTTTTCAATTTAAGGTCTACATTATTCATAAAATCTTCTTGAATGTAGTTGCGATTGACGAGTTGGTCAGGAGCTTGTTCTTTCCAAATAGAGCTGTAGACGACAAATGGGGCACGATAACGTGTCAAGAGAGCCAAAACACGAGAAATAGAGATGAGGCCATAGATAACCAAGATAACGATTGAGCTATAACGCAATGCATTGATACGAATATGGATATTGCTGGTCAAGGCGGTTGCTGCACGGTAAACCCAGCTACGAATCAAATAGATGGAAATAGCAGCATTTAATGCAAGTAAAGGATAAGCAACATACATGAAACGTTCTTCCTTATGTGCTTGAAGAGAAAAGACAATAAACCAAAGATAAAAGGGAACGAGCTTCAAACCTAAAACAACATATGGCCAGATAGCATCTAATTTAGTAGAACCAGGAATACGATTACGATCAATATAAGCAGTAATAAGCTAAAAAAAAATACAAAAATAAAATAAGAGATAGGTCTATAGATAATACATGTACTTGAAAGACAAAAAAAAAAAAAAAAAGAAAAGAAAAGAAAAGAAATAAAAACTTACAACGCAAACTGCAGAACCAATGGCCAAAATAAATACAATATTGAAGTTCAAAAGACCATTCACAATATAATGATACCAAGGTTCGGTTCCATAAAGATCAGGACCACGACCCTCAGAACCAAAGATATTATATTTGATGATATTCCAAGCAACTACTGTATATTGACGATATATCATTTGATCCATTAATACAAGAATAAAGGTCAAACCAGCACCACAAATAATAGCAGCTTCAAGTATACGAATAATACGTCTTAAACGCCAATGACCAGTAGGAAGAGAACGAACAACAGTGCCATCTTCTTGTACCATACTATCACGACCAAACACAAGGACTTCTTCAATAACAAATGGAATACCTATTAAAGCAGCAAATGGCCAACCTCCTAGAGCGCCTAAACCAATCCAAAATACAACCTTATATGTACGTGTAGCATCAACATCAGATACAGGTTTTAATGCATAAGAAAATGCCATAAATACACAATACATAGCAAATGTCGAAGGTAAATAGGCTTTTACAATTAAAATATTAGGAAAGAAAAAGAAGATAGATTAATACATTTCTCTCTCTCTCTTTCTTTCTCTTTCTTTCTCACTTTGTTTTACCTGTAGAGGCATTAAACATGCCAACAGAGAAAAATAAAATAGCAAATACATAATGACCTACATGGACATTAATCTCTTCGGTAATTGTACGATAAAATTTAGCTTCTACAAAAGAACATACACCAGCAAAGAATAAACGAATTAAATAAAAAGTTTGAAGCTAATGTATGTATATGTTTATTAGTCCTCAATTTCTAAAATGATTCCTTTTTTTTAATTTACCTTTGTAGATGCAATAATCTTTGTAACGAGACCAACTAAGGCATTTACAAAAATAAAAGCCCAACTTCTGATTTTATAAGCAGTTGAATATTCCCAAGTTTCTCTACCGTAGCCTTGTAATAAATAATGAGTTGGTTCCCAATAGTTGTATACTTCATCACAATCGTCTAAAATACGATATAATGCGGAAAAACAGCGTACAATGAGCAAAACACGAAAGGCAGTTAAAAGAGATAATGAAAAAGTATTCTGCTCGTTTCTTACAGCTTCAGCAGCTCTATACAGGAATACATTAAATAAATAATGTAAAAAAAAAAAAAGAAAAAAAAATAGGAATCTTACTTGATGGCATTGACATCACCAGCAGTTGAACTAGCCGCTAATTTAGCCTGTTGTGTTTGATTTTTAGCTTTTTTATTATTAATTGCTCGTGATCGTAATTGCGGTCCTGCCATCATGCAAAGAGCGATGTCAAAAGGATGATGAATATATATAAAAATATATAAGCTAAAGAACACGATTTTTTTTTTTTTTTTTTTTTTTTTTGATAAAATTCGCTGATTTAAAAAATATCATAGTATTGACGCCAAAAAATATTACCGTTGTCTTCTCGAATAAGAAAGTGAAACCGATAATCATCTTTAGCACGTTTTTATCCATTAATGATAGAAGGCCTTACTACTATTTCTCTTCAGTCATTAAATAACTTCGCAGTAACAATTCCAAAAATGCAGAAATTTATCATAAAAAGGTATTATTTTCTTATATGATGCATAAAAACATCATTATGATCCTAAAAGTGTAAAATACAAACATAGCTTCTATATAAAGACAATATTTCTTTTATACAAAAAAAAAAAAAAAAAAAAAAATATAAATATATATAAAAAAAGGCAACATATAAAAGACGTAATTGTGGTAATTTTGAATTATACACAGTACTTTGACAAAAAAAAATAATAATTATAGAGATTTTATAAAATACATAAAAATTTTGAAACAAGAAGTTCCTTATTGAGATATTTAATAAGAATTAATATATGAATAATGCTATAATAAATAGAAGAAGTTAAAAGTAATTAATATGAAAAGTCATTCTAGTTCTTCTTTCTTTTTTTTTAAAAAAAAGCCTCTTTTTATTATTGTTAACTTGGGGGAAAAGAGCTGAAGAATATAAGGTTAGAGAAACAAAAATATAATAGTTTTTTGAAATCCTTCACGTGTTTTATTATTTATTTCATTCTATTTTCATTCTATTTTCATTTATTTTCATTTTATTTTCATTTTTATTTTATTTTATTTTCATTTTTATTTCATTTTATTTTCATTTTTATTTTTATTTTTATTTTTATTTTTATTTTTATTTTTATTTTTATTTTTATTTTCATTTTCATTTTCATTTTCATTTTCATTTTCATTTTCATTTTCATTTTCATTTTCATTTTTATTTATTTTTATCTTTATTTTTATCTTTATTTTCATTTATCCTTTTTTTTTTTTTTTTTTTTTTTGAATACATCTTCACATTATGCAATCCATCAAATGTGTAGTTGTTGGTGATGGGTAAAATACTTATCGAGTTTATCGTTTATTATTAATTATTTTATAATTTAGTGCCGTTGGTAAAACATGTCTATTGATATCTTATACTACAAATGCCTTTCCAGGCGAATATATTCCAACTGTGTAAAATATAATAAACGATATCCATATTCAGTCATGATTAATTTACTATATTAGATTTGATAATTATTCTGCAAATGTCATGGTAGATGGAAAACCTATTAATTTAGGTTTATGGGATACAGCAGGTCAAGAAGATTATGATCGTCTTCGTCCGCTTTCATATCCTCAAACTAATGTTTTCTTATGTTGCTTTTCTCTCATTAGTCCTCCATCATTTGAAAATGTTAAAACAAAGGTACACATTTCATATTACACACATACAATTTCATAAACTAATCATCATAAAAAGTGGTATCCCGAGATCAGTCATCATGCACCAAACATACCCATCATTCTTGTTGGTACTAAACTTGATTTACGTGAGGATCAAGATACAATAGAAAGACTTCGTGAAAAGAGAATGGCACCCATCACCTATGCTCAAGGTTTACAAATGGCAAAAGATATTAATGCAGTTAAATATCTTGAATGTTCAGCACTTACTCAAAAAGGTCTTAAAAATGTATTTGATGAAGCTATTAGAGCTGTTTTATCACCTCCTGTTCAACCAAAAAGAAAGAAGGGCTGTCGTATTCTTTAACTTTATTTTATTATTACCACAACATATTACTATATGCTTTTTTTTTTCTTTTTTTTTTTACTGTCTATATATATACATAACATAAGCTGTTGTTACTGTCTTTTTCATTCTTTATTATTATTATTATTATTATTACTATTATTAGTGTTATTATTTTCTTTAATATATTCCTTTATTCTATATAACAGAAAAAAAAATATGCTGTGATGTATAAATATTTGTATTTATGACAGATCAAAATTAGATTATATATTTTTATATACACAACATGTATACGAATATAAATTTTGTATAACATTATTATCCCAGGATATACCTTTATCATAATAAAAGAGATAGGATATGTCAATACGTATAATGAAACAATAAGGGAATGGGTACAAAATAGATCTACAATTCCCTGAGAAGACGTTTAGACCTTACTACTTTTTATTATTATTAGTTTTAATACTGCAGTCTTTAGAGCTATGCACTAATGATCAATGATGGTCTATATATTGACAGAGAAGAATTCCAAGCTTTAGATAGACCTGAAATGTGGCCATAGACCTCCGATTCAGAAGATCGAATAAATTAAGGCTTAGATTTAGAGCTTATTAAAATAGTTTTATAAAATATATCAAGCCATATAATCAAAGAGGGGACTCGTGTTTAGTTTAACACATTATTCAAAAGTTAAGTAACCTCGTGTTGTTATTTATTTATTTACACAAGCGCTCTATCAGGTAAACAAATATAACTGTAAGAACTGGCTTACGTTATCACCTCCAACATCAACAACTATTTGATACCCTCCTACAGTAAAAAAGTTATTCCGAAACTTTATCCGAAGTAAATACAAAGATACACACGTATATACACATATAAATATATATTTCTTGAAGGATGGAGGACTTGAGTGATAGCAAACAAGTTCTATTTATAACTTCTAATCTTATTAACTAACTCAAGTGTAGAATCGATTGGGACCCTTTGCATATAAAATAACACGCAACAGTGGTCACTTTCATCCCTTATATAATTATTAGAAATTGCTAATTAATGACCCATTATGACGTGTAATTTACCCCTTAATATGATTGTGATTAATTATTGCAGGTTCTCAGACATGTTTAAGTATAATATATAGGCTTACCAATAGACACTATTCTATGTAAGATAGTATTATATATATATTCCATAGAATTTGTATACTTGTTCATAGTATAAATCTTCTTGTTGAACACTTGTTACTATACTTTCATATTTAGACGTAATATAATTAATTTAATTTAATATTTATAAGCGAGACTATTCTATCGTATACTACGTCCGATACATTCAAATTATTGCCAATATAGTAAAATATGAACAAATATGACAACCACAAATAGAGTATGATTTGACCATTTACTAACTACTCAATATATATGTATATAAATCAGTGTATATGTGCAGTATTGGATATTTTATCCTACCTATTCTTTTACAAAGATGATGAAATAGATACTCAATTCTTGGTTTATTCAAGAACGATATCATATATTTCTTACAATTATCTAATGATATATCTCTTATCTTGAACTAAAAAAAGGGGGTAGGACTTAATCAAATTGCTTCCTGAACGTATCTTTACACTTCCCCCCTGTCACCTTTCAAAATACACAAACAATGCTTTTTTTCTTTTTTAACTTGAAAAATTTCAATAGTCATACATGTCACTACAGGATATAGTAAGCTCTCCCCTGTTTATTACAGACTTTTATCTTTAGATCTCATATTATATTTACTAATACTACAATTTATTGAATATAGGGTAGATGAATCCCAAATAGTTCTCAGAATGACTACTTGGTGATTTATCTAGATTCTTGCTCTTGTAAGCTGCACAAATCTATTGAAGACTCACACATTCAAATTGGTTAAATCTTCTGCCTCTTCTATTAAATATACTTTACAAGCAAAGCAATCATCTAAATACATTATTCAACTGTATTATTGGATAGTTCCTTTATAGATAGAGGCAGTATCGTACAACATACATACATACATACATACATTTATATGCTATTTTAATAAAAATTGTAAATACACAACATTAGTAGAATGTACATCTTTGTTATATGATATCCACCATTTGTTCATGCAATGAAACTTAATTATAAATCATCTCTCCTGTTTAAGACATATTCCCACGCAGCTTTAAGACAAGTTTACTTTTTTTTTATTATTTATAATCGTTTTCTTTTCTTTTTATTAGTCTATTTTTTTTTTTTTTTTTTTTTAATAAAGGGAAATATGGTTTCAGGCTTATTTTATCAAACAGTTAAAAGTCAATATTCTAGAGCAGCCATTTCACGACCTCGTTATATATCTACACTAACCAACACATCTTTCTTCTCTGATGAACCATCAAGGCCACACGTAATAACACCTATTCCTGGTCCAAAATCAAAGGAAATCATATCTAAACTCAATCAATATCAAGATACACGATCTATCTTTTTTATTGCCGGTAAAAAATAATGCAATGATACACTATTTATATAATTTTAATAATATCATACAATAGACTTTAGTAAGTCAAAAGGAAATTATATCGTTGATGCGGATGGAAATACGTTATTAGATGTCTTTGCTCAAATTGCTTCTATTCCTATTGGATATAATAATCCTGTATTTTCAACTCTTTCTCAAGATCCTGCTTTTCAAATAGCATTATCTAACAGGTAAAAAAAAGGAAAAGAAAAAAAAAGGGGGGGGGAAGGGAGAGGTATACATATCATGTTTCTTTTATTCTCTCTCTTTTTTTTTTTTTTTCCATAAATTAGAGCTGCATTAGGAGTCAGTCCTAATAAAGATTGGATAGAGTCCATTGAAAAGGCATTTATGACAGTAGCTCCTAGAGGAATGACAAACGTTTTCACTGTCATGTGTGGCTCATGCGCAAATGAAAATGCATTCAAGACTGCTTTCATGTACAAGGCTGCAAAAAGAAGAGGGGATCGAGAATTTAGTTTGCAAGAATTAAGTTCATGTATGAAGAATGAAGCCCCTGGATCAGCTAATGATTTATCTATTTTAAGTTTTACTCAGGCCTTTCATGGTCGCTTATTGGGTTCCTTAACAGCTACGGCTAGCAAAGCTATTCATAAAATCGATATTCCTGCCTTTGACTGGCCAAAGGCAACATTTCCTCAATTAAAGTATCCATTACAGGATCATGTGGAGGAGAATTCAAGAATAGAAGAAGAATCTTTAAAGGAGGTAGAGGAATTAATTGTGAATGCGAAGAAACCTGTGGCTGCTGTGATTGTTGAACCCATTCAAGCAGAAGGTGGTGATAATCATGGTAAACACTCTTTAACCACAACCCCAATATTTGTACTTAATATATCTTCATCTTATCTTATAGCTTCACCTAACTTTTTCAGAAAACTTCAAGAAATCTGTCAAAAAAATGACGTTTTATTGATTGTGGATGAAGTTCAAACAGGTGTGGGTGCGACGGGTACATTTTGGGCACATGAAGCTTGGCATTTACCTGACCCCCCGGACATCGTCACTTTTTCTAAAAAATTTCAAGCAGCTGGTTTTTACCTCAATCCTCGTCTTCGTCCTAGTCAACCTTATCGTCTTTATAATACTTGGATGGGAGATCCAGTACGTGCTATGCAAGCAGCTACTATTGTTCAAGAGATCAAAGATAAAAACCTTTTACAAAATGTGAGAGACGTTGGCCATTATTTACAACAAAATTTACTAGAGTTGCAACAACAACAACAACAAGCAATGACTGCTACAACATCTATTATCACTCATGTTCGCGGTCAAGGTATGTTTATTGCCTTTGACTTACCTGATTCAAGTCAACGTGATTCTTTCTTGTTGAATATGCGTCAAAGAGGTATTCATATGGGTGGTTGTGGCGAACAAACTGTTCGTCTTCGTCCCATGTTGACTTTTCAAAAGCAACATGCTGATATCTTATTAAATACTATGGCTCAATTATTGAGATAGTATTATTATTTGGAGGTAGTGGTCATTCTCTTTATCGTCGGAAATTTAAAATCATACATGATAATAAATACGATTAAACATTATAAATTAAAATTTATAAAGCGCATAATATCTTTGTTATATTGGATTGCCTAGGTCAGTTCAAATTATGTAAAAAAAAAAAAAAAAAAAAAAAAAAAAAATATCTAAAAAACCCTCTTACGGGACAAGAGGTAAAAAGGTAAAGGAAAGGAAGATCAAGACTTTTACTGTATTTACAATTTGAATACAGGCGACGTTAGTTTTTTTTTTTTTTTTTTTTTTTTTTTTTTTTTTTTTGCAAGGACTTATCTGTTAACGAAAGAAAATCCCTAGCTAACTATATCTATTCGTTAAAGCTGAAGCAGAAATCCGTATGACTGTTATCGGTCGAAAAAAAAAATCAACATTTTAAAGAGATTGTACAAAAGATGGAGTTGTTATGGTCTAGCTATCAAGCATTAAGCTGTAACTCGGAAGATCTGTACTCTCAATTACATCAATTCTTTAAATGGCTTTTTTTACCTTCAGCAAAAAATAAGTGAAAAGGTGTACATGATGAAAGAAAAAAACAGTCACCGTTGCCACCAAGTCCTACATTTATAGGAAGTTAAAAGAACTAACGTTTACTTCAATACTCAATAGACGAAGCTTTAAATCTTTGCAGGAACAAGTCCTGCAAAGCATTAATTCAAATGTTCCACTTATCCTTGGGCGGAAATTATCCAAAATCAAGCCTCATTTATCTGCTCTGGAAACGTTTGTCACAAGTGTCAAGTCAAGAATTACTGATGGAACATTCACGCCTGAAAAAAAATATACGGATAAATGTGGCTACCGGTTTTTCACTCTATTACCGATCTATTCATTTGAAACAAAGTCGGTCCAAATAATAGATGCCACAGCTTTTTGGCGACTCGTGAAGAAATCTAATATTGAAAATTACCCAAAAAGTACTAAAACCAAATCGGATCTATCAGATTTCTACTACAAGCTTTTTGACTTTTCCAAACTGGGATTTCGCTCTCGAAGGGAGTCTTTCACTAGGAAGAAAGCAGTTCAAGTAAGTCAATTCTTCAGTTGTATTGAAATATAAAAGTATTGGTTTAGTCTGGTTTAATTTAATTAATTAATTAATGTATAGAAACGTCGTGCTTACTGATGGGTATTCTATTTCTTTTCTTTTTTCTCGAGTGGTAAAGGGAAAAAAAAAAAAGAAGTTTCCGTAGAAAAACAACCAATTGACTTTCTTAAAGATATTGAAAACGGCTGTACTGTCTGGGGAGTAGACCCCAGTGTCAATACAATCTTCACCGCTGTAGATACATCTGGGAGGCAAAGGACAACCAGCTTAGACGAATATTACCATTTATGTGGTTATAATGATGCAACGTTTATACGAAATCAGCATCAAAAGCAACACATGGCTGAATATTCGAAAATATCAAACTGGAGCTCATTGAAGACATTGAATATCAAAGATTTTATTAAAGCATACAAAGAAAAACTCGCGTTATATGACGATATTAAAAAAGTATTATAACGAGAATAATTGGTAAGTGTTTAGACACTATAATAGTTTGCTTGATCACTTACAAAAGAGAAACTTTATAGGAAGTCCAAACTGAAATTCCAACGTTACGTGAAGAAACAAAAAGGTGTGCATGAGATTTGCAAGAGGTTCGTCTATAACAGCAGCAAATGTCATCAGAAGTCATCTACCGGTGTAAAGTCAGTTATTAATAATATAAGCAAATTCTATCCACCTACCCTGACCGACCATAAAGAAAGGCCAGTAAAAACGATCATTGCTTTGGGCGATGGTGTGGTTTAATACTAGTTTACGAGGCAACAGGTCGTCACCGGTCAGAACTATTACAAAAGCGTTGAAGAGGTATTTTTGACAGCAGTTAGAAGTAGTAATGGTTAATGAATACCTCACTAGCCAAATCTGCAACAAGTGCAAAATTAGAAATGTCAAGAATGTGGTGACCAAAAAATCAAAGCGAAGAGTACACACAATATTACAGTGTCAACAAAACACTTGTAATATTGTGTGAAATCGCGACATTATAGCAGCTCACAACAACTTGTACTTGTTTTTATTTGCTTCGAAAAACAATAATCAGCGTCTGAGCCAATTCAAGCGTAAAGACGCAACCACCGATGAAACATCCCCGTATGACTGATTCGACTCTCTCATACATCCGTACAGTGTAAGTTCTATACATATATATATTTTTTTTTACTTATACTATTATAAAATGCTTACTTGCAAAGTTTGCTCAATACCATTCAACAAACCAAGTTCTCTTAGAACTCATCAAAGAGATCAGCATTCGTCATCTGCTCAAATTACACTCTCAGGCAAAAGATTATTATTGTTTTATTAGATTAATATGCATGCGATCATTTGATCATTATAGCTAATCTGTGAGTCAAAAAAGGGGAAAAGAAACAATATAGAATAAATATATAATATATAAGAAAAAGTAGCTAAAAAAAACTTAAAGAATCCCGCTGAAAGAAAAAAAGAGAAGGGAAAAGAGACAAGAGAGAGCGGATGACTACTTGGTTTGACTTCATGACCATGGTCGGCCTCGCAGCGTGCGTTAATAAGTGTAACAGTGGAGGGTCCGAAACCAGAGGGTGCAATCCGTGAATCTTTCATTAGAGCCAGGACAAAGAGAGAGAAGAAGAAGAAAGAGATTTGGAAAGCCATAGCTGACCAGGATCAGGACCTGTACTGTAATCCCCTTCGGGATTACAGAGCTTGTCAAAGTGCCAAAGGAGAAGACAGAGATCAACCCAAAAGGGAGGACAGGAAGACGAAGCAGAGGAAGGGAGGGAGGAAATTACACTCTCAAGTGGTAAGTGCGATTTCCAAATGTTACTGCAAACTAGTTGAAATAACAATCTTTAAAACATAGGTGAAATTGTAAAGATTTTTAGAGAGAGTAACTCAAAATTTAAGTGCTTTTGTCGAAATTATTTTGAAACAGTTCGTGGCCTTCAGCGTCACTACAATAGAAAAAGATGTACAGGTATTAATATTTTATGTGGAATAAATAATATACCATCCGCTAATTATTTTTTTTTTTTTTTTTTTTTTTAGCTCCTGAGGATTTGAACTCATCTCAAGTTGAATCTTCACGATTGTCAACATCATCAACTTCAAGTAATATTGTAAAGTTATTTAATAAATATTTTGAATAGAATCGATACTCGCTCAACATAATTTTATTTCAGGGCGATAAAACCGTTGATGCTCGCTCTGATTCAGTTGCCTTTTCTTCTGCTAGCTCCGAAAAAATAAAATTAGTGACAGACCTCAGCTACAATGTCTTTGAGAGTTCTTATAAGATAATAAATAACCAAAAAAAATGGAAATTATGTTCAGGAAGAACTGTAGAAGATATTCTTTATGATTATGGGATAGAACAGGAACGAGAGAAGTAAAGTATCTTCTAAATCATTTTTTTATTTATCAATTTTTTTTTCTTAAACAGTGCTGTGCATTCATTTATCCTTGATAAATCCGACCCAGAGATGGAGAAGATTTTCACTGAACAAGAATGGGATGAAATCAATGATGAAAGTGATGTAGAAACTATGTCTTTGCCGAAGAACATACTTACTTTGATACAAGAAATGAATAAGGTAACAAACTAATAGTTTTTATTTTTGACAAAATTAGCAAGCAACTTGATTTTTTTTTATAGTCAGTGTGATATTTCTTCTAAAATATCAAATTAAAAATATTATAAAAAAAAAATAATATTAAGACAAAAAGAGTCAACGAGACTGAACAATAGTTCTAAAGTCAATTATTTTATTTATGAATTCAAATTGATGGGTATTTATAAGAATTGTTAAAGAGGTCTGAGGATAAGATGTGAATCAGAAAAGTGTTAGTTACGACTGAATAAGGTATGTTGTTGACAATGAAGTGTTAATGATTTTAATATTATTAGATAGAGCGGATCAAGAGAGAGTTAGGATAGAATTTCTCAAATAAATTTATGATCCGCATGTTTAATCATGAAACATGACATTATAAGTCAGCTCATGACAGTCAGACATCAGGGAAGTAAAAAAGGTTCTCTTAAAGTATGCAAAGATAAGATACTCCGATTATTCTTCTGAAAAAGGGTTTCATATCGATAAACTATGTTATGCAGTCAAATCGATGTAAGTTAATATTATCGAATTCAAATAAAAATTCTATTAACTAACAGATTAGGTTACATTTATACGAGAGAAACCCAAACCCTCTTCTGATGCGACAATAAGAACAATGGTACAATAGTAACGTTTGGGTTCCTATTATCGATAAATTGTTCGGCAACCTTGATGGAATCAATTGCATCAGGTATAATTAGCATTTATTTTATACTATGCTTCATCTTATTGTTTTAATTAATCATTTTATAGAGACAACAAGTCATCTTTCTCAAGCCGCAAAAGAAAGAGAGAGGCGTAAGAAAAAATTGAAAGAAAAAAAATGGGGCATAAACCCGACATGATAATTTGCGCTGTAAGTGAAGGGAATAAGCCGTTGGAATTTGGTGCGTGTGAGGCAGCATCCTTTTATGATGATACAATGGGAAAAAAGTATAATTATGAATCAAGGCTGAAGCTTCCGAAAATTCTAAAAGACATGCTCTTCAATTTGTGTGAGCACGTTGACTGGGACAAAAAAAAAACAAAAGAAATTGAAGTTGTTGGATATGTCCAAAGTGGTAGGCATTTTATTATTTTTCTAAAAAAAAAATATTATATATATTTTTTGCTAAAGACAATTGGCACTAGGTTTAGTCATTGAATTCATCACGCTCAATCATCCCAAGGGATACACATGTTGCTTGAATAGATCGAAAAGCTATGAAATTAGCTCTGACTTGAACTGCTTCGTGAAAACGTTAGAAGTATTAACTATATCTTTGACCATGAAGGTAAAAACATTTTTTTTTCAAGTAAAGTAATGTACAAGCAAATTAATGTTAAAATTTTAATGCAAGTTCCGGCTTGAAAGAAGCATAAAATTGATCAAAAACCCAACGATAGATATCTCCTCCTTTGAATTCAAAAAACCTTCCACTCCAACCCTCCCAGCTTCTATACAACCCTACCCTCACCCTAAATGATTGAATAAAATTAACTCTCATTACTCTAATTGTTTCATTAAAGTTGCGCTAACTTTTACCACTTCAAAAGAATCGTGAGTACTGTACGATTAAGAATTATTTTTTTATAACAAAAAATTTTTTTTATAACAAAAATTTAAACAACCCATGTGAGCACATAATACTGGCGTATTGGATTGCCCGGGTCAGTTCAAGAAAGGATAAAGTGTACTAAAAAACCTTTTGATAGGCAAAAGGGTAAAAAAGAAAGAGAAGGGAAGAGGAAAAGCAAGATATATCAATAAATACTAGATTCAGGGTTACGTAGCCAGTTTACAAGTTTTGTACCAAGGGGGCGTGAGTACTGTACAGTGCTTCCACTCTCAAATGGAACATTTTTTGAAATTAGTGGCACATTTTTTGAAAATAAATTGGAATACTCAATCAATTAAATTAAGACAAAATTTGAACTTAATTTGGAACACACTGTGAACCCAATCTAAACGCTTTTGAAATTTGTATGGAACAATTTATTTAAAAAAGGACTTTGTTTAAGCAGTCTTCGAAATGGTTTTTAGAGTGTTGAGTAATGTTGACAAGATGAGATAAAGGGACAGCATTACATGCTTCAGTTATTCTTTGCGCGAGTGTTTCAGACTCCATAAGCTGATTACGCTTTACCTTATGCTTAACTATAACCCAAAACTGTTCAATCGGATTTAACTCTGGAGAGTATGGAGAAAGATATACGCATTTATAGTTTTTTTTTCTATCCTCTACCATCTGATTTACTTCGTTTGATGAATGGATTGGAGCATTATCCATGATAAGATAAAAACCTTTCATTTCAGGATTTCTATCCATAATGTCCAGTGTCTCTCTTATAAATTAAGATAACGACCAGTTGTTGTGCCTTTAGTTTGGGAGGTTTTGAGCGGAGCAGCTTTTCTTTTTTTTACCATCTTGGATCTTGATTTTTTTTTTTTTAGGAGGCAGAGATACTCTCATAGTAATATTAATAACACCCATGGCCGAGATTGCTCCAATTACAGTATGTGATACTGCCCTAGTACTTGCAGTAGGAATTACAGCTTCGTTACCCTTTCTAGATCATGCTCTACTGCGTCTCATGTTAATATCAAAAACTGACTCGTCAATAAAAACACAGTTTTTTGTAAAATCCATGTTGGTGCCCATCCACTCTTGCACCCACTTTAATCTCTTTTCTACATTTTTTTCATCGTTACGAGGTCTTGGATGCAACGTGATGACTTTCAAAGATAGATTACATTCGTCCTTCATAAACTCATTGACTCTAGACTTCTTAATATCAAGCCCTTCAAAAGCTGTTATCAAACTTTCTACAACATCAGTTATAACAGCAGAAGGATTTTCATCAAAAAAAATTAATCAAATGCCGTTTGTGTAGTTCCTGAAGCTTAGAAACAGGCCGGTTACTGCGGTTAGTCTTTTTTTTTTTCCAATTCATCCATATTTTGTGGCGAATAGGGCACAGGAAAAGGAAGTGATCCAAAGAGTCGGGCACTGACTGACATAAACGACATAAGTTCGTTGAGATGGTTTGAATCTGATATAGGTAATCGGAATGAGGTATCTTCCTGCTGAGAATACGATACCATAAAGAGCGAGCTTGTAGGAGCATTGGTAAGGATCAAAAGGAACGCAAAGCTTTTGCAGGAATGTTCGCAATAGCTGGAGGAACTGATACTGTAGGTATATTACGAAAGTCGGTTGGTTGAAATTGGCGCCATGCTGATGAATGTTGAAATTGTTCCATTACTGTGTCATCATAGGTAATCAAGGAGTTTAATTCCACGTTGTTAAGTATAAAGGACCACAAGTATGGTTGGAGTTGTATGGTCCTGAGCTCGAGTATCTGTTTTTTCAGCCTTTTACACAACTGAGGTTTCGTACTGTATCCTGTTTCTATCTGGATGCGTAATCGCTGTTGGATGGGGTCCAAAACGAAGAATTGAGGCGCTAAAAACTGAGGATGGCGATGAAGCCAATGATCTGAAGGTATTGAAACAAAAAGATCCTTTAGAGGCAATTATAGCAGTAATATAAGAGATGTCGAAGAGAAATCAGGTCGAAAGTTAAAACGATCAAAAGCCGTATAGCAAGTGTGTATTATGGATGTTGGATGATTGAGATCATGCTTACGCCATGCTGGAATAAAAATTGAGAAAGCAGGGGAGACAGCTGTCAGGGTTATCAGTGACAGATGATACTGCAGAAACGGTCCAACCATGGTTGCATTACCTGTGTCTTGAAAAAGATATCGTAGGTGTCGAATCTGTAGAACCAAATGTTGATCCGCCTGAGCGATCAAACCAACTCCTCCTTGGGAGAAAGACTACATGCTTATCGCCAAAAAATTTAAAAAAAATCAAAATAATAATAATAATAAAAAAAACTCAGAATTTAATCGTAGCTATTTATATACACATGCATACATACATCAATTTATTATTTTTTCACGCTTGCTTTTTTTTTTTTATAAATATTTATATTTGGTAATTCTTCCTTATCTAAACAAATGTCAGAGTTAAGATATAGGGAATCTTCCAGAAATAAAATACAAAAATGGAATAATGTTGTGAACCTGGAAGATACTAAAAAACAAAAAGCAACAACATATAACAATAGTCATGACATTCATATAGCGATCATCTTGTTTATTATATCCTTGCCTGCTCGATTCAGGCATTTAGCATTCCCAGATCAAGTCATGTAAGATACTGAATTCTATTTGTAAATCAATTAACTTACATCTACTTCATATGTATCTATTCTAGTTTTGATGAAGCTCACTATGGTAAATATGTTAGCTATTATATCAAACAAAAGCTCTTTTTCGATGTTCATCCTCCTGTAAGTCTTATCATATACAAATATGTTATCTATCTATCTATATATCTATTAAACTCACATTATACAAATTTTACAAGTTGGCAAAACTATTAATTTCCTTCATTGCTTGGATTTCTGGATACGATGGTGAATTTGACTTCTCTGAAGTAGGAAGGTTTGTATTAATAGGAAGAGCAGAACCAGACATGAACATTAAAATGTATTGTACAGTAAATATCCTAAAGATGTTCCTTATGTTCAAATGCGTGCATTAGGAGCATTGTTAGGTTCTTTGGTTGTACCTTTGGCTTATTTTACTATTCGCAATGCTGGACATTCAAATGTGGCTGCTATAATTACTGCTTTGGCAATCTGCTTTGGTAATACAATAAGAAAAAAAAAAAACGCCTACATTTTTCTTTTTATCTAATTGTTTTTTCATTTTTTTTTTCCTTTTTTTTTTTTAAAAAAAAAAAGAAAATGGATTAATCACAAATAATCGACTTATTTTATTAGATTCTTATTTTTTATTCTTTACTGCATTCACTATCTTTTCATACATAAAATTCTTTAGGCAAAAGTAATAGTTATTTATATCTTAAATGGAAAGAAGAATCATAAAGTCTAAATTATTCTTTAGATTTTTTAGTCGGAGTTGGTGGACTTGGTTACTTGTTACTGGTATCAGTTTAGGTTGTACGCTTAGTAGCAAATGGGTTGGTTTGCTTACTGCTGCATCCATTGGACTTTCAACAGCAGAGCAACTCTGGAAACTTTTAGGAAATACTCAAGTGTCAATGGTAATTCGTTTTTTTTTCCTCTTATTTTTTTATTTTTTTATTTTTTTTTATTTTATTTTATTTTTTTTGAAATATCATCTTACATTTTACTTTGTATGTAGCGTCAATGCATTATGCATTTATTTGCTAGATGCATTTGTCTCATTCTAATTCCTATTATTATCTATCTTGGTTCATTTTATATACATTTTTCTATTTTAACACAACCTGGTCCCGGAAGTAGCTACATGACAATTGAAACACAAAGTGAATTAAAGGGTATTCCTCCTATTGATACACAAGTTCGTAAGTTTTATATAGTATAAATCATAATATACATGTGTATAAATGTAACAATATTTTATTTTTATTTTTTTATTTTTTTTAAAAAAAAATTAGCTGTGACATATGGTTCTCTTATTACGATTCGTCATTTGGAAACTACAGGTGGATATCTTCATTCTCATTTTGCTTATTACCCAGATGGATCAAATCAACAACAAGTTACCCTTTACCCTTACAAAGATAATAACAATTGGTGGAGAATCCTAAAAGCGGATCCTTCTGTAGAAACACAACATGATTTGTTAGCAAATGACAATAAAACTTGGTTAGAATATGTTCGTGATGGTGATATGGTTCGTCTTGAACATGTCACAACAGCTCCTCGTAAACTTCATAGTCATAATTTCCCTGCGCCAGTTACCGATACAGATTATCATAGAGAAGTCAGGTATGTAAACAAAGCAAAAATAAAATACATGCATACTTAATAAATAACTACTGTTAGTGGATATGGGTTTGTTAATTATACAGGAGATTCAAATGATTTTTGGCGTGTTCAAATATTGAAAAATACAAAGTCTCCTGAAGCTAATCAACGACTAGAGGCGCGTCGTAGTCAATTTCGTCTATTTCATTCTAATCAAGAATGCCATCTTTATTCAAACTTTGAAAAATTACCAGAATGGGGCTTTGGGCAACAAGAGGTCTCATGTATCATAGATGGCTTACGCCCTCGAACCATGTGGATGATAGACGAGACAGAAAACGAGTTATTGCCTGATGACGTTCCTATCGAACCAGAGCACCGTCCCAACTTTTTTGAAAAACTTGTACATCTTCATAAGGCTATGTGGTTGAGTCAAAAATACATGAACGATGATCATCCTTACCGTTCCAAGCCTTCAGCTTGGCCATTACTTCAGACTAAAATTGCATTTTGGTTCTCAGATACAACACAGATCTTTTTGTTTGGTAATCCCTTTGTATATTGGGCATCCACCGCCGTTACCTTAACTTGCATCACTCTCTTTATCATTTTCCAGATAACTGATAAACGTGGCTATCGTCTTGGTCCATATTATGGTCATCTACGTGTCCTTTATGGAAGATCAGCAGGATTCTTTGTCTGTGGCTGGATATTACATTATTTCCCATTTTATTTCATACAAGAACATCAACTCTTTTTACATCATTACATGCCTGCACTTTATTTTGCTGTCTTGACATTGGGTGTATGTACAGAATTTATCATGAACGTCATCACACGCTCTGCTGTTATTCGTCTTATTTTGGCAGGTCTCATAAGTACTTGTATCCTCTCTACTTATTTTGTTTTTACTCCTATTACCTATGGTGAACCATGGACAGTGGCTGCATGTGAGAGGGCAACAAGTTCCTATGGTTGGGACCTAAAATGCAATCGATATGCTCCTCTTCATTCTTTTGATAGAACTCAATTCATTATGCAAGAAACAGAGTCAAGTGAAAAAGATGAAGAACATTCATATACTGCCTTTATGGATAAGAATGTGCATTTTGTTGATCAACCACCTAAGAGTGAAAAAGAAGATCTAATTGAATACAGTCAAGAGCTATTTGAGTCTGATGCGTTTGAAGAAGGAGAAGAAGAAGAGGAAGAAGATATTGAAGAAGAAGATAATGAAGAAGAAGAAGACATTGAAGAAGAAGAAGAAGAAGACATTTTAGATGAACCCACGGAAGCACCTATTATTGAAGAGCCTGAACCACAATTTATTGATGGTAAAGAAGTCTTTGGTGATGATGACGATGATGATGAATGGCCAAAAACTCAATTTGGCGTTGATCCCGAGCTGGATGAAGATGAAGAACCTACGCCTTTAACAACAAGAGAAATTCCTATTACTAGATACGAATAATATATTGATAAATAGCTTCGTATAAATTAATGTATTATATAATTTTACATATAAATATTATTATTTTCATTTGTATTTATACATTTATATACATTTATATTTTTTTTTTCAAATATTTATATTATATAATGCAAGTATGTTAAGGGTAATGAATATATCTTATCTTTAATATAAATATATTATAAAACGAATATAAGAAAATAAGTTGTATAAATGACAAAAAAAAAAAAAAAAAAAAAAAGTAATTCAATCACATGGTATTATTATTATTTTTATTATTACCAAGTGCCCCATTCATCATCAGAATTAGCATCTGCTTTCTTTTTAGCTGCTGAATTAGCTCTAGAACGAACAGAAGTCGTGCTACTAACCGATCTATTTTTTACAGGAGGAGTTGAGGTAGAAGTTGGCGTTTGTCGACCATTATCTGATTGCTGTAAGTTATGAATGGTACTATTAAAAAAGTCATCATCAGGAACATCTGCTGTATGAGATGAATTCATGCCCGAATAACGCAATGAGGAAGGAGTTGAAGAACCTGTATCTGAGCCACCATTATAATATCCATAAGAATTCTTTTTTTTTTTTTAAAAAAAAAAAAAGAAAAAAAAAAGAAATTCCCTCAGTACATGTTAAACTAAATCTCACTTGGAGAAAAAAAAAAAAAAAAAAAAAAAAAAAAAAAAAAAAAAAAAAAAAAAAAAAAGATTACCTTAGATTGTTGTGTAAATGAAGAAACATAACTATTCACATTTTCGCGTACTTGCTCTCTAAAGTTTGGATCTGCCAATTGAGCAGCAGCAGGTTTTACGTAATTATCATTGGCATATTTTCCCAATTCTATAGCTGCTTTACCAACGTAAGACAAAAGTGACCAACCTTTCTCCAAGGCAACACGAGGATCTTGAATAATTTCCTGGATATCAATTGAACCATTTCCTACATTTCTCCTTGCATTATATTCATCTTCAACTAACAAAGGGGGGGTGAGGTAAAACAAGATTAGAAAAAAAAAGGGGGGAGGGTATTTTTTTTGTTTAATTATTACTTACATTGGGGATTACCGAAGCCTGTGTATTTACCTCCTTGACTTGGCGGCAAATGACTTTTTTTTTTACAAATAAAGAAAGTCAATAAAGTATTTGTATATGTATTATTTAAACTTACTCTGGTCTATTTTCATTTAAATTTCCAAGTTGAGCAAAATAATGCTCATTTTGTTCCTTTCTACTGTTAACAGGAGTATCATTGTTATAGGAATCACTACCAAAACCAGACATTGAAGTAGAAGAGTTTGAACGATGTGTATTAGAAAGTTTAGCAGTAGAACCAAATCGAGATGATTGACTATTTAAAGAACGTGTACCAGCATTTGCTGTTCTCGTAGTAGATCCTTTACTGGATCTCGCTGTGATTGTCGGAGTCCAAGGGCGACCTTCTGCTTCAGCTGCCAACTTTTTTAAAATGATTTTTTATTGAACAAAAAAAATCCCGTTTTTTTTTTCTTCTTTTATTACCTTTTCTCGATATAATTCAGCACAATGGGTATGATATTTCTCCATAGTAGGCATGTTAGGTGAATAATCAGATTGAGATTCAAAGAAAAGTCTTGCTTTTTCATTTCCACCCAACTAAAAAAAAAAATAGGTAAATATTTATTCTTTTCCTTTTATTATTATTGTACTTGCCTCCATTTTTTTTAATTGATCATCAAACCACTTGTCCATCGTAATAGAACGAACAAAACTATTTATAAACAGTGCAAAACAAACATTGCCCTTTTTATTATTATTATCGTTATTCTTCTTCCTCTCTCTCCCTCTCTCTCTTCCTCCCTTTTCTTTAATATTCAAACTTGCCTAATATGAACACCAAAAGAACGATGGATACCAGAACAATCTAAACAAATAAAAATACCATATGAAATACTTGCCCATTGAGGATTAGGTGCACCACAATCAAAGCAAGTCTTATTCTCTCCTGTTCTCTGGATTTCATATAATTTCTTTTTGTATTCAGCTGTTGCCATTCTATGTATTTGTACAAATATGTATATAGAAATATATTTATATGTATATGAATATGTATATATAAAAGAAGAGGAAGGAAGGAAGAAAAAAAAAAAAAAAAAGGGAAAAAATAAGATGAGTTTTAAAAAAAAAATATATAAAAGGACTAAAAGAAAAGCACCTTTTTAAAATTCCGCATCTTTATACTATTTTTGGAAAAACCAAAATTTATTAATGTTGTATTTAAGCGCTTATGAATAATGATATTACTAAATAACCATTAAGTCCAATTAATAATAATGAAATAAGTACAGCAACTATATTTGTGATTAAACCATTAGGAAATGTTAAAGGTTCAGGCCATTCTTCCAACTCTTTGGTAACATTGGATGTAATTATGACGGATGAAGTCTCTATATAGCCATTACTATTATTACAAGAAGAAGAAGACACTGAAGTATTAGGTGAACTGGATCTAATACAGTAATTTTTAATGGCTTCTCGGTTCAATTTGACTTTACGAAATTGAGGAAAACGAAACCAATCCGATTTAGATTTAGAAAAACGAAAACGAGCAATGATGCGATCCATAAGGGACATCTTGCTTTGATCCGTTTCGACTAAACAAGATTCAGAATCTTCTAAATGTTTTGATTCTACAACAAGCTGCAATTTCATAACTTCTTTCTTTGCTGTAAAGTAAACTAAAGGTATAACGGCAAAAGGTAACTGAATGCTGAGTGCAACTTGACTGCCTACAAGCATATTACTTAAACCTTCACGTCCTGCAATACAGGCAGCAATCATAGCAGGAATGATGGCAATGAGACGTGTTACAATACGACGAATCCAAGGTTTAGTGGTCATACCAAGGAAACCACTCATTACAACTTGAATATCAGAAAATAAATAAATAAATAAAATAAGAACAAATTCATGGTTAGATGAATAAATAAATAGATTACCTTGACCTGCTAAAGTAGCAGTTAAAGTGCTTGATTGACCAGCACATAATAAAGCTAGAGCAAAAGTGACAGCGGCAGGAGGGCCCAAGTATTGCATCAAAAGAGCATGAGCACTAAACAAATCTTGAACTTGGTGCTGTCGATCATCAGGCCCATAGTAAAAATTAGCAGAAGCAACGATTAAGATAGCACAATTAACAAAGAAGGCAAAAGTAAGGGCCACAATAAGATCCATAAAGCCATAGTGTAAATTACGTTTTACAGAAGTATTTAAATAAGCTTTTAATTGTTCAAAATGAATTCCACCTGTTCGAGCTAGACAAGAGGATGTATCTTCTTCTATTCTAATACTCACTACTTGAACAGAAGAACCGTTACTTTTCTTTTCTGGTGATGGTGGTGGTGGTAGAAGAGTAGGAGTAGGGATGGTTTGTTGTTCTATAATAGGCTCTTTACTATCATAAAATGGATTGTTTTTAATGATCCATCTTTCTCCATTGTTGACCACTCTAGGTCTTTGTAAACGCCATTCTCGACATCTTGCTTGAACGATAAAGCTGTGAAGATAAAGATTATGAGGCATAACTATATAAATACGATACAATGAGTATTTTTTTTTTTTTTTTGAAGAAAAAAGGAAAGTTTACCGTACCTGTTGCACCAATAATACCGATAGCAACATAAAGAGCTTCAGGTTCAGTGAATATCTCTTTTGATGGGAGATAACCCTTAAAGACATCAACAGCTACAATATCTGAAAAGGCTAATTCTATAACAAAACAGATACCAACAGCCGCTACTAACATCATGACAAACATTTCAAAAAAACGAACCATTCTTACAGAAGCAGAACTAGTCGAACTATGATCAGGATCATCTGCCTCTTCGTTATAAAATAATAAAATAATAAATACGTCTACAGCTGTAATAGCGACACCAGCAGGTAATGGCAATTTTGGGAATAATAAATTCAATGCAATAGCTGAACCTATGACTTCTGCTATATCAGTGGCAATGATAGCACACTCTGCTAAAACATATAAAAATAAGTTTAACCAACGAGGGAAAAACTTTCTCGAAGCAGCAGCTAAATCAAGACCCGCAACTGTACCAAGTCGAATAGTTAAATTCTGTAAAAAGACAGCTATCAAATTTGATATTAAAATAATAAATAAAAGTTGATATCCAAATGATGATCCTCCCTCCATATCTGTTGCCCAATTGCCTGGATCTAAACTATTTAAAACAAAAGAATAGATGAATCTATGTCTCAATAAAAAAATAAAAAATTGACTATTTTATCTTGTACAATGCTTTACTATCCAACAGCAATCATAAAGCCAGGTCCAATAAATCTTCCTAGTGTTGTTATATATTTCTTTATTCTTTCAATTAATTTCATTATAAATATATCATAGATAAAACAAAGAGGAAGGCTATTATTAAAGATAGAATAAATAAATAAAAGAAAAGGGTGGTAAAAAAAAAAAACGTTTGAGAGTGTATACATGCATGTTTGTGTGTGTGTTTTTTTTTTAGGATCTTAGTTTAACCTCCGATGTTTACATGCTTACTCCTCCCGTTGCCATTCAGCAGTGCTTCTTTATTTGAGGACTTTTATTGGCTTTTCAAGTTAAAACTTTCTATACCCGCTTAATGAAATTTTACGTAATACAATAATGCAAGATAGATAACATTGTTCATTGGATATATAAAGATTAACAATTTCATCAGCTCTTACATAGAATCAATATTAGCCCTAAAGACCTTATTGTTAGTACCGACAACTGAAAATAAATAGTCTACTGGAATGTACAAATAAGGATAAGTTACTTTTTTTTTTTCGAATAAAATAACTGTTGATTATCATAAAAAAAATTGCTTTGATTGAGATACTTTTAGAGTAATAGTATAATTATTGTTAAACAAATCAAAGAACTTTAGTGCCTAGTCCAGTTTTGAAGGTTTATAAAGGTATCCATATATTAGAAATGTAGATGATATTAATTCGTTATTAAAAAAAATGGGACTCAACTATTACTAAAAAAAGACAATAAAGTCATTTATTTTATTATATTATTCATTAATGGAATAATAAAACAAAAGAAAGGGCAGTTTTAGTTATTAATGATCTGACATTGACTAATACTTCAAAAGAATAAAAAAGAAAGAACAGGATATTATACATTCTGAAATAAGTAAAGACAACAATACAAACACTGGCTGTCAAATTCAAGAAGTGAACTCTTAACGTTACTTTATTTGTTCCTGAATAAGTTGTACTTTATAACTTTGTTCCTTTAACAAGCTTAGCTTTAGAAAATTTTAGTATAAATTAAATTCGTGCACCAAGCTAATAAGTCTATTGGGAAAAAAAAATTTTTTTTGAATCCAGCATAAAAAAAGTCAGGTGCAAATTAGAAAAAAAAAAAAGCAGTCGAAAGAAGGGAATAGAAATGTTTTTAGTTACTCTGCCTAGGTTCAGAAGGATTCTTGTTAGAATTATACTTGACCATAGAAAACAGACGTGATCAAAAGAAGAGTTAAAATAAGTAGAGATAAACGAATGTCGAGAAAATTAAAGATAAGAGACGATAGTCAAGTTTAGAATAAATAAGAAATAGACGCTAGTCCATATGACTTCTTTGTAGGAGTATCCAATACGAACAAATAGAAAATGAATGCAACAGAATGTTAGTCTTGAGTTATTGCTCGATGGCAAAATCTCTCTCTTTTTCTTTCTTTTTTTTATAATAAATAACGTAAATAATCTACAATTGCTTATATATAAATATATACATACATATTTGTAATAAATTGTGTCATAAAGAGGATGTTGATCTTTTATTCTTGAGAGAAACACTTTTGACCCTTATAAATGTTTCCAAGCGCTATATTCCTAATTATGTTAATATAAAGACAAGTGAATTACATAATCTATTTTCATTATGATAAAGGTAGATATTGTCTAAACAGTTCTAACAAACTGAAATATGGAATTAATAAATATAACAAGTTTATTGTTTTAATTTATTTTATTTTACGAAAAAAAAAATCGTTCTTTTATCGTTAGGAAAATAACCTTGAAGTTAACATAAAAAAATACAAGAGTAATTTTGTTTATTATTTATAAACAAGAGTTACTCTAAATAAGTATAATATTGCTTAAAAAAAAAGGGGAGGGGAGGGGAGAGCAGGGTAAAGTTTGTATGGTTGCTTTTAAACTATTACAATCCACGGTTACTTTTTTTTTTTATCCGTATCTAGTTTTGTATATTACATAACAGTTATATTCACCCTTTACTTTGATTTTCAGGTGCAGTTGATATTAGTCATTTGAATGAGTAATTAATAGTTTTTGCCAAGTTCGGCAATAAAGCTCATCAAAATAAAGCGGCAAAAAAAAAGAGTGTTTAAGAAACTTGTGATTCATCGATTTTTTTTTTTTTTTTTGTTGCAACTTATATAAATCCCGAGCGAACTACTACTACTACTACTACTACTACTACTATGTATTATGTTTCAGGAATTAAAATTAAAAGTGAAAATAAATACACTTCTCTTCAATAGATTTATCATATATACTTTTTTTTGTTACTTTTGGTAATTTACTTTTAAATAAAAGGATATATTACATTTTTGACACTAAAACAAGTAATATTTATTATTTGCATTAGTAGTGTCTGTAGTCCATTTTGTAAATAACCTTTATGAGTAATAAATAGTACATTATTATTATATTTTAAACATTTTTTCCTTAAATATACACACGAGCATGTTATCTATATGAGACATAAATAGTAATTATTCACCTATCATGATTTAATAGGGAATAAATATAAAAATTATGCTCTTGTTTGGATTTATACATGTATATATTTAGAAATTCAGTATTAAAGATACTTGGTTGATAAAGTATTATATTCTTAGGTATTAATTACATGTATAATACATCTCCTTGTATTTAATAGCAACATGGATAATAGCTAAAATTTTAACTATTTTCGGCGATTATAAAGTCTTTTTTAATTGAATGAAACACGACCATCCAAGCTTAATTATAAGTCGAATGGTTCGATTAAAGTAAAACATATAAGCAATTATATGAATATAAATATATAAAGAGTGATATGAACAATACAGTTCTAGATAATAATGTAAGTTTCGCTTGTTTTCTTCTATATAATAAAAAAGAGTATCTATCTAAAGATAGGTTCATACTGAATATACATTTTGTTCGTCTTTTATATCAGTTTAAAATTACTGAACAATGTTTAAATAAATCAATCATACTTAACTATTCTACATGACAATATTAAACGTCATGATGCAAATTACTTAAATCAGAATATAACTTATATTTTCTATTACTACTGTTATTATAGTAACAAAAAAAATTTTTTTTCCTTATCTTATTATTTTATTTATTCATTGAATAAATCGGAAATTAGAATATAAAATTGCCATTTATATATTTTAACTCTCTATTTTGTATTACTCGGTTTCCTTTTCTTCTTATTTTTGATATTCAAACTTTACCACATAAAAAAAAAAAAAAAAAAAAAAAGAAAAGCAAAGAAAAGGAAGAAGAAAATGGTGTGGAAATTGGCTGATGATCCATTTGAGTATATCGCTCCAGCTGTTTGTATCGGCTCAGTCATTTTAATCCCTTTGGGTCCTCTTTATTTTCCTCGTCTTTGGATTCTTTTTATTGCCCTTTACTTTATGACATTCATGGGTACACAAATTAATCATTTAATCAAATTTAATAGAACAGCTAATAATATAGTCAAGACAATCCAAAATTACAATGGTTCCTTAAAGAAAAATAAGGATAAAAAACAAAACTATGTTGTTACAGATAATGATCTAATGGATATGGAAGCAGCAGTAGCTTTAAATCCTACAACGAATAATAGTTTTCTTATTCATGCATTTGTTATACCCAATTACTCTGAACCAGAAGCCCTTATTAGAGATACAATCAGTCGTATTGCTTTACACAAGTAAGATGAGGCAAAAAAAAAAAAAAATTACAACTATTTTGTTTTCCTTGTTTTTTTTTAAGCATATTCAAACTGAATTTTCTCTCTCTCTTTTTGTTCATCATAGGAAGGCACGTACAAACTATGTAATTATTCTTGCTATGGAAGCGTCTGAAATTCATCATCGAACAAAATCTGAAAGCTTACGAGACTATTTTAAAGATAGTTTCTTAAAATTTGTAATTACAAATCATCCTTCCGATCTTCCTGGTGAAGCGAGAGGTAAAGGTTCTAACATTAGCTATGCTGCTCGTAAAGGTTGTGCTGAAATGATTGAAAGTGGAATTGATAAAAACAGAATTATGATCACTATTGCTGACTCTGATTCTCATATCCCTGAATTATATGTATTAGAGGTAAGATATAACACTTATCTTTGAAATATATATGAAAGGGAACTGAATATATATGTGTATATGTATATGAATATTTATTTATATTTATATAGCTCGAAAAGGCATTTTCTCGCTCCGAAGATCCTTATTTTAGAGTATATGCACCCCCTATTTTCTTTGGAAGAAACTGTTTCGAAGTTCCTGCTGCTGTTCGAGTCACTGATATTACATGGTCCTCTATGATTATGGCGAATTTAAGTGGTAGTAGAGGAATTGGTTTCCCTTGCTCTACTTACAGTGTAAGCTGGAAGATGGCGGATCGTGTTGGCTATTGGGACACAGACGCGGATGCTGTTGGGGAGGATATGCATATGACTTTAAAATGCCTTTTCAAAACCGAGGGTCAGGCGCGTATGATACCTATCTTTGTCCCTATTAACCTTACAAACGTTCAAACGGAGGGCTATGTGAATAATCTAAAGGCTCGTTTTGTTCAAGCTAAACGCCACTACAATGGTGTTGCGGATGTAGCATATACATTGCGTCATGCTCTCAACTTACCTACCTTCTGTGTTGATGCTACTGATCTTTGCCTCCCTACGACTCAAGCGGAAAGCGTATTGTTACCATCGGACAAGAAATTAAATGATGACCGCTACTCCTCCTCCTTCTGGATTGAGAAAATTATCATTGTACTCAAGGTATTAGAAACTCATTTTATGCCTGTCACATCAGGCTGGCTTATGTTCTTTGCTGTTCCTATTATGCAATTCTTATTTTATCCTCCTGAGGGATATGGACCCTTTTTAGAGCCCCATACTAACCCGGTCTTGGTCTCCACATTTTATTTACATATTTGGAATATTTTAAGGGTCATGACTTTCTTTTTACCTTTCCCACTCTTTGGTACATTGGCCATTTATGAAAGATTGCATAGATTTGTAGATATCCAATTCTTTAAAAAGACAAAAGATGAATCGCGTACTTGGATCAATTACTTTGACTATGTCAGTATGCCTATCGCCGCGTGGTTATTTATGACATTTCCATCTAATATCGCATCCTGTAAACGACTCTTAAAGACAAGAGATCAATACATTGTGGCTGAAAAAGTCTTTGTTGAAGGTCGCAATTAATGAAGAATAAGAAGACAGAAAACGTTATACTTTTTTTTTTTTTTTTCAATCATGTATATAGATTTTTTTTTTCTTCCCTGTATTCTTGAGACATTATTTAGAAATTACTTAATTTATATGTGTACTTAATTTAGAGCTTTCCCCCTCCCTTTTTCTTTAAAAAGAAAATAAAAAAAAATACTATTCCTTCTTAAAACCACATTTTTGATAACTAAAGTTGGAATGATAAAAAAATATGTATTTTATCTAATTTTAGTAAAAATAATTTTTTTTTTTAAAAAAAACATTCACAAACAGGTCCAGGGTTTCTTTTTTAAACACATACCTAGACCCAAGAAAATGATATTAAAATAGATTATATTACGTAATAGCTTCATGACCATATTACATAATATAGCAATTCATTCATTAAAAAGGTATCTTTATCAAAATACATAATATATAAATATAAAGAGCCTAATGCAACGTACAAGGATTTAAAGAGAATAGATATTTCTTTTGAATATGTGATATAACACAGGATAATTCTGTTCATGTTTTAATACAAAGAATCGAGGAAGAAATAGAAATTTAAAATAAAAAATAAGAATAGATAAAAGGGAGGGACAAACATGTAATTAAATAGAGGCAAACTATTGTAATTGAATTGGCAAAAAGTTTCCTACAATTACAGTCTATAAATAATAATAATAATAAAAAAAATAAGACTTTAGTTTAATAATCCTATCTACTTTTTTTTCCCCTAACTTACAGGAATGTTATATTTATCTCGTCGAATAGTAAAAGAAAAGCAACATGATATAACACTTGTATTTTCTGGATTAGGACTTCTAAGTAAACAAGAGGTTAAAACTGCTTTCTGTCCAGGATCAAATGCTATATTGCCGTATTTTTCCCAATAATTAACAGCAGATTCCTCTGCCATTAACTCATAGATGCATAACCGCCCTTCTCGTAAGTTTTCGATAGGCACATTGACGAGAGCAGCAAATTCTTTATTGCCTTTATAAATTTCACCTGTACGACGCCATAAACAAGCTGGTATACCCATTGAACTGAAAACACGATCATAATCCTATTTTTTCATTTTAATTTAATCAGTATATACAGAATTTTATTTTAAAAGTAACTTACCAATAGTAAGCGTTCAAATGCTTCTTCTACAAGGATCAAATCAATGTCAGTTAATGACTGAGCTACAGATCTAAATGCAGGACGAAATGTTCCCATTACATTTAAAATTCTTTGTCTACTTGAAGCAGACATGCTGTATGAAAAGTAGAAGAAGAAGCAGAAAAAAAAACAACAATAAGAAATATTTTTTTTTAAAAAAAACATACATTTCCTTGACAGTTTACATATAAAACTTACTTATTATCCATATATTTTTGTAACCTAGCATAGCCATTTACATAATTATAAGGCTTTAGAAATCCAGCTTCATATTTTGCATTTATCACTTCTGTTAAACGATCTTCTAATTTACCATCTGAAGGATCAGCTGCAGTTAAGAAGAAACGCTCTGTAGTATTAACAGCTGGTGTATTAGTATTGTTGTTGTTCGTTGTATATATTCCTTGGGTATCACCAGTTGCTCCAAGAGAATCAAGAAAATCACTGATAACAGATATTTCATTTCCCATTTGTTCACTTGCAAACGTTAGTTGACCTGCTCCCATTTGACCATAAAATTGTAATGGAAGACCTCCCAAATTACTATTTGATCCAATTGGCACTTTTTTTTTTTTCATTAAAATATATTAATATTATAATTATGATAATACTAAAGTAGAATTACCATTGGCTACATTAGATAGATGTGAATAATTTCCACTATTTAATCTTTGTTGAGTTAACCCATTTTGACCATTGTTATTCACTTGTTGCTGTTGTTGTTGTTGCTGTTGTTGTTGCTGCTGCTGCTGCTGCTGCTGTTGTTGTTGTTGTTGTTGTTGCTGCTGCTGAGTTACTGTCTGTGTATTATTGGGTGTTTTTACTTCATCATGACATAAATGACCAATACTACGTTTAATACAACGTTGACAAGGACGACCTATTTAAAACTGTTAACTTTTTTTTTTCTTTAATTGATCAAAAATGAGTTTGATTATAGTACCTTCATCACACGTCATATGCGAGCGTCTACAATAAACGCAAGCTATAAAAAAATAACAAGTAATTACATTACATATAAATACTATTTTTTTTTAAAAAAAACAATTTACCATGAGTTACTTTTCGTCTTTTGGGCCCTGTACGCTTCTTTTTTGAATCTTGAGCTTGGTTATTAGAGTTTTCTTCAGTTGGATCTTGTTGATCCAGATTTGGATTAGGTTCTGGCATTCTTAGTTCTTTCTTTCTTTCTTTCTTTTCTTTTCTTTCTTTCTTTCTTTCTTTCTTTCTTTCTTTCTTTCTTTCTTTCTTTCTTTCTTTTTCTTTTTCTTTTTTTTTTTGGAAAAAAAATTAGGATTTTAAAATAAGTTCATAATCAAAAGTAATTAATAAAGAATGAAGTTTATTTTTCTTATTTTATCTCTCCTTCTTTATCGTATTCAAGAAAGAAAAATAAAATAAAATAAAATAAATTCAGCAGCCGTATATGTATGTATATAAGTAGGAGACGCTGGTTTCTATCTATTTGTTGATAAAAAAAAAAAAAAAAAAAGACTTTCACTGTCTTTTGTTAAATTACTTTTATTCACGTGACTTCAAACTCAGAAAAAGAAAAAGAAATAATAATAATAATAACAATAACAATTTTTGTGGCTGACAAGATATTTTATCCTATTATGTAATTAATAATAAGCAAAATCTCTTGTTCAATCATAAATATGATATAGAAACAGAATTATTTTTATTTTTACGATACTTGGTACGTAAAGAACGAATGATTTCATGTGGTTTCTGATTTAATGTACAAATTGTGATAGCTTCTTCTGTTATGATATTGTGGCGTATAAGCATCGTCTGCAGATATAAAATAGCAGGATCAGTATAGAATAAACTTGCTTGTCGCAAAATATGTTGAGTTCGATTTAAATTGATTTGACACACAGTCTGTATTTCAGAATTCTGACAAGACCGTTTAATGATAAGATAAAGATGCATGGTCAACATGGCACCATAGACAGGACTATGATGACAACCAATAGTATCAATAGCTGTCAATAATTCCAATATAAGGGTATAATCATTTATAACAGTCAATAATTCAACGAGACAATGATACTCTAATTCATCTGATTTTATTAGACTCGATCCTTCAGATTTTTGTAATATGGATGCAGTCTGTTGTTGAACAAATATCTGCTTTGTGGCTGTATTAGTTTGATGAATAATAATGCGCTTATAGATATCATTTAAATCAGAACAACGAATTGCATCTTCTTCTGACAGATATGTTTCAAAGTAATGTTTAGGTAAAAATGGTAATTGAGCAAAAATTTTCGTTTGACAGTAAAGTTCATTTAATAAAAGTCTTTCTAAATCTGATTTACTACAGAGTAAAGTAGGATCTAAATCAAGCTTAAATCTATCAGGTGTATTAAAATAGGCTTCAAAGAGTTGACTATCTAAATTAGCTTGAATTGCTTCAGACGATTGAAGTGATATCATATAACTTGTTCTAAATAATTCCATTTTTCGTATCATAATAATACGACAATATTGTGAAAAGAGTTCAATTCGTCTTTCTATCTTTCCTTCATCAGGTAAAAGCCGAGGAAAATTGACATGCCAATCAGTGACATCGATAGTGCCTGTGTGTCCTGACCTATTATGATGCGCATGATAATCTGCACATAATAACATCCAAGCAAATCGTCTTAACTTTTCTTTTTGATCTGATTCTTTATCATATTGACTATCATCAATCTTGTGTAAATCCATTGATAACGCCATTCTAATCGCCATTGTTAATAGTGGTGATTCAATTCGTGAGGAAGAGTAAAGATGTAAATGACCTTGAGGGAAAAGAGATAAAATGAAGATAGACTGAAGGATAAGGATATGATGTACATCAAACACATCTTGTAATAAGTTACGAGCCTTCATATAAAAAGTATACATAAAAGCATCAGCAACAGACTTATCACCACGATGGTGTATTGTGGTATGACGTATTGTAAGAGCACAGATACTAAAGACGAGTAATGCTTCTACTTTATGTTCTTCTACAGCATCTGGTTGAGATAAAATCATATCTGTATTAGCAATTAACGTAGGTATATCCATAAAAAAGGAATCTCCACAATCAATAAAGCATTGTATACAGTAACGCATTAACTGCATAGAATTGTATTGTGCAAATTGTTCAAAATTAGGAATCGATATCACAGTTGATAATTGTAATATAGGTTGTAGCATATATCGAAACAGAGGTATATCATATTGATCCGAATTTATTATAACGTTTTCCCTTTGTCTCAAATTTGGTGGCTGAGGCTTGATATTGATATGTATTAATTTTAATACTTTTTCAAGCCCTGATAAAGTCATGATGTTGGTATCTAATGTCATCATGGTAGGTGTCAAGTTCAATTGCCACGTGACAGTCTCTTTGTCATTGTCACTATCCAAGTCATGTACATCCTTAGAGAACATATTATTTGCATGTATTAAAATCTGCATTGCCTCTTTTATAAATTGATGTATGAATACTGTACTGCCTGTTGCATCGTCGTTTATCTTTGAAAATGTCAAGGGCAAAAACTGGTCTTGAGTAATCATTACTACTATTATTATTCACCCTGCTGTTATAAACATGTATACAAATATAAATGTGTGTTTATGTATTGTATTCTTTAAATGAAAGAATAAAAAAAAAAAAAAAAAAAAAGAGAAAATTTATAACAGCTTATGTCACTTTATCTGATGTACTCTAAACTCCGATTTTTTTTTTTTTTTTTTTCAAAGATAATAATCCTACATTGTATATTCTTCAGGAGAAGTCGGATTAATACTGTCAAGAAATAATAATAAAAGCACATTGTAAAGAATACAATTCTACTCTTTACAACAAGAAAAAGCAAATAATAATAAATGACTTGATATAAATTGTATTTTAAAATAGTGTAAATCACTCTCTATTCTATAATGCCTGGGTCAAAAATTAGCCATCGTGCCGTTATCTTGAATGATAATCAACCTTTATCTTTTCTTTTTAACATATACAATTACAAATGTATTTACCCTGTTGTACTATATTTATTGTGTCCAAAGGAATTACATAATACATGCGTGTAAATATGAAATAGTAAATATGGTTGTATTTGTGGAGTGTCCTTAAGGTTTATGCATAAAAATAAATGTACAAAAAAAATAAAATAAAATAAACAAAATAAAATAAAATAAAATAAAATAAAAAATAGCCAATACTTATTTACGTTGTCTTCCCTTCATTTTTAAAATACAATTGTTACAATACCATTTACCTTTTGGTACTGTTTTAAGATCAACACAAGCTAAATGAAACCATTCAATTTCACACTAGAATAGAGTTAATTTAAAAGGAATCTAAATTCATAAATAAATGATTAGACTTACATCTGTGTTATCACAAGCGACCATTTCACCATAAGAAACTTGCTGACAATAACAATATAGTGGTTCATTTGGATCAATTGGCATATCAGCAGGAACAACTCTAGATAAAAAGATATGAATTTGAGTCATACAAAAGACGATTATTTATACATACGTCTTTGGTTTCCCGTTTCCATGTTTGTTATAGACATGCTTTGCTTTTTCTTTTTCTATATTTTTTATAGCTTTGCTTTGATTAATGAATCGTTTTTAATCTTCTACACATAAAATTATATTTACCATTTATATTATTTGGATCTTTCACTGCTGTCTTTCGTTCTATGTAAAATGAAAATAATAAATAAATAATGAATAGATCAAACTTTTTTTTTTATTATTTCTTTACTTTTAATCACTAAAATAAATAAATAAATAAGATATACTTGAAATAGTCATATTCAATTTTAAAACTTACTCTTCTTATCTCCTTTCATTTCTTTTCTTTCTCTTTCTAAGCGTTTTGTAAGTCTTTCTCGAATATCAGTTCCTTCCTTAAGACTTCTAGCAGAAGGTTGTAATCCTGGTAATGTTGTAATTCGATTTTTTCCAATTATTTGATCTTCTTCAAATTTAACTAAATCTGCATCCAACCGATTACAATGACGGTCAACCTAATATGAGTGTATGTATAAATAAAATAAACGGAGAAAATAAAGAAAAATAAAAAAATAAAAAATAAAAAGAAAAACAAAAAAAAAACTACTACTCTACTGCATCAAATGTTGACTTGGCGAGAGCTACTTTTTCTTCTCCTCTTTTTAATGTCTCTGTTAATATAGTGGTAAGGTGTTTTAATTTATCAAGTCGTGAATTTGGATCCATGTCTTTTATGTTATCAATAAGCTCAATTGCATTTCTTGAAACGGTATCCATTAACTCTAGTTACATACATTAACACATTTATTTATCTTGTCTTTTTTTTTTCTTTTCTTTTCTTTTCTTTACTTTACCTTGTGCGTAACCGTCTAATTCCCTCATAAGGGTAAAGTTTCTTTGTAAATCAAGAGGAACAGCTTCTATGGCTAATTAACAAACAGAATATATAAGAATTGTATTCGTGTTTTTCTATAATAACTGATAATTACTATCAATATAATCGTCAAGATATACCAAATTATCAAATTGTTTAGGTATTAAACTGCTTGGCTTCATTCTTTAATATTTAACAAGGTAGAATAATAATTTGAATAAGAAAAAAAAAAAAAAGTAGACATATACACAATAAATTCTTTATCAACTACCAAAAAAAAAGTGTCGTAGTTTAAAAATAAAATAAAATTGATAATTACAGTCAAAGAAACTAGGTTGGGCCAATGAGAAAAAATTTGATCGTTTCAAAATTGGATTGGAACACCAATATGAAAGTGGGACATCAGCATAAAAGTGGGATATATTGAGACACGCTTAGTTTTTGGGCGAATGTATAAACAAGAAGCTATAAACTTGTTCCATTTAACAAGAAAAGCCATTAATAGACTATCAGACTACTAAGATGATCATCCAGATTAGGATATGATTCACCTAACTTGAATGATCCCGGAACGAACAATCCTCATGGAGAATATCCCAGATTTGAATTACTTAGGACAATAAGGAGCATTTCTGTGAGTTTGATAGAGTGAGTGAACTATCGTTTTTGAAATAATAAAGCCAAGTAAAGTGATTAGGATACGTAGAATGTAGGGTTTTCATTATTCGTAAGAAAGAAAGACCTAGAGCCACCAGGTCTTGGTTACAATCATTATTTATACTCTGTAATATTGGGCTCCGTATGTAGTCCAGGTACCAATGTGGATCAGAAAACCGACAATTTCATACGATTATATTCATACAAGTAACAAATAACGATAAATGTATGTAAAGGAGATCATCTTGGATCAATAAAGTTCTTCAGTCAGTTTACATTAAATAAACACTCACACAAGCATCTAGATTACCCTACTGTTTTTATCTACCGATTCTACAGAATGAAAACTTAAATGACATCCCCTTTCTCCTATTTTGTTGTCATTTATGTTGATATCCATCAATTATTGGTCGAGGCTGTACCAAAACTGACTCACAAAAAAACTATACAACTTTGATGCTTTATTTGTTGGTCAAGGAAAGAATGCCGATGCCGAGATCCCTAAAGCTTTCTTACAATTTAGTAATAAAATGGGAGAAGATTTTAATAGGCAACAACAGTTCCCCAATATTCAGTATAGCACACTAATCTCAATAGTCATGCGTAGCTTTGAGACACTTATAGAGAATCATGTTGGAACCAACTTCAAGCCAAAAACGCTGCGCTATCTCTTTACGAGGCTTTCTAACACAACTGAATTTCCAGACCTCCCTTTCCGAACTAGTGTCAAACGCGACCTAGCTGAGCAGGTATATAATGCTATTTGTACCAATCAAGAAGTTATTTACCCTGCTAATCTGGAAGTTGCCGACACTCACAAAACCTCAATCAACAATCTTATTGATGAATGCCACCAAAGATTACATGGCTTGAACCTGACTGAAGCAGATTACTATGCTAAACCTCACTTGTATTTGCCGTGGTTATACCATGCTTTAGAAAGAATGGAGCGGCAAGTCATCATTCGTGAGCCAATGTTGACGCACGCCGTCTGTTTTCTAATACACCATCAACAAGGACGTGTAACTGGGACCAGTTCAATGAAGCTTTGCGATATATATTTCGGAACTTTGAGGCAATTAAAGGCTATTACACAACCGGGTTGAAAAAGCTCAAATATCACGGCTATAGAAGAAGCAAGCAAAAAGCATTGACCGAAATGTGTAAACGGTTGTTTACAGGTAGCAGAAAGTACCAAGAAGGCAATCCTGATATACAGCAAGCAAATTAGCAAAAGTGGAAGCCGTTAGCCCCTAGAGACAATGCCAGTAAAGCTGAAAGGCCTAGTGTAGTGGCGTTTGGTTCTGCTCAGTTCGGTGAGCTTCGTGGGAATGTACCTTCTCCAACAAAGGTATTCAGAAAAGCCTTGCTAAATTATGTCAAATCAACCAGATGCAACCAGCCAAATTCAAGAAAATACGTCGTTATGATTGATGAGTATTTCACAAGTCAAATATGTCCCAGATGTCATACAAAAAGTACTTCTAACCAACGTGATGACTCCAATATGATGATCCATCCAGTTCTCAACTGTCAAACTTGTAATATCTCGATGGAACAGCGATCATATGGCGAGTCTCAACATGCGCTCTATCTTTTTGTATATGGCTGCTAACAACAACAATCGACCTGAAGAGTTTCGGCGGGGGTAAGCTATCTTGATATTAATATAGATTTCATTACTTCATATACTAACAGCACTATTATTATTTGTGGAAAAAAATAGCCTTAACAATTGAATAACATTATGTCTTGTATAACAGCAAGACACCCTGTTATTTACAGATTAGTTGACCTATTGAAAAAAAAAAAGTCTTCATTCGCCCAAAAATTAAAAGTATCTTAATATGTCCCATTTCCGTATCGCTGCCCTACTTTCGTATCTCTGTCCCATTTTCATAATGGTGTCCTAATTCAATTTTGAAACGACCTAATTTTTTCTCATTGGCCCAACCTAGTTTCTTCGACTGTAAAAAGCATATCGTACTGTAAATGTTTAAAGTAAAGTGGTATTTTTTAGATGTTGCATCATTCAGAAGAGTAGTGGTGTATTGTTAAATAAAAATTGATGCATAAGAATGGAAATAAATTATGGCATGTTCTGTTTTGCTTCATCGTAGTAGAATATCTTACAGAAGAACAGAAAGCTTTTATCCTTTAAAATTATCTGGTTTTTGATCGAACATCAAAGAGTATAAACTAACCTTATTTTATAGTTTGTTACAGTCTCTTGTAATTCCTTTTCACACAAAGCAATTAGTATTCTAACTTGAGTGTAATGTTAAAAAGTATAAATACTTTTCCTATTAAAATAAAATAACAAAGTTTAATAAGCAGCCCCAAAAAGTACTCCTTTATTTTTGTTTGTAATTTACCCTACCTACTTAACTTATCACTTCTCTGGTGGTAAGTATTTTTATTTATTTCACATAACTATTTTCTCTTCCAAAAAAAAAGACTGTGAATATGTCTTATGATGGGCTTTTTTTTTCACTAAAACGGTTAGCGATTCTCTTCCTGGTGCCCGCTAGTTTAATGAGCATAACTAGATCTTTGGAACTCGGTGATTGGACTCTCATAGTAAACTGTTCAATTGATGCTATTCGTTGGAATCTAATATTCTGATAACAATTAAATAATTTCATCAGCGCTGTAAATAAGATAACACCATATGCTTATTCGTTCAGTAAATACAGAGAATGAAAATTATGGAAAGTTTTTTTTTTCTTTCTTTTCGATAAAGTTATCGCTTAATATCAGTCAAGCCCAAATTAGCATTCACAGCTTAGGATGGCGTGAATTTATTGAAAGATATCTACAGGACTTATTACAAACGATCAACGAGTTCCTCTTAAGTAGAATTAATAGGGCTCATTGATTGAGGGTAACAAAAAAAAATGGATACATCATATATCAACACTACTTATCTACTACATCTTTTGGAAACCATTTTTTTTCCTGACATGCAGTAGACATCCTCTTGAATCGGAAAACTCAAATAACTCCCCCATACACACATACGCATACATATACTCTACTAAAGGCGACTAAAGCAGAAGACGGACTCTCTTTAGAAGCCATTTTAAAGGAAATTTATCAAATTATCGTTCGACTGATAAATGATTTCAAACTAGCCATAACAAGAAGACATATCACGAATAACATTGAAGACGTTAGAGACCACTCCATCAATCCAATCTATAACACATACGATAGACATTTAGACTCCTGTTTTATTGTCATATCGCTGATGGTATAAACTCTGTCAAGACGACACCCATCATGATTCAAAGGTTAACACCATGGAACACAATGAGTTTTCTTTTTTTTTTTAAAAAAAAAAAGGATATTAGCTTGTATATTTGTTAATCTTAATATACCTGTATAGAACTGAATCCTTCCGTTTACACAGACTGTAGTCCCCTTGTTATGTAATCATCGATTCAAAAAATTTATGCCAAAATATACTTATTCGCTCTTGGACCAGCCATACTAGAGATAAATTAGCCTTATAGGAATATGTTATTAATTTAAACTTTTTCTGTATCTTTCAGATATCAAGAAGAAGGGTGTTTTACGATTTTGTGAAAATAGCCAAACTGACAGAGATAAGTGTTTCGATAATCAAGAAAAAAAGCACGAAGCTATTACACTCGACCCAATCTACAAGTAGATCAAACTCGTTATATAAATGATCTCTATTCAGAGAAAAAAAAAGCATGAAGAAATAGCTGAACGATGTGTTACTGTTAACCCTGAGTGACATAGTCTCTTGTATCATTTTATTCATGAAAATATTCATAGGAGAAGATCAAAAAACTGGTCTGTGCCCTACACAAGATAACCAGTGACGATTTGTGAACGGTATAGGATTCCAAAGAATGATAAAGAAGCACAATTATTTTGTATACTTGATAGGTGAATTTAGAACAAGCAAGTGTTGTCCAAAATACCACAATATGAATTTAGAAATATTCAAACGACTTGATAGCCGCCCTCAAACCTATCATTGAAAAGCAAATCCTTTTGTAGTTTTTTAACATGATCTATTAAGGTGTATTCTCATATATCGACTACTTGATGTTTATTGACCTCAATTACATTATGATAACAAGAATAAGATGTGAGAATTAGAACTACTGGAAAACTATGCCAACTACTCTTGGGGTCTGTTTACTATTTATTTAACAGAGATTTGATTGCTTAGCATTGTTCGTTTATTTTGTAAAAAAAAAAAAAAAAAAAAAAAAAAAAAAATGACATCATCACCTGCAAGGTTTTAATGTTCTTCTGCTGCGCCTACTGATAATTGTAGAAGAAGATGACTACGACAAGAGTAATGAAGGCCAATGATTTGTGATATTTAGAATTCTATAAACTTCCTCGTCTAGTTAACATGGGATCTACCAAGTTAAGATCAGCATCCCTATTATATGAATCGTTTACTATGTCTACATTCTGTTTTAAATATACTTTTCCCGGGATCATCTTCGACTTTGATATAAATTAATATTTAAATTTAAAACCCTTTTTCTCTAGACTAACATTTCACACACACACACACATACACCCCTTTTTTTCTGAATTTACGTAATAGATTATTTATTACCTGAATTACATAAACATTTGTTTTTGTTTTAAACTTGTTTCACTTACTTTGTATAATGTCATTAGTCACGTTTTATTATTATTATTATTATTATTACAGTGTTTACAACAACAATGATGACTTTCTATAGTATTAACAGTATTTATTTAGCTATAAATTTGGACATGTAGAGGATTATTGTTGAATATAATACTTCTTGGTGTAGTAACTTCTTATTTGGTATTGTAGTATATCCCTTTTATATGCTGTAATGAATTCTTGATTATAATTAGGGTCTATAATACAAACAAGATTAAATATATTAATAAATGAGACCCTGAATTTAATTACTTGTAATAATTAAATAACAACTATACTTAATTCACTATTAATAGAATCACGTCAACTGCGAAAAAACCAACAGTCTTCATTAATTCACCACATGATACTTTTATATATTTCATATTGTAACGTTAGGCTTTTCATAGATGAATTGCAACCCTTTTTTTTTTAAAAAAAATGTGATTATCTACTCTTGGCTATTTTAACCTCAAAGACTACATAAGAGCCCTTTATTATAGTTTTATACTAACCATACTAGTAAATACAGAAAGTCTATTTAAAGTTATTCTAAAGTATTTTTTTTTAATCTTCTTAAAGATGACAGAAAGAAATCCCTATCGTTAATTATGTTTAGCATTAGATCTTGTAGTATTTTCTCATTATTTTATCAAGTATCAACATATATATTCTTAATTTAAGAGGTGGTAGATCTATTTGCTCAAATAATACCAGTAGCTTTTTCTGGCTAAATAAAGGGACAATTACAAATGCAGCATGCATTAAATACGTTTTCAGCTGAGATTCAAATCATAAAACGACAATCATAATCGTACAGGAACCAGTTAAATAAAGGTTATAATCAGGAACAACAACAAAAAAAAATTTTTTTTTTTGATACTGCGCAAAAAAAAAAAAAAAAAAAAAAAAAAAAGAGAGAGAGAGAGATTACAATAATCTTCTAATAGAAAATGTTTGTGTTCTTCAAGACATATGTTCAACAATGATGATTGAGCTATAACATGCCTAGAATTCTAATTGAATAGTTAATTATGTAAGAGTTTACTCATTGAATGAAGATGGAGAATTATTTTCAATTGGTTTAAAAAAAAAAAAAAGTGTGTGTTTAGAGAGTGTATGTAACCATTTTTTTTTTTTTTTTTTAAAAAAAACATCGTTATGTCAAACAATATGTCATTTTTTTTTCTTTTTTTGTACATGTCACTATAATTATGCCAAAATATAATAACTGGTTATACATAGTTATAATAGTTTATATAGCTCTAAGTACAGTAAATGCTTCTTTAGGTGATGAGCAGCCCATTTACACTAAATGTGTTGATGAATGTGTTCAATTGTCATGCCCTACATCTTTAGATTATTTTTTAAGCTTATTAAAATGGACTTGTAAGTCAACACTTTTGTTACATTTCTATTTATATACAAATATTAATATATACACAAGAAAGGTCCAGAGAATTGTAAATACAGTTGTATGCAAGAAATAACGGATGAAGCGATTCAAAAAGGCACAGCTGTTTATCAATATTACGGTAAATGGCCATTTTATCGATTCTTGGGTATACAAGAGCCCGCTTCAGTCATCTTTTCGATTGGAAATGGAGTTGTTCATGCTTATTATTTACGACTATTTATAAAATATGTTCTAAACGGATACTTTCTAAAGGGATTCATGATACTGTATACTATCATTGGTATGAATGCATGGTTTTGGAGTACCATCTTTCATTCTCGAGACACAAAATTTACAGAACTTATGGACTATTTCTCAGCTGCTTTGTTAGTACTTTATACATTATTTTATGCAATCCTGAGAGTGTTTGATATTCGAAATGGATTCATGATCAAGACGATGGGAGTCGTGTTTATTTGTGCATTTGTAGCCCATGTTGGTTACTTGGTTATTGTAATATTTGACTATACCTATAATATGTATGCTAATTTGATTATTGGGGGGCTTCAAATATCTCTTTGGATTTATTGGTTTATAATACAAATCACAAGGTCCAAAAATCATTCAAGATTATCTTATGCGTACCTTGCTGTTGTCTCCTGTGTTGGTGTTGCAGTTTCTCTGTGCCTCGAATTAATTGATTTCCCGCCTTTATGGCGAGTATTTGACGCTCATAGTCTATGGCATTTTACAACTATTCCACTTACAATCATCTGGTATCGTTTCTTAATGGCTGATATGTGGTATGAAATGAATACTAAATCCTTTTCTTACACTGCTGTTCCTCTTTTACCAGAATAATAAGTAAGTCATTAGTGTAATCATACATGTTTGTATATAACAAAGAAAGTCATCTGCCGTTCATATCCTAGATTTTTTTAAAAAAAAATAGAAATATAGAGAAAAAAAAAGTATTTTTTTTGTATATAATAGATAAATAATATGTATAGATTTATTTATTAATAAAGCATGGGGAGAAGGTAGTTATTGAATTTTACTTTGTTCTTTTGTTTTTGTTTTTATTATTTTTTATTTATTTATTTATTTAATAATTTTTACCCTTCCATACTTCCTTTATATGTATTTTAGGCATTAGGACCGCTAGTGGCACGACTACCAGCACCAGTTCCTTCTCTGTAAAGTTGTTGATCCCACAAGTAAACGCCAAGGCCTTCACCGGCACGATTAAGCTGTGTAACCATGTCAGCTAATTTTTTAATAGCCTCTACTTGCTCACCCAAAAAGGTACTTTCAATAAAATCACACATCTGTGGATCATTTTGACCGTCAGCAATCTTGTGTAAATTCAACAAAGATTTATTAACATCTATCATTAAATGTATATGAGTAAGTATTTAATTATCGAATTAAAAAAAAAAAAAACATAACATGTATACAATACTCACCCTTTTCGAGTTGAAGGGCAGATTCAATAGCATTCTTGGCAGACTTCCAATCAGTCTATATAGAATATGATTAGTATAAACTACAGATAATTTATTTTGTATACCCACCTCAGGTGCTTGCAAAGCGCGTAGTACAACTCTTCCTCCTCTAGTATTGATATAATCTATATATACATATAATCCATTAGAAATGTTGTCAAATTTAAATGATCGTTATACGAACCAATCAATTTCTGGGCATGTTCTCTTTCCTATTAAAAAGAAAAAAGAAAAAGCATATGCATATATGCATATAACATGTGTAAGCTTATGTACATACTATCACACACAAACACACACACACATATATATATATATTATACCTCTTCAGCAGCTTCACGAAAGTATTTTTCTAAGCCAGGTAAGGCAACAGAAGAATGTTGAGCCCAAGCAGACATTGACAAGTAAACTTGAGAAGCTTGTAACTCAGTATTAACTTGTTGGTTCAAGGCTTCTTCAGATTGGCTGGCAAAGTTTTGTTTAGCAAGAGACATTTTTGAATACAGGAGAATATAGTAAAGTGAACAATTAATGTAAGAAAGTTTGTTAAGGAAAAAAAGAAAAGAAAAAGAAAAAAAACCCCCCCCACATATTTATACACCTTTTGACAAAATGATGTCGTCGCAAGAAAAAAAAAATTAAAGTGTCGCACTTTGAAAAAAAAACAGAATCGTGTGCTTTTAGAAAAGAGTGTTGTACAACTGTTTATTCAAGTGTCGAAAAAAAGAAATCTATTAGAATTGACTGAGACACTCGTATATACGATTGCTATTTAAATATCATGTTGATCTCCGTCTGTGCCTTGTTGCTACTTACCTTGCCTTTTACGCTAAACGCCCTCCATTTGGGAGAGGAGGGCTTCATCTTTGTTTGTCAACTTTTTGCGCCCTAACTCTTCTTCAAGTGTGCATACAACTGAAGGTTGGCTACGTTGTTTGCGTTCCTTGTCTACCATGGGACAATGGGGGGGTTTCGTTTAGGTCTATTGCTTTGTATTTTAGCACCTCAAGTAGAATATCTTCAAGGAAGATATCATTACCATGGGTATCCTCGTCAATCTTTGAAAACTTCTACAGATGTGAATATCCATTCGTTTTTGATTTTACTAACACTCTCATTACTGTTGACCTAGAGTACGTTCAATATGGGTCTTTTTTTTTTTCCTTTTTTACGATACCTTAGACAATGTGTCTTTTCCAGTTACATGTTTCATATCCCCCTGGATTAGCAATCCTATATCAATTTTCTTATATGTTTCAATATTCGATTTGATTGGTTACACATAAAATCTAGTTAAATGACCTTTTGTGTTATACTCATGACAAAAACATTGGAATAATTTCTTTTCTTTTTGACACAGAATGTAGACTATAATGAATGCCTGAATTTTTATACTTCTTTACTTGATAATAATAGAATTCTAAAATTGAATAGTCAAGGTACATACTTGAAGATATCTTCATACAACCTATAGCTGAATTTTAAGGGTAATTCGCAGTTCTACATATTTATGCATATAATCATCAATAGTTTTTACTATAAAATAATAATAAAAATCTCTCTCAAATTATTTGCATATAATAATGCCATTATATTCATTCGATACTTAAGAAAAACATACAAAAAGGAAGGGAAGGGAGTTTTTTTTTTTTTTTTTTTTTTTGTTAACAGAAATAATTATGCTTACAAAATTGACATATTCTCTTTGAAGTACAAAAAAAAAAAAAAAAAAAAAAAAAAAAGTTGGAAATGAAATTGCTGAATCAGCAAATTACCCCGCTTTCATATATCTTGGTTTATTTTATGTGTTACCTTTTGTTCTTGATTTTCTGGTAAAAGGATGGAAAAAGAAGGACAAACTCAGCATTAAAACAATTTTTTTTTTTTTTTTTTTTTTTTTTTTTTTTTTTTTAAATAAAAGGTCTTTTTAGAATTACATTGTTGAGAAAGATATTCATAAAGACTAAGCTATTTGATTATAAACTATATGCCATGATCCTATATCAATCTTAGTAAGCATAAAGGAAAATTCAATAGGAACTTATTTCAAATTACAAACTTTTCTTCCGTGTACGCCAACTTATACCTTTAAATTCCCATCTTTATTTATCTACTTTTTTCAGTAATCTTTTAACTTTACTAGGCTTTCGGTAAATGTAATTCCTCATTCAAAGTGTCTCACAAATATTATTAAATCATGTAGCAAAAAAAAAAAAAAAAAAAAAAGGGCTTTTATATAATTATAAATACGAAGCATAATGAATGTTGTGTATATGTTGGTATTTACATTTTATATCTTATTTAAACTTTATTTGTCCATTTTTTAATGACTTTTTCAATAAGATCTAAGCCTAATTTAATTTGATCTAAAGGTGGACCAAAACTAAGTCGAACAAAGTGATGACATGGTGATTCGAATAATTCACGACGATGAGAAGGCTAAAAAAAAAATAAATAAATAAATAAATAAAATAAAGGGTAAATATAGATTTTCAGTTACGTAATATGTATATATAACACTTACATTCACATCAAAAAAGATACCAGGCACAACAATACTATAAATAATAATACATCATATACAATTAGTGATACGGCTATTTTACTCAACTTGTTTTTAAACTTACACTTTCTCTTTAAGGCATTCTTCAAAAAAGTTAAGACCAATATTAATAGGCTCAGGTAAATGAGATAAATCGAGCCAAACATAGAAGGTTGCATTCGGTGATACTTTAACATGAAGACCCATTTCATCTAATCTTTTAAGAACATAATCTCTTTTTTGTTTAAAATGTCTTTGAAGACTTATAACTTCATTTCTAAACTTCTTTGGATCCAAGAATTGAATAGCTGCTTTTTGAAGTGGATGGTTTGCCCCACCTTCTAAGAATGAACCAGCACTTTCCATGGATGAAATAACCGCCTTTGGTCCAACAATCCAACATACACGCCAACCAGGCATCTAAAAGTAAAAAAAAAAAAAAAAAAAAAAAGAGAAAACCCCCACCGAGTATATTGAATTTAATATGTACTGTACTATACACACAACAAATCTGTAGATGTAAACTTACACGAAAGTTCTTTGTCAAACCATCAATCAAAATAACGGGATCTTCATTTACATCTTCAACATAACGACTGATGCTCACAGTTTTACCTTCTTCTTTATCATAGATATATGCAGAGTAAAATTCATCCATAACCAAAGTAGTATGACGTTCCTTTGCAATCGCCACGAGCTCCTCTAATTCTTCATCTTGAATGACTTGTCCTGTTGGATTACGAGGGTTAGAGGCAACAATCACCCCAAGTCCTCGTCCAGAGATCTCCTTACGAATTGTATCCGAATCAATATGATAACGTGCAGCTTCTTCTAGAGTAGTAGGGATGGGTACAAACCGTTTAAATACGGATAACATTTGTTCATAAGCAGTGTATTCTGGTAAGAAATAGCCTACATTAACATCTCCAATCGCTGCTGCTACACGTGTCAAACCAGCACGTCCACCAGGTACAATACAGACATTTTCATATGTATATTTAGATTGCTTATCTTTACGATACACTTCATTGTATAAATCAGCTACTGCCTTTCTCAATTCAGGTATACCACTTGTTGGTGCATATTCATAACAATCTTGTGAAATTTCAATTGTCATAGGTCTCTCCATGCAACCTTCAATAGGACCGACTATTAAATATAAAAAATATAAATATAAATATTTATATGCATTTGCATTAATTATATATATGTGTGTCTGTAAAGGAAGTTTTTATTTTACCTTCAGGAGCTCCTTGACCAAAATTAGACCATTCTTTACTCGAGTAAGTAAAGCCCTGTTTCATAGCACGGTCCATCACATAAATGACGCCAGTAGAACCAGGATGTTCGATACCATGAATATTACCTTCTGACTTTGCCCTTTCTGCTTTATTTTCATTACCAGGATAGCTTCTTAATGTCTGGTGTGCTTTAGATTCGTGTTCGGCCATACTATTTTATTATCATATTAGATTTTCTGTTGTATTTATATATATATATATATCCTGGGGGGGAAATATTTATGCATTTTTTTTTTTTACAGTTTATTTTTCACTTGGAGTGCAATATCACGAAAATGGTATCGTGGACGATGTTCTTTATTATCAGACATGATGTATGTGTATGTGTATACGTATTCTTTTCTTGCTTCTTCCTTAAAAAAAAAAGGGATAAAGATAAAGATAAAGATAACAAAAAAAAAAAAAAAAAAAAAAATTCAAAAATAAAACCAATTTGGCTGATTTTATATAAACAAGGCTTTTAAGGCGGTAGTCTCCTTTTTGTTTCACAATAAACATGATTCTACCATTCCGTCATAATTTACTGCGTTATTTACTATTATCAGAAGTGAGCTATTTTTTTTTCCCGAAAAAAGATTTAATTATCATTATACTAAATTCGCTTTATAACATTTGCTATATATTTTTTTTTCTGGCTAATTAAAGATTACGTCTATTTTCTTACTGTAAATGTTATAATATAGAATCGAATAAATAATATTATACATTCAAATAATTTTTATTTAAAACATGTATATAGTTAATAGTATCCTCCTCCACCACCATAATGTCCATAATTTCGATTATTTCCACCATATCCGCCGCCTTGTTGATATCCACCACTACGACCTCTATTATTATTGTTATATCCGCCACCTTGATAATAATTTGATTGATGATGGTGACGATTTCCCTGTGATTGATCGTATCCATAATAACCATCATTGTAGCCTTGTTGATGATAGTTAGATCGTTGTCTTCCATTATAACTTCCACCGCCATAGCCTCCGTTATTATAGCCTCCACCGCCATAACCTCCTCCATTGCCATAATCATAGCCATAACCATTATTACCATAAGAAGAAGGATATCTTGATCCATCATGATTATATCCAGAGTTATAGCCCTGTTGTTGATAATTATTACGACGTCGATTCATCGTACGCTGATTATTATATTCACGATATTCCTCTAAATGATTGATTTGTGGAGTATAACCACGGTTATTCTGATAACGTTGGCGTGTATCAATCTTTTCAAATGTAGCCCATTGTAAGTCTTCATAGTTTAAAGTGGGGTTGATACGAACTCCTTTGAGTAATTGAGTTGAAAACTTGAACCCTTCTGGGAATTGAGGTAGTGAATAAATAACACTGATGGATTTATCATTAGCAATATCTGGTAAATTAAAATCAGGTAGTGGTGTACGTAATGTACTGCGGGGAATGCATTCAATGTCTCTAGAAACTTCACCTGCTAGACCATCTGTGAGACGAACATCCAAAATCATCCTTTCATTATTTGCACGTTTTGTATAAACTGTACTAATGGCATTATAAGCCTTATGTGTTTCACTGACATACAGAATAGAGGGTCCTACACTGTTACGTTGCTTTTCTTCATCATTAAGTTGATCATAGACAGTATTCATTGCTTCTAATAATTGTTTGGTATTAATAAATGGTAACTTAACTACACCTTGCCATTCCCATTTTTTGCCGTCCATATCTACTTCAAATTCTGTAGGATAAAAGCTGATAATGGGTGAGTCTGGATCAGTCATTAGATGATGAAAAGGTTTAGGAATATGTGCTTTACTGTTGTTGTTGTTGTTTTTTGTATAATATAATAATAATAATAGATAGATAGAGTTAGTATTCAATTAAATAGTGTACATATATTTATATATAGTGTTCTTCTCTCACCTTGCAGGGGGCAAAACACCCATTAATTGCTCAAATGGATTTAGTGGTGCGTCAAGTTGGAATTTAATATCAAATGTGTCAATATTAACGAAATCTGAAGCCATAGGTGCATAATGATAGGGATAATACCATGACCAAGATACACAACCCAGATAATAATATTTAAATACCCATACAAGACCTTCGCAGTATGATTGCACAATACTAATAAAATAATGTTTAACTTAGAAATTAAACTAAAAAAAAAAAAATACAAATATGTATTTATAGTCTTTTAATTGACTTACTGTCTAATTTCATCTCTGTCAGTTAAGGTAAGGTTGAATTTAGTTTTATAATATCTTTCTTTCCAACCCGTTTCCCATAAACTAAAAAATAAATTAATAATAAAATGAATACCATTTTCTTTTTAATACATATATATATATATATATATATATTTTTAAAAAAAAAAGAATTTACCGAACTTCATCTTCAGGCTCACGTTGACGAGCAGCTTCTTCTTTTTCTTTCTTTTCATCAGCAATACGTTTTAATATAGCTTTTCCTTGAGCCTCTGCATCTAAGATAGAGCTCGTTTGTTCATTATCCTCCTCATCGTCATCCATATCATCATCATCATCATCATCATCATCATTAGCTTCTTCCTCTTCATTATTCCCCATATCATCATTTACTACTGCTTCTTCTTCTTCGTCCTCTAATTTTCTTTTAGTACCCTTCTGGTCTTCATTTGAAGAAGAGGTTGCGACAGGGGGAGGAACTCCTAATAATTCTGCTTTTAATGCAGCAGCAGCATTAATATTAGCAAGACGAATTTCAGCTCTATTGGCAATAACATCTGCATTAGACATAGCAGCATTAGGATTATTCACAGGTGCAGCAGTCAAATCTCCAAAATTAGGAACACTGGCATTATACTTCTTTGCTTCTTGAGTACGTCGATCATTTTCAAGTTTTCTACGTTTAGCACCTCTAGCTCGTCGTTCTTCGGTTTGCTTTCTTTCAGCAAAGATTGTATCTTCCATTTTACCTAATTCTGTAACAAGTATTTGCACACGTTTCAAATCAACTTCACCATTATTCGTCATATAACCACCCATCATAGGTATCACATTTTTCCATAATAAACTTAATGTACTGACCGCACCCTCCCTGATTTCTAAAGACGGCAGATGGGGTAAGAAATCGTTACCAATAAAAAAGCACATAAATACCCAATCATCGATTGCTCTTTCCAAATCCCAAGGGAGACCTGGTATATTGAATTTAAGCGCATGTTCTAAATATTCTCTTAATACATTTATATGTAAAAAGACGTATGGTTTAGGTGATGCATTAGCTGCTTGGGCCTTTTTCATTTCAGCTAGCGCTTCATCAGATACAGGACAATCTTGAATAGCATGCCCAGGTTGTTTACATTTATAACAATTTCCTTTTGTTTTTTTATCTTCAAACACATCTTCACGCAAGATTTTAAAATGTGGCTCATGAGTGGCTAAGGCCAACATGATTAGATCTGCATCTAAACCATACATAACATGTTTTGTGTTAGGATTATGATCAGGACGAGCTCTTTGGACACGAATAAACTCCATTACTTTATGCTCACCCTCACCAGGAACAGTGGCATCTGAAAGGATAACTTTTAACTATATACATTAAGATATATAAGAAATGAGTAAATTACAAAATAAATATATATCTTACATTCTTCCAAAGAGGGTCAGAGTTTTGTTTAGCAGCGATGTGATAACGTAAACAAGTAGCTAAGTGAGCCATAAATGGAGTACCTGGAGTAATACAATTCGAATCGAAATGTTCTTTCTTTTCAGGCAATTGATGAGTTTGTCCAATAACTAATAAATATATATATAAGTATATTAATTTCTTTCTGTTTAAACAATATTGCTTTATATACCTTCTAATTCTTTATAAACACGATCACTGGCTTCTTTTTCAATTTGAGCTAATTGAGAAGCACGAAAACGTCTAGAACGTTGTTGATTCATTTTAGCACGAGGAGCAACACCATCTGTAAAATACATGTAAAAATTTAATTCATTATTCAGATTTTAGGAAATTATAATCATCTATTTACCGATAGCCATGTAGAGAAGTTTTCGAGGACGAATCATGTCTACAATTCTATCCAAGTAATCAAATATAGCAATCATCATATCATCTTCTGTTGCAGGAGCAGGCTATAATAATAATAAAGAAATAAATTAGATCGTCCCAGCATTTAACCTTTAGGTAGTAATTTTACTTTATTCTCTGGATGACAGCATGGGTGAATAATACCATTCATATCCAAATACAAATTATCGAATTCTTCCCCATTAGGATTTGGTTTTGTTGTGTCGATAGGTATAGTTGTGCCATTAACTGTCTTTGGATGTTCTTCAACTACAGGAGTAACCACTTTTGGAAATTTATCTGATAACCATCTAATAAAATTATTTAGTTTACAATCCTATCTCTTTCAATACATGTATGTAAATAAATAAAGTCTTGTACCTAAAGAATGCTGGAACACCCATGATTAATTATAGAATTAAGAAGAAAAAAAAAAGTAAAAATAGAAAAAATAGTTTTTATTTTATTTTATTTTATTTTTTTTTTCTATTTGTGCATTTACGCACTACAAAGAGCTGCTAAAACTCAAAGTCACGAAACCGTCCCAGCTTAGCTTAGTAGACAATACATTCATTTAAAAAATCAAGTAAAATAACTGAAATGACATTGTAACGATAGAATCCTTCTTTTTATATATACAAGTATGATGAATAACTAAAGTGTTGTAAATATAGATGTATATAGTATACTTTGCTATTAAAGAAATGTATATAAATAATAGTTGATGTTGATGATCAGGAACTATGTAAATTAAGAAGAAAGTGACATATTATGCATGCATTCATCCATCTTGTCCAGTTTTATTAGTAAAGTCTAAAATCATTTTCATGATAAGCACTCTGTACGAACCATAATATAGCAGTACTATAATGCCCATATTTAGTATACATATATAAATATATATTCACATATATGTATACCATATATCATAAAAAAAAAATCATCCATATTACCTAAGCATAATGAATAGACATTGAATAACATCTGTTATACCTAAATAAATATTCCATATATCTAGTAGATTTTCATTGTAAATATATTTTGTAACTAAAACTGCCTATAAAATACAATAATAAATAATATCATTCTCAATACAAAATAACTATATGCATACTATACCACTGATCCTGACAATCCACCAGCCATCATTGCAAATCCCTTTTTTTTTTTTAATAGTCATACATATTATTATGGGCAATTTTATAGTATTCAAAAAGAAACTTTTTTTTTTTTTTTTTTTTTTTTTTTTTTTTTTTTTTTACCAAGAATAGAATTAGTCTTGCCCTCCACATAAATTCATCATTAAATCCACTATACCCTCCTTTCAATGTTTCTTTATCAATCAAATTTATACTACAACACATATATTATTTATACTACTGCCCTTTTTTTTTTATTTCTTCTTCTGCTTCTCTTGTTTTATTTTTCGTGTATCTTACATAATCATACCCAAAGTTGTAATGATACCTGGTGCCCAGTCTTCTATACCAGGAGAAACAAGTCGATCTTGTAAATTCCAAAGTATAGCAAGACCATCAATGAAGCTCCACCAACCCAAAGCAAACTTATTATGTTATTAATAAAAAAAAATAATAATGTTTAAAATGATGATTTGTTTTTCTTTTTTTTTTCTTTTCTCTTCCTTCATTTACCAACATTCCCGCAAAATAAATGCCAAACTGTTTCCCTTTATGTCCTAATGAAAGACAAGATAGTCTGTTGAAGATAAACACACTATTACTGTGATCATCATAATTATTCATTTTATTTAAATAATAAAGTAAGAGAAAGAAAAGAAAAGAAAAAAAAAAAGAAAAAAAAAAAAGGAGCATTAAAATAATATACATGTATAATAATAAAATTAAAATTGAGCAAAGCCAAAACGTGAAGTTTTGCGTGCAGAAGGATCAAATAATAATGCATTTGTAGTAGTATTAATGTTAGTATTATTACCGATTAGTGTAGAATCTATTATAGCTGGAAATAAATGATGTGCAAATGGATTAAATGTTCCTGTATAAGTTGTATTTGGCACAGCCCTTGTCAGGTATTCAAGAGGTGAGATACTATCTTCTTGTTGATTATTATTTAAATTTAACTTTTCCATTTCTAATACTGGTGGTGTACTTAGATTGTTATCTTCATCTGATGAACTATTGTAATTCTCATAAAGGCCAGTCACTCCCACTGGTTTAAAGAAGCATTCATCTTCTGTTGTAGGCGTACAGACCTGTTCAAATGCATCACCTAATACAAAATGAACAAGACTATCAAATTGAAACTTTTTATTAGGTTTTTGTTCCTCTTCTTCTTGTTGCTGTTGCTGTTGTTGTTGTAACTCTTCTTCTTTCTTTTGTCGAAGTAACTCTTTACGCTTCTTCTTTTCTAATTTACGTTTTAATACAGTAGGTGATAATTGCTGGTTCTTTTGTTGCTGCTGTTGCTGTAACTGTTGAGCAACAGCAACAGATAATGGAGGCCCAAATGTATCAGGAGTTAAGGCTCTTTCTGGTAAACTAGTATTTTTAATTGTAGGTGTCCCAGGTGTACTTGTTTTACCCCAAGATGCTGTTGCTGGAAGCGCTGAACGTTCTTCTTTTGTTGGAGAGGATAATGAAACAGGTGGAAAATCTGCACTAGATAAGACTGATTTTACATGATGTTCCTCATGATGTTGATGATGATGTTCTTCTTCTGAGTCAGCATGTGACATTTGGTCTCTCATACGATGTTTACTAATAATTCAAAATAAGAAAACCTATACATATACATACATACACTTAATTACTTACCCAGTTGCTAATTCTTCCTTTGATATTGTATCGGCGTCTTCACCAGGTTCATGTAAATAAAGACAATTTGGATTTGGACATGCCATGTTTCGAAGATAGTAGGTGCAATATTTTGTAGTACCGTAAGATGCTCTATAATTATATACATGTTGTTAATTTACATATAAAGATGTCTATACATTCATTTTAAAATATTACCTTAATATTCTCCCTGCCATAACACTACCATCAACAGCATGAATTGCTTTAGCCGCATCTTCTTTTCTAGCATATGTAACATATACAGCTGCACTAGGTTGCATTGAAGTAGCTCCATTGGCATGTGAAGTAGGTGCAATTTGTCTCTTATTGATAACTACCTTTGCTATTTTACCAAAGTGACCAAAATATTCTGGTGAACGAATAATCTAATTATTTAATTAATGTATGTATGCATATACATGTTTATAATTATTTAATTAGGATTTATATACATGCATATATATATGTATGTATGTTACCTCTTCAGTAGCTAGTTTTGGATGAAGGCCTATAATATAAACTAAATTCTTTTGAACTACTCTCATATTGGCTAAATGACGCCTATTAGCAAGCTCCATATCTCTTTGTTGTCGTTCTTTTTCTTTCTTTTCCTTTTTAATACGAGATATTCTAATTATATAATGTTAAAATAATAATAAAAATGATAATCGTTGTCAAATATGTATATTTACTCATCTGCACTAACAGGTTCAAATTCTGCAATTTGATCAGAATATTCTCTTCGACTATATATAGATTTGTTTTAAAGAAGAAAAAAAAAGAACATTAGCAAAACAATTTCAGTTCTCTTTTTTTTTTTAAAAAAAAATGAAATAAAAACAAAAGATGGAACTTGATAAATTTACCAAGCAGGACAACGACCATTCAAGTTTTCACGAATGTGATGCCAACAAAAACGACAGATCTAATTGTTTATAACGATTATATTAGCTTTTATTTTATTTTATTTTTTCATTTTTTTTTTTTTTTTTTTTTTTTTTCATTAAAGAAATGAGTTTGTTCATATATAAAGAGCACAGACCTTATAACCACATGGACAAGGTCTAAAATTTCTATCAGCAATATCCAACTCCTCCATACAAAGAGGACAATCATATTCTTCTTCTTCAGAACTTGAATACATTTTATACTTTATTTATTTTAATTTTTTAACAAAGAAAAAAAAAAGTTTTATTCATAAAAATTCGGTACAAATTTAAAATAGAAAGGCAAAGGAGATTAAATTATTTTTTTTTAAAGGAACGTAAAACTATTATAATATAAGAATGTCAACGTTAATGATGGAATATAATAAATATGAAGAGATAAGTTTATTCTTAATCGTGCTCCCTAACCAAGTTCAATACCTGCAAAAAGATAGCATTCATTAACAATTGCAATATATATATATATTTTTTTTTCGGTCTTCATTACAAAATCTAGAAAATAATTAATTCATTTTATTCAATCAACCTTTAGCCTAATACATGTTCTAGATTTCACCAGATGGATAATAATAATTATTATAATAAAATCTATAAACACTACTTTTTAATTGAAGAAATAAAAGCTCTCTGCTCTCATTTGTATATGATGAAAAAAAAAACTTTTGATGAACAAAGTATACTTTTGTAGCCTGCAGAATGCTTGATCTCTTCATGTATAATAGTTTGGATATGACTCATCAACTTGCTTTTAACTTGCATATCATATATTATCATTATCGAATTTTTATAGTATTGACATATTTGCTTTCGATTTATAGCAAATGTCCCCAAATTAAACTATTAGAGAGAGAGGGCAGCAATTAATTGGATAACAATTCCAATCCTGAATACTCTCGCTTACTTCAACAACTATATATGAAAGAGAAGAAGAAAAAAAAACAAGTATAAAATGGTAAATATGGAAAGATATTTTCGAAGGCATATAAAATATAAGGGCTTTTTCTTTCACTCTTTTTTAAAAAAGAGCTCATCTCATATTTAAACTATCACTGTTTTGCTTTCTTAGTTATGATGAGCACCTTAACTAATATTGTTAGTTATACTACTGTTATCTGTATCTCAACCTTTATTTGTAAAGCTTTTAATCGCACTCTCAAGAAGAGAATACATATTTAAACTTTCAACTGTTGAGTAAAAAATGGCAATACTCATATTATTATTATTTCTTGGAGAGAAAGTTTATAGAACTGTTGAGCTTTTTCTTTTTTTTTTAACATTGTTATGCTAACTATATTTAAATTTTAAATGTAAGGGAGAATAAAGAGTAATTTAGTTACCACAGATTACTTTATGATATTTCAACATATAGAGCAATTTTTTTTTTTTTTTTTTTTTTTTTTTGGGAAACTATCCATAATGTCAGTTTGCAAAGAAAATAAATAAATAAATAAATTGTTTTAAAGAAACTGTATTAAACGTTATATATATTACGAATCTTGAGCGAAGGTATACGCTCTTTTCCTGAATAATTTCCAAAGATTTAAATAGGTAGAGATTTACTTTTCGAGGGCTTATTTTAAGCTTGAATTCGGTCCTTTTTTTTTTGGTTGTTATTACTGGACAGATGATCCGAATCATTTTCAGCTGTCAAACTTTCACCCCATATAATATCCATTGGAAAGCCAGTATCATTCGTAATAGAATGTGAAGATGAATAATCTGAATTAGTACGTGATAAATAACCATACGGTGTTTCTCTTCCTCCTTCTTTCCCACTTTCTTTAAATCCTAAGCAATAAGCAACTAATAAAGACAATTAATAAAGGATATCAATACTATTTTTTTTTTTATAAACACGACTACTTTACAATCACTGCCCAAATCAATACCAGGGTTAACACTATCTTCATTGCTCATTAAGGGTATAGTGCCTGTATAAGGAGAGAAATGAATAGCTTGAATAGGCGGTGAAGGGCCAATATGCGATGGCGGTCTAGGACATGCGTCCATTTTCCATTTATAAATAGGTTCTATTTGAGCAAGGGTATCCTTTCTTAATATAGGCAAAAACTCTTGATACTGAGAATGTTCTGAGGTAATACATGTTATTAATTCGGAATGATGAGCATCTGCCATTAGTCTTAGTTGGTTTAATATTAACAAAATGAACCCATGATTTTCTAATTATCCAAAAAAAAAAGAAGAGTAAGTTTACACATACACGCATATTATAAAATTACATGACTACTTTCTTTTACCTGATTTTCGTTCTTTATCTTGATAAGTATCAATCATTCTTGTAATCAAATTCTGATCTCTAACAATGATGACTAACGTTGGTTCGTAATTAATAGATAATATTAAGCATATAATTCTATAAAACAATGTATGGTAGATATTGCTAGTTGATTTCTCGAAAAAGGAATTGACTAATATTTTCCAAAATGAGACAGGTATGGATGCTAGCATTTGAGTCTTTTCGTTTGTATTATATAATGTTTGATATATAATATCTAATAAATCCATATCTGAAGTAGTTAAAGATGCACTTGTATATATATATAAACATATATAATTAGCTACACACACACATATATATATTTCTATTTATATACTCACATTTTCGTATTCTTTGATTCTCTATCTTTAACAATTAAAGAGCATATATCTGGAATATGCTCTGCTAATAATTCTTGAGTTCTAAGGGAAATAAAATAAAGTGGTCCTTGTACAGGTGATGATACTGTAGATATTCTTGTTGAAAGTATACCACTACACTATCATATTAGATTTCGTTATAACATGTGTGTGTGCGTGTATATATATGTATTTAACTGAGCTTAGTATATACCTCTTCACTAATAATTTGATAACATTAATAGTGCGATCTCTGTTATTTGATGGCGGATTATGAGTTACTTGCTATAAGACTGTTTAATATTCAAATAGCTTCTATTGCAATATGAATCCTTTACCATAACTAAACTTTCTATTATATCCTTGCCTTTGTCTTCTTTTAATGATCTGAATAGTATATCTCCATGATCCACTTGTGATGCTTCTTCAATTACTCTTACAAAAAATTCTTGTGCTGCTTCTAAATAATCAGGATATTCTATAGAGTATATACAATAATTAAGTACATATACTATAACTGCAAACCTTCAGTCACACACAAAGTAGACCGTATTTACCTTTCAATTGCATCGCATTAATAATAAATTCTAAAAATCCTAATTCATATAATCTCTCATAACTCTTTTCGCGAGCTTCTCTTGTTTCTGGATTAATATCACGTACAAATATTAAACTCAATAAGGATTCCATAACTGGACTTTCAGTCAAATAAGGTAACATATAATTAAATAGAATTGAAGCTTCCCTATCCATAATTATATAACCCAACATATCACATGGATGTCGTCTCACCAAATGTTGAAATATTTTAAAGAAATGATTAAAATTGCCGTTTGAACTTGGTAAGAATACTTCCACCAAATGACTCACTAACAAAAAAAAAAACATACCCATAGGGGTGCTATTTTAGATAACACTTACACATACTAGGCTTTCTTCTTCTTCTTCTTTTAAAATATATATATATATTATTACCAATCTCATAAAACTTTGCATTTTGAACCCATAAATGATTAGCTGTTGTACCCGATAAAAATTCCATAGCATGATATGATCTCTTTAAAGCATCCACATCCTCCATATCTCGTTTATGCTTACTTAATTTCAACTTTTCCTCAATACTGCAAGACTCTAATAACTCAATTTCTTTCCTTTTCACAATTTCTTCTTCTTCATCACCATCCACATTCAACCGAGTGATATGCGTCATGAATATATCCATCATACCTTATAATAATGTTGAATATATTATGTATTACATAACTGTTTTGCTTAACGTTTTACCTTCTAAAAATAAAACATTAACAATCTTGGAATCAAGTCGAGGAGTACTAAATTGCAACAATTTCTCAATAAGTGCAATGGATGTGGATTTAAAACTGTCCTTTGTTTTCTTCTCTTCTTTTGGTATGTTTTCATCCATTTTTTTTTCATTATTAGAAGTGACTTTTTGATTTATTGTTTTATTCATTCGACCCTTATTCTTCATTTCGATATCTTCATTGTGCTCCATTGATTGTTATATATATATGTATTTATATATATAAATAGATGTGTATATCTGTATATTTTAATTTATTAAAAAAAAAAAAGATAAATAAATAAAAATAAAAAAAAATGGAAGGTTATAGTTTTTTTTTTTTTTTTTTTCTTTATTTCTATTAAATTAAGTAGCACGTTAGGCATTTCACTGGGGTGTATATATGTATAAATATCTAAGTTTTAGAAAATAGAACTTAAAATTACGTGAAACAATTTACATATTTTCCATCACCCACCCACTTAGATCAAGAGAAAAAAAAAGAAATCCGTCGTTAGAAACCTCCCCCTCCCCTGTGGATAGAATTTTCATTTTAAATGAAGATAACTTACAGTTAGTTATCAATGTAAAAAAAAAAAAAAAAAAAAAAAAAAAAAAAAAAAAAAAAAAAAAAAATACAATGCACAGGAAGATACTTTGGCTGTATAAGCTATTCTATAATAGAAATCAAAAATAAAATAAGATTTACTTATTACGTAATATTTATCTATATTCCTTATATAAGTGATACTGTAATTAGCTAGCATTCATTACATGTTCAATATATCAATGTTAAGGGGGGGAGGAGGGTAAATTACACAGCAATATTAATACTAGCTTTTTTTTTTTTTGACTAAATGATGAAAAACGTATCTTGTTCGCAGACTAAATTATTTATTTAAAAGATATGATAATAATAGCCAAGAAGATGCTTGTTATATAACAGGTTAAATACTAGTTTTCTTTATGAAGTCTATTGTTAAGTTATCTGGTTTGATAATTATATTCAAATTGGCAAAGGCAAGCTGAAAACTAATAGAAGTAATGTGAAAAGTTTTTTTTTTATGAGTTGTGCTTTCAAGGAGTATAATGCTCCCTTATAGCGAACTAACACTTGACATGTTCCATAATAAATAAAGGTTTATTTGTTACTATATATAACAAACAAAAAAAAAGAATGCATTCAACTATCTTCTCTTTAAAGCGTCTAACCTTCTTTGTAAAGCATCAAAATCATTAGGATCATCATTCGAGGCTATTGTATTGTCAGTATTAAGATTGGTATTGTTGGTCTTGGTATTAGCTTTCAATGATGGTAAATTGATTGGAATATCGGGCAAATCAAATCCATTTGTGTTGTTTAATAAGTCATTATTTGTTGTGGGTTGTGGGTTTTGTAAAGGTGGCAATAACTATTAAAAAAAAACAAGTTAAAAAAAAAGGGCTGCTAAATATGATATACTATTTTTTGATTGTCAACCTCTGCCTGTCCTCCACTTTTATTATCATCATCGTCGCTTCCTGCATCTTCAAAGTGCTCCTCTTCTTCTTCATGAGAGATAATGTCTGATTCCCACTTGATATCATAAGTTCGAGCAATTTCTTCTAAATAACGTTCAACTAAATATGTATCGGGAGCGTTTACTTGAAGCTTCATTACAACCTTTATATATTGTAGTTATTTTTTTTAGTATTTATTTCTATACAAACAAGATACACTTACTCTTGGATTCACTCTATCATCCTCATTTTCCATAGCTTGTAGCATAAATTCTTTACCGAACTTTGAAGCTAATTGATCTCTTACCTTTATTATATACAGAGTGAATAAATAAATAAATACCAACATAGCATACATAACTATATATATATTACCAAACTAAGTTCTTTCACTTCACCAACGCGTGGTGCAGTCCAGATGATTGTATTTACTGCTTCTGCAATACTTGGTTCACATGTCCTATAGATACCAAGGTTAATATATGCACTTTTATAAAATACTTGTTTTTTTTAAAAAAATGGTACTTGTATGATTCTAATAAACCAAAGCGAGCTAATAATAAATCACAATATAATTCCAAGTTTTCTAATGCCTCAATTAACAAATCATCTCGAATGATGTGTTCTACTCTTATGCGAGCACTTTCTTCTTTTCCCTTTTCTAAAAGTGTACCAATCTCTCTTCTTGCTTGTTGATTAAGTGAGGTCTTTTTAGCTTGTAACATTTTTAATCTGTTGATGGCTAACTTTAATTGCACCTTGAGTCTTGTAGGATTAAACATTCTTATCTTATTTTAAAGAAAGAGAGAAGAAAGTAAATTGAGTGGTTATAATATAACAATAGAGGTGGTGGTGCTCGTTGTTTTTCTTTTCCATTTTTTTTTTTTCTCTCTTTCTCTCTCTCCGAAAAAAAATGATATGATTGGCCAAAGAAAAGATTTTAACTTTATTAAAATGAAGGATGATAAAGTTACTCATGTTTTTGTCAAAACATTTAAAGATTAGAATATAGATTAATAAACACGTTACATAGATGAATGAAGAAAAACTGAATATACGTCGTACATTACGAGATGAATCAGGATCAGATTCCAACATTCACTTGTTAGCTACACAGTCCACAACAACATCCTCGAATAGAAATGAAATTCAATTATTTGATGGAAAGAATAGTCCACAAAATATATCTGTGTATGGGTTTTTACTTGGTATGGTCTGCAGTGCAGGCTTTATGTTTGCATTTTTAAGTAACTCTACGATACCCCAGTTTGGGATCTTTTTATCTGCCTTGGCTTTGTTTCACTTTTTAGAATATATTGCCACTGCTTTATTTAATGCGGATAAGTTATCATTAGACTGTAAAGTATATAAATATAAATAGGTGTATATGTATTTATACATGTATAAAGCAGATAAAGATAACTTTCTTTTCTTTCTTTTTTTTTCCTTTTTTTTTTAGCTTATTTGATCAATCATAGTGCTCATTATCATGCTGCTCATGCTGCTGCCCTGATAGAGTTTTTAATAGAATTTTATTTCTTTCCTCAATGGAAAAAATGTGGCTGGATTAATTATTTAGGATTCTTTTTGGTTGTGTTGGGCCAAGGATGTCGTACAGTAGCTATGTTTTCAGCAAGACATAACTTTTCACATCATATAGTCGACTATAAAGAAAAAGATCATGTCTTGGTTAAAGAAGGCATTTATAGGTAAATTAGAATCTTTTTTTTTTCTTTTTGAAGTGGTAATAAGACATAATAAGGATGCTAATTGTTTAAAAAAAAAAAGTATCATGCGCCATCCATCTTATTTTGGCTTTTATTGGTGGGCAATTGGAATTCAAATCTTATTGTTGAATCCAGTTTGTCTTGTTTTATTTATTTACTGGTTACATCGTTTCTTTTCAGAACGTATTCAGTATGAAGAATATACCTTATCTCGTTTCTTTGGTCAAGAATGGATTAAATATAAATCAGACACACCTACATGGATGCCTTTTATTCATTAAAAAGAGAGAGAGAGAGAAAATGAAAGACGTGTCTTTTAAAATATAGACATGGATATGGTATCTTCCCCTTTATTTTTTTTTTATTTTTTTTTTTTTTAGTTGTTAAATCACGTTTATTACATAATAATATGAGTGTGAAATGAATAGTATATGTATTTATCATGCGGTATAACAATAAAGCGGTGCAAATATAAACTACAACTCACTCACGAGGACAATCTAATAACTATTTTTATTTATTTATTTTACTTTTCCTTTTTCCCTTTTATTTCTTTTTTTTTTCTTTCTTTTTTTTTTTTTGTTAGATACAAAATGGAAGAAAAGAAAGCAGTTATATTAAAACTACCAAATGAACTATTACAGTATATATTTCATTTATCTTCAATTCGGATAAAAAGAGAAGAGCATCAATTTTTAGGTTGGAATTATCCAGAACATAGCTATGAAGAACTCACATCGATTGCTTCATGTTGTAGGCATTTTTATCTACTTTGTGCCCCATTTTTATGGAAAGATAAAGAATTTATTTTACCTTATGAAAGTGATGAAAAGAGTAAGAGCACTAAAATTCAAATGGCAACTGATATTTTAGCCCATAAGGCACTCTTTCAGGATGATTATCAATTAGGAGATTATGTTCGTTCCCTAAGTCGTGATCTCACTCGAGGGGTTCAATTTGATCTCGTCAATACTCAGTTAATGGCACAACTCCTTAAGAACCTTCACGCCCTTCGAATTGAGTTTCACCCCCTTCAACGAACAGAGCATTACGGATTATGTTATTTTCTTCAATATTGTCCTCATCTTAAAGAACTTTATCTTAACCATTGTCATGATACCTTTGATGACTTTTATTCACTTGTCGAATATAAACCTACCCTTGAGGCTATCACGTTAAGTAATTGCACAATCAAAGAAGCTACATTATCCAAACTTGTTCATTTGTTTAAACCATCATTACAACGGATTCTATTGGAATATGTCTTGATTGAGCCTTCTGTCATGTCCAGTAGAAGACAGCATGAACAAGGAATACAACTGGAGATTGAACACATAAGCTATTATTATCCTCACCATTTCTTTAGTTCTAACGTGAAGGAGATCCCTACAGCTCTTCTAGAGTCATTATTAGTGAATCATCCCTATTTAACTCAATTCGCTTTAACAACGGATTCTATCTCTTTCCAATTTTTGGAACTCATGGTCCAACATGCACCTCTTTTAGAAAAGCTATCTATTGCTCTTCATGAGGTATCTCCTTATTACGTTGAACGTGCTTTAAGAGCTATTGGTCAATTAAACCGTCTAACCACTCTCTCTATCGTTTTTAAACAATGTGGATCGTTATCCAAAGACTGTATACAATTAGCCTGTCATGCACCAGCATCTGCTTGGACATTCTTTGCAAAACAACTTCCAAAGCTTCGATTATTTCATATTTCCGCACGTCGATTAATTGTCACCCGATACTTTTTACCTACTTTATTTACAACCTGTACTCTCTTGAAATATGTCATGATCCATAACTTGGCTCTTTCTACCGATGATGCAAAAGAAGAAGAAGAAGAAGAAGAGAAGAAGAAGAATGAGAATGAGAATGAGAATGGGAATAGATCATCAAACAAAATGATAATAGAGAATGAAGGAGATGAAATAGCCAAGACAGCAGCTGTACGAAGATATATGAAATATTGCAAATCAATTACATATCAATTAAATGCATGGGATAAAGAATATCAAGAGGATTTATATACTTTTGAACGTGCATTAAGAAGGGGATTTGATTATTTTGATGACGGTGTGGATCATCTTTGTTTCATCAGAGGCTTTCCGCCTACTTCTTTGAATAATTTTTATTATGTATAAAAAAAAAAAAAGATTCCTATTCTATTTCCTTTTGATCTATATTATATAGAAATTTTTTACAAGTTGTATTTTATTATTGTATATGTTAAACGACGTATTGTATTTTTTTTTTATTCACTGTTTTTATTAAATGCAAAAGCTAGTTCTAATTATCCAACTCATTTGTAGTTTTTTTTTTTTTAAAGTTTTGAATAGATTAAAGTTTAAACTCAATTTGGTCTGGTGTGTGTGTGTGTGTGTATAGAATAAATAATGATCTCTTTTCGTGACTGTTATTTTTATTTTTATTTTTTTTATTTTTCTTAAAAAAAAAGGTATAAATAGCAAATTAAAAGAGCAAATTTAAAAATTGTTTTTTTTTTTCCCATATTTTATTTATTTATTTATATTTTATACTTATTATGGCGTACGAAAGAACAACTACTGAAGGAGTCTGCACTTGGCTTGCAGCTGAAACTTATACCTCTGGTTGGAATACGTTATCTATCTCCAGAGGTTTAACAGAAGATGTAATGACAATCATTGTTAAGCATTTTCAAGAGTTTGACAATAGAGTTAAACAAGGAATACTATTGTCTACTGTCTGTATGAGTAAAGGAGATTTAATGTCACTTGGTGGAAGTTTAAATCAGGTAATAATAATAAAAAAAAGAAGAATATTTTTATGTTTATAGATGAATATCTTGAATGTGTGTGCATGTATTTCTTTGTGTGGTCTACCTTATATATCAATCATACGATAAATAAGGGTATATCTGTGTCTGTTATATAATATCAACCCTTTTGTATAAAGAAAAAGGAAGGGAAAAAAAAGGAGAGAGATCGATTGAATATTGATAACCAAAAAAAAAAAAAAAAAAAAGAATCAATCAATCAATCTCTCCTAGTAAAGAAAATGAAGGAAAGAAAAATAGCCTATTTTATAATGAATTATGTACACATAAACTCATTATGAATGACTGTTTCTTTTATTATTATTGAAAACCAAGCATATTGCTATTGCTCACATTCCAATGATAAAAAAAAAGGGGGAGGGAGAGAGGGATGGAAAAGAATTTATTATTATTCAGGTATATAAAAGAGAAGTTAAAAGGATATAATACTTTACAATAAAATTATTATCCTTTTTTTTTACTCTTTCTTTAAAAGTATATATCCATGTGTATATCATAACTACTGTTTAAAATAATATGATCCATATTTGTATCGTTATTGAAAAAGGAGACATGCTACCCGGAGTACTTGTTTGTTTGTTTTTAATTTTTTTTTTCACCAAAATAACAAAATTAAGGAGAGATTTTACGCAGAACTTTAAGTTAACATTTTATATGCAGTATTTATACTACAGACACTTATTTTATTCACATCAAGTGCATGCACACATATAGTATAAATAGTTTATAAATACTTATTCACAATTTATTTCTTTCTTTCTTTTTTTTTTGGTAGATCATTCAAATAGCTTTAAATGACTCAAACGATTTCGTTCAAGCAACTGCTCGCGTAATTGAACCTTATCTTGCTCATCATTATTTCAATTTGAATATTGATACTTGGTTAAAAGACTTTCAAACTTTATTACAAAAAATTGGTACAACAAGTAAGCAATTAAATAATTATTTTTTTTTTTTTTAAAAAAAAAAAAAATTGTCAAATTATTTTATTTAACCTAATTTTATTCTAGTTAAAGATAATGGCATTAATTTCCATTTATTGGAAGACATGATCTTACAACCAAATGCTCGTACAACTCCATGTCATGTTTCATCTAATTATTCACAATATAAACCCACTCAAAAGCAACACTTTCAACTTACTTCAAATCAAGATGATATTATTTCTGCTGAAGCTAGACTTGCTCGTTTTACAAAAGTAATTGAATTAGAGGAACGTTCTGAACAAGTAGAGGCTCAACATGCTCAAGCAGCTGCCCAAAAGAGAGCAGGTGCTGAATTATTATCAAATACCACAAAGCGTCCTACTATTCCTTCTCCTAATTCTATGAACGTATCTAGTCCTTTCCCATCTCATCGTAAAAACAGTGTTCCTGTTACTATGAATAACAATCATTATCAACAACAACAACAGCAACAGCAACAGCAACAACAACAAGCTATTGGTAGACGTAGTGCTTCTTTAAATGCTGTCTCTGCCGTTAGCTCTTCTTTATTTACTAAACGTCCTGCAAGACCTACTTCATCTGGTGGTGGTTTATTTATAAAACAGTCAAGACCTGTCTCCAGACCTATTCAAAAATCATCAAATATCTCTAGTACTAATTTACCAAAGGGTTTACAGCGTGTACAAAAAACTCAAATGCTTGACTTTAATACGGCCACTGAATTTGAACAAAGTGCAGCTTATGCTAAAAAGAAAGCACAAGATGGTAAAAAAAAAAAAAAAATTATCTATTACGTATAGCTTATGTTATTAACTTTCTTCTTTCTTTCTATTCTTTTCTTTTTTTTTTATTTTAGCACAAGCTGAAGCTAAAAAGCAAGAACAAGCAGAAAAGAAAAGAAAAGCAGCTGAAGAGAAACGAGAGAAAAGCGAAGCTACTAAAAGATCAAAGGCAGCAGCTAAATCAATTGATACATCAAAACAATCTTCAACAAGATCTTCTTCACCCAAGACACCCACAACAGCTTCACCTGTTTCACCAACAATCAATCATGAGTATCCTTTGATACCTTCTTTATCTCAACAAGATCAAAAAGAACAATCAGAAATGGATTCAACAAAAAGAAGAAATTCTTCAAAAACTGCAACTCCTCCTACTGAAAAATTAACTACCTTTTAAGAAAAGAAAAGAAAAAAAATAGTTATAATTTATATGTGTTTTATAGTTTGCTACATAAATGTTATATATTCCTTTTACCCCCTTCCCTCCTATGTAGTATTTATTTCTATTTGTTCATTCTATTTTCTCAATATTGCAAAATAAAGTAAAATAAAGTAAAATAAATAAAAAAAAAAATCTATCCATTATATTTACAAAGTAAAAGTTTACAATAATAATGTGTTAACTTGAAACCACTAATAAATTATTTTTTGATAAATTGATTCTTTATTTTATATTCTTTAAAGAAAAAGAGGAAGAAAAAAAAAATATTACAGTGAATAAATTATAATAAATCTATAATATAAGAGTAAAATATGTTGTATGTTGTAAAAAAAAAAAAAAGAAAAAGAGATGAAATATGCAACAAACAAGATGAAGTAAATATTATATATGCATGTATATATATATATATATATATATATATATTTATCGTTTGGCCTTTCTAAACATGAAAACAAATGCCATAAAGGCAAAGACATTAAAGATAGAAAAGGCACAAAGGATACCAAAATCACGCCATCTGTAATCAAAGCTCCAACCAATTCTCGCTTCATAGTAATCATTACCTTGAGAGAAAGGACAATAATTACAGATTTCAGTGGAGGCATTATTGGCAACATATCCGAGACCCCCATCTTTAAAGTAATCTGACATGTAATCACCACAGGATTGTCCAGGAGGAAGAGGGATCTTGTAATAATCGTCATCTTGACAGATCACTGGGACACTGTCCATGACGTTCACAACAAGACCTTCAATCACATAATGATATGGATCTAGCCAATACATCCATGCACTCCAGAATTTAGGCATACCACTCGGAGGTTGCATAATACCTGCGAATAGGATGAGAATGGAGGTAAAGAAAGGGTTGATGACAGCAGCCATAGGTGGTGTAGCAGAGAAGGCAGCAATGGTGAAGCCAAGTGAGACAGAATAAAAGAGGAAGATAGTGAAATGAATAAAGAAGAAACCAGTACGACTTGATTCATTTTGAAGTCCTGCTGTCCAATAGAAACAGAATAAGAAAATAGTCGAAAAGAAGATCAAGTAAGGAATCTCAACAAGGATACAAGAGAGTGCAAATGGCGCCCAACCATAATAACGAGAGGCATATTCACGACGGAACCATAAACGTTCTTGCATGAAACGAGGTTGTGCCAAAATAATCAAGACATTGGACATTAATAAGGTAGTAAAGACAGAGAACATACGGTTTTGCATATCAACCGGTCTATTACCCATTTTCCAGAATGAGAACCCAGAGATGAGGCCAATGAAGCACACGTTGAAGAGACGTCCCATGTTATAAGTTGGACAACGCCACCAGGAGACATTCATACGTTTATAGACAAGCCAAAATTGTTGTGTAAAACTCAAAGAGTAGGCAGAGTTATTGTTTTTGTGGTTAGGATTTGCATTTCTGTGAATCTCTTCAAGTTCTTCTTCAAGGGCTTGAGCCTCAGGTGAGTTGGACCAAACCTCAGACCAATCTTTCGTGGCTTTACCAGCGGTACCAGCACCAACACATTCCAAGATATATTCTGCGGGGTTAGCTGAAGGAGAGCATTTAGGTCCACCATTCTTTTCAAAATAGTTGATCATTGTACTAGCATTTTCACCAATCTCACCAAAGTAAGCCGTCTTACCACCACGGACTAAAAGAACAAGATGGTCAAAGTGTTCAAATAAAGTAGCAGAGGGCTGATGAATAGTACACAGGACAGGCCAACCAGCATCAGCAAGTTTACGAATAAAACGAACAATGTTGAAAGAACTTTGAGCATCAAGACCAGAGGTAGGCTCATCCAAGAAGAGTAACTTGGGTTTACCAACTAATTCAGTAGCAATCGTCAAACGCTTACGTTCTTCAACAGAGATACCAATACCAGCTTCAAGGTCACCCACAAGGGCATCAGCAATTCTTTCCATTTCCATAAGACGAATGATTTGTTCAACGTAGGCATCCTTTTCTTCTTTAGGAACTTCAGCAGGTTGACGAAGATAAGCAGAGAATTTAAGAGCCTCACGTACTGTAGCATTAGGATTATGAATATCCATTTGCTCACAGTAACCTGTGATACGTTCAAAATCGGGGCCTAGGGGTTCGCCATTCATATAAATACGGCCTTCAATCTTACCAATCGTTTTACGTTGAGCCAAGACATCCAAGAGAGTCGTCTTACCTGCACCAGATGAGCCCATCAAGGCAGTAAGATGACCAGGCTTAACGACACCACCAAGATTATTTAGAAGCTTAAGGGAGCCGCCTTTAACAGGAACAGTGTAATCCATATGATGCCATGAGAATGTAGTACCTTCACTAACAGCATCCATTTTTTCTTCCATTTCTTGAACGACTTGTCCAAGTGCCTCAGATTCATCAATTTCCTTAGGAGCGCGACCTGCTTTATAGACCTTCGTAATCGAACCTTCCTTTTGCATCTCAACATATTCCATCGCAAGGGCAGTGATTAAGGTGAAAAAGCCAAAGAATAATAAGACTGCAACAAAATCAATCCAACGTTGCCATGTTTCATAACCGTAAGCAGTATGAAGATAGACATCACCATTGACAGTATTTGCACCAGGTATAGCACCTGCAAGATTACATGTGGTATAAGCATCATTTGTATAAGTAGGGCCATAAGGAATCGAGCCGGGACCTTCACAAGTGAATTCCATACCATGCAATTCACTAGAAATTAAAGCTTTATAACTATAGGCAAGAGGATTAATCCAGTAAATCCACATAAGCCAAGGATGCATTTGATTATAAGGAATTTGATAACCACAATAGACAAGGGCTGCAATCAACACAATAGATGAAAGTTGAGAAGCTGTAAAGAAGTTAGGTGAGACAGCACCCCAGAAACGGAAGAAACCATTCATACATAAGTTAACAACAACTAGATTAACAAAGAAAGTAAAGAACTAAGAGGAAAAAAAAAGAAGAAGATATAAATTAGTATAACTATTCTGGAAAAAAAAAAAGAAAAAGAAAAAGAAAAAGCTAGTAATTTACCTTTCCAGCATCAAGTACGAAGCCCATCATAAAGTAAACACAAAGTTCAAAGATAATAACCTGAACGATAGCCAAAGGAATATCAGCAATGACTTGAGCAATATAAAAAGCCGAGGGATGATATAAAGCAAAATGTTTATGCTTATCAAGAACACGACGACCTTGCATGAAAGCAGAAAGTTCAGCTTGAGCAATTAAGGCATTAAATAAAAGACAGAATAAAACAGAGCCACCACGAGAGAAAGCACCTGTAACATCAGTAGGCATTTTATAGAATACAGAAGCCATAATAAGACCTTTAACAACGACACCACCATAACGAGAAACAAGAGCACCTTTATCACCATAAATAAGTTGGAATTGACGAATAGTGAGAGATTTTACTTGCTGATAATATGTAGCAACAAAAGGGGAAGACTTGGGGGCATGCTTTTGATGACTTTCTATAAAAGCCTGACGGAATTTTTCATCCGGACGATCTTGGTTAATTTTTGCCTCATATTCATCACGTTCATTCATCATGGAAGTATAAATAGCAGATTCCTTATAAGCCTTTTCAAATTGAACAGCATTTACAGGGACCTTATCCTTAAAGCCATCACGGTATTCACGTTCATTCATATTACAAAGGCCGGTCAAGAAATCGGGAGTAGACTTACGTTCAGGACAGTAGAAACCCATATCCTCAAAGTAAGGCTTGGCAGTAGAAGTAGGACCAAAATAGATACAACGACCTTCATCAAGAACCATCACTTTATCAAAGAGATGGAAGATACTATCAGAGGCCTGATAGAGAGTAGAGATAGTTGTCTTGTGTAAGATATCAGTCATAATACGAAGAGAACGAACATAATCAAGAGCAGAAGCAGCATCAAGACCACGAGTAGAACAATCCCAGCAGTTGATTGAACTACGAGTTGTCATTTGTTCAGCAATCGAAAGACGTTTACGTTCACCGCCGGATAGACCACGGACAAAGGCATTGCCAACCATTGTATTCATTTGCTTAGTCAAACCGAGCATATTACCGATCAAATAAAGAACTTTGTTGATGAATTCTCCCTTAGACTCTCCCTGAAAACGTTTACCGGGTGTTTTATTCTTTAAAGCAAATGTCAAGGTTTGCTTACAAGTTAAAGTAGGATAATGGAGATCTTCCTCTTCATTATAACAGACTTCACCACGGAAATGTTTAGAGAACTCTTGAGCTTCAATACCACCATACCGAACAGTGCCCTCAATATTAGTATAAGAGGCACGCATATTAGCAATGACACGCAAAAGAGTAGTACAACCTGAACCTGGACGACCAAGAACAAGTAACATTTCACCATCTTTACAAAAGCCGTCGTTAGACTTAAGAATAGTAAAATCATGGCCTGAATGACGACCCCATTTCCAAAAATTAGTAAATGATTTTAACATAGTCCAATTAGTAGGAATAACTTTAGCATCAGCACCAAGACCTTGAACTACCAAATCCCTCCAGATAACGCCCATATGTTTAGGATGAAAGCCCTCAGATTGACCTTGAGTATTTTGCTCACGCAAAAAATCTGTCAAATCAAAATCTTTGACATCACCCTTTTCGACTTCATCAGGATGAGTTGATTTTTGACGAGAAAGTCGAGATTGCTGAGTTAACTCTCTACGAATTTCTTCATAATTTGAAATAGCGTCCTCAATGTTGACAGCATTACCATTCACTTCACCAAAACCACCACTGTTGGGATAAATGCCTGTGTCACTATCACTACTATTTATTTCTTCTTTACCGATAACTCCTTCGATAGTAGATTCACCATCAGAGTGATGCTTTTTGTTGTATTCTCTACTATAATTATTTTGTTGCTCTTGCGACATATCTTGCAAGGCTGATTTATCCATACTGGATTTACTCTAAACAAGAAAAAAAAAACTAAGTTTGTATAAAGAAAACTTCTTGTTGTAATATATTTCCAAGTAAAAGAAAAAATCAAAAGTGGGCTGCAAAGAAAAGGAAATAAGAGAGAAAAAAAAAAAAAAAGAGAAAGTAAAGAGAAATAAATATTAAAAAAGGAAAAAAAAATAAGATCTTTACATTAATAACAGTAAGCCTTTATATAGTTTCAGTTTTTTTTTTAATTTTTACTTCTATTCTTCTTTTAGATCTATTCTATTGTCCGGGTAAAATATATCATATACTTGGATGATTCTAGCCGCTGTGTGTATTCTTAATACCCTTTTAAGGTACCAAATACATATATTGCGGTAAAACTATTTTTTTATTACTCAATGATTTGTTGTACAAAAAAATTACATCACTGACATTTAAATATTTTAGTTATATAAAATGAAGATTTACATTAATTTTACTATATACTTGAATATATAAAGTCCATATATTCAATTCGAAAATCTAACTATCACAAGTTCTTCAATGTATTGTATCCTAAACATCTCTTAAAAAAAAAAAAGAAAAAAAATGCCTGTAGTATTTTTTTTTTTCCTTCTATTATTGAATATTTGATTTAATATAAATCAAAAGTTGTAAACAAATAGTTGGAAAGAAAAGATTCTCAATCTCCGTTTAAACTATTCAGCCAACAAATTTTATGCTCCAAGCATAGCATTTATAACCAAGGAAGGTTTAGCTTGTTATTGTTATATTATTAAAGCTTACGGTAAAATAATTCATCATTAACAATATGTGAACACTACTGATTTATTCATAATGATAATCAAGATTTAATCAAGTAATATATACTGAACTATTGTTATATATTGTTGCTGCTTGCTTTTTTAATATGTGTTAATCACCTTCTTTTCATAAAGAATAACAGCACCACATTCTTATATTACAGCTCTTATCTTTATATTATTGTATATTGGTAGACTCAGACAACAGTAAGCTAACCCCGATTTTACTTTAGAATTAAAAAATTAGTCGAGCATGTACGTATATGTTTGTTTTCCGGTTTTATTATTATTATTATTATTACACTATAACACGTTAAAAAGGTAGTGTCACAATACAAAAAATAAATAAATAAATATAGAATAAATAAAACCGATAAGAGCACAACATAACAGTAATGTAACTTGCAAAGAAAAAGTTTTCGTTGAATAATTCACTACTCCGCAATAAATCATCCTTTTTTTTTTTTTCCAAGCTCATATAAAAAGACAGCAATTGTATAAATTATGGTCTAGCTTATTTGTCTATTCAAATTGACTTGTACTCACGTTTTATTTTTATTATAGTTTTCCATGATTCGTTTATTTTACAATTTTCAAGAGTTGCATATACGACAATGATAACACTATCCGGATATTTTTTCTACCTATCATCACCATAGCTTTCTTTTTTTTTTCCCACTTCTACTACATGTGCCAATTGATTTATATATGAAGCAGCAGAAAAAAAAGTTATTTACTCATAATAATTAAATAGAGAAAAATATAACTAAATTAAATCAGAATAAAAAAATAGAAAAAAATACAAAATACATTCCAACTATAGAAATATCTTTTTAAATAGATACTCTAATTCGTTGACGTAAATAAAAAAGTAAATATAAATAGCTTAAATAGAAAAGAAGATTTATATTGTTGTGTGGATCCTAAATCTTTCACCCAATTTTTTTTTTTAAAAAAAAAGTCATTATTTACTGAAAGTAACATTATCATCTCAAGCTTTTTTGATTCCCCCCGGATCAAAGAAATTCCTTTTAGAAAAAGAGAAGAATACGGGTGAATATAAACATTTTATTTATTTTGATTTCTCATGTTACGTAGTACAGAGGCAACATAACTGTCAATTCCCTTTTCCCATTTTTGAATTCTACCTTGTTTAATTGTATATATTTCGTTTTGTTTCTTAGCTGTTGTTGTATCTTCATCATCAGATTGTTCAAAGATTTGTTTGAGAAACCAAATATCATGACTAACAACTATTAAAGCACCAGAGAATCCCTTAAAGGCATCTACTAGCATTTCTACTGTTCCCATATCTAAATGATTTGTAATTTCATCAAGAATTAATACTTGAGGTTGCTCATAGAGAATAATTGCAAACGCTACTCGATTACGTTGTCCACCACTAAGTGATCGAATTTTTTGTAATACGATATGATTTCCAGATAATCCTACGATACCAAAATGAGCACGACATTCTTGTTCTGTTAAGGTAGGATAACGTTTCATCATATATTCTACAGGTGAAAGATCAAGATTGAGTTCGTGGTCAACAATATGTTGTGAGAAATAGCCTATACGTAAAAGAGGATGACGATACACTTCGCCTTTTGTAGGCTGTATCTTGCTTGTTAATAAGTTGAGTAAAGTAGATTTACCACATCCATTAGGACCTATGAAGGCAATACGGGAATGAGGCCCAATATGAATTGAAAAACTTTCAATTATATTTTTTGACATTCCTTGATAACGAAAGGTAACTTCATTCATATAGAGAGAGGAACCATTGTATCGTAATGGTATCGGTTCAGGTATTTTAATAGATGCTGTCTTGAAGCCTTTTTCGACAATAATCTCTTCTCGTGAAGATGAATGATATCCAGCTCGATGTTGGCTTAATTTGAACCGCTTCCCATCTTCAGTCTTTTCCATACCTAATCGATCTAGCTTTTTACGTCTAGAGTTGATCATACCATGCCGCTTATCATCTCCTGTTGTTTTTGCTCTTTGAAGATTTTCTTGAATACTGACTAAAATTTTGTTTTTCTTCTTTTCAGTACTCTAAAATACGCAATAAATCATTTTTTTTTAGAACTAATATTCTTTATATATATATATCTAAATACATTACATCTAGTAACGCTTGCTTACGAATACGTTGCTCTTCAGTAGTATTTTCCCAGTCTTGATAATTGCCTGCATGATATTTTAATTGTTTATCTTTCAAGATTATTGTCTCTTCGGTCACATTATTTAGGAATTCACGGTCATGAGAGACAACAACAACAGTCATATCATCTGTTTCATGGATGAGGTATTCTTGAAGCCATAAGATAGCAGATAAATCTAAATGATTAGTAGGTTCATCCAGCAAGAGGATATCTGGATTCTTGAAAAGCAATTTAGCTAATGCGATACGCATACGCCAACCCCCTGATAAGGTTGAAATGCACGCTGTTGTCGACTGATTTTCACTAAATCCAAGGCCTCTGAGTATCCGTTTAGCGCGATTTAAACGTTCTTCCTGATCTATCATTTCATACTTTCCATAGACCTCTAACATAATATCATTCACCATCTCAGCTGTAATATATTTTTGGGGGTCCCTTTGACAAAAATCGTCATATTCCTTTTCTATCTTGATCAATTCTTTTCGAGCTTCACGTCCTCGTAATCCTGATCTTTTGATAGCTAAACGAGAAGCTTCATCTACCTTGTCTTTGATACGAGATTGCATAATAGAAAATACAACTTTGTTTAATTCAGCTTGAGTTGCCTTTGATTCCTTTAAAAAGGTATCATGACCACCGACTACTGTTTGCAGAGCTATTTTATGTCATGTATTTATGTGTGTTAATTTTTTTTTTAAAAAAAAAAGGGAGAAAAAAAAAGGGGGTGGGGAATCTGAATAGATAAAAACTTGCCTTGATATTCTTTGAGTATAATTGTAGCATTTTTATCAGCATCTAATACTTCTTGAACAGCTGTGGTCGATTCATTAAAATCCTCTAATTGAGTGATATGAAGAATATTTAAATTCTGAGGCAACCCAACCAAAATATTATCTGCTAGACACCGCATTAGAATGGATTTACCAACCCCATTTTGTCCTATGAGCCCATACCGAGTAAACGGCTTCAGCTTTAAGTGAGCATCTACAAGTAAATCAATGGATTCACCATTATGTTGAGAGACAACCGAGATTTGCACACCATGTAAATCAATATCCTTGTTGCTTGTTTCTAGAGTCTCAGTATGAAAACGACTCTGCTGGGAGATAGCAATAATGTCAAGCTCTTCATCGTTATTATACTTATTTATATTTTGGGTTAATTGCTGTCTTTTGGTTTTATTATTATTATTATTATTGCGTTTATTGATACGCCTTGCAATCTGCTTTGGGATCTTTACATCATCAATTAGATGTTCTTCATATTGAACATTATTTGTCTATCATCATTAAAGTATTTAACAAGTAGAGATAATATTTCCTCTCTCTCTGCTCTCCCCCCCTTTTTTTTTTAATCAACTTATTACTTTACATGATCCTTTTTTGGTTTGTTTTCCATTAATAAGGCAGGCCCATTCTTTGTAACTGGATAGCTTTCTTGTTGAGGTTTAATAGAAGAAAATAATGATGTAAAAAAATCATCTCTTTTGTTCTTATCAATATTTGCATCCAACAAAAAGGCGTTAATAGATTCATGTATATCATCCTGTTGCTGATCATTACAAGATGAAAGTGTCATATCATATAACATACTATTTATGTATTCCACTGCATCATCTTCCAGAACAATTCTGTATTGATCTAAAAGTTGAGTAAATCGCTCTGAGGTACTCATATAGAAATATGAATGACAAAGTTTATGTTTACAAAATTATAAAAAGAATATTTATTAAATACAAATCCTTTTTTTTTTTTTTTTTTTTTTTTTTTTTTTTTTTGCTGCGGTAATTGATATATTGGCTACCGCAGTAAATAGAGAAAGGTACATCATATGCCAATTAATTCAATGTTGAGCACTGTATCGACAAATGAAGCTCAAAGAAGAAAAATAATCGATTATGAAATAAATCACTCATTTTTTTTTAATATTACATAAGTTACAAGAAAAAAAAGGGAAAAACTTCTAATCTTTAGTAAATGAGGAAAAAAAAAAAAGAAAAAAGAAAGAGAGAGAAGTAAATGTATTATTTTATTCGCTACAAAATAGATAAGTGATTAAAGACAATATAGGGTGAATTATGATTGTTTTGTACTTACGCAAAAATGAAGAGATTGTTAGTAGCGGCAACAGCAATAACATTGTCCCTTGGATGCCATGATGCATGTAATATCTTTTTATTGAAATCAATTGGTTCCATATCATCTCGTTTACCATTATTATTACGTCCTAAATTTAATTTATTCTTTGCAGAACCTAAGCGTTTTGCTTTGAAAATACTCTTATCTGCTTGAAGTGGAACTTCATCTCCTGTTTCACGGTTATAAATTGAGAAATTATTACTATATGAACCTGTCATTACACTCCTAAAAATTTAAAGGTGTGTAAGTAGTGTATAAGTAGAAATCATGTTGATAAAAGATTATTTACTTTCCATCACCGCTAAATATACATTCAAACTTATCAAAGATACAATCGTTCTCATACAAATCACATAAGCTACTACGCAAGTTATCGTTAATGTTGATAGTTTGTACCGGCTTTGACTCCATATTAATGTCCCAAAGTTTAAGTGTTAAATAATCACGAGCAAGAATATATCTACCATCAGGACTGAATTTAACATCAGATATAGATGAAATAATTTCAGAAAAGAATGAGCGGCTATTTGGGTCCTCATATGCTTCAAATACTAAAACGAATATATACAATCCAATAAATTCATATTGTACATGTTTAGGCTATACCACCAAATCTTACCTTTAGCCTTTTGATCACATAATGCAGACTCTCTCATATCAGCTAATTTCACGGTGCCTTTGCTACTACTATACATAAGTAAATTGCATTGCTGAGGATGGAACTCAGCAGCAGTAATAACCTCTGTTAATTCCTCCATGTTTGCAGGTTTAATATCCACGATATCTAAACATTATCTGTATAAGCACAATGTATTGATATACATACATATATATAAATATATATTACTAAAGCTTTGTTCAGATATATCAAGATTCCAAAGATTAATTCTAAGGTCATCAGCAGAGATATAAGTCTCGCCATCCGAGTTAACTGAGATCGAATTAATGTGGTACGCATGAGCTTATTTGAAAAGAAGAAAAGGAATGAATAACGTATATAGTAAAATGACATATCAAATAACTACCATTAGCATAAATTCTTCTAGGAACAGCGGCAATGATATTATCTTGATGCGATATTTTTGGTATATATAAGCTTCTTGGTGTAATGCTATTATTATTATTATTATTTTCATGGGCGACCTTTATACTTCTTTCATATATTTTCCAAAGCTTAATTGTTTTATCTAGGAATAAAATTAATTATTTATATTATTATGATATAAATTATATATTTACCGTTAGTTGATAACAAGAAATGTGCGGAATTGGTTCTTCTACACCATTTTATTTTATTAATCTTTTCTTCAATTTCTAAACTTTTCAAATAATCGAATTCTGGTTCATGAGATTGAAATTCTGTATGAAATCTGTATTCACACCCTTTTTTCTATTATAGAAGGGAAAAAAAATATTAATAAATAAATTATACATTCTAGTGTTTCACTTACTCCATCATTGCGTTCAAACAAAACTACTCGGCCACCTTTATCACCTGTAGCTAAATAATCACCCGTGTGGTCAAATTCAACTGCTGAAATAATATCAGCTATATACATGTAGATAAATAATAGATGAGCCTTTTATTTTCAATTCTTTATTCTCTTCTCAGCAAATATGATTAAAATATATATGTATAAATATAAATTTCTGTACCCTCAGTAATGTCATCTGAATCTCCTTTATCACCAAAGCATTGTGCAAATCGCCATCTTTTCTCTTCGTCATTCATTGCTAAAATTAATATTTAATCTATAAAATTTTGTATATAAATAAAGATTAAAGTATAAGAAAAGAAAGGAGAGAAAAAAAAAATTATTATTATTATTATTATTATTATTATTATTATATACATATTATTTTCAAGGCACCGCGTTCATTTCACTTTGTGTAAATTTAATAATTTTGTGACTGAAACTTAATTCCTTTATTAGATATAATAAGCATAAAACCGTAATCATAATAAATAAGCTAACATAGACATTTATTCGTGTATAAAATAGTATGTAGTATATAATTATTTGCTTTAAAGTAGGATCATTTTCGAGATACGTGTATACTTGATATGCATATATATAAATAAATATATAAATATATATACAAATATATACTTTTATACGTCATGCGCGCTATGAAATTATATATACCATGACGCAATTCCCGGGAATAAGATTGCCTTTTTTAATTTGTATGACTATATACACCTTTTTTTTCGTTTTTTTTTTATTTGATGTATGTGTGCTTTTATGATCTCATAAGTTCTATTTCAAATAGAGGTCTTATAGATTTCATATCTATATGAACACTAATTTCAACAGGAGATAGGAATTTCAGTATCTGTACTTCTTCGTCAGGCGAAGTAGTAGTAGTATCATAACGTTTCCAAATAATTTTCATTTCATTCAAGATGGAGTCATAAATATGATCTACAGCGCCAGGTATCGACTTTTCATCCAAGATAATGGGTATCTCCAGGCCATAATCTGGAATATATAATTGAATTAAATCATTATCTAATCCAATTATATACGATGTCATAATCATTCTTCTTTTCTTCTTATCATCATCCCCTCCTGTAGAAAGGCATTGAGTGTGAATGTAGGCCTCTGTATAAAGTTTCCTACTTTCTCTTTCTGCTGCTAGCTTAGAAAGATAAGATGCATTACAGTGACGAGCAATTTTATCAATTGTATCAAAGTTGACATCGTCCTCTTGTTGAGCCTCACCTCTCAAGACGGCATTTAGCTGTCTTTGAACATGGATGGAAGCATAACTTTTAAAAGGCTCTGTAAATAGAGTACAGATAGAAGCACCGAACCCATAATGTTTGTATTTAGAAATATCTAACGATCCAGCACTAAAAAATTTAGGTGAAGGAATGGCCTGCTGTATGATGTAGTTGAGAACCTGTTGTTTTTCAACAGAAAGTTCTGTCTCTTGAGTTAGCTTTAAAAGATCTTTAATTGTGTCCTTTGAGCCTTCCTCATGATGGAAATAATCTTGAATCATGACCTATAATAGACGCAAAATAGGTTTTAATTAAAAAAACAATAGAATTAAAAATAGCATGCCATTTTTACCAATTTCGACATTTTTGGCGCGTCTTGTCTATACAAAAGCGCCTGATCAGGGAATCGGCTAGATATCTTTTGTCCAACTTCAATATTAGCCAAAATTAATAACTCTTGAATCAAGATATCCACTTTTCTTTGCTTTGTATGTTTAATTGTAGTTGGATAACCACTTTCAGCCAGCTGAAATGATATAGTTTGCTGTTTATCTGCAATAACTAAACCTCCTTCCTTATTCAGACGTCTTTGTTGTAATTTTCGGCAAAGTTCCAATAATTGATATGCATCATTTGTAATATCATCTTCATATACTTTTACTTGCTCTTTAACTTTGATAATCGTCTTTCCTATCCATGTATGCAAAAGTTGTCCAGTTTCTGTAAAGCGACAGATTATAGAAAATGTTAACCGTTCTTCACCTATACGAAGGCTGTGATGAGATTCAATGAAATCAAGTGGTAAAATTGGGATCGTTTTATCAACCAAGTTGACTACACAGGCTCTCTCCCGTGCTTCATGATCTAAAGGTGTATTTTCTCGAATGTATTTTGTCATATCAGGGATATGAATGCCTACTTCGTAGATTCCTTTTTCTGCTATTCTAAACGAAAATGCATTATCTATACCTATATACAAGTTAGTTATAGATTCATTAGTTTGAATTTATATATGTAAACATATATATATATATTACTTTACTTTGTTGTTTATCATTACTAAATGTAAATATATTTAAATGCTTATTATCCTTTGTTAAATCAAGTCTTCCTTTTCTATCCTCATGTCTGATTCCTTTACGTACAGTTTGTGTAGCTTTTATGACTGCATCTGGAAAATCAATATCTTTAATATGGTGATCTGCCATTAATGCACCTGAATGAACTCGAAGTTCACCTATCCAACCAATCTCTTTTTCAATAGTACCAAATGGATGAAGTGAAGTAGCTGGCCAACGTTGAATATTACCCTATATATGCATATGTTTAATTAAAATTTTAGTTCAAAACTTGAAGGGCGAAAAAAAAAAAAAAAAAAAAAAAAAAAAAAAAAAAAAAAAAAAAAAAAAAACTTTACAATAAAGATCCTATTCTTATATTCTTCATGATATTTTATAAAATTGGATGGCGCAAATTTGATAGGAACTGCAACAAGAGGTAATCGTTTGTCAGCTGGAATAAACCAAATGATCTTTGGATGATGTGCCTCCTTTTTATTATTGTCTCGAATCATTCCATGATCCAATGTCTTTGGAGTGGGACGATTTAATGACAAAGTTCTTTTTTATATAAAGAAGGAGAAATTATGTTAATTGCTTTTATATACTAGTAATTTTTTTTTTGTGTGTGTTATATGCTCATACCCTGAAAATAACATATTCTTCGGTCTTTCAAGGATGCAAACTACTTTTCCACAATATTTTGGTTTACTTTCAAAATCTATTATATTTTCTTCTTCTAAAAAATGATCTTCAGGAATAGAAGAAAGACTGGTTGCGTGTAATGATAATGCAGATAATCGTCTTGTTAGTCGTACTTGTCTTTTTATTCGTTTTTCATTTAACATCTCGTCTACGCTTACAAGCATAACTGCAACTTCATCTCCATTAAGTGCCCGATTTCTATTGCGTGATCCGAAAATGTAAATGGAAGCATCTAATGCTTCACATTCAACATTAGCATTAGAGCTGTCTTGAGCGTCAATTTTAAGAATACCCGAATAGAGTTTACGGGAACGTATTAGAGCTGAAGCTTCTGATACACTTAAATAAGTAGGATAAAGGGGTTTTCGAGTTGTTATATGTTCATAGGGTTTTAATGTGTTTGGTACTTTTATAGATATATTTATATGTTAATGCTAAATCATTGTATGCATATACTAATTTTATTATTATTATTATTATTACTATGATGATTAGATTTACCTGATTTACTACGATTCCTTTTAGTAAGTTGATTATCTATAGTTAAAGGTGATACTAGAACGTCTTCTAAACCATCTTCATTTTGTTCTTCAAAAGATAAAAAGGAAGAAGCAGGAAAGTCTAGCTTCACGTGAGGATGATTGGAAACTTCATCGTTTGGTAAACTTTGTTCATAAATGGGTTGTAATGATGCACCAGTTCTGGTAGAGTTTATCCCAGCAAATCGTTGATTTTGTTGAGGAGGTTCAGAATGTCTACGTACTCGCTTCCATTTCTCAGGATATTGAAGTGAATTTGATGATAAAGAAGGTAGTCGTCTCATTTCACCAATAATATCCACAAGTGAATAAAAAGCAGGCGAATCATCTTCTTGTTCGTTATTCTGCTTCTGATGTCTCTGTTTATTATGTATACTAGAACTGCTTCTGCGACGGTGACGATTATGATGAGCCGTTAAAATTGTTGATTCGTTATTTTTTACCTCATGATCATTATCCCCTACTACACTATCATTTACACTTGTTTCTTTTGTGTTTAAAATAGTAGAAGCAGAAGAATGTCTACGACCTCCGCGTCTTCTCTTATTACTTTGAGGACTCTTCTTAGTCATCTTTTTATCATCCTCAAACAATGGTTTCCTATTTAAGGCCAAAGGATGCTATAAAAAGGATAAATATAACTAGAAGAACGACATTCCTTCCTTTCTTTATTTTATTTTTTCACTGCATACTTCTGACTGTTCTTTAATATTATCTTCTACTTTCATTTTTAAAAAGGAAAAAAAAAAAAAAAGTTGAAGAAAAAAAATGTCCACACGCTTTTTTTTTTTTTTTTTTTTTTTTTCGTCTAAAATATTATTTCTCCGCATTTTTTTTTTTAAGTGCTAGTAGGTATGCATAATGTTTATTGTTAAATTTTGAAATATGGCACATTCTTCAATTTTATAACAATATACAAATATTAACATGATAAAGCATATATTATAATTTTTTTTCGGCTTCATTTTCCTTTTTTATATAGTTAAATAATGAACAGCATCTTTTAAAGTAACAATGTAAAATGTTTCAACAATTATCTCCTGATTTTTTTTGTAGTAAACTTTAATTTAACAACATTAACATAAATGAATGAATAAGTAAGTCCCTCTTTCTTATTTGAAAAAAAAAAAAGCAAATTATAAAGCAGAGACAGATAACCAAGTATGTGTGTGTGTGTGTGTGTGTATATATATATACAGGATGACATGACTCACTCTAATAAAAAGTTCAAGTGTATATCAAGTTTATTGTTTGACTGCCTTCACTAACAGAAACGATTTCTTCTTTCTATACAATACACTTCAATCTCTTCCCTTTCCCCCACCCCTTAACTTCAGTTGATGCAGTTCAACTATAGAGAGCTAGAAAAGAGTTGCAGTACATCTGGTCCTTCTATTAGAGCAAACACAGATTTGCCTCATGCATATTCTTGTGGTTTATTTGACATATAATAATTCTCTGCAAAGAAAGATATGAATTTAAACGATCTATATTTGATTGTATATGTATTTGCAGCCTTAAAAACACATTTTTAGCTCGATATAGAAATACTAGAATGAAAAATTATAATTTTTTTGTATATAGTCATTTTTACTTATTATTTAAAACTGATCTATAGCCGGGAAGACTATTTAAAATGATATTAATAAGAAACTAAACTATTAATGATACCTTACTTTATAACGGTACGTAAGTAATAGGAAATACAAACATTCTGTATTTGTAATTACAATTGATAAAAAAAAATTGTATTTTAAAAATTAATAATCTTCACTCAACTATCATGGTATTCTTCATAATTTTTTTTTTACTGTTTCTCTCTTCTTTGGATTAAAGTCGGGCTTCTATTTGTTTATAATTTATTGAATAAAAAGCTTGATTAATATACAAATTATTTTGATTCTATTTGAATTTTGACGTTTTCTAAGACTGCTTTTTATTTATTTGTTTATTATCGCAATCTATCCATAACCTGAGTTACTAGCCTCCTTCCATTAATTATTATAAGGGTTTTCTTAACTTTTATACTTGCTTGTAATATACAGAGAAAGCATTATCAAATTATTTTTATAAAATTTTAATTGATAGTAATACTTATCAAGGAAAATAACATATACACATATATACCTATCGTTATCTTTCTCGCAGAGAATTATTATATGTCAAATAAACCACAAGAATATGCATGAGGCAAATCTGTGTTTGCTCTAATAGAAGGACCAGATGTACTGCAACTCTTTTCTAGCTCTCTATAGTTGAACTGCATCAACTGAAGTTAAGGGGTGGGGGAAAGGGAAGAGATTGAAGTGTATTGTATAGAAAGAAGAAATCGTTTCTGTTAGTGAAGGCAGTCAAACAATAAACTTGATATACACTTGAACTTTTTATTAGAGTGAGTCATGTCATCCTGTATATATATATACACACACACACACACACACATACTTGGTTATCTGTCTCTGCTTTATAATTTGCTTTTTTTTTTTTCAAATAAGAAAGAGGGACTTACTTATTCATTCATTTATGTTATTTGATTATTAATAGAAATACTACATAAAAGAGTTATTTCACCTTGGTTATCTTGATTTCATATGAAACAAAAATTGCTTAATAAAGGCTTTTTTACATTTTTTTTTTTTATAAAGTAGCCATGTGATATCGAGGTTTTCAATATAAATCTTATGTATTATGTTAACATATGAAATAGTATAACATTCACATGCAAGTCAACCCGTTATCAACAAGCTTCTTGATCCGTGTACCTTAAATAATGCTGTCTTTTTTTTTTTGTTTTGTTTTTCTTTTTTAATTTTGATATGAGTGAACATAATTCAGCAAATACTTTTTTTACAACAAATGTATCGTCCACTTTAATAGACGACACTCATTTGCCTTCATCTCCCTTTTTTATGGCAACTTCTTCATTTCATAACTTTGTACCTTCGAACGCTATTCATCAACAAAAGAATGTAGAAATGAAATCAATAATAGAGCATTTTAATCCTGTTAGTAGTCATAAACATATTAGAATCAATACTATTCTACCACAAGGAACTAATAAGCAGCGAAGACATAGAAAGCAACCTCATGAATTATTAACAGAAGAACAAAAAAAGGAGAATCATATAGCTTCCGAACAAAAAAGAAGACAGAATATAAAAATTGGTTTTAATCAACTTATTGATATTGTTCCTTCCTTGAATCATGGCAATCGAAGTGAAGCACTCATATTACAAAAATGTAATACAACGATATAGTAGGATTACATAATAAAATCTCTTTTTTTTTTTTTCTAATTAATATAGCTGTGGAACATATTCAACATTTAATAAATTCTAAGAATGAACTCAAGAATCAACTTCGCCAATTGCAAGAAATGTTAGGCGATATGTAAGTTATTTTTCTTTCTTTGGAACAACAATATGCATTGCTAAAATTTATATATTTAGAGGTTTAGAAGAAGAGGTAACCATGATTCGATTTATACATTTGAAAGTTAGCCTTATTATTTTTTATAGTCTTCAGAAGACGATTTGACATGTGTTTAAAGTATTCATTCTTTTTTTTATATATTTATATAAAAAGATAGAAAAAATATAGCAAGTTTGTGAAATCTTTATTTACAAAATGATATAGAATAACTGTTATAGTAATATCAGTGGAATATAATTTACTTGTATGGCTTATTGTTATTATTTTTCTTGTTTGCTATGTACAAAAAAGCTTAGCTGCTATTGTTTTTGTTTTCATAATTAAGCCTTATTTGCCTACTATTTGAGTAACAAACATAAACCTTGTTTTAACTGTTACACTAAATGCTATTGTTTGTTTTTAATACTTTAAATATAATGTGTTGTATTTTATTTAAATAGTATGTAAAAGCGGTATATATTTATATATATATACATTTATATATATATAACAATAATAATGTTAAGTGTAATAGTAATTTACATATTATACAAAGTAGAGTAGAGTAGAGTAGAGTAGAATAGAATAGAATAGAATACAAATAATAATGATTATATGATGCGGTTATTATAGATAGCCTTAAAACGTATATATCTGTAATTAATATATTGAGAGAAAGTACTTCTTCTGGTGCCAATAAAACTAGATCCATGAGAAGCAACCTCCGCATCAATTAAAGGAAATAATAAAGAAGAGATTTGTGTGCCATATTTCATCATTTCATCGTCTAATTTTTGGTTACCAGTTAATAAAGGAGGCATTGCTAAAGTACTCTCAACAATATCAGGAAAATCAGATAGAGTAAATATACAGGGAAATTCATTATACAATGCCTTTAATTTCGTACGAGGTTGTGGAGTATCCGTGGCCATATAGATAAGCCGTAATCTAGGATGATTATCAGCCTTGTGCCATGCCACACATTGGCTTAGTAAGTTCATCTTATTGGCTGATTTTACTTCATGAAGGGACTTTAATATGGCTAATTTTTCTTCATCTTCAGCTGTAAGGGTTTGAGGGGTTGGAGTGGTGACTGTTACTGGATTTTGTAAGATTTGATCTGGAGTTAGATTAATTTGCTCCAGAGTGGATCGTAATGTATTTAAAGTGTCATCCATAAGTGCCTTAAAATAACCATCTCCTTGACGTAAATGGACACCGACAAAGGCATCAGGACCACCTAAAATAGAAACAATACGAAGTGCTTGTCGAATCACGATAGGATGAGAAATACTAATTTCTTTACGCAAGTTCTCAGTCAACCATTTTAAATAAGAACCCTCTTCAAGTGCTAAACGCATTGTATAATGTAAAGATCCAAATAGAATCAACTTTTCATTTCTATGATGAAGATCTTCAAGATCTATGCGATGGTCAAAATTTCGAAGATCATTTTGATTATTTTTTGAATCATAGATACGATAAGAGTATCGAGTTACATCCTTGACGCGATAAATATCTTCATTAGGAATAGACCATGTATCTCGAAAATAAGATTGAGACATACTATCACGTTGAATAATACGAACACCTGCAGAATAAGCTGCTGATAGATCAAAGATAGCTTCTACTGAAACAGGTGTATATTTGTTAAAGTCTCGACAAATTGAGTTTATAAGTCGTTTACTTGAATTTGTACATTCACTTAAACGTAATTCAGAAAGAGGAGTCGGTCTCCAAGGGATTGCTTTTCCAATATTGATATGAGGTAAGATAAGTGTACGGTTTAATGCCTTTGCCAAAACTATAGAATTAATAAGTTCAATACGTTGATTGTGAAGTCCCGAATGAGGTAAAAATGTAATAAACTTTTCTTCTTCCATAATATCATTTCTATTAATTTCTTTTACTTGATTTGTTGATGATACAAGAGGTGTTATATTAAACCGTAATTGAATGCTAAATGTTTGTGTTGATGTATAAACGACCAAGAGCATTATTAAAGTTAGCGCCACAACACTTGTAGCCCAAATAAACTTAGTTGTACGCATCATGATCATGATAAAGAAGTAGAAGAAAAAAGAAGAAATAAAAGAATAATAAAAGAACGAATAATAAAAAAAAAGAAGGCGTTTTATATCAATATCTATTTTTTTTTTTTTTGGCGGTCATTCTATTGTATAAAAATAGAAATTTTTAGTTTTTTAGTTTTTTTAGTTTTTTTTTTTTTTTTTTTTTTTTTTTTTTTTTTTTTTTTTTTAAAAAAAAAAAAAAAATACACATATACAAAACAGTATATGATAAAGCCTGTGTTACAAAAACAAACTGTAACAGATTGAAATTACTTGTTTAAGCCCAAATTTATATAAATAAATATTTATCTATTTTTTGAAGCCTTTATTTTCTTTATTTGGTATATACGTGAATATGGATAAAAAGGAGAAGAGAGGTATTTTATTCAAGAATTTATTCCAATGAATGATAAACATTTGTTGATAAATGGAATGTTAACTTTTCTCTTAGCTCTTTTACTTGCCTGCGTAACTCTAAATTTTCATCTTGTAGTTTTATGATTGTACCTTCCATTTTATGAATATATAATTTCTTTTTCTTACGACATTCTTTAGCTGCTACTCTATTTCTTAATAATCTAAGTTGGCGTTTTTCTTCTTCTGTAGACTTTTCAAGTAATAAAGGTGATGTAATAACAGCATCGTTTCTTTCTTTTTTAAATTGAGTTAACGATGCAGTAAATATACTGCCTAAATCATGCATATATAATGGTTGCTGTTGTATTTGTTGAATGATATCAGATGTAAAATTAATAGTGGTTATTACTGGAGGATATGCAGTTGTTGTTGTTGCCATGTCTGATCTTAGATTTGATGAATCATCATATATTTGATCTACCAGTTCTTCATCTGCTGTAACCATTATAGCTGATTTACTTTTAATCTCGGGTATTTTCATTTTCATTAATTTATAAACTATTTTGTTGTAGTCTATTTTGAATAAAATGAAAGTAAAGAAGAATAAATAAATAAAAGAATCTTTTGTACCTTTATTAATTAAAGCGTATATTATGCGTTGACGCTGACTTTAAACCTACCAAATTCTAATCATTGTATCCATGATTCCTTTTGAATAAAATGCTTGTTATTTTAAGCCTTTTTTATTTTATTTTATTTTAATAAAAAAAAATTATTTGTATGTAATCTACTTGTTCTATTTAAGCCTTTTTTTTTTCTTTCCTCCTCAAAATAAATAGAATTCATAGTAAATAATTTTTACAGTGCTTTATCCAAGTATTGATAAGCTTGTTGGTAATAGTTAAATTAATTATCTATTTCATAAAGAAAAGAATTATTAATTATAACAATTTAGTCTTTTTATGTCATATCTCGTGTAATTAATAGTTTAATTTTATTTAACAATAATAAATATTATATAAGCATCCTGCAAATAAGGAAAACATTTATTTTATTAATTAAAATAGTGTACTTTATAAAAAGATACTATTTATTGTGTTATAAAAGATATAATCTTCTTTGATTATATCTTGTTGAACAAAGTTATTATATTAAAACTGCTCTTGTCAATGATAGTATATAACATTTTGCGCGTATAAAATAAGACAAAGTATTGTATAATAATTATATTCAATGTACCTATGAAAGTAAGACTCCTATTTTTTATTATATAGATTGATATTTTTAGCTGGCTACAAGAAAATAAAAAAAAAAGCATACAGCATGTATATGCAATTGCTAGACATTTATATAGTTTTTTTTTTCTTTTTTTTTGATATGTATAAATATTTATTTATATAGTATATATATTTATATATTTTTTTTAAAGAAATACATAGGATTGTTACTTCTTTTTTTCTTTTATTATCCTTATTTTTTCCTATTATGTCGACTTATGAATCGAATACATTTCAAGATAACCTTCGACCCATTCAACTATCTTATAAATCAGTGGTTACAAACCAATTTTTAAGAACAACTCGGAAAAATAAATCAAAAAATACAGTAGCTAAGCCAACTATGAGACGTTATTCGACATATACTATTAGACCTTCTAGTAGTAGTATTCATACCAGTTTACCTATCGTGAATAGTGCCACTACTACTTTAGCAACACCGTATACTACTGTAGATAACAAACTACCTAACTCTACTACTCCAATATGGAATAACAAGTATCAATCACACTCGTTTGAATCTACTCATAATTCATTACCTTGGCTTATCCCAGTTCTAACTGTATTCTCTTTACTTGGAGTCATCTTGATAGCTATATGTTTCTTTTTCTTGGGACGTCGAAAGTTGATTACAACAAGACAAGAGAAGGATAAAAGGAAGCAACAGCATCATGAAAGTTGGGCAAGTGCAAGTACAATTCAGATAATTGCAGAAGATGAAAAATCAACGATACAACAGCTTCCTCCTACTCATGACTACTACACATCAATAATAAAACAAAAACGATTGACTGCAGAGACTTTAGTAGATGAAGAACAAGAAGAATCATGGATGTCTATGCTCAAAAAGCAGTACGCTCCTCAACTTGCATTGAGCCCTGCTTTTAGTGCAGATGAATTTCAAAAAGAAACTTATTATTATCCATCCTTAATATCCCAGAATGGTGGTTGGATGAATATATTATCAACAACAACAACTGATACCGAATTATTAAGTAGTTCTACCAAGAATAATAATAATAATAGTAGGCCTAAAATTGAAATATATGATCCACAAGTGAATTTACATAGTAATGAAAGTGAGGAGACCCCGTTTTAATGCTCCTCTTTTTCCCCGTACTCCTATTTAGAAACTCAGATGCAAGTTTTTTTTTCTTTTTTTTTAAAAAAAGGAGAGAAGAAGAATTACTGCAACAGCATCTATTTTTGTTAGTTTAAATAAAAATTAACATAAATTTAAGTTAAAGATTTAAGTTTCTATTATCTTATTTTATTTGGTTCTATTTTGCTTTATTTTGTTTTTACTTTGATAATAATACTACATGAAAACAATTGTTTTTTTTTATTAACAAGTACGAAGGAAGGAGAAAACAATAGGGAAGCTTTCATAATAAATTAATTTTTTTTTATTCATTAACCCGTATTTATTGTTTAAACAGATAAGATTAAAAGTTATTGATGACCTCAATATGTGTCAGACTTTTACAGCAAAGCTAAAAAATATTGGTTAATTTAGAAATTTGAATGGTGATAATAACAAAATAATTTAGTGCTTACTAAAAAAAGTATTGGCGAAAAACCAAAAAATGATTGGCTCACCAATATTTTTAAGTAAGCTCAGAGCAACATACCTGCATTAAATAACCAAAGCGATAACTTTGGCGGAGATTTGCTATTGTTTCCTTCATTCTGGTTTTGACACTTCTTTTCTGCTAAAAACATCAGGGCGTTTACTTGTCTCTCTCAAGCTCATCAAGATCTTTCGAAAGTTTAAAACAGCTGCCATATCTCGATTCCACAGCTTTTGTGGAATTTCCTTGACTTGTTCAAGGTTGGCCAACAGACAGTTACGATTTTTACATCTAATAGTTCAATAATTATTATCATTCTCTGTCGTATTAATACAATTCATACTGTTACTTTACCTCAATAAACCATGACATTTTACAGTTGGCATTTTGGCTGCTCTCTTATGGAGGCAAGGGTTGGCAACTGTTTTAAACGTTTCTAATGAACTTTCACAGGTTGGGCAGCATGAAGAAGTTTTATATTCGTCAGTCTTGAATATTTGGAAGCCGTTTTTCTTCAGCATTCGAGTGAGACCTATGCTCCTGGTTGGCTCGTGATATTTTGTGTTTGAAGCGGACCAAATACCAATAACAAGAATCGCATCATGACCAAACTTCTTCTTCAACCTCTTCACTAACATCTGGTCATTTTGATCATAGAAAATTCTGGATGAAAACTTCAGCTTTCGGAACAGCAAAACTTGAAGTTTCTCCAACAATTCACTGATATGTTGTTTCAGATTGACTTCTTCATCCGCGATCATCTTCTCTGCAAGTTCAAGCACTGTATTTTTGACTCCATCGTCCAATCTCTCTGAGATATGTCGTTGCTGCAACATTAGCTGCAAGTACATATGGTACAGTTGAGATTGCGTTCGAGTGTCAGGAGAAGAAACGACGCCTCGAATATTTAAGACGAATAAATGTCCAAAATCCAGGTTACTTTTCTCATCCACACGAAAGGAAAACAAGGAGCCAGGGAAGTAAAGAACTTCGGATGATTTTGTTTTATTTCCATAGTATTGGTTTAATATGTTTTCCATCGATGATCTTGTCTTAATGTAATCTACAAATTTGACTACATCTACAGTGGTTAACGGGGTTTTGGAAAGAAGAGCTTCAGCGGATTCAACCATAGATGGTTTAGTTGACTTTCGTAAAGTTCTAAAGTGTCTTGATCTTTTTGATCTGTCATTTTTTGTAAAAACAAGAACTTCCTTGTGCTTGACCACACTGGTTTCTTTCATGCAGTATAAAATATCACGTCTTCCGGGATCAATCAAAACGCATCTTCCATTCGTGCTTGCCAACTCTGCCTATGTTAATGTTTCAATATACTAGGCATCATTGTCACTCCTTGGTTTACCTTCCTTTTTTGAAGTTTCAGGGCTATCTTATGTTAGCTTTTTCTTCCTAGTTGTAGCAGTATTTTGCTTCAGAATAGAAACACCAATTCCATTAGTCTCCAAAGTCCCTTCAAAATGAAGAGACTTATTTAATCCTTGTTCTTTAAAAGCTTTCTTTTTAAAAAAAAAATCAGCCACTTAAGCCCAGGTTTTAATTTTATCCTTCTTCGCAGGCTTCTTGTTTTTGAGAATATGGAAGTTAACGATCTTACTATCCACTGTCATATATGCGGGAATAAACGTGGTTCGTATAGGAAAGCAAATGAATTCTTTCAACTTCTCTGATTCAACAAGCTGTGCAAGTCTATAAAAAGCCTTGAAGTGCTTTACTGGTCGAGCCACTACATTATAGAAAATCGAATCTTTATGGAATCTGTAGTCTGTAGGATACATGGAGAATAGAGTTTCTATTTCTGATATTGACTTTTCATCCAAGATGTCAGAATTGGGAATTTCTTTTTTTTTTCGCCACAGCAAGTTTTACTTGGGTGCAGGGAGTAAAGATCTCTTTACGGACAGCTGCTTGTATGGCTTTTGTGCTATATCCTTCTGTCGTCATTCTTTCTTGAAGAGCATTTGATTTTTTTTTTTTTTTTTTTTTTTTTTTTTTTTTGCAAAGTTTGTTTAGCATTTCGCGGAGCATATCTCCAAAATGGGCTTTGATATTATTGTAATAGGCGGTTTCAATTTTTGTACATTCGTACAAAGCAATTTGTTGTGCATATACTAGTTTAGATGGAATATAGCCGGCATTTTCGCAATATAAGTCTTTGTGTTTGACAATCAATTGTCTATATAACTTCGTTGTTTCTTTGAGGCGTGTTTTTTCCAGATTTGCTACCATCATGCACTCGTCTCAGGGTAAGACTCAAGAATACTTCAACAAAAAAACTCTTGTTGACATAGCTTTTCAAGTCAAACTCGATAATTCCAAGTCTTTGGCATCCCTGCCATACCATACTAATAGGTTTATCTTCCGACCACAAAGTTCACGATCCGTAGATAATGCGCCAAAAGCAATGTCATTGTATTGTCGTTCGTGTTTAGAGCGGTCACATGATGTCTCCCCACTAACACAGCATAAAGAGTAAAAATCATGAGTCTCATTTTCCTTTCTTTTTTTTTATTTCTACTTACTCGGCTAACTTGACATGCATGAAGTCGAAAATGGTAGCAATGCGTCTGTAGATGGTGGTTTCGGAGTCGTCTTGCTTCTAGTCATTCGGCGTTTCAAGTCTATAGCCAAAAAAAAAAAAAAAAAACAAAAATAAAAATAAAAACAAATCAGTCATTTGGGCCGCACTGTATCACATTTTAACTCTTCACTATCATGATGTTCTTACAAATATTCCACTACTTTCAGCATGGTATAACTCTCCAACGTTCTTCCTTCCGTCTTCAAGAATTTAGCATTAAAAGTATCGATTTGCAACAGGACAAGTTCAATAGGTAAGTTTTCAGATTCCCTACACATACACACACAAAATAAAAATGAGAATTTATTTCTTTTTCAGCAGCTCTTAGTACTTACATAAGATCCAAAATGAACTCATACATTGTTGATGTGTCATCCTTCATTTCATAACGTTTGATTTTATCCGCAATATGGTCCACGTGAGATTGATCAAATTTTTCTGGAAGATAAGGCTTGATTGCGTTGAATTGGTCTGTTTTCAATTGGTTCACTATGCCTGATAAAGATAACCTGTTTCAAAAAAAGGGGGGGAGTGAATGGGAAAGAGTTGATATATTGATATGTAATCCTTGATACATTTTTTTTTCTATACTGCACATAACTTACTTCAACACTGAGATATCCATGCCAGCCAATGGTTGTTTTTTCATTAGTAAAATGACAGCACGTGAAAGTGCTAGGTTGATGTTTAAAAATGGTGATCCTTCATCGAGTTCATTGAGGATTCGCTTTTCCGATTCAATCCATTCAATCCCCCGAAACTATTAAGAAAAAGTGAGTTATCAAGTTGAGAGGAGGGAGGGGGGGAGGTATGGATAGATTTTATCTTTTTCAATGCCATACCAAAAATAATTTCCTTAATAGTAAGAGCATTTTCGTTAATATCTTCTTCATCATCTGTAGACACGTTCACAACACCTTGATAGGAGCTGCTGCTATTGTTGTTACTGCTGCTTTCGCTATTGCTATTGCTACTGATACTGCTTGATGATATTACTTTTCTTTTTCCAATTTGGATGGCCATGTTAGTCACAGTAGTACTATACGAATTCAGCACATCAAAACCAGCGGTTATATAGCTGGACTCATTTTCGTTCTATAAAAAAAAGTATGTTAGCAAAGAAAAAAAAAAGAAATGCTATCCAAAAGGCTCCCATACTTACCATTTTTGTTTTCATTGTTGCAATAGTAGTCTAGATTGCCGACATAGTTTGCTTCCTAACGAAAGAAAAATATTTTTTAGTCTAAGAAACGAGAATAGAATGTGGAGACTTACTTGATCTGCATTTCCGGCCGAATGACAGTGAGACTTTTTACAAATCGCCTAGCGCGCCACTGCAAAAAAATTGTCTGTCGTATGTATGGAGTACTATATGTCGTACTCATGTACTGCACATATGGTGTACTGTAAGTCGTACGTGCGTACGCCGTATAGTACTCCATACATACAACGTATAACTTTTTACATTTGATTGGTTATTTCTTTGAAAACCATGAACCATCATTGGTATTTTGCAGAATAGATAACGTTTATTTACGTTTGATCTTTATTACTTATTGGCTTATAAAATACATTTAATACATATTAGGCTTTTATTATTGTCTTGTTTATTGGATGTTATTTAAAAATAAACATTTAGTTTGTTTACATAAAATGTGACTTTATTTACATTTAGAATAGTAATAATAATAATAATGGCATATATAGCAAATGAATTATTGCAAAAAATAAATTGCTTTTGAAATAATAATAAAAAAGGATATTTCTTGCAATTAATAATAGAAAATACGATTGCACTTACCTTTGCATCTTTAAAAAGAAATAGTACGATTACGCAGTAAATAGATACAAATAAATAAGAGAAAAAGACAGAGATAATAATGATAGGGGTCCAGGAAGCTAAATTATAGCAGTTAAACAGAAGCAAACAAACAATCTATAATAAACAAAGTTGATTAGTTAGTAAATAAAAAAATAAAAAAGAGTATTGGTATTCAAAAGAATAAAATACTTACCGAAAACAAAAAAAAAGGGGGTTTTCAAAAAGGACAAAAGCTATTTGAAAAAAAAAAGTAAAAAGTCCTAAAGAAGAGAATAAAAGATAAGGCTGATATATCTTATATTAGACAAAGAAAGTATACCTTTGGAATTAACAGATAAATGTTATGTTTTATTTTACCTTTTTATATGCATTTATTTACCTGTTTAAAACGTGTTTGATTAAAGATAATAGACAAGTCAGTATATGTGTTAATATGAACAATAGTTGTTATCTTACCTTTAATATATCACTGAAAAATGCTCTGTATAAAAATTAGAAAAAGCTACTACCAACATAAACAAGACTCTTCTTAAATATTTCAATAAAGAGCCTTTATAAGCATTTTGACGTTTGACTAGAAATTGGTCAAACTATTCGTAAAAGGTGGTTCAAATATCTGACTAAATTAGCCTCGCACAAGTGCGCAATTTTTCTCAAAAAAAAATGGACAGTGTTTTCAAAAAATCGGTAAATTGAGAGTGGAAGCACAGTAAAATGTGCTATTTGGCTTGAAAAGTCAGTAATTGGATGCCAGTAAAGCTCACTACTATTTTCCTGATTTTTAAAGACCGAGATAAATTCAAAAGTAAACGCTACTTTTTTTTTTTTTTTTTTTTTTTTTTTTTTTTTTTTTTTTTTTTTACTTCTTTTACCCTTTTATACATATTAAGAAAATAAGACCTATATTCTTTCCTTCTTTCTTTCTTTCTTTCTTTCTTTCTTTTTGTTGTCATAAAAAAAGAAAGAAAAGTAAGCCTGCCTTTTCTTCACTCCTTTCATCTCAACTGTTTGATTTACATTAAAATAAATTCAATTAAAGATGGATTACTTTACGAAATTTACAAAACGTATTGCACCTCCTAAAGTGCAGCCAACAGGAGCAATGCAACTTTCTAAATTTCATAAGAATTGGGAATATATTCATGTAAATTTTCATTTTATATTTTAATAATAGTAACAATTATCAATGATATTATTATAAATTTAATATATGTGAAAATGTCTTAAACTAATTATATACATATTTTTTTTTTTTTAATTTTATTTAATTTTAGAATATTTTTGTTATGGATGATCATAAGGCAAACGTACATGTACAGCAAACAGAAATTCCTGCCAAACTACGTCAAATGGTTGATTTATTAGTGGATGAGGAAGCTCGTCAAGAAGATAATACCACTGGTCTTTGTATGGAATATTTTTTGAAAAATGGTATCTTGCAATATCTTGTTAGCATTGTAGAAAAAGCAGACTATCCTGTAGGTGTTCGTGGAGAGGCAATTCGAATGATTGCAAATATGATTGATTTATTGGATGATCGGTTCCTTGTTCATAACGCTGTACATAGGCCTACAATTAGATTACTGCGTTTTTGCGTTCTTGATGATCGTCAGAGCGAACTCTATAGTGATGATCTTGTAGATTTGATGTATATTATATGTTCAAAAATTCATGGATTTCCTGCTCTTTTGAATATTTTTTTCCATGATAAACTTTGGTTAAATATGCCTCAAAAGAGTTCAATTGTATCTGAAAATGATAACAGTAACACTAATGAGAGTGAGCATTCTACAACGACAGAAAATCCTCAACATGAATACGAATTTCTATTATTTACTTATTTGTTACGTTTTGTACATCGTGAGGGACGATCAGGAGATTTTGCGAGAACCGGCTTATTGTTTTTAATGGAACTGGCAAATGATCAATTGGGTGATTTTATTTTAGGATCTGATTTTGCAACAATTATGGCCGCTGGGCTCGGCGCTCTGTATTCTCAACTTCCTAGAAAGCTGATAATTAAAGATGAAATAGAGCAAATCTATTCAAATCCAGTATCTTATTTACTTGGTCAAGACTCCCTTGAGAATAATATAAAGAGTAATAGCAATCGATTTGCTCGTTTTGGTTTTGGTGCCGAGTATTCAAATTCGCATGAATTTAGATATCAGCTCGATTCCTTTTTAAAGTTGCTAGAGTTTTGTCAAGATGTTATTATACGATGTCCAAATCCTGACATATGTATTTCACTTTTGAAGAGTATACGTTCTATCTTTTTAGAAAATATCTTATATCCATCTATCCTTGAGTGTTCAGATCTAGATGGATCTTCTGTAGCTGTTATCAGCTATATCGACTTAATTTTACAAACTGTACAACAAGAAGATTTATCAAAGGTGATTGTAGGTTATTTAATGGTCGATGAAGAGATAGCAGTTAATGAGGATCTTTCTAATGGAATAAATCATATGGATATGAATAAGGATAATACCATTTCAAATAATAATCATCATCTTGCCCATTTTACGCTCAAAGATTTAATCTTTAGTCGTCTTAAATCTAACTCTCAATCAACCGTAATTGCAACCTTGAAGCTTCTTAAGACACTTATTACTAACCATTGCCAATATTCTCTTGGATTACTTTCTATATACATTGAACATGACAGTCGGTCCGTTATTATCTCGCATCATTTACGTGAGATTGAACTCTATTTTTCACTAATTGCTGCTATCGATAAAACTCATGCAAAAGATGTTTTGGGATATGGTTATGAAGAATATCTTCGAGATGTAGAGATCATGTTTGATAATGACGACTGCTATCATCATATGAGACTGGTTCATGAAAATTCCTTTAATATGAAAAATGACTATTATATACAGACACCAAAGGCAAAGAGAAGAAGGAGTTTTAAATATGGTCAACGTTATGAAGATAATTCTTATAAACTCAAAGAAAAAGAAACAAAAGTAAGTTTGAAGCAACAGACATGCGGTGCAAAATCATTACTACGACATCGACTTCGTTCAACAGATCCCTTATTACAAATTTTATTGAACTTGTTGAGTCACTTTTTTACACAATCTGTCGAATTAAATTTAGCATTAACTGGTGTCATTTCTGCACTAGCGCTTTGTCCATATCGTAATCTGGAGGGCTGGATAACGTTCAGTGAATCAGATCGTACAGGTCATGATGATGTGCGTGTATTGGATCCTAAAGAAGATCAAGCGTCTACTAGTAATAATAATAAGACTGAAGCTGATAAAGTGTATCAACAAGATATATATGAACAAGAGAGGAATACTATTAGCTCACCTATAAATAATGACAACGATGTTGATGATGATGATGATGAAAATGATGATCGTTCAATTGATTTTGGTGCTGAGCAAGGATCAGACAAGAAAACATCGCCTACCTATTTTAAGTCTTATCCATCCTTTTTTACTTTACTTCGTACACTTACTCAGCAAGTAGATTATTATCGTTCTGAAATACAAGAATTTGACACACTTTTAGATGAACGTCGTAAGGCTTTAATAACCGGTGAACTCTCATTCTCAGATAAAAGAGTAATGTCTCCTTCAAATAGTTTGACAACGGCTATAAGTGCACGTATCATGAATAACCATCATAATGCTATGAACAGAAAGCCTTCTATCCTTCGCCCTTCACTCTCAACACCTTTACTGAGTCCTTCTTCTTCTACTTCAGTGACATCTACCCTGACGGGTGTAAGTAGTTCACCTATTTCATCCAACTTATCCTCTATTTCTAATACCAATATGAATGTTATCTTGAGTAACCCAATGTCACCTTTAACAGTTCATGTCAAAAGGACGACAAATACACGTCTTCAGCCCCTATTTCCATCCAATTTTACTAATGAAAGAGAAGAAGCCATTTTAGACTTGGATGATGAAGATGAACATATGTTTACTCCTAAATCAGTTCATCCATCAAAATCTAATAGAGTTGATAAAAGTACTGAGATTACGCTTTCAATGTTACTAAATAACGTTGTTATTCTAGAGGAAACGATTAAAGAGTTAGTTGCTCTAATTCAGGTTCGACGTAGTTTGGGTATTGATAAAATTTCATATGTTTAATCAATAAATAAAGAACCTTTTTGTATATGGAATATTGATACACATGTATGTGTGTATGTATGTATGTATGCATGTATGTATGCATGTATGTATATGCTCAAGACGCAAAAATAGTCTTATATTCTAAAGATCATAAATAATATACGTTGTACTAGTCTCAAAAGAACGGCATACAAATAGCTCATGTATCTGATATTGAGAATAAACAAGCAAAGGTTTATTGTTCAAGTCAAAAGCCTGTTTGTTGGATTCTGTTTCTGATAAGTTCATAAGGTTATTTTAACTTTCCTTATCTGTTTCTCCTATGATTTAATACAGGTATTACTATAAAAAACTCGATGCTAACTTCATTTTCTCTCTTATGCTAGCTTTGCTTTAACATTATACCTACAATTTGATATACCCTTTGAATTGTATATATCACACTTACTAGACTAATTATGCTACGAGCAAAAAAAAAAAAAAAAATAAAATAAATAAATTAAGATATGCTGATTTAGTCTGAAGATACAATAGTTACACTCACTTATTTATCAAGAATGATGAATAACTCTATTATTAAGACTAATTTTCTTGTTTGCTTTAGAGAATATTTTACAATACTGGCCTTACCCCTAGTATTCCTCTATAAATTCTTTATCAGGCCGAGACAAATTTATTGTATTATGTGTACTACGATCATGAATAGTATTGGATTGTAAATAAAAGCAAATTTAATTTATGGATATTTTTAAATGCACAAAAATATAAATAACTTATTAGAATTTGTTTTCTATAATAAAGCATATGTAACTAACTTCTTTCATAAAAATTATCACATTAAAATAGACGGAAATATCAAATAAATAAAATTATACTTTTCTTTTTTTCCCTGTAGGCTGCATGTTTATTATGCATCACACTTTAGTAGTAGTAGTAGTAGTAGTTGTAGTAAATGCTCAGGAGACTTAATATTAGAATAAAAATAGAATGATGACAATTTCACACACTTCTTTTCCCTCTTTCCCCCCCTTTTTTTTTTTCTTTTTTTTTTCTTGTTATTTTTCTTATACAAAATGACTGGAGGAAGGCTTGAGGGAAAGGTTACTATCATTACGGGAGCTGCTAGGTAAACACTTTTTTTTTATCCCTTTTGTATTTATATTGCTTATACTAATATATATAATATGCGTTATTTTATCTTAAAAAAATAAAAAAGTGGAATAGGTTTCGAAACTGCCATTTTATTTGCAAAGGAAGGTGCTAAAGTAGTATGCGCAGATGTCAATGAAATAGGTGCACAAAGGACTGTTACAAAGATATATGAAATTGTCGGAAATGATAAGTCAGCGATTGCTGTAAAAGTAGACGTATCTAAAGAAGAAGAAGTCAAAGCCTTAGTCGATAAGGCAGTTAGTGTATTTGGTAAAATCAAAAATGACAATACCAGTTATATTTATTTATTTATTATCTTGATATAGGTAAATTAGATATTATGTTTAATAATGCTGGGATTATGCATCCTAAAGATGATGACGCCCTTAGTACTGAAGAAAGCGTTTGGTAATATTGACTGGAATAATAATCGTCCTATATTTACTAAGATCTGTCAACCATATATATATAGGGATTTAACAATGGATATCAATGTAAAGGGTGTCTGGTATGGCTGCAAATATGCTATTATTGCCATGCGTAAAAATGGAGGAGGATCTGTTATTAATACTGCCAGTTTCGTTGCCATGATGGGAGCTGCTACACCTCAATTAGCTTGTAAAAATATTTAAAATATTATTATTATTATTTGTACTTACACATAAAATATAATTATATAGATACTGCATCCAAAGGTGCTGTATTAGCTATGACGTAAGTATAAAGAAGTACACTATTTGTATTCGAATTAAAACCTCATCCTTTTATTTTTATTTTTTTGCATAGTCGTGAACTTGCTATGGTTCATGCTCGCGAAAATATTCGATTCAATTCACTTTGTCCAGGACCTATTCGTACGCCTTTGCTAATGGATTTTTTAAACACTACAGAGAAAAAAGAAAGAAGACTTGTTCATGTTCCTCAAGGAAGATTCGGTAGAAAATAATAATTAACAAACACTCACAAAAAAAAAATTTATAGTTTTGTTGTAGGTGAGGCTATCGAACAAGCTTATGGAGCATTGTTTTTGGCTTCTAATGAAAGCTCATATGTTACTGGTACCGATTTCAGAGTAGATGGTGGATTGTGCTCTGCTTATGTGGTAATACATGATGCTTTATAAATAATTGTAGTATTGATAATAATAATAATAATAGACACCTGAAGGAAAGCCTAATGGTCCTGTACCAACTAACTTCTCCGGTCTTTAAAAACTTTTCAAAAAAAAAAAAAAAAAAAAAAAAAAAATCGCAGTAGCTTTATTTTACTTTATTTTTTTTTTTAATCGTTCATAACATTAATAAACGATCATGTCCACTAAGGAAGTTGAATCACAAGAAAATAATTTTATCTCCATTACTTGTAAAGATGTAGATAATTGTTCATTCAGTTCATGGTATCCAAGATTCAAATCATATACTTTCAAATCTAAAATTTTGCCATTAAGCAATGAATTTATTGAATATTTAAATGCAGAAGGTATTTACTTACCTGAGGATGGGTAAATAAAACTTTTTTTTTCGAGTCAAAAAAAAACCTATAGTTAAGTTTCTTATTCTAATTCAATGCCCATTATTTACACTATACTTAAATATTCGTATGTGACCTCTAAATAGTCAACCTATTGCAGCTAGTATTGAGGAAATCGATTCCGATGAAGAAATCACTGAATTTAATGATGATATAGAAGGAAGTACTAATAAAGTAAAAAAAAAAAATGGCATATTTTTATAATCATGTAAATGTATTAAATAACCATATATTTAATAAGTTACCTAATTTTCCAGAGGTTGAGCAAGCAATTAAAGAAGCAATTTATGAATTTGAAGGGGCTGTGTTTCCCAAGTTAAATTGGACTTCACCTCGAGATGCAGCTTGGATATCAGCTACACAAACTTTAAAATGCACTTCTCCTTTTGATGTCTTTTTATTACTGAAATCATCTGATTTTATCAATCACGATTTAAATCATGCATATGAAAACTGTGTCGATGCTGAAGAGAAAAAAAGCGATCATGAAAAAAGTAGATTTAATCTCGTGCTAAGAAAATGGTATGATTTACAGCCTTCAATGGAATTTAGATGTTTTGTTAAAGATCAAGAAATTATTGGCATTACTCAAAGAGATTTAAATCATTATCCATTTTTGATTGATGAAAAAAGTAATATTGAACAATCCATATATCAATTCTTTGAAGATGTTATTCGAGATGAATTTGAAAGCATTAACTGTAAAGTATGAATAACACGTGTTAGGTTATTGATACTAATTCTTTATTTTTTTTTGAATTAAAATAGACGTATTTGATGTTTACATTCAGCGTAATCGAAACAAAGTTTATCTTGTAGATTTTAATCCTTTTAGTCCATCTACAGATGCTATCCTATATGACTGGAATGAGTTGATCTCATGTAAATGTCATGGAAAGTTATTAATTAACTTGGTTAAACTCACTAATTATTATTGGTTTTTTTTTTTCGTTCGATATAAATAGTTGATTTGGATACAATAGAGCCTGAAATTCGACTTGTTGAATCTCAACAAGAAGCTAACATTCTTTCTTGTAATGCACCAAAATTTGCGACAAACATGATTCCTAAAGATGTAATTGATCTCTCTTCTGGTAAATCAATTGCTGAATTTGCAGAAGAGTTTGAACGAGCAATGAGACATGCTGAAGAAGGATATAGCAGTACTAGTGATGAAGAAGAATAGCGTATTACATTATGTATAAAATAAATGGTTTAGAGAATACTGCACGTAATTATTGTCATTCTAAAAATAAAGACGATTGGCCATTATTATTATTTGAACTTCAGCTGTTGATGCTTCAGAACCAAATTAAGCTTTTATTTTTATTTTTATTTTTTTTTTATTTTATTTTTTTTTATTTTATTTTTTATTTTTTATTTTTTTTTATAGCGATTTTAAATAAAAATCAATCTTAATTACACATGTCAGCTCGTTCCTCATTAGAAAAAGAAATAGATGATGAAGAAATAAAGAAGGATATAGAAAATTTTGTTGAAGAACCTATATCTCCGATAAATAAAGAAGATCAAGTAGAACCAATACCACCCGAAAAAGAACCAGAATTACTCGAACAAAGCATGATGCATAATAATGAAGAAGAAGTTGACATGAGCGATGACTTTGACGATTTCGATGACTTTAATGAAGGGTTTGTGGATGCTAATGATGATGAATTTGGGCAATTTGACGAATTTGAGGACAGTAACGAATTTCCAGAAGAATTCGAAAAGGAAGATGACCCATTGACAAAAGAAGAAGATACATCAGAAGAAAAACCTAAACCAAAGATTCCATCAGAAGCCGAAATTTATGTAATAATAACATATATATATATATACAGAAGGAGAGAAAGAGAAATAGGTTATATTCACATTATTAGTATAGTCTGACTTATTAGGAAATAATCCTTCAGAGCTTTGTCAGTTTATTGATCATTATTTGGAATGTATGTGGAGAAAAGAAGATGAAGATCAATTCATAATTGACTCTTTACCAACAACGCATGAAACAAATATTTTGAATACTTTTTGCAGGTAATGAAAATAGGGGTTTTTTTTTTCATTATTTAGAAATATAATCTGATGCATGTATATAAAAGTCGTGATTTATGGGACAAGCTTTCACGTGATACAGTTTTTTATAATTCTGTGACAGGAGCAATGGGTCAATTTCAATGGACAAGATCTGAAACAAATAAGGCATATTTAAATGCTTTAGGTGTTACATTTAGTTATGAAGATAGACCCTCCATGGGCACATATCCTTCATTATCATCTAATGTAATTCATAAATCGCCGAAAAAGAGAATATCCAGTATTGTAGATGATCAACGTGTTATGTCAGCGGAACCTGAGACTATACAAACACATACAAGGTCAGCATCAGCAACAACTGGTCTAAAAGTGATGACTACAACTATGAATGAAAACACAAAAGAGGTAGAACAAGACATGGAATTAGATATAGATATTGCCAGAGCTTATTGTGAATTAACAGAAGGTAAATATGCATATACGAAATATACACGAAATATATAATAACATTTCAATTCAGAAACTATTCGAGTATTTCCTAATGTTAAACTGAATGCCATGGTAAATGAGTTGACACGACTTCAGAGACAAGCTGCGGAATATCTTGATAACTTATTAGATCAAAAAGAACAACTTAAGATAGATGCAGAGACATACAATGATTTAATTAGCTGTATTGTAGGACATGCTCAAAGACTTCATGTTCAAAATAAGGACGCTAGTCCAGCAATGGTTTCTAAAAAGAAGAAAAATAGTACCTTTTCAAATATGATGAGACGGAAACCAACCATTAGCTCGCAGCAAAGTGTATCAATGGGAGGTGGTGTAGTAGGTGTAAAGCAACAGCAACAAGGCCCAGCACCAAAAAGGACAGCATCTACTATTGCTCATAATGTGTCTAATGCTGACAAGAGAAGATCATTGTAGAGCTTTTTTTTTTAACTTGTTTCATGCATGCTTATTAATGCCAATCATCAGATTTTTATAAATGTTAATATTGACTGAATTTAATACATGTCAGTCACGTATTTTTATTTTTTGTATAGACTCATTTCCTGATTTAGTTAATTTTATTAGTAATTTTATCTTTTTTTTTATACATATAATTATTATTATTATTGTTATCTGCAAATTCATATATTGTACATCTTTATAATAAACATATAATATAAAGCCAATTGGCGATTAAAATAAAAATGAATAACAATTCAGAAGATAAATTGCCAATAAAGGAATTTCTTTTTCGTCACGTTCCTGATCAAGTCTCAAATTCTAGGAGAGTGTGTTATCGACATCATCCTGATCTAATCAAACAAAGGCAACCTGATGATCTTAATATTAAAAATATCCAACATGTATAGTATTAAAACAAGAAAAAAAAAGAAATAATTATAATAAGGGTTCAGTAGTATTATTAATATTCATTAATTTTTTTTTCTTTTCTTCATCACGTAGCAATTAGAAGAATTGCCGACAGAAGATAAAGCAGCGATTACTCAGATTTGGTCCATTTTTTCAGCAGCACCTGCCGATCAACGTATATTAATTTTAAAAGGCCTTTTATCCACCTGTTGTATGCCTCAACTATCATTTCTTTATGATGCTATTAAACCACTATTACGTATTGATTTTTTAACTATTTTACCTCGAGAGATCTCCTTACAAATCTTTTTTTATTTGGATGCAAAGTCATTGTGTCATGCTGCTCAAGTATCCCGCAATTGGAAACGATTAGCCGACGATGATGCTTTATGGCACCGTATGTGTGAACAGCATATTGATAAGAAATGCACAAAATGTGGATGGGGACTACCTTTATTAAACAAGAAACGTAAAGCAACATTGCGTATCGAACGTCCTCTTATTAATACTAGTAATGCACCTCTAAGGATAGCATGTGGGTCAACGGTACGGAATGACACAACGGAAAATATAACTAATAGTATGGATCATGTTAACAAAAAGAGCAAAATCGATAAGGAAGCAATATCAAATTTTGATATTATGTTTAAATCAGGACCTGATCTATGTACGACTACTAGTGCTGCTACCAGCACCAGCGCCAGCACCAGCACCACTACAATAGCACCAACACTGGTTCGTAAAGCATGGAAAGATGTTTATTCAGAACGATTAATGATAGAACGAAATTGGAGAAATAACAATTATAAATTAACTGTTTTAAGCGGTCATACGGATGGTGTAATGTGTGTTCAGTTTTGCGATGCGATTAATATTTTAATGACTGGTTCCTACGATAAAACTGTTCGTATTTGGAATTTAGAATCTGGTGAATTAATAAGAACATTAACAGGGCATACACGTTGTGTTCGTGCCTTGCAGTTTGATGAAGCTAAATTAGTGACAGCTTCAATGGATCATACATTAAAAATATGGAACTGGCAAACAGGAAAATGCATTCGTACACTTGAAGGTCATACAGGTGGCGTACTAAGTTTACATTTTAATTCAAAACTCATGGCAAGTGGTTCAACGGATCATACAGTTCGTGTTTGGAACTTTTCTGCTGGTGAATGTTGCACTTTTACGGGTCATACTGAATGGGTAAATTCAGTTCGATTCTGTCAAGAAGGTACTATGTTAGTCTCTGCTAGTGACGATTCAACTATTCGTCTATGGGATGTACAAACCCGTTCTTGCATACGTGTCTTAAATGGGCATGTAGGCCAAGTACAGATTGCAATACCAAGTCTAACGGGATTTACACATAGACTTAATGAAGAAGATGTTTATTTGCAGCCTCAGAATAATTATTCTTCAAACACTAATTTAACTCAGCTTAGACCTGCATGTGCCACCACTGGAAGTAATAGACGAAACAGCATGGCAATCAAAAAGGAATCAAAAACACCATTAACAAATACGGCCATACTTTCAAGGGACCCAATTATTATATCCGGTTCATTAGATAATACTATCAAATTATGGGATATGAAAACAGGGAAATGTATTCGCACGTTATTTGGACATATAGAAGGGGTGTGGAGTTTAGCGTATGACACTTTACGTATCATATCTGGGTCTCATGATAAAACAGTAAGAGTTTGGGATTTGGGTAGTGGTAAATGTATGCATGCTTTAGAGGGGCACCGTGGACCTGTAACGGCGGTTGCTCTTGGTGATACGAAAATAGTTTCTACATCTGATGATGGAGATATAAGAGTATGGGATTATGGCGTGTAATATGAATATGACAATTGAAGAAGAAGAAGAAGAAGAAATATACCTTTTAGTTAAATAAAATTGATTTTGTTTTTTACAAATACATTTTAAATTAATAAATTTTTGATTTTAAAACGTTCCTAAAGTGAATTAATAGTCGTATAGTCTGTCCCGAAAAAGATCGAGTATTTTTATTGTGAGATCATAAATACTTTAATAATTCCTCTATCACTTACTAATAATTTCTAACAATGACATTATTGCCTCTTTTAAGGATGATCACCCTATCTCTAGTACTACACTCAATTAGCTTGGAATATTTATACAGCCAGTACGATGGATATTGTCGCCAATTAACAAATCTTATTTCTTTTCTTTGAAAAATGCGTAAATAATTTTTCCGATACCTTAGTCAGAAGTAGCATATTATCTCATATAATTTTACTATATGTTTTTCTTCAAAAAGGTCCCTGACAAGACCTCCTACAATTTTGTTCTTTTGAAGGTCCATCTTGTATTTTTTTCTCAAATAAATTAAACTTGCCTCCAAGGGGATGTCTTGTTCCATTTTCTTTATATTTAGAAACGAAATAGCTGGAATATTCACTGTGAATTAATATTAACGCAAGCAGAATTATTTGGAAACAATATTTATGTATAATGCTTTATTATACTAGTATTCATTTATTCATATCAATTACCTTGCAAACAACATATAAATAGCCCTTGTCATTTTTCCATATCATTTTTTTTTATTAATAAACTGTACAGAGTTTTCACAGACTTGTCTTTTCTATTTTCTCTTTCCTTATCTTTTGCATTTAAAACACTGTCTTTGTTTTTGAAATGTTAGCCATAACAGTTGAAGCTGTCACAGATCAACTTTGTCCCCCCAAAAAAAAAAGGTTATAAATTCATAAAGAGTGTAATGTTACAATAATAGTTAACTAGACTTTTTTATGTTATTTTTTCTGAAGTTTATAGTCAACGACGACACAGTCTGCCAGGGAAGTAGTTTAATTGCCGAATAAAACTTGGCAATCTGCTTTACTTTCTTTCTTTAAGACAATCTTTAGAAGAAGTCTATTATAGTGTAATTTAAGGTGAATAAGATAATATTAAGACAATCTAATCTATACTATAAGTAAAAAAAAAAAAAAAAAAAAAAAAAAAAAAAAAAAAAACAGCCAAGTATTGTAGAAGGGTTTAAGTTAGCGATAAATAGTGAGTGCATCAACATATAAATTATGAAAAGAGGTCATCGAATAGCAAGAAACATCGTACATAATAAAAAATGGCAGTAATTTCTTATTAAATGTATGTTCACAGCATGTGCATTAACTTTAGTTTATTTATAGATTTTCCTTTAATTAATCCACATAGTGAGGCAAATTTACTGAAAGAGCAATTACCTTTTATATTCTTTATGAAGTCAATGCTCATTCAAGAGCAATATATAATTAAAAGACTGTATCTAACTGTATCGTTTTCTAAAAACATGTTGTTACGTTTTACAAGTGATGTCAAATGGCAATCTTTTTTGTTTTCATGATAGGCTTCAAAAATGTGTTTCTTGTATTAAGTGACATTATACCATCCGTAGATACGATACTGAGGAGTAAAGGAATTGTCTTTATGGAAAATTTTATAATAAAAAAAAACATAAGATTCCTTTGCAAAGGCTGAGATATTTCAACAACTTCTTTTTGATGAATCGGTCAAGCTTCCCTTCAGTCCTTACTATTCAATGCTCTAAGAAAATTTTCTTTGGAGAAAATTATGTTGAAAAAAAAAAACTAGTTGCAAAACCAAAGTTAGTTTGTTTCCAGATAAAATAATGATGGCAAGGCTTGACACAACTTCAAATTATATTCTGGAGATAAACACAGCAATCAGATCATGAATGCTCATTATGAATGTTGGCTAGTTTTAGTCTTGTTCTGGTAGTTTACATTCTAGTGACGCTGAATTTACTTAACCATACATAACTTACCTTGAGAGGAAAGAAAACTTAGGGAAATTATACAATAATCTTTTTAATATTTATACACTGTGCTGTTATAGTCTTTCACCACTTTTGTTAAAGAATTATACGATTAATTATTAAATATTATTAGAGAAGCAACTTTATTATGGAGCACTATTTTATTAAATTGATTTTTTTTTTCATTTATATTAATATTATAAAAAAAAGATGCTTTTCTTAGTTCTCAAATCTCTTTAGAAGAGACTTGATACTAACAGGATTAACCACGAGAAGGTGAAAGCATATCTAATCCCAAAAATAAGTTCTATAAACCAATACCCATGCTGGGCTTTTTTTTTCTTCTTCTCCCTCTAAATGTCTACTTGAAAGATAAACGTCCAATTTCAACTAGTAGACACTTGGCAAAGTCCAACCTGGCCCAAGCCTTGCTAGAAGAAAAAGATAGGATTCCTCACCCCATAACCCAATAAAAAATACAGTTGGATGTAAGTTTCACTGGAAGCCGGGCTAAACATTCTGACCTGTAGCGTGGCGAAGTGGAAGGAATCCAGATACATGAAGTGCACGACCTGACTATTGTTTACCTGAGAATGTCCCTTCTTTGACCCCTAGCATCTACTTTTGACTTAACAGTAAATACAAGCTGGGATTCTTCAACTAAATAAATAGATGAAAAAACCACGGTCAGAAACGTAAGCTGTGCATCCTTATCTATTTTTATTTTATAAACAGCAACTAGATAAAAATAAAAAGAAGGAAAAACCTCCAAAAAGAAAAACAGAAAAACTAAACCTTGAGATAAGCCCTTTCAATGGTGCAGACAAAGAGTACGCTAATCTCCCTAAAAAAGGAACAGGTTTACAATTTCCAACCCCAAGTATCCTTTTTATTTCCCTCCTCCTTTGGAAATAAATCAAACTTGAGCAGTCAAAATTCGATAAGGTCCCATCAATTATCTAAGGTTGCAATAACCCAAGGTGAAGGCGGATATGCATGTAGTAACCAAAAGAGAGTCTAGGCCCTCTCCTTTAGCCATGTTATAAACGGACAGTTCTACAAACTCAAGTAAGCCAAGCTATGTGACTTGAGCACACTTCATAACCCTGACAATGTCTACCCATAGTTTCAAGTAAAAATAAAGAAGAATAGGAAAAATAAAAAAAAGCTAAAGAAGAAAAAAAGGGAAAAAAAAAACGAAAAATGTGCTTTTTCTTATAGTAAAATTCAGGAGAAAAAAAAATAAACAAGAAGGAGAAGTTATTAAAGTTAAATTTTAGCGTATTTTTTTTTGTTTTTAATTTATTTTTCGTTAAATCTTCTCTCCTGCCTTTCTCCTTTTCTTTTTTTTTTCTCTTTTCTTTTTAATACTTTAGAGATAATTTTTGCCTTTTATTTGAATGTAGTAAAGCATTACTGTCTTCTTTGAAAGTAAGCAAGAAAGTAAGAAAGTAAGAAAAAAAAAAGAAGACGTTTGTTTACTTTTTTTATATGTATTTATATTCATGTGAATATATTGAGCATTCTTGTAAAGAAATTAAGCCAAAACTAGTCAAATTCAGTTACACGACAGAGCATGATGTTCATAGATAAGCTATCAATAATATAAAAAATGGTATTTTATACAACAGTTTTATTTTTATTTTTATTTTTAGACACACACAATCTAGACGCTTTTTTTTTTCTTACAATTAATTTTACAAGATGTTCCCTTTTAGCTTTGTTGTAGAATGCTTTTTTTTTTCAATTGTACAAGATACTCTTGGCGGTTCATGCATTTTAAATAGTTAAGCTGTAAGCTTTCTTATTACTGTATTATGACAATTGAGCTCTTTTTTATGATGATCATGATAACAAGGCTTTTTAGATTTTGATCAGTTTGAAAGGAATAATGGCTTTGAAGAAAAGAAAGAGATAGAGTTTCAAAGAGTGTACAAAAGATATGATCTCTTTTATTATTATATGTTCAGGATTATAGTTTGTCCTGTATTATGTAATTCATCTTTTATTATACTACTTATGCTTATATCCAGAGCTTGTTCTATAGCAAAATTATATAAAGAACCTCTCTAAAAAAATTTTAATAAAATTACAAAAAAAAAAAAAAAAAAAAAAAAAAAAAAAAAAAAAAAAAAAAACCCTTTGCGACAATTATTTCTCAACTGCCGACACATATTTGTTAATTGGCGACAATATCCATCGTACTGGCTGTATAAATATATCATTTCCTGAAATAGATTCCACAGATATAGAAAATCTTAATTACACAGTTATGCAATCCTTACTTTTTGTGTATGCAGAGCGAGCTCAGTTAGTGTGCAATCTTTAATTTTTTTTTCCATACTTGCAAAGATTTCCTGTGTTTGTGCATTAAATTCTGATTAGATATCAAGTAGACATTATATGTATTTCTATTTTTATTTATTTGTATCAAAGTACTTGGATCCTAAGAAAAGTCCTTATTTTCTCTTATTAATAGACATAGGATTTTTTTTGTTGGCGTGATGATATTATGTAAATTACTTTTATAGCTTAATGGACATAAATATGATTAAATTAAACTGTATATATTTTTATATGGGAAGCAAGGAGAACATGATAAAGTTATATGCATACATGCATTAGAAGCTAGAATAATACAATTTATTTATTCTAACTATAAAGATACAGTTCTTTTCTTTTCTTTTCTTTTTTTCTTTTGTTAATAAGAAAAGATAAAATGTCTAAACGACAAACTTCATTTGTTACTCTTCTACTATTTTCAATTATTCTTATTTATCATTCTTCTTTGATAATAGCTTATGCTATCTCTAATTTAAGTGAACGTCTAAGTAACCGACATATTGATCCAAATACCATAGGATGTAAATGTATCATGACAGTATCCACTTTACAACATACAGACTCTGCTATGTGTATGTGTTTTAACAGAAGTGATGGGACACTTGACAATACAAATACGTGTACGACGTATACAGGTAAAAAAAAAAAACGAATGCATCTACATGACGTGATAAACTCTATGTACTGAAACAACATATGTATGTATGTATTTATTTATTAGATACCGTATTCAGATTTTGCACAGATGTAGCAAGCACTGGGTCATGGCAAAGATGCGTTAAACATTATTGCCCTTGTGACGAAGATAAAGAGAGTTTAGTTCCAAGCAATAAAGTGAACTTTTAAAAAATTATTTATTTATTTATTTATTAAATTTTTGCTCGATATATTCTTAACTTCTTATCTTCACCACCACTAAGGATCTTTTCATTATCCCAAAAGACAGATAAAACTTTTTGTTTTGTGTCATTTTCAGCCTCTACAGTATATAAAGGTTCTCTACTACGAATATCCCAAACACGAACTGTAGAATCATATGAACCTGAACATAACATGTATTCTGAATTTTGTGCCCATGAAACAGAAGATACCCAGGCAGAGTGTCCACGAAGACTCATCTTTACATTTGCTCCTTCTATTCAAAAGAATATTAAGTATTTCTCCCAAGTTCATTTTATGTACTTTATACAACTACACACATACCTTCTGATCTAGGGTCCCATAATCGAATCAAATTATCACTATGTCCAGTTGCAAGAAGTTTAGAGTGTGAGGAATAATCAAGATCAAGTACAACCTTTTCACAATTCTATTTGAAACATATTAAATAATATACTGTAATTAAACTTGTATAGATGAACAAACCTTTGTAACTAAATTGACTTGTTGTTCAACATTCCAGGAACGGATAGAATGATCCCAGCCACCCGTATAAACAATATTTGAATCTGATTTATCAAAAGTAACTGCATTCACACCACCTACATGGCCTTCCAATGTAATGCAATTTGTCTTTATCTTTCTACCATCCTCTCTTTCCATCTTCTTTCTCTTTTTGTTAACTGATGATGACTCCAGATGTTCATCCTCTGATGGTTCCTCTGTTGTCCAAATCTTAACAAAACTATCTGCTGAGGCACTTGCTAAATAACGATTCTCTTTATCTACAGCAATTGATTCAATAGGTCCTTTGTGACCTTTACATTCGTATAATACACGATTAATCTTAGTATCTTGTAATGAGCAAGTCCATGCCAATAGAGTATGATCTAATCCACCAGAATAGACATTCACATTCTCATCTCCCTCAAATTGACCAAATGCAACACTTTTAACAGCATCAGTATGACCCATCAATGTTGAAATGCACTCTCCTGAACTATTCCATAATCGAACCATGTTGTCATAGGCGCCTGTAAGAAATAATCCATTTTTACCTTGAACTGAACTAATCCAATCGTCATGTTGATAAGCTGTAAGAGGAACAGGGGGAAGCATTGATTCCACATATTCAATCGTTACAAGATTTTCCTATTTATCAATGTTTTTTTTTTAAAAAAAAATATTATTATTTCCAAACAATATAGGTATATATTAACAAAATTACAGTAGAAAGTTTAGCTTGATTTAAATATTCAGCAATGCTTGTTCTCAATAATTGACCATCAATTAAAAAATCAAATGGAATAGGGGTTTCTAATGTAAATTTTAAATGAGAATAGCAAGTTAGAATAGATTCCGTATAGATCTTTATTTTTTTTTACATGTGTCAGTACCATTTTCAAGTAAACTATTAACAAGTTCAGAGAGTCCTTCTTTTTTAATGTTAGAAGGTAATAATATAGCAGCGTCACTCACTGCATATTTAGGTTGTTGAGTTGTAAAACGAACTTGAACTTGTTCTTGCTCTGTTGACATGACTATGTATGTATGTATGTATGTATGAATGTGTATATAGAATGAAATATACCTTTTCCTTTTCTTTTTTTTTTTTTTTTTTTTTTTTTTTTTTTTTTTTTTTTTTTTTTGAAATAAAAATTTTGTGGCTTATTGTAGCAACGACTTCCTGTGACCGGGCATGAATTATATAAAATGTTAAGTCAAAACAAGTACCAAACATTATTTTCTCTTCAAAGCATATATACTGTGTATAGAAATATATATATACATATAACGTGTGTATATATACATATATAATATATATATATATTATATTATATTATATTATATTATATAATATATAATATACATATTAAAAAAAAAAGACAATTATTACAATGGTTGATGAGGGCTTTAATCAAATCTATTTGCGACTAGATGCAGCAAATGAAGTTATTTCTAAATTAAAGCCCGTCGATGTATTAGAAGAAGCTAAAGAATACTTGACCGATGCAGAAGAAAATGCAAAGACTATTTTACGTTCAAAAGAAGAATTAAATAAAGGTTTATTATTATTATTATTATTTTCCAAACAATTGCGAGTTTTACTAAAGAAAAAAGGTATATTATAGAGTTACAAAGACAGCTGGAGGTTCTAAAAGTGAAAGAAGCCACTGTTATTGAAGAATATAGAACAACTGTTGAAAAGAATAACACATATGAAGAAGAAAAGATGAAACAAGAATCAATGATTAAACAAGAAGAGCAACGACAAGTCCAACTCAGTGAAGAAATAAGACTTTTAGAAAAGGAATTGGAAGAACTTGATAAACCTAACCTCTCTGATAATCTAGTTGATGTGAATGAGTAAAGATAGATTCTATTTATTTATTTATTTATATCTAACGATACATTTAGACTTCGTTTAGCTATTTATCGTGGATTAGGCGTAAGACCACGAATAGAAGATAACAATAAAATCGAGAAAGTAATACTGAGTAAGTATGGATGATTTGACTAGAGAAATAGGATATGCTGAATTATTTTATTAATTCAATTTATACTTGTTAAATAAGCCTCAGCAAACGAGCAAGATATCCGTACATTTGCTATTAATGAATATTCTCCTGAATTCACGACAAATTATATATGGAAGTTTATTTCTGAATAATTAAAAGAAATACCCTTTAAAGAAGCATTTTTTAAATAAATAAAGATCATCTTTTTTTGTTTTATTGTACTGTGAATATGGATACTAATCCTTGAATGAAACCATTATTTTTTGATTGTCGTCGTTCTTTTTTGACTTGAACAAGTGTATCTGGTTTATACTTGGAAAGTGACATTGCAGTCAAGCAGTAGTTGCCATGTGGATATTGAGTTAATTGTTCAATTCGCCTTACATAATCAGCTTGTAAATCATTTAAAGTCATTTTCATTGAACCTAATTCTTGTAAAAGACCTTTTATACAAGTGACAAGTGAGAAAAAGGAAGTTAAAGTAGGATCATGATGAGTCCAATTAAATTGTGACCTGAAAGTCGATAAATCATCCGCAAGAATGCCTCTCAAGATAGAATTACTTTTGTTACTCAATTCAGTCATATCAAAGACTTTACGTAACTTTCTGTTTAATACACGAGTATCTGTTGCGTTAATTTTATCCAATGTTTGTTGAGTGACGGTATGTAAGAGTTCAAACAGATTTCCATCTTCCACAGCTAGTAGAAAGGAAGAAGAAATGAATCAATTGAAATCATCTATTTGTATGTATGCATGCATGTATTGTATTGTATTGTATTGTATTGCATTTTACATATTACATACCTTTTCTATTATTATTTGGTGAAATAGTCATACTTGACATACATGCATTATCTTTTGTATTATTAGCAGCCAACTTTATTATTATTATTAGTATTATTATTGTTATAAAGTCCCTTCTTGTATATGATATTCTATCACAACTTACTTCTTTTATATGATTTTTGTTTCTATCAGGCATTGATAAAGAATAAAGTAAAGTATCATGTTCTTTTAAGACTGCATCGTATGATAACTGTAATGTCTCTAATATGATATACATGAATATTTTTATTTCTATTTTTAATCATAGCTATAGCATGGAAATTCCTACCATAATTAGATCCAAGTCTTTTATATTTGTTACGAAGATGATTTTCAGTCTTTTGAAGATGTTCTAATTCTTGTTTTAAGTCTGAAATCTAACAAATAATTAATATGATTACTTTTTGATACTCTATTATTATTTTACTTGACTTTCATGTCTTTCTTCTGTATTTAATAATTCTTGTTTAGAATAGTTTATTCTTTCAAGTTCTCTCTTGTAATGATCTATTTCAACTGAATGCTGTTCTTTCAAGAGTTGAATCTCGGATTGAAGTACGGTAATCATCTAAACTTTCATTTTTTTTTTACCGCTTTTTTCTTTTAAAAAAAAGGAAATATTCCTCTGTTTATATATAAAATATACCTTGTTTAGGTCCACATTCTCTGCATAAAGTTCTTTTGATTCTTGTAAAGTCTCTTTAAAGCTGTTATATTCTTTCTAGATAAAAAAAAAGGGGGAGAGTCATGTGAATTCGAATCTCTAATATGGATACATCACATACGATTGATATTTCTTTATTGTTATTTTTTTCTAGTAAGAGCATTTGACCAATTTCTATGGATAAGATAAATGATAATTAAAATCAATATGACTAGAAAGAATGTATACATATACCCGCAGCCAAAAACGCATCCTCCTCTGTCTTTTTAAAAGATTCATTAAATACTTTTAATTGTGGACACTCTAACTTATTACAACAACAATAGAAACGAGTATTAGCCATTTTATGTATAAATATTTATATATTTTGAAAACAAAAAAAAAAGAGGAAAAGAGAAAGAAATTGCTTATTGATCTGCATTCTTTTTAATAATAATAATAATAAAATTCTTCTTCCTCACCCCCTTATCACTTTAACAAAAAATTCAGGCACATAGTCAAACGATAATTTCATCCACTATTGAGTTGATCTCATGATTATGTAATATTCGTCATGATTGTTCAATAGGTCTTTTTTTTATATATTTATTATACATGTTGTCCTTCCTTATACCTTTGTAACTATCAAAAAAAAAACAATAGACTCGTGAATCATTATCCTTTTCTTGTCTTTTTTTTTTTTAGATATAATTATAATGATTTGGTGATAAATAGATATCTCCCCCGTGACAGGTCATCTATTACATTTCCTTTTGTAAAATACATATTTGTATTTTTACTTTTTTAAGAAAATAAAAGCACGATCTTGCAATATGCAAATTATTGGGTGACGTTAAGCATTGATGTGACTGTTTATTCATTTAATTTGAATAGTGTAGTTAAGAGTATGCAAATAGGTAGTGGTGGTAGTGAGTAGTAGCCGCTCTCACATGCAAAGTCAAAAAAAAAAAAAATGCTTGAAGTTTTTCATTATTTATTTTTTATTTAAATTTGTTATTATTATTATTCTTATTTTCTTTAACTAAATTCAATAAATATAAATAAAATGAATGACACTAATAACACCATTCATAGAATGAAAATAGGGCAATATAATATAATAAGCACCATTGGCACTGGGTCATTTGGAAAAGTCAAATGTATGAAAAAAAAAAGTAGAAGAAGAAAAAGAAGAAGAAGAAAAAAAGGAAATACACATACATGTATATGTTTTACTTATATTATTCATATAGTGGCAGTTCATGCTATTACAGGTCAAAAAGTGGCATTAAAGATTATCAATAGAAAAAAGATAGCTAGTATGGATATGGGGGGTCGAGTTAAACGTGAAATTCAATACCTAAAATTACTTCGACATCCTCATATTATTAAACTGTAAAGAAAGAAGAATAATTAAAATAAATAAAGAGAAAATCAGTTCTAATAAAATCAAGCATAGATATGAAGTAATAACTACTCCCACTGATATTATTATGGTCATTGAATATGCTGGAAGAGAATTATTTAATTATATTGTCGAGAAAGGAAGAGTAAAGTCGAAAGAAAGAAAGAAAGAAAAGATCAATCATTTTTTTATTTTATTTTATTTTAATGTTAGATGTCTGAAGACGATGCCCGTCGATTCTTTCAACAAATCATTTGTGCTGTAGAATATTGTCATCGACATAAAATTGTCCATAGGTAAAGCAAGCAAGCAAGCAAATAAATAAAATAGTATTAACCATATCTTCTTTTAGAGATTTAAAACCTGAAAAGTAATGGATATTTATCTTTTTTTTTTTTTTTTTTTTTTTTTTTTTTTTTGTTTATTTAACACATGAATTTATTTATTATTTATTATTTATTTTTTTTTTTCAAAAAGTTTATTATTAGATGCAAATAATAATGTTAAAATTGCTGATTTTGGTTTATCAAATATTATGACAGATGGTGACTTTTTAAAAACAAGCTGTGGAAGTCCGAATTACGCTGCTGTAAGTAAATAAATAAAGATAGTATTTGTTGTATGTATTCATACAATTCTCTTTTTAAAACAGCCAGAAGTTATCTCGGGAAAGTAAGTGTTAAAATTCATTGATAAATTCCTTTATATTCATCTATTCATGTGTGTTAGATTATATGCAGGTCCGGAAGTAGATGTATGGAGTTGTGGTGTTATTTTATATGTTATGTTATGTGGAAGATTACCTTTTGATGATGAATATATACCCACTTTATTTAAAAAGATTAACGGTAAAAGAAAGAGGAGAAAGGACTTGAAGATGGCATAATCAGTTTATTTTTTATTATTTCTTAGGTGGTATTTTTACAATGCCTTCTTATTTAAGTTCCGATACAAAGGCATTATTGACATCGATGCTTGTAGTTGATCCACTGAAACGTATTACAATACAGGGAATTCGGTAAGTTAGTAAAAGAATAGTGTTTATAGGCCTTATATTTATTTTATTTTACTTTATTTTATTTAGTCAAAATGAATGGTTTAATAAAAACCTTCCAGCTTATCTTCGACCCTTACCAGATACAGAAGAGAATGGAAATTTAAAAATTGATGATGATATTGTACTTGAATTATCCAAGGTAAACTCCCAATTAAAAATATACATGTACAAAATAATGAAGAAAAAAAATATCATAGAAAATGGGATATTCTACACAAGTTATTCAAAAAGCTCTAAGTGAATCAGATAATAATCAATTTAAAGTTGCTTATCAATTAGTAGTTGATCATAAACGATTACTTCAAGATTGTAATAATAATATTATTAATACTATTTTGTCTGTCTAACTCTTATACATATACACATATATTTTTTTTTATAGCGGAGAATAATCATATTCAAAGTTTCTTTGCTACTTCACCTCCTCCTTGGAATACTACTTTAGAAGATAGATATCAAAAATCAAAAGAAGATGATATTGAATCTTCTATTTCTGTCTTGAGCTCAAGTTTACCAAAATCTGACACTCATCATCAAGGTATAGTAGTAATCACTTGTATTTGTTTAGTTGGGACCCTATTATTTTATTTACCCTTATCATATATATGTTAGCTTCAATTGGTGTAAGAAATAATGCTGGTAATGCATTACCTATCGTACCCGTGAATGGAACCCCTCCTCCTGGAGCAATGGCACCTTCTTCTATTCATATAATCGCTAATCATTCATCTACTACTAATCGTCTCTCTCAGTCAAGACAAACACCCTTGAATGCAACAACACCTCAAGTAAAAAAATCACATAAATCATCAAGATCAAGGTGGCATTTTGGTATTCGTAGTAAATGTCCTGCCTGGGAAGTAATGCTTGAGATTTATAAATCTTTACGAAATGTTGGAATGGTATATATAAAAATAGAATTATTTTTTTTTTTATTTTTTTATTTGCTTACTAATTGCGTTGGTAGGAGTGGAGAACATTAGACCCTTATCATTTACGTTGTCGTTACAGATATAAAAATTTAGGATTGGAAGTGAAATTTGATCTTCAACTATATAAACTCGAAAGTCATAGTTACTTGGTAGATTTTAAAAATGTAGGTTCACAGAGGTTTGCTCGAAAAGAAGAACAAGAAGAAGAAGAAGAGCATCTATTCAAATTAATTGAAGGAAGTATAGATAAAAAGATGGAAGTTTTAGATCATTCAGAAGAAGAGGATAATGATGATGACCCTTCTCAGTATTTAGCAAGGTGGAAAATTGATGACAATAATAATAGGGAACATATACAAAGTGTTTATGCTTTCTTGGATGTTTGTAGTAAATTGATTACTGATATTGTTTAAGATTTTATATTATTAAATCATTGTGATTGGCGGTTTTTATGCTTACTAAATATAATGCACTTCGGTATTTAAAAAAGTTTCATGTAGAAACAGGCCTGATGAGAAAAGTATAAAAGGAAAAAGGGCAAAATTATGCCTTTTTTTTTTTTTTTTTCGTTATACTATCAAATAAAGTAACTTTTCTATATACATACATACATACATTTACATTTCATCATGTCAGAGGTAATTGATCAACAAGAAGTATATGAAGCCTTTAAACGTTATCCTTGGGAAACAGATATTGTATTTCAACAAGGACTTCAAAATATTATAGAAAATATGCCGCACATGGATATTAATGAAGATCAAGTTAAATTATTTGATAATCTTGAGCTTGTAAGAGCAAAACATTTTTATTTTTCAAGGTAAATTAAAGAGTGACTTTTCTAAACTGCTGTTGTTGTTGTTGTTTTCACTCTAATATACATATTTGTATACAATCTTGTATAGATTCCGACAAAAATTTGACTTTCAAAAATATTTGGACTATGAGATGGAAGAAAAATTAAATGGAAGAAAGCAAGAGGAAAAAGATGAAAAAGAAAAAGAACAAGAAGAACTATTTCAACGCTTAGAAGATTATGATTATGAGAAGGATGCAGACTATGTGAAAGGTTTACCTAAAATTATTCATGGCTGGTTAGAGCAACAATTAAAGACTGAGTTATGGGATAAAGAAAGATTAGATGAAGAGTTTTCAAAGGCAAAAGCATTCTATTATGCTTCGTAAGTCTTATAGTTCATTTAAAAAAAAAAAAAAAAAAAAAAAAAAAAAAAAAAAGAGAGATTACTTATTTTTTTGGTGAATATTTAGACGAGTTGAACATGTTGATTTGAAGGCTTACTTTTCATGGAAATCAAAAAAGAATCAAGCAAATAAACCTTCTTGCCCATTTGCTAGTTTATGGCAAAATAAATCTAAAGGTATAATTATATACATCCAAGATAGTGTTGTACTTTATATTTAATCTTACTTTTATATACACACATGTCATTTAGTTAAAAATTTAGTTGAAACGAATGGCTCCTCTTTTATTCATGCACAAAAAGCACATGTATTTGGCGCTGAATCAATTACTCTATCTTCTCCAAAGAGTCAAAATATACTTTCATTGAGTCGATTGAATGATTTAAAGGAAGTGATGAAAGATGGTCAAGATGATGATCAGGTTACATCTTTATTGATCACTGCTACAGTCTCTAATGACACTAATTCAACTCAATTCGTTGAAAACGGAAGGGCAAAGGTAATTAGTTCTGGTTTAGCTTATGATCAAATATCGCGTATGGTTTCAGGATCGGATCTTCGTCAAGTGTCCCTCGAAAAATTAGCTAACGCTTATTACGATATTGTACGGTTTATTGTTCAACAAGGACAAACAAGTCCTCAGCAGCATCATAAAAAACCCGTTGTGACATTTTCAAATGGAGAAATCCCTCTTAATGCCGTCTATCTCACTTTGTCTGCTGGCTTTTCACGTGTGATAACTGAATATGGATTATTAAATTTCAGTCTTCGACCCTCTCATGCACCTATTCCTCCTTTACTTTTATTGGCTATGGTGCGAAACCGCACACGTAATGCAACAACCCACAACAAGGTTTTGCCCAATGGTATTGAACTTTATTTAGCCCTCTCCTCTCCAGAGTACGGCAAATTGAGAGGGTCTGAATTACTTCATTTAGGACTTGCTGACATCTTTATTCCAGAGTTTAAATTAAATGACGCCTTTAAAGCTGCCAAGAATATGTCTGTATGCTCCGCTTCTGACATTCATGCTGCTATTCAATCTGCTTTAATTATAAATCATACTTATGCTGGTCCTAGTCGTTTCCAAGTATGGGAGGATTTAATTGAAAAAGTCTTTGGGGTAATTTTCAATCTTTTTTTTTTTTTCTTCTTTTTTTAAAAAAAAAAAGCATAAAGTCTAATAATCCTTTTTTTTTTTTTTAGGCTGCTAAATCTTTTGATGACTTGAAGAGTCGTTTAGAAGCTGTTGATAATCATTGGAGTAAGACTATTTTGGCACACTGGGATACTTTACCCTCTGTTCTATTAAGGGTCATCTTTAAAGCAGTGAAAGAATATAACAACAAGAGTCCTTTGGAAATGTTGGCATTAGAACAAGAGTTGAATGCAAAATGGCGTCAAACTGAAGATTACAAGGAATGGTTACGATGCAAGAATACCTGGGTATCTGATTCAGAACAAGTTAATAGTTTAGTAAATGATTTTTATTTTACTAAAGATTTGGAATTGCCTAATGAAGAAGCTGTTGTTTACGAGGCACCTCAAGAAGAAAAGGAAGAGACAAAGATGATGTTGCCTGGTGTTTGTCCAGTAACTGGACAAAAATCTGTGAGTGGTGCAGTATGTCCCGTCACTGGTCAACAAGCTATTGAAAACGACGATATCTCAAACAATGTTTGCCCTGTTACTGGTCAAAAGGCTGAAATCAGTCCTACCACTACAACAGATAATATGAAGGCAGCAAGCAAATGTCCTTTTGCAAATAGATCCACTTCTTCAAATAATCGTGTTTGCCCCTTTACGGGTCAAAAGTCAGCGGCATAATTCATAAGCAGAAAATCCTTTTCTTGTATTATAATATCCAAAATTTATTTTAAATGTAATTATAATGATCATAATATGTATAAATAAATAAATAAATTATGCGATAACAGCAGGAGCAATAAGAGTTTCGTTGTCTATGATGTCTGTAGTACTATTGATATGATGATTTATGTCTTTTATCTTTTCATCCTCTTCTTTAGATTTATTAACCGCATGTAGTGTCTCTTTTTCTGATGATGATGAATGACTCACCATGACACTTGACTTGTTCCTATCAGCCTTTCCTTGATGATAACGAGCAGCAACAGTAGCAGCAGCAGCATAGGCCACAAACTGAAGATCAGAATGAACAAGGATGCTCTTATGTTCTGGTCTGACGACTTCACGAATAAAATACCAATCATGTTCGTAATTCTCTTGTCGCACTTGAACTTTGATACGATCCTTTGGATGACCATGGTCTTGTTGGATGGCATTCACCATCTTTAAGATGTCATCACGCATGACCTCTCGTTGACCGACATAGACTAATACATGAGACGGCAGAAATCGATGAAAGTCAGAATCAATCTGTGATAACTTTAGGAGATGTAATTCATCTTCTTTATCTTGAGCATCCGGTAAATTCAGGTATTCCTTTAGGACACGGGTCGCTAAGAGAGGCGTCACGAGGTCTTCCTTGTATTGCCATAACCATGTGGATATATTAGCGGACACTAACGGTGATACGAGAAAGAGACCAGCTGGGAGTTGGATAGCATGATTTGTACGAGGACTACTCAAGTCTCTTAATATCTCGGGTGCATACACCCGAATCAATGTCTCTAAACAAAGTGCTCCGCCCGCAGAATCACCTGAAAGTATTATCTTTGATCCTGGGACCTTGAATGATTGTTAGAAAAAAAAAAAAGAATGTAATGTCATGTCAAATTACCTTTAGAGTATATGTTAAATATTCATATGCTGCAACACATTCAAGGACTGGGGTTGGATACATGTGTTCAGGTGCCAAACCTATACATAATATATTTCATTTAATAAAGAAAGGAAAGGAAAGAAAAAAAAAAGAAAATTTTTGTAATTAAATCTACACACTGTATTCAATAGATAAAATCAATGCATCAATGTCGTGTATTTCCTTTAAAAGATGTATCCAATTTGTAAAGACATCCATATACATTGTACAATGACCTATTCTGAATGCACCTCCTAATATATATATATATTTATATATATATAATTATATAAGAAAACTCTAATAAATTATACATTTATACATATTCTATCTACCGTGTACATTGAAAATAATCAGGTCGGCATCGTGAATTCTCTTTGATAGTTGATTATCATTTTCACAAAGACTAAGGGCTGGACCTATCCAAGCACCCTTCCAATGAGGTTGCTGAATCATTTTGATCCATTGTCTTTGAGACCGAGTAGGCGCAGTAAAGTCAGCGATAAGAAAACGAGAAATGGTTGGAGGAAGAGACAAAGATGATTGAACGATACGCATCATAATTGAGTGTGGTATTTTTTCTTTAATTAATTTACGAATACTTTCCATTCTAGTGTTGTCTCCCTTTTTTTCTTTTTTTTTTTTTTTTACTAGTACAATGTATTTCTAGATATAAAGGAAAAAAAAACAAAAAGAGAGAGAGAGAGAAAATGTAAATGTATAATGAATTAATTTATAAATCATGAGTAGTAGACAAAAGTAGAATCACATGAATTTAAAGCTATCGTTATGTTTATGCTTTTATTTCTTACAAATTGAAATAGGGCATATATAACAAATAAATGTTGGTGAACAAAGTATTTTTTATTTTCATATGCACAGTTATAAAAGGATGTATTAACAGCTATTATAAATCGTTTTAATACTACAATTAAACACAGTATCAGAATATCTTGTGTTGTCCTAGTTTATTGAGGAGGGAAAAAAAAAAGAAAAAAAGAAAAGGTGTTAAACATACTTGCACTATTACAAAGGCAGTCATTTAACCAGAATTCAACAAATAGATAAAAGAATATAGCATGAAATACATAATTTATATTATCAAGAAATAGTTCAGACAATATATCTACAGATACACGAATGAAGGACTTCTTGAGTAATCTTCGACTTTTTAATGGAAAAACTTGTTTAAAGTTGAATGCTAGAGGTTCTTTGATGAAAAAAAAAAAAAAAAGAAAAGAAAAGAGTGTAACGAGTAACATAGACATTAGGGAGTTGATGTCAAGACTATTAATTGTAACTCTCAAAAACTATATAGGAAACTGTCTATTATTCTTTTCATATATGTATATGTCTCTTTTTTTTTTTTTTAAAGAAAGAAATTTAGTTTTCTACTTTTTTTTTTTTATTTATTTACTTTGGTAATTTCAATACAGTTGTCTGTCCCTATAATATCCTATATAAGTTCACTTTTAAATTTATAATATTTCAAGTCATGTACTGTTCTTTTTTTTTTATCTTAATAGAATCAAACCCTATCAGTCGGCAATTCTAGAAACTCATCAGTGTTTGGTATTGAAGTATATTCTCTAAATATTTCTTGCTCAATGGCTGCATGACCTTGATTTCTGATAGATTCGTTATATGATTTGCTTGGTGACTTTTTAATCACAATTTGATAATACTAGTAATATAAATCAGTTAATCTATTCCTATTGTACACTATTATATTATTATCTAAACTACCCAAAATACAGTGCATGCAATCATTGCTAATATAGCTGATATGTATGGAACTATTATATGCATATAAATAATGTGAATAAGCAAAGATTTAAACTAATTCATCTTTGTATTTGGTTACATACCCCAGTAAGGATAATATTGATTTTTCACTGGTATAAAAACAAATACCAGTGCGTAAGCCGTAAAAGCCAAAAAAACATATACACAGACTAAAAAAAAAAAAAAAAAAAAAAAAAAAAAAAAAAAAAAAAAAAAAAAAAAAAAAAGTTAAAAAAAAGAAGGGAATAAGGAAGAAAGAGACAATTAACTATATATATCTATATATATCCTCACCTAATGGAGAAACAATAGGTCTTCTATTAAAAGGTTCACGTCTTCTTAAAATTAGAACAGCCAATGCCATTAAGAAATAAAACACCTAGTATATATAATAAGAAAATATATACAATGTAATTGTGTTAAATAGAAAGATTATATAGATAGATAGATATAGATAGATTTATATAATTAGAGATAACTTCTTACATAAACCGGATACGCAGCAAAAGCAACAATAAACTGATAAACAGCGCCTGGAGGTGGACCTACTATGAATAAGATAGATAATATATACTGCAAAAGATATGCATTTACAGGACTGCCAATTTTGGGACTCACTTTTCCAAAGATGTGACCATAAGGCAGAAGACCTTGTCTAGCGACTTCCATAATGACTCTGTGTATAAACAATATTACAAATAAAATATAGAATGATTGTGATATTCCTATTCATATGAATACCTGCCAGCTGAAAAATTGATAGCAGCTCCACAGCCAAAGGCACTTAGACCGATAAAGATAGGTAATATCGTAGAGGCAAAGTTTTGTCCTAAAGCGCGCGTAAAACTAGATACAAATCAAGATAAATAAACATATAATATTACATCTATTTTCTTACTTACAATGCAGCAGCTACAATAAATTCAGAATTCTTCATTTCATCCAAGGGAAGTACGATCAAATAAGCTATATTCGATAAAATATAAAGTGATGCAGTACTTAATATAGCTGCAGCAGAAGCTTTTGGTAAGTTTTTTATAGGATTCTATTTGTATTTTAAATTAGAATTGATAAATCATATTCTTTTATATATTCAAGTTAGTATACCTTTACTTCATCTAAAATATAATTTAAGTTATGCCATCCACTATAACTATTCATAACCTAGATTCAAATATATGTAAAATATATACATACATACATATATATATTAGTCTTTCTCATATGAGTTCTTTTATATTCATATATACATAATACAATGCAGATGCGTAAGGTCCAATATTATGTGTTGTTCCATAAAAGGATAAATTTAAGCTTGCATCGACTTCTGATGGTAAAATGTTTATTAAAACACACAAACCAATGCTGGCAATTAATAAGAGTATAGTTAATTTCACTACTGTCAAAAATCCCATCATTTTCATTGTTGCTTTTGTTGATGCAATATTTACAACTGCTAAGATAGTTGCACTTAACACTTGTAAAACGGTCAATTTATTACAATAAATAAAATAAAAAAGAAATAGCACTAAAACTTACATGCCCATCCTCTTTCTGTCCAATGTGATTTATATGTTGCTCCAAAAATTGCATAATTCATATAACCACCAAATACAATGCCTAATATAAAAGTAGATATAAAAAAACAAAAGTTGTGTGCTCTTTAAGAAGATGGCTTTTGCTACCTTGTGAAGCAACTCCACTAGATCTATTCATAAGACTCCAATAAGTAAATAAATAAGCCAAAAGATATTTAGGTTCTCTATAGCAATATTCCAAATAGCCTACTTCTCCACCACTAAATAAAGGCAGTCATACATATACATATACATTCACACATGTATGTATATGTATATATTAATATGTTTGTATATGAAGACAAATTAATTAAATAACATGCCTACGAGGAAGCTATAATAATAATAAAGAATTATACAAAAGATACATCATATAAACTTTTTTTTTTTTTTACCATCGTTCCTAATTCCATAAAAGTGTATGTTCCTGAGAAAGCAACAAAGGCACCTATAAGCCAGATAATTAAATTCATCCCACCTGACCCAACTAATTGTAGAGTAAGTGCAGGTCCAACAAATATGCCAGCACCAATTATATAACTAACATTCACCATAGCTCCTTGAATCCATCCAATCTTTCTTTCTAATCTTTGATCTATTATATTTATTAAAAAAAATAAAAGTTGATAACTTTGATAGTAATATTACATGACTATTTATAATTACCTCCAATAGCAAGTGGCTCCATGTGTTCAATTTGCTCAATTAGACTCTCATGTTGTAACATTGGTTCATGTTGTTCATTTTGATCTTCAATTGTCATACTATATTGTAATTATACTTAAAAAGAGAGAGAGAGAGAAAGAAAATAAAGGAGGGATAATAAACAAATTTGAAAATATTCACAGTAACAACAAAAGCAACGTCTATCATATTTCCTTTTTCAGTTAACCTCCAATAGGATTTATGCAAAAAAAGGGTGTATTGTTGTACTATTCCTATGAAAATCTTTTGTGTATACACAAAATGCATACTTATGCAGTTATTTTGTAACAAGTAATTGTATAAATCATTCCCTGATAAATTATACACTATATATCATCATAGTCATATATGATTTTGATCTTCAAAGTAATATGTATCCTTTGATGCATTATAAAGAAATTTTTTTTTCCAAGAATATACTATTTAACTACTACTACTACTACTACTACTACTACTTTACTACATAATATGCTATACAAATGTATATCAGAGTTATGAGCTTTTATTTATTATTGTCATTATCTTGTCGAATATTGGGAATGTTTGATAATAGGAGGTTCTACTTTATTGAGCTATTTATCTGTGAGTCAAAAGGAAAAATAAAGGTATAAATTTTTTTCTTTTGTAGGAGGATAATGCAATATAACAATTCCAATACAGGCTATTAAGACTTGACTTACATATTTGAATCATTTGACGCATTTATGAATAAAGAATACCCTTTATTTGTGTACACCAGTATGCATTAAACAAAATTTTATATGCGCTTACATGATAATTGATCGAAAATACATACTGCATAGTTCTCTGATATCAATATAGACTATACTAGTAAATGAACTTTTATTTGTTTTATGTGTAATGAGAGGTACTTGTTAATTGATGTCATAAATAACATAGTTAAAAAGGAAGGAGAAAGAATGAGGAGAGAGAGAGAGAGAGAGAGAGAGACAGCAAGAGAGAGAGAAAAGGGAGAAAGACTAAGATCAAAGTTATTCGTATTTGTATAACTATTTTCTCTTAAAGAAAGTAAGATACTTCCAAATGCTTTCTATTATCCTTTGTTCTTCTTTTTCTTTTTATATATATACATTTCTACGTTAATCTCCTAATTTTTACTACACAAAATTTCCATTTGCTGTTCAATTCCCCTTCTTTTCTTTCCATCTCTAACAAATTTTGTATACTTTTCCTTCCCCCCCTTTTTTTTTTATTAACTAGTGATACTGTTTATCTGTCATTAAAATCAAATCAAGATATGTTACGAGTAAAAAATAAAAAAATAAAGGAGACTCTGTCTTTTTTTTTTTTTTCTTCTTTCTTTTTTAATTTTAAATAAAAAAATACGGCAAAAAAAAAAAGTAAATATTCACATAATGGGATATTACGACTGACATATTGAATACTAAAACATATAAAGTAGTAGTGATAGTAATAGTAAAATAATAGCTTAGAACACATACATTACAATTTATTTATCGACTTATGACTTCAATATCTCAGCATCAATATATTTTAAATGATAAAAGTAGTAGTAATATAAGCGAATATTGTTGTTGCTGTTGCTGTTGTTATTGTTCATGTGTTACTTCTCCAAAGCAACAATTAAATGATAAAGACCAACAGAATTTGGTTTCACCATGGTTATCTGATACGATGTCTAAAATTAGTTCCATACATTCTTGCTATAATTGTATATTCTCTACTAAAAGTGAAAATACCGAAGGAAATGAAATTGATACACCATTATTATCATCATCCATAGAATGCACTGTACCTGTTAACTCAAACATGTTAGGAGAGAAAGAGGATTCAATCATAGATTTAGAAAAATTAAAAAATAAAAAACTTCATGCAATCACAGAGCTTTTACAAACAGAACATGATTATGTTCAAGATTTAACTTACCTAGTAAACGTAAAATAAATAAAATAAAAAAGAAGAGTAGAAATACACTATATTTATTCATTACTCATGAATTAGGTCTATTTGAATCCGTTATCACAGCAGCTATGGATGACTTCAGAACATAAATCAATCATTATTCGAAATTTACATGAAATCCTTGATTTTCATAAACAATTTATTACTTTATATAATATAGTCTCAATATCTAATCATGATTGCTCTTCTATTGCCAAGGCATTTCTTGATCAGGTAAGTCTCTGTGTAAAATATAAATATCTGTGCGCAAACTTTTTTGACATTAGAACCTAACCTTAACATGCATTGATTTTCTTTATATATATATATATACATATATATATTTATATATATATATACATACATATACATACATATATATATATATACATATGCATATCTATATACTTATGTTTATAAAAGATTAGTCAGTTTTCTCTTTATAAATATTACTGCGATATGCATGCAGAATCATGGTCTCTGATGTCTGAATACAGAGATCGACAAGAATGGACAAGCTTTATAAAAGAATGCGAAATCCTCTATTCATCGTCTCTGTCTTCACCTATTTTACCAGAATCACAACAAGAGCAGCAAATACAGCATCATCTTAAAAAATTACACTTTGAAGATTACTTGATAAAGGTATGCATTTATGTAGTTTATTTACCTCTTTTTTTTTTTTCCTTTCACTTTTCTTTTTATAACTGTCATTCCCAGTTTAATTCAAAAGTTGATTTTTTTTTCTTTTTTCAATTACTTTATCTATCACATTATCTTGTTTTTAGAAAAAAAAAAAAGGGCAAATAGAATATAACTTTTTCTTTTCTTTTTTCTTTCTTTTTTCTTTTTTTTCTCTTTTTTTTTTTTTTGTAAACAAAAATAGCCTGTCCAGCGAATATGTCGTTATCAGTTGCTTATCAAAGAAATAATACGATATACTTCTTTGCACACAGCAGAATATGATTTATGGAATAGTGTACTAAGTGAAATACAGGACTTAGTGACTGAGATCGATGATCGTAAACTTCAAAGGGATATGAAAGAAAGAACAGAACGATTTATAGAACGTTTAGATAATGATTGGAGGATTAGTAAAACACATGTCTCTCAGTTAGGTAACTTATTAATTGCTGGTGCCATCGAGATTACCTACTCTGCCTTGGGTCAAAGTATATCAAAGCCAAGATATCTCGGCTGTTTTGTATTTCCAACTTATATTATCATGGTCAGGCCAAAGAAGGTAACAAGTTATGAGCCTAAACATTGGTTCCCACTTTTGGCAGTCGAATTTGAAAATCTAGCAGATAATGAAGGTAATTTATTGAATCATTCGAATTTTTTAATCTTCAAAGTTATTTATGTATATATTTTATAGGTCAAAGAGAGCATTCATTTATAATTCGCTTTAAAAAGCACACCTTTGTATTTAGTGCTAGTTGTTCACAAGAAAAGCAAGTATGGGTTAAAAAATTACAGGAAGCTATTGTGATGGCGAAAATGAAGATTACAGATGAAACTAAATCTGCTAAAGCCGCGCATCACTTTATTGTTTCTTCACTATCTGGAATATCGAGCAAACAACCTGTATCAGATGCTTGTCTAACACGCTCATTTACAAATTTCTTGGATTTGTCCTTTGCGGGGAACCCAGATACAGCCACTTTTCCTCCATCTGAAGAAAATCAATTTTCCTTTTCCAGAAAAATACTAAAAAGATCTGTATCCACAACTGTTCAAGTGGATAGCACCCTCTTAAAGCATTCCACCCTTCCTAATGTTATATCAATAGTACCGCCTTTAACAAATAAACCATCAGTCGAGTCATTAGAGAAAAAGGACTCAGCAGCGGATCATTTTGGATATTTCAATAGTACTAGTAAAGGACTGGACAATAGACCGAGACTGAAGCCTAGGAATAATTCTGAAATGTATATTAAACCTGACTTAATGGGTTCAGGACTGAATCGTCGTAGGCCTAGTTCACTTGATCTCTTTGCTTCTTCCACACATAATACGGGTAGTAGTATGATAGGCAAGATGTCGCTGCAATTAAAAAATAATCACCAACATGCACTTCGAGTCACTGTGGATCATAAGCTACGAGATGTGTGCACACAGGAATATCTATCATCAAGGGCATGGTATATAAGAGATAGGGACCAACAAAATAGCCCCTCCTTTCATGTGTCTAACAGTGTACAGAATAGCAACACCACCATCCTAAATGGGGGTAGTCCAAGTCATCATGATTTGTTAAAGAAACAAAAGTCGACCCCATTTATCAAAACATCGGCTTCTAGTTTTTCAATCATGATTCCAAAAAGAGCTAATGAAATTAAGCAATCCAGTTCACGGACAGATTACGAACGCCAGTCACTTGACAGTTCCTGCTCCATCTCCATTGATCCCTCCATTTCACCCACAACAATAACAACGGGTCGGTTCTACAGAAATACAAGATCCTCTTTAAAATCAAGTCAATTATTCATATATCGATTATCTCAAAATCAACAAGAAAGTATATCAGAGGTCTCTCATTCTTCTAGCAGTGAATATAGCTTTACTGCAAGTCTTAGTTCAAAAGAGAGTAGTCATAAAAAAACAACAGCAGGGAAAAAAGAGATCTTTGTTGGAAAAATGTTAAGACGATTTTCAAGCTTTCATCAAAAATCCCGGACATCATCTATATTTAATCAGAGATTAGATTTTAACAAACTTAAAGAGGTAACTATACAAGTAAGACAAAACCCAATAATAATAATAATAAGCCACTTCTTCTCCTTACATATACACTTTGTACAATAGAATGATTTCCAGCAGATTAAAAAGTCGGTTACAGTAGGTTTCAATGATCGACCCATGAGTAAAATGACTGATCATGATGAAATGGAGGAGGAATTACTAAATATAGATCAAATAAGCAAAACAAATAGTGATTTATTTGCTTTTTCATATGCTTCTACACCTCCTGAAATGAATGTGTTGGTGACAAAAAAGAATGAAAAGAAATGGAAGAAACGATTAAGTAATTTAAGTACATCCTATCTCTTTAAATCAAAAAACAACACCACCGCTACTACAAAATAATATTTAATTTAAATTCCCTCTTCTTCCCTTTCACTTGTATTATATAAATGTTATTGCACGGTATAATTTTTTTTTCATTCCATAACATACTTTTTAATAAATAGTCTACGTATACTTTTTTTTTTATTAATGAATGTATTCTTCTCTTGTGGTGTATGTAAAAGAAGATATTATGTACCCCTTAAAAGAAAAAAAAAAAAAAAAGGCTCACATATTGTTTATTTTGTTTTACTTTTCCCTCCTCCTCCCCCTTTCTTCTAAACGATCTTATTTACTTGATGTTTCGTCATATTTCAAAGTTAACTACTTCTGCTTTAAAGTATACAACTGCAGTAGTATCTCAGCAAAATGATGATAATAAACGTATCACTCCTAAACTTATTGAAACTTGGATAAAAGATGTACATTTATGTTTAGTGAGTTTTTTTTTTTTATGGTATAGCTGCTGTTGTCTTATTATGTTATTATTAGGATATCTTATTAGATGATAGAATTCAAGAAGCAGAAAATATGTTTTTTAATTCATTTATTTCTGCTACTAGAAATGAATGTAAAAGTGATGATATCAATAAACAACAATCTCCATTTCATGTTTTTGGATATGCTTTAATGAAGTACATACAAGCGATTCTTAGTATGGAAAACACCAAGATTGATGAAGCTATTATTATAGTTCATCAAGTTGAACATATCTTGAAGCGTTCATTTAATTCTATGAAAATGAAAAAGAGGCCCTTTATTCATAGCAGTACTTCCTTAAAAACGACACAAAAGGACAAGGATGATATCATGATTCATAATTTATCCGCCCTCTCTTTTACTCCTCATCATCGTAGATCCTCTTTTGTTGACGATGAACTTGTTGATCTGCAGATTGATTTACTTCAAGCCAACTGTATACTCATCTTGGCTACACTTCAAATCTTGAAAGATAGTTGGATCGATAGCTTTAAGGCAGTCTATGATTTACGAAAGGCATTTAAAATATATGAACGCCTATTTGAAACGATAACAGACTCAACCATTATAGAATATGAATTATCATTATGTGATCAACAAGAAAAGTCAGAAAGTGTACAGTACTTATTTCTTCGAGCCATGTCGTCTTTAGAACATAAAGGAAGATATTTAAAGGAAATCAATCTTGAGGACAGGACCCGTTCTTGTTCATTGACTTATTTTTTTGATACTATTCAATATGGAAGTTATTTTGGGATTGGTATCTTGAACATCATACTTTCATTCTTACCAGAAAAAGGTATTCGTTAGTCTATTCTATTCTATTCTATTTTATTTTATTTTATTTTATTTTATTTTTTTTCGAATGAGACACCTTAAAGAAGCTTACTGATAAAAATAGTTTCACATCTAGTTGGAAAAATACTAACTAGCCTAGGATTTCAATCTTCAAGATACACAGCTATCGATTTGTTGAAAAAGTCCTATAAAAGTCAAACAATGTATTCCTCCTTAAGTTCTCTTGTCTTGTTAGCATTACATACAAATCTTTCAATCTATATTCAACCACAAATCAATCCTTATTTACTATTTGAAGAAGTTAAATTCATGTTGGAAAGATTAAAGTCAAAATACCCTAATGGACAACTTTGGCAGCTAATAGACGGGAAATTTAAACAAATGGAAGGGAAGATAGATGAAAGCATCTTCATATTGGAAAATACGACGACTACAAAAAGACCTAGCAATTCTTTTGTAACAGAAATCAAAATAAATCATCAAAACACTTCCATCTTAGACTTTTCACAACTTCGATTACTAGTTACCTATGAGATTGGATGGTAAAGATGACATGACATATAAATATATGCATATGTATTTATAATTATTCGAAACTTAGTCTATTGTTTTATATATACATACATATATATATAGGTCTTATATTCTCAGTGGGGATTACTATCAAGCTTCAGAAACGTTTTTTCGTCTAGAAAGTATATGTAATTGGTCTCATCTATTTTATCATTATGTATCTACATGTTGTATGATTGCCAATAAATTATATGACAAGGCAGCATTAGAAATAAATCAAATAGTAAACATGATTCATCAAAAACGAAAGATAGCAAGTCAAATATCGAATAATGAATATTATGCAGAGACTAAAATAAATTCTTGGATTGCATTATCGAAAAAACAAAATACATGCTTGACAAAGGTATTACAGTATCATATTGCAAATCCTATATGGGAGCTTGTTTATCTCTGGGGTAGAACACTATCTTGGGATCAAAAGATAATCAAGAGTATTAAAAGGCAGTCAATCATTTTAACTCACTGGAATGATGATGATGATAATGAAAAAGAATATATAAAGTGCCTACTTATGGGTGTCATCTATCGAGATATAGACAAGAATATTGAACTATCAATAGACTATCTTTACATGATTCTAAGGAAAAGCGACGATGTAACGACAATAAAAAATTTCATAATCCCATATACAATGTATGAAATAGCTATAACCCATTATGTATTACTTAAATCTGCTACCTCTATTTCACTTCAAAATGAATATAAAGACACTATTATGAGTTGGATTAACCGTATAAAGAACTACTATATAAACAATTCACAAGATAAAGAATGGGAAAGTCGAATGCAATTAAAATGTCAACTTTTACTTGAAACTTGTAACTTATAACAAAATTAAACAATAAGAATATAAGCATAATAAAATCAAAAAAATAAAAAAAAATAAAAAAATTACATTATACATTGTTATTTAAAGGAAATAATCAGGTAAAGATTTCTTTTGTGGTGCACCCCGAAAATCATGCTGCTTATTATTAAGTTAGTTATTAAAATATAATGTAAACTTGATGAATATACTTACTTGAGGCGCTGCTTCAAATAATTTATATTGTTTTGTTAAATAATCATCTAATTCCAATATTGCAGCGATGTTACCACATCTATAGCAATAATTAGGTGCTGACCAAACTGTTACAATTGTATCATTAAACATTGGTTTATATCCTTCCATAACTAACTGATGTGCCCGTGCAATAAAATCAAGATTATTTGTATGTAAAAACTAACAAAATATAAACTATTAGAAATGAATCCTATTTTCAGCTTATAAATCTATAAATTTACTCCTTGCACAACATCTGCACCAAACAAGTACCCAGCCCCTCTTGGACTATAGCCCCATCCATCAATTTCTAAATGTATATATCATCATTTAGTTAGCAAGCAAGCAAGCAAGCGAAAAAAAAAATCAAATATATACATAAATGATTACCTTCTGGATCTGACCAAAGCAAATCACACATAGCTCCATCATGAGGAACTTCTTGTTTCCTGTCAATAGTTCGAATCTATTTAAAATAATGATATATTCCCACATATTAATTAAATCGTTCTATATATTGTATATATTTTTGCCTATTTTATGTATACCTGATCTACTGTATTTATGCTAGGAGAAAGACCACCATGCACACAAAACACTTTATCATCAATAATAGCACTTAAACTTAAATAATCAAAAATTTCACAACAATATCTCCAAACATTAGCTGATCCAAATTTACGTGTACATTCGTCATAAAAACCATACACTTGAGTAATCTGTCTACTTTCGTGATTTCCTCGAATAAGTGTAATCCTATCAGGGTATCTAACTTTAAGTGCTAATAATAATAAAAATGTTTCGACTGAATAATATCCACGATCGACAAAATCACCTTAAATTTTAAGGGAAAAAAAAAAGATACATATACACATAAATAAATAAATGTTATTATACAAAGTAGGCTCTAAATATTTATATATGCATATATATATCTACCCATGAATAAATAATTTGTATCTGGGCATTCACCTCCCACTCGAAATAGTTCTTTTAAATCATGGAATTGACCTATTTATAAATCCATTAATTTTCTTGATTAAGATTAATCAAAGCAAATCAAATATTTCTATTTCTATTTACCATGAATGTCACCACAAATCTGTATAAGAAATAATGTAATAATAATAAAAAAAAAGATGGAGAGAGAGAAAGAGAAAAAAAATCTTAATAAAATGTATAGGTGTATATAAGGTGTTCAAGTATATTTACGGTAACTGGAGCATCGACTCGTTGGACATTGCTCTCTTCAATTAAAATCTCTCTTGCTTTTGTACATAGCTCTTTAACTTCTTGCTCTGATATGATTTCTCCTCTTCGTAACTGTTCAAGTTGTCTATTTGTATTTTAACAAAAAGGCAATGTCTTTAGATTGAAAGCAAAAATATCTTTAATTTAATAAAAGCATTCATACCTATCAAGATCAGCCATCGTCGTTTTGTCGAAAGTTATTAATAATAATAATAAAAAAAAAAGAAATAAAAATACGCATTGTTACTGGGTATTTTTTTTTTCTTTTTTTTTTTTTTTTTTTTTTTTGATGAATCGCCGCCTTTTTTATTTTTTTGTACAATGGTGATTCTCAACCAGAGTCAACCTTTTCTAAATAATAATTGTTATTGTTCGGCTTGAGTCGATGCTTGAACGATATTATACCGTTATTAGAGCGAGAAAGAAGTATAGTTATAATGAATGCGCTATTGATAAACTTCTTTTCGAAAAAACTTTGAAACTAAGTCAACATAATTTATAGAAGATTGCTTACTTATTGAGTATCAGTCGTTATGCTTATCAGCATTTTTTTTTTTTTTTTTTGGCTTTGCTTTATTAGAAAAAAAAATGTGTGTGGCTACATTCATAGCTTAGAGAAGGATCTATATTTATTAGAAGAGAAAAAAAAAGTTGAATTTCTAATATTACTTTCTACAGAAGAGAAAAGAAAGTTTCATATCTATTATATGTAAATGGGGCTGGCTTTTCAATTTTTGCTATTATATATTTTGCTGTAAAAATAACTACCAACAAAGAAAAAAAAATACTCCCCAGTAATTATCAATCAGAGAAGACTCTTGGAGTTAACTAAATTCACCGTTTCTTCAGCTCATTGTTTTGTTTTCTGTAATAGCATAAATAATGAAAATTGTATGCGTATTTTAAGAGAATACAAACATTGGGCTAATAAAGTTTTTTAAAGAAAAGAGCTACAAATGGCAGCCTTGTACTATTTAGACTTAATGAGTACAAAACTTTTTTATATTTTTAGTAGTTGTGATACAGACATTTTTCATTATCTTTTTCCTTAAATCAAAATGATGACTACTGCTAAAAAAAAAACTATTTGAAATCATCATAATGATGACACCATTGTATTCAATATGGATGGAGAGTAAATGAAAAGACTTGTATATTTATTTTTAAAATAGATGGAAATTAACATTGTCTTAGATTCAAGTAAAAAGCTTTTGTTATACAATTTTATTAATAATGAGTATTAGAATGTGAATATGACAAGTAGAAATTAATGGTAATAGTAGTGGTAGTAGTGGTAGTAGTAGTAGTAGTAGTAAAAGAAGTAAAAGTAGAAGTAATGAATCTATTATTAATTACATAAAAATTCAAGATTGTTTATTTCTTTTTCTGCAGTTATAACTGTATTCAGTATCTTCTTTACTATTATATGCTTGAATGATGGATCGAAGTGATTGTATTTCTTTTGTTTGTTTTGCAACAAGTGACATTAGTGCATGGATCCTTTTTATATATTGTAATTCAGTTACAGTAGGTGGTGGACGATTGTCCATGTCATATATCACCATTTCTTGATATGAAGAAGATATTTCATAGTGATTTTGCGGTAGTTTATTATCATTTAATATAAACTCAAGCTTTTGTTTCTCTTGTTGGTAAATTGAATTGTATTTATTAGTGGTAGTGGCCATTGTAAATGTATATAAATAAGGGAAATGAAAGGAAGAAGAAGATTATAATAACAATAACTAATAAAAAAAAGGACTCTCCTTTTTATATATCTTTTTTTTTCTTTTTTTTTTTTTTAAATGTTGCATATTACTATTGTTATTATGGCTGAGGAATTTTTGATGTATGTGTAAACTTTGTGCTCAAGCCACACAATTTAAAGCCCATTTTTTTTTTTCATGATGTTCTTGAGAAAGAAGAATATACATGCTTATATGTAGAGAAAGAACCTCTTTCTATGCAAGAATATTATTCTTCTTGTTTTAAATAGTGGACCCTTTATCAGCAAAAAGAATTATATTTATAAATGTAAGCAAATCTTCTTTTCTGTTTTTTCTTTATTCAAAATGGAATCAAAACGTTTGTGAAACTCTTTTTTTTTTTTTTTTTTTTTTTTTTTTTTTTTTTCATTTTCTTTTTTCATTTTCTTTTTTGTTTTTTTTTAAAAAAAAAAGTAACACAGGAACAAAAAAAAAGTTTTGTGTTATGTATAAAAATCGCTAGTTTTCATCAATGCTGAGTATGAACTTAATCTTGGTGATGAAAATATTATGGCTAGAAATATAATAAATCATCATATAGTGAATAAAATTTGCATCATTTATATGCATGATGAATATCATATCTATTTATTTTCTATGTACATTCTTTCTTTTTTTTTTCTTTTATTTATAATAATATCTTTTTTTTTAAAAAAATTATTATTACAGTAAAACATTGAGAGATTTTTCTTATCCAATCAATTAAAACTTATGATAACTTGCTACTAAACCACAAGTGTCTCAATTTAATAAATAATAGGACAAAAGATATAATGAAATCTTTAGAAGTTTTATTTATCAGATGAATACAACATACGATCTATAATATTATTTATTGATATTTTTTATTTCTATTTACATAATATGAGTTTATAAAAATGAAACATGCGATTAAAGTAACTAACAGTATGTAACTTTATATATACATATATATATAAATATATGTATATGTGTATATATACTATATACTAATGTATATTACAATCTGATAAGAAGAAACTTTATATATATTTTTTTTTGGGAAGACGCAGCTGATCGTAAACATATAATGTCTCAATTTTCGGAACTTTTATCTACTGTATTCATCTTCAGTTAAAGCTTTTTTTTTGTTTCTTTTTTTTTTTTTTTTTTTTTTTTTTTGTTATCTTCACTTTTTAATATAAATACGCTAATATTTTATTGATTTTTTTTTAATATAAACTTATATTTTTTAATACAATATTAATTATATTATTATGGAACCCAACATAGAAAAGAAACCTAATGTTTTCAAACGTTTTAGAAATTACCTTAGTTCTCCCGGTAGACAGTTCGCAGTACAGTCTGCTGCACCAACACAATTTCTTCACAAGGGCAATGAGGAGACAGATTGTGATATAAATATTGTTGGCTCAGATTTACCACATAATATCTCCATTTATAATGAAGCCAATAAAAAATCTAGAGGTGCTCGATTCTTTGATAAAGTGACAGATATAGCCGGTTCTAGCTTTATGTTTATTTTAACATGTATTATTTTAATTATTTGGGCTATTTGGGGCGGTGTGTCGAAAGCTCCTGATGAATGGCAAATTGTGATGCAAGACGGTAGCTCTATTCAATGTTATATTTCAGATACCCTTTTAATGAGACAACAACAAAATCATAGTAATCGTTTACTTACCGTTATTGCCCAGTTACGTTCTAGATGCATTACCTTTGATAAACTTGTTAAACAAACTTATGAAAAACATCCAAAACTAACTCCATATGAATTAAAGGAGCTTGCTGAACGTATGCCTGAAGATACTCTTGGTGATGCTACCAAATTACCCACGGAAAATTTCTTTGATGTTTGCTGTAATTGGGCTTCTGAGGCTGTAGGATCTCTTACTTCTTTACTAATTTATAGCGCTGGTGTCATTGCTTGGGTTTGTATCGGTGATTATCTTTCTTGGAGTGATGAATGGCAACTCTATATTAACACAGCTGTTGCAGTTGAACTCACGTTTACCTCCATGTTTTTACAAAATACCCGTCGTCGTCATATGCAATACCTTGAACGATGCCTCGAATGCATTCATGAAATAGATATTAACCTAGAAGTCCTCTTGCGTCAAACAACAGGTGATAATACCCCTAACCCTATCGTCTCTATCCCTCCTACGCCTGTCTCTCGTGGCATTCGTATGATTGATTACTATGGTGATGTTATTGGTACCGGCATAGGCGCCTTCATCTCTTTATGCGTTTTTATCGTTTGGTTTGGTATTGGTTCCCCCATGGGCTGGAGTGATAATTGGTGGTTGATTATTGGTACCTATACTGGCTTGGTTGGCTTCCTCGACGGTTTCGTGTTACGTAATGTTTATTTCCGTCAAGATAATGTTTTAGATGAGCAATTTGATATCCTTACTGATAGTGATAAAGCTATCTTCCAATTCCTCAACTTGTATCTTCCTGAACAAAATGAATCCCCTAAACAAAGTTTCGGTCAAAGATTAAGTGCTCGCATGGGTTATATCTGTGCAACTCCTCTTGCTGTCTTATTTGCTGTTTTAGTGATTATTGGTCTTATCTGCGTTGCCTCTGGTATGAAATGGAATGTAACTGGTCAATTGTTATGTAATTCACCTACCATGATCATTGAAGGCTTCTTACTTATTGTCCTTCTTCAAGCACATAACATGTCAAATACAGTTAGACGTGTTCAAATGAAAGACATCTTTGTTAGAAGAGTTCGATTACTTCATTATATTCGTATGGTTACTGGTGCTAATGAACATTATGATATTAATGAAAAGCATATTCAAGAAAGCACTGTTGTTAATGAAAAGAAAAAATAATAATTCCAGCATGACCCTTATCTAATTGTATACACATCTATTTACTCCCTAATTTATTATTTTTTATTGCCATCAAAACTTATTTCCTCCTCCCTCTCTCTCCTACTGCCTTAAACACATTTATCTTACATTCTCTTTACATACATAGATTCCACTATTACATAATATATATTATTTATTACTCTTTATATATGTATCATGCTTTTTTTATTAAAACTTATAATAACGCATTTTACCCAAAAAATTGAGCAAAATAAAAATGGTTGCTTTGAAACATATTTAATGAAATATACGCGTCGCCCTTTTTTTTATATTTTTTTATATTTTATTATAAAAAAAAACAACAACAACAAACAAAATGAGTTCCTCAGAATTGCTTTATTTAGTGAAATAATACATTTTAATGTATTATACAGAAATAGGATTTATATTTTGGGATAAATGGGAATTTTTTTTTTCTAAACCGGGGGTGAAGCAAGTTATATTATTGTTGGTCGTTCCTTCAACAATCCTTGTTGACTGCGACTCGGACTCCAATGTGGTAACAAGCTCCAAGAGCCGCGCTTTATTTTCCTTTTATAGATAAAAAAATAATAATAAAAATAAAAAATATACTAGAATCCCCTTTTTCCCTTTATACCTTCAAAAGCCGCGCATTCGTGGAAAAATTATGAGTGATATCAATTCAACTATTAGCAATGAACGAACATACACCCAAAGCGAAATGGAAGCAATTGTCCGAGATGTCGTCAAAAAAATGGACATTGAGAAAGAAGAAAGAATCAATGGAGTCGAAATCCCAAGACAGGTCTCCGAGGAATTGGAAAACACTCCCACGCATCAACTTACTGAAAATTTCAAAAAGTTTAGAAGAGAAACCCAACGATACGCTTTGGGAGAATGGACAACACCCGAGAAGATCAACAAATCAATTGCCCCTTATCTCAAAAAACACTCAACAGAAACAGCTTTGGTTGTCAACTCCATTTATAAAATCACAGAAAACACCAGATTCCAAGCAAAGGTTGCTATGGAAATCTTTGAACAACTTCAATACGTCTTGGAAGAAGCAGACCATGACGAAGCAAAAGACATCATCAGCAGATGCAGGGAGCAAAGTCGACGACTGGCAGTCTTTGGGTTGGCCACAGCAAAAGCTCAAGAAAGAGAAGCAAAAGAATATTCAGACAAAGCACTTAACATCCCATTTAGTATCCGCCACCTGGAAACAACAGAAGAGGATAGTAAATCTAAGAACGCCTACAGTGACGAATTTCTTAACAAATACCACCAAGCCAACTTTGAACGAAAACTCGTTCAACAAGCCAGTAGTAATCGTGGAGGAGGACGAGGAAATGGATTCTCAAGTAGAGGATATCAACGAGGAAATAGAAGCTTCGGATATGGAAGAGGTAGTAACAGAGCACGAGGTGCTTTTTTTGGACAGGGTACCTCACAACGGTGGGGAACCCCGCACAACAACAACTCAGCCCAACAACAATCACCCCACCAATCCAATCACACATCCAACCCCCAATAAAATCAATGACGAATTACAGCATCCCAGCAGACGGCATAGCGCCAGGGGGTCGACTACAACATTTTCTCAAGAATTGGCAGTCGATTACAAAACACCCATGGCCATTGTCAGTGATACGAGAGGGTTATCAGATACCTTTGCTAAAAAAACCAACACCTTGGAGATTACGTCGTATAAAGCTAGACCAGATAGAACAATTGGCAGTGGACGAGGCAGTCAACAAATTTATCAAAGCGGGGATAATAGAGGTATCACCAACACAGAACACAGATTATTTATCCAATTTCTTCACAATACAGGAAGCGACAAAACGTCGACCGATTTTGGATTGCCAAATGATCAACAACTATATCCAGTGTCATCACTTCAAGATGGAAGGGGTACCTGCATTGAGGGAAATCATCGAGAAAAACGATTTTATTTGCAAATTGGACCTAAAGGATGCTTATGTGGTCACCCCAATTCACCCAAACTCAAAGAAATACTTGACTTTCCAGAACAAAGGAGTTGTTTATCAGTACAAAACTCTAGCATTTGGGATGAGTGTCAGTCCCAGAGTATTCAGCAAAATGATGCGATTTGCAATAGAACCATTACGAATACAGGGAATACGCCTAGTATATTATTTAGACGACATATGTATTCTGGGTGCGACGAAGGAAGAGGCAACGAACCACACACAAATAGTACTGTCACATATGGAATCATTGGGTTTCCTAATAAATTTCCAGAAGAGTGTCCTAATCCCCTTTCAACAACAGGAATTCCTAGGCTTCAAATTCAATACGAAGACCATGCAGATAGCAGTCCCAGGGAAGAAGATCTCAAAACTCATGGTTCGAACCAAACAAGCTATAAAAGCCACACCTCACCAATACAATTGTCGATGGTATGCCAGTATGATGGGGAAGATGACTTCCATGATTCCAGCCATCGGAGAAGCCCTGTTACACATCAGATACATGCAGAGGGATCTCTCCCTAACACTCAACAGACATCTACAGAATTGGAATGCACCAATGACACTATCGGAGGACAGCAAGAAAGAACTGCAATGGTGGACAAGTTGGATGGTGAAGAAGAACGGCCTGCCAATAAAGAAATTAGCACCCAATCAACCGAAGGCGGCAACAATATATGTAGATGCGTCAGACCTAGGATGGGGTGTGAGCTCTGGCACGATGCAAACCACTGGAGCATGGACGAACGAAGAGAACACCATGTCAATCAATGCAAGGGAGCTGACAGCGATATATTTTGCTCTAAAACTACATGCCAAAGACTTCAAGAATCAACACATCAAAATATTTACAGACAACATGACTGCTTTGAAATACAGCAGCAAGTCGGGAGGCACAGCATCTCGAACACTACAGGACCTAGCAGTGAAGATACAAAATCTATGCAACCACTACAATCTCAAAGTCGAATACGAACACATACCAGGACTGGAGAATATTCGAGCAGATTGGCTGAGCAGACAGCATCACACCGCAACAAAAAACTTACTCTACGAGGCCCTATTACCGAAACGGCTATTTCGAATGATCAACCAGAGATGGGGTCCTTTAACAGTAGATGCATTTGCAGACAGGATGAACACCAAACTACCAATATTTTGGAGCATGCGACCAGATCCGGAGGCAGCAGCAACAGATGCTTTTCAACAAACGTGGAAAAAACAGGGAATGTACCTATTTCCTCCATGGAAGTTCATACCGCAAGTGATGCAGATAATAAAACAGCAACGAATCCAGAAGGCAGTATTAATCACACCGTATTGGCCAACCCAGTTCTGGTTCCCGTCCTTATTGCAAATGAAACACATCAACAAACCTCTGATGTTCAAGATAAGAAGATGGAAGATGACCGCATGGCACTTATCTGCAACAAGAGGAAAACCGCTGGTCACTTGGAAGAGGACACAGTGGAATTTTTGACACATGCCCAGAGACGTAAAACACAAAAGAACTATAATACTGGGTGGAAAAAATGGTCACAATGGTGCGCAGCACAACCAGTACCAATACAGCCTACCACATACGACGAAGCCAATGTATTACGTTTTTTGTTAGAAAATCGACACTTTTCATACCAATACCTAAATAGTTTGAGATCAGCTTTAGCATCTGTCTTTAAAGTGTTGCATCCAGAAAAGGGTCCGTTAGCTGCAAAAGAACCCATAGTTGAATTCTTTAAAGCAAAACGAAGATCAGAAGTCAACATTCCTACCAAGCAAAATCTCCAAATATGGGACACAAATATACTGGTGGACTATATCGCAAAAGAATGGCCAAAAAATCAATCTATCAACTTATATGAATTACAACAAAAAACAATTTTATTGTTATGCTTGACGACTATGGCAAGACCAAGATCAGATGTTGGCAGAGTGCAGTTTAGAGATGTACAAATGGAGCTTAGAAACGAAGAACCAGTGTCAGTTCTTATACATTTCAGAGAAGCGAAAGAGACTCAAGTGAAATCTGTTATACTAGGATTGGCAGATGACAATGACATGTGCCTTGTTTCCACACTTTTCGACTTTTTACAAAGGTCGAGCCATCTTCGCAATAACCTTCCTATAGACCATAGTTTGTTTTTGGCATTCATTCTCGAACCAGACAAGGTGAAATCCGCTAGTCCTTCTACTGTAGCTACATGGGTTTCAAAAGCAATGGAAAAAGCGGGTATTGACACTAGTTCTTACAAACCACACTCTATCAGGTCAGCTTCAAGCACCAAAGCAGTTGAAAATGGAATAACGATTTCGGAGGTCAAACAACATGCTAATTGGAGTCATAATTCCAATACATTTGAACGATATTACCTCAAGCCAAGCACGCAACTTAACGACAGCACCAGAATAGCAAACTCAATTGTTTCTATCAAAGGAAAAAATACCACATTGGAGTCCGAGTCGCAGTCAACAAGGATTGTTGAAGGAACGACCAACAATACGTCCGTTGACGAAGACGAGGATGAAAATGTGGTAACAACCCGACCCACATGGCTTTCTTGGCTACAAGAAACTTGGAAAAATTGATTCCAACTATCTTTTTATGTTTTACTTTTAATTCTATATTTATTTCATTCATGTTCCCCTCCCTTATATCAAAACCAATTGAGTTTTCTTCCGACTTTTGAAGGTATAAAGGGAAAAAGGGGATTCTAGTATATTTTTTATTTTTATTATTATTTTTTTATCTATAAAAGGAAAATAAAGCGCGGCTCTTGGAGCTTGTTACCACATTTTCATCCTCGTCTTCGTCAACGGACGTATTGTTTCTAAATAACTAAAACAAATATAAATATTTTCTTATTTTGGAATAACAATCGTAAATTATAAATAGCTCTTTACTTTCTATATGCACAATAAAAATTTTTCAAAATTTTTATTATTATTCTTTATCAAATTGTATAACACGTCAACGTTGTTATTTTTAGTAGTACAACTCTGATTTACTCATGAGTAAATTCCCAATACATCTAATATCTTGTTCTCATACAAGTCTTTTTTTTTTTTTTTTTTTTTTTTTTTTTTTTTTTTTTTTTTTTTTTTTTTAAAAAGAAAAAGAAAAATTAGCCTGTATCGTTGAAAAAAAATAGGAACATTTATTTTATTTTTATTTAACTAATACTTACGAGTATTTTTTTTTTCTTTCTTTCAAAGACATACTAGTATTGTATTCAGGAAATCTAGTTTTAGTAATGTTATCACAATTGCATAAGTATTTCACATGTAATAACTATTGGAACTATATTAATCAGCTCTAGCAAGCTATATTTAGATATCTTTGACCAACAAGAATACACGGATAAAGTAACGATTAATAGCTCTACAGTTGACTTCTCCAATAATGAAACACATAATTTTCTATATGTGACATGCTATTCTTTGATTACAGAGACTCAAATAATATTTTATGAATTTAGGGATCTCCTTTACAATAAAGATACTTTGAAACCCTAGACAATAACTTTTAGATTCGTTTTCCCATCACGGTGTACATCTATTATTCATACTCCAAATCATATACCCGTCTTTCCTTATCTTTTACTCTTTGATATACTCATATTTATTCATCAAAGTTTATAGATACTAATTTAAAATACTTTGCAGATACTTAAAACGAGAATAAGCTCAGTAATCATATCATTATACTCAAATGGTAATGATTTTACCTTTACTGTCTTTACTACTACTAATTCCTTTAGATGTTATAATGCTTTTTTGGAATATCCTCCTCCTTCCCATCCTTACAATATTTCTACTTCAAACTTAGACAATGTTAGTATTTTTTTGGACGAATTAAAATTAATTTTCATATAGTTTGTTTACCTTTTTGGATGAATAAAAAAGGAGATTCAGATACAGATGCAAGAATGGGACAAAGGAGAAATTAATTGGAGACAGAACGTTAGATGAGATTCAGGAAAAAAAAAAAGTGCTATTTTTTTTTTCGTAAAGACTTCTTACCTGTAAAATCTTTAAGCCAGCACCTCAACGGAGTGAGATGTGGCAAACACATTGGAGGTAGCGCTTTGTCACAAAGGATTTGATCGTTTACTCGCTACTCACTTCTACACGCAGATAGTCCGACCACAACTCGAATATGGTCTAGCTATTAGTCTACTCAGTGCAAAGGATATCCAACAACTGGAATCTTGTCAAAACACATGCATAAGACGGATATTTGGTGGCTCTAGTCAATCATCAGTAAAGGTGATGCTTCATATGGTAAACCAACCATCGATGAAGGTTAGGGTGTCCATTCTGCAGGCCCAATTCGTTTTCCGTGCTATTGATTTACCGGATGATAATTTGCTCGCTAAATTACTTCCTAAGCTTCAAGCCTCCACCTTCAGCACTTAATGGTATAAACTCATTCAAACACCATGCTGGAGACTCTGTGCTGCCAATTCCATTCCGTTAGACCGACGCTCCTTTCGAAAACATCGTTAAGAATTTCTTGAAGAGAATTTTCAGCAACTACGTGAGGGGACACGCTCTGTTTTGCTTTCCGCTTGCCGCCCCAATCTGATTATTGATCCGATACTCTGGTTACCCATGACACACAGTGAGCGTAGTCAAACTATTCGATGGCGTCTTGGTTGGTTACCCGGAGGAATACCTAAAGCCTGCCCATATCATCCTCATGTACACTTTTAGTCGGTCACACACCACTGAATGCTTGTACATGCACATCCGTTTATTCTTGCCACGATCAATTGCAGATCCCCTTTCCTTTCTTTTAAATCATCTCCCTCAGCATAAGTACCGAAATTCTCAGGATGTTTCTGCCTAGTTCTATCGCTGGCCAGTTATGTGTACCATCCTACAGGAAATGGGTTACTTAATGCACGATAAACTACCCCCTCCACTTCTTGATCCAGGCAGAAAATTACTCAACTGGTTGTCTCTTTAAACTTGTTAGCAATATTCCCCTTTCTTTCTCACCTTCTCTTCTTCCTTTCCTTTACCTTTTTACCTCTTGTCCCATAAGAGGGTTTTTAGATACTTTTTTTTTTCACATAATTTGAACTGACCTGGGCAATCCAATATAATAAAGATATTATGTGCTCACAGATCACTTTATAAATTCTAATTTATAAAAATAATAAAAAAAAAATGTTTAATCGTAGTAATTATGTAATAAATTCACCACATGCTACACTTAAAAAAAAAAAAATGAAAAGGGGAGGCAGGAGGGGATTTAAATTTGTTTAAAGATGAGAAGGCTGTTTAATGTGGGGATTTTTTTTTAAAAAAAAAATCGTGACGTATTTCCTGCGTCCAAGCACCCAGGACAACCACTTGTTCATTATTATTATTATTATTATTTTTCCTTTCAAAAAAAAAAACTAATTTCTTACATTTATAATAACAATGGTATTTCAAATCATATAAATTTAAATTTTTGATGCAGCTGTATTCATCAGTTATAATAGGGCGCTGTCAGTCGTTATCCTTATCCTAAAGACGCTTGGTAAATAAATAAATAGATATTCAATCATCCTCCACATTTTTTATTTTAGTTACTAAAATTTATATTAGGTCTCCTGCAGGTGGTTGGTGGTCTCAACCTAAGAATTGGAAATCAAACACCCTTATTGCAGCATTTGGTATGGCAATCACACTTGGTGCTATTTGGAAAGTCTCAGCTGATAAAGAGGTACATTTCCAGGATATAAGTTTACCTATATCTGTTGTTGTTGTTGTTGTTTTTGAACCAATTTTTTTCTTTTTCCTCTTGTAGATTCGCTATCAAGAACCCAAGCGTTGGATTCCTTCTATGATGGTATTTGATTTTAACAAAAAAAAACTTTAGTCAACATATTCTAATAAAATATATTTTCAAATAGTGGGCAAAGCAATATAAAGATCGACAACAATAGATATATAAATATAAACATATATAAAAAAGAATAAACTATTCAGGCTTACTTCAAAAACACCCACCCACACACCCACCCACACCCGAATACACATATTAGAATGATTATCCTCGAGTTGAATCGAGTCAGTGATTTTTATTTAATAATTATCAAAGTTATTCACTAGAATACATGTATTTTATATCTCATAAATCATCACCTCTGTTATTAGTATGAACAGTTTCTCTTTCGAACATAGTTGATAAAGAAGACTTAGATTCAATAATAGTACTTGAAGGGATCAAATTTAATTCATTGTTATTATTTGATGGCTTAAAGAAAGGTTCTAAATGAATATGAGTAGTAAGCCATAATAAAATTCCAGCGACAATACAGGCCAATAAAAGTGTCTGTAAAGGATGAATGGATGTTCCGGATGGGAATTGAAGAGGTAATGAGACTATACGACAACTATTATCAGCTGATGCACTAGCTATCATACGTCTATCAGGACTAATAGCAATACATGTAATAGAAAAACTATGAGCGTCTTTTACTTTTGTAAGAGTCTATTTAACTTGATTAATTTCATGTAACAAATAATATCCATCCTTCTTTTTTTTCATATACCTTGAATGTCTGAGCATCTAAAAGAGTAATACTTAAATCTGCACTTCCAAAAGCTAATACGGCTCCATCTTGACTAAGAGTAAAAGCAGTAATAGGCTTATTACTAACTTTAACGACCTTTAATTGCTCTAAAGAATAAGCATCATATTTAACAATATAAGCACCTGGCTTAGTGATTCCATTTAATACCGCAAATCCAAATTCTTTTGTATATCCACGCCCATACCTAACAGTATACATCACATCAGCCTCTTTTTTTTTTTCTTTCCTCAGAGAGACTATTTTCTCTATTACCTAAATGCTCTAAAATGCGTGATACTGTTTTTAACTATATTTGAACTGGAAATTACTTGTACAATTTGACCTGTATTTTTACCACGAAGATTAACTAATTTCAAAGCATCTCTCAATACACAGGTTAACTTTTCTTTTTCCAAGTTGATATCTACATCCAAGATTTCATCATCAGTTGATATAATCATTGGCTTTGAAAGAGGCTCGTATTCAGGATATGTAAACACATTTACTTTTCCATCTGTAGTTCCTGTAGCAAATAAAGTACCATCTTGACTGAAACGAATGACTCTCTTTTTTTTTTTCATAATTATAAGAAACATTGCTAATCGTTTTTTTTTTTTTTTTTTTTTTCTATTTTATAAATAAATTTACCTGGTAATCCTCCATTTTTTTACTTTCCAATGTATTTAAACTTTTTAATAATTCAAATCTATGAAAGGAATAGAAAAGGTCAATACAAGCTTATTTCCTTTTTCTCTATTTCATCTGCCATTCTTCTTCCCCTTCTCCCCTCCTCTTCTTCTTCATATTTTCTTTACTTTGCTCGATAACGATATTTTACTTATCATCTAAAATCTTGAATACGCGACAATTATTATTTATGCTCTTCTTTATATTCTCTTCTGACTCATTGACACCAACAACAACGAAAGGTTTCTATATATATATATATATGTATATATATTGAAAGTTTAATACTAGCATTCATTTGTATATAGAGATGTGAACTTTACGGAAGGATGAACATCTAAACTCATGGGTGCATCTTCATTCATTTCAAATTCAAAAGAAGCATCTTCTTCTAATTCTTTACGACGAGATTCAATCTTATAAGAAACCTGAATTTATAAAGTACTTTAGTATTTTTTTTCTTAAAAAAAAAAAGAAAGAAAGAAAGAAAGAGAGGAAGAGAGAAAAGTAGTAGTAGATTTAAAATAACAATAATAATAATAAATGTATGGCATTTATATTTACTAATTTATTCTTAACGCCTGAACGTGAAGCTCCTCCTCCTCCAGTTAATATAAGCTGATTGTTAGATGTAAAACCAACACCAAATACTGGGAAACCAACGGATACTTTAAATGTAGGGCAATTCATAGAGTAAATGATATATGTTAAAAGGAATAAAGTAAAATAACAATAAAAAAAAAGGTTAAGTAGTAGTACAATATACAATTAAATTCTGAGTTTTTGTCCTTATTTCTATTTTATTTTAATTTTTTCTTTAATTTTTTTTTTTTTTTTTTTTTTTGGTAATGAGCATGTAGCGACAAAATAAATGCGCAATATTGCCCGAACCAGTTATAGAGGGGAAATAAAGAATAAAAACCTTCCTAGAGGACAAGAAGGGATAAAAGAAAACAGGAAGGAAAAAGAAAAGAGCAGTATTTCGGAATTAAGAGAAAATATAAGGAGCAAAAAAGCGAAAAAAAGTGAGAAGAAACAATTTAAATACAAACCAGACCAAAGGGACCGGGAAAACACACACTATTACTTGGACAACCAATTCAGTATCTTGAGACCAGGATCGACAGGATCAGGAGGAAATTCATCATGAAAGTAATAATCAAGTTCATGTAGGATTGTGTAAAGAATAGGACATAAAGTATACCAGCTCTTACAATCAGAAGGACAACGAGGCTTATGTAGTGGAAACAAGTTGAGGAGGAATAAGATGGGATCTTTGACCGAAGTAGGCATGTAGAGACGATGATGTACATGTAAACACTCAATAGCATGTCGCCGGATCCAATTACGATACGGATGAAAAATACATTTTTTAGGTTTACCACGAACGATATTTGCTAGTTGGTTATAACAAAAGCTAACTGCATGCGCCCATTTCATACAACAATGAGTCATCTTATTAGCTTAATTATAGTACGTCGTATTTAGATTGATTTCTGTCATGTTGTTTGGATCAAACATACTTCATTTGCTTATCAGAAAAGAAGATAAAAAAAGAAAGGTTCATATAGTCATTACCGAAAAGTATATGTGTATATATGTACATGTAATGAGCTACTTAGTGCAAAGTAGTGTTCGTTATCATAATAAAGAAAGAAAGAAAGAAAGAAAAAGGAGATTAATAAGGGACATTAGAACATCATTTACCTTCGTTTGCTGATGACTGTCGTTGAGAAATAGGTTGCTCGAGAAAAGAATCAAAAGTTGTTTCTACATTAGAAATAGCTTGCTTAAAATATCTACTCCTATTTTGAAGTAGTCTCACTAGAACCAAAGAAACCACTCATTATTAAATCATTTAAAAGCTTTATATGAATGGGATTTCAAAAAAAAAGGAAATATGTATACATAAAAGAAATATAAGTTTCAAGAAAATCTGAATTTAAAAGCCTCTTTTTCAATATCTTTAATGGATTGTACTCATCTTAGTTAATTTTTGATAATTTGATTGTAAAGGAAGAATAATAATCATGATAGTTTCTCTGATAAGATATTAGTTAATAGTTTACATAATCACTACTACACCACATTTTATATTTCCTGTATTTTTTATGTCAATTATTTTATAACTTCTTTACTTGTTTTTATACTTCTTAAAGTCAATTTGGAGCAAAAAGATATTTTATAATACAAACAATAGTTAAAGAAGGCACAAGATTATTAAAAGACGCGTAAAAAAAAGAGATATTTATTTATTTTATTTTTATTTTCATTTTTGTTTCATATATAAAAAAAAGTGAATCCCCAATTCGTCAACAGTAAAAATAATAATATTTACTGCAGTCCAAAGGTGGCCGCGTGGAGGCTAGGATTCTTTGCACCTTCTTTGTTCTTGTATTTTTTATTTTTACTAGGAGGTTAGAAAAAACCCATAGCTATCACAATATGTAACGCCCTCTGAATCAACAAGATACCCTACAATGTCCTCCTAATTCAAGGAGGGCAAGATAGGGTGTCTTGTTGATTCAAAAGGCGTTACATAAGTGATAACCATGAGAAAAAGAATTTCCTCCTAGGGCAGGGAAGAAGAAGAAGAATAAAATAGTATTATTTAATGACTTACCTACAAAAGAAATAGTAATAATAAAGAAGAAAAAGAAGAAAAAATAACTTTGAATATCTACTTTTTTATAAGAATAAGGAGGTCGTTGTTGTAAATTACAGTCACAATCATATGAAATCGATAAGAATATGTGTTACCCCACATTTAATACATGCATACACACACATACACACACAGTTACATTATTTAATTTTCTTCCTTTCTTATAAAAAGTAACAATGTGTAGAATAGTAAAATGTTGTCAATTTTATATCTTCTTTATGACTATATGAAATGTATTTATGCTAAAGAAAAGTAAAGTAAATAAAATAAATGTCTTTTGTTTTCACTTTTTTGTTTATATTCTCATAAACTTTCTTTTTTCCTATTTAGGCAATTAATATGCATCTCATTTGTACAATATACTACTATTTCCTAACAAGGGGTATTTGATAAGTCTAGTCTCCCTTGTGTTGTGCTTAAAATCATTCTTTTACTCACATACATCGTTTGCCAAAATGATGTTGTAAAGATTAACAATCTTAGCTTCTTTGATGCATGCTATGAAAACCAGTTTAAGTATTTGTGACTTGCATTCACAGTAATATTTTCCACCCCCTTTTAAATACTAAAATATATAAATAATGGATTCCTTGATCCGCTTGTTTAATCAGCTCATGACATCAAGTCTTGAAAAAGCCCGTCAATTAGGCAAACAAACAATGTGGTGTAGTTAGGTGTTTGGGAGCATAATCCTTCAGCTATTAACTTTTATACACGTCAAGGTTTCTATAAAGTGGGACGCCATACATTCAAATTAGGTTCACAAGAAGATACAGATCATATCATGATCAAGAAACTTTAGATTTGCTGTAATATAATTATTATTATTTATTTTATTTAACGTACATTAAAATGAACTGGTTCTATTCCAATGATTATAATGGCTGTAAAAGAATCTTATAAAGACTAAAAGGGAGATAAGAAGAATGATATATAATATGTTACAATATACCAAATATAAAAGAGGAAATATATTTTTATAACAAGCAAAAATTTCCTTTCTTTTTTTTTAAATCTCTACTGTTGCTACATTTTTGCTCAGGAACAGTATAAATATCTCTTTTTTGTAACAAAGATATCAATTAGAATAATTTGTTCTGATGATGCCTATTTTTTCCTTAAAAAAAATAATAATCCATAGCAATAATGTTCATATTACTGCTGTCTTCCCTGTATAATTTACAGCTTTTGAAATGTTATCCTTAACCCCTTTTGGCCTTCAAGTTTGTAGGCATTGACAAGTATTTGATAATATACTACAAGGAACAAGGAACTTATTAGGTAATCCTTTTTTTTTTTTTGATGAGGCAAAATATTAACTTTAAATGTAAAATTGGATAAAGGAAGAATTGAGATTATTCATTTTGTTTATAGAATATCTTGATAACAATTCAGTAAAATAAAGTAAAAAAAAAAAAGGTTGAATATTCTCAAAAAAGAAATATCCTTGCATTTATTACTGTTACAGTGACAGAATTGTTATATTTGTCAATATCTTCTTTTTTTTTTAAAGTAATCGAGAACATTCTTCTTTACACTAGTTTATAAAGAGATATTGGTTATTATTACAATATTCTTGGTAGAGCTTTTTAAATCTTTATTCTTAAGTAAGCCATAATATAATGTATTATTAGCTAGAGAAGCTTGCTGTTAATCAATTAAAAGAGTCTGTATAGTATGTTTACTTGTGATTATTTCCTGAGATGTTGATTATGATCAAACATAGCAACTATAGATTTGTATCTGTATATGCTTAAAATAAGGCTTTTTAGACACTCTTTTATCTTTCTATAGCTTGAGGACCATAATGATGCCAAGGTACATAATACACATTCATATGTAAGAATTTATTTCTGATATATGATCTGACTGTAATAGTATTATGCAATAATAACAAAGTTGTGATTACTACTGTTCTACCTGTATCTACTGCCGTTACTTGGTATAATATAACCATAACACATCATTATTCATACTGCTGCTGCTGCTATAAAAAGAAAAAAAAAAGGAGTCGTTGATGTAGTGCAAAAAACAAGAATAAATAAAAAAATTAAGGGTTCATTTGATTTGATGGGGAACCCTTGAAGTGATTCGATTCCACAGCCTAGGCTTGGGCTAAATATGCTGCGAATTCTAGTCACTCTCCAAACACCCGTGTTACTTCCATCAGAAATAGAGGATACACATAGGGCTACGTTTACTATAAACACCCCACTTATACCACCGCTGCCATTTATAATAATAGGTACAACGTACAACTACAATACTACTACCAACACATCCTTACTCATGTTAATAATCACTACCTATTACTACTACCACTACTACTAGTACTACTACTTTGACTTGCTTTCGTTTTTTTTTTTAATTCCAATCTAATGTCAAACTGTCACCACTACTGGATCTGCCTCATGTCTACAAAATAAGCTATTTAGACCAGGACTTGAATGTATATGCCTGTGCATATAAGCATGTATAACTAGAAGAATATATAATCTAGCTTTTAAATACATCATGTTTTTTAAAATAAAACTGAACAAAAAAAAAAAAACAACAGTAACATAATAACACTTATTCTAAATCATATAACACGCTTTTACAGCAATATACTTTCATTATTTATATACTCTTTTTTTTCTTTTCTTTTCTTCAAATTTTATTTATGTGAATATTAGTCTTTAAGTCAAGAGTTTGCTTTTTTTTTTATAATTCAATGAAAGCATTTTTGTATTTTCTATCAATTTGGAATTCTTCAAGATAATCACTAAAAGCGATTTTAATTTGGAAAATTGCCTCACGTAAAGCTATAATAAACGTTATTATCATTATTACATTTATATTTATATCTATATATATGTATGTATATCTATTACCTCTAAGCACAGCATGAGCTTCATCAACAGCCATATCTTCCTTTACCAATTCACTGTATTTTGTAGGAGGAGATCTCAAATATCTCTCAATATCGACTAAACATCCCAATAAAGTATTTAAAACATGAGAAAGATCATTCTGCACATATCCAAAAGGATCTTCTTTCAAAGAGGAGGCAGCTAGACTACCAAGTGCTTGAACCGCCCAAATAACGAGTTGATATTTATTGAACACACTTTGAATACGACGTCTTACTGTCTCTCCATAAATACCTTTAAGATATCCAACATAGCCTACTTGCACCTCAATTTCTTTCAACATCTTTATGATTTGACTTTGACTAATGGCTTCCCATTTCTTTTGAGTAAACATTTGAGCTCTGGGAATTGTGGAAGTAGAAACTTCTTCAGCTTGTTCTGCTACATTGGAGAAAATAGCGCCCGTTCTATCATCTAAGCGAGAAAAGTTCTTTCTTTGAGTTGCGAAAATATTTCCTTCTGAATATTCTAATCTATTATATGCTTGTTGTTGTTGAATAGGCTTATCAATAGGTGTAGGTGGAGTAACTAAAAATAAAATAAGTATTCCGTTTTTTTTTCTCCTATAATGGAATTAAGATTTACATACCTGGTTGAACACCATTATATTCTACATCAATCTTTGCTCTTAATTCATCAATCACCTTAATGCATTCAGTCATAATTTTATACCAAGCATTATCCTTCAAATCTTTTCCAATACAACGGAATAACTCGACGCGTTTTTCAGGATACTTACAAGCAAGGACAGCAAGTTCCGAGAATGCAGCCACTTGAGCATTAGGTTTACTTTCAGATAGACCATGAATAAGACAATCAAATTGATTAGAATAAGCATTTGTTACTGGGAAAGTCTAGTTAAAAAAAAAAGGTGTAAGATATCCTATTTCTTTACAAATCGAAAATACTTACAATAGCATAGACAGCATCATATAAACGGTTGGCGGTCTTAAATACACACATTGTAACAGTACCAGCCATGATTAAACGAAGAAAAAGATGAAGATCAATCCAACGGAAGCCTACAATAGGTGAATCTAATACTCTATAAAAGAAAATAAAGAAGAGGTTTAATAGATATGATCTATTAGTATGCATTAAGACTTACTTGTTATAAAAACCAAAGAATCGAGCAGCATAATAATAAATTGACCCATTACAGATAATGAATGTAACGTAGGTATTTCTAAATGAATAAATGGCTCTTTTGGCAGAATTATAAAGTATCGAAGCAATACTACTCTTAAATTCATATTGAAAAGGTTGCTAATAAAAAAAAAAGCTGTTTAATTATTTCGTTATATAGAATACTTTTCTCTCTAACCTGAACATTATTGATCTTAATAATGTACGACTTTTCAGCTAGATAATGATAAGTGTAGTTGAAAGCTAGAATGATACAATAAAGTGTTATGAAAATATTTTCTTGATTCAATTGACGTGCACCAAAATAATGTCTATTTATAATAACAAAAAAAAAGCAAATTAAGTTTATAATATAAATAGAATGCATTGTTGAATTCTTTACCCTGGAGGCTGTATAAGGAAAGAAGAAGTATATGTTTCATTCAAAATCCAGTAAAAATAAGAACGAATAATAACAAGAGAAAGAACACTATGAATTGCGAAAAGAATCCAATTGTCAAAAGAAGTCCATGTTGCTATTATTTCAGCAAGATAACTGGGATATACTGGCTCAAAAACTATTATAATATACGTTAATATTTTACGTCTAGATTATGTTGGTTCATTTTATGTAGTTGTTTTTTTATTTTATTTTATTTTATTTTTACCTGTGAACATCATATTGCGTATAAATGATAAAATTAAACCAGTAAAGAAAAGTAACAAAGAAAAAAATAATGTAGACCATGAAAAGACAATGGTATCTAGAAAAAAGAAAAAAAAAAAGATAATTTGTAAGTTAAGGATTATTTTTTTTTTTCTCTAGTTAATTAATATAATATATAGGATCATGCGTACAAAAACTGAATGTGAATCTTGCTTGAAATAAAATCGAAAAAAAAAGTGAAGAAAGATAAAGTGTAATTAAATAACGTTTATTGTATCGTTCCATCGCTGAAAGGTAAGCATCTTTATAAGAATTACAGCTTTTCTTATTATTATTTACAATAGTTGTAGCCCCTGTCGGTGGCTTTGATGATGCAAATCGCAACATTTAAACAACTTGAACAATCTTTAGAAGACACGTCGTTTGAATAAATTCCCTCTTTTTTATATATCCATTTATTTATGGCCGTTTGCTCGATCATTTTAACAAGTCACAAAAAATAGTTTTTTTTTTCCACTGGACCAGAAAAGAAATGATTGGCTAAAGTTCATAAACAATATTTTAATACGATTTAAATGTTTTGTGCACATAGTATATTGTTCGGGTCAGATCAAAAAGATGCAAAAAAATAAAATAAGACAAAGGTTGATATAAATTGCAGACAAGCAAAAGAGATGAAGTTAGTTCAACTGGAAATAACATGTATAAAGAACGAATCCTTTAGTTATAAGAAAGGATAACTAATAAAATAGACATGCAGTATTACTTTTTATTGAATGTGATTATATCAAATTATAAACAGATAGTGTTAGTGCTTTTATTTCTTTATTTCTTTCACTCATTAATAGTGGTACAGTGCATCAATAAGCTGCTTCAAAGAACAATCCACCCAACTAGTAACTGTCAATAAAGTATTTTCCTTCCTTTTTAATGATATAATAATACTAACTTTACTCAAGGGAATTTCTTGGTATCTCGTATATTTGTTACAAACTCTTATGTACTATGCTTCAAACTTATACATATTTATATATATTTATATATATATATATTTTTTATTCTGGAGTGTGTCGCACTATTTTCTGGAAATAGTAGTGCATGTATGTAAAAATAAATAAATAAATAAATAATGTACACAGCAATTTTATACAGTTAAGAAGATCCCTTAAAAGTTGCTTTTAACTGTCTCATAAACTCTTTGCCTTCTGTTATAATATCCATACAAGGATGCTCAATAGGTACCCATTCAACCGTCCAAGGTTCTCCATCTTTAAAATTTAATATTTCATTCCAATCGTCAAATAAAGGCGTATTATCTAAAGGAATGTTACGACCCGTCTTGGTCGTGATTTTTGTTACACGTCTAGTCTGATAGGATGCTACAATATGAATTCGCTCTGCTAATAATTTTCCAGTATCTGTCGGATGAATACGAATCCATACTCGTTGTTCAGGATTTATACTTGCTACTGTTATATGACGATCCTCTTCTGAAGCTATATATACAACAATAAATATCTAAATAATCAACATTATTTTATCCTTACTTGTCTTTGGTAATTTAGGTAAATTTTTATTTACAAGTCGCTCCTCTTCTTTAAAATAACCATAGTCTGTTGCAGGTACAGCTAAAAAAAAAAAAAAAAAAAAGCAAGATTAGAGCCTACATCCATCAGGTATTTATCTATTTTTACCAATTTGCTTCTGATAATATGAATTATCAACGGCAGAAAAATTATTTAAAGGTGGCGCACCTGCTCTTAACATATTAGTCGGATATACTTTTTGTTGTTGTAATTCTTCTCCTTCTCTTAGATGCTGCTGTTGTTGTTGTTGTTGTTGTACATCAAGATAAGAATTAGTGTAAAATGGAGTCATCACTGCTGGAGACGATGTAGTTGTATAATAATAATGGGGTCTATTATAATTCTCAATTTCTTCACTTTCTTTTTCCATATATGCATGTGGTCTTTCTAGTTCTTCGTTTTCTTCTTGAACTTTCTCGTCCTTTTTTGTACATAGAGTTGGATCTAAAATTTCAATGGTAGTAGTGGCTGAATTATTTACAGGCTTTTCCTTATTCTTTTTTATAGGAGGATCATTATCCTTCAAAATAGTGGCTGTAGTAGCAGTGGATTCTTTTGATATTTGCATAACAGCAAAATTATCTGCAAATGGGTCAACAGCTGTATCTTCCCAATCCGATTCATCTGAGCTATCTTCTTGTGTTTCCAGTTGAGCTTCACTGTCTTTGTTATTTGGTTTATCGTACAGCTTATCTTCCTCTTTCTCTTCTTGCTCTTCTTCACCATGAATAACTGTGGATGGAATGGGTGTTGGAGGACGAGGAGGAATATATTTTGATTTGTTAGATGTTGTGTCTTGGCTGCTACTATTATTATTATTATTATTAATTGAAGTTGATGTCTCTATTTCTTCATCAGGCTTTAATGATAACATAGAATCTGTATATAAAGATTTGTTCCCATGCGAATTTGATGCTTTCGGTGAACTGTGATTTAAAAGGGTAGTGTTATAAAAAGTAGATAACTCCGAGGGGGGGATGGATTGTGGTTCAAAAGATATGGGCTGTTGAGGATATGAAGCATGCTGAATCACATTATTTTTATTGATCTGCTGAGGTAAGCTAGTAGTAGCAGCATGATGAATAGGCATATTAGCATAAGAAGTAGGAGTAGGAGTAGAATGAAAAGTAGCATTATTGATAGGTAATTCTTGTTGAGAGGAGGGGGAGGAGTAGTAAGGTGATGGTGAATCGTATTTGGGTATAATCATAGGTGCCAATGCAGATGGTGCGCTTTGATGATGAATAGGCTGTGGTCGTTGTTGACCAAGTGGTAATAAGATAGGCTCAGTTGGAACAGAAGAAGAAGAAGATATTCTTGAAGGACGATTTAAATCACTAATAATAGGCGATGGCGCTGTATAGTTATGTATAATAGGATTTACATCAGTTGGTACAGGCATTTCCATGTGTGTTATAGTTGAAGACTGGCTAGTAGCAGTATTCTCGTAGTTAGTCATAGGTTGATTATCTTTATAGGCAGGTGATATAGGTGATATTCTAGGCGTTGGTTGGTAGAATATAGAACTAGGCTCAGGTGAAGGAGAAGCAACATTAAATTGAAGTTCAGGCTTATAAGTTAAATAAGATTGTTTCTTATTTTGTTGTTGATTTGATTGTCTCGATGGTAATACAGGGGTTGTATTAGCAGAAGAAAGACCATAGAGAGGTGTAATTGGTGGTGATGGAGTGCTAGTAGAATTGCTCGGTTTTTTTGCAGGTAATGAGCTGGTGCTATTACTATTATCTATAATATAAAAAGTCAGACTTCCCTTATAAATAAATAATCCTATTCATTTTTATTACTATTATAAGCGCTTGGTTTTACTGGTAATGGAGGAGGGGATGACAAAGATGAAGATTGTTGTCGTTCTTCTTCTTCTAATTGTGCCTGCAGTTCCTTGGCAATAGCTTCATCATTAAGCTCTTGTTCTCTTCTTCTCTGACATTCTAATTCCCATTCCTTTTCTGCTTCCTCTTGTAATCTTTTAACAAGCTTTAACGATTTTTGTTCTTTTCTAGAATCGAATAAATGTCTCATGGATTTTTTATTAATTCCAATAAAAAAAAAAAAAAAAACTGTTTTATATCTAAAAGTATTTAAGCGGTGTTTAAATTATGTACTTCTTGTAAATTCATATTCTTTTGCTTCTTGTTCTTGGCAAATGTCAAGGAAAATATGTAACTATAACTATTTTTTGTTAAAAAAAAAGGAGGCTATTGTTAAACAAGCTTAGTACATTTTTTTAAACTTTATTGGTTCTATGTTTATTTTCCTTGGCAAGCCAACTAATAATAAATATTTAGAGCACTTTTTTTTTTTTTTTTTTTTTTTTTTTTTTTTTTTGGAGAAAACGTTCTTCCGTACATCAAATTTCGCATCCTTACATCTTCTGAGTTCAATAATTTTTCATCATTATTATAACTACGCATTTCTTCTTCTTCGCCTAACATTACATACACAATGAGCTTAAAAAGACCGATAACAAATAATAATGATTCTAGAAATAAAAGATCCAAGTATGATAGTTTTTCAATTAACTCAATTATTTTAGAAGAAAAAGAATGTCGGATGTGCAAAAAACAGTATAAGAATCCTATTTCACTCGATGAATGCATAAATTATGAATTACAACCAAAAATATATTTTAGTTTAGCACTTATTTTGGCAGATCCATTAAAAGAATATCTTCTTTTAGATAATAATGGCTATATATCCCAACTAGCAAAACATACTATTCAACTTGCTAGAGATCATCTATTAGCTTCCCATGTTCTCAATTTATTAGTTTCTTTATATATAGAAAATTGTAATGCTATTATACCTTTATTTAAAAATTGCAATATTGATGATTTACATGAAGAAAGAGAAATAAAATTTATATCAACTTGTTTAAATGATAGCCAGGTAAGAAGTCTTTAGACAAACACATGTCTTATATATATATTAATATAATGTGTATAGGAAGTGACAGTTAACTTAGTTAAGTTGCAAGCGAATAAGAGTTTAAAAATCAATTTAGAATCCATTGTTTTATCTGATATTCGATATGCAAGACTTTTACCTCTTTTGTCTATTCTTTATAATAATACTACTGTACGTAAAAATCTATATATATACACACATATATATATCGCTGATTTACAAATTAAGTATTATATGTATAATGAATAGAAGAATACTCCTACAAATGATTCATTAATTATACTCGATGAGGAAGAAGTTGAAAGTATTAGCTCTTTTTCTTCCGATTCATATCAAAATAAGATTACAATCAATGATAATGACGATGAAATAGAAATTATAAATTCTTCCCATCATAATTCTAGTCCATTACCTTTTCCTCTTATTACTTTGCAAGATGAAAGTTTTAGTATATGTCAAACATCAAATAAAGACTTGGATCAACCACAGACTTCTCAAGAGGAAGAACAAGTTAAAATTCCAAATTATGATGAGCTGTCTACAATTGAATTAAAAGCAAAATTAAAGACATATGGTTATAAAACAAGTAACAATAGAAACCAAATGATTCAAGATCTCAAAAATATCTTTACTTCATTATTTAATAACAAAAAAACCAGAGATATCTCATTATCAGCTCAACAATCATATGTCACAGCCAGCACGACTCCCTGTTATAATGATGAGGAACTAGAATTATCCATTGATACAACTTCTAATGATGATGCTACAAGGACAAGCATCATTCAGCATCTTAGATCAAAGGAAGACATTATGAAAGAAATATGGTTATATAATGTAAGTAATCCTATTCCTAACTGCTATATTAGGTTTTGTAATAACATATCCATATATCATAGTCAGTTCCTATTGACAAATGTAATATTGGATCAAATTATAAAAAGAATGAAATAAAGATGGTTTTAGATGAAGTGGTGAGTCTATTCTGTTCATGATTATGTAATCATATTAATAATACTTTCATAGGCAGCAAATACGAAGATAATCAAAAAGAAAAAAGGCCCTTCTTCATCAAAGCATTTCTTATAAGCATTCATCGATTTTTTTCTCTTGTTTTGTCATTGATGCTGCTAATTATGAGCAATAAACTTAGTATTTTGCTGCATTAATATGACTCATTTAAAGACATACATATATACATATATATATGTATATATGTATATAAATGTATACATATATATATATATATGTGTATGTGTACATGTATTTTATTTTTTTGATCTATGATTCCTGAAATGCCCAGCTGGACATATCAATGAAATGAAAGATTACTAAAGAAAATAAAAGGGGGTAAAACTATATTCTATATTGTTAAATTTATAGAATCAGTTACAAGTGTACTTTATAAAAAAAATAAAAAAAAATAAAATAGCACTTTATTGCACTGAATAATTATAGAATACATTACAGTCAATTTGATTGTGGATATAATTAAGTTTCATGGTTATGCATCCTTTCAAAATTACTTGAAGTTAAAGAAGTAGATATAATTATGACGCTAAGGGTTATTTAGGACAGGTTAAGAGCATTGATTTTTATTGGAATAAACGCAATAGTTTCGATTTTTATGTATATCTTGGAAGAATAAAAGAATATCGGTAAATTTTTTCTAGTAGTCTATGAAAAAAGAAACTTGTTTAAAAAATTGATAAGGTCTATACTGCAAGCCTAAGGATCTTTAGCAAGTCTCTAGTTAGTTTCACTACTCGTGTGCTATTTACACTATTCCTCAAAAAAAAAATGGATTGCTAGGTGCTTGATGAATACCCTTCTTCTCTTTATGAACCAGAAGAATGAATAGCTGCTTAATCCTTTATCGATTAATATCATTTCTATTTTCTTCTTTTACCTCTTTCCTTCCTTAAAAAATATAATTTTCAATTTCATGATTTAACTACTAAAGACTCCCAGCGGTCATTAATTTTTCAAATTGAAATATTTGTTTAACAGTTGTATTGTTATTGTCTGCTTATATATTTAGTACTTTTTTTTTTTTTTTCTTTTTTTATATTTTGTTTTCTCCCATTCCTTCTTCTTTTTTTCTTTTTTCTTTTTACTGTATATAAATATATATTTATATACATATTTATATACATACACATATACATATATATAGCTCAGTTTTATTTATAAATATAAGCATAAAAAAAAAAGGACGCGGTTCGTCATCAAGCTAATTTCAAGTCCAGGGATTCCATTCTTTTTATCTATTTTCTAAATATTATACATAATATAATGAGACAACTATGGCAGATCTCGAGAAGAGGTCTGTCCCTAATTATTTTGTTCCTATTTGGTATCACAATCATTAAAGGGACTTTAGCACAAACTGTACATAGAACTGGCTTTGATAAAACACCAACTACATTTTTTTATTTCAAAGATTCACCGGTAATGGTCCATTTTGCGTATATATATATATATATCTGTATATATATATATATATATAATAAACAAATAGATTATAAGCTAATTTTAATGTAATCAATACCAGATTATTCTTTGGTTCGACGCAACTTCACATACCCTTTATCGTTCAGAGGATCAAGGAAAACAATGGAATAACGTAAAGGAAATTGGACAAGATGAAGCTAATTTTATTTATCAACATCCTTATGATTCAGACAGGGTAAACATTGAAAACACTACTTGAAAGAATATATATATATATATAAATACATGTATTCACTAAACAAAAACCTATTATTCTAGGCATATATACTCGGTAAAAGTAAACGGCATTGGAAGACAACAGATAAAGGAAAAACGTGGCAAGAATTTACTACACCTGTTGAGCCAGCAGCAGTGGGTCCTCATTTATCTTTTCATGCTGAGAGGCCCAATTACATTTTATTTAGTGGCTTTAAATGTAAATTAGGTTCTTGGACTGGAGTTGATTGTCATCAAGAGGTAAATATTATATATGAATATGTATATATACACATATGGATTCTTAAATGTGTATTTGTTTTCTATTTAATTTAATAGACTTATTATACACTAAACAATTTTGAAGAAACTACCTTATTACGTACTCATACCACATCTTGTATTTGGAGTCTTTCCAGTACTAAATTTGATAATGCACCTGTAAAGGAAATTATGTGTGTCGAATCACCTAAAAAATCAGGTTTAACCAGTATTCTGAACCCAGAGGATTTCCATCTTGTTCAAACTGAGGATTTCTTTCACACGGAACAAATTGTAGACTTTAATACAGGTACTGAGATTAAAGGTGTAATTGCTGTTAGTGCAATCAATCGCTTTATTGTTGCTGTAGTCAAGCCATCACCTGAAAGACAGGATTTAATATTTTATATCTCTCAAGATGGTGAACGTTGGCATGAAGCTATCTTTCCTGAAGGCGCAAATCTTCATGAGAAATCGTTTACAATCGTCGATAGCCCCGGAGCTTCGTTGATGGTAGACGTATTAGGAGGCGGTTCAGATCAATTTGGTGCTATGTACAAGTCCAACTCAAATGGTACATTCTTTATCAAAAGCTTAGATAACACAAATAGAAATGTCATGGGCTATATTGACTTTGAACGTATTCAGGGGGTTGAAGGTATTCTAATCGCAAATGTAATTATGAACCCTAGACAAGTTGAATCTCAGGGTGTTAATAAACAAATTCGTACACGTATGAGTTTTGATGATGGAGGTAGCTGGAAAGAAATTTCAGTCGTAAAGGATATAAATGGTAATGATATGAAATGTAATGAGAGAGAATGTGCTCTTCATCTTCACTCTGTTACTACGAATCATAATGCTGGTCAAGTGAGTTCATCTGAGTCGGCCGTGGGTGTTATGATGGGTGTTGGTAATTATGGTTCTAGTTTACTTGAATATGATGAATGCGATACTTTCTTATCAACTGATTATGGGCTTACCTGGAAGATGGTACGTGAGGGTGCACATAAGTATGAGTTTGGCGATATGGGAACACTACTAGTTATGATAGATGATGAGAAAGAGACTGACCATATCTGGTGGAGTAAGAATCGTGGTGAAAGCTGGTAAGTGCTCTAATTTATTTATGAATTCTATATGACTGACTGACTCGTAATATGGATTGTATATTAGGGAAAAGCTTGATCTTGGTATTTCTATTCGCGCTAGAATGTTAACAACTGATCCAGAATCTACTTCTCGAAACTTTTTATTAATCGGTAGCTCAGTTCGTTCAGCAGAATCTAAAGTACAGGCTATTCAACTTGACTTGTCAAATGTCTTTTCTCGTCAGTGTCAACTAATTGAAAACGATGAAAAAAAGAGTGATTATGAAAAATTCGTTGCCCGTGATATCACAGATGGCCCAGACTGCTTGATGGGGCATGAACAAATATTTTATCGTCGTAAAGCAGATCGTGATTGTTATGTAGGTCGTGAATTTCAAGACCCTATAGTAGAATTAAAGGATTGCCCCTGTACACGTGCTGATTATGAATGTGATTATAATTTTATGCGTAACCCTGATGGTTCTTGTACTCGTGTTGGCCCTGATCTTATCTCTGAGGATGTATGTAAATCAAAAGACGATATTTATCCTGGCTCCAGTGGTTATCGTCTTATTCCTGGAAATACCTGTATTGTTGGTGATGGTCCTGCCTTGGACGATCCTGTTGATCGCAAATGTAGTGAAAATGTGAATGGTATTATTCCTTCTGCTGGTAAAGGCAAAACAAATGGACATAATAACATGGTTGCGCCTTCTGATGACACTATTTCCAAGTATGCTATCTACTTTGATGATGAAATTGAGCAATTCATATACTTTCGTGATTCTGAAGCTATTCTGATTCGTCTTCGAAATGGCGAATTATGGCGATCAAGTAATCAAGGTATTAAGTGGGAGCCTGTTTTAAAACAAAATGGCCCAGTTACCCATATTGTCCTGCACGAATTTGATAATCATCGCGCCTATGCATTCTTAGAAGATGGTATTCATATTACAGAAGATCAGGGTGCAAGCTGGCGAACTATTAAGATTCCTTTACCTCCAACACGCCAAATGAATAATGTATTGGATTTCCATCCTCAAGAAAAAGATTGGCTTCTCTTTGTTGGACATTCTAATCATCCTGAACCTCATTCAGAAGCATTTGTTTCTCGTGACCATGGTAAAAATTGGAATTCTCTTGATATGTATGTTGAGAAATGTATATTTGGTCGTGATTCACGATATAATATTGAGAAGGAAACTATCTTTTGCTCAGCCTATGACAATAAACAAGTTACGAATAACCTGCGATTATTGCGTACAACAGACTGGGGACGCACTAAAGAGTCTTACTTTGACAATGTGATCGAATTCTTTGTTATCGAAGATTTTATGGCTGTTGCTAGCAGTAATAAAGGTGATCTTTCATTATATGTAAGCGTTAATGGTAAGACTTTTGCTGAAGCACAGTTCCCACCTGATCAATACATAAATCGTAATACATTTACTGTATTACAATCCACAACACATTCAATCTTATTGAATATTTTTAAATCTACTGGATTTGGAAATGCTTATGGTTCACTTTATAAATCGAATGAAAATGGCACCTTTTATCATTTATCTCTTGATAATACGAATGGTGATGGCATGGGCTTTGTTGATTTTGAAAAATTTCAAAGTATAGATGGTATTATACTTGCTAATCAAGTTTGGAATACTGACGAATTAGTTGGTAACCCTGATAAAAGTAAGAAGGTTCGAACAATGATTAGTTGGGATGATGGTGGACAATGGCAACCTTTGGCCCCTCCCAAGAACTATGATTGCTCATCAAAAGAATGTTCACTCAACCTTCACAGTCGTACTGATATTCACGGACCTGGTGCTATATTTTCATCTAGTGGTGCACCTGGTCTTGCTATTGGTGTTGGTAATGTGGGCCCCTCTTTGAATGCTTACACCGAAAGCGATACGTTCTTAACCCGAGATGGAGGTCATACCTGGATCATGATCCAAGAAGGTGAACATCTATATGAATTTGGTGATCAAGGCTCTATTCTTGTCTTGATCAACGATGAAAGACCTACTAAAGAGCTCTTATATTCTTGGGACCAAGGTGAGACTTGGCATTATTATGAATTTAGTAAGGATGAAATTCGAGTAAATACCTTAACAACTGACCCAAAGTCATCTACTCTAAAATTCGTTATTATTGGTCATTCTCGTGGTATCGAAAGATCTCAAGTCGTTATTACTGTTGATTTTTCAGAAACAAATACACGCAAATGCGTTATTGATAAACACAATGATGAAAAGAGTGATTTTGAACGTTGGATTCCTAAGGATGACGATGGCGATGATGCTTGCTTACTCGGTAAGAAAACCGCTCTTTGGCGTCGTAAGAAGGATCGTGTTTGTATTGTCAATGCTCAATTCCAAGAACCCGAAGTGATTGTTGAGAATTGTGAGTGTCGTGATATTGATTTTGAATGCGAATTTGGATTTTGGCGTAATGAAAATAACGAATGCGTCTTTAAGGGCCGTCACCCTGATCGTCCTACACGTTGTGAAATTGGAAAAACGTTCAAGGGCCGCTCAGGTTACAAGAAAAACATAAGGAGCACCTGCTCAGGAGGCATTAATCTCGAAGAAGAAAAAGAATGGCCTTGTGGAGAGGCAGGCGGCATTATTTCCAGCTCAACCAAGTTTACAGATCGTGTAGTTGATTATGTCTATTTTACTGATACTGATCGTGTTGTTGTTCGTACCCTTGATGGTAAGATTTGGCTGAGTGAAAACGATGGTTATAGTTGGAAAGAGCTTTTCGCTGATAAAAAAGTGATTTCTATTTATCAAAATCCTTATTTTGATCAACGCACTTTCTTTATTACTGAGGGCACAACTCATTATGTGACAAGTGATAAGGCATCTAGTTTTGAAGAAGTTCGTACACCTATCCCTCCACTCCTCTATCTGCCTGGTTCTGTCATGAGTTTCCACAATACGGATCCTGATTATGTTATTTATATTGGTGAGAAAAATTGTGAAGGACTTAATTCTGATTGTCATTCAGAGGCCTTCTATTCAAATGATCATGGTCGTAGTTGGTCCTCTCTTGGCACATATATGCGTAATTGCATTTGGGGAAGAGAAGGTACAATTGAAGCTACACATCGCAATTCTATTTTCTGTGAGCAATACCGTGAACAATCAGGAAGTCAAATGACTCTCTTTGGTAATACTCTTCAACTGGTTTCTTCTCAAAACTACTTTCATGACAAGAGAGTTTTATTTGACGACATCGTCGGCGTCACTGTCTTTGGAAAATATATGGTTGCTGCTGTAGCCAAGAATGGTGGTGCTAATCTTCGTCTCTATGTTAGTGTAGATGGTATTACTTTTGCTGCTGCCTCATTCCCTGCCTCATTTAATATTTCACCTGAGGCATTTACAGTGATGGAATCAGCCAATTCAATGTGGATCCATGTATCGACTCATACACAAAGAGGAAGTGAGTACGGAACGATCTTTACTTCCAATTCTAATGGAACTTACTTTGTCACTTCTCTTGAAAATGCAAATCGTAATGAATTGGGTATTGTTGATTTTGAAAAGATGCAAGGTATTGAAGGTATTGCTATTGCTAATGTTGTTCGCAATCCTGGTCAAACGAATAAGGGCGATCCTAAACAATTGGTCACTCGAAAGACAGCAGATGCGGGTGGACATTGGACAAGTTTAGTCCCCCCTGAAAAGGATAGTAAGGGACAAGCTTATCGTTGTCAAGGCTCAGAATGTTCTTTACACTTACACTGTTATTCTGAACGACAAAACTCGCGTGATCTTTTCAGTTTGTCAAGTGCAGTTGGTTTGATGGTAGGTGTAGGTAATGTGGGTACTAGTCTTTCACCCTACCGCGATGGTGATATGTTTTTAACCCGAGATGCAGGTAAAACATGGACAGAAATTGAAAAGGGAACTCATCTTTGGGAATTTGCAGATCAAGGTGCACTTTTGATTCTAGTTGATAATGAACAGCCTACACATTTCGTCAAATATACTACAAATGAGGGTTTAACCTGGAATACATATGAATTTGCTAAGCGAGGAGAAAAAGTTATAATCGAAGATATAATTACTCAACCTGATGGAACTAGTCAGAAATATGTTTTGTTTGGTTTGAAGGATGGTAAATCGATTGCTTATCACATTGATTTTAGTGCATTGCATCCCACACAATGTAAACTAGACTTGGATCATCCTAATGATGATGACTTTGAATTATGGAGTCCAGAAGACACAAGAGGTGAAGCATGCTTATTCGGTAGAGAAACAAAGTATTATCGTCGTATTCAAGATCGTGATTGCTATATTGGTGAAAGAATTGTTCAACCTAGAGAAGTAGTGCGTAATTGTGCTTGTACCGAAGAAGATTATGAATGGTAAAAAGGACATGACTTAAATTATGTTTTGTTTTTGTTTTTTTTTTTTCATATATTGATCTTTGCTTTTTTTTTTTCTATTATAGTGACTTTAATTATGTTCGTGATTCAAATAACAAATGTGTTTTGGTACCTGGATTTTCACCATTAGAACCTACTTGTGATGGTACAAAAGATTTCTATTATACTCCAACTGGGTAAGTAACTACTTCAATCTTTTTTTTTTATTTTGTATATATGTTTTCTAATTTATTAAAACCTTCTTAAAGGTATCGTAAAATCGCTGCATCTACTTGTGAGGGAGGTTTAGAATTAGATAAGATTGGTGCGGAGAAAATGTGGTGCCCTGGAGCTAGTCGTCCTAGACATGGATGGATTGGATTTATTTTTGCTCCTATTATTGCTGCTGGTCTTGTCTTTGCTGCTCTCCAATATCGTAAACGTGGCAACTTTGGGTAAATTGATATATACAAATATGTAAAGCATGTAGTTAACTTTTTTTTTACAATGATTAGTCGTATTCGACTTCCTGATAATACACATCAAATGGGTTCCAACATATTATCAAATCCTATTGTTACAAAGATAGTTGCTGCTGCATTTGTTATTCCTGTAGCAATTGTTGGTATCTTTTCACGTATTCAGTTACCTCGATCATGGTCAGATCTTAACTTCTTTAGTAATTTACATATGCCATCATTTATGTCTCGAGGACGAGGTCCTGGATATACTGCACTAGGACAAGATGAACAAGCTGGTGTTCTATTAGAAGATTATGATGGTTCTGAAGAGCATTTGATTGATGATGCTGATGAATTTGATGATGCTGATGAGTTTTAAATACTAGTTACTTTATTTTATTCTATTTTTTATTTTATTTTTTTTTTGGATATTATTTAAACATGAATGTACATTTTTTTTTCTTTATAAAAAAATAAATGTATAACTTGTACAACATTGCTTAAGATGCATTCTATTTAACAGTTATAATATATTATTGATAGATATAATAATTGACAATAATATCAAGATCATGAATATATATAAATATACATACTATTGATATTAACTAGCAGCAGAATCAAGTTTTGTGCCTTTAGATTTTGCAAATACATTCCAAGCAGAACTCCTTATACAGTCCAGCTGATGGATATTGTCGATTACACAAAAAATGGTTGTTGTTTAATTGTCGAAAGACAAGATTTGATTTTGCCCGTTAATGCAGTTTCTTTTGTCGTTCCTTTTTTTTTTCAAACTTTTTGAGATCTCTACAATGACAACTACTTTTTATTTTGAAGATAGAATGGACAACCTTTTCAATGAACATGGTGAGAGAGTTTATGATCCCATGGAAGGTGTCTTAACAGAAAATATAGACCCAAACATTGTACTTGAAATAATAACTAAGCTGGCTGCAAGATTTGATCTAGCTAATAAACCTGCTGAAAAAAAGAGTGTGGTGAAAGAAGCTAAAGTAACAAAAACTTTAGACGATAAGTCTACCAAATGAGCAGTATATAACACTTATACAGACAAGCAAAGAAAGGATTTTATTTGAAAATCCCAAAGAGAAAGGAAATATCATTAAATTTTCCAAAGAACTCTTGGTGAACCCATGTACTGCGGAAAGATGATGGAATACATACAAAAAGACGGTAGAAGTGCTCTATAAAAAAAAATCAAAGAATAATAGTGGTCCAAAGATCACTTTCACTGCGAAACATGAGGACTATATTAAGAATTTGATAGATAATGATTCTGAAATCTTTGCCGATGACATTATAGAAAAATTGACTAAACATTTTAAGGCTTTTATATATCAAAGTCGCAGCCTAATCATCATTTAATGAATATTATGCAGATTATTGTCAAAAAGCCTTATTTTGAAGCCAAAATTAGAAGCTCAGTTGACAATTTGGAGACAAGATACGAATAGTTTATGAAATGGAAGGATAAAAATCTGGACTATACAGAAAATTACGTGCTTATTGATGAGGCCGGGTTTCATATAAACATGAGAAATAACTGGGCTGTGGTTAAAACTGAAAAAAAAAACAAAAGTAATCTCTCACTTGGTTATTGGAGCCATCCATTCGTCTGCAGTGCTTCATGCCGTTTTGAAAAAGCCCCCTCCTAAACCTAAATTAGACACACAATATTGCCAAAAAAAGAAGAGAAAGGGTAACAGTGGAAAGAAAAGTGGGTGTAGCTGAGACGACTAACGATGATGAAGGAACTCAGGAGGATAACACCAGTGTAGTTGATGTAAAGCCAGTTCCAAAAGGTACAACAACTGCTCATTTTATTAAACTTGTCAATGAGCTTGTCATGAGCTGATGTATAACGCCAAGTTTCTTGATTAAACAAGCAGATCAATGAATTCTATCTAGATTCCCCTGAAAAACTCTCTTGATCCACTCCATCAAATAATATTAAAACTTCTAACACTTCATTATCTTTAACATATCTTATTCGGTCGTAACTAACATTTTTTCTTATTCACATCTTATCTGAGACCTCTTTAACAATTCTTATAAATACCCATCAATTTAAATTCATAAATAAAATCATTGACTTTAGAACTATTGCTTGCTCTCCTTGACGTTTTTTTTTTTTTTTTTTTTTTTTTTTTTTTTTTTTTTGTCTTTTTATTATTTTTATTTAATATTTTACAAGTAATATCACAATTGAATAACTATGTCTAGTCTTCAGGGCTACTAGATCGCATATTTATAATATATGTTATTGTAATTCAAAGTCTGAAATAGAGTATATATGAGTTATAGTTGAATGTTGTACTTTGTTTGTTAAAACAGAAACAATGGAATGCATAATAGCTTATGCATATTGAAGTATTAGAAATGAAGCTACATAGAGTGGAAACATCAACTAGAATCTATTCCAAATCCTCTTTTTCCCTTCTTTTCAGGCTCAAAAGCAGAGAATAGTTATTGTTTATTAATTGTTGAAGTGTGTGTGTGTGTGTGTGTATTTTTTTTTAACTTTAATTTTATCATTTTTTTAACGCTATTTTCTTGATTGTTAAATATGATTATACTATATCTAGATGTATATAATATATACATGTATATATTATCTGATGACGCAATAACGTTTACGTATGTTTGTTTATTTATTCAAATGGAATGTTATCCCTTTTTTTTTACTTTCTTTTTTTTTATTTCCTTTCCTTTATCCTTTTTTTTATATATGTATTAATATATAAACACTTTTTATTATTTCTCTTTTTTTTTTTTTACACATCTTTCTCAAGATGCGTTCTCTCTTTCTTGCTGATATGGGCAGACTCAACTGTTACGGTGAAAGAAGACTTGCAAGGACTTCTTGGTTTGTGATAGCTTTTGCTTTTTATGTCACTGATTTGTATAAGTACTATATGTACGGATATTTATCGGTTCCACCTTGAGAAAGTTATTATTTCTCTAGACAACTGGACAAATGCTTTTATCGCTGGCATCCACCATTAATTTTATTAATGGGATTGAAGGATTTAGTGAACAATAAGTGTATCTTTGTCGCACCATTGATCCCTTGGTTATAACTGTAAGCTAGGGCACTATAACTTCTAAATCCTTCTAAGATAAAAGACGGACAAAACCACCCTCTATTCTTTTCTTTTTTTTTCTTTTTTTTTCTTTTCTTTTCTTTTCTTTTCTTTCCTTCTTTCCTTCTTTCCTTCTTTCTTTCCTTCTTTCTTTCCTTCTTTCTTTCCTTCTTTCTTTAAGGCTGGTTAAACTTGTTGTAACAGTGCCATGAACAAGGTTTAACATTTTAAGGCCGACTTATATACAAGGGCGCTTACCAATGTAGTATTTCTTTTTTGAAAGAAAAAGAAAAAACCTTGTCCTGTAACATGTTATATAGTCTGGATGCTCAATGCTACCTCGCCACGTCAACCGGTGCGTCTTTTGATAGGCTTCTGCTAAATGTCCCAGTAGAATAGCAGGGTATGAGGTAGTTGTAAACATGCTTGGGGTCTGGTCCCAACATAGTTTAGGAGTCCTTACTTATGAAGCTTATGTGTTTACTGGTTGGCATAAGTGAAGTTTGTAAGCCATTTGGCGCAACATATTGAGAAAACCTTCTTAAAAAAAAGAAAGGTCTGTTAACTTGCTTAATAGTCTTTCTTTTTTTTTTTTGAGGTTAGATTAATGCTTATACCTTCTCGTGGTTAACCTTGTTAGTAGTAAAGTATCCTTTTCTTTTATATATGAAGAGTTACTTTATGAACCAAAATAAGCATCTTTTTCTTTCTTTACTATTTAATTTTGAAATAAAAATAAACATATTATACTCTATTCCTTGTCTCTAATAGCTATTTTATTATAAACATCAAAGTAATGTTTTAAAGAGCTAAATGTTTTTCTTTTCTCTCTTTTTATTTATTTATTTATTTATTTTTTTGCAACAAAATAAGATACACTATCTTTAGATGCAGTCAATAAAAAGGGAAAACAATAACAGCAACAAGGCTTGTAAATATGTATTTCAATATTAAATAAAGAGGATAAGAAAGGATACTTTTATACAAAAAAAAAAAAAAAAAAAAAAGGAGGGGGTAGTGGTGGTGGGTATAGATTATTGTAAATCAAGCAAAATAACAATAAACATAGCAATCAGTACAGCTAAAATACATGTGGATCCAAATAGGACAGCGCCTCTACTTGCAGGAAATTGACCTTTTGTCATTGCTATTTGCGTATGAAAGTATCTTGCATTGGCAAAATAAAGGAAAACGATACTAAATATAACAAAGGCAGCCCCTAATGATTTACCTACTTTAGCATGAGTGACTTGATTTGAATCACCGGTCGGGGTTAAATGATAAAGTTGAGTAATAGCTAAATGTTAAGAGATAATGATATAAACATATTATTATTAACATTCAACTTTTTGTGTGTGTGTGTATGTGTGTTTACCAACTCCAACCGTAATGAGCGATAGAGAAGTTCTTAACCATGCTAGAAATGTTCTTTCATTGGCTATAATACACAAAAAATAAGATAAATAAAAAAAGATGGATTACTCTATTTGAATATACAAATATACCTAAATGATCTCTAGCAGTTGCAGCTTTATTTTCCAACATAAATGACGTAGAAAATCGAGTATAAATTTTCCCTATAAAATGATAAGGTGATTTTATTGATCCGTCCTTTCTTTGATCTTCTTGTTTTTTGAATTGTTGTCTCATCGTTTCTTTTTCCTCCCGAGTTTTTGTTCGAACTAAAAAAGGCGGTTGTAATTGCGACATTGTTCGACGTAATTCTTCTTCATGATCTGAATCATTATCATCACTACTACTTGATTCTTCTTCTAAATTATTTGGTTTTTTTGGTTGTGGTGCTACTGCTTCAGGCTTATTCATCAAAAATGAAATAAAATGAAATAAAGTGAAATAAAATAAAATAGAGTGAGTATATGGAATAGTTTTCTCGACGTCTTTTAACCGAAAAAAATAAAAAAATAACGTCACCTTGCATCATTTTTGCCCACGCTTAACGTAAGCAAGAAAAAATAATTTTGTTTCAAAAAAAGGAAAAAAAAAAAAAAAAAAAAAAGACTCTCAAGAAATAAAGTAGAGATTAATACAAAAGACTCCTCAATTAGTGTTAAATTAATCTTGTAGCCTATTTCGTTATAATATTTCCTTTCGCTTCATTAAGAATAATATAGATACCATCATCACGTACAAGACCTTTCTGACTTTATGAGAATTTTTTTTTTTTTTTTTTTTGATAAAGTGACTCGTAAAGAACAGAAACTACTAGTTGTTATAGTACTTTAAGATGATAATAAAAAAAAAAAAAAAAAAAAAAAACACCCCTTATCGGATATAAATGACTACCAATTGTTATTTAACATAAACAAGCTACAGGAAGTGAAATAGACAAGTTTGTTGCGTATTATCGATTTGTTTGTATTCATCTAAATTTAGAATAATATACTGACTACAGTTTCTATACATATTATCTTTATTATTCCATATCATTATTTATACAACATTATCAACTCCAGTGCCTCCAAGGATTCTAATAAATAAAAAAAAAATATAAATATCCAATCGACACTTGTTTCTATCTAAATGAACTTACTTTGAACTAGCAAATGCTTGTCCAGTAAAAGCAGCAATTCCTATATAAATAAATAAATATGTATTATACACAAATAAATAGATCAAATAAACGAATTACCGTAGAAGATAGATGCAAGTAAGAGTGAAACACCACAGGCGATAAGAGGCCCAACACTAACCAAGTTAGAAAGAAACATAACTACAGCAAACCTATTGAAACACACGAGATGAATACTTTGAATGATACTTTTTTTAAAGATGAATCATCATTTACACTAAATATAAAATAGCACGGAAATAGCAATTTTCAAAATAAGCAATAAAGCTATCACTATAATAATTCAAGAAGAATTAGTTATGTTATCAACTACAAATAATTAGAATTCATGTATTTTACAATTTAGGACTTGTTGGGCAAAACTAAAAATGGGGGTGGGGGTAGAAATCACTTTATCTTTAGTTTTAAATGTCACGTTCAGATTCTTTTTCTTTTTTTCTTACCTTTAAACATAATGGAACTTCTACAAATACAAGAATAAAAGCGATAATCCTATCAAACGTAGTAAAATATATATATATATATATATAAAAGGGACTCTTTAAAAAAAAAAGATACAAACACCCTTTTTTTTTTTTTTTTTTTTTTTTTTTTTTTTTTTTGTTCTTTACCATCCAACAATACTAAAAATCCAGTGTCCAAGAAAACCAACAATACCCAATACAATTAATACTAGAGATAAAAAAAAAACTCTCGATTAATTTCCTTCTTTTTTACTACTATTATAACACTTACAAATGATTGATATTATACCAAGCCTATTGAACCAAAAAAAAACAATAAAATATCAATAAAATATCAAAAAATCAAAAAAAAATCAAAACGAATATTTCTTTTTTCATGTATAATCGTAATAAGAATCTAACTTACCATTGTCCATAAAGAGAGCAATTCTTTGATTTAACTTCGTCGAAAAGACCCATTTTATAATAACAAGTTGATAGATAAAAAGGAAAACAAAACAAAAACAAAAAAAAGTTTACATAAACATCCGAATTTATTTTCTCAGCAGATGCTATATTTCAAACATCAAAGAACAATAAGTAAACTTTATAGCTCCGATAATGCAGTCTATGTTATTGGATAATATATTTTATTTATAGCAATTTCTTTGTTATAATAGCTTATGAAGCCAAGAAAAAAATGATTCTTATTCAACGTGAAGCAGTGTATTTAAATCGAATGATCCAAGGACAAGTCTTTACAATTCCAATACAAAAAAAAATGAAAGAAACGGAAAGAATTAGCATGCTTTATTTCTTTACAATAATTAGTATAATTCAATTGTTTCCAGCGTAGGTTAAATTAAGTTGTGTACAGTTATGTTGTGGAGAAGAGAAGGAAAGGTTTAGTTTGAGACATTATATTTTTAGAGCTGTGATTCTACAAAAAGCCTATTATAACAAGAAACCTTTCATTCATTGTTATCCTATCTACTTGTTCATCTTGAGTTTCAGATAGTGTAATCATAAAGACTTTCTAAGCCACGTTATATTTCCTCCTTTATTCATATTTTATATTTTATATTTTTATCTTTTTATTTTTATTTTTATTTTTTTTTTATTTTTTACCTTGTTGTTGATAGAAGAAATGCCAATAATACGACAAATCGTTCTTTATATGAATCATCTTGTCTTTTAAAAGGATATGTTTAAAAGAAGAAGAAGAAAAGCTGTTTGCTGTTATTATTATAATAGAGTACGCCTTTCATGAACCAAAAAAATATAGCATTATAATAGAATGAACACTAAATAAATCCTTTATTTTATGACTCAAGTTGAAAATGAGTTAAATGGAAAGACGGATAACTATTCTAAATAATAGAAACAGGTCAAGTTTTAGTTAGTAGACATGATTAGTTTCATTTGTATGTATACAGAACTCTGAAGCATAGTATACTATTTTATCAATAAATAAATAAAGAATTGATAAAATAAGATATTAGCATACATTTAACTTGCAGATCAAAACATACAGAATAAGTTCAACTGTTATATAAATGCATACCTGTATACATGTAAATATGTGTATATTTGAATACATGCTTTTATTTATTGATAAATGATATATTCGTATTTCCAGATAGATTATTGACATGCATCTATAATGTGTTTATTTATCATGCAATAGGTTCTATTTTCAGACAAACTATACTATGAATCATTATATTGTATTTCTTTAATCCAGGGGAAGTAGTCTCTTGTGACTAGAGCATATCTTCATGATTAACATTGGACAATTAACTCCTTCTATTTTCTATATTTAGCTCTTTTTTTTTTTTTTTTTTTTTTTCTTCTTACATCTAAAGGGGTGGGCTTATGTCTTATTAACTCCTTGTTGACCTGCTGCTGGCTCGGACGAAGGATGTAGTAGTAACTTGTACTCATCGGGGCTATTAATTTTTATAACAAATAAAATATTTTCCTTTTCCTCTTCCTTTTCTTTTTTTTTTTTTTTTTTTTTTTTTTTTTTTTTTTGTTGTTGTTGTTTAAATTAATATGTCTTCTGATAAACCTCAAACTGTAACTATTCCCAATATTACTATTACTACTGATACATCAGTAAATAGTAGTGATACCGATATCACTTCAGAATCTAAGCCAAGATTAATACAACCTCAAGTAAGCATCATTCTTTCTATTTCTCACGCGTTTATATACTAATTTAAATAAATAAAGGTCGTTGTTAATCTAGATGATGATGATGATGATGAGGGAAATTCAATAAAAACAGTCAATACTATAAAAGATTCTATTCATAATGATAAACAAACTATCGTTATTACAGACAGTCCTGTTATTACTAATGCAGCTGACAGTACTATAATGACTACGACATCTACAACGACTACTAATACAATTAACTATAATTCAACAGATAACGAAATTTGGTAATAATTGGCAAAAAAATAAATAAAATAAATAAAAAGATGTATTACAATAATATAACTAATATTCAAGTAATAGGAGTACGATTGCACAACAGCAAGATGCTTCTTTACAAGTTTTACAACATTCAATTCAAATGAACGAATTAAATAACGAAGACCAAACAAAAAATAATACTATTGCTCAATCCATTAATTCAACTAAAATACAGTCACCAAGTCAAATTGGAAAGACAATGACAAATGGAAAAGAAGAAAAACCTCGTGTAGGTTCAGAGGAGTGGCATAGATTACGTCGTGAAAATCATAAACAAGTAGAGCGTAGAAGAAGAGAAACGATTAATGATGGTATTAATGAGATTGCACGAATAGTACCTGGATGCGAAAAGAATAAGGGCTCTATTCTTCAACGTGCAGCAGCATATATTCGACAATTAAAAGAATCTGAGGCTTCCACTTTAGAGAAATGGACACTTGAAAAATTATTAACAGATCAAGCTATAAATGAATTAAATAGACAAGTAGAGGTATTAAAAGCAGAATTGGATCGAGTTCGTACAGAGAATACATATTTAAAAAGAGAATTAGAAAATAGTCAGCAACAATCTCCAGATCCTAAGCGACAAAAGGTAGTGGAGTCTAATGAATGATAGCCTACAATGTATTCTCATATTTTAAGTTACCCTTACTACCATTTTAATAATGACATGCTAAAAGCAGGATTTAATAAAAAAACAAACCCCCCAATTGTATAATAGGTATTTTGTTCGGTTCTTGAAAAAAAAAATAAGCAAATTTGTATGTGTGTATGTGGGTAGATTAAAAGTAGCTCATTCATGCTTGTTATATGTATTGAATAGAACTACATAAAGTGTATTTTATATTTTCCTACAAAACGCTATTATGTATTAACCTTTTTTTTTTTTGGTCAAGTATATATCTAAGATACATAAATTAGAGAAATAAAGAAAAAAAAAACAAGCTACTATCATGAATACTCCATCATATACACAAAGAATAGCTTTTAATCCTTTTCTTTTAATGAATATATCAATCAAAACCAGTGTCTCAATTATTTGATAGTCTATTCATATATGTATAATCAGCACAAATTTTAGTAAATGAACAATAAAAAGAGGGAATATATAACGTATTAACAATAGTCTTTTTTTTTTTCTTAAAAAAAAAAGGATGGGGTGCTTCATTTCCATCCCAAAAATGTCCACCAAGAATAACCAATTGTAAAATAAATAAATAAATAGAAAATAGCCATCTGAAATCCTACCATAAACCATCTTCCACGAGAAACATAACCCAGTGCATAATACATGGCAGACATACCCGTAGAGTAATTAGTCATACAGCCACCTAGACTACTAAAGTAGGCAATAAAGGCGGTCAATAAGACCGGGTTTGCACCTAAAGTATAACCAGCATCAAAAAATGTAGAAACAAAGGCCACTGTATGTGCACTAAGTGAGGAAAATAAAAAGGTAGTTAAAAAATAGGCAATTGTCAGGATAGGTAAAGATGGCAAGTTAAACTGTTGAATAACGTATGAAATCTTATGGCCTAAAAAAGATGAAGCTCCTGCTTCAGAAAGATGTTGAGCTATGGTCACAAAGCCTCCCAACCAGAATAATGTATCCCACTATGCATATATATATATATATATAGAAAAAGAAAATAAGTTTATATAATACATATATACTATGTATATACTTTTTTACTGCTTTTATATTGCTAGATACATCGTCCCATGAAATGGTTCCCATATATAAAAGAGCTACAATACCAATTAAAGCAACCAAAGTAGGTTCTAAATGTGTTATATTTGAAGTAATCCAACAACAAAGGCATCCTAATAATGTAAAGCAAAGTTGCTATATTATTGTTATTATTTTATGAAATTCAAACGCTTTTCTTTTTCCTTTTTTTTTTTTTGGTTATTATTACCCATTCTTTTACTGACATAGGTCCCATTTTATTTAACTCCATTTTAGCATGCAGAACAACGTTATTATCCCTTCTCTTCCTCCTACTTGCATCTTTCCCCACATTTGGCGTACCTTTATTGAACCCCAAACTCCAGCGAATTAAAATGGGAACAAAAGCAGCACAAATTAAACCTGGAATAATACTTCCTTGCAACCAAACCATAAATCCAAAATGGATGTTTGGAAATAATTGATTTGCTTTAGCTATAACAATTGGATTTGATGCCATACCTATATCATTTTTTGATTAATAATAATAAAACGATGCACATATGCAGGAAAAAAAAAAGAAAAGAAAGAAGGGAAAATTACCTGTGAGATACATGGAAGCAGATAGTAAATTAGCATGATTTCCAACAAGAATTAAAAAACTGCCAACTTCAGGATTATGATCTGGTGTAGACTCTAAAGTAGTTGCAATTGACTGCACAACAGGTAGAACGATACCTCCTCCACGAGCAGTATTGCTTGGTACAAATGGTGCAAGGATTAATTCTATAATAACAATCATAATATAAATATTTATGCACATATATACATGTGTATTATATTAAAACTTTTACCCGAAAAAACAATTGCATATGCAAGACCCAAATCATGTTTACCAAAGGATTTGATCATTATTAACGATAATCTTTGACCCAGTTTTGTTACTTCTATCGCTTTTCCAAGATGAAAGGCGGTAAAGATAAGCCAAACAATAGGACTAGAGAAACCTTCAAGTGACAATTCAAAAGAATCTCTCCCTGCTTCACATTGAAAAACTTCACCCGTAAGAGGATTTATTTCACCGCATAATCGACATTCAGTTAAAGTCCCGGTCAAATGGTCAACACATTCAAATGATTGTGTTACTGCTAGTAAAGTCAAACCTGTTAAAACTAACATCGATATTTCTACATTTGTAGTTATTAAAGCGCATATGCAACTATTCAATATATATATATATAAATACATATATATTGAATAAATATTTATTAAAAAAAAGGTGATATTTATATAGTTTGTTTTTTTTAAAATATATATACCTTATAAATACAGCTAGCAAATGAATAGCAGTAACTGTAAGTTCTTCATCAGGTGTGACACCAAACCAAATAATTGTGCCCAATATAATGGATGGTAAAAGAGATATTAAGTTTTTAAATTTTGTTTCTATTATAAAGATTAATAATTTTAATTTAACTTTTCCCCATAATGCCAATTTTAATTATATTCACCTTTTTTCAATGAATCAGTCGTTGATAATAACGAAGCTGTTTCGCTTGAAACTAATGTATTCTGCGATACAACATCGACATCAATTGCTTGATAATTAACTACCATATAGAATATAAATGTGAAAGAAAAAAAATATATTGAAAAAAAAGAAGAAGAAGAAGAAGAAGGATTTTATTTCTTGACAAATAAATATTTTATGTGTATATGATTAATATATA